GCGCGGACCCTACTCGCGGCGACTCAACGCGGCGACGTGGACACCCTGGGGGGCTTCGTGCGCGCGCCGCTGGTGGGTGAGTTCCGCGGCGGAAAAACATGCAGGGCAGACTCAATATTGGCGCGGGGCGTCCGGGCCGCCGACGTCATTCCATTCCCGTCCAGCACTGGGCGCGCGCGCCCGGACAAACGAACGCACGGCGGCGGTACAAGGGGTGCGCACAGACAAACAGACAGACCGCCGCGGTCCCGGGCGAACTACAAGAAGCTACCACGCGCACTGACGCATGTGGGGTCGACTCGCTTCCGGCCGAGCTCCCATCGGAGTCACCGCGACGCTCGTCGCTCTCTCGTCCGGTCACGGTTCGAGGGGAGCTGTCGCTCGATGAGGCCGCTTCGCGCGTGCCACCAGGAGCCCCGCCTCGCGCGCACGGACCGCTCGCCGTGCGCCGCGTTCGCGCGTCAGCAGACCACCCCGCGCCCGCACCGCGTCTACGATGCCACACTGCACTGCATTCGCGGCGACCTGGGCCGCAGTGCGGCGACAAAGGACTCGACGTACGGTCGCGGCTCGCCCCGTTTGATAACGTCGTGCGCTCGATGTGGTTTCGTGCGGCGGTTTTCTCTTTCCTTTTTGCAAACGCGTGCGCGCACGTACGAAGGCCCGGGCACGGATGACGTACGCACTCACCGCACGCGGAGACAGACGTGCGGACGTTCGCCCGGGGGTCGCGCCTCCTCCTCCTTCCTTCCTTTCGTGGTTCCGCACAGTGCACGGGCTTCGAGAACGTCGGAACGCGAAGCGTGCGTTCGTCTCCTGCGCACAGTGGTCTTGACGGTGCGCCGCGGCGGCGCCCCTTCGACAGCGTCTCTGCCCCCTCTCCCGGCCCCCGCGTCCACTCAGTGTTCGACGTCGAACGCTGGGCCCGCGCCCCTGCCGCCCGCGTCCTTCAGGAAACCACAAAGGTCAGCCCGCCGTTTTCGGCGCAGCGGCGCAGCTGGTGCGGCGAACGGTTTATTGTTCCCGGCCGCGGCAGCGCCCGGGAAGCAGCCCAAGTACAACGTCCGCCCGCGCCGGGCTCGGACGCCTCAAGGCCTGTGCGGCGTGCGAGACAAGGGACGGCGAAGACGGTGCGTGGCTCTTCAGGCCGTCAGGGGAGCCTCGAGGCGCTGAGTGAGGCATGGAGGAGGGTGGAGGGTGGAAGGAGGGAGCACAAAGAGGAAGGCTGGGAAGGCCGCCGCGCGCACAGCTCTTTCGTTCTCCGCGAGCGACGGGTGGACGCTGTGGGCCGGAGAGTTCGGTTTGGAAGGCGTCGCGCGCGGGGCGGGCCCCAGGACACCCTTATCACGAGAGCGAGGGCGCGAAGGTTTGGAGTGCGCGTCGAGGCCGGGGTGGCCTGTGGCCCGTGGCCCGTGGCCCGCGGGGTACACGGGGCGATGCCCTGGGGAGCGACGTCGACGGCGACGCACGAACGTAGTACGTACGGTCTGCCACTAGCTGTGCTCGTCTTTCACGGTGGCGCGCGCGCTGACGTACGTACACGGTACGGCGGCCTGTCGCGCGCACGAGGCTACGCACCTGCGCGCGCCACCGCGGTTTGGCGCGGGGTGGGTGCCATGATATCGCACCGCTCGCGGGGGCGAGCGACGCCAAGTCCTACCGGGCGCGTGCGGACCGGGAGAGGGCCGCTGTCAGCCTGCCAGCAGCCACTGGCCCGCGCGGCGGGTCGCGGCGACGTCGGAAAGGTTGGGTCGGAGTGCGGACGAGCGTGATCCCGTGGTATGTCCACGGCGAGGTTTCTCGAGTGACGAACGTGCGATGGAGATGGCTTAGACCTGCGCGGTTCGTTCCACGGACTACGAGCGAGTACTGATCCCAAACGGAAGTTCGCGCCATTGCCAGGGCCGCCGGGGTCCAAGGCCCGAGGCCTGAACTTGTCCTCTTAGCCCCAGGGTCGATCGCGCTTCCAGGTTTGAAGTTCGACCGCCCCGATGGGCTAGAACGAGAAGCGGCGGCACAGCATCCCCGCTGCTGCTGCTCCTCCGCGGACCGATCCCAGGATGCCGTCGTCCCGGGCTGAGGGCTGCTAAAAGGTGATGCTAGCGATGTCGATCACCCTACTGGCGCCGAGCGAGCCCGAGCCGTATCACGACTCAGGTTGATCGACGGACGGCGGCCGCGCTACAGCCTACGACTTTGAATTCGGTCGTTAGAGCGTGCGTGACCCGGGATATTGTGCTAGCGTGGTCTAAAGGAACTGGGAAGGTCAGCCACCGACGGATTCGGCGGAGGGGGGACGGCGCCCGAATCCAACGCTCGATAAGAGGAGCGAGGTTGAACAGAGGATGCGGACGAGGGCTGTTAGTGACCGCGGGAAGATAAGCGGGGCGAGACCCACCGGAGCTGATGACCTCCATAAACCTGCAAGCTACTAATCGGCGTATGAGACACTTGACCGAAACACGCGGGTGGCTATTGGGCCGGGCTTCCTGAGACCTCTGCGGGGGTCTCGGAAAGCAGCGGTAGAAAGCCCCAGAGGCTACTAGCACGCAACAGGAGGCACTCACATCGAGGGCGATTATTCCCGCCGGGTAGGTCTCCGTGCAGAAGTTAAACTCGACCGATGCCCCCAAGTCGCGGAAACGAAGTGCGAGGATGATCTTGACCCCTGCTCGGGGCTGGCGGGGCGAGCGCAGAATCACGACAACGCGACCGCGGCCCCGGCGATCATATGTGCTACTCACACACGGCCGTCGGCAGTGATCGGGGCGCGCGCAGCACGTCGGCGTTGTCCGGTGGGCGCTTCACTATCAACCTCCTTGCGCATGGGCGAGTCTTTGAATTCGCTGCACCGACCACACGGAAACGAAGCTGGAAAGGGAGGGCGATGCGGGCATCGGTGCAGGGTTGCACTAGTGCTGGTGTGTGCAGTCTGTGTGTCGGCGTCGGGCGCGGCGGGCCGTGCGTGTCACCTTCCTTCTGTGGGCCCGGGTCGAACAAATTGCGATACACATTTTGGGCATTCTACTCGACACAGCGACAAACATGCGATTGCACCACGAGAAGAGCCGCACGCACCGCAATGCCGTTATCCTCAGACGCGGCGAAGAGAGGACGCCGACGGTCGAAACCGCCGAGGCATATGTGCGCGGAAACGGAGCACATGCTCGGCCTCGGAAGCTTTTCGGTCTGCCTCCGAACGACGATGCGCGATTGCTGGGGTATGCAGAAGGTCGGATGTCGCCCGAGCCTATTCTGTCAATGTGCGTGTGCGCTCGGTGAGGACAGCCAACGGGCAAGGATCATGATCGCTGCGACGAGCGCCGGTTAATGTTGAAACGTTGAGTTGCTGGGGAGGGCCGTTGGCGACATTCACCACTCGGAGTGCCACGGAGACAACGCGGGCTCCGTGGGCGAGCACATGCTACGAGGCACCAGGTTGGTTAGCTACCGGTTACCACCCGTGCTTCCGCTGCTTCGGATTTGAAGCCGAGTTGTGGACGTGTACGCATGTGAATTGTGGGCCGCGAGATGCCTCCACGCCTACCGTTGAGGCCGTCGAGGTGGCAGTGTGCGGACTCGGTCGGGTTCATGTGGACGTCAACGGTCGTCAGTGCACCTGCGTCCGAGGCGGGATGTAGGGGTGCCGCGTTCGGGCTGGGACGACCCGAGCCGGGCTGGATCGGGGCATGTTCTGCAGAGGTCCTTGGGTTTCAGCACGACGGACCGGGAGCGTAGTGGCCGATTCACGTGAATGGCTCCTGGACAAGAGGGCGGGTTAGGAATGTCGCCACACATTTGGGGCCGTAGCGTAACACTGCATGCCACCAGTCGGGCGACGGGGAGATGGCTGTCGGTATGTCAAGAGAGGCGACAACCATGCCATCTGCCGGAGACCGTGTCACTGTCCGGGTGGGCAGGACGGAGTGCATTGAGGACCGTGGGCGCGCGTCAGGCCTCGGGCCTCGGGACGCTGGGGGTTCATTTACGAGAGGCGCGGAGGAGTTGGACGGGGAAGGCGAGCGGAGAGTGCGCCCGAGGACGAGCGCTGGGCAAGACAAGAGCGTGGGCCCGTTCGTGGTCGATGACGTCGGAGGGTGTGGATATGTGCGTCGCCCGCTCGCCTGGGGGCTGGCTGCCGCGAGCGGGAGGCTTGTGGGGATGCTCGGGGTCCTGCGAACGCTCGATGGGGCTCAGCGCGGCCGAGGGACGGGAGAGTTCACGGCGGAGTGCGAAGGTTCCTGACCGCGCGAGAGGCCCGGGCGAGGAAGCGCGAACGTCCTCTGCTCGTCCGCCGTGCGTCCCGGCCACCGCTGCGCTTGAGTACGAGCGGGGGAGCCGCCGAGCGTGCTCATCTTCCTAGCGTGGCCAGTCCGCGGCTGTGGAGCACTTGCAGAGCTGGATTCCAGGCACGGCGGGAATGAGGAGAAGATGAGATGTCAGGCAGCAGTGGGCAGTGCGGGACCCTCTTCCCCGTCCCCACGCCCGTCCGCGTTTCACAATCACGCCTCGTCGCCAGAAGCCCACTCGTCCAATCCCCTCCGCGGACAGCTGGCACCCCGCCGTGCATTGTCCCCGCCGCTCCTGGTGGCGTCAGGCAGTGGTTAAACACAATCACCATCCGAGCTAATCCCCGCCATGTTCGCTCCCCTCGAGCGACCACCACTTCCGCCGTCTACAGGCTTCGGCATCGGACTTGGCAGGTGCCAGGCGCCATATGCCAACATTCGGGGTGCATCAGCTCTTCAAGGCCTTCTTCAGTTGGGTGGTGCGATGGTGAATGTCGAGCCGACCTCGGAGAAGAAGAGGAGATAACAAATGAGCGCAAACGCCGCAGGAGAGTTCAAACGCCATGGGCGTCTGCTCGGCATGCGTGAGAAGGCGGGAGGGCGGGACGCTGGCGGTGCTGGCGCGGCTTGCCTCGACAACGTCAGGCTGGGCTCAGCTTCAAAGCTACTCCGAACATCTCCGCCTACCGACGTTCTTCGCGTCTTGTAGAAATGTCATTCGAACATGCCGGGCTCACCAAGGGTCTGTCTGCACATAATTCTCCACCGACAAATTCGCTGACGCGTTTGTCAGGCCTGATGGTCGGGATTGCCTTGACGTCTATTGCCGTGGGCATCTTCGACTTGAAACACTACCTCAACCTCCAGCTAGTGCCCCACATATCGAAACATCACCAGGTCCGCTTCCTTCTCTCGTACATCGCCCACACTAAACTTGCAACGGACGCAGTACTGGCGGCTTCTCTTACACCACCTTGTCTGCGCCAGCTCCAGTGACCTGCTTCTCACAGAACTCCTGCTCTACCATGCTGGAATCCCGGTAGAGCGCGCTTTTGGCAGCGTCAAATATGCGGTACGCACCCTCTCCAATCGCACGTCCATAGCCGAACTGACCAGTCTCGACCTCTTACTCATAGTCGTTTTTCATCATCTCCATCTTGACCACAATGCTGCTCTCTTTCCTCGCCATGCTCGTCGCTCAGCTCAATCCAATAACGAGGGTCTTTTTCAACAACGTCCCGCCGGGTCCGATCGCGATCATGTATGCCGCCCTCTACCAATACCTGCGGCTCGTCCCGCCTGCATATCACTTCCGAATATTCGGCTTGCCCATGAGCGACAAGGTTTGGGTCTACGCCATCGCTGCCCAGGTAGGTCGAATTCTTGCCTCACAATTCTCGACGCCGCACGCCGCAGTGATCAAGGGCCCAACCTTGACCGATGTCCCCATGTACTGTGGACAATCGGTTGGGGGCCCCAACGAAGCTGTACCCTTGCGACGAGTGATTTGCGCGGCCGCCATCGCGCACTCCCTCCGAAGAAGCACGGCTGATGAGCGTTTTATCGTGCACAGCTCCTCCTCCACCCTTTCCCGCCCAAGCTCCTCCCGGCCGCCGTCGGCCTCTTCGTGGGCTACCTCTACCGCTCCGACTTCCTCCAGCTCAAGGGCTGGCGGATATCGCCGAGGTGCGTCTCCGCCCGCCCGCCCGCATCCCGCTCCCGTCGCCTTGCGCTCACCCCACTTTTCTTTTCTTTTCGTCCTCGCTCCCACTGCGACCCCGCAGGGCGACGCGGTTCGCCCAGGCGTGGATCGCCCCGCTCCTCGGCCTCGGCGAGACCCGCCCGGTGCGGCGGACGAACCGGGCCCTGCCCGAGCCCCGCGCGCAGGGCGGCACCGCCCACGCCCGCCGCGCCGCGCTGGACGAAGACGTGCTGGTGACGACGGCGCGCAACGCGCGGCGGCGCCTCCCGCGCACCGCGATGCCCCCCGTCGCGGCGGTGGGGAGCGGCGGCGCCGCGGACGACGGCGCCGCGCAGAGCACGGACTCGGGCGACGCGCCGAGCGAGGGCGGGGGCGGGGGCGTGGTCCGGCAGTGGGTGAACGAGCTCACGAGCGGGGCGCGGCCGGGGGGCGCGAACGTCCGCGCGCCGACCGAGGCGGAGATCGGGACGCTGACGAGCATGTTCCCGGACGTGCAGCGCGAGGTGCTGCTCGGGGTGCTGCAGAGGAGGTGAGTCGGTCGTGCTCCGGTCGTTTCGTCCTTGGTGGCCTTTCGGTTTCGGTTATCCTTGCGTATGCGGGACCGCCTAGTCCTGACCGCTCTGGAGTGCGTCTCGTCGCCTGCCCGGCTTGGATGAAGTCGGCAGGAAGCGAGAGAACAACGCCCAGATAGACGTGGCACGTGCAGGCGAGGATTGTCGCGACATCGACCGCTTCTCTACCCCACCTCGTCATGTGAGGGTGGAGGAGATACGCTACGCGTACCCTCCACGTTGCCCCGATATCGTCTTGTCTCCCCTCCTCGCCTGACCAGTGCCCGCTGACCCCCTTTCCTCCACTTTCTGGCTAGCCCCAACATCGAAGCGGCGGCAGAGACGCTCCTCGCGACCCAAACCACGGCTCCGTAGGCGACGGCAGCCATGCGACCGCACACCCGTGCCTTTCTCTCGTTCCACGGAAGGAATACACTCCTTGAGGGATTTACGCACCCGATCGGCGAGCGTCCCTGCAATCACCACTCCCTCGCAGCGCCCTGACCGGGACCCCGCACGGACTGGGCAGGCCACCGCGTCCGTGCAGGCGACGGCCACCCGCGCGGCGCGTCGCTCGTCGTGCCGCGTGCATTGATCCGCGCGCCTCACGCTACTTATCGCCCATCACCGCGTCCTGCCCGGTTGGGAAGGGAGGCTTCGTGGCGTCGGGGCGTCCTGCGTCCTGTCCCGATGTCGGCTTGTCGGCCTGCTCGCGTTCGGGCAACGGGGGTCCCCTCTGCCCTCCTATGCCTCGCCGACGCCAAGACGCGCCCCCCGCGTGCGCGCGCGCGATCGTCGAGGGCGCTCCCACCCTCGACAGCCCTGAGCAGCCCTGAACACCGAGCATGATCCATGCATTGGCACGGATGGTGCTTACTTGCGCTGGCCGTGCCAAAGCCGGCCCGCGCCCGGTTTCGCGCGCGAACGCCAGGGGGAGACCGGTCCACGTACTCACCGCTCCATCACTGCACGTCTCGCGCATCATGGCCTTGCAACTTGCACCCGAGAGGACGAAGCGACGCGGTGGGACGCGCCCCGGCCACAGCGCCGACCGCCAGGATCGTCCGTGGCGGAGCGTCCCGCCTTCTCGACCGCCACGTAAGATATGGATCTCGGAACGGCGGACGCGCCGCCAGTCTCAGCCCTGGCCAGCTGGATGCCCCTCGTCCGGGGCGCTTCTGGTCTCAGTTACGCGAGCTCTTTGTGGTGGGGGCGCGCAGGGGCGCGCGCGCACCGGAGCCATCGACAAGGCAACCCGTCGCGTGGCCTGCGAGAAGGCCGTCGGACGCCGCGTCCGGGGGGGGGGGGCCTCCCCTGATTGTAGGCGGCGTGGGGCGACATTGAACGGGCGGGATGTTGGGGGGACGCTCGGACGGCCCGAGTCGGATCCTCGGCGGGCTCGTCTCAGTTCGAGGCCAACGGGCCGTCCGAACCCTCACAGTCCGCTGCGAGCGCAAGAGTTTCGAGCGGGGTCACGCGGCGACCGCGTCCGCGACGCGTCGATGCGCGGCGTCGCAGGTCGGGGGTCCTTGAGCGTCGGACACCTAGTCTTGTCTGCGGACGAAACGCGGGGTAGATGACCGCTGCGCCCAAGCGAGAGCTAACGCTCGCGCGTGGATTGGTCTCGTACGTTCTCGTACATATGCCGCGGGACCGCATGCGAAGTTCGGTGCTTCTGGCGGCCCCTTGCCCTGCTGCTGGTGTGTCCTGGCGGAGAAACCGTACTTGCAAATCGTCGCACATGAAATTCACTGCTGACAGCGAGATAAGCGCAGACGGCGCGCCTTTGGCTCGGTAGAAATACAGCTGTGTTCGTCGACCTGCGCGTGAGTGGGCTACAGATGGTGAAACATGCAGTACATACAGAGAACTTCGTGCTCGCGGTTGTGGCCGCTGCCTACCGCCGATCATTCGAACCTTCCGCCAATCCTCCCCGACGCCGCGCTGCTTCTGGTCAAGAAGCCATCCGCCTACTCCATGTCGTCGCCGTCGTCTCCCTCGTCGTCGTCCTCTTCGCCCGTGAAGGCGTTCGCAGGGACGGCGTAGAGTCGCAGGACCGGCTACAGTAGATAAAACATGATCCGCTCAGCCGCCCGTTCGGAGATGAAAAACCGATACAAGTCGCACGACGGCGGAGAAAGGAGATGAGCAAAGGGGATGATGATGGGGAGACCGATAGCGGTTAGTCAGGGATCCCGCGAGCGTGCCTTCAGTCGCTCGGCCAAGCCACGTGCAGATCTGGCTGCCCTGTGCCCGGGAGCTGACAACGGCTTGCCACTTGCGGCTCCATTAAAGGACCAAACGTTGATGGATGGCCTGAGACGCAATGCATTGCCGCCAGAAGACCGGGGAACAGCGCCAATCAGACAGCGTGATCGCACACACCTGCGATCTAGCAGGTGTGGAGATGTCACGCTTCCAGTCACGATAGAATCGGAGACTCGACTCGGAAGAAGAGGTAAAGAAGACATAATGAGACGCGAACGCACCTTGTTGGGGTCCTTAATGAGAATGTATTTGCCCTCGGGTTGCTTCATGCACATATCGGCCACGGTGCGAACGATGCCCCAACCGTTTGCAAGCGATACATTGAGCTGCCCCGCGAAGTCGGACGGACGAGTCGAGGTTGTGCTCAGCACAACGTGTCGGGTGTTGTCGCGGGGGTTCGCACGAGAGATCCATCTGGGTGAATGGAGCGTCAGTCATCCAATAACGTCAAAGGGTGCGATGGGGGCGGAGGTGAATAAGCCAAACATTCACCCAATCTTCAAGAGGTCGGCGCCCGCCAATACACTCTGAACAGTCCATTTGGCGAGTTTGCAGCTGTTGTTCTTCATCTCTGTAGCAACAACAGCACCACGTTGCGAGTCGAGCTTCGTGCGCCAGTCCGGTGCGCCGCCGGCACCCGGTGCACGCGGGTCGAATTCATTGAGTGCTCGGATGGTGACCAAACCACGACCTTGACGTGGGTCTTGTCCGGGAGTGTACGCGTCGACCTCAGTACGAACACACAACCGGATGTCTTCGTCTTCCGTGATGCCGAGGTCGAAGACACGATAGCGGTATCCGCAGGACGCGAGAGGCTCAGTCTCATCCGGTCCATAGAACGGGTTCGGCTTTGAGAAATCAACGGCAGGAGGCGGGGCAGTCTCGGTGACCGTCTGGAAGGAGAAGTTTTGATTGATGTAGGTGGCCTCCAGTGAAAGAGAAGTGACCGAGTTGATGGAGGGGGTTTCCGGTACCGCGGGCTTCTCGTTGGGATTGTTCGGGTTGACAGCCGTAGGATCCGCTGGAGGGTCCGCCGCATTTTCGTTGACCGTTACAGTGTCAAACGGACCGCCGTCCCGCTTGTCGAAGAAGAGCTTGTTGCCTTCGCGGATAACAACGATGTCCCAGGGGTACACGGAACGAGGAGCGCACATGAGCACACTCAAGATGACGTCCGTGGTGTAGATTGTTGCAGTGTCTCTCATGGCAAGCTGGTATACGAGATTAAATTTCCGTTCAGAAAGGCAGGATGAGTTAATTACCTGCTGGATGACAGGGTCGTCGGATGTGGTGGGGTTGTACTTTATGCGGTCGAGAAGCTGCAGAGGCTTCTCCGTCCTTGTTGTGATACGATCGTACGTCTTGTCGTAAGGGTAGACGCGTCCGTAGGATTCGCTAGAAAGAGATGAGCTCATAGCTCAATCGTTAAGCAGCGATACTCACAGGTCTTCAGGCTCATCGACTTCCATCCGTAGCTTGGCCAGACGATGGAACTCAATCTCCTCGAGCATCGCCCAGTCAGGCGATATCGCGACAGACGACTCGCGAGCCCTGCCGGTCTAAACGGAGGCAAAAAGCATTTGTGTGCGATCAGCATTCGCTCTACAATGCGCCCAACTTCGAGACTCACCTTCTCCCAGTCCCTCCATCCGCGCCTACCCCCGCGCTGCCCACCGCCGCCCCCGCGTCCACCCTGGAAGCCACCTCGCTGCCCGCCGCGCTGTGCCCCTCCACGCGAGTAGCCCGAGCCGCCCCTGCCTCCACCCCTTCCGCGCGACATGCCACCGCCGCGACGGGCCGCGGTAGCCTTGTTGTCCACGAGCGAGAAGCTCGACTCGTCCTCCGCATGGAAGTAGGCGAAGGCACTCGCGGTGCCGCTTCCGAACGCAGCTTGTCCGTCGCGCCGTCCGCGGCCACCAGGTCCGCCGCGCGCCTGGCCGCCCCCCGTGCCGGAAGCAAGCCCGAGGTTGGTGGGGCGGTCGCCCGAGATGTCGTTCCAGTCGGCGAAGCGACCGAGTTTGTCCGACTTGGAGTACGGGGCGTAGGGGATCTCCTTGAACTTGAATTGGGAGGGGAGATTGGAGGCGGAGGGGCCCCAGCCGCCGTCCGGATTGTCGTTGATCTGAGGGAGGGAGAACGAGGCCATGTTCGTCTCCTTTTTCCGCGTTGTATTTGCCCGGTTGTGTGGCCTGGCGAAGAACAGAAGAGTAGGAATGCAAGGATCTAGCGGGCTACTCAGACACAAAATTTAGTAGGCGCGCGCGAGCCAGATCTGGCTTCAGTGAAGTCATGCACGTGCCGTGTGGCGCGACGGGCGACCTCCTTCCCCTCAACGTCCACAACGATGAAGTACACTTTATGCTCTGTTTGCTCGGACCGCACACTGACCACGCGCAAATGACAGTGTCGTACGTGAAATCAACAAGATTAACGAGAAGGAGCTCGAGTTGGACTCGAAGGGTTCATGGCATGATGAGTACAAGGGTGTGTCCTCAGCTTGATTTAACACTGCACATTCACGCTAACACACCACAGACTCCGCGTATATCTTCGTTGGAGGGCTTCCGAGGGAGCTAACAGAAGGCGATGTCATCACTATCTTTTCTCAGTAAGTGATCCCATGTATGCGCGCCGCACGCGTCTGACCGGCCAACGCGTCCCATAGATATGGCGAAATCATGGATGTGAACCTCCCGCGCGATAAGGAGACGGGAAAGCCGAAGGGGTTCGGCTTCCTAATGTATGAGGACCAACGCTCGACTGTTCTCGCAGTAGACAATCTGAACGGGGCCAAGGTCCTAGACAGGACCCTGCGCGTCGACCACGTCAAGAACTATAAACAGTCCAAGACCAAGGGAGAGGATGGCGAGTGGGTGGAGCCAGAGGATCAGAGCCTAAATGCGAAGCCGCAAATGCTGGTTGGTGAGTATTCTCGCTCGATTTCCTTCCCTTGCGTTGTAGCCCGCCGTGGTCCCCGTTATTCTAACTCGTCTTCTTTAGACGAAGACGAAGCGTTTGCCTCTTCGGCGTCTTCTGGGCCGGAAATCGACCCCGAGGACCCCATGCGCGATTATCTCATTGCCAAGCGGAAGGAGGAGAAAGCGGTGAAAAAGGGGAAGAAGTCCAAGTCCAAGAAGAACAAGGACGAGACCCCGGAGGAGAGGCGAGCCCGAAAAGAGCGCAAGAAGCTGCGCAAAGAGAAGGGCAAGTCGGAGGGTGTCAAGGGCGTTGAGGACCTCCTCAACTCCCTAGGCGTTGGCGGCCCCCGTCGGCGGAGCAGAAGTGCGTCCCCGCGCAGATCTCGGAGCCGCACCCCACCGGCCCACGAGCGGGAACGCGAGCGATATGGGCGCAAGGGGCGGGATGGGCGCGACATTGACGACCGCCAGGACCGCCATTCTCCGAGACGCAGGCATTCTCGCGAACATTCGTTGCCACCCCGGCGGGCCCGCTCTCCCACCCCGCCTTCCCGTCCCCGTGACACCCGCAATGGAGACGGTGACAGACAGCGAGACCGAGATGCGCCTCCCAGGGCGACACGGCGGGGGTACGATTGACGGCATCTCCACGGCTGTGTGGGTAACCCTCCGACTGTGGTAATACTTCGGCGACACGGTACGTAGACAGATAGCTTCCAAATGACCCTGACCTGACGTGACTTGACAGCTCCATTGTAGCTTCATGAGATGGATCTCTATGACATGTCTCTTCCGATATGTGCCCTCGTTTTACGGGGGCTGTTCCCCCGCAATCAAAATTCGCGCTGGACCTGTACCTCTGGGCCGGCATTTTTGCGACTGGGCATCTCACAAAGTACGCAAGTATCGGCCAACGATTTGATTCAACTGTCTCGGTTGGCTAGTCAATGCGGCTCTGGACTTCCGCAGGCACCGTCGAAGCTCGGCTACTGACAGCATGTGGGAACGCGGCGGCCACCTCCGTATATCAAGCTTCTATCTCGTAGTATGCTGCACGACACCACTGTGCACACTACAGACATTGAGCTAAGTAACGCAATGCGGAATTCCACTTGTGCGCTGACATCTGCCGTTGATCGCACGCATGACGCGTGGAGCATCGCTGGGAAAGTCCGAGGACCCAGGGAGTAAAATCAGTGCAACCACGGAGAAGGCGCCCCTGCCCTACGATGTCGCACGCAACGGCACGGGGCACCAGAGAGTGATGGCTTCTCAGGTAGGGCGGGAGAAGCAGATGGGGCCAGGAGAACGACACGCACCACCCTCTATACTTGGTGAACCAACAGGCGATAGATTCTCGCTGCAAAAGCACTTGTGATGTCCATTTGGTGGAGTAAGGTTGCGTCATCCTGGAGGTTCTCAGTTTGCCCAGTGAGTGTTTCGTCCCAGTACACACACTCGATCATCCTGGCTAAGTTTGGTGTGCGTTCCCTACGCGAAACGTTGCAGCCTTTAGCATAGAGCCACAAGCCGACGTCCACTCCACACAGGGCACAAACGTCTCCTCTGGATGGACATATACCACCTGCGGACGGAAGAAGACCCAGCACCTCGGGTTCAAGAAAACAGCTGGTGGGAAACACCAGGGGCGGTGCAGCGATGATGGCTGCGGCCAGGAAAGTGGCTTTGTGCGTGCCGCCTCTCCGCCGTCCATCAACGACTTCGACAGAACCCTATCGCGACGACCAATAGGCACGGCGCGGGCTACGCTGGGCTACGGCAACAACTCGGTGTTCAAGCGCTGAAGCGTCGACCAAGCTCAGTGTACGAGTTTGATCATTATCCTGTGCTGCAAACCCTCCTTCCCGCACGCATCCCGCATCCCGCACTACCGCGCACTTCATCAGGCCTAGTCGCTCCTCGCCGTCATCACGGGCCCGTTGGCTCTGCCACATGTGTCACCACTTCCCGCACCTCCCAGTCGCTGTCTACCGCCGTCGGGTACTATCTTACTCCGTGGGTACGCTCTACAGCAAACAAGCATCGCTGGGGCTGGGCAGCCAAGCCACCGCTCGGGGTGTCTGGGTGGCCCTCGTGCTCATTATGCTTTCCGCGAGCCGCGAGCTCGTCGCTGTTCGGAGCGTACATAGATAGTGTTTCAATTCTATGTCATATTCAGTGTCGAGATGTGCGTCTACTTTCACAGTTCCTCATGCCCTGGGCTGTGTATACAATTTGACAGAGACCCCAGCACGGTGCCACCCGTAAATGAACCCGGTTCCGCTCTGTCCTGCTCGTCCAGCGAACCGCGTGACGGGTGAGCTCCGCCTTACCCGTCTCACGGTTTGGAGCCGCCCACGAAGGCCCGCCCGAGCCACGACTGTCGCAAGCGGGTTCGGTGCACTGGCGACAGAAGCCTCTCGCCTCCGCTCACCCCATATTCTCCCACTGGCGTTCAATCTCTTCCTCTCTCTCGGGCTTGAGCACCATCTTACGACATCCCGCCGGGGCGAACATATCCTCCTCTCTGCGTCTCCTTCGCCTTCGCGCGTTCCGCCCGAGAGCCTGGACGCGCTCCCCGAACCACTCTTGATCTCAGCAGCCGGCTCAGCCTGTGCCCCCGTGCTGCTGCGCGCCGCCGACCCAGGCCCCCGAGCCACCGCGCCCACGTCCAAACGTTGCAATTATACAGCACGGCCCTCCGCACCCCGCTCGCGCTCGCGCGCGGGACGGGACTCCTGCCCGGCCGGACGTGCCTGCGACGGGCGCGGGCGGGCGGGCAACGGCAACAACACCCACTACATTCCACTCGCGCCGTCACACAGAACGCTGCGCGGCGACGTCCGATGGACGCTTCGCGGCGCGAGCCCGCGCGCGCCCACACCAGCTGCGCCTCACCACTTCCCGCGGGTGCCCTGCCCTGCCGCGGCGATCGCGCGCGCGACGTCGATGCCGGCGTCGCCCGCCGCCCGCCGCCCGTTCCCCTAGCGCGTGCGGTCGTTCCGACGTTCCAACGGGCCGGAAACAGGACGCGGTTCGGGGCGCGTCGACACTCGCTCCCCCTCGGCAGGCCGTCGGTCCGACCGCGCACGGAGCGCCTCCGTCGCGCGCACCCCCCGAGATACCCAAAGCCACCCACCGTGTCGACGCGCGAGCAACAGCGAACCTGGACCCTACAGGTCCCGCGTCGCCGCGGCGCCCAGTAGGTGACAGAGAGCGGTGCCGGGACTGGGGTTGCAGTCCGCGTCCGCCGCTGCCGTCTGTGGTTTGCGGCCCTGGAAGATGGTTGGGCGGGCCAGCCCTCGGTCTGTCCGCTGCCAGTGTCAGGCCCTGGAGCCGGTGGGGCGAGGCCGTGCTCTTGCGTGCTCGCCCTCTCAAACCCCTCCGGACGTGTCGCGGCGCAGGGTCGTCGATGGGCACGGAGCGTTAAGGACGAGTGCCCCATGGATTGCATTTCAGAACAGACTCTGGCTCGGCCGACGGTCGGGCGGGGCGAGGTTCCGCACATCGGGGAGGCCAAGCGTCGACCGCTCTTTGCCCGCCGCGTTTCACGCCCGCATATCAGACCGACGTGAGCTCAGAGAGCAAGTGCCGGCCGGCGAGTCCACATGCGGCTCGTGCATATGTACGAGAAAGTACATGCCCCAGCCCCAACGGCGTTGGCGGACGCTGCGGGTCCGCCAACACCGAGGTGCACAGTCCCCAGACCCCATGATGCACACATGAAACGCTGAGGACGTCGGCGCTGGTCGTGGAGGCTAGCCATGTTCTTCCTGCTGCCACGACCAGGACTCCAGAACTCCGAACGGGGAACAACGACACCCACAGGAAGTATTTGTCGGTGGGAATTGTGATACGGTGCCGTGCTTCGGCTCGCCGGTCCCTAGTGAAGATGTACGGTGTCCATAAATGAAATGAAGGTAGCGCGGCCCATCCCATGGCGAAGGTGGGTTCCGATATTCTGTGCAAAACGGCGCGTTTCCAGTTTGGCGTCTAAGAGCGAACGTCTCTCTGACCTGAGGTATGGCCACCATATATCAAATCCGTCAGCGAAGGGTCGGATGTCATGGAGCAACGGACGTACGGGGCTAAGGCTGCTGGCCAGAGTCCGTAACCTTCGGACGGTTGAATTGTTGGGCACGATACAGACAGACGATCACGTCCAAGATGATTTGGTTTAAGCCCTGACGTGTAGCCACAAGATGGAAAAGCGCCGCTAGAAGCACCGTGCGGCGCAGCACACGAGAGTGTTTCAACTCCGATGGCCCGGGAAAGGGAAACATGAACGTTGGTGGTCGGCGCGGGCGACGCATAACTGCAAGCTGGCCCCTAGTGGTAGCAACCATGATCAGTGGTCAGGTTGAAGTAAACCAGTGTCAGATGAACTCACCAACACGGGCGAGCGCATGGGGCTGGTTCCTCGCGCAAGAAAAATAGCTTCGGAGAGTCATATTGGTCTATGATGGACACAGTCTCAATGCTAACCTGCTAGATGCGCGCAAGGGGGAGAAAATATTGACAAAAATGTGGAAGGAGCATCTATAACCCGAGGTAAGTGGAACAACAGCGACCAGTACGATGACAGTGCAAATACGACGACAGCAAAATGTCAGTGCAGAGTGTCGATGAAAAATGTCTATGCAGCAAGCAAGCATGTGAATTATCCTAGTAGAGCGAGGGTATGAATGCATGGAAAGAGTGCGTGCCGACCAATAATACATGATCGTACAATATTCCATGAATATCTGAGGATGTAATGGGGGAGTTCTGATAAAATGCGAGTTACCCGTGGATTTTGCCTTCCCGTGCCGCGCGAGCAACAGCAGATTTTCGAATGAAATACGTCGCAGTACAAATGGCCGCGAAGCCTGCAATGACTCCGATGGCGACGCCTGCTTGACCGCCGCTCGAGAGACCCGATGATGCCGACGCAAGCAGTGTGGTACTGACAATACTGGCACTCGGAGTAGGAGTACCGCTGGTTGGGGAGGTCGCAGGGTTGCCGCCGTAAGGCCAGAAGTCACCTCCATTGGGAGGAACGATGCAAGTGAGACTATCACCGTCAGGGATGAGCTGGAAGCCATCTTGGATGTTGGACGACTGGACGTTTGTGGCGTCTTCGACGAAGCCCGCAGGGTTGGGTGTACTGTCTGTAGCGGTGCAATTCGGGCCCTTCGATCCAATGAAGGACGCGTTACCGAAGAGAAAGTTGCCCTGCACGGTGAAGTCGATGGCGCCGTCGATGGCGATACCGTACCCGAAGGCACCGGTGAGCCCGTTGTTGAGTACAGTTCCTCCTGTGGAGAAGTTGTTCATGTATCGGTCGCCAAACCATGTCCTTGGGCCGATGGCGATACCGATCCTGGCCATCGTCAATACGCACTCCGAGCCGTAGAGTTTGGGCACAACGTACTTGATGATCGCATCGTCTTCATTCTCGCCTTTCGTCTCACCGGCCGTTGCGGTACCGTCGGCGAAGCCACCGATAATGGTGTTGTCTGTCACGATGACTTCTGTGAAATCTCCGTGCCATGGGTCGAAGTCGACCATGTTGATACCACCAAGTAGTGTCATCTGATGCGAGGCGTTAGTTTCTCGGTCGCAAGTGTGATGAATTGGTACAGACGTTTTCAATGAAGATAGTATTATTGGTGACCAGGGTTCCAGGAGAGCCGAAGAGCACAATTCCGCCATCCTGTACGCTCCACATTAGACCGGCGTTCTGTAGTCAATCGTGATAGAATGCTCACTGTAGGTCCCTTCACGACGTTCTGCCGCACAACGCTGTTCTGGCAGGCGACACTAATGCCGTCGGCCCACTCCTGGAACGCATCTGAGCCACAGGGTCCGATGTCGTTGTTCTGAATGGTGACGTTGTTACATGTCAAGCCCCCTTCCGCGATGTGCAGACATGACCAACTACGTGGATCAAACGAGTGGACAAACTCGACCAGCTGGCCAGAGTTCGGGCCACCCATTTCGATGTTCGCACCGCCGTTGGTTGGCGACGCGCCGTTCCGGTTGCCTTTGATCTATGCGAATTCGGGTCAGCCGAGTCCAAGAATACAAAGCGTGCCAACGGTGGTCCAACAAAAAATAACCGCGCCGCGATATTTCTGGGAGCCGATCATAAGCCGCCACACGCAGTGACGACGCCGCAGTTCTCTGAGCCTCTTAGACGGACGGTTGCTCTCCGCTGTTCGACCGCTCAACGCTAACCATCCCTATGCGCTCCGCCGGTGTCGTCGCTCTGCGATCTCCACGCGCGCATACGCATGTGAAAACCCGCGGACCATACCGTGTGCCTCCACTCAACGACAACAGGAGATTCTGGACGGGGCCGCGAACCGAGACGACAGCAACTTGCAGCCGCCACCACGCACCTGTATGTGGCGCAGCCGCACGCCGCTGCAAGTCGCGCACGTCCCGTCGACCGCTGTCGTGTGTCCCTGCCCATTCGCGACGGGCCCGAGCACGGAGAGCGTCGCGCGCGTGCCGTCGACCGGGAAGCCGACCGTGCTGATCTCCTGGTTCGGCGCGGCGAAGAGGATGGGGGCCTGGATCTGGTACTCGGTGCTCGGGCAGAGCGGGAGCACGTACCCGGGCCCGGACGAGTTCAGGAGCGCGTTCAGCCGGTCGGTGAGCGTGTTCATAGGGTCTGCGGGCTCGCAGTCCCCGCGCGCGACAAGGTCGGGGAGTTTGTGTGCGCCATTCGGCTCGGGTGCCCTGGGGAAGGCGTACGGCGTTTGCACCGGTACGGTATGAGCAGGCGAAGTGACTGCTCACCGAGAAAAGAGGCGCGAGAGCTCGTGGTCTCTGCTCAGCACGTGCCTCCGATGTGGGAGGGCTGGCAAGTGTCGGCCGTGCGACGCATCAGATAGTGTGGTGAAGAGAGCGAGGAGTGGAAGGAGCGTGGAGTGGAGCATGGCGAGGCCGGGCTAGTCTATGGTGATTCTTGGAGCTGCAACAGTAGATGGAGAGGCCAACAAGAGCGGAGAGTGGGCTGGCACAGGAGCCTGGCTGGCGGAGAACGAGGTCAGCGCGAGGCCCTGGGCGCAGCCAGCATGGAGGACGGGGTTCAGGATGGGGACGGCGCGCGGAAGGGGGACGAAGGGCGCTCACGCCTTGGTGTCCTCTAGGTACGATCGACGGGTGATCCACTGCCAGAGCCTCGATCGTGGCTGGACCGCTTGGCAATTGGCACAACATGTGCAGCCGGATACAACGATAACGAGAGTACGAAACACGACGCTTCGGGAACGGCATATGTTGCGCAGGCATGGGCGTAGTACAATACATGGCTACTCGACAGCTCGAAATACAAGGCTACGGCGGAGCGGTCGGACTGTCCGGCGGTCACTGATGCACAAAGGGAATCCGGGAAACGCGAAAACAAGCGGTCACTAGCCAAGGGGTCGCATGAGCGGATGCCGCATCCAAGCAGACGAGGAACAACAGCGAAGACGGCAGCAGCAGTTACCTCACATTATCACCTCGGGGAGCGCAATGGAAATCCAACGGGCCGTTGGGGGACGAATCTATCGTAACTTGGTCTCAGCTTCTATGGGGAAGGAGGGTCGCATGGCAAAGCTGTCGGTAGAACTTGGTCCAGGCGTGTCATGGCACTCCCGTCATTGCTGTCACAGCGATCTTCTCTGCTAATGGTAGTTGCGGAGACTTGAGGCTTGCGGTGTCCTTGAGTGGTCCCGTATAGCGTCCATTCTTAGGACCCGGGTGGTCGATGGTAGTTGGGGCCGACGGGATGCTGTAGGTCCGACCGATGCCGTGTTCAAAGCCCTTGACGGGTTCTGCCAAGGTGACCTTTCGTTCCGGGAGGGAGTGTCTGCGCAACATTAGCAAAACATATAAACAAGTCAAGAGAGCGGCTTTCTCGACCAACCGTGGCTTCTTGTTCGGCATGTCCGATGGGACGTTATTCGACTGATCGGCATCCTTGCCCACATCAATGTGAGGTAGCAGCCTAGACACGATAGTGGTGAGCAGCGCACCTCCTTCTGCGGTCGTTTGAGCGGCCGCGGTGGTCGTTCATCTTCTTCAAATACGTAGTCAGGCAACGAGGAGCTGAGAGAGAGAACATAAGGGCATGTCAGAACCTGTATCGATCTAAAGAGAGGAGGAAACTGACCTCTTCAGGTTGCGGACATAAATGCCCATCTTCGGATCTTCGAACTTCTCCCATAGCTTCACGACTTTAGTGAACTCTGTGATAGGATAAGAGATGTCCAGTTTCCTAGGTCCAGTTGCGCCCGCTTATAGGAGATGGCATCTCTTCAGCAACTGCCACACCGACATGGATAGTCTGGCTGAGAGAGGCGTAGTACGTACGTTGTTTGGGGGCTACCGCGATACCGATGTAGAAGCTGGTAGTGTAGACCGTCCTTGCACCGTCCTTGTCCTCTATGTCTTCCTTTTTCCTCTTAGCGACGGCTTCGGGAATTTCACCCTCGGCAACAGAATGTACCTCCTCGTCATTCAAGCAGAACGACGTCCGCTCGAGACCCTTGATAAACGGATGGGCGATCTCTAAGCTGTCCACAAACTCAAGCTTCATGACAAGCTGTCGTATACGAGCCTCGACCGTACCAGCCCTACGGCACCGCGGGTAAGCCCGTCCACAGTTTCATGAATGTACGAGGCACGTACCACTTGATCTGTAGATCGGGGTGACCGGTGGAAGCGACGACTTGAAGATAGTGACGGTATCTTTGGAAGAAGTCATGCTTGGCGAAAAGGTCTTGCCAGGTCGCCTTCTTCGCGATGACCTTGTCGACAATATCCGAAGCTACCACCAGATAAGCAAGTTGGTCGGAGTTTTTCGGCGGGCTCCCGCTCACCCTTTTTAAATTCCTCAGTCATGATTTGCTGCGTCGACTGGGTGACATTATGGGTGGCGCACATCGCAGGATATGCCGGGGTGATGATCGGCATTCGATGCGCCCGATCCCCTGGGTATAGCTTCACGGGTACGTCAGGTCCTAAATCACGTCAAAGAATGGGCGATAGCTTTACTTTCGGATTCCAGATTCGCACGGACAACGGTCCTTCGTCAATATTTTTCAGTAATACAGGTTGAGGCCAAGTCCTGGAGGGATGTCCAGACTCAATGAAGGAAAGTCAGGTTACAGATAAGGAAAGCTCACCATTGATACATAATTATGAAGAAGCGGCTGACAATCGCTCCTGCGACGGCATTAGGGTAAAACTGACATATTCGAGCGACGAGCATGGCCCAGGCTACGCCTCCCAAGAAACCATTTACGTTCGAGTAGATCGCTCTCCCTGCAAATCCGCAACAGTTAGCGCACACGAAACTATACCACGGGCCTAGACGCAGACACGTACGTTGGGCCCAGAGTTTGATACACCGCAGAGAATCTCGGAACACGGCGACGTTGGGAACCAGCCGCAAGATCTCGTCCGTCACGCGGGATCCTGTGGGCAGGGAAAGGTGCCGTCTGGGTCAAATGACCGCGCCGGTAGAACGCAAAGAACGAGAAAGAAGCGCACCGTTCAAACTTCGGACGCAACGCTCGTCCAGGTTCCGAAGTAGGTTGTTGTCCTGCAGCGATAGGTCGTCCGGTATTGTCGAGAGAGCTAGACGCGCCATGACGAGGTCGATGGGGATGCGTTGGATCTTGATCTTGATAATGGGCACATAAGCGTCGGGAACGCCCTGCACGCCGAACACAGACGCACACCATGTTATGAGCCCATTGTCAGCAAAAACAACGGAATGACAGAACGCACCGACACCTCGGTGACACCATCCGTGTCCTTCAGCATTTGCTCGAAGACGTGGAAAAAATCTTCTCGCGAGACATGCTTGGGGACGACACAGAGGGTGTCGATGTCCGAGCCGGGGCCGTGAACACCTAAGCGGTAGGATCCAAACGTGAAGACCTTGCCACCTGCAGCAGTGGCTGCGCCTTCTGAAAGACCGCGATCAAGGGAGACCTTGTGGACGAATTTCTTGACGAGGCCTGCTATGCGCTCTAGGACAGCCTCTCTGCGAACGAACGACCCCAACAGTCAGCCTCGGATCACGTCTGCATCTCCAGTATGAACACATATAGTGCCCGGTGGATCCCCTCCAACACCAGGCAGTGGCGCGGTGGAGTTGGGAAAGGTGGGGTGAATGAGGGGAGCAGCCATCGAAGTTCCGAGAGCGGGGTAATGGTTCGTAGGCGAGCTGAGCATGAACGACTACACACCTTGTCCTGGCTTCGTCATCGGTCTCAAACGTGCCTTGACGTCTAAGCTCCTCCAGAAGCGTGACTGTAATCTCTTTCTCTCGTGGCGTGGATTCGGAAGTCGAAACGGGGGCAGTTACACCCTTGTACTGTGGGGCAGACCTGTATGATCTCAAGTCAGCACATGAGACTAGTTGCACCAGGATGAGCACGCACCCGTTGGTGGGCATGAGCGAGACGGATGGGCGGAGATGGCGGGAACGCGGCGGCGCGGCGGCGGCGAGACGGGATGGGAGGCGTATTTGAGGGGAGGGTCGGACAGAGGTTCCCGGGACCGTGGTCAGCCTGCGACAATATACCATGTCCGGCATTACCCGGCGTTTGCCTCACCCCACCGCTTCGACTACCCCGTGACGGCAGACCTACCATTGTGGCCTCGCGGCACGCTAAACGGTCGCCCACATGTGGCGTCAATAGATGCAGCACTCCAAATGAGGATGGTTGAACAATTGATCATTGACGCAGTAGTATACAGGAGCGTGCAAAAGAAATAGTCTGGACGTCTGGTATAGTATGGTGACCGAATCAGGGGCCCAAATTAAATACTCTCCGGGAGACAAACACGGTTTGGTGAACAGAATGTCCATGTATGGAGGGTGAATGGATGTGAATGGCATGGTGGATGAGTGTAGCACAAAGGAGTGGGTTCGACGTACGATGAACAACCGAGCCACATGCAAAGGTAGCAAGAGGAAGGAGCAAAGTTCCTCCGGAAGCACAACAGAGATCATGCACTTGCTGCAATTACCATCGAGTCCATGGCCTCTGACGTTTGAGCAGTGTGCGGGAGGTCCGCCATAGATGCCGACGAACCATTCACTTTCGTTTCCTGAGATGACGTCTCGCTGCGTATGACCAGCGTTGATGCTGAGCCTGGCCGAGACGGAACCTGAGATTCTGTCCTGTATGACCAAGGAAATCGTCAGTATGACGTTCGCATGAACTCGCCACTGGCACAGACCTCAATCTCTTTGCTGACGGGGCAGGGGAGTCCTTGATGGGGGTCAGTAGCTCGGAGACATGCTACGTTTTTGCCACTCGCCTTCAATGACCGCGTGCGTTTCTTGGGCTTCGCTACGGCTTCTCGCTCACCCTTGTCGAATACGAAGTCGGGAAGAGCAGCGCTGCCACGCCGTTAGCTACAGATGTCAAATACAGGATGAAGGAGACGAACTGCTTGATATGTCGGACGAACAAATGCATCGATGAGTCGTCGTACTTCTCCCATGACTTCACCATCTTGTTGAATTCGCTGGCAGGGAAAGTAATGTTCAACTGACGGGGTCCAGAAGCGTTGCCTAACTGCGGTATGAACATGACTGTCGTTGAGAAGAACAGTCTTCGACCCACCGTCTTTTGGCTTCAGCATGAGTCCAACGAAAAAGGACGTCGTATACATGACCTTAGCGCTGTCTTTGCCTTCTATGTCCTCTTTCGTACGCTTGGACACGGCCTCAGGGATCTCACCCCGAGTGATAGCCTGAGCCTCTTCTTCAGACAGACAATAGTAGACACTCTCGAAGCCTTTTATGAACGGATGTGCCAACTTCAAGGCATCCACGAACTCCAACCTCATCACCAGTTGCCGGATCTTAGATTCGACCGTACCAGACCTGTCGCATCCGGATGAGACAAGTACAACTCGTGTCGGACTGTGGACTCACCATTTATTCTGAATGTCGATATCCGCCGAAGATGCCACTACTTGGAGATAGAACCGATATCTGAAGAAGAAGTCGTGTTTCGCAAACAGTGCTGACCACTCAGCCTCGCCGTTGATGACTTGGTCGACAATCTCAGATCCTGGGAATCCGTGAGAACCCATGGTTGCACGGAAGAAGAACCTCAAACCTCGCTTGAATTCCTCCGTCATGATCGTTTGAGTTGATCGCATGACATTGTGCGTGGCACACATTGATGGGTATGCGGGGGTGATGATTGGCATACGGTGATTCCTATCCTGGGGGTAGAGCTGAAGACGGAATTCAGTGCCTTGTGTCTTGCGACTTTGGACCGAAGAAACGTACCCTTGGGTTCCACACACGCACTTGAAGTGGGCCGTCCTCAATGGCCTTGAGAAGCACAGGCTGGGGCCAGGACCTGTAACACACGTCAGTTGTGTCATGCTCTCACTCTGTCAAATCTGATTCGAAGAACTTACCACCGATGCATAATGATGAAAAAGCGACTGACTACTGCACCAGCCACGGCATTGGGATATAGCTGACAGATACGGGCTACAAGCATCGCCCAAGCTACACCGCCCAAGAAACCGTTGACGTTGGAGTAGATAGCTCGTCCTTTACGCAGGGTTGAAACGTCTGCTACTGGATGGTGATTGATGGACTCACTTTGCGCCCACAGCTTGATGCAACGCAAGGCATCGCGGAAGACAGCTACGTTGGGAACTAGTCGAAGAATCTCGTTGATGACCCGAGAGCCTGAACTTGCTCTTAGGGGAAGTTGGCCATGAATTAAGCAGCAAGCTCACCGTTCAAGCTCCGCACGCAACGCTCGTCTAGATTCTTGAGTAAGTTATCGTCTTGAAGATCAAGGTCCTCCGGGATGGAGTTGAGGGCTAGTTGGGCGAATAGGAGGTCGATAGGGATGCCGTTTATTACGAACGTGATGATGGGAACGTATGCGTCTGGGACAGTCTGAGACTATTGTGAGCCACTGCACCGAGAGACAAAGACAAGCACACACCGAGACATCCGTAACGCCCTCCATCTCGCGCAGCATCCCCTCCAGCACGTCGAAGAAGTCCTCACGAGTAACCTGTCGCGGTACAACACACAGGGTATCTATATCCGTGCCTGGTCCGTGAACACCCAACCTATACGAGCCAAACGTGTAGATTTTGCCACCGGCTGCGGTCGCGGCAGCCTCTGAGAGACCATGGGCCATTGACACACGCTGTACGAACTTCTTCACCAGCGCGGCAAGACGTCCAAGGACAATCTCTCTGAGGAAACACATTGAAGAATCCGTCAGACGCCACGCAGAGACGCGCATAGAGGCGAGGTATGTCTGCCTTACCTCCGTTTGGACTCGTCTTCACTCTCGAATATACCCTGACGATGCAGCTCTTCCATGAGGGTGTTTGTGACTTCTTTCTCTCGTTGAGAGGACTCGTTTGTTGAAATAGGAGGGGTCACCCCCAGATACCTGGTGTCTCCCGTAAGCTACATGTGGCTGGAAACACGGTGCCTATATGCGCACCCAGTACCGGACGATGCCATTGCACACCGGCGGACAGTATACAGGCGAGACGACGGGCAGAAGGGGGCAACGGGGAGCGGCGTCCGCAAGGAAGACGTCGTGGAAGGGAAGACAGGGAGGAGCAAAGGACGAGGGACAAGGCCGGAAGCGCGGCGCGACCGGGCTCGCCGCGGCGCATGCCGTGAACCTAATTGGGCGCCTGTTCGTCCGTGACGAACGGCGTGGTCGGCCTCCGTCCTTGCGCCCCACGTCCGCCACAGATGCTCGCGCATGCTCGAGCTCGCCTTCTGAGACGCTCCTCACCATGGCCACGACGCGTGCATACTGTCCGGGCGCACAAGGAGGACGCGCGCTGGCCCGGCTGGGAACTCGTCATCGGGATTGAAGTCCACGCCCAGATCAAGTCGCGCCAGAAACTTTTCTCGCGTGAGTCACCCACCCCAATTTCCGCCGCTGCGGCTGAACCACGCCCACAGAGACAGCGGTCGCGGACCCCTCCACGCCGCCGAATACGCGCGTGTCTCCGTTCGACGCTGCCTTCCCCGGAACTCTTCCTGTAATATAATCTCTTCATATGTCGCAGTGCCACTTCTCTGACGCGTCAACCACAGCGCCTGAACCCGAAGTGCGTAGAGCTTGGTATTAGGACGGCCATTGCGCTGGACGCAAAAGTCCAGTCGAGGTCTGCGTTTGACCGAAAGCACTATCTCTATGCCGACTTGCCTTCTGGGTACCAGATTACTCAACAGTATGGTGTGTGCACCTCTACGGGTCTTACGTGGTAGCTCATAATCTGCAGCTCCAATTGCTCGCAATGGGAAGCTCCGCTTGGAGCAGGATAATGTCTCCGTCCGGATCAAGCAGGTCCAACTCGAACAGGTGAGTGGGAACTCGCGTCACCAGAAGCTATACTGACATCTCTCAGGACACAGGGAAGTCAACATTCTTGCCTCGACAGCGCACCACAGCCATAGACCTTAATAGAGCTGGAATGCCACTGATGGAAATTGTGTCCGAGCCTGACATGAGGTATGCGATCCCTGGTCATCCTCTTCTCCGAGGATGCTAACTGACCAAAATATCTACAGGTCACCTGAGGAAGCAGGCCACTATGTGAGGGCCCTGCAAGCCCTACTACGTTCCGTGGGATCTAGCGACGGAAATATGGAACAGGTGGGCTATATCCGGCTGACTTCTGTGGCTAGTGCACCCTAATTACACCCAGTTCTGCAGGGTTCGCTTCGCTGCGACGTCAATGTGTCCGTGAACCGTGTAGGAGAGGGTCCGGGTACTCGCTGCGAGATCAAGAATCTCAATAGCGTCAAGTTCATGATGGTCGCTATCAGTGAGTCGTCTGCTTCATTTCTCAGCAGTGCCCTGAACCCTTTCCACTTCAGCCAGCGAGGCGCAACGACAGATTGAACTACTCGATCGGGGTGTGCCTATAGGACAAGAAACGCGTGGATTCAACGAGGAGAAGGCAGAAACCTTCTCCCTGCGTAGCAAGGAAGATGCACCAGATTACAGGTACATGCCTGATCCGAATATCCCGCCACTCTTGGTGAACGCAGTAGGTACTCGCGTTGTCAACATGCGGTTGCAATGTCTGATGCCGTGCGCACAGCAATATCTTGAGGGAATACGGCAGCAAATGCCCGAGCTACCGAGTGCAATCCGTGCTCGACTACTAAAACTGGGTTTGTCACAACGAGATGTGGAAGTGATCATGGACGTGAACTCCGGTCGAGAAGTTGTCTTTGATGGCCAGCTAGGACGTGGTCCTGTCGCGTACTTCGATGAAGTGGCTCAGGGTCGGGATCCCAAGGTGGTGGTGAACTGGTAAGATTTCGACCGTCGCTGCTTCTCAGAACGATGCCTAATGTGTGCGGTTGATATGAAAACCAGGCTCACTCACGAACTATTGGGACAACTGTCATTCAGGAACGAGTCGTTCAGAGAAAACCCAATGTCTCCGCAGCAGATGGGAGAGCTTGTGGACCTCGTTCAAGCAGATAAAGTCACAGGTATGTTCGCTGCAGCAAGCTATTTATCTCAAATATCTTACGATAGACCTACAGGTACATCGGGAAAGACTATCCTCCGACATATCTTGGACACCAAAACAACCGACTCACCTTCCACGATCGCCGAGAAGCTGAATCTGCTGTCCGTCAGCGACGAAGGTGCATCTCTCGAGCAGTGGTGCCTTGATGCCATTGCCGCCCTTCCGCAGGAAGCCGAGGCCGTTCGACGCGGAAACCACAAGGTTGTCAACAAGATCATGGGGAACGTCATGAAGACTAGTCGAGGAACTGCGAAGGCTCAAGACGTTCGAGCCGTACTCCTGAGGCTTCTGCAGTGATGCCACCGCTTCAAGCTTCGCCTCGATTGCATCATCGTACACTACTATTACACTAGTCTTACTATGACACCATTCGTTATTCATGCAGTAACCTTTTTCTCGAGGAAGTCCGTCCACTCCCGCTCGCTCCAGCTGCTCGAGGTCTCATTGGCCACAAGGCCGTCCCAGAGAACGGTCGGCGAGACATGAATCCCGTTCTGCCGCGAGAACTTGACTTATTACGGGTGTCAGTCATACCTGTCTTGTAGCGTTCCGTTTTTATGCGACATACCTGTGTACTTTAGGTCATCGGTGACTGCCGTCCCGCCATTCGGAGTGCTCTTCAGCACAAGCTGGTCTCCAAACGATGCCGCCTCCATGCCAGTGCTCTCGGCGAAAAGAGTAGCGAGCTTCTCGCGGATCTGCACTGGGGTCATGGTCGATGTCGGGATGTCGAAGTACTCTCCCTGATTCTTGAACAGTGCGAGGGAGAACTTCCAGAAGCTGTCGGGCGCGACGCGCGCAACCTGGATGTTTGGTCGAGGGACAAGGGGTCGAAACCCTTCGTGAGCCCGTGTAAATTAGGAAAATGGGGAGGGGGGATGCACGGTGTAGAGGACCAGTGTACGTACCGCGAGACCAGCTTCATGCACCAAGGTCGAGCTACTGTGCCAAGGTTGGACCTGGTTCCGGAAGATGACCTTGACTTTGCCGGCGTACTTTCCGTTTTCGCCCAAGAGGGGCCTTAGGACGTTCTCGATCGCAATGGACATCTTGGCGGAGAACGGGCACACATAGTCAACTGGAAGCACGCGCAAGATGAGTGCTCGGATCGTGGTCAATCTGGGGAACAGCACGCACGGAAGATATCAAGGGTGTGAGGAGCGTTGTAGGACCCCGCTACCACAAAAGCACGTTGAAGAGAAGGTTGCAGGGCCATGAGATCTTGTTATTCGGGGAAAAGGTCGAGGCGAGACGATGGGTGAGGGTGGAAGGTATGGAGAAGCTGAGATATGTGATGCCTTCGTATGTGGAAGGTCTACCTAGGGAGACTAATGTGATGCTCATCGGCGCTCCGAATGACGTTGTATACCTGATTTTGAAATGCATCAGGAGCTCTCAGGAGAGGCCACTAAGGTATTCCCGACCGAACGACTCCGTTGTATGATAAGTGTGGCGTGCCACGAGTCCGCGTGCCTGTGATCTTAAGAACCTAATGAGAGCCTTGAACCGATTGCTTTTAAACCCCTTGTCTTGAAACTGATGTATCAACTTCACTGGGTTACAAGTTGCTGCGAGGGCGGACGAGAGGGAAAGAGGCAGAGCGTCGATCGAAGAACATATGCTCGCTTCGTGACTCACGAGGGCAGACCCGCGCAAAAACCGTACCTCAGCCTCGTTCACCCACATCGCAAACTCCACCTCATTCAACGGCGAAGTCTTCCGTACTCTCATAGCCGAGCAACGATAGAAAGTCCTCCAGAAAGTTCCGGGAGTGCATACACGTAGTATACATATTCTCCCTGTCGCTCACCATGGCGTATTTATTCTCACGATTCTGGAAAAGACATAGCCTTTCCTTTGTAGAGTCGTGGATAGAGTGCGTATAGAATGTGGTGTTTCAGAGTCGCAGTGTGGAAATAAGTTTGCTTTTGGCGCCTCACAACTTTCCGTGAAAGTCGGAGCCTTCACACTTGCAAGGTTAGGGTTGTCGCATCGGACAAACCGCCAGGTCTCGGGCATTGAACCAGTTGTGTGTTATCTTCAACCTCACGCCTTTTCCTACGCACCTTTGCTTGCATTTGAACGTCTCCAAACCTCTACTCTGGCCTTGAATTTACAGTGGTGGCCATGTCGCAGAGGTTCTCAACCTTCCTATCCCAATTGGCCGAGGCCCTACGCGGTGAACAAGGTCCACAGCTCGCCTATCTCCTCAAACCCACGAGTGAACACGGAAAGGCCATTGTGAAAGAGCTCAGAGGAATGTTACAGTACGTGCAGCCTTTATGTGTATCGAGTGCTTCTGAAGGGATCTGTTGTTAGAAACAATCCATGGCCTTCTACGAGGGCAGCATAGACAGCCCATGGGACGAGATTGCAATTCAATACGTCCTGGTGGTAAACCACTGCGCGAAGCAGCGCGCGGTTGAAGCATTCAAGGAGGAATGCACGCTAGTCTCGTGAGTGGGCAGTGAGTTACGGCCGTGTGGTGTGGAGAAGTTTCCCTCAACGCGGGTACCCCCAGGCTGTTCCTTCGATTCTTCGCCAGCAACAGTGGCTGGACGCTTCCCGCGCTGTTCTCTATTCTGAGGGATCTCCGGGACTTGGCGTTCGATGTGAGTACATCTTGTTGCTTGATTGCTTGGGGCCCACATCGCGTGTCAGGCGGACTGGGAAAGTGCGCGCAACGACCAGGACGGGACGGCGAGCATGGAAGAGGCGGCGCGGATTATCAGTAAAGCATTTTCAAACTGCGTCATGGACAGGTGAGTGGGTCTACTGCTGTACCTGCGCATTGTGACCTGACATACACATGCAGGCAGTCTCCAGTGGCTGAATCTCGCAAATGGGGAGTGTACTACGTAGTTGGGCTAATCCTCAAATGCTACTTCCGTGTACGTTAACCCACGATGACGAAATGACTTGCCACTGATGTTGTGATCTCGTCACCAGGTGAAACGGATATCTCTGTCGAAGAATATCCTACGTGCGATAGACGCAAACCCAGACATCCCGTCATTAGCGCAGTATCCGCGCTCTCACCAAGTGAGTTCATTCATTATATCTTGCTCGGTGTACTGATCGAGGTCCGCACAGGTCACATACAGATACTATATCGGCATGCTGAGCTTTCTCAACGAAGACTTCGCGAAGGTAGGCCCCAAACATGTCATAGCCGTCGCTAGGGGTTAACACACTTGCAAGGCTGAACAAGAGCTTACCCTTGCTTTTTACAATTGCTGCATTGATGCACATAAGAATCAGGAGTAAGAGTATTAGTTACAGTCGCATGTATAGGTGCTGACATTGCCCATTAGACGTATACTGACCTACCTCATCCCTCTGCGAATGTTCAAAGGGCACCTACCTTCGAAAGAGCTACTAAAACGCTTCCCGGTCCTCGAGGATCTGTACACGCCTTTCCTCACGGCCATCCAGACAGGTGACATCCAGACATATGACGCGACACTAGACCGGTTTGAAAGAAGGCTTGTCGACCTCAACCTGTGGCTCACGCTCGAGAAAGCGCGTGAGCTTTGCATCCGGGGGCTCTTCCGTCGCGTGTAAGTGATCATCGATTTATTCCTGTCCAGCGCAGCCCCCCCTGATATCCCCCACGCTGTCCTCATCCGACTATAGGTGGATAGCCGCAGATAAGAGCGCACGGATTCCTGTCTCGATGTTCCACGTCGCGTTGACTGTTTCCGGATCGGGAGAGATGGCCATGGAAGAGGCCGAATGCATGGTGGCTAACATGATATACAAGGGCTTCATGAGGGGGTATATCTCGCACGAAAAACAGATGGTCGTACTCGCGAAGACGGGCCCCTTTCCCCGTCTGGCCGATCGGCCGACGCCATTTGCGCTGTTGCAGTGACGCCTGTATTAGTATGTAGCGGAAAATGGACGCCTTGTTGGAACGCGAGCACCGCCTGTGTCTTGTACCTTGCGACGGGAACGGAAAGAATATCGCGATACGTACGTCAAGCCTGACCCTGGGTGTATCTCCCAGCCTGGGGGCGGTGCGTTGCATGTGTCCAGCGCCGCATGAAGAGTGTACAGGATAATTGGAGGGATTCACACATGGCCGGTCGGTGTCATGGGCAAGGCAAGCTGGATAGCGTGAAGTTCGCAAGAAGCGCCGAGCGAGGTGGCTGAGTATGCCCCATGACCGGGCCCGATTTTCCGCTTCCTCAGCGACACGCTCCGACCAACATCCGGGCTGGCATCGCCTCCACTCCGAGTTTGTATGAGACCGGCCATCGCACGCCCACCATATAAATTCCACAGACATCCACCCCCCGCGCACACAGCACACCCAGGTTCTCTTCCACCACACAACTCCTCCGCTACTACTCTCGTCTGATGGGAAACTCCTCTTCCAAGGTGCCCAGCAAGTCGTTCGACCGCAATGACATTTCCCGTCCCACCACGCTCCCCGCCAAAGGCAGCGACAAGCAAGTGGCAAGTGCAGGACTGCCTCGTCGCGCCACTTCACACAACGCGGGGTCGTCTCGCTCACCACCAACCCTCGCGCCGCCACCTGCGTCAGCCCGTCGCTCACATTCCGCGCTAGCTGGGTCCGTGACGCCCCGGGCCACTACTCCCGTCCTGTACTCGAAAGACGACGAGAAGAAGAAAGGGATGAACGAGCTCGCTCTGAGAGACTCGCAGGTCCCCCCGCCAATGTATGAGGATGCGATCCGCGATCCTCTCCTCTCGATACCTCTGGGATCGAACAACCCGTTTCGACAAAGTTCGGGCTCGTATACGGCCTTTTCAGAGTATTCATCTGGCACCACCGTTACTAGGAACAATACTACTGCCTCCGAATCACCTCCAACATGGAGAAACGAGGTCGAGGAAGCACGAGCCAGGACATTTCGATCTGAGCTTTCCAGCCAGGAGCATGAAAATGCACTTTTAATGCTGGCAAAATACGATACGGTTATCGTTGTGGACGATTCAGGTTCTATGTCGATCAATCGACGATGGCAGATGGTCCGTATGCTTCACCTAGTCTTGCGAAACGCACGAGCTGACACGTAAACTGGCAGACCGAACAGGCTCTCAAGGAAGTCACGACGGTTGCTGCCACGTACGACAAGGATGGCATAGATGTTCATTTCCTTAATAATGCAAAGTTTCTCAAGAATGCCAAGGTGCGTTCAGGGAGGTGCCCCTACGTAGTGTACCCCAGCCTCCGTTGGACTGACTTCCTTCACGAACCAGGATCCATCGGATATTTCACGCTTATTTAGAAGTGTGCAGCCAGATGGCCTCACGCCCACGGGAGGCAAGCTCGACGAATTATTGACGAAATACCTGGACAAACTTGATGCCGCCAAGAAGCGGGGAAATCAGTACGATGTCAAACCGGTCAACTTCATTGTCATTACCGACGGCCAATCAAGTAAGCATCAGCTTGCGAACCCGCCACGTCACTTGACTGGCAAGAATGCTGAGTTTCAACCCCTTAGGTGACGATCCGGTCGACGTTATTGTCAGGGCTGCAAAACGCTTGGACGAAGGACATTATTTATTGAGCCAGGTACGTCCATTCTACCTGCTACGAGGCGACGGTTGACATCACGTTCTTTCAAGGTGGGCATCCAATTCCTGCAGATCGGAAGGGATTTAGCAGCCTCTGAGGCATTGCGGGTACTCGACGACGAACTGGCAGCACATGAGAACGTCCGAGATATAGTGGACACGACACCGTACTATGTTACGGGAGGGAAGATCACTGGTACCATGATCATTAAGATTCTTCTCGGCGGTATCAACCGACGAGTGGACAGGAGCTCGCTCTAATGGTGCAGAGTTCGGGTTCGATACCATGTTCCTATCGTTTACGGCCGCTCTCTGAGATAACACGTACATACTAGTCTACGATCCGCTGCACCATGTATAATAACCCTCACAGGCTGTACTACCTATCCCAGTCCTCGAGAGCGAACGCGAACATACCAAACGCCGGCGCGGCCTCGCCCGTGCCCGCCGCGAGGCTCTCCACCCCCCTTCGCACGAACCTGACAAGCGCGTCGAGTTCGCCCGACATCTTGTCCAGCCGCTCCCCGAAGCCCTCCTCGCCCTCGCCCGCGAACGACGCTGACGTCGACGCCCCGAGCGAGAACGACGCGAAGGGCTCGTGCGCGCTCAGCTGCCCCTCGTCCATCTCCGAGTCGGAGCTGTCCGAGTCGAGCCCGGCGAGCAGGGACTGCGCCTCGCCGGCGAAGCTGACGACGTTCCGCCGCTGGGCGCGGAAGCGACGCGAGCGGTGGCGGGTGGGGGCGCGGATGGAGGCGCGGGAGATGTCGTGCGTGGTGTCTCCGGCGAAGGAGACGAAGACGTCGGTGTAGTGGAGGGACATGTCGAGGATGGACATGATGGCGCGGTGCAGGGCGACGGTATTGCGTTGCAGGAGCACCGCCCTTCAAGTTTGTCAAGGCTGAAGTGCTTGTCAGAAAGGGACCGCCTGGAGAAGAACGTGGTACGTACTGTTCATTTTGCAGCTTGATCATCCCGTCGAGGGACTTCGCGTGCCGAAAGGCCTCGCGGAACTTCAGGATCTGTGTGTGCAGGACCTGAACAGGTGTAATCAGCATTGAGCGTGGTTGCGGAAAGAACTGACGCTCACATTGGTTGTCAAGAAGTTCAGGAATGTATTGACGAACCATGACAGCCTTCCACGCATCGCGTAGAAGGCCTTCAACTCTCCATCAAGTTGTTTCCAGCGGCCAGCCCACCCCTGACGAGAATCCGTTCCAAAACGCTTTTCGCGCGGCGCACTTGCAGCACGAGGGTGAAGATAGACGAATACACGCGCATTGTGCGTGGCCCGAAGATGTATGTCAATGGAAAAGGTACCGCATATTCCACCAGGAGGCCGTCGATTGCACGGACCGTCTGTGCGACGTTGCGTTCCTGCCCAGGACCACGTGTGGTGGGGAACGAGAAGCGAACCAGCGATGCGTCGATCCACGGTTTCCGCCCTGGGTCCAGCGCGACGACATCTTGGAACGCGGAATTCATGAAATGGAAGTCATTCCACGGCTGACGATTGTCAATCTATGATAGCAACGAGTGAGCTAATGCCCACATTGTTACGTATATTGGCCTCTTACTCGACTGAAGAGGATGTCTATGAAATGTGACATGGCGTCACCTCTCCGCATCAACAACAGATCTTCCATGGCGTTCAGGTGCGCCCATAGATCGCATTCTTCAATCAAAACCTTTGTCAGGGCTTCGTGTGCTTGGTCCGCGTAAGGACGAAGTTCGTCGTAGACGATCCGAGACAGGTTCTCTGAGGAGGCAATAGCTTCTTCAGGAGTTGTTGTTATAGCGAGAGATCCATCATCCAGCCCCGGGGTTTGTGGCTGCTCCAATAACTGCGTGAAGGATTGCCATCCTGCCATCCAACTTAGTCGAACAGCGGACCCATCTGGACCTCGTTCGCCGTCGAATAGTGTTGAGATCCCCAGAGCGCGGAGGAGCCCCGTGACCTTCCCTGCCGCCAAGACGAGTTCTGCGACGTGAACCAGAAAGACTGGGACACATGTAGCTCGGTTGTCGTCTCCAGGGGTGGCGTTCTGCCCGGCACGCAACGCAAATCCCTCCGACCAGAAGTCGGGGTCAAACATGAGCATCTCGTTATCCCCCACAAAGAACTCCTCCGGAAGAACACTGATTGGCGATAGTGTCTGCCTGTCTTGGGGGAGGAGGCCAGGTTGACCATCTCGGACTGGCATGCCGTCACGAATCCACCTGTGCACCATGGCCCATACAGGCTCCGCGGTGGCGTTGAAGACACGAATGAGCGTGCGGGCGGTTACGGTGTCGCCCATCGACAGGCGCTCTTGTGCAACAGGAAGGAGAGAGTCGAGAAGCAGAGCTGTCGTGTTTGAGGGGGTCGTACGCTGGGGTAAATCGGGGAGCGTCCAGATCTGTGGAGTGGGTTCCTCGGAACGGAGACGTTGCGACTGGCGTGCGGCGGCGACTACAATGTCGAAGAGGACAAAGAAGGAGGAGCCGAACTGATCACGGATGGTCTTCTCGAGACTGAGCAAGGAGACGACCATGCTTCGTCCCAGACCTGCGCGGGCGAGGCATATGTCCTCTTCGCGATGGGCGCACCATGCATCGAACGCTCGGAGCTCGCCGTCGAGGGCATCAGCGAAGGCTTCTAGCGTCTGTGTGCTCCTCCGTTGCAGGCGTGACAGGTAGGCAGGTTGAGATTGTGAGTCGGTAGACGGCAGTCGCAGACTTGCTGCGACCTCGCGGAAGACAGCGGCAGTGAACTTACGTAGATGAACAAGAGTTGTGGACAGCGAAGCAAACGCAGTGACGATGGAAGCTTGAGATCCCGCGGTCAGATGAAGTAGTCTCGGGGCCGCGGGAGATAGCTGTGAATAGTCGCTCAGTTAAGGTGGGACCGGTATACATAGGATTGACGCGTACAACGAAAGAAAAGGCAGCTGGACCATTGTGAACCCAAGTGAACATGATATTGCGTCGTCCTTGCAATCCGGTAAGCACCTCGCGTACGATGTCTTCTTCATGGCGGTAGCTCTACAATCATTGAGTTCCACGAATTTCTAGAAAGATACATACGCACCTCGATACTGGGACCATCGATGCTCAATGTACTCTTCGAACCGAGTGCTCGATGGAAAGAGGGGCCTACGATTCTGTAAGAGCCTCTCTGCCTCATGATGTCAGGCGTTTCACGAACCTAGTGTAGACGCATCTCCTAGATCGAGTCTTCCCTCGACACCAGTATCTGACTGCCAGCCAGGCCGCCAGTATTGCCGAGCTTGAAGCTCTTCTACGTCTTGTCTATGACGGTAAGCATTGATTGGGTCCATGGGGTTCGACGGTGGGGCTATGTCATCGATCGGCTTTGGTGGAGGCGTCGTAACAGTGCGAATGTCGGAAGAAGAGTGCGAATCGTCCACATCGGATTCGTCGTCCCATGGAGAAAGAGATGGCGTGCTGCCGTCACTGCGTGTCTCCCATTGCTCAACGGTGCTCCTGGGAGGTAGCCCATACACGCCTTCCCAATGTTGACCCTCAAATGGTTCATCGGCGAGGATGTCCTTCCAAGTAAGCGACGCCTTCTTCTTCTGAGGATGGTCTATCTTGTCTAAAATATCCTCTGCATCCTTGAAGGTTTGCCGGCTCGGTGGTTCCGACAAGAGCATCTACACAGGGTCAGCCTTCTACGAACCATGGATCGACGCGAGTTCTTACTAGAAACTTCAGATGATCCGGGAGGCGAGACCTCTGGGAAAATACGCCCGGTCAGAGCAGCGTTTTGAGTACAGCAAATGACATACCTGTATCTCGGCATCCAAGTCACTGAGCCCAGCTACGGTCCCTTTGAGAGCTTTGTATGTCTTGTCGAGAGCGTCAGCCAGTATATCGTGGTTGTTGATTCGAGATTTCTTAGAATAGCTTCAGGTATACAGCGTTAGGAGAATTTGATCTTGAAGATAAGACACATACCCTCTCATCATCTTGTCCATTGCATCTATTCCCGTGCTGCCTGCTGGTCTCACAGTGGCGTCCAGGTTCTTGGAAATGTAGTCAACGACAGGCTGGAAAATCTCTCCGTCCTGAGCAGTGACCCCGGTCACTTGCGTAACCAGCTGCTCGCACAGCGGCAGTATGCGCGTTGCTTGGCGGGTTGGAGGTCTTTGGGACAGTCGGGACATAGGTCGCCTGATAGATGCGCTGGAACTTGGGCGCATAGTGGACGCGCTCGATGAAGGCCGCATGGATGCGCTTGAAGAGGGCCGTATGGAGGCACTTGAAGGTGGCCGCACAGAAGCACTCGAGGAAGGTCGAAGGGGCACACTCGCCGGGGGGCGCATAGACGTGCTTGACGGAGGACGCAATGATGTACTCGAAGGTGGGCGGGCGGACGTCGTGGATGGAGGGCGCATAGACGCGCTTGGTGGCAGCCTAATAGGTGCACTTTGAGATGATCGTACCCCCACGACAGACGAAGGTCGGAGGGGGGCCGCAGAGGAGGAGTGTGAGGGGCCGCTTGAGCTTGTACTTGTCGGACGAATGACTAAAGGTCCAGGTTGAGGTTGAGGGTCTTCTTCCACATTGTACCACCCATCCTTGTCCTGGCGGAGAGTTCCAGAGGGTGTAGACCTGTGAGTATGGGTTTTCTTCTCACTGTCCGTCCGTTTGGTGGATCCCGAGGGCGGCATATAGTGAATTCAACAAGCAATCAAGGCCTTGCCAGTGAAGTATTCTGTAACGTTTGGAATTAACTAACCTATCCTTTCCTGGCACGGAGGTAGCCAATATGCCAGAGATTCTCACCGATGCCCTGACTTTTGTGCGCTGAATGCGTGTGTAGCCAGTGGCCTTGATCAAAGTGTAGCGCCGTAGCCAGGACGCGATGTTGATGGTGACCAGTGGAAGTAATCTGCGATCGAACGTGACGCGTGGACGCGTCGCGTACGTCACGCGACGGAGCGCGTTTTGCGACTACTACCGCTGGCCACCTATCCCTCTGTTCAACTTAACAACGCCCACCATGTCCTCACGTCTGCTACAGCGCGCAGCTGCGAATATGCGTGCTTTCCGCTCCGCTCCACCATCGAGGAACTATGCTACTACCAGACCCCCCTCCGCCGTCCTGCTGCGTCCGTGTCGTCCAAAGCAACCAGCAGAGATCCTACGCCTGCGGACTATCTCGATGCTGCCCTGGCGGAGGAGAACGGTGTGCGCCAGGCATCGGCGGAAAGCTCGTCAGCTGCCCCTCCACCCCCAGCAGCATCCGTCGGCGCGGAGTTCACGGACGCATTGAATCCTTTGGGGCCCCCTTCAGACCCGTCCGCGCCAGACTGGTCCAGGAGCTACTTCGGCCTGTCAACACAGCCGTTCCCCAAGGAGACCACTGACGTGCTGCTGGCCTCGGTCGACCCACTAGACATTGAAATAAAGCCAGGTGTGTACTCTGACCCACTCTCGCGAACAACGACTCAGAATTTTATGCCACAGACGGTTTGATCTACCTCCCGGAGATCAAGTATCGGCGCGTGCTCAACAAGGCGTTCGGCCCCGGGGGATGGGGTCTCGCGCCGAGGAGTGAGACGAACGTTGGCCCCAAGGTAGTGAGCAGGGAGTATGCACTTGTCTGTCTCGGAAGGTGAGTACCGTCACAGTCTTCGGAGGTTTTCACTGGTGTTGATTTATTTCAACTAGATTGGTTGGTGTTGCGCGAGGAGAACAGGAGTACTTTGACCCCAACGGTATTCCGACGGCCACCGAGGCCTGCAAGAGCAACGCGCTTATGCGCTGTTGCAAAGACTTGGGAGTAGCTAGCGAGCTATGGTGCGGCCTCTGTCCATTCTTTTGACCTGTGTCTGACAGTACTGTACTCTAGGGATCCGCGCTTCATCCGCGAATTCAAGGCAAAGCATTGTGTGGAAGTCTTCGCCGAAAATATCCGGACAAAACAGAAGTAAGTCCGATTTTCTGCGTGGAATGGGCATGTTTAACGAGTGCAATTCTAGGAAGAAGCTTTGGAGGCGCAAGGACCAGCCTGCTTTCGACTACCCATACAAGGAATGATTGCCTGCATAGACACTGGACATATACATACCATACTGCCTGCCTAATGATCTCCACTCATGGTTCACATTCTAAACGTCTCGTATTGGAACATTCGGATTGTTACGACGACGGTAGCTCACAAACAGCCCGTACATAGTATGTACTCGTCAAAGTTGAATGAGGGGAATACATACTCGCGCATCAACAGCCAACCGCGAGAATTCCAAGCAACGAATAAGTTATGGTACATCGTATGGAGCGTACGACCATTACTTCTTTGCAGCTTTCCGTGACTTTGCTTTAGACTTGCTGGGACTTGCTGAGACATCCGATGCAACGGCGGTGCTGCTCCCTGCGATTGACTCGGAAGTTGACTTTGCGGCGGAAGCTGCACGGTTCGGTTGGGGTGCTGGTTGCTGAGCACCTTCCGGGGATGGTTTATGGAGGAAGCGCATGACGAAGCTTGCCACTGCGCCGGAAACGATCATCAAGAGGAAACGGGGGGTTTTGTCCATGACGGTGTAGATCCTCCAGTAGTAATACGCGATAAACTCCATAATCCATTCCCTATGAAAACTATGAGCGCGAAACGCGAGCTCGTCGTACAACAATCACGTACCGTTTGCCTCCAGGAGCGAAGTTGGATGACCAAGGTTCCGTGTTGCGCCAGATCTCCTCGGTGAGGAGCTCACGAATGATGTCCGCAGTGACGCGAACGCGATCCGCTCTGTAGAAACGCAGCGTCTGTCCGCGGTCCATGACGTGGACGAGGTAAGGTCCACTGCGAACACAGGTCAACAGGGGCTCGAGGGTTTCCAAGCAGGCAACTCACGTCCAGATGGCCCATTTGGTCGTGAGGTACGTCGTCGCGATGTAGTCAATCCGTCCCCACTTAAGGTCAAGAAGATCTCCTGCAGCGAGGGTGGTGTTGAACGCGTCGTCGAATGCCTCATCGACCATCTTCGACACGGCGCTGTTACCCGATGCCGTGACGGTTCTGTAAAGTTGTGATGAGTTAGACCGTGGTTCGCGTCTACCAAAGGGCAGGACACACATGACAAGAAACCATCCCCTCTTCTTCTCTTCCTCCTCAGTCAACTGCTCGTTCACGATTATGTCTTGCCAGTTTTCGTCCGTGATGAACGGTATCCGAGGGTCCCACGGCAACTTCCCGCTACGGGTGACTAAGTCTGTCGCGTTGAATCCAAACCTGCCCATGAAGCCGGAGACAGGCCCAGAAAGCAAGACCTTGTCCATGATGGTCGGCTCACGCTGCATGGAGGGTTTCTCGTCGCCCTGCGCCGCGGGCGGGGGCGGGGGCGGCGCAGGCGCAGGCTCCTTCTTCGCTGGGGCGTCGAACGCATGTGCAGGGACGGCGTTGGGCTCGTTGTTCAGGACAGCCTGGCCAGGGTTCCATCCCTGGGAGAAGTACTGCGCGCTGGTGGACGCAGAGCAGAGGAGAGTGGCGAGGAGAGCAGCGGAAAGCTTCATCGTCGCACGAGTCGACGGCCGTGTGTGTGCCGGTGCCGGGATGTGAGGGTCCTGGAAGGCAGGAGGCGGGAGGAGAGGAGCGGTGGGATGGGGAGGCGTGCGCGTGCGCGAATAATAAGGCTCATGATCTCAATGCAGGCGCTGGGCCAGGGCGATAAGACAGGGTGTGCCTGAGACGAAAAGGCTAGTTTTCCCTTGATCGCGCGACGGCGTGGGCATTGGTGATACGGGCGAGCCGCACTGGTGTTGCGGATGTTGGAGGCCGCGCGCCATCGGTTGCGCGACGGTCGCAAACGCGTCGTGGGCGTCGCGTCGGCGGTGGTCGCGGCGGCCTGAGATCCATGGACCACGGGCCGGGAAGACGTGATAGGACAGACAAGTGGCAAAGCTGAGGGGAATAAGTGCAAGGTTTACTTCACTTGCCACTTCTGGACATACCTTCGTCAATAGTATGTACTGGATGCGCAGCCGGACGCGACCGTCCTCAGCCACTTTCTGCCCACCCCATCCTCGCTGCCTCTTTATATAGCCCCCCTCGGTCCACTCTGGCGTGGTGCTGGCTCACCTGGCTCCTCACCTTCTCCTCTCCCGACAACCTTAGCTCTCGACGTCTCTTTCGGTCTGTGACGCAAGCTCGGTCGCACGCAAGCATGGTGTTCCCTAGCTTGCCCCCACATCTACTTTCAGTTGTCGTTGCCCTTACTCTCTGGATAGGCCACGGCGCAGCTGCACCTCAGGACGGTCGGTATTATATCATGCCGTCTTTGAACATAATCTAATGCGTTGTGTTACTAGTTCCGTCCGCCGCGTCCTTCTATGTCCCGAGACTTCCGGACCTGCACCAAGATGCCACACGACCCTTGCGGATGTTTGCAGGTCATCTTCTGGCCGACACTGGAAGTGAATCCGACTCCTCTGCTTCTTCCAAACCCCATCTGTACTTCTTCATGGTCAAGGCACGGCGGACGGCGGACAAGGAACGCATTCTCTTCTGGTTGAACGTATGTATGTCCGACCAGGATATGTGCGGTGTTTGATGTCTCTTCTAGGGTGGTCCTGGATGTTCATCCTTCGATGGGTTGATGATGGAAGTTGGCCCGTGGCGAGTTGATAACAAGGGGGGTCTCAAGTTCGCATCTGGTGGCTGGGAGGAGTACACTACTGTGGTCTACGGTGCGTAGCTTGAATAACACACCCGTCCTCGAACTCTGGTATTCAATTGTGACGCCACAGTGGATCAACCAGCGGGCACCGGCTTCTCATACACTTCATCCAACCGCTACGACCATGAGCTACCAGAGGTATAGTCGCTTGCGTTGCCTATGGCGTGCATGTCTTAATGGCGGTAGGCATCTGCACATTTTGTCGAATTTCTGCGCAACTTCTACAAAGTGTTTCCTGAATACCAAGACGTCGACGTGAGTTTATCTATACCATGTGCTGGGAGACCTCATGAGACAAATCGCCGTAGGCATACATCGCGGGCGAGAGTTTCGCTGGGCAGTATATCCCGTACTTCGCGGATGCCATTCTCAACTCCGACCTCAAGATATCATTACAAGGTGCTGCTATTGGAAACGGCTGGATGGATGCTCGGAGACAGTACCCCGCGTACCTAGACTATGCTCTGAAACATGGGCTCTTAGATGAGGCGTCAGAGGTGCGTTTACGACTAAGCTCTATACTTTCTCATGGCCTTATACGCGGCAGAACTACAAAACCAGCAAAGCGGTTGTAGACAACTGTGAAGCGAAGATGAAAACATACACGGACCATGAACCTGTACATGTCGACGTCTGCGAGACCATCATCATGACAGTACTCTCAGACAAGAACCGCAAGTAAGGGCCGATGACTTTCAGGGGATGTACATGAGTCTTACTGTCGGAACAGATTGAACGGCGTCGACATGTGCGCGAATATCTATGATGTTCGCCTAGAAGATACCTCGCCAGCATGCGGCATGAATTGGCCTCCGGATCTACCTGCTATTTACAAGTACTTGGCGGTATGTGTTCACTCGGCTTTGGTCAATCGTGCGCAAAGTAAACTTCGTTTTCAGAGGAAAGACGTCGTGGCCGCCATACATGCCCAAAACATCCCCGGAGAGTGGGTTGAGTGCAAGTCTCGTGTTCACTCCGAGTTCGCAACACGCAAGTCAAATTCCTCCGTGACTGTTCTGCCTCGCGTGCTGGAGAAGATCCCGGTGATGTTGTTCGTTGGAGATCAAGATATGATCTGCAACTACGTCGGTGTCGAGAGCATGATCCAGGCTCTGACCTGGAATGGCGAGACAGGGCTTGGAGTACGTGGCATATGTTACCAGCAGCGTGAGTATACCTGACATATCACCGCAGAAAGTTACTACTCAATCGTGGACGGTCAATAACAACCCAGCCGGAACCTGGGTCAACTCTCGCAACCTCACGTACGTAAAGGTGAGTGCACGCTGCCTAAAATGCTATACAGAGATGCACTGAACAAGAATCGAAGGTTTTCAACGCCTCACACATGGTTGGCTTCGACGTTCCCCATGTCTCGCACGACATGATCCTTCGTTTTATGGGTGTAAACTTCAGCGCCATCACCGATGGTTCGGCTCGCATCTCAAGCTCTGTCGGCGACGACTCGAAACCTGTGCACGCCATCATTGACGATACGACTGCCTCTCCACCCGTGTCCACTAAAACGCCAGAGCAGGACAAGGCGATGTGGGAAGGTACGTCTCTCCTACCTATCCAGTCCGCGCGAGGTTTTGAACGATGACGCCGAAACCTCATCCCACAGCGTACTACAACGCCGGCTCCGCCGGGCTCGTCCTCGCGCTCATCGCGCTCCTCGTTGGCGGCTTCCTTTGGTACCGCTACAAGCGGTCCTCCAAGCGCGGACTTTCGCTCTCCACACGCGAAGAGGCCATTCCGCTCAACTCCTCGATCGGCATGAACGGCCACAGCGACGAGGACGACGGATCGAGCTTCCGCTCGCGGAAGGGCAAGGAACGCGCGGGGTCACTGCCCGAGGAGGAGGCCATCTTCGACATCGGGGACGACGACGAGCGCAGCCCGCTGCCAGGGCGGTCATAGCGCTTCGTGCGCGTTGTTTGTGAGGCTAGTCCCTGGCCTGAATGGGGGTGTTGTTACGTTATTATCGTACACGATGGCTATGTTAATGTGTTGGGGTGTACTTATTGTTCCTATTTACGATATTGGCTCAGGGCGTCCTGCGTGACGTCGACAACAAGAGAAGGTACGCGTACAACAAGATAGGTTACAAAATTGTCGGGACATAAATACCTGGTGGCTCCGGGATATAAGTTATGAGTCGTCCAAGTCATTGGAGCTTGTTTGTGGGAGGGTGTCGGTGAACGTCATGCGCTCAGTCCTGAGGTCGCCGGAGGCAGGCAGCGATGCGGTGACGGAGCCTACGACCCTGTTGAAGTCGAGAGTGCCCACGGACGCGAGAGAATGCTGACTCTGCGAATAGATGCTCGCTTCTTGTAGGTCGATCAGGAAGCGTGATATGAGGATTGCGGTGATCCTGCACAGAAGGGTCAAGACAAAGAAACCAGCGCCGCGTTGCGGGCACCACTCACGGTTCTGTGAGGATGGTGATGTAGCTGGCGTTGGATGTGGTGTTCGCATTGAGTATCTGCGGGGAACGCATTGCTTTAATATCGGGCACGAGTGATGGTCAACCCAACGACTCACGGAGTCTAGAGAAAAGGCGAGATGGAGGACGTTCAGGACCAATAATGTACTGCCGCGAAGTCAGTATATGTCGGATTGGGGAAGCGGCTTCTCCTCTCACATGAAATACAGAACACCTGCAACAGGCTGATCAGTCCTGAATGCCAGCAAGTGTACGATCGACTTGTCGCTTACCATCGCGGAAGAGGACTGAAGCCAACGACGTCCGCTGCCCAAGGAGCTTGATTTCTCTGGCGTCTCTGTATGTTGCGTGCCAGGTGATCGCAAGTAACAAGAGGTCGGAAGTGATGAGCGCCACTCGGGAGATTATAGTGACTGCAGAACCAGTGAGCTCGAGGAACTAGAATCACACATCCAAACCTACAACTATCGAGGGAGTTTCATCAACGTGTGCAATGAGTCAGAGCTGTGAATGCTCACTTTTGTTGCATCTCGGCCGTCAACGTGGTGGTAGTAGAGCACCCAAACAGAGGGTCCACGTACGGTGGCGACCACGCCTCGGTGATCTATGATGGATCATTAGCAACAAGTATGCTTCGGGTCGTGATAGTCAGTGCGCCTCACGTAGTTGATGATGATGGGAACGGAAGCGAGCAGAAAAACGATCGCGCCGGCTGTGCGTTTCCAAGGGCTCAAGACGTATGCTCTTAGGCCAGCAAATACTGTTGAGAAACGGTACAGCTGTCAGTGAGTAGAATCGGTGAGGGATTTGAATAGTAAACTGACCTGCCCACGGAAGGTATTGGAGGATTTCCAGTGTCTGTACCGTATAGTAGATTCCGGCACATCTATCCATCAAACATAAGCCGCAAAGGTCAGCCTGGAGCATCTGAACGCTTACCCCTGTGTGATGAGTCAGCATCTGAACTCCTCATGTCTTGCGACTGTTTCTCGTGAGCTCACCTGTATTGAAGTGGGGTAACTTGGCCATGGCGCGAATATCATGTTCACGGTTAATGGAATGTAACGGTTGAGGATAAACAACGCCGAGGATAGAGTTGTTTTCCGCTTCCAGAAGAGATCGACCTCTTGTCCAAAGGTGATCGCGAAATCGTACGCCAGCAAGCCTAGCAAAGAGGGCGGTTCAGCAGGTCGCGGATGTGACCGGGTAGCTCAAGCTCGAGCTGACCTATGGCCGCTGCTGCGAAGTAATTCGACACCTGGCTACCGAGGCGGTTAGATTGATACTGTGTGAGAACGGGAAACTATGCTCACACGGACCCAACGACATCCACAAGCAATGTGGCCTCTGAATTGTCGGACATGTTGAGCAAAAAGACCGTGAGATCGCTGTGACCCCAGCATACTGGCGAGGTGTTTTATAACGTCCTGTCCAGGGCTGGTCTGACAAACCCGGTCGAGCAAGATTCGCGCGCACCGTCCGCGCTGGTCGCCGTCTCGGCCCCGACCACTTCCAGTTTGGGGGCTCGACATCCGTCTTTCGGGAGCACTCCAGGAAACCACCGAACATCACCATACCATACGGAGATAGGTCCACCGCCTTCTGTCCACGTAGGGCGACCGTGATCCCGTACGTGATCCCGTTTTGCCTTTATGGAGCCGTTGCGAAGCTCTAGTGTGACGATACAGGGCGACACGTCGCTTGAGGGCTAAGGAGTATCAAAAAAGTGTCTATTTCCAAATGTTCCATCTGAGTGGCGGTACGGCCTGCCTAATTGCACCGCGATGGCGCAATGGACGACAATCTTGGAGGATTGGCGGAGAACTGCCACTCACGCAGCCTTTGGGGGCCATCATGTCCGTCAGATAGCTTCCGGTTAGCGGTGCAGCGGTGGTGCTACTTCGTTTTACGCTTTTTCATGGGCGGTTGGTGGGAGGCGCAGACGATGGTGGCAGCACGGCTGGGTCGATCTGGAGGCAAAGAGACACAGACCAGAACATACTGCGCACCCGCGGGCGCGAGAGGGCACACCAACCGAGGCGGATCGCGAGCAAAGAGCGTGTATTTCGAACCAACCCCTACAAAACAGAGTGTGTAAGCTAAGGATGTATGCGTTATGGTTTCACCAGACCGTCACGGCCACATAATGGCACCACGCCCGGAGGCAGGGGTGTACGGGAGGTTATGGGATATAACGCCGCGCCGCGCGTCCGACTGCGACCCCTCCAGCGAGTCAACACCCCGAAAGGCGGACTCAGCCGTGATGAGGGGGAGCCGGACGGCGACACTCGCTCTCGTGAGCGCCCCCGAAGGGACGCCTCGCTCCAGCAACGTGAACGACGTCAACAGACGAGTGAACGGCTGGACGCACCGCGAGCGGTGCGCGGACGTTTCGGAGGTTGGCTGGACACTGGGGAAAACACGAAAGCAAATTTCGGGCTATATATGTGTGGGCGCCTGCGGAGCTCGAACTGGCATTGGTCTTGTTTGGCACCGCGCCGTAGACGCGTCGCCGGTGGGCGCCAGTTGGCGCTTCCAATCGGTGGCATCGCGCTGAATCATGGAGAAGAACCACCCCCGCGCGTCGCGGCTCTCTGTGCATCCACGACTAGGACCGCGGGAGTCCATCTTTCCTGGAAACCCGTCGCTGTACCAGGCAGTTGACACCAATGCTACATGCAGTCCTTACCTCAGTGAATGCGTGATGGCCATGGAGGACTGCTGCAACGAGGTGGGCCATTTGTGTAACAGGTCTTTGTGCCAGGCTGAAGCGCATCGGAACCATAGGCTTATGAGGCGCAAGAGCTCATTCGAACAGGCACTTACGACTTGCCCCGAATGTCGAAGATCCTCGAGAGCGACAGGGTAGGGGGTTCCCTGTGGCACCGATAGCACGCGCGTTCATGGGCTGTGTCAGGTGTTCCTGCTCGTCGACGAGGGGACCATTCGAAGATACAAGGCTGATCTCACGGACGAGATTGAGCCTCAGATCAATGAACTCATCTCCCGAGCAGAGAAGGGGCTGCAGGTTTTGCTCAAGAAGGAGAGCCTATTGCAGGCAAAGGTAGCCTCCATCTATCGCATCCCTCCAGCAGATAATCTGACCGGGAACGCAGGCCGAAGCGGCGCAGTCTCGCCCATCTTCCCGGGCTGGGTCAAATACTGCGGGCATGAGCAAGCTGGACGTTAGGCGCTTGCAGATGCTCTCGCGACAGAGGCAAAAGCTCGAGGATGAGCTAGCCGAGCTACAGGCGGAGATTGATGAGATGGTAGGCCATTCTTCTCTGCATAGTTGCGGAAGACTCATTGGGCGCATAGGAATTTGCCTCGATGAAGAAATGACATCGAGCCAACCAAACCCCACCTGTACTTCTAGCCGTACTCTACAACATGTTGATGTACCTCTATACCAATATGTGCCATCCCAGACTGTTCATATCAACCCATATGCAGTTCTCCGATGATGATCGCCTCGACGAAATCCCCAACTTCCAACTTCGCAGGTCCCTTTTCTCCTCTCGGAGGCAATGCCACAAAGCCGTTTGCGCCCTTCAAGCTGGCGACTCTGCTAGAGCGCTGTCCACCAGTACTGTGCGCTTTGAATCCTTCGGGTGTAGCGACGATGATAGCCCTGTGGTATTCGGGTCGCGAATCCAGCTTCATCGACTCTTGAATCTGCACGCCGATGTTATATCAGTACTTGCGGAGCTAGACACGGACAGCAAACGCACCTGCACGCGCACGCTCGGTAGTCTGCACTTCGCCGAAGTCCAACCTCCAAGCCTCCTCAGCGCCGGCACCACGAAAATATGGAACGTCACGAGCGCGCTTGCAGGGTTTCCCGGCAGCGCGAACAACGGCACGCTGTCCGCCTGTCCGCCCGGAGTCGGGATTGTCGCGAACGTCGTCGGTTTCCCCGGCTTCACGCGCACCCTGCCAAAGTGCACCGTCCCGCCGAGGTGGTGCTCGATCACCGGCTTGAGCAGGTCCCCGACCCCCATCGAAGTGCCGCCCGTGGTGAGAATGAGGTCCGCCTCGGCGAGCCCGCGGCGGAGCGCGGCGACGTGCGCGGGCACGTTGTCGGGCACGATCCCGAGGTCGACGACCTCGTACCCGTACCCCTCGATCGCCGCCTGGAGCGACGGCCGGTTCGTGTCCCAGATGCCGCCCCAGCCGTCGCCGGGGAGCGGCGTCGGCGCCTGGACGTCGAGCAGCTCCCCGCCGGTGCTGAGGAGCGCGACGACGGGCCGCTTGAACGCGCGCACCGTCGTGCGCCCGACGAACGCGAGCGAGCCGATCTCGCCCCCGGCGGCCTGCACGACCGTGCCGCGCTCGAGGACGAGGTCGCCCTGGCGGACGTCCGAGCCGGCGCGCGCACGTTCTCCCCAGGGGGCACCTGCACGAGGGTCTCGACTTGGGCCTCCTCGACTTCTTCGGGCGCGGGGCCGATGCGGTGCGTGGCGCGTAGGCGGGTGTCTTCAACCATGATGACAGTGTCGGCGCCTGCAGGGATGGGCCCGCCTGTGTTGACGCGGAAGATGTGGCCCGGGGGAAGGGGTGTGGAAATGAGATGGCTGTGTGGGGTGAGGACGGTGTAGATTCCTGGCGGGTCAGTGGCTACAGTGAATGTTAGACAGGGTCGAGGTAGGTTTTAGCCAACGAGAAAGACGCACAGCGTAATGCATAACCGTCTACATTGGTGCTGTGAGTGATGGGGACATTCTGAGGTGCGAAGATGTCTTCCGCGAGCACGTAGCCTCGTAGCTTGGAAGTCACCTGAAGGCGAGATTGTAAGCGCGAGCTCCAGCCAGAGAAATCAAAAGTAGCAATGCTCACTCTTTCCTCGAACACAGGAAGCGGCCGTATCTCCCGCAGCACCGTCACAAGAGCATCCGAGATAGACACTATGGGGTAGGGTGATTCCCTGAGGCGTGCATGAGCTGATCGATGGATTAGAACGCACTGCGATGGTGTCGAGGCTCGACAATCCTCCAATATGGCCGCGTACCTGGCAAGGACGGGTCCTGCGACAACGTGCTCCGTGTCACAGGTGCCCTATGCTCACGGTCGTGATCATGGTGATGGTGGTGGTGGTGCCCAAATGAGCTCCGCGAGCCTGGACGAGGGATGGGCTCGGGCTTGGGGCAAAATCGGCCGGGGGGACGTCATAAGTGACTACCGAGCTTTCCGGTTGGAGCTGTATGGATGGCGGTCGAGGGCTGACGGAGACAGACCGAGGTCCCTCTGCTGCAAGTCGGGCGTGTACATGCTCTCCACGTCCACCACGAACAAGTTCGATGGCATGTTCGACAACACCGGCTTGGAGAAGTGCCGTGATGTTCTCCTGGACAGCCTTGACACTTCCTGGGAGCGTGGAGACAAGAGTGTTCTTGATCGTGCCCGCGACAGGCCGAGAGAGTGCGCCAAGAGGGGTTGCTTGCATGGATGCGTTGAGCATGAGGTGCACGATCCCAGGAGCCTCGCGTTCCAGGAGTGGCCTGATGGCCTGTGGGGAGGAAGTGAATACAGAGTTAGGCGCAGTTTGAAGCGCTCGAACCACCTCTGGTGTTCTGTCGCGCAGGCCGAACCCAGTTCCGCCAGTGGTGACGATCCAGTCGACATCACCCTGATCGCACCACGCTAGGACGACGGTGCGTATACGAATCTCACTGTCAGGGACAATGTGAGATGTGTGCAGATGTATCCGTGCTGGGTGACTAGTGCTTGGATCGCCGGCCCGGAACGATCTGCTGCGGGATCGAGTGCCGCAGTATCAGAGACTGCGAAGAGTGTCAATAATCTCAAAATGACCGATTGACCGCGCACCTGTAAGGATGGCTACGCGCGGGGCGGCCATGGTGGCAGCTGGCAAGGAGTGCGAGGACAAGGACGGTCGAACCGCAGCGACTCGGGCCTTTTCCGGCATACGTCATCACACGACCGCCCAATCACCGCTGCCAGACGTGGTTCTTGGTCAGGCCGTGGACCGCTGTGGGAACAGGACATTGGTTATGCAGACTGTAGGGCAAGCAGCCTTCCTGTGCGGTTGTTCCAGTGCAAGCCGGACCGTCCCGAGCTCCGAGGGATGTCGGGCCGGAGCTCGACAGTTGAGGACAGGCTGAGGCGCAGCATGTTCCGCGCGTGGTCATCGTCGGACTGGTCGGACACTCGGGGCTCGGAGGTGCACGAAGGCTAAAGGCAAATGACAGTGAATCATCTGACGGTGCGCGCCTGGACCCCAATCACCTGCGGAGCGGTTCTGACGTCCGGAGCTTGCCTGCCCCTCGGACGCGCGCGCTCTTTTGTGGCCTGCCTCCTCCAGCGACCGGAACTTGGTTCTCCTCCTCTCCCCGCACAAGCTCCTTCTCGCATTAAATCTTTCCTCGTCTGTTGCTGATTGATCTCTGGCCATGTGGATTCCGGTCCCAAGTCGAATATAGCAAGACCAGGCCCTGGACGGCGAGGTGGCGGCGTCCGGAACGACCCCGCGAGATCCGCGCCCTGACACTGTCCAGCCTTGTCCAGCAATACGCGTCGGATACGGAAGATGCGCGCGTCGAGCAGGTGACCTGGTGGTCACGCTACGAGGGCGAGTGGTCAGGTTGTCCGCGTACGTCGCGGGATCCAGGGCTGCAGGTCGGAGACCCGGCAGCGGGCGGTGGAGAGCGCCCCTTCGCTTGCGCCCACCCGACGAGTGACCTTTCCCCGCATCTTGCATGTTCCTCCCCCGCCGCTTCGCAGGCATTAAAACCTGGCCCGCGACCTCCGTCCACGTTCATCCTTCTTCTCTTCGGACACTGCGCCTACCCCCTTCTCGCGTCGTGCTGCCGCACCGTGTTCCTCTTGCTCCATACTCTGCCATGTCTCCCCCCTCCCTGACCAAGCCCATGCCTGAGTGTTGGGGTCACCGCGGGGTGCGTTGCACTCTTCACGCGTCCTTTCACCTTCACTGACCATGCTCGCGTTTTGCCATGCTCCAGGCTTCTTCCCGCTTCCCCGAGAACACGCTCGCCAGCTTCGAAGCCGCCATTCGTGACGGCGCCGAGGGTATTGAGAGCGGTATTTTGCCCACGTGTCAATCTCCCCCGCCGCGGTCGTGACCCCCCGAGCAGACGTCCATGTATCCGTAGACGACGTCGTGGTGATGTTCCATGACCCTTGTGAGTCCGTTTGCTACGTGTATGCGCGTTTCTTGGCTGACGCCCGACGTCAAACAAGCATTGGACAGGGTCACGGATGGTTCGGGTAGGGCGCTCTTCTGCGTGCTGCGGACGCCGGCTTCGGCTGATGGCCCATGTATTTGTAGGGTTAATCCGTGAGAAGCTCTGGTATGGCGAGGGAGGGATGCACCAGCTCCGGACAGTCAAGGAACCCAAACAGGCTCTCGCCACATTCGAGGAGACCATCAAGCTGCTCATGAAGGTGGGAGTCTCTCCTCCCTGCGTTACGCGCGGCTGAGCGTGTTCGCGCAGCCGGAGAACAGCCATGTCAAGTTCAACGTCGACGTCAAGGTGCAGAACAAGCCCGCGCACCTCTTCAAGCTCATCCACTCCGTCATCTCATCCCAGCCCGATTGGGAGACCGCGCTCGCGCCGCGCATCCTGCTCGGCCTCTGGCACCCGAGCTTCCTCCCGCACGCCAAGGCGCACTTGCCGTACTGCCGTCGGTCGTACATCGGTTACAGTATCTCGACCGCGCGCAAGTTCTTCTGGGATAGCTGCGACGTGTTCTCGATCAACTTCGCCGCGCTTGCGCTTGCGGATGGCGCGAAGTTCCGCAAAGACTGCAAGGCCGCGGGGAAGCAGATCATGGCGTGGACCGTGAACGACCCGGCACACATGGTCGAGGTGCGTTAACGTCTTCTGTTTTCCAAGTGGCGAGCTGACTTGAGATGCGCAGGCTGCCCGGTGGGGTATTGACGTGATCATCACGGACACTACCAAAACCTGGCTTGACCTCAGGTCCGCACTCCAGGGTAAGCTCATACATCGAGCATCATGTATTGCGCCTGCAGGCTCATGAATCAACCCACAGTGGACTACGACAACATCGCTGCTCAGCACAGTCGGATGTTCTACTGGACGAATGTGCAGTTCTACACGCCTATGCTCGCCCTTCTGCGTCGCCGGGACCATATATACCTCGAAGGCTACGCTGGCCCTTTCCGCAAGGTCGACACGCTCGAGCCCGCTGCACTCGCGGTTTCTTAAGAATCCCACAACACAAACATAGACTTTTCCCACACGCTCTTCTCACTCGTTTCTCTGTATGGTCTATAGGGTAATCGGTCGTCTTGCTTTCCTGCCGTAGCTTTGAATAGAAATCCAAAACCTAGAAACTGTCGCCTTGTACTGTATATACGTTGTAGACTACATTCAGATTAATCGGACATCTCATCCGTGCTACCATCGCAGTGTTACACATCACTAGACCCACTGCGATTCCGATCCCGCTTGTCACCGGGGCTGATCTGTTTTGGTCACCGGCAGTGAGAAACCGCGCCGGGTCGTCCACGGTGTTGTTATCGCCTCTGCGGAGTCTCCTATCGCGGAGCCGCTATGCACGTTCGTCCGACGTGAGCCACACGGCGCCTGTCTACCTTCGTCCCACGAACCCCTCCCGCTCTCCAAATTTGCAGAGTAAAATGTGCGACCCCGCGACCCCGGCGATGGCTAAATGCGAGCTCAAGGGCTGAGACCAGGTCAGCGCGGTAGCATGCATCAATCATGCAGAGGAAAAACTGGCCACGCGGTCAAGTTCGGAACACCACCCTATGATATTCCGACGGGGCGAGGCGGAGCGGCGGCCAGGGACCGCGTCAACCCAACGGCTTGCACAACTCTTCTTACGTCTCGCTGCGGCCGCGTATATATGCCTTCCACGACGCCACCGAGGGGCCCACATCCTCCTCCGGATTGCCACAGCTGGCCGCGTTGCTCTCCGCCCTCCGCTCCCGTACCACCTCCTTGCTGTCGACCGCCATGACCGCCACTGCGCCGTCTTCATCCACCCTCAAGCTGCCCGAGTGCTGGGGCCACCGCGGGGTGAGTGCACGTTCCTTCGTTCCGCTGCGTGCATGCGTTGGGTGGTGGGAAGGACGGCGAACGTGCGTCGAGCGCCGGGAAAGTTTCCACGACGGGCTAGAGGGGCGAGAGCTGACCGCGACCGGACGGCTGCAGGCGTCGGCGGCGTACCCGGAGAACACGCTCGCGAGCTTCCAGCTCGCGATCCACGACGGCGCGGAGGGAATCGAAAGCGGTGCGTGTCCAGCTCGCGCCATGGCTTTCTCGCCCGCGCACTCCCCGCGCCCCATGGGCTTGGTTGCTTACCGGTGCGCGACAGACGTGCATGTGTCTCTGGATGATGTCGTCGTCATGTTCCACGATCCGAGTGAGTACCGCTCCGCTCGCGATGTGCCGCGGGCGCGCGCGTCTTATTTTCATGTCCGGCCAGCGCTCGACCGCACGACAAATGGGAAAGGTGCGCATGGATTCATCAACGTCTCGGGCGCGGACGCGACCTGATGCATGCCTCCGCGCAGGCAAGATCAAGGAGACGAACTGGTTTGGCGAGGGCGGGATGGAGCACCTGAAGACGACGAAGACGCCCGTGCAGTCCATCCCGACCTTCGTGCAGACCGTTGAGCTGCTCATGAAGGTGCGCCTCGTCCCCGCCCGCAAGCTCGAGCGTGAACACCGGAGCCTTGACACGCGCGCGCACGGGGCAGCCCGAGAACAAGCACGCACGTTCAACGTCGACGTCAAGATCTTCAGCGAGCCCCTCCACCTCTTCACGCTCATGCACGAAATCATCGCCGCGCAGCCGAACTGGCAGACGGAGCTGGCGCCGCGGATCCTGCTCGGCCTCTGGCACCCGCGCTTCCTGCCGCAGGCGAAGGCGATCCTCCCGTACTGCAAACGGTCGTTCATCGGCATCAGCCCGAGCATCGCGCGCTCGTACTTCTGGGACGACTGCGAGGTGTTCTCCATCCACTTCTCCGCGCTCGCGACGTGGGAGGGGCAGAGGTGCGTGGCCAGACCGAGGACTTGCTGTGTTTTGCTGACTTTGGGGGTGGGGGCAGGTTATCGCGGACGCACAAAAGGCGGGGAAGAGGATCATGGTGTGGACGGTGAATGACCGTGCGCACATGCTCGAGGTCCGTCTCAGAACCCGGGTGATAGGAAAACGCACCGCTGATTGATTACGCGCAGGCGACGCGGTGGGGTGTGGACGTTATCCTTACGGACAAGACGAAGATGTGGCTGGACCTCCGGGAAGAGCTCAAGAGTACGTACACCGCCGTGTGCCGTGGGGCGGAAGCCCGTCAGATGCTGACCGGTCTTTGCAGAGGACTATGCGCAGATCATGTCGACCCACAGCAGCATGTTCCTCTGGACGTCGGTGCGGTTCTGGTCGCCGTCGCTTCGGTTCTGGGAGATGGTGGCTGGGTACTATCTCCAGAAATACGGTGGGCCGCTGAGGAAGTTCGACGACATCGAGCCGCCCACGGTGATCCCACCGAGCGGAGCCGTGAAGGCCTGACTGGCGCTGCCGTCGTGGGGACTAAGATAGATAGAGTTGGGTCATCGGGTATATATTGGTGTTGCACCGCCGGGGCACGCAGTACGAGGATGTGTGTGCACATTTTAAATCATGTATGTTTCGCAGCCAATACAGAGGATCCTGCAGACGATTGGGATGAGGTCAGTGGCTCGGCGCAGGTGCAGTGGCAGACGCCAAGGTCGTCGCAGGCGCAATCGCAACAAGTTTAGACGCCGGAGAGCATCCTCCTCCCGCCATCCCCCAGGCCTGCCCATCGACGCCGTCTGCCCGCCGAATCGTCCTCGGACGCGTCCGCGTCTCCCATCCGCCATGTATCTCCTCCTCCTCCTCATCCCGCCGTGCGACCCATCGCAAGCGGGCCTCCGCCCTCCGCCTCTCCTCAGACTCCACCGTCACTACCCTTCCGCTCTACACCTCCCCTCCGCGGCAGAGAGTTGGAGACCTTGCGGAGATCCCCTTTGAACAGCCTCCGGCATACCCAGACAGTGCGGAGGAGGCTGACGAAGACACAGATCCCTCCGACTCGGAGAGTGCGGCCGTCTACATCCCCAGTCCACCCTCGAGCCTCCCCGTCTCCCCACGGAATCGCGCGCGCCGCTACCAAGCCTCGGCGCGCAGCATCGGCCACCGGAGACTGCAGAGCATCGCGACCAGCCAGAGCGATCCCTATCTGGACTCTCTGTTGGAGCGCAGCGTCCACGCGCTTGAAATGTCAAACGCACTGCTGCAGTCGTCCATGTCCACCCAGACGAGCCTCTCGGCCGTGCTCGCGGACGACAGCGCAGATCGCCACCTGGAGGAGCGCACGCAGCGGCTGGCGTCGAAGATGAAGGACGATAAGGACATGCAGGCGTCATGGATGGACGAGTTGGATGAGATATCACGCCGGGTGGAGGGCCTCGTCGAGTCAGACGGCGAGCACGGTGACCATGCGTCCGTATCGTCACTGGGCGCACCGGCCCCGCTCAGCCAGAGTCTGCCAACGTCAAGTCTGTTGGAGCAGATGGAGTCTAAGGGCCGACGGCGGACTTCTCACGAGATGCGCAGGCACCAGCCGTCCCAATCGACGTCGAGCTTGCAGCTATCTGCCCATGACCGGAGTCATTTCATCGCTCCCGCCCCCGCGCGCTCACGGTGTACATTGACTCCTCCGAGGGCGCGCACGAAATCGGCCTCCCCTCCACCCTGGGCGTTCGCTTGGACAACCGTCCACCACGCACCCCCGTCCCCTCCCCGTCCGGCTTCCAGCAACCAAACATCCCGGAAGAGGACGAAGAACCAGAGCCTGCCCCGGTGTCTGCGCGTGCGTCGACCGACCAGCCGCGACGAGTAGTGGACATGCTCGCGTCCTTTGTCATGCCCCGCAACGCACCGGCTTCGTCATCTTCCTCGCCAATATCGGGCAGCCTAAGACGCCGATCGTCAAGCAGTAGCGGCAAGAGTAGCAAGACGATCAAGAGGACGCGTGTCTCCCCGCCCGCCCCCATAAACGCCTCTACTCCTTTATCTACCACCACCCTACGCTCCCGTTCAGTCACCCCCATCCGAGGATCCCCCGCACCCCGCAGATCTCGGCCACTCACCCCGCCTATTGAGGAGTTATCTACCTCCTCCGCCTCGTCAGAGTCTGCGACTCTCCACGTCGACCGCACCGTCGAGTCTCTCCGCAACATCCTCGAGAAGCAGAAAGCTGCAGCACAACCAAAAGCTCCCGCAATGCCCCCACCGCCTCCTCGCCCCTCTCTTCTCTGCCCTCCCACCGTTGCTCCAGTCTCGAGCACGTCGAACGCCACCGCGTCCATATCGCGACTGTTCACCAAGCCCCGCCATACGACGTCCACTCGCGCTCCGTCGCCTCCCAAGCAGTCCTCGCTCAAGGTCCGCTCTGCCGGCCCCAGCACGCCTGCGACGGCGTCCCCCTCCCCGTCTCTCCTTAGCGTTCCTGAACTCTTCGGTCTCGGGGGACGGACGAGCCACGGTGGGTCCGGCAACTCGACACCAAAACGGATCTCGTTCGCGGAGCCGCCCGAGTCATACTCGTCCACGAAACCTGAGGGCGCCTCGTCCCAGTTTCAGTCGCGTCGCCGCCGCTCGAGCGCGGGCAAGGGCAAGGGCAAGGGGCGTGCCGGCAAGGGGGACGGGGACGAGAGCGACAACGAGGGGGGTGCCTGGTGGACGACCTGGCTGCTTGGCACCGCGGGCACGGAGAGCGGGAGCGCGAGGGCAGAGGACCGGTACGGATACGCTACCGCGAACGCGCGCACGGGCGGGACGTGGTCGATGCGGCCCGGGTACGGGGGCACCCTGGAGGAGTGGGGCGCGTAGCACGCGCCTGCTGCTGTTCGCTGCCCGCCCCGGATTGTGAGATATGGTGCTGGCGGGCGTGATATCGCCTGAAGGTGTGTGCCCTTCCTTCCCTGTCTTGCGGGCATGCGAACGTCGCGGCTGACGAGCGTCGCTGTCCAGGTGCTGTCCAGCTTCATAAGTTATACACTAATCCGTGACGAACTTGACGACGTCTTAACGACCTTCCAATCCCTCGCCCTCGCCCTCGCCATCTCTCGCTCTGTCACCATCTACGCTTTCACGCAACATACGGCGGTCCTACGACGCCGGTACACACTCGTACATACATCGTCCAACATCGTTGTGCACACGCTGTATTTGTTCTCTCCCCACATAGCCCGACCGTTTACTCTGTTTTACCACTACCCTTGCCCCCTCCCCTCGCAACCTTTCACCGTCGCTGCGCTGTTCCTCTCCTTGATAACCCTTTTCTCGTACTAATACCCGGCAGTGTCCACCGCTGTCTGCCATGCAGCGCGACGCGGGTGGGCTCGCCACGTTTCGAACATCTACATCAGACGCACACATAGGCCGCGTGGAGTAGCTAGCACGTTCTCTTGGCAATCCAAACTACGCACTGTCGCCCTAATCGCATGCAACTTGGTACCTAGATACTAACTCAACGTAGGAATCTTTGGAGTTCGAGGGTTTGAAGCACACTTGCATATTTCTACCAGTGACACGAAGCGTGTATAGCAATACTTCAGCCACACCTAAGTGCTCTGGACCTCATAGCTACATTTTTTGCACAACACAATTGCGTACCACCAGTGTCCGTCACTTCCCCGTCACAGCACGAGCTCCTCGACCTGATACAGCCCGATGGCCATGCCCGCTTGCTCGTGCGCCGCCTTGCGCTTCCGCCGCCAGTCCCGTCCACTGTCCTGCTGCTTCCGCCCGCCCGCCGCAGCGGCGTCGTCGCGCTCCTTCTGGCGCAGCCGCGCGGCGCGCGCGAACGGCTCAAGCGGGCCCCGGAGGCGCGCGAGGTCGTCCGCGGCCGCCAGAGCGGGCGTGAGGTGCGCGGCGATCGCGCGGAGCGGGGCATGCGCGGGCGGGTGCGCCAGGAGCGCAAGGAAGGAGGCGTCAAGGAGCGCCTGGGCGAAGGCGAGCACGCAGGCGAGCTCCGGTATCGAGGAAGGGAGAGAGGAAAGAGAGGGAGAGGGAGAGAGGGAGGGAGAAGGGGCGAGGGCGAGGTCGTTCGCGGCGGTGTGCTGCACGAGCCAGCGGTCGAGGATGACGAGCAGGGGGACGAGCGCGGTGGCGTCGGGGAGGTGCTTGCGGAGCGCGGCGCGTTGGAGAGCGGGGGTAGAGGGGTACGCGATCGCCTGGGCGAGGAAGGTGGCGAGAGGGGGTACTGCAGAGGGTTGGGTGGGGACCGCGTCGACGTCCATGGCGTCGTCTGATGCCGGACGGTAGGCGGCGGCGACTTGGGCGACAAGGGAGATGATGTCGTTTTCTGGGATGTCCGTCACGGTGCGCATTGCGAGTGCGATCATGTCCTGGGAGGTATTCATCAGATGGAGCGTGGGGCATAAAGGTAGAACGAACTTACCCAGGCGTTCCGGGCGGCTAGGGCGGGCAACAGTCCACCATTCACCATAACAGAGCTGACCACCCGGCTCTCCAGAAGGTCCTTGACAATTTTGGGTGAATACATTGCTACGCTTTGTGATCTCCCTGGGGCAGGAGTCGAGGGGCGCAGCACCTGCTCCAGCACGCCCTGGATGAAGGGGTACTCCAGTGGTGGTGGCAAGTCTTCACCCTGCTCATTCGCTGGCTTTTTGTCCTTAGCTCGTTGCGTCGTGTACTCGAAGTACGCATTCTCCGCCACCGTGGTAGTCGCATGTGCGCTCCCATCTACGGCCGCCCTGATCTCCTGGAGAGCCTTGCGCGCAGCAGAACCCAACTCTGGGGCGCCCCGCGCTACTTGAGCCTGGCCCAGCGCGCCTTGAGCGGTCTTCGGTGCTACCCATCGCGACCCGGAGTTCGCCTTGCCCATCGCAGCGGCGATCGTCGACGTCGCCGGAACTGTTACAGGGACGATCACGAGCGCCGAGCGAGGTGTGGCCGCCGAAGATTCCTGCTGCTGCTCTCGTTCGGGTGTAGGAAGGAGAGCAAGCAAGACGGCAATGTTTACAATGCCTCTGGACGCGGCTGGGCTGGAGGACGACGTGGGAGCATGAAGACGCATGGTGGCGCCAAGCTTTTTGGAACGGGGAAGGGTGGAGGGCATGGGCATTGTCTGTTGAGCCAGTAGAACACCGTATCGGAGGTCCCAGAGGAGCAGTACGATCTCGGTGGGTGAGCTGGCGGTAGCAGCGACTAAGAGCACGTGCGAGGACGTCAGAGCAACCGTAGATAACTCGGACGAGCGCGACGAGTTGATGAAGGTGAGGTTTTGCAGCCGTAGTGGTTCGGCAGTAGGTGTTGCTAATAGCGAGCCGGAAGATGAGGGGCCCAGCGAAAAGGCGTACCAAGTGCCTGAGGTGACTGTGGTAGAGGGATGTTGAGATACAACAACGCACGTGGAAGGGGACGACTTACCCAGAACACTAATGAAGCCAGAGTTGCTACATGTCATGTCCACGAATGCCTGCAAGAGGTTCAATACACACCTCAAATAGAAGTAGCAGGTGAAGGTCGCGCACGTTGTCTTCGGTAGGCAGAGCGCATTCGCCGAGCTCGACCAAATTTGATGCATTCACTCCGAGCACGTGTAACCGCAACACATCTCTATTCTTGAGGACAGAGAGTGAGATTGCGCTTTGACCCGCAGTGAGATGGGAGGGGAGGAATGAGCAAGAGGTCGCAGGGAAGAGAAAATGCCTGAGCAACGTGCTTGGACGTTGTGTTTTGGGTGTGTGCGACTGTGGATTTTGCACGTCCGCACTGGTAACTGTGACCGTTCCAGACGGACTGACAAGCAACAATCGCCCCTCTAGTGAGTCTGGCGTGTATATGCGGGTGACTAGATGGGGAGCCTGCAGTGCGCATGAAGCCGAGAGTTTTGAGAAGTGATTTGGCTGCACGCACCACAGCAACCTGTTTCGTCCGTTCAGACTGAGCTTCAGACTCTATGTCCCCCGACAGTGATGCTTCCCATGAGAGCACTGTCTTCTCCTTGCCCTCTGGTGGAACATCCGGCCCGGTTTCGAGAACGGCGTAGGTTGTGCGTATGCGTCGGCCGTCTGGTGTCTGCGACGTCCTGGACGAAGGTGAACATGCAAAAGAGGTCGACGGGCCACACGCGTATGATGCTGCGGGATGCAGGCTAGATGTCTGGAGCAGATTTCAACACCCACGCGGGATCTCAGGAAAGTTACGCACGTCCAGAACATGGATCCCATCTCCTTGGACGGCTACCGAGACGAATGGATCCGCATTACTTCCAGATGGCAGGGAGGCGTATAGAGGCGTGACCTTGCGTTTCTTGTAAGATTCAGGATAGGAAGACAGGAGGAAGGGCTCTGCGATGGCGGCTGCACTCATCTCGGTCCAGGAATGAGATCCATTTTTTCGAAGCGCCGAGCGACATAGAGTGCTACTTTAGGGTTAGGGTTCTCATGCTGATGCTGTAATTATCCTTCGAGCATCCCACTACGTCCTTTGCACATAGAACACTCGTCGCAAAGCCCTCAAGAACATCCACAATTCCCAAAAGTGACTCTGATAGTCGCCTGTCTCCAGAAAAGTCCGTGGCAGCAGTGGTGGCAAGAGCTCGCACCAACTTGCCGACGGCTTGAATCTCGTTCTCTATCGAGTCTGAGGCCAAACGATTATGTTGGACGGCAGAAAAGGTAGCGACGATGCTCACCCAGCGTGTTCAAAATGTGGTTATATTGTTTGATGTGCGTGGTAAGATCAAGGGGGAAAGATGTTACTCGGAGTGCTGCATCCGTAGCCTCACCGACAGCCCGCTCCAAAGCCTTGAAACGGAAAGTCATCGCCGCCAAGTCTTCTGCGATCTCGAGTGTGGGGCATTGAAAATTGGAGCAAGTGAGCAAAAGAACCGCATGGCGTAAGACATACCTTCTTATTACCCAGCTCGTCGTAGAACTCCACCAAACGCTCTGCCTCGAAGCGAATACGACACTCAGAGATGTCCGCTTCTTCAGCAGCGAGGTCATTCTTTCGCGCCTCCAGGGTAGAGAGAGCGTGGGTCGTAGACCTCTCCAGTTCGTGGTCCAGACTGGAAGACATGTACCTCCACGCACATGACTGTGCCGCGATCTGCAATCCATCTGATTGCCCCACAGTATGAGAGGCTTCTTGAGCGCGCAGACGTGTCTACGGCGTGTCATATGGGCAAAACAATGCATCGATAGTATCAGAACTCACGCGTTCGGGAGGAGCATCTGCTGCAGCAGAGGTGGTGCTGGATGACGCTCCGGGAAGCGTTCCCTTGGTCGTGTCCACGGGTCTCACGCGATTAGCGGGCTCGACATGGGTGCGGGAGAGGGAGGCCTGCACCGCCGTGGCTTTGGTCGAACGAGAACGTGGAGGTGCCTTGCGATCAGCCGTCGAGACGGGCGCTGTGGCAGAGACGGGTGTCCTCGACCTCGATACGTCGGGCTTTGCGCGAGTGGCGGAGGATGACGGGTTTGGAGGACGCGCGCGGGCCTTGTGAGGGCCTTGGGAGGGCAAGAGGCATGAATTGGACGGCGAGGGAAATCTGGGGCGGTGACTGACCACGCGTTGGCCGAGCGAAGGCCATGTTGGGGCGCAGGCAAGGCGCGGAAGGTGCTCGGCAATGGGGGACGATGTCAAGGCGGCTTGCCCGAGCTCAGGCTCCAAGGCCTGAATCCGATTCCGTGGCCCGTGCCGGCCTCGCCTGATTTGCGCACGCTCGCCGTCCACCTCTTCCTCTTCTCCCGCCGGCTCACTCCACTCCATCTTATACCACACACTTGACGTCTCGGCGACGAGGTGCCCGCCATGTCTTTGCTGGCGTCCATCATCAAGCCTCTCGCTTACATCTCCCTCCCGCTCTTCGCCCTCAAATCCTTCGCCGACTCCAGCCCCATCGCCCGCTACTATGTCCGCGTCGGCCTCTTCCTCTCCTCCCTCGGCATATGCTCCATATGGGGCGTCATCTGCTCAATCGGCCTCGGCCTCTCAGGCCACCGCTTCAACGTCTTCTACGTCGTTGCGCGCAGCTTCTACCACCTCACCAGCCACCTAGTCAGCATCACTCTCGTAGTCGAAGGCGAGGAGCACCTCGAGACGCGCCCCGCGGTTCTCGTAGGAAACCACCAGTCCATGTTCGACATCCTTTACCTCGGGAGGTGCGTCTGTCGTCCTGCCTTGCTGTGTCTACGCCCTTAGCCCTGACGCGCGTCGCTTTGTCGGAATATCTTCTGCGCATCTCCACCACGTACCCATGCATATACGCATCCTCGCGCTACAGGATCTTCCCTCAGCGCGCATCCATCATGGCAAAGAAGGAGCTCCAGTGGTCCCCCCTCCTCGGCCAGTTCATGACCCTTGCTGGTGCCGTTTTCGTCGATCGCGGTAACAACGCACGCGCCGTTCGCTCCCTCACCGCTGCAGGGGAGATCATGAAGGAACGCAAGAGCTCCCTCTGGCTCTTCCCGGAGGGTACGCGCTCCATGCGCCCGTACTCGGACCTGTTGCCCTTTAAGAAAGGCGCCTTCCACACCGCGATCCAGGCTCAAGTCCCGATCGTCCCCGTCGTGTGCGAGAACTACTGGAGGTTGTACCGGAAAGACGTCTTTGAGAGCGGCACGCTCAAAGTCAAAGGTGCGTGCCTCTTCCTTCGCGCGATCCGGCCTGGGGTCCTCATCCTTGTGATAGTGCTGCCGCCCATCCCCACGGCCGGTATGACCGCCGCGGACGTCCCTGCACTCGCGCTCCGTGTGCATGACTTGATGGTTGAGACTCTGCGCGAAATTTCGGCCCCACCACCACCGGGGATGGAAGGACCGAAGGCGTCCCAGCCCGCCACGTCGCCCTCCCCACTCCCGAAATCACCCTCGGCCACCCCCGCTCGGCCACCGCAGCCAGAATCGACCCCCGGCGAGCCAGAACAAGCCAGGACGGAGAGCCGGGCGTCGACAAACACTTCAGAGAACTCGGTGACGTCCTCGCCTGTGCTCACGCACAGCCGGATGGAGGGAAGTGAGTACGGGACGGAAACGGAGGAGGATGACGGCATGGTGCTTGTGGGTCGACCGAGCCGTTCATGAGACTGCTCGCGTGGATCGTTGCTGCTGAACGGTGGTGCTTGGTTAGTAATGGAAGATCATAATTGGGCATATATCCTCCCTCTCCACCCGTCCGGTGCGCCTCATTGCTGTTTCAGATGCACGAATTTAGTGTCACTGCGGTCGATCGCGTGGCAAGCCCCAGCATTTATACCCCGCTCACTGATTGAAGGCGCGGATGACAACAACACTAGTACCCCGGTCCCCAACCGCTCCCCGCTGACGGACCCTGACCAGAGAAAGCCCTGAGGTCTGTCAGGCCGTTCACATCCTTCCAGTACCATATCCACTCTCGTAACCCTGTCAGTGAAGCCGTAAGTGTGCAGGCAGAGCGGCCTCGTGCGCAGGATACAGCATGGCTCGCAAACTTCTCGGTTATCTAGCCCAGTGCCTGCGGAGCGCCGCAGGTCCGATCTCGGCGTACCTCACTCGGGCCGTCGACGACCGTTTTCTCCGTGGCTGATTCCACGGGCCCACCGCATGGCTCGCAGCAACCATCGCAAATCCAACCACACAGATCACCACCGGCGCGGTCCCGAAATGATTGCGAACATCGTTAAATATGTTATGTGCCCCTTGCCGCCGGAATGTGCTCCTCCTCTGTCCCCGACGGGTGGCCCTACGCATGGGCGCCAAATGAATATTGCGTTCTTTACAGGCCCCTCTCGACGAGCTTGACATACCCTACACGGCTGGCAAGGCCCGTGAAAGCGTATCGCTCCACATGGCCCACCCAGACCGGCACCAAAATACCTCGATGCCGCAAGGTCAGGATGTAGGTGAGAAGCCGGTGGGGGCACATGCACCTGCACGGCCGACACAAGCGACGTCGCTCTTACCCCGCTCGTTCCATGCAGCACACGGTCCGCCAAGAGCCGCTTGCTCTCACTATCTCATCAACTCACCACGGGACGCCTGATCACTGATCCGCCAGAAGGACATCATGGTCCAGAAGGCTCCGTCACCACCGCTCAGAGATGATGCGTCTCCGTGCTTCCCGCCGAGTATAAAAGTGCGATACGTCCCCCGACCCTCTTCTTGCTCTCCGCCGCCCCGCTCCCTCCTTACATTCAAGGAGCTCAGCGCCGCCACCGAGGTCGCGCCACCGCCATCGCCTCTACGCCCCGCACGCGACCCTCAGCCATGGCCTTCCCCTCTCTCCAGAAGCTCGCGATCGCCGCGCTCCTCGTCGCCGCCGCGCTCGAGGGCGCAGCCGCGAAGATCGCGAGACGCTCCGACGGCCGCATCCACGCGAACATGCCCCCGCGCCCGAGCGTGCCCATCGTCGAGATCGAGACCGCCGCGGCGCCAGTGACCAGCAGGAACGGGACGACGCTCCCGCCGTACAGCACGACGTACTACTTCGACCAGCTCATCGACCACAACAACCCGAGCCTCGGCACGTTCCAGCAGCGCTACTGGCACACGTACGAGTTCTACGAGACCGGTGCGTGTTCGTCGTCGTCGACGTTATCGTCGGCGCCTCTCCCCGCGACGAGCGCTGATTGGCATGTGACCGTGTCGCAGGCGGCCCCATCGTGCTCTTCACCCCCGGCGAAGCGAACGCGGCTCGTGAGTCTTCGCCTTTCCCATCTCTCATTTTACGGCACGGCCGGCGCGGGCGCGACTTGCGTGGAGCGCCGCCCCGCCTCCGCCGTACTGACGACCACATCCTCGCGTTGCAGCGTACACCGGCTACCTCACCAACCGCACCGTCAACGGCCAAATCGCGCAGGCTCAGAGCGGCGCCGCGATCGTGCTCGAACACCGTTTTTACGGGCTCTCGAACCCGTACCCCGACCTCTCGGTGAAGAGCCTCCAGGTGCACACGATCCAACAGGCGATTGACGACCTCGAGTACTTCGCCAAGAATGCCGTCCTCCCCCAGCCAGACGGCGCGAATGTCAAGCCCGGCCAAGCCCCCTGGGTCCTCATCGGTGGCAGCTACTCAGGCGCGCTCACGAGCTTCGCGATGACCAAGTGAGCGGAATCCTCGGAGCTTCGGACGGCGAAGACAGGACTGACCCCATGCACCGCTTCGCAGCAAGCCTGGCCTCTTCCAGGCGGGCTACGCATCTTCTGCTGTCGTGGAGAGCATTGTGTGCGTTGGCGTTTTTCACGGCGCTGCCGTACGTGTGCTGACACCTGGGCTCCAGTGACTTCTACGGCTACTTCACGCCCATCCGGGAGGGCATGGCAAAGAACTGCTCGGCCGACGTGCAGGCGGTCATTGCCCACATCGACAGCGTCTTCAGCTCCAAGAACCAGAAGTCGATCAACAGCCTCCTTGCCATGTTCAACATGACGCCGCTCGCGTCCCACCTCGACGACGCTGCTGGTGCCCGTACGTAACCTTGTAAAAAGAGCGTTTGTTCTGTCCACTCATAGTTGAGCGCTCGGCTAGTCCGCAACAACCTTTGGGATTGGCAGTCTCTTTCTCCCACCGCCGGCTACGGAACTTTCTTCCAGTTCTGCGACGCGCTCGAAGTCAAGAATGGCAAGAGCGCGAGCGCCAAGGGCTGGGGTCTCAACAACGCGCTCCAGGCTTGGAGCTCGTTCTGGGTGAATGAGTACTACCCAAACCGTAAGTCTTCTCCATCTCATCACTTTCCCTCCACGCTCATAACCTATTTTGTTCAGTCTGCGGTGACTTGGACATCGTGTGAGCATTTGTGTCCCGCAGTCGATTCGCGCACCCCTCACATACATCCTCGCACAGCTCCTGCCTCGGCTCTTACGACCCTACGCAGGAGTACTGGACCAATACCTCGATCGACAACGCCGGCCGGTCCTGGTTCTGGATCGTCTGCAACGAAGTCGGCTTCTTCCAGGAAGGCGCGCCGAAGGGCACGCCCACGCTCGTCTCCCGCCTCGTCCAGCCCCCGTACGACGAGCGCCAGTGCACGTACATGTTCCCCGACCAGTTCAAGGACCTCGGCCACCTGCCCGTGCCCGACGTCGACGCGACGAACAAGGCGTACGACGGCTGGTTCACGACCACCCAGAACCTCTTCTTTGCCAACGGCCACCGTGCGTCTCCCCCGTTCCCTGCGCTCCGCTCCGCACGTGGCTAACCCTGCCCCTCCCTCCCCCGCGCGCGCGCACGCAGGCGACCCATGGCGGGATGCGACCAAGTCCGCCGAGGGCACGCACTTCGAGAGCACGCCCGGCCAGCCGATCGCGATCTCGGACGGCTTCCACTGCTCCGACCTCTCCACCGCCAACGGCGCCGCGGACGCGACCGTGATCGGCGTCCAGAAGGCCGGGCTCGCGTCCATCGCGGGCTGGCTCGCCGAGTGGAAGCCCTCGTGAGCGGGCGCGGTCCAGCGCTGGGTGGTGTGTGGCAGAGACGACCTCGAGCGCGGAGGCATGTTTAGGGTTACTGCTGAGACCTACGTGTCGGATGGCATCGAATGAGATCGAGACTGACGAAATGTGCAAACCGATATGTGGCCAGGCTGGGACAGTTAGGGTAGGAGAGAGAGATATGTAAACAGGTGCAAGGGACCGCCCCTCTCGCACCGTTCCGACAAACGGCGGAGAGGATTGTCCCTCTTGCCACGCTTCCGCTCCTAAGTTCATGGTCGCCTTTCGAGGTCCGCTCTGCTTAATGTCCATTCCAAGAGTCTGTCTCTCCGCAGGCGGGCCCAGGAACCGTCCAGGGGTGTCCAAAAAGTGCCAAGGGCGTGACTGCTATGGTGCAGTTCATCTAGACACCACTACTTTTGTACAGCGCTTCGGGAGCGTTTAATAAACATCCAATTTCTTAGTTTTCTAGCCAATCGCTCCCTTTTCGCTGTCTGAACAAATCCCCAAGAGGGTTTGTTGAAATTCCCAGTTTTGAGGAAGTTCATCTTCCCACTATTGCCACACGTGCTGATGGATGACTAATGCAATCATATGATGCGTTAAGCGCCAATATCTAATACTGACAATCTAATCAGGATTAATACACCCTCCTCACTTTGCTGCCGAGTTCCAAAGCAGATGCATAGATAGTATGGTTAGCAATCCTTGCAGGACAGTTTGGAAATATTATTGATGGCTTCCAGTTGGTCTGTGCACTGTTGAAGCCTACTTGGTTGCCCTCAATAAGGGAGTGCCATTCACCTTGAGACTGGAGTACGTCGATGATGTTCTTTTATTTGGTCCAATTTGACATCCTATACATGTGTAGACACCCGCTATTGGCTGTTTTCAGCTCCAGGACCATGCCTCAAAAATCGACTCTGGCTATTGCCGCCACGTGACTGATTACATAAGCTATTCAAAAGTAGTGGCGTCTAGATGAACTGCACCATAGTTCAAACGTTCAACTTAGAGGGGACTACTGTTGAGCGCTTGAGCGCTGAGCGAGCTGGTGGGGGTCGTTGTGTGGTTAGGGTCTGCATCGGTCGACCTATCTTGCCGCTTTCCTCTGGTATCGTCTTAAAAACAGCACCTCATGGGATATTGTCACGATTCGGAGCATTAAAAGCGTGTTGTTTAGGATCAAAGGGACCAAAACTACGAAGCGCGTAACTTCTTTGCAAGATGAGCTGCGGTGTGCGGCGAGAAGCTGTTCACGAGGGCTTGAGGCTCTCGCTGCACATAAGGCCGGAGAATGGATGAATCCGGATTGCATAGGAGTGGGGGAGATAAGTGTGCATGTACTATACGCGTGCATGTCAGGAAAGACGGGGGCATATGTCACTGCAGCGAAAGCGATCGAGTTTAGTACAACAGGCGACAGCAAACGACGGCGAGCGAGGGGAACGGGCAGATTTAACACAGGGAGAGGAGACGGAGCACTAAGTACGCGATACAACGGGGTCCAGCAGGTCCAGAGTCAGTAAGTGTGGAGGTTCGTGAGATTGACGATCGACGTGTAGGAGAGTGCGGAGGGAATGCTAGCTGTACGATGAGCACTGGGCTTGTATCAGTGGGCGTGTGCCCGCGCCGGAGCAGATCAAGATACGAGAAGAGATAATGACAAAAGGGGTAGCGTAGACGATGGATAACGGGAGGATGACAAGGGGCGATGTACGATGTTCATGCTACGGACAAGCAATAGAACACAACGAGCCCGCCGACGGCACCAGCAACGAGTGTGTCGACGAAGTTGGGACGGATGGTGCGTGGGTCGATGGGGTAGTCCCGACACGCTCGTTGGCCGCGCGGTCGAGTGGTCGATCAAAATCGTAGGGATCGGCGCGGGAGCCAACACGCCCGACGGCGCCAGGTCGCGGAACTTCGACGATGGATGAACTCGGGGAGATGCCACGGGCAGCGGCGAGCGCCCCAGTTGGTTCGAGGTAGGGCTCGATGGCTGCATCGACAGCATCTCGGTTGTCCCCGATGGCGAACCAGCACATGCCGTCGTTATCGGTGAGGCGATGGGGCGTTGTGGGCTCGGGCTTGACGATGGATTCGGAGCGGGAGGGTCCAGCGACAGGAGTGATGTGCCTCTGCCCGTATGCAACGCGGCAGTACATCCCTTGTTCGACGGCACGGGCCTCCGCCGCCCGTGCATCTTCGCGTTCGATCCGATAGACGACGGCGTGGGGCTCGTCCCGACCAAGGATTGTCGACAGGCTTCGAGTCATCCGCTGCATGAGCGTCGGACCCGTCGACTTGCCGGTCGCGCTTTGTGTGTCCGATGAATCGCCTTTATTCTCCTCGTTCGCCTCGTACTCCTCCTCCTCCTCGTAGTCATCCTCGCAGTGGCCCCCGTATCCCTCCTCGCGCTCGTGGATGATGTGGTCTCCGAGACGCACTGGGATTGTCATGTAGCTGTTCGCGGAGGGGAAGCGCGCGATGGTCTCCTGCACGATGCCAGGGACGTTCCGGCGCGGGCGCCGCGCAGGCGACCCGGCAGACCTCTCGTCGAGCTCCGTCGACACCCACGAGTTGTCACGGCGCGGTGGCGAGATTGGCTTCTGGACGTCGTCCGGTCGGAAGTTGGGGTTGACACGGTGTCCATAGCCTGAGCTGCTGATATCAAGGACGAACTGGGGGGCGAAAAAGTCATCCTTGCGAGCTTGAGGGGCCCTAGACGGGCCTGCGGCGGCGGAGGGCGCGACAATCTCCGTGGTTTCGGTGGGGGCAGGGCTGCCTGTAGGGCCGATGGGGCAGACGACGACGCCCGCGCCGGGGCGTTTGTGGCCTTTCATGGGCTGGCCGCACTTGTGGCAGCGACGGGTCTTGTTGCCTGTGGGAGACATATCTGGCGGCTTGGTGGGGACTTCAAGAATGATTGAGAGGGTCTGGAGGAGATTGGGCATCGTGAACTCAGGGAAGACGTGCACGGACAGCTAAATGCAAGGGGGAGCGGGGGAGCGGCAGAAGGTGGGGAAAGCGGAAGGACGCGTGGTGGGGCTGGGGAGGGCAGGCGGGCAAGAGGATAGGAAGGGCGGGGCAGTGGAGGACAGACGTACCCTTTTGACGCGGCGAGGCACCTGTGCAGAGAGCTCCGGGCTTCAACAAAGAGGAGCATGATGCTTTGAGGACTCACCACAAAGCGCGTGTTGCCGGCTGGAGGGGCGCGCGGCTGGGAGGGCGCGCGACGGGGGAGATGGCGGTCGGAGTCGAGGGGGGAAGACCAGCGACGTCGCCTCGCCAGAGACAAGGGTCGGGCGTCTGCCCCGCAGCTTCTCTGATCTCCCACAGCCATGGACGACATACACGGTGGCGTGACCGCGACAGATCGCCCTACTCATCGCGACGATTGGCACGTATTGTGGGTGCCCAGAGACGCATCACCGCAATCGGTGCCGGCAGCGGGGCAGAGAGGAGGACAAGGAAGACATCGGAGGTTCACGCGAGACTCGAGACGCACAGGCGCAGAGGGCATTAACGTTTAATTACTGTACATCCAAATCCGGGCCGTGGGTCAGTGCGTCGCGTGTCGTGAACGGATTCCAATCCTGGTCGTGAGCCGTCTCAACCAGACGGGCGCAGCCGCGGAGGTTCCCCCGCCGCGCCATCCTCCCCTACCGCCGCGCCGCCTGCATCACCAGCATGCTCGCGCTAGAGCCCGCAGCGACGAACCCGGCCGCGACGTCGCCCAACGTCTTCGGCAGCTCCGACCCAAGCGGCCCCCCGCGCGTGGCGTACAGCACTTGCAGCTCCGCGCGGTGGCTCTCGACCGCCATCCGGCGGGAGCGGCCCACGACGACGAGCTGCCGCGCATCAGGGCGGGCTTGCTTCGTGGCGAGGTCGATGACGGCTTGGAGGGGCGAAGGCGAGCCCTCTTCCGAGAAGTAGATGCGCGAGAGAGCATCCGCGAACTCCGGGGCTGTGTCTTGCGTGACCTTCGCCCAGAGCAGGTTGTCAGCCGTCTCCGAAGCGAGCGCGACCTCGGTGTTCTGCGCGCCATAAACAGTGTCGGGGAAAACAGTCTGAAAGCAGAAGCAGTCAGCCAGCAGTGCAGTGTGTGATGCAAAGCGAGACTCACGCTGTGAATGGTATTGTGCAAGTTCGCCTTTATCTCCCCAATCGAGTCCACCGGAACGATCGGCTCGCCGTCCACCTTCTTCATCTTCACAACCTTCGCCGACACCAAAGGGCTCATGCACAGTTGCACTACGAACGCGAGCGCCGCACGGTCGTCCGGCCCGCCAAAGAATGGCATGAACACCTCGTACCGCACGTCTCCGTCCAACCCCTGCGCGTACCCGCGCTCCCAGAACAGCGCGACGTCGGCGGGCGCCTCGGCATACACGCGCCTCAGGTAGTGCGAGCTCGCAGAGAGCGCGTTGTGGTCCCGCTCACGCTTCTGCTGGAAGAGCACATCGAAGGGAGAAGTTGAGGGGCCGGACGACTCGTTCTCCGCATGAGCCTTCGCGACGTCGTCGATCGACGCACCATCGCTGGTCCAGGGGATGATAACCATCTGGCTGGAGGAGTTCCGCGCGTGCTCGGCGATGTTCTCCGAGAAGTCATCATAGCCAACGACAGCAAGGGCGGTGGACACAGCGACCCGGTTGAGGTACCCGAAAGTTTTAAAGATCGCGAGGATAGGGTCACTGTGAAGGAGGGCGTCCGCGGCCTGGGACATGAGGACAGCCGACGTACGGTTTGTGAGCTCGATGAGGCGGAGGGCGTTGATGGTTATCTTCGTGTCCATACGCGGACGGGTGCTGTGAGCCAAAGAAGGAACGCCAGCCTCAGAAGCTTTCTCGTCGGGTATGTTGGTGGACGACTGAAGCGATGCATAGACGAGCGGAGTGGGACGCTGAAGTAGTTGGGTGAGGGTCATGACAGCCGGGAGCTGATCAATCTTGTCCACAACGACAGAGAACCGCGTCTTGAGCAGCTCCTTGAACTCGCTTTGGTCGGCGGTTCCTCCAGCCTCTACAGAAGACTCGCCACGTGTCACGGGGATTTGACCGGCGTGAACGCGGTACTTCGGAGGGTAGAAGAGGATGGTGAGAGGCGTGGTGACGAATGTCAGGATGAGCGCCATCAGTACAAACATCGAGAAGGTACGCTGGTCGAGAACACCTGCGGCCAGACCAACATTGAGTACGATGAGCTCGACAAGACTGTGTTGATAACATCAGCGACTGCATTGTTGACCCAGTGCAACCTTCTCACCCTTTGCAACTCATCAAAGCCCCGATTGCGCTGGACTCGCGGAGGTTAAACCCAGCCAGCTTTGCAGCAATACCGGCCCCCAAGAATTTGGCAAAGAAAGCCACGGTGCAAGTGAGGAAGACGTAACCCCAAGTTTTACCCTCATTGAGGAGACCCAAGTTGGTGTTCAGCCCAGAGAGTGCGAAGTACTATAAGATCAACAACGGTTCAGGTGAGATGCTGGTCCGAAGCGGTCAACATGCCACTTACGATGGGCAGGAGAACAATCGCCACGAGATCTTCTAGTTTCTCTACCAGCGCAATGGCATATCCATTGTCTTTGGGTATGATCAAGCCGGCGATAAAGCCGCCCTATCCTCAAAAGTTTGACTCGGACCCTGCAGAGCATATGGAGCGCATACGCACAAAAATAGGGTGAATGCCGATGATATCCGTGTAGAAGGCCGAGATGAAGACCAAGACGACCGTGACAGTCATCATCATCGCCGAGGGCACTCCAGCATCGAGGCTCCCGGACTTCTTCGCAACCCATCGGTAGCCCCAGTTGACCGGGAAGCATACGAAGAGAACGTAAGCAACACCGCTCAGAAGCACCCAGAGTGCCGTCAGCCCACTGGACGCGTTGATGAGCGCGACGGTAAGCGCGAGCAAGATCCATCCGACCACTAATTAAAGCATTCATCATCATCTTGGGTCACCGTGAATGAAGCGGGAAACGCACCATCATTACCAACACCTGCGGACAAAACTACAACCCCGACAGTGGTGTCGAGAAGCTTGAGCTCCGTAAGGATGCGGCAAAGCACGGGGAAGGCGGTAATTCCGACTGCGACGGCGACGAAGAGGACGAAGAGACCGAAAGGGGACGAGCCATCCGTGAATTCGTGGTAGATGGGTACAGCGACAGCCGCGCCAAGTCCGAGGGGGATGACAAGACCGGCGACTGAGACGATCGCGGACGCCTTGGCATTGCGCCGGATGACGCGGGTGTCTATTTCCATACCCACGAGGAAGAGGAAGAGGACGAGTCCGATGTTTGCGGTGAGGGCGAGACCGGGGATGGACTCAGGGGGAAAGACAGTCTTCGTGAAGTTGGGTATCCTGCCCATGATGGTCGGGCCGAGGATGACGCCCCCAATGACCTCTGCGATGACGCGAGGCTGGCGAATGCGAGAGAGGAAGAGAGCGAGGACCTGGGTCATGCCAATGATAATAACTGTAGACAGGGGGCGTTCATTGAAGAGAAGGAAGGAGACAATGAACAAACATACCAAGCTGGATGATCCACAAACGAAGGGGATCCGACTTGTTCCATGTCGCGGGATTCTGGCCGGCGAAGATACCTGCCTAGGAGGGAAAATGTGGGCGAGAGGGGAGCAGTTGAAGCAGTTGGACGGACCTGTTCAGGAGCTTGTGCTCTGCGGACAAGTCCAGCAACGTGGGCGACAAGGACCGTCATAGTGTCGAGAGGGCGAAGCGAACTCGGACAGCAGGACGAGGGGATGTCGAGGACCAAGAGAGAGCGCGGACCAGGCGCGCTGTTATGAAGGCATCGGATGGTGGCTGTTGGTGGCCGAGCCTTGGCAGCTGCCACTAAACAGAAGACAGCCGCCGACCGCAGCCAGGGCCCGACACAAATTCCAATCACATAGCTCGGGCCCTGCTAGGAAAATTGTCGCGACGCCTATATGGCTTGAGCCACCGACATCATGGCATTATGGATACATAGTATGAGGAGACACAAAACATTATAAGCGAGCACGCGTCCAGAACATGGCAGACCTTACGAATCAGAACTGCACCCTCGGCACCCTGTACAAAACCGATGATACGTGAGTAAACAATTGGTCAAAGCTCAGAAGAGAAGACCTCACCGCAGTGCACACACTCGACAACAGTTCCCTGCCGAAGTTGGCCCTTGGGCACGCGACAGATGCATGTCGACCCTTGATAGTTCATGTCCTGGCCGGCGTGGCACCAGTTTAGAATCTACGGCATGCGGCGCGCAAGACGGGCATAGACGTACTCGTGTCTGTATACAACGCAGGCAGCAGAGTTTCTCATAACCGGCTTTCTTCCATTTGGCGATGAGACTGCGGAGAGACATTAGGATATGTGAGCGGCGGGGGGGGAAGAAATACTACTCACTTCGCATCTGCATATCCCTCCTTTAAGAGCCAGTCATACAACTCTTTGCTGATGGCCTCCCGCTTGTAGTAGAGCTCGTAAATGTACCGGGAGCGTGTATGGGATATACGCATGATCGGCCATAAGGACTCCGTTTTGCGTTTGCCCTCGTGCGACTCGTTCTCAGCGTCGCGCATCTTTTTTGCGTAGTCCTCCAGAATCTACCGAGACGATCTAAACAAGGTCGCGTCCCCTCATATGAGTTGTGGCTCACCCCTTCAATGTCTTCAAAGCCTTCGGGAGGTCTCTTGGTCCTTGAGGTACGAATTTTGGGCATGATCGACGAGTAGAAGGGTCACAGTCGATGACAGGGGGTGGGGATAACGAGAAGAGCGAGTCAGAGGAGAAGACGAGAAGAGCGAGATCAGAGTCGCAATGCGAGAGCCCGGGCGGCAGTGGGCGTGGCAGAGGTGAGCGCTTGAGCGCTGTGGCCTGATCCTAGACGCGGATTATGTAATGCACCTTGGAGTCGACCATCGCCGCGAGGCCAGGCTCAACCACTTGGTTCTGACATTTACACCATCCGACGATTTCATCCCTACATATCGACCTTTCACGTTCTGACGAGGATACCCTCGCCTCTCGGTCTATTTCCTGAACGTCGAGACACGTCACACGGGTAAGAGGGCCGTTTTATTATCATTCGATGATGCGGGTGTTGCTAGACGATCGTATACAGATGAGGACACTAGAACAAGAGAGAACGCCGCTATTGTGTTGCACCACGCGTCGGATTACGCCTAAAACCTCCCCCCTGCGCTGCGGCCGACCTGAATTGTTGCGAACGAGGGTAGCTGCTTCTCCGACTGAGTTCGTGGCCATACGAAGTTTGTTCAGTAATCTGATACTACGACGTATGGGCTTAGAAGTATCAGCGGGAATTGCGAGAGGTGGGTCGATATTCTCAGTTGCGTCACCCGCGGGGCCGTCGTCCTCAGGTGGTGGAGGCGCAGGTGAGATCCGGAGAGCTTGGTCTTTCGGAGGAGGCGCAGAGCCTTCTCTGGAAGAGGATGGGGATTCTCGTGGACGCTTCCGAGAAGGATCCTCTACTCCAGCAACTCGGGAATTATCGTGCTCTGTGCGATCGTCGACAGGCAAGTCGCTTTCGTGACTCTTCAAGAAATTGCCCCAATAGGTGTCCAAGTGGACTGGATCATCCCATTTGTCTTGGTATCGCTCTTGATGTTGCGGCCCGTTGTACCCCAATGCCTCGTCCAACCACTCCCGAAATAGAGGCGGCCAGTCAAAGCCCGATGTGTGTATACGGCTGACGGCGTTGCTGAGCTTGGCAGCACCGTTGGCAATCCCACGTTCGGCACAATCGCGCTCGAACATCATGTATACAGAGGTCTTCAGCCTCTCCTCGGGTGCGGTGTGAGGAAGCCAGAGGAAGGCGCAGTACAGGATCACGTATAGCAGAGATTCCATGTCGTCTTGCAACCTAGAATGCGAACTGTCTCCAATGGCGGCAAGCTGGCGAGAGGCAAACATATAGGTCCCCTTGAAACGAAAAGCGACATTGATTAGCCATTTGCTGACGAGATACGCCGCAGCCGCCTGCACTGACCCCAAGACCGAGTTCTACACATTGCCTTCTTCATCGGCTGGTAGCGAAGCATCCCAGTCGATGAGATAACCTCTTCTCAGGGGTTGCGCGTTCTCTCGGACGATGATGATGTTCCCGACGCTGATATCTCGATGTAGCATAGAGACCTTCGCCAAAGCCTGTATCATCGCTAAGCAGACGTTAATATACGAGATGAGACGATGATTGAGAAACATGCGCTTACCATGGAAGACATCGTAAGTTGCGTGCAACAACTCCGACGTTCCACTAAACCGCTGGATTCCATAACCGACAGTGCCGACCACCAGTCGATAGTGTACTTGCCGGGACAACGACACCTTTCCCCTGTCATCGTGGAAGCCCAAGGTTGATACGAAGCCTCCTTTGTCCAAGTACGTTGGATATCGTACTCCAAATCTGTGGGCCGGCCATAAGCGACCCCATAAACGCGTCGGGGGCCGGAGTGCTCACCTTCGTAAATGCGTCCATCCTCGGTTGAGGTAGTGGGGACAACACCATGCCAGACGAACGAGGGCACAAAGTCCACACCAGCCCTATTGAGACGTTCGATGAGATTGCCTTCCGGTCCGTCGTTGCCGTGGAACCACCATGTATCCTTGACGAAGACAACATCGAGGGTGTCCACATCAATAGCCCAGTATCCTCTAGTGCCTCTGGTACGCAGATGTGTTGGAGTGATAACGGGCCTCGACACGATGTAATTGTGAATGTTGACCGGTAAGGAGGGGAGGCGATACCCTAGAACTGTAAGAATCTTGACATTCCCAGGCTCGTAATGCTCCGAGACCGCCTTGACCAAGTCTTCGCCCTCGACTTGAAGCTGGGCAGCAACGTGATCAGTGATCGCTGTTCGGAATACCGTTTCCGCTTCTTGAGAGGCCCATCCCACGGACGTGTCGAAGCCTCGCCTCGCCGGTGATGCATGTGAGAAGTGCCATAAGAAAGTACAGAAGCCCTCTGCAGCGGTTGAGATATCAAGTGACTGGGTGACTACGCATCCACCGCGTTCCCATCGCAAGAGACGTATGTTATGGCCACATAGAATAGCGGTGTATAGACATCGTCGGTGTTGCCGAGCGAGTACTTCGTGGACGAGAGATATGTGCTGACCGTGAGCCCTGCGTCTAAGTTTCTTCTGGTCTTTATCACCGTAAGCAGCCATGAACTCCCATCCTTCCGGTGCACTGTCGCTGGACTCGTCGAGCGGGGGGTCGGCGAAGAAATCGTCGGATGGATGGGGATACACTTGTATGAACATGTCGAGGTATCCGAGATCCACACGAGACAAAGCTGGAAGGCGATCGACTAAGTCTAAATTGTCTTTGATATAGCAGCAAATGTGAGGTTTGCCGTTGTCTGTTCCAGAGGGCGCGCCCGGACGAAAGACGAGGCCTGGGCAACGAGACTTGTTCGTTGTCGTTCTGTTGAGTGCCTTTAACTGTAGCGTCATACTCAGCGGCGTGCCCTGTACAACAGTAAAAGAGCTTACCAAGTGCGTCAATCTGCCAGTGAACGTTTCAGAATTCCATATGGTGGAACTGAAAGCGTGACGAGGAGAGAGACTATCCGTGGCGTCCGGCGGCGATGCGACAAGGATCGCCACACGCTCACCGTCCTCCTCCTCTACCACCTCTTCTTGTGGAGTGATATATTCGCCCACAAAGTGATGGAAGGGCATCGGACCGACCGTGTACCCAATGCATCCTTCCGCCAATGTTTCGAGATCGTCGTCATCCAGAACTGGACAGTGGAAATTCCGTGTGTGTTCTAAGGCTGGGTCGAGGGCCATAGACGCATTGTAGTAGGGGAAAGTATATGGGTCAGACATGCTGAAGAAAGAAGAGCAGACGGATGAAGAGTCGTGGACAAGCCGGTTCGCCACGTTCTTATTGCAGGCGCTTGTGGCCCTGGTCCGACGCAGGCTCCGGCGCACCGGTTGAGACATCACAAGTTTCTCATCTACCATGTCTTAAGAACGTCAGCGGGCAGTTATATATCTGCCCGATGCTCGCGAACGTCCCGCTTAGAGCATGGGTACATGTTTGACGTCAAATCTCGCGGGTTATGCGTCGTAACTCACATCAATTTCAACCTACTTCTTGCCGCTGTTCGCTACCAGGTTCACTCTACCCTCGCCGAAACCCCGGAGGTATGATTCATGCTGTACAAACTCCCAACTTTGCTGAGCGAGTACAGCGTCATCTACTGAGTGCTCGTCTGTAGGTAAAGACGAAGACGCACAAGGGAAACATACCGAGTCCTGGGAACCTAGCGGGCTTGATCAAGTTGTGGTGAGCAGAGGTCGGAGGAAAGGCGGATTGCCAGTCTAAAATGGGGCTTACCGGCTGGCGGGGTGGTAGGCAGGCGTCAGAGGGAGAGGGACGGTCGTATGCCGGAACCTGGTCCGGTGCAAGTGATTCTGGGCAAAGGTGCACGTAGCGAGCAGCCTGAAAGCATTGACGTGAACCAAGTGGATCATTGCAAAGCGCGCATACATATCGGTCGCATAGTAACTGCCGCGGAGACTAGAAGCGGGTTCGACAGTTAGCTGAAATCCAAAGCGAAGAAACAAAGCATCTTACTGGCCAGGGAATCCATCGTCTACGTGAATATCCTTGTCGCGGTCGTCCGCATTGTTGAGCGCAGCGAGAGACGGCACCAGGGAAAGCGCAAGGCGGGGTCCCTGAGCCACGCTTCCGGCGTAATGTATGACAAATAAGTACCGCTAAACACCCACCACACTGTGCGGCGGCGTGCTCTACTTTCTTCCCTGGTGCCTCTTCCCTTGACAATGCGCTTGCAATATTGACGGGAAGGCCCTCGGGAGATCTATTCGTCGCCGAAATATAGATCGCTGTGCACGTCACCCGAATGCCAGGACACGGACGACTTAAGCAAAACGAAGTCGGTCAGAGAGGCGGAAGTTGGCAGTCTCAGCGCGAGGGCGGTACTGACGCGGGTTAGGTAATGGTCCCCGTGTTTTGGCCTCGCTGGAGGCACGCGTCGGGCGCGACTTGACGCCTGCGTGGGCGGCGGCTCGGACTTGGACCCCGTATTTGAGACGCCTTCCGTCGTTTTCCACTCACTTCTCCTGCAGCCTTTCCCCACCATCCCTTTCTTCACGTCCATCCCCCTTTGACTGCTGCACCCAGCCCCCCGAAACACACCGTCGCATGACCTTTTGAGCCTCCACCACCACACCCCACTCGGCGTTCACCTGTCCCTCGACTCACGAGCTTGTTCTGGTGATCTGCCGTTCAACACTCTGCGATGCCCCTTGTGGTGCCGGTTCTCCGGCTGGCCTACGTATTTTTGAATGTCTTTGAGACGTTCAAGACGTTGCGCCTACCCCCACCCTCCTCGCGAAATGGTGGTCAACCTAGCGTACGCGCCATGAGCCAACGAAAACGCGCCATGAAAGGGTGCATGACCGTGTGGCTTGTGTGGGTACGTGCTGCTTCCTCCTGTGTCCTGACACTCTCCTCAATGGGCCGGGCGGCATAGGCGTGCTTCATCATCTATGAACGATGGGCAGAAGTCTTCGTCTACTTGGTCGTTCCCTTCTACAGCGAGATCAAGTCATTGTTCATCCTTTTCTTTCTCATGACCCGTGCGAAGGTGTGTAATGATCAGTCGCTTCATGGTGGTTATGAGCCGATCGTTTGTTCGCATTGCAGGGAGCGGAGCCGGTATATCTTCATGTAATCCGCCCCCTGATCAAGCCGTACACCGCGCCGCTCGATGCCCTGTTTGCATGCCTGTTCTCGTTCGCCGATCTCCTCATCCTTATAGCGTCTATCCCGGTCAACTACGTTCTCGACTACTACTACCGGCTACTCGCCCGGTTCAACAAGTGGTACCGTCCCTGGTTCACGGCCTACGACCCGCCTCAGGCAGACCCGCAAACATGGCACCAAGATGAGCCCGCCGTACCCCGCCCGGCAAATCATCGTGCTTACGTCTCAGAGCTCATCACCACCGATAGACCCAGCGCGGCGCGCGATAACTCCACTACTTCCGTGCCTCAGACTTGCTCGACCATTCAACGGTCCGATGCGGACACGCCGACACAGAAGATATGGCGGCCTCCTGTTAGCGCATACAACATGGACAACGACGATGAAGCCGGCTTCAGCTCGCGCACGGGTCTCCCGACCCCTCCCATTGAAGCACAGGAACGTCATCTAGCCGCTGGATCTCCTGGCTCCGACGACTGGCGCCAGTACCCGCCCTTCCCTGCCGCCTACCCGCCGACTCCTTTGGCCCCGTCTTCACGACTACCATACCTCGGGGAGCCTATAGCTGCACCGAAACCGGTACGACCCGGTATGCAGTTCGCGGGGATTGAAGAGGAAGACAGCGACGAAGAGACCCCCGAGACCCAGCAGGGTTTTCGCAGGTCGCTCCTGTTGCCGCGTGAGCCCCCGAACCCCGGCTCCGATGGCGACTCGAGCGACGAAAACCGCATGAAAGGGGTTCAACACACTCAAACGCAGCATACATCATCCACCACCACACACATTAATGACCGGCCACGACGCGACTCTGAGACGGAGATGAGCGTGGACGAGACTCCGGCGACAGCGCGGGCCGCGGACACCGACATTCCCATGAACGAAGACGACGATGAAGACGACGACACGACACGACCCTACGCACCCCCTTCTCGCGGCGCCAATACCGGGACGACGAGGAGTACCTCGACGACCTGATGCTCACGCCCCCTCCCCCCGTACCCCGCGCGCTCCGCATACAGCCGTCCAGGCGACGCTCTCACTCGACAGCATGGCAAGCCGTTCCACCGCACTCAGCACGACGGACAACGGGTCCTCGCTCCGTACGTTCTCGCGCAGCGCATCGCGCGCGTCGACGAGCCTCACCTCCCCCATCTCCCCCACCGACTCCACGAGAGCTCAAAGCCCGCCCCGATTCCCGCCGGCGACGCGCCGTCCCTCGCGGGCAAGAAGCGTCGCCTCCCGCCGCGCTACGCCGAGGACGAGGTCCGGTTCTCGCTCAACGTCCCTGCGCGCAAGAAGGTCGCTGCAGCTGGCGGTGCCACGATGCGCTCCTCATCCCGCGCCTCCTCGCGCGTGGGCACTGTCGGCAGGCGGAAGGGCCAGGCCGTGCAGGCGACGCTTCTATCGAACTCGGACTCGGACTCGGACGGCGAACGCGCGGAGAAGCGGGCGAAGGGCGAGGACGGCGAGGAGTACGTGCCCAGCGACAGCTCGTCTGGTGCGAAGCGCAAGCGTGTCGCTGCGGGTGGGCGGGTTCCCCGTCCCGCGCCGAAGCGCGGCGACAGCCAAGGCACCGTACGTGCACCCACTACGAGAACGAGGACAACATCGCGTCCGACAGTTGTTCGTGAGCCTTTGGCGCATAAGGAGCGACTGCCATTGCAGACAAAGAAGTCTAGTGTGGGCTCAAAGGGGAAGGCGGTGGCAAACACTCAGGCTGCTAAGGCCTCAAAGGCGAAGTGACAGAAGTTCAGCAGCATCCTTAGACATCATCCACACTTGACACATAGCACATAACACTGTCGCAAACTCTTCCTCATTTGCATTTCCAACTTTGTAGCATTGTCGTAGACCCACACCCATTGTAAATTATGTCAATGGCCACACAGATTGATGTTCAAATGTTCATGACTTCGACATTTGAAGATATTGACGACTCAAAATATGAAAGTCATCAACATTATCAAAGACTGGAGATTAATGTCATACACTCCCTATTTTTAAAACTATGAACAGAGCATGACCGTTGACGATATTCTATGTCAGCAACGAACAACCAAAAAAGAGAACTTCATCCATTTGACCTTGCTAGCTACCTTGCCAACTGGCAGGTAACAAAACAAAGCCAAAGAAACAAAGGAGATCCCCCGACGACTCAAGCCGGTAGTGCAGTGGCAAGGTCATCGCGCCCGCGAGTTGCAAGCAGAGCTCGCGGAACAAGGGCGGCAAAAATTAGATAACCAATAATGGAGGCGGTGCCTCCATAATAGTGGTTAAACTATTAAGAACAGATACTACACTTGATCTAAGCCAAAAGGCCAGAGTGGTAAGGAATCAGCCACGGCCGAGCACGGTGTATATACTTCGGAGAGGCAGCGCACGGACCATGTTGTGTACTATTTGCATGCTCCGGCAATGGGCGTGACGAAGGTACCCGGTTTGGCAGCCAGCGGCCTCGAGCGGCCCGCGGACGGGTGCAGCAACGCCCGGGCAAAGCCGTGCAAACACGCGGGAGACGGCGCGCGCAGGATTGAGTGCGGAGGCAAGTGTTGCTCACCTCTATCCATTACACCAATCGTCCACCATGCCTGTCCCATGGGAGACTCTCATTCCCTTCGGTGCGTGTGGAAGTCGAGGAGGGTATCGCAGAAGTTAAGTCTGGTTTCAGGGCTCGTAACGGTCATGTTCGGTGCCACGGGCACGCTTTTGAACACTTCTAAGCGACTGCAGAACCAGGGCAAGGTGCGTTCATGAAGACCGTCCACACGAGCTTAGCTCACATGATCGTAACATAGCCCGTCCGCCACGGCATCGATCCATGGGACGAGATGATGATGGAGCGGGACAGGCGGTTGACTGGGCACAACCGAGGACAGTCGGTGCGTTATGACTTCCGCGTGCTTTCGTTGGATTTATCTCACATGTTGCATAGACCGAACCTTTCGCGCCGAAAGAATTCGCGACCAACAGTGCCTGGTACACCGAGCGGGTGGCTTAATGTACTAGCAAGCCGCAATAGATTCTGCTCTCGCACTACTCCACTAGCTGTCCATTGCTTTCCTCAGCCAATCCCACACTGCCCACAAGTCCTCGCTGTCACGCGCCAAAGACCTCGGTCTGTCATCTGCTGCGCCGTACCGCTGCCCCTCCAACACCATCGACATTAGCGCAAGACCCGACTTCACCGATTCCTCTGCACCCTCAGGCGGGTACAGCACACAAGAGAGAATGACGCCATGTTTCGACAGGAACTCCGCCTTCTGCAAGGGTCACTGAGCTCTATGGTGTGTATCCTGCGCGTTTCACTTACCACTGTGCCCCAAGGGAATGTGTTCTCAATCTTGTACGTGAACTCTGGAGTCTGACCGAAGGCCCAATCCCAAGTCTGGCCAACCAAGTCAACGCCTGCCACGCATGTTCATCTCCGTACGACTTGCCTTCAATTCCGCCATTCCCTTCCGAATGTACTCAATGTTCTGAGCGCCACCTGTATCATCGACGGCGTGCACCTGCGTGTTACCCTGTCAACGCAAAGTCGTGCACACTCCCAGTGTAGGCTCCTCACCTTCTCCACCACCCCATACTCTTCCCGGAACGCGTTCACCACCGCGTTCACGAACTCCTCGTGGCTCACTTGTGCGCCGTGCTGCTGCAGGTTACACACCGGCGACCGCACCGAAGCGATGCCGCGAGTCTCCATCGTGTCCTGCGTGTTACTGTCTTCAGCGAGACCGCGCCGTATCCGCCGCCGTGCATGCGCATACCCACCTTCCCAGAGCGCAACAGTTCCCCGAGAGTGTCCAGACGCGTAGAAATGAGCATCGTCCCGTGGTGGTACGCTCGGTCCTTCACGATCTTGTACGCCGAGCCCGAGACGTAAATGTCCAAACGACCGTCAGCCGAACGCAGAACCGCGCGAGTCACGGAAAGAATAAGACGTATCTTGTCCTTGCCCACGCATATGTCGTTCCGGTCGTTCACCGTCGCGTCCACACCGAGAGAGCGTACCGCGCGGAGCACGACCTGCGCGGTCGCGTGACGGTCGAACGTCGCGCGCGGGAGGTGGATCGAGAAGTTCGTGTTGCCGAGGTCCTGTAGCAACGCGCGCAGATACATGAGTACTTACCCACATGTGCGCGCGGGGACGCAGCGCTGGAGGGGTCGGCAGACGGACGGACATACGTGGTACACCGTGCCCCCTCCGCTGAACCGCCGTATGAACGGGATGCCGGCCTCGTGGGCCGCGCGCAGGTTCACCTCCTTCCACGGGTTCTGGTTCCGTCCGACGACGACGCAAGGATCGTCGCGGTAGAGCAGCAGCATGGGCTTCTCCGGAGACTTGTGCCGGAACAGCCTGGATGAATGGGGGCGCATTGAGCTTCGGCATTACACGGGGAAGCATCGCGCACACCAGTCTTCGAAAGTCAAGTTGAAGTAGGGATTGGTGGAGCTTGAGACGTAGATGGAATGGTTGGGTGAGAGCAGTGAGGTGGACGCATGTCGTCGAAGATGCAGCACTGTGCGCGAGGCATGGAATGTGCGTGTGAAGGTGAATAGCATGCGTTGGCTATCTGGAGAACTGAGCAATGGTTGGTGCAACGCCCAGTAAAAGTCCGCGACGCAACACTATACAGGCCAAGTGTCGGGATGTCCAGCAGAGTGTGGTGCAAGGCAAGGCAGTCAGACGCGTGACGTCGGGACCGTCGCAAGACCGAGACGCGCTACAGGGCCCGCATTTCACTTTCCGGTGTTCTCGGACTTTGGCAGCATAGAACAAGAGAACGTCGATAGCGATATACACATACACAAGAAGCAAATACAACATCATACAACGAAGTAACGAAGAGCATTATCTCTGCTTCTGCCGTTTGACGCTACCACCAGCAGTGTCTACCGAAGAAATGGACATTGAACGACGGCCCTAATAGTCTCAGGGATAAGTTGTGGATCAGACGAGTGAACGAAGAAATGACATGCCTGTTTGCGACTTCTTGCGCTGCGAGTGCTCACAACAGACTGGGCCCGATTGCTTTCGCCCTCCCCTTCGGCCTCAGCTTCTCCGTCTGCACCATTGTCTATTTCCATAGGCGTTTGTGGCACTTCTTTGCTGTCACCCCCAGCATCCTCACCACGGAGGGTCGCCAGTCGTGCCTGAGAAACACGAATGTCTTGCTCCTGCTTGTCAACAGCTTTCTTCAGCTCGATGAGTTGCTGCGCTGCATCGACGAGAGCGGCATATTTTGCTAAGTTGTCACGAGTGGGCATGACGAGACGACCAGTGGTGACACCGAGTTCCCCAAGAAGCTGAGGGACCCGAGACTGAGCGCCTTGCTTCGGCTGGGCGATCTTGTAACTCCTAAGATGTGCGGGTTGATGGGCGGCCTTCGTTGTGGGGTGGTCGGTGTCTGTTCTGACGATACAATGAAGTGCATCTATGACAAGCTCGCTTAACTTTCAGCAACATCGGGAATGTAAAAAATGCGCACCGTAAGCGGCGGACTTGGCAGTCGACTTCTTGGGTTGTGGTTGTGGAAGTGCAATGACAGTCGCACTGGCGGGTGTGACGGGTGTTTGAGGCTCTACGCTGCTTGATACGCCCTTTTTCTTCTTTTTGACCTCGTTGAGAGGTCCAAGTAGCGCTTCATCGTCTTCTCGGATATCAGGCAGACCGGATTCAATACCACACAGGGTGCGTAGAAGCTCGTCCCGGTCTTTCTTGAACCTGCGCTCGTTCTCCTTGAGCTTCTCGAGTTCAAGATATAGCGCGTCTTCTTCTGCTATCTGCTCCGGAGTTCGGTTCTCCAAAGACTTCACGTATCTCTTTCGAGTGTTCTCACGATCTGATTCATTTTTGAGCATGTAAATGCAGCCACCATCGACTGTGCCTCTTACGCTTGTCATATGATAAAGACGCAATTAGAGCTGCTTTGCTGTGTTCATCTCCGAGCCAGGCACGATTGCGAACTAGCTTGCGGCATACACTGAAGTAACGGTCTTTGATATCCTACAGGCATGTTGAGAAGATTATACAGAGGTGTCCTGAACGAAGGCGTACCTCAATTGTCCGCTCCTTTCTGTTCGGGGACTCATAACGGTCATGGACCACAAAAAACCGACCATCGTACTCGCGCATCAAGCCGAAGAGGTAGTCTGTTTCCTCCTTCGTCCAGTCCGGGTCTACACATACCTAAGCTGAGGAAAGGGGCACGTGTGGGGCACATACCTTCTAAGTACTGAGAGTAATCCTCTTGAGAGTAACGTAGGACGGTGTGGAGATATTGTATTTGGCGAAGTGATACTCTGCAAAATTCTTGAGATATCAGAGTATGATGTGGGGCTGTAGTGCATACCGGTCTCGGGATCCTCACTTGACTTCACCCAGTGCGAGAGTCGCAGTTCGTCCGACCTCGCGCCGTTCTTAAACGGACGCCATTCCCTACACCGCACGCCGTCAGTGCAAGACCTCGTGCGTTGCATTGAACTCAGCTACGTACCATTTGACCTTCCTTCCGCCACCGAGATTGGGTTTCTGCTTGAGTTGAGGTTTTGCGAACTGGGCAGCGAGGGTAGGCGCAGAAGGGCCGATGAGGGCGTACAGTTCCCTTGGGATGCCCTCTGGCTTGCGGGTACGTTCGCTCGCTTGCGTCTTCTTCGGGGCAGGTGTACTCCCTGACGCCGCGGCGCTGGGAATGGAGAGGATGCTTCGAACGTCAGCTGCAGAGGCGGCCATGGCGGTCGGAGGTCAACAGGGTGCAGGCGCCGACGCCACAAGGGCGATCGCCCATGACGCGCTGAACCGCGACAGAGTCCAAACCGCCATGTTCTCCCTCCTTCGTCCGGCTGCTTCCTCTGTTCTCAGGCAATCAAGAGTGCTGGTGCAAACACGTCACGCGCGGCCTTTCCATGCGTCGCACGCGCGACGAAGGCCCACCGACCACAGTGGGCTCACCAATATCCTGGCGGGGGAGCAGCTCGCGGTGCAGGTGGAGAACGTCACGCCGGAGGGCATCTATCTGGCAGATGGCCACGTGATACCGTCTGCTTGTGTTTTTGTCGAAGGAAAGGTCTTCCTTTGGAATGTCCCGGAAACGGTCTGGGACGGCTGGACACCGCTCACCTTGGGCTCTTCGAAGCGATCGTCCCCAAACCAGGTGAGAAGCAACTGTGTCTTCTCGGTGTTCCGAGTTGACGTGAACGTTACCGGCTGGTAGAACTTTTGTTACTTGGAACAGGGTCCAAAGCAGAGATGTTGCCGCCTTCATTACGGCAGTACTTGAATAACATGGGAATCCAGGTGGACGTCATGAGCACAGTGCGTACAGGCAGCTCCGCCCCGCGACCATACATCTTAGCCAGCTCCCCAGAGAAACGCCTGCTCGACATACAATCTACTCGCGGAAGAGGGACGTCGTGTGGCCGCGGCTCTCCTACCTATCGCACCACAACGTTGGCAGAATGCGCCCCCAGCCTGAAGTCTCGCTGCAGGTCAGGTAGACAGTTGTAATTGATCCTATGTTACATATGGAATAATGCAACGGCTTCAAAGACGTGCGGGGCGACGCGATAGCACAGGTAGCCGAAAGACACGCGAGTAAAAGGCCTATTCGACGGCTTTCCTCTTCCCTTTGTCGTTCGATGGAGCCTCTTCTTCTTCGGGGTAGACTGGAGGGGACAACACTTTCACAGGAAGTAGTTTGCCTGCATGCCAAACGGGATAATGCATTGTACGCGTGCACGACACGACAGGGAGGATTCATACGTATGTAGTCGATGTCAAGCATCACAAACATGCACTCACCAGAGTCAGTATCCTTGAATTGGACAAATACAGGCTCCCAGTTCACAAGCGTGCCTTTGAGCTGTGTGCTGCCGTCCAACGTCTCATATTTCTCCGTGGGTCGTCCTTTCTCTTTGATGGCCTTTGCGAGCTCAAAGTCGTCCAGCGACGCGACCTTCGGCACGGTCCACTCTGACATATCTTCATCCATGGCGTCAATGCGTGGATTGGGAGCATCCAATACGCATGACTGCAGGGCTTCGAGTGCCTCGGTCTTCAAGGCGTCCACCGTGGACGTACTCGGGATAGTGATGAGTACGGTGAGCTTGTGGGTCTTGAGGAGAAGGATGAAGACTTTTGGCTGAGTCTTTGGGGGCTACAGAAAATGCATCAGAGCGACTTCGTGACCGCTCTAAGGAGATAGACCTACCATGATGATGGCTTCTTCGTGATGGACGTAGCACAAAGGGCGGAGACGTAGAGACGCGTCCAAAGTGGCTCTCGATGTCGCGCAAAGCACGTGTCCCCACTGGGACCTCGGGTGCCACGAAGCGCCCAAGCTGAGCAAGGCCAGTCACACTCGGGCGGTTACGGCGGTTCACCTCTCTTGCTCACCCGGCTTCCCGCCAGCGCCGCCATGAGCACATTCAACGACCCGGCATCGGCCAAGAAGCCGTATGTGGACCCCAACCCTCTCCCTCCGAGCGTCCCCAAGGTGCAGGAACTCGGCGCGACGAGCGCACCTCTCAAGAGTGCTGCATTCTTCCTCGGGGCGTACTGTAAGGACTATAATGGTACGTGTCCCAGGTGCTCTACGAAGCGTTGAGGCGAATTGGGTGGAGCAAAGACGAAGGAAAGAGATTCGCGGTTGGAGGGACAGTTGTTCACTTAGGTTTGGACGGTGAACGGTACGTGCAAGTGAGCTGACACACCGAACTCTCCCGCAATAGAGGACTTCATGCTCTGCAAGTCCGAAAATCGCGATCCCGCGCATTGTTTGAAGGAGGGCCGGCGAGTGACGCGCTGTGCGCAGGACCTGTACGTGCTGCTGTGCTTAATTCAACCTTCGCACTCCACTAACGAGAACACCTCATGTCAATTGACTGCGCTGTGTTCAGCATCACCAAGTTGAGGGAGAACTGCATGGCCGAGTTCGAGAAGCACTGGACTTGCTTAGAGTACAACAACCAGGTGCGTAGTCTGTCTTGATGTTCGGTCGTGCTCGACCAGTCGATCATTCGAAGGGTGCTCATGCGTGTGCGTGTTCGATTACGCAGGAGTACTACCCGTGCCGGAAAGACGAGCGCGTCTTGAACAAGTGCGTGTTTGAGAAGTTGGTGAGTCGACGGTTCCCCGGGTCTATACCACCGAGTCTCATTCATCCCCCACATGACCTTTAGGGTCTCATCAAGACCATTCCTGGTTCGCCGGAGGGCAAAACTCCCATTCACGAGGTCAAGAACCCCATCTACACTGGCGTGCAGAAGTAGACCGTACTGCCAATACATCCTTATATTGCTGCCGTGTATATGTTCTGGCCAACGTCGCTGCGCGGGATCCTTCGCACACCGCAAAACCCAAGAACGCATTGCATAAGACCACAATCCGCCGTTGAAATTACGGGCGAACGTTACTTCCCGTATGCTCTGGCGGTTTGGAGGAATGGCGTGGAGGGCATGCCTATGAACTACTCATGATCATAAGTGGGTAGGTACACCAAGCGAATGACATAGATAACGCCTCGTATCCAATGTGGTCCGTGAGGGTCGTTCAACTGAAGGAACGACACCCTCCGAGGGCACTTGTCGGACGTGGCGTCCACCGTCACACCGTCGCTCAGCGAGCGGGGGCTGCCCGCGGAGGTGCTAGCAAGAACGCATCGCAGAGGATAGTAACATCAAAGATGTTACTCCGTGAACCTCAGCACGAAGTTTATTATGATCGCAACTGAGGAGAGCGTCAGCCTTGCAATTCTGAATGATGCCGGATGGCAACCTACTAAGCAGAGCTAGCACAGGATGGTCTGCAATAGGAGTTAGGTCTGCATGCGCAAAAGCACTCATCACGAAACTCGCTCACCGGCCCGACCCTGTCGTCATATGGTCCACGGCCACCTTTGCGAATCGAGTTGGCGCGCCAGTGGAATGTGTACAACGCGTAGACCATCACACCCATGGCTTGAGAACGGGAGGGGCCGTCAAACATGTTCACAAGTGTCACACGACCAAAACACCGTGGACATACCGACAAGAGAGAACATAGCGGCGCTGATCTTCCCCACCTTTACTGACGGCGTCAGTCTGCCGGCGCAGCATATGTACGGTAGAGGGAGCGCACCTTATCACCAAAGTTGAGGAGCCCAACCGCAAGACCGCCGAGGACAACGGTGAAATGGAGCCATGAGAGAAAGGTGCGCTCGTTGGCGAAGGCGACCTTGGGCTCGACCTTGACGGGGAGCGCGATGCGTTTTGCCGCGGTGCGCTGAAGGAGGGGCTGGGTGGACATAGGGATGAGGAGGCGCGGGGAGAAGGGGGTGGAGAGGAGGAAACCGACACTCTCTGCAGCGATAGAGAAATGGGCTCTTGAGCAAGGCTGACGTTCCGGACCGAGGCGTGTTCCTCAAATTCCGCTGCCGGAATGGGCAATTTCAGGCGAACGTGCGTGCTGCGAGTGGCTAAGCCGGACGGAGCGCCGCGCCGTCGCACGGAGCTGCTTCTCGTCACGCATCACGACACGCTTCGACAGCACGTGCCGCCAGTCACAACGCCGACTCGCGACTCGCGACTTGCGCCTCGTGCCAAGTCGCCGCGTTCTCCGTCATTCCTCCGCCTGGCCGCACGCCCCTCCCGTCCTATAGCCCAACTCGACTTGGCCAAAGTCATGAACGGAAGCGCGGGCGATGCCGCCGCCGAAAAGGCGTACGTGCCGCCCCCTTTGACCGTTCAGCAAGAAGGTACGTAGCACCCAACCCGATGTTCACGCCACTGGGCTAAACGTGCCTTTCGCCCACACAGATGCTATCATAAACACGCGCATCACGAACGACGAAAAGGCCTTGCGCCGCGTGACGAAGAAGTTCCACCACTACACCGTTTCTGCTTTCCCCCCTGCCGCTTCGTCCACAGCATCCTCCGTCGACGATGCGCGAGAGGCCTTCCTTCTGGAGCTGGCCTCCTTCCAGCTCTCGCTCCAGAAGAGCATGATGGTGTGCGAGGCGGAGGCGAGACAGGTGGAGGAGTACCAGCGGGAACGAGACCGAATATGTGAGTCCTGCGGCATGCCTAACACCCCGGTCCTGAGATCGTCGCATGACCAGCAAATGAGCACAGTCGGCTGAAGGATCAGATCAACGAGCTCAAGGCGGCACTCGAGCATGCGCAGCTGGAGCGCAAGCAGAAGATCGAATACGACGTGATTGCGGAGAAGGTCAACTCGCTGCCCAGTCGCGACGAGCTCGAACAGTATGTCCCCTTCCATGGCTTCGCGCGATGCGTATATATGCAAACGTGCGCGTGTGTTCCGCAGGTCAATACAGTCCCTCGAGAACGACATGATTGCCATCCGGGCCGAACACGAGAACCAGAACCGCCTCCTCCAGGCGCAGAAGGCAGCGCTCGACACCGTGGTGCAAAGCGTCAGCGAGCTCCGGTTGCTTGGGAAAGACGTTGCGGAAGATGAAACACCGGCACCTGAAGCTCAGCCCGGCGATGAAGACGTGGAGATGGACGGAACTGGAAGCGTACGTACCCGCGAGGAGTCTGGCGAGCTCAAAGAGGAGCCGGGTCCCTTCCAGCATGCGGATGGGAAAATGCTGGTAGACGGACATGACTCGGAGGACGACGTGCCATTGGCGAAGACGATCCTCAATCCTGCGGCACGGTCATTTGTCCCCAATCTCGGACAAATACACCCCTCACGCCTGCTCGTCGAAGCACACCTGCCCAGCTCACCGATTACGAGCAAGAGCAGGGTGAAATTGAGCATGGTGAGATCGAAGAGCAGGGCGAGATTGAAGATATCAAGGCGAAGAGAAAGGCTAGGGAGGACTTGGAAGAAGGCGAAGCTAGCGACGAGAGCAGTCTCAGCGACCTTTCCGAGATGCCTGATGATTGAACCTGTTACCCGGCTGTTGTACATTAATCTCTTTGTATCTCTAGACTACAGGCTAATCTCTCCTCGGCCTCACGTCCACACTCATCAAGTCTGTCGCACATACCACTTCCCCCTCGAATGTACTCTCGGCCAAGCCCCGGATTGCATCCATAATCTTTCTCGACTCCTCGTTCGTGTCAACATCGCCGGCGTATCGGGCAGAGAAATGGTTCAGAAGCAATTTCCTGGCTCGTATTCTCTTCCCAAATACTCCGGCCATCTGTGGTGTCGAATGGCCTCTGGACTTGGTGCGCTCCTCCACGCTCAGGTACGTGTCTTCCGTTTTCGTGCTCGGATCCACTCCCGGGAGATGCGCGTTCGTGGCCTCATGTATGAGCAGGCACGCGTCCTCCGCGAGTCGTGCGATGGGCGACGGGTCGTACGTGTCTCCCAGGATGACGATCTTCCGCCCCGGCTGCCGTTCCGGTCCTCGCAGCACCGTGCCGTCCTTCAGTGTGACGGCCTCCCCGCGCTGCAGCTGGCTCATCACCGACATCGGCGTTCCCGTCCGCTTCAGCTCCTGGAGGTACTTCTTCGGATCCATCTTGCCTGGGATGGGTCGCTCGGCAACGACGAACCCAACACAGGGCACCGAGTGCAGGATGGGCGCGGCGGAGACGGTGACGAGCGGGTCGGCGAAGATCTCGGGCCAGGCCCCCTCCGCGTCTTGCACGATGTTGCGCCCGGGACGTTCCATTACGTGCGGGGGGAGCGCGGTATGGTCGCCCTCGGGCGGGTCGGAGGCGAGGCGCAGTTCGTGCACGGCGTAGGGGGCGCCGAGGAGGGTGTGGGTGTAGAGCAGGCCGGCGCGGACGTACGCGCGCGTGCCAGAGGCCGTAGATCTCGAGCAGCTGCGGGCTGAGCGTGAGCACGAGGAAGGGTGCACGAGCACGGCCTACGCACCGGCACAGCTCCCAGGGGGTCGCCGTGGAGGTGCGGGGATCCTCGGCCCCGTCGACCATGCCTCCGGCGCCGTTGAGGCGCATTGCAAGGAGCGGAATCACCCGAATATATGGTCGCCTGTGAGAAGAGAATATGGGTGAATGGGCCTGTTTTTTTTAAACTCTTGAGACTCGCCATGGGTGTGTGTGATGAATATCTTCTGGATCTTACCCACCTTCACCGAGCTCTTCTGTATCTGGTGTTGGGTCGCCTCCCCACAATCGAACAACCAAACATTCCACTCAAGCGGAGAGCGAGCGAGGAGTGATTGCGTGTCGACGAAGGTTGAGCGACGCGCTCCCGAGGATGGTGATGTTGACAGATGAGAAGGTGGTCATCTCGTCGTGGGCTTAAGCATTAAGCTTTAAGTACTAGACCTCCTGAAAACGACTGAAGCCTCATAGCCGTGAATCCAGCCCCTGACATCATGGAGGCTCTAACGAAATTGTTTCCGGTCCTTGTCGATTAGTGGTTAGATCATCACGTTGTGGCAGCACAATTCCGTGAAGACGCAGGCTCGAATCCTGCCTGGGACATGCAGTGAGCAGTGATCAAAAATTTTAGTTTTTGTCGATCTATTCTACCGTTACTCTTACGCTCATTCCCTTGAAGTCGAGCCTGCCATGGAACCTCACCTGAGCATCCTGGTACGCACTTGTGTCTTGCACCTTCAACCTCATACTTGTGTATTCATACGATCTCAATCAGGACCTCTTGAAGCAAGCGTCCAAGGACGCAGCAGAACTTGAACGAGAGAATAATGACCTCCGCAAAGAGTTAGCGGCAACGAAGGCGAACTCAGTACAGCCCAGAGGGCGTCCGCTTATCTAGACGGCAAAGCAGAGGTACAAGATCTGGGACCGACCTCTTTGACGAGGTGGACGAGCTGCAGGCTCAAGTAAAAACACTCTCGGAGGTGCGTTTGCATACGCATACCTATGATCGTTGAGCCCACCAATGCATCTTTGGATAACAGTCCAACCAGCGTTACAAAAGAAGGCTTCGCAAGGTGCGTTTGCATTACCATGCTTCCATCTGCTCATGTTCGAATTGTTGGCAGCTCCGCAAGCAGGAAATCAACAGAGAGGCAGCCGACTTGGTGGAGGGTGACAGTTGGATACCGGGGCAGGCGACGTCAGCGTGCACACCATGCGCAAAGTATGTTCAGGGAACATGTGCGACGGTGTGGCGTGCTCTCTGAGCTCGCGTTGCAGTTGTTGCGAGCGTTCAGAGACTTGATGGCTTCCAACGCGTTGGAAGATAAAGAAGAATGCCCCATTTGTATGGAGCCGCTCCGCGTCGAAAGCGCGAAAAGGTGCGTTGCCTGAGAAGCCAACGATATACTACGTATGTGTTGACTGTTATCCCCAGCTTACCTTGCGATCACACGGTATGCGAAGAGTGCTTCAATCAGCTGAAACGCCTCTCCAGCCCTGACGATGGAGACATGGGGAAGGAATGCGCAACCTGTTCTCAGTGTCGTCAGAGATATCTCCACGAGGACGCCGAGACAGTGCGATACACTGCGGCACAACAGTGGGACGCCTTGTTAGACATCGCCAACAAATGGACCAGGATGGACACTGCTCAAGATAAAAGCGACGACGAGATGGAAGAGGACGCCTCAGAGGAAACCGAGTCCGTCATGGCAGACAACATGGGCACTCCAAGGTTTTGTCGCCATACCACCGTATTCACATAGCATGCTCATTTATGTCACACAGTGCAAGCGATTGTAGAGCCCAGCCTATACGGGGCGCAAGTGCCATCTGACATGGAGGGCTCGTCGAAGCGTCTCTGGAGACGACTGATTGCCAGTTCTCCGACACGTTCCAATTGACGAGACCACGTAAGAGTCACGGGGAATGAATCGAGCGATTGCATGCGTATCAGCGTCCCGTTGTATAGTATTGTATGAGCAAGTACTTGCATTGACCCCGGTCTCCGCAGCCAGGAATGAGAAAGACGCGCTGATGTGTGAACATGGGCGTGACTAAACGGTGCCGCAGCTTCGCTTGTTGCGTCTTACATACCACGACTACCTATCGCTTTCTGCCACAACCTCAGTGTCTGGGCTTGAACTTGATGGCGCCTGCTACACGCTCTTCCGGTCTGCTAGTATCGCAAGCATCCTCCAGTAAAGTCAAAGTTGAGGATATACAAGAAGGTGATGTGCTTGAGACTGCCCCCTCGACTAGTTCCCTGCAAGTAGGCACCCTCGTAGACCCTTGATCTGAAGCACACGCTGACGGAAACTTGTTAGTTGTCGATACAAAGGGCTTATGCTGGTGCTCAAGCCATGGAACAGGAGAACAAGCTCCTCCGCAAACAGGTGGAGCAACTCGAGGAACAGTTGGATGCGAAGGTGGACGGCAGCGGAAGGTCTTCATCGGAGTCTAATCCGCTGAAAAGGAATAGACATAGTGCATCGGAGCTGCGTGTTGAGGTAAAGCAGCTTCAAAAACAAGTCAGGGCATTGCAGAGGGTGAGTATTTATTACAATTGTGTCTCTCTCCAATACCCTTGTTCGTCTGGGCGGTAATGTGCGCATACTCGGGGCTCTGCTACCACAGTCGAAGGCGGAGTACAGAAGGCATTTGGTTCAGGTATGTGGCATCAGAGTACTAGCACCAGCTTCCTGGGAGGTTTAAAGTCTCGCAGCTACAAGTCCCCGCAATGAATGAGCCAGGAGACCAAGAGCGAGACTTCCAGGCAGACGACTCCGCACATTCCCTGCGGAAGGTCTGTCTCACCTACCCGTTGGCTCTCCGCTGCTTGTTCACACATTTTCTGGATTACCGATAGATTCTGCGGGAGGTCTCAGACTTGGTGGAGGCGGCGACCATCGACGACGACCAATCGTGCGACCAATGCGGCAAGTTGCTACATGTAGAGAAAGCACACAGGTCAGTCTCAACTCGTCCCATTTCCCGCCTGACGACATATCTCGGAACCAGTTTTCCGTGCAAGCATGTCTACTGCGCTGACTGCATGAGACTGAAGATCCGACCCAACCCACAGAAGACCAAGGTAGAAGAAATGAAGTGCCCCACATGCGACACGGTATGCCTCCGTGAAGACGTCGAAGCCGTGAGGTTCACGGAAGAGCAACGATGGGACCATCTCCTCAAGGTCACACGACGATGGGCCAAGGTGGACTTCCGAAACCGCGATGCGGGCTCGACGGACGCAGAGAACCTTGAAGATGACTGGATCGACGACGGGGAAACGACAGAAGCAGGGGCTTCCAGGTGCGCTCCTTCGAATGTCGGACATAGCGTCGTCGCTGACTGAAAGCACACCAGCACGGCGCGCTCGGACGACCGCGCCCATAGTGCACTTTCGAGCTCTCCAGAGCCTCAAAAGCGGGCGATCGAGTCCCCGACACGCCTGCGCAAGCGGGCCCGCGTCTCGTCTGAGCCGGAAGAGGACGAGCAGCCCTTTGAGTGAGGACATTGAACTCCATCCACCGTCGAGTCCAGCCAGCTGATGCCTGCGCACATCCAGCCTCCCTTCAGGAGGAACAGAAACCTCTCCGGCCACTACTCCCGATGATGACGACACGCCGCCACCGCAGAACACTCCTATGTCGGCCTCAAAGCGCAGGCTCTCATACAGCAGTTCGCCACGGAAAGACAAGAAACGGATGCTGGAAGCGATGGCTTCCGCTCGCGAGCGCAAACGCCAACGCCGATAGATTTACGTAGTGTTGTACTCTTTGCCGTGTTCTCGCACTGGCCCAGCAGTGTTCACAAAAACATATGCGCGCCCTTTGCGTGAGCTCTTTCCAGGGTTGAATGATTTACTATCGGCACGCAGCGTCGAAACCCTCCGTCAAGCAAGGTTGTGCGCGGGTATGCCTAATCTATGCTAAGAGCAACGAAAAATACAAGTGGAGGGAAGATCGAGCAGAGCAGAGTATAAGGGATATATAGAGGGTATGAGGCGGTGGGGGATGCGAGAAGCACAGCGAGGAGCAGGAGGGGAACGAGACGCGTGTGTGGGAATGAATGTGGATGAACGTGGACGGGGCGAATGCGGATGCGGGGTTCGGGGGCGACAGCACTGCGCAGTGCAGAATAAAAACGCAATAAGAAACATGGATGTATACGATATTAAACTAGTACGTGGGGCAGGCAGGGGCCAGGAACGGTGCATGTGTGATTAAGGAGCGAGGGCGAATGCAAGTGGCTAAGGGAGCTATTCATACAGTGATAGAAAGAGGGAAATTTTCCGAATTCCACAAGGCGGAGGTGCGGCGCGGCGCGGGGAGGCTGGCCAGAGGCGCGTCCCGAGGACCGGCGGGGCGGCGCGCAAGCATCTTTGACACTTCGACGGGCCATCCGATGCAGCTCTACTATCCCGTTAGCGCGGCCACGGGCGTGAACGCGTTCGAGCGCTGGAACAACAGCAGGTTTCTGAGCGACTTCCGTGCGGACAGCGTCGAGCCTGCAGGGGACGGCGGCACCGGCCCGGGAGTCGAGCGCGACGCTGGGACCGGGGCGAACTCGCGCGGGGGAACGTCGATGCGCATGTCGAACCCGCCGGAGCGCTCACGCTCGCGCGTGCGCACGTTGGGTACAAACAGCGAGCGGTGCCGCTGTGGCCGGGAGGCGGAGCCGTCGAATCCGTTTCGCCGGGACGCGTCGAGCTCGAGGAAGGGGGAGGCGGCATGGGCGGCGAGCATGAGGTCGAAGTCCATGGAGGAGCGCGAGATACGACCGGCTCGGAGCACGCCATCCTCTGTGCTCGAGGGCGTCGAAGACCCCGAAGTACGTCGGCGGAGCGAGGTGCGCCGCAACCAGTGCACGATGCTGCTAGAGTAGTCCAGAGGGGGCGAGGAGTCAACCAGGGCTGGGGAAGGCGAGGCGCGACCGGCATCGGAGGAAGCAGTCGAGGACGTCGAGCGGGCCGGTTGTGTGTGGAACAAGGAGCGCACGTGGTCGACCATCGAACGCGAGCGCGTCGGCTTGCCATCCTTCCCATTCTTGTCCCCCGCGCAGTGGGCTCGCGTCCATGCTCGTCTCTGCACCAGAAGGAGCGGTGACGGCGCGGACCCGTACAGGCAAAGGGATGGGAAGCGGCGCGGTGTCGACAGGGCTGGGTAGCGCCGACGACATCGGAGAGCCCTGCGACATCTGCGTCGGGGGCGAGTCCAGGTCCAGCGTCGGCACCTCCACCTCCTCGGGGCTTTGGAAGATCGGGCCGTCTGTATGTGCGCCACCATACCCCAGGTGCATGTGCGCAATGGCGGTGTTGATCGCAGGCGCGATCGAGGCCGGCTGCTTCCTGTGTCTTCGGGCGGCGAGCGAGGACTTCGCACGCTCCATGAACCCCGAGGCCGAGGAGGAGGAGGTCGGAACTGCGCTCGAGATGATCATTTCGGCCGGAGCGCCGGTAGGGGTCGGAGGGGGGAGCACCGGCATGGGAGGCATGGGCGGCAAGGGGGGCATGTCGAGGTCGACGGAGCGGTTCCGGCGATTGACGACCATGCGCTTGGCGGCAGTGAATCCCATGGCGCTTGCGAGACTGAGGCCAGAATTCGATCTTGACATCCCGCTGCCCTGTCTCCTTCCATAACCAGAGCCGGAAGGGAGACGGAGCTGGAAGAGGTCGTCCCCGCGCATCTGCACCTGGGCCCTTGCGGCGATGCACGCCTCGGAGAAGATGTCGTGCAGACCAGCGTCGACTTGTGCCCTGTATTGAGAAGACGCACGCGCAACCTTGACGAGTTCGAACGCTGTGGCAGACCCGAAGAATGCCTTGACGGACGTGGTGGATGAGCGCCTTGAAGCTGCAGAGAACGATGAGAGTTCCGACTTGATGGCATGTCCGTCCGTCCGAGAGATGGTCTTGGGATGCTTCTTGGACAGGGTCTGCATCGAAGCTTCCGCCTTCGAATCGCTTTGCTTCTCCAGTTCCGACATGGACTGGACCGTCGGAAGCGCCATAGGCTCCTCTAGGACCTCAGTCGATGGAATGACGGCCAAGGGTAGGGGCGGGGACTTGTCGTCCGTCTGTAGGCTTGGGACTGGCTCGTGGGTCCAGCAGGGGGTGGCCGAAACAGATTCGCGGATCGCGCTGAGCCAGATCGCCTTCTCTGCAGCACAAGAGGCAGCGACTTGAATGTGATGGCCGAATCCACTGATGCGCAACGAGTATGGGAAGCAAGCTGCATGAAAAGGATATGGTGTCAACAATGGGCGCAGGGTATCGACCTGCTGGAGGCACACTTACCATGATCATCCTCCGTATCAATAACTTCGACTGCGCTCAGGGAAAACCAGTGTCGAGGCTCGTACACCCTCCCGCCTTTCAGAATCTTCGCGAAGATACAATATCCGCCGGAATAGAGGAACACACCGAGATACTTCGCACGATGAGCAGGGTACTGCACAACGTCCAAAGCACCTGCAAGCATGCACGGGCCGAGTGATGAGACAAAGTCTGGGGTGAGGGAGGTTGGGCGAGGCGAGGCGACCGTGGATACGCATGTTGAACAAGGCGAGCCCGCCGAGGACGGAGAAGGGCACGAGCAGAGCGATCCAGAATGGCCCTCTTGTGACGAGGCACACTCCGAGATTGACGCTGCTGGAGATGTGGGCACGTTCGCGGATACCGACGACGAAGCGAAATTGGCGACAGAAGTCTGGCCGCCCGAGTGGAGGAACGTGATCCTTGACGCTATGAGCGCGGATCGGAGGTTGTGGGCCTCCTTTTCGCTAGCCTGGTTGACTTTCGCCACCACGGCTCGCATCGTTTCCCCTGCTCCACAGATTGCGTCGTCGGCGGCCTTGCCCTTGTCGAGGTGCGCTTCGAGCGTGGAGGAATGGAGGTGGTCCTCGTGCCCGTGTTCGAGTCGCTGTCGTTTCTTGTCCCGCAGCTGGTCCAGGAGGAGCGGATACTTGCATATCCGCTGCACGGGTTTGATGAGGTAGTCCATGAGCTTGAGCTTCTGCGTGCCAGCCCGCCCGCCTTCCACGGAGACCAAGGACGTCGGCCGGGACCGTTTCGAATGACGCAAGGTAGGGAAAGAAGAATGGTCCGCGGAGGTCTCGGCGGATGGGCTGCTGCCGGTGACCAAAGACAGCACTGGGGTGGAGTGTCTTCGTTGTCTCCGTTGCGAATGGGAGAGCGCTTCATCGACCTCCGGTGCTGCGCAAGTCGGAGAGATGTCCACGGCAGCCTCGTCAACGAAAACCCCGGGTGATGGAGAAGAAACCAGAAAAGCACAGCGCTGCTCGTAGGCCTCCCACACCACAGGCCAACGTTCCTGCGCCCGTCGGACGAGATCTGTCGCCGCTGGATGACCGGGGCAGAAGCGTTCATAGACGTTAAACGACGCAGCCTACGAAGTTACGAGAGCGTATCGCGCAATGTCAGTGGCGCGCCAAAACGAGACCCTACGCGCACGTACCTCGTGTACGAACTTCGCTGCCACGACCTCTACGGCCCTCTCCATCTCCTCCACATCCGGGTCGTCACTCGGCAGCTTGTTCGTCCATTCGTCACCGTTGGGTGTCAGGAGTTCTCGGAGTCCGACCGCGGCGACCGCTTCACGTAGTTCGTCGACGAACCGCTCGTGGAAGTCGAGGAGCTCATGCGCGTTCCTACAGACCGTGCGTACTTCTCGCTCGATAAGGACTGGCGCAGGAGAAGCATGCGAGTTCTTTGACGGAATGATACGATCCCAGGCGTCTTTGTCGGATTCCCGGTAGCTTGTTGCATCGGACGCTGTGGAAGCTCCGGAAGGCTGCCGTTCACGCTCCGGTGATCGATCACCGGTCTGTGCTGAGGTCCAGGGAGTGCTGGGGCTGTGCGAGGGCACGGGCGGGTGAGAAGCATGAACAGACGGCCGAGCTCCCGGGAGTATTGAGGGTATGGAGAGTGTTGAAAACGAGGTGTATCCGCGAGAAGGATGGCGACCGGGAAGAAGGGGAACTGGTGTTGGAGAGGTCAGCGACGCGGGGGAGCCTGACGAGAGACCGACGGAGGCGGGAGAGACCGGCGGCGAGCAGAGGAGGAGGAGCTGGTCTAGGTAGACCTGCCCAAAAAACATCAGAGCGGGCCGATGACCGACGCGAAGGGAGGCAGGGACATACCGAGACGAGCGCGCGAAGATCGAGAAGGTACCCAACCTCAGTGGCGAGAAGCTCGGCCAGGGCGTGGTACCTTCGAATGGTCTCCATTCTCTGCTTCTTCTGTTCGCCAAACGTGGGCTGGCCCATGTCGCGCCCCGGCTCCTGGTCTTCTTGGTGCGTTGAGCCCTGCTCCTTATACGCGCGCGGGCTCGCTTCGTCGTCCGAGAGATCAGCTTCGTCCGCGAGGTTGAACAGCTTCCTGCCAGACTGCATGTGCGGCGCCGTTTCACCTCCTGTCCGCCCTTTATCCTCTTCACGCTCGTGTGGTCCCGGCGCGCACCGCGATAAACTCGGGAGAAGCGCCTCGCCCGCGAGGGCGTCGCCCTCGGCGCTATTGCGTCGGCCGGGGACCGGAGGTAAGGCCTTCTGGGCGTCCGCGGCCGCGCCGCGCAAGCCGGGACGCGGCGGCAGCGGCTTCGACAAGTCTCCCGGAAGCGAGAGCCGGCGCAATTTGTCGCGTGTCGCACCACTCGTCGCTCTCCTCACAATGACGGGGGATGTTGGGGGAATGTGCGACGACGACGGAGTAGAGGATGAGGTGGGGCGCGAGAGCGAGGACGCACGAATTCCTGGGCGGCTCGGGCTCGTGCTAGCAGCCCGCGCTCTGCTGCGGTGCCGTTGTGCGCGCGCGGACGAGGGCCCGGACCCGGAGGCACGTGGGGTTGAAGAAGAGAGTTTGGGAGTTTTGGGCGGCGGTGTGGGAGGGGAGGTCATCCATGTGGGATTGGGGGGATGATGGGTGATGTAGTCGTCGGAGGGGCGGGGGACCCGGGAGGCGTGCTCGAGCGCACCGAGGGCAGTGGGCGTGGCAGCGTGCGCGACCTCAGGGGTGAGGAGAGGGGAGGCCATGATGGGCGTGAGGGGGGTGAAGGGAAGCGCACCGGTGGGAGCCCTGGGGTGGGCGCGGAGGCGGGGCGAGGGGAGGGTGTGGTTGACCGTGCTGGAGAGGGCGAGACGGTCCGGGATGTCGGCGAGGGATGATGTGCGGCGTTCAAGGAGATTGAGCGGCGAGGGAGAGGGAGCACGTTCATGGAGGCTGACATGATACCGGAGGGCAGTTGGGCTCTGGCGGGCTCGCCTGCGAGATATGGCGCGCGGGCGCGGGAAGAGCGGCGCTCGTGGGCTGGACGGCGCGTTGAGAAGGGCGGGCAAGGAGGGAGGGAGGGGAATGGTGAGAAAAGGCCCGGGAGGCTGGCGATGCAACAAGCGGACTGGGACGGCCTGGCAGGTTGCTCGTCGTTGTGCGTTTCGGGGTGCCGATGGGTAGACACTGACCGGGAGTAGTCCAAGATATGGTGGATATGGCGCATACAGTGGGCTCCCGTCTCGCGGGCTCTGCTCCCGCTGCTGGTAAGCTTTAGAGTCGTCGTGAGGGGCGAGATCTGTGGTGTGCGGCTGGCGAGGCCAATGGGGGCGGGGACGAGGACGCGCGAGAGGGCGACAAGACCTGCGATCGAGGCACCCGCCGCGGTGACGCCATTCCTGACCGTCGCCGACACCGCTTTGACCGCTTTTAATTCTCCGGAGGCCCGGTCCGCACACTCTGCCTGGGCGTTCGCCCTCTTTGGACGGCGGGCCCCGGAATCAGGCAAAGCCGCAGCGGCGACGGGGTGCCACAGACGACTCGACCCGCGGCGACCCCCACAGGCAACCCGGCCTCCACGAAACACGCAGATCGCTGTCAATCGCACACAGACTTGCCTACCCACTCAGTACAGCGCCCTCGAGTCGTCGCCCCGTGGATGGTACAAAATGTTCTTCCGCTCGCACTCTCGCTTTCGCCACTCCTCTTTCTCCAGGAACTCGTGCAGTGCCCGGATCCCAGCGTGCCTGAAAACCCTGTACGCTCCCTGCTCCTTTTCTTCGTAGCTCTGCACGTGCCGTTGATCAGTGCCCGTTTGCTCTGTCAACTCTGAGGGGATCGCACCGTTGGCGGAAGCTCTGAGAACCTCCGAATCCCTTGCCGACGGAGCGCCGGCACCCCCGAAAGGCCCAGCTCCTCAAGCCCGCCCAGACGCCGCACAACAACCTTGACACCCTCGAGGGTGAGCTTGGGGCAGAAGGGAAAGTGGAGTTCGCTGAGGGCCGCTCCGTGCTCCGCGAGCGCAAATAGCGCCTGGTCCGTCACCTTCGGTAGCCCCCCCGCCGCCAAGCTTCGCAGACGTTCCAGTCCTGAGAGCGCGAGCACCGCCAAATCCGTCAGCTGTTTCATGACTGCCGGTGTCCAGCCACAGAGCACGTCGGCGTGGTGTCAACATCCTCATAACACGGTGAGAACAGGGGACTCACAGCTGATGTCTACCACTTGCAGGCGCAGACACGCGTTCGCGATTGCTACCACGCCGGCGTCGGTGGCGTTCGCTAATCCTCCGATGTCAAGGGTGTCCAGGTGTCTGCCTAGCCCGCACAAGGCATGTAGCGAGCGATCTGTGAGCTTGACGCAGCCTGCGAGGCTGAGCTGGTGCATGCGAGGCGCGTGCGCCACCAGCCCGAGCACCGCGCCGTCCGTGAGCTTGAAGCAGTGGCTCAAGTCGAGCACACGCAACTCATTCATCTTGTGTGATGCAGGAAGTGTGAGAGGGGGGAGACGATCAGTCCAGTTCCTTGGACGGCCTTCTGAATTAGGTCTTGCTTGAGAGTCACCGCGCTCCGATACCCATGGAAAACCGGCGTCGGTGAGGTGTAGGCATCCGGAGAGCGTCCATCGTCGGAGGCCGCGTGCGAACGTCCATATATCCCGGACTGAGGCCGCGGTCACGAGTGGGAGGCTGTCCATCTCTAGATGCTCAAGACGCGGGAGTCCACGGACGAGCGCGGCAAGGGCGTGGTCAGTGATCCCTGGTATGCGATTGACAGCGAGCGCAGTGAGGGACGTTGAATGTGTTGCGATCGCCCGTAGTCCAAGATCGGTGATATCGAGGCACCCGGAAAGATCGAGTGTGCCTAGGCGAGAGGCATTCTCAGCCAGGAGGATGAGGGTTCGCGATGAAAGACCGCGGATGCCACTGAGGAGCGCTGAAGTGACGTTTGGGCAGTAAGGCAATACCTCGGCGAGTTCATCGTCCGAGTAGGTGGATGCCAGTGCCGAGTCGAAATCTGGATGGAACTCGAGGTGTTCGGTGTAGTGGCATGATTCTTCATCTGAGGGGAGGGCATCGATGAACTCCATGGTGGCTGATTGAGCAGGCGTGGGGTAGAGTAGGCGTCTTGACCTCGGCGGCTTTATAGAGGCTTCTGAATGCCATTGTGGTCACTATTGTGGCCGCTCGAGGTTGCCGGGCGGGGGAAACGTGCGTTTGGACCGATATGACCGGGCCCCTACAGAAGGGCGATTTCCATGCGTATGTTTCATCACAGGCGGTAGACGTAAGTAGTGGTGAATGTCTACGCTCACGTCGTGCCTTTGTTCCAAAGGTGGTTTTGTCCTGTGCAAAATACTGGTTCAGGCTGTGGAGCGGACAGGTATGTTAAGAGTGAGGTACAAGACATGTAGCCGTGGTGATTATTAGAGCACCGGAGTGGCCATGGACTGTGTTCAGTGCGTCGTGGGAATGTCTTCAGGGCCGGATGCGAATGGCCAGGCGAGCCTGCACTCGTTCACCACAGTTGGGCCTCTCTCTCCTCCGGACAATATTCTTGTTCTCTCGTCACACCATCTGAGCGTGTGTGGACCGCAATCAGACAATCTCAAGATGAGCAACCTTTCTTCCTCCTCCTCCGTCACCCCAACTCCCTCCACCTTCCACAACACCCCGACCGCAACGCACCCCAACTCCGTCTACCTTCCCAGCTACGTTCCCTCTTCTCCGGGTGCACTCCCTCCGCCGTCGCCAAATAGGAGTCGGATACCCGTGACACCAGCGGTGCTGCGCTCCATCTTCGCCTCCTCCCGGACTGCATTCGAAGAACGCTCACTTTCTCGCATCGCCTTCTTCCGGTGAGTGCATCATACTATCACCTAGAAGGGACAATTGCTGAGCTGCAGCACAGATTCACGGGATTCTTGCTCAGTTGTTTAGCCATCAGTCTAGCTGCCGCGCGGGGAAGGGGAATTAAGGGCGGAGCCGCGCTGCTTGGGGTAGGAGTTGTGTAGTTTCTGTAGGTCACTTTTTCTATCCGCTATACAATACCACTACTTGAATGCTTGTCTTGCGAATCAGTCCAGCTGCCCTCCTTAGTGCAGTGGACAACAGGGTGAGCATGTGGTCGATCAAAGCGAGCACATGGCATTGTCGTCCAGCGAGGAAATACTGTGGCAGGTACGCATGTCTTGCCATTCGGACGTGAAGTACGATTCAATTGTTCTTGATAATAGCGCTTAGTTGGAGGTGTCTAGACTTCGGCAGCATCTACGCTCGCGTTCCAACCTACGGACGCGTGGAAACCGCGTTCCGGTCTGCGGCACTTAATGTAACGGTGTCATAGCTTTCAATGTGGGACGCTTCCTCATATGGCGCACAGAAGTGTATGCCATATGAGGGGCATTAGCCTCACATCCCTCCAGTCGGTCCACCAACCCACGTCCAGGGTGATCCAAGCTGCCATAAGGACACGTTCTTCAAGCGAGGCATTAATGACCTCGCGCATATATGTGCGCTCGACGTTCCGTGCATGTACGCCTCTCTCTCGTCTCTCCCGATGACTGGTCGAGAAAAGCCTCCTCAGCCACCCACAGGACCAGTCTCTCAGTGCCGTGGTCCTTTTATCCCCCACGACGCTGAAAAGTCTCACCAACGACGGTTTTCGACTATTTCGCGGAAACGTGTAATCGGCGCGGCGGTAGTTGCAGCCAGCGTGTGCGCGTTCACAATCATCCCCCCACTTCCACCGGCCACTACTGCAGGCTTCCGCAGCCATCCGTCCCTCTCCCCTGAAGAACATGTCCTGTGTTCGAGAAGATTCGCTTTGCCACGGGCACGTGAAGACGCCCTCCTTCGCAGCAAGTCAGACCGGTTTGAGCCCGGAACACGGCCTACCCTCATCAAGAACATCACTCTATGGACCGGGGCTAGGAATGGGACGGAAATCGTATACGGCGACATCTTCCTGGACAAAGGGCTCGTTCAAGGCATCGGGTACATCCCAGAAATACTCTACGTGGACCGTGATACCGACGTTGTGGATGCTCACGGAGGGTGGATCACTCCGGGCTTAGGTGCGTACGACAGCGGGATTGTTATTCCCGGGACGACAGGGCTCACAGGAAACGCTACCCCCGCAGTGGACTTGCACTCCCACATTGGGGTCACTAGTGCCCCCCTCACCGCCGCGTCGCTGCAAATGGACTCACCAAGCGGACCAATCCTTCCTTGGCTGAGGAGCATCGACGGATTGAGCACTCATGATGCCTCGTACCCCTACGCCGTGGCCGGTGGGGTCACCACGGTCCAAGTGTTACCCGACTACGGCCGCGACGCCATTGGTGAGCACCCCCAGAAGCCCGGCTCCATTGGGTGCTGACCTCGCCCGCAGGCGGTCAAGCGTTCATGATCAAGCTGCGCAAGACGTCCCAGCGCACACCAACTTCCATGCTCATCGAAGCACCCTACCAGCTGAACGGCACTGACTTCGACCCGTACGAGCCCCGTTGGAGACACCTCGTGTACGTCGCCCGCCCACTCCATCGCCCGTCCGTCGTACACGCCCTCCACTTTACTCTTGGCCATCGTGCCGTTCCATTCCGCGTCTGACGTACTGATGCGCATGCCCACCGTCACAGGATGTCGTGCGGGGAGCGAACGCGGGCATCCGGCAACCGCATGGACACCATGTGGGCGCTCCGCGCGGCCTTCGCCATGGCGCGTGGGTTCCGCGACGCCCAGGACGCGTACTGCGCGCACGCCGAGGCCGGCCTGGGGAGGCAGGCGAGGTCAGCAGCCAAGGTACCCGGAGGACTACCGGTGGGAGGCGTTGGTGGACGTGCTGCGCGGCAGGGTCAAGGTTGGTACTGGTTTTGGACGAGCATGCTGCTTGGTGGGAGCTGAAGGATCCCTGGGCAGGTGTCAGTGGTCTGCGATGAAGCCGTGGACTTGGACGGGCTGGTCAGGGTACGCATCATGCGACGTCACCCGTGGAAAGCCGTTGATATCTTCACCGGGTGTAGTTCTCGCAAGAGTTCAAGGTTCCGATTGCATCCATTCACGGCGCTCATGAAGCTTATCTTATGCCTGACGCCCTGAAAACAATGTGAGCAGGTTGCTCACTGGCGCGTCGTACGCAGAACTTATCTGGTTCCAACAGCCCTGGTGTTGTACCACCTACTGTAGTTCTGTCTGCGGATAGCTCTCGCCAACGGCGCGAGACATTCCGCGGCTCTGAGTTCTCGCCGTGGATTCTCGCAGAGCATGGGATACCAGTGGCCATGAAGGTGGGCATCTTCACTGCAGAATCGTCCTCCATACTGAAATGCTGAACCCTTTCGGTAGACGGACGCACTAAATTCGTACCCGCGCGACCTCATCTTCGAAGCTCAACAAGCGCACCACTACGGTCTACCTCCCAATCTTGCCCTAGCCTCCGTCACCTCGGTTCCTGCGACCGCTGCCGGCCTCGTCCACCGCATTGGCATCATTCGCGAAGGCGCCGACGCGGACCTCGTCCTCTGGGACTCACATCCTCTCCAGCTCGGCGCCTCCCCACGCAAAGTGTGGATCGACGGCATCCTGCAAGTGCATGTCGACGCCGTGCGCGCGCGCATCCCCGTCCCCAAAGCCAAGAACACCACCGCACGGCGCCGTGGCCCCCCGCCGGTGCCGGACTTCGCCACACAGAAAGACCGCGCGGTGCGCTTCGACGGCATCCCCCCGCTCCGCCCGAACCGCACCGTGCGCGGCCGCGTCGCGTTCCGGAACGTGCGCGAGGTTTTCTTGCGCGACCGCGGGGACGGCGCGGGCCCGCTCACGTTCGGTCTGGACGGAGGGTTGGACGAGGACGACGATAACTTCGTGGACGTCATCGTCGACCGCGGGCGCGTAGCGTGCTTTGGGCGGTATTGTGATGGAGACAGGGCCGAGGTGGAGTTCGACCTGCGGGGCGGGGCGGTGGCTCCTGCGTTGATGGCGTTCGGCAGTGGGCTGGGGTTGGAAGAGTTGGAGAGCGAGCCGTCGACGGGCGACGGCGCCCGGTTCGACCCTTTCAGAGGAAACGTCCCCGACATCGTCGGCGATGCCGCTGGCCTCACGAGAGTCAGCGACGCTCTCCAATTCGGAACGAGGAATGCCCTGTGAGTGGACTCCGCCTGCGATTCAGCGTCATTCAACTCATCATGCGTCCGACTTCGCAGGGTGGCACACCACGCTGGGGTCACGTACGCGACGACTTCTTTCCTCAAGCCGCACTTCTTCTCTCGGGGATCGTTCGTCGGTGGACTCTCGGCGACGTTCCGAACCGGCGCAACCAACGGCTTGCAACGTGCCGCGATCATCAAGCCAATCACCGCGCTTCATATCGCCATCGGAAGACACTCTCCGCTGTCTTCTGGTATCGGCGTCAGTACGGAGATTGCAACACTGCGGCATCTGCTGCTGGGTGGCGAAGACGAGCACACCGAGACGGGAAAATGGTTCCAGAAAGCGGCCAGTGTAAGTGTCCCCGTAGCCTTCCAAAGTCTACATCGTGGCTCACAGTCGTACGGCTAATAGGGCGAGATACCTCTCGTTATCGACGTCGCAAGTGCGGACGCTATGGTGTCCATCATCCGAATGAAGAACGAAATCGAAGAGAAGCGAGGGTCCTACATGAATATGGTTTTTTCGCGCGCAACCGAGGCGCACATGGTTGCCGACGAACTAGGCGAGTGTATGCCGAGCTCTCTGCATGATAATACTCACGGAGGTTGCAACACAGTCCACGCAAAGATCGGTGTCATCCTCATGCCCTCGAGAGCATTCCCGTGGACCTGGGATGAACGCCGAAAGTGAGTCTTATCGCTCATTGTAATGTAAAAATATTCACGCCGAGTGCGGCAGTCTTCCCGGACCACCTCTCACGAACTCGACTACTCTCAACGAACTCCTGAAGAAGCGTGTCAAGGTCGGAATCGGTCTCGGGGATATGACTCACAGTCAAAGCATGCGGTTCGAGCTGGGTTGGGTGTGTTGCAATATTTTGAATGATTTGTTTGCGGTGCTCATCGGACTCTGCTTGTAGGCCGCGCTCGATTCCGATGGCCTGGTCGACAAGAAGCGCGCATATGAATTGATGTCAATCAACCTCGAAAAGATACTTGACCTAGAAGGATGGGTGGGCGATGTGGGCGAGCTTGTTGCTTACGAAGGTGGGAGCGGACTGGACTTCACGAGTCGACCTGTCGCGATTGTGGCGCCCTCAAGGGGGCTAGTTGAGGTTCTGTGAAGTTAGGCCGGTGATGCTGGTCCGTGCATATGACATCTCCGTGTATTTATATGTAGGAGATGCTTTGATAATATGATATGGTATGAGAACATGAGTAAGGTACGGACGACGGTTTCCTAGGACCCGAACCCGCGGATGTATGATACAACGCATATGTAGATTGAGCAGAAATGCATGAGGAGATCGAAGGGCTTACAAAACTTGTAGATGTGTCATACTGCGGTCATGATATAAGTCCGTGTTCACGCAACAATGCTGCCCACCTGGAAGATCCATTGCGTCAGTCAGACCACAGATGACAAGCACGCGAAGGCCACGTACTGCTCTTGTTGAATTTCGAGCTCTGCAATGCGTGTCTTGAGCTGGGAGTTCTCTTGCTCCACCCGCGCTTTGCCCTGCTGTGCCTCCTTGACCTTGCGTGTCATGGCTGCCCACGCATCGTCGTCGGGTAAACTAGCGGCGTCAAACATGCCTTCAAGCTCTTCATTGAAGTACTGTAACAACATGTGTTAGGTTTTGTGATATGCTCCAGAAGGATATGGGACATAGACATGAAGAACAAGCTGGAGATTTACCTGATAGAGCTCGTTGACCTCCTGCTGACTGTTGGCAAGCAATTGACTTACGACCTCGTATTGCCGCTTCCAGTTCTGGAGCCCCAAGCCAGTCTTGACCAGGTCGTCTGTACGCTATCAGAGTCGAAGAAAATGTGTCAGCGGGTTCTCAAGGGGAGGGCTCGAAAGCAAGCTCACGTCTCTCAGCAGCCTCATGAGACGCCGAACTTCTGACTCCGCCTCTTCTTGATGTCGAAGAGCGCTATCCAGCTTATGTTCGGCTTCCTCAGCAACGTCGTCCACAAAGTTCGCGAGTTCGCAATCCGTTTGACTCCCGCTCGTGCTACTGGCGGAGAATAGCGAAGAGGCGGAACTAGACGGTCCCAGTGCGGTCCGGATGCGAGGGGGTCCACCTGAGGAGATGTCGACGGAAGCACGTTTGCCGATTGCTTGCAGCATCTCTTCGCGACGTGTCAAGGCTTCTCTCGTCTACTTAAAGTCAGTGGGGGTCATGGAAAAAAAGACAACAAACGTACCCATGCAGGAGATGATGGTCGTTGCGGTGTGAGTGGTTGACTACGTTTCACAGGAGAGGGTGGATTTGTCTCCCGTGCGACGACCGCAGCTCGTACGGGCGACGAGGTAGCCACTTTCTGGGTCTCGAGTCTGATTTTCTTGATCGCGCGATGCGAATCTTCGATCTGGCGTACGAGTCGTCAATAAGGACACGTGTATGATACTACTATGCACGAACATCTGCTTTGATTGCTTCAGCTGAACGCTTGACGACGGACTGAAGCTCATCCAAGTCGACGTCATCCTCCTCGGCACGGGGGAGCTTAGTAGGCACTGTCGTCCTGTTCCCTGAGGTACGAGTTGTTTGGGATTTCACGGAGGGGCCTTTCTGGTAGGGAGAAGGCCGGCGGGCCAGCTGAGGCGGTCTATGGGCTGGTGTCGCTGGGGAGTCAGTAATTGTTGCTGTTGACGCATTCGTCCGCACAGATGAGCGTTTCTTAATCGCCAGTGGTTCTATGAGGCCAGGCAGTTTCGTAGACTCCATGCTTCTGCGATCGTCATCTTCTGTTGCTGCAGCTTTTGGTGTCATGTCTGTGTTGACTGCACTGGTGGGTTCAAACGGCTGTCGCTTGCTGCGCGGGATGGGTGTGCGAGGGAAGACTGTGCGCATCGGGGTTGTCGGGAACATGGGCTGGGTATTGTCCGGCTCTGTGTCCGAGTCCGCCGAGGGCATGCGGGAGTGTGCTGAGCGCGGACTCCTTGGCAGTGGGGAAGGGCTACGCGGACCCATGGGTCGGCGATCTGATCGGTCTGAAGAGTGGCGTGAAAGCGATCGTGCGCGCCGGCTGCTCTCGCTGAGTGCGGGTGATTGCGCGCGGATCGTGGGCGTCGTGGAACGCTGGCTTGCTGCGTAGTCGTAATCTTGTGGTAGCTCCGGCAGAGCGCGCGACATGCGGGAAACGCGTGAGAGGGGGCGTTGCGCGGGCGGAGGATCATCTGTGAAGAGAAGCCCAAGATCAGAACTGCATTCGGGCAAAATACCGTTGCAAACGAGCCTTCGTATATAGTGTCTTCTACCGGTTCCTGCATGGCAAGGGACTCGTATTCTCGCCCGTGTTGATTTTGGCTGTTCTTGCGCGCCAACTCGAGCCGCCTAGCCAGGTCGCGCTCGGAAGCATCCACAGTCATCGCTTCTCCGGCAGATGCAGAGCGACCCCGTTTCATGGACGCGCTATCGTACGCACTGGGAGGGCCAGCATCATCGGAGTCAACAGCGTCCTCGTAATCGCTCTGGAAGGGCGATTTCGCTCGCTTGATGAGTTTCTTCGCCCCGCGAGAAAGCGAACGTGTCCTTGAGCTTCTTGTGCTTTTTGTCAGCGAGGGAGGCGGTTCGTCGTCCATGAGCGATGTTGCCACGGTTGTAGTAGAGGCTCTTGAAAACTGCGATATACTGCTTCCCGTGGTGCTCCCGGAACCGGTGAGCGTTGAACTACGACTATCAGCCGTTCTTGCGCGACGATGTCCATTCATCGAGCCCCCGAAGAAGTCGCTCATACCTCCCGAGGTTGACCGAGCGCCGAAAAGATTGCGGGAGATCACGTCCAGGCCGAAAATGGCAGCGCGCGAGCGAGAGACGGTAGGTGTTGTAGGACGCGACAGAGCCCCGGTCTTGAATTTGAAGAGGCCGTATTGTTGAACTGTGAATAAGAGTCTCAACTAACGCATGTGCAGCACCGGTGAATATGCTTACTAGTTTGTACGATGCGCTCAGGTATGCGCCCCGGTTGCATGATATCTTCCTCAGGCTCGTCCTCATAGCTTGACGTGACGTTGTAACGTGCGAGTGCTCCAGCTATAGGTTGGACTCTTACAACAACGTATGGTCCTTCGCTCTCGCCAAACGGTACGGCGTCAGCGATGCCGTCCTGATCGATATGGAGGACAATCTTCGTCTGTGGAATAGCTTATGAACATCGTTGTACTCGGACGATTTAGAAAGACGCTGACCTTCTTAGGCTCTTGTAGGAAGTTCGTACGGGTGTACACATTGTAATACGTGCTAGCATATGTGACATACCCACCGCGGTTCTCGACCTCGAACTCCTCGCCCCGAAGCACGATGGACCGTTCGGCTCGGGTTCGAAAGCGGGCTTGGGCGAGCCATACGGCGTCAAGGAAGCGCCTCTTCTCGTTCGCCGTGCGTATGGGATCCAAGTGAACTGCAGCAGGGGGAAAGACTACGGAGAGCGAACGGAATTGCCGTCCCGCCCATTTCTCCGTCTGGTCCCACAATGGGTTCTCGAGGAATAGGTGAAAGTCTGCCATTCGAGTTAGCCCACAATATATATTGAGAGGTTCAGTAATATACACACCGGCTCCACCGACTTCTGTCGCTGCTACGTCCGTAATATCCAACACCCCTTTACACACCAACCCGCTTTTCCGCATGCTTGATGGAAGCGCGCCGCCCTTCACCACCTTGTCGAGTTGATCCAAACCCGATAGAGCCTTTCCGCTCTTGTCCGCGGGCCTCTTCACGATCATGAGCTTATCGTTGAACAGGAACAACGAACAGTGGAGCGTCAAGGCACCAGTCGGGCCGTTGGATGATACTGGTGCGTGAGGGTCCGGAGCGACGACATCTTGTACGTCGATGCAGTCGATGAAGTGCCGCGAACTTGACACGAGGTCCATGGGGAAGTTTTCAATGGATGTTGCGAGACAATGCATGATTCCCATACGCTTCATCTGAGGATCTGTTTCCGCCTTGGCGATGTCACTTGCGTGTTGGATTGCTTCCTCCAGCTGAGATCGTTGAGGATGATTCATGGCCATGTGTTTGAGCATCGTGTTGAACATGAGCGTGTACCTTGGAATACGCTGCCATGGCTCCGCAAGCAGCTCCACGAGACCGAATTTGTTCCGTGCGTCTGAGGCTGTAGAGTATTTGACACGCTGAGGTGCGGTTAGAGCACATACCGCAAACAATGATATAGAGGCGCAACTTACGTCGATGTACTCTGCGAAACGGGAGTTCTTCTTCACCTCATGCTCGAACAGTTTCTGTACTTCCTCATGTTTTGCGAAGTACTCTCTATAGCACTCGAAAGCCTTCAGAGTCTTAAAGTGCTTGATCGCAATGTCTCCCACTCCCGGAGTGCCATCTCGATCCATCTTCTCCAGGTCCGTCAGGAATGCCTCGTTGACCGGAAGGAGCTTGTCTATGTTGCCAAAGATAGCCTTGGCTTGATATGGGGGAACAATGGCTGTGTGCTTGTTCTTCGAGAACTCACGGAGTGGGTCCGCATATTCTTTCTTGAGTACACGAAGCTTCTTGACGTAGGTACGCTCAGTAGTGACGAGCTCCTTGGTAATGTCGGCCAATGCGGATGTGTTCGTCATGGCTCTCCTGCGTTTCTCCTAAACCAGCCCGGTTAGCTCTTGTGAGGGCACCACACCGCAGACGATACGTACTTGTTTCATGTCAGTAGTGGATGGAGACGAATTCGTGGAAGCGGGTACCAAGTCAATGCTTTCTCCCAGAGAAGCAATGAGCTCTTTGACATCTGTAAAGCAACACTGCCATGAACAACCCATCATTCGTTGGAGACACTTGGCAATCAAACGGCCAGTGCGACGGCACCAGCCAGTGCCTATGTGAACCGTAGTACGCACCAAGTGAAAGCTCTCGTCCCCCCTCCGTGCCTTCCACCACCACCCCGCAAAAGAACACCCGTCGTGTGACATCAGGAGAATGTGATTTGGGCTTCGGCCGGGGAATATGCTCATCCTCCATCGCAAGCGGCACGGTCTTGCGGGGTGTTTGAACCAAGGCCATGGCGGGCAAAGACAAAGGTCAGAGGATAGCAGCCGGAAGCCACGCAAACAACGAGAGCAGCGAGACGAAAAGCGAGGGCGTGGACAGGAAATAGCAACAGGGTGGGTGTAGCTTGTTAGGCTGTCGGTTGAATACTCTCCAACTATGGGCGCTTACGTATTTGGCGATGTTGTCGACGACGCGTCCAGCAGGTCACGTGGGCGCGTCTCTCCACAATGCAACCTCATTAACAAACTCCAAACGGCGCGGAGAATGCAGAAAACACAAAGGATGTCGGTGTGTTACGGATACATGAGTGCAACGATACATTACGTTCGATACAACACTAGTGTCCCATGGTCCCGTGGCTCATGCTTGAGCCAGGTTCGAGCTCCATCTGCACGTCGATATCATCGATATCATTGACAGCCTCGGCGCTGATATATTTACTCTTCTTCTTTTTGCTAGCAGACGAAGGTGGTGGCGATTGTGCTTTCTTCGTCTTTAAGATCTCCATGATTTCTGTGAGATAGGAGGAAATCAGAGACGTCAGGAGTTGGGAGATGATGGTAACCCACCAGCATGAGACATCTCTTCGAAGCCCTTGATGCCGCGCTTCATGGTCAGCCAGCGCCGTTGTAGAGAGTGGGCGCTCCATATGTTCCAATGGTCGTCCGGAAGCAGCTTCCAATCTATCTCGGTATCGTCCCGCACGTTCATGGAATCCACTCTGAAGTAGTTTGTCAGTGGCGATCAATGCTCCGACGAACGGGGTCACATACTTGTGAACAAGAATATATGCATCCATCGGACCCCATCGGGGACGCTCGCCGGTGTTCTTGATCTGTGGCGCCAGCGAGTCCGTCCTGGATACAAGACAGTGAGCCCGCCGCAGCGGAATGTGACTTATGGCTCACCATTTGATCCTACATTGTTGTCGACCCCGCTTGCCGCCCATGCGCTGACTCACAACACCCCAGAAGATGTCGTTATCCATATCTTTGCCTTGGTTCACGGTCATATCCGTTACAATGTTGATCAACTCCTCTTCCTCTTCCTTGGACCATTGTCCTACGCGGAAGCGGATCAGCAAACGTCATCTTGTCAAAGGGGGCACAACAATACCGGTATGTCGGACAGAACGATCTTGCAAATGATTGCGATACCTGTCACGACAGTCGCCAGCCATACGCTGGACCATATCACTGATCTTTTCCCATTGCTGTCCATGCTCTTGAACAGACCTACACTCATAGGATGGTGGTGAGTACTAAAAATGACGCTTACGGACGGTGTGACGCACTGAACTAGCAAGTCGTCCTCGGTCTTTGTCCAAGCCCCCTTGTTGGCAAATGGATGCCGCGCCCGACGTACGTGATGATACACAGCGATGATAGGACGTAGTTGTATCGCCGAGGCTGAAGAAAAGATCAGTGATCGGCCCCTCTTCCAATGAAGCCGCAAGACAAGACGCACTAATTTCTGCCCAAAACGACTCATGCCCTTTTTCCTTGCCCATCTTGTTGGAAAATATGACCTGATCAAGCTCTGCAGGAGTTAGGCCTTTTTGCTGCAAGGAACAACACTACGATGAGACGCAGACATCCCCGAATGCAAAGAGCAGACGTACCGCCTGGTACCGTTCGATCGCACCATTCAGCTGCGCCTCTTCCGTTGCAGAAAACTTTCCCTTTTTGTAGACAAGGCCTGCGTATCAAATGAACGCTCAGCAAGCGTCGAGCATATATTGACAGAGGCGTGCATACCTTCCGTCTTCACCAACTCTGCCAGCTTCGCTGCGTTCATCCAGACGTTCGCCAGCATGTGCGCGTGGTCAGGATTGTCGGGCTGTAGCGGGGCAGGCGGGGGCAGGACTGAGCTCGTCCCTACGACGGACGCTCCCCGGGTCTTCTTCTGCTTCCCTGGCCGCCCCAGAATGGTATCCGAGCGCACGGGTTGCTGCTGCATTGGAGGAGCTGCCTCCGTCTGAGGGCCGGGCGCGAACATGGGAGGGACGTTCAGCTGCACATTCGCGGCCGCGGCCGCCTCGCCGAGGGTCTTGAGTACGGTGACAACTTTGGAGATGTCGAAATCCTGCAGGCTCCTCAAGAGATCTTCGCTAGAGGCAAAGTTGAGGTTGAGCTCGGGGAGGACGCCAGTATGCTCAGGAGGGAATGTGTTGGGGAATGGCGGCCCAGTCTGAGGATGTGGTGGGTGGTTAGGAGGAAGGGGTGCTTGCGGAGGCGGAGGACCGGGGGGTATTTGCGACATTGGGCCAGGATACGCGTAGGGATCGAAGTCGCCTGGCTGGTAGAGGTACGGGGGCACTTGTTCGTACGGCGCACCTGTTTGCGACTGTCCTGCCGTCGCAGACGCCGCCGCAACCACGGCAGACAGGAAGTCCGCGGACGAGTTCATGAGGTCCACAGCAGATGGTGGAGGGGGCGCTGGGACTGGGTCGACTGCACGCTCCTTCCCTTTGCTCCTTTTCTTCGCTTTAGCGGCCGCTGCGCCGGCTTCAGCACCGGATGCCATGGTCGATTCGGCGGATTCAGTGGATGCACCTTCACCGGCACTTCCACTTGCGCTTGGGGGGCGGTTTGTCAACACCGACTCGCCACCTTCGCTGCCGTTAAACGCATGGTGCTTCTTCGACTTTTTCTTCTCCTTGCTTCTTTCGGCAGCGCTGTCTTCGGCATCCATCCCGTCGTCGCCCGTGTGCTCGCCATCGCGCGGTCGCTTCAGCTTTTTGGAATGATGTCTGGCGATGGAGGCCGCGGCCGTGCTGTTCACGTCTTCGATGGCCTGCTGGAGCGCGCGCTGGATGTCATCGGACAGGGGAGCAGCGGCCATGACGGCAGGCCTGCACGCAAACGCGGTTCTTTAGGGCGGGTCAGAGATGAGATGAGGGGAGGCAAGTTCGCGTAGGCGCCCGAGCCTCTGACAGCGCTCCCTCCGGCACCAACGGGCGCCCAGTTTCACAAGTCCCGAGCTCCTAATTCGAGGTCCTTCAAACTTCTCTACGGGCCCATGTCTGGCTATGGCAGACCAACCGTCTATTATGGATATAACATACATACGTATACATCCTCCACGAACACAAAACGCCTCAGATTACCCAAAATCTACGATCATCTAGTGTGCCTCCTGGAAGAACTTGCGAATCACGTCACTGTAGATCTTGACCGCCTTGATCATTTCCTCTTGCTGAAAACGGCAAAATCATGTTAGTCATTTGCAGTACAGTTGCTAGGGGAGTGTCGCACCGAAGCGTAACTGAAGGCGATGCGCAGATGACCTTCCACGGGACTGACGTCGTCGGCGTCGGAAGCGAAGTACGTGCCAGGACCAACGAGAACACCAGCCTCCGCAAGCTGCTCCCAGAACTTCATCTCCAACGAAGCTTCATCCCCGGACTTGAAGCCAGGGATGTTCTCGAAGTGCAGCCGCACCCAAAGGAACATGCCTGCCGACGGTGGTACGATGCTGAACAGCTCCTGCTGCATAGTCTTCTCATACATCTCGAAGCGCTTGGGCTTCACAGACGCGGTGTAAACGGTGCAGCCAGTCCAAGAGCCGGCGGTGCCGACGGACTCGCGCATGCTGAACTCCTCGGAGAGAGCATCCAGGAGGAAGTCGCGGCGCGCCTTGTACTGCACAGCCAGGCCTGAGGGAAAGGATAAGCAGTCGGCATAACGAGCATAAATATGCTACCTCACCCTGAAGCCATCGAGCATAACCATCGTAGCCCCAAGTGGTCAGCAGTTGCGCAACGAGTGCCTTTGATGAGTCACAGATCCTGTCAATGTCTAGGGCTAAGGATGCTGAATGTTGCAGGCTTACCTGGCCGAACCCGCATGGAGCCTGCGTGGTAGTCTCACCCGCGCGCTCCAACCGCTCGGCGAAGCGCGGGTTGCAAGTAAAGTACCCAAGCCGGGCACCTGGGGCAATGTTCTGCAGATCTGTTAACACCGAGCGCGCCATTAATGTACGAAAAATGTCATACCTTGGAGAATGTGTCAAGACGAATTACCCGCCCCTGGTAGTCAATCCTGCTGAGAGTTAGTCGGGGCCTCTAGGAAACAAATACGATGCCTACTTCAAGTAAGAGGGCTCAAGGCTGGCAATCCACGCCTTGGAGTCCGAGAACTCTACTTGCGAAGACCGCATCGACTTCGCGACGTACTCGCCCATCTGCAAGAAATAGTAGGGATCGTCCTCGACAATGATAATGTCTGCGAAGATTGTTCAGCCACGGTGATCCTTTGTGGAATCCGCGCACACCATGTACTCACCGTACTGGACACAGATGTCGTAGATTTCCTTCTTACGTTCCAACCCCATAGACTATCGTGGCGTCAGCCTCGTGTGTATGTCTCTAGTCAAACGACCACGTACGATGCCGGTGGGATTCTGACCAATGGGCACCGTGTACATCACATGGGGGCTGGAAAGGACAGTCAGTACACATGACGCCAAGTGCGCCGGGGCGTCATTCATCTGGTCCCGTTGTGGGAACACGACGCTCATCGCAGCTCGAGAACGTACCGTTTGTGTCCCCGCTCAACGTCATCCCACTCCGCGAGCATCTTGCGCAGAGCATCCGGCCGCATGCCTTGTTCGTCCATGGGCACACCGACGGGGTTGATGTGGTACGGCTTGCTGTTCGCAAGAGCTGAAGGATAAGTCCAGTCCTCGGTGATGAACAGCTCGCCCGGGTTGCAAAGAGTAGTGATCGCGCGGACCAGCTGCGACGATGAAGTTGAATAACAAGTGCATGGCACTCGTAAGTGTGTGAACTCACCCATCTGTGTTCCCAGTGTTGACCAGAGTCTTCCAGTCCGCGTAAGCAGGCTGGAAGGTGGTTTCGACAAACTCGTTGACCGCCTTCTGGAGCTGCGGGAGTCCGGTCGCAGTGCCGTACTGCAGCGCAACTGCGAGGTTGACATCGGTGGGCTTCACGGGATACTTTGGCACAGTGATCGAGGCCGTCTTCTCTTTAGTGCCCCGCCAAAGAGCTTCCAGAACCAAGATAGGGAGGTGGTCGACGGCTGGGAGGAGACCGCAAAAGAGTCGGGGATGAGGGCTGGAAGAGGCACATAGCCGGCTGTAAGCGACTGCGGGGGGGAATCGTTCTGACGCTCGGTTACTTACCGTCGCCGGAGATGTTAGCGAAAGGGAAGTAGTCGGGGTTGGGCATGCCTGCATGCCAGCCAGAATATCAAAGGACGGACGACTTCTGTGATCCCGCCAATGCGTACCTCCTGCGAGGCTGATTATGCCCTCTCGGCCGAAGTACCGCGCCAAGCCCTTGAGCGGTGACGTCGCCCGGGAGAGGGCGAGGTCCGAGAGGTGATGGGACAGGTCCACTGCATTCTGGAGAGGACGCTTCTCGGAGTATTGCATCTTTGCTCAGAGGAATGGCGACAGTGGAGATGGGGGAAAGGCGAACCGTCCCCCATCCTCGTGAAGTGCTGATAAGTATGTGGGCCCGCCACGCAGCCGATGGGCTCCGTAAGTCCTGAATGAGTAAGCCTCGGCATGTAGATAAGCGGCCCGTGGGAAACGTGCCTCCCCCTACCCTCCATCTGGGACCAAATGGCACGCTGCTCGCAGGTCTAATGATAGTATCTTCAGGGTGATTGTAGGGCCAAAGCTGCTGCCGAACGCTTAACATGTTCGGACTGTGGCATGTACGGCGGTACTCTGACGTCGCCACAATCCCCGGAGCCCGGAAGCAAGCATCAGGTGTGTCACGATATGAAATATACCGCGTGTCCGAACTCCGAATCGTCGGAGTCACTTAGCTCTTGGTCAAACGCTAAGAGCAGCAATCATGCACGGTGAGCAAATACATCTGGCGACACAAACCTCTTTCCGAATCGACTTTGAACACACCAAGTGATAATGTCATGACGGCAACCATGAGAACTCTCGCAGTCGGATTACCAACCCATACACCAATGGCGGTGTAGCTGACTGCGTACGCAATGTAACGCGAATAGTGCGAGGCGCAGAGTTAGGGCGGTCCGCTGGTCCCACCGGGACGCTGGAGGCAGCCGCGCAACGTTGTGTTCATACCTGACGATTGAGTCGGCTAGGTACTGCTCGGGAAAAGTGGGCCAATAAGTTCGATAGAATTGCGAAGACGGCGTCATCTCGAGGAGTAAGGACGGTGAGAGCCACTTCACAACGTATGTAACCTGTGCGATCGTAAATGCTCGTGCAAGCAACTCATTCGAGTGCTCTATACACGTACCCATGGCCCGGGAAGCTCACCAGTACGCGGGAGGAAACCCGCCTTCCGCACACACAACCAGACTTCGCGCGCTCGTTACGACGTGTCTTGTTGGGCTGCTCAAACCAGTTCGCAGAGGGCGCACAGGCAAACCTGGAAAGAAGCAAGGCAGTTAATCTGCGAACCTAATCTCCCGACATAGACGACTTACCCTCGGCGAAGCAGATGCTCAGCCTAACAAGAAGCGCGATGATGCGGGTGGGCGGACTCCGGATGTACGACGGAAGGAGACGGGCGTCGTCGGGCGAGTACTGAGGGAGGGAGAACGGCGGAGATGGGGTTAGTGCCCTCGCGTTGCACTGGCAGGGAGGGAGGCGAAACAAACCTAGTGGCTGGGCGGTGACACCGGGGAAGAGGTGGTGCGCCGACGACGGACGCTGAAGTCACTCGAGGCTTTTAAGGTAGGTCGGAGATCTGGATCTCTACATCGCGGTGGGCTGAACCTATGGTGTCCTCGCGGGCCGCCAATGGGGCACCACGGACGGAGCACGTCCTCGCACAGAGGGGGCGACACGGACGCCGGACAGCCTGGCGCCGACCATCAGCTCAATTGAATGGGGCTGGACGGACGGCACTCACCTGGTCGGATTTGGGTATGCTCTGAGCAGGGTGCCCGGTGCGGGGAGCTGGCGGACAACGTTCACAACACGCCGCGCCAGGCGTGGCGCGCACGCGGAGAGCGAGGCAGGCCCACGGCCCCTGCCGGGTGGTTGGCTTCGGGTCGGGCGTGACCTGCGGCCGCACTTCAAGCGACGCGCCTCGTGCCTCCTCGTGGCTGCAACGCTTCCGACGCTTGGCGCATCCCGGCCGCTCAGCGGGTCGGCAGCAGTTGGACGGCTTTGGGGGCTCTGCGGGCGGGGTCCGACTGCCCGATGGCGGCGACGATGGCGGAGGCGACGGCGTGAGCGGCGGCAGCTGGTCACGCCCCGCCCTGAAAGGCTGGAGCCGCCGGACCGGCCCTGAAGCGGCAATGGGCTTGGGCCGCCCCTTGGTTATCGCCATCGCCCATCTCACTCTCGTCTTTAGTCCTATCCTTACGCAGGAGGAGGGAAGGCTGGTCAGTCGGTAGCGGGAAGAAGCGAGGTACGTAAGCACATGCATGCCAGTAGTCTGCGCCCTCCGTGATCTCTCTTCACCGGCCAGGTATCTCGAGAAGCCAGGTCAGAATGGCGTATCAGTTCAGTAGAAAGGGGTGCTTCAAGTGCGGGAACCGTGCGTAGCCCTGTCTTTCTCTGCTTTCGGTCGATGTCCGACCATCCTTAGTGGGGCACATTGCGGAGAACTGCTCCTCGGAGCAGCGCCTTTGCTACAACTGTCGCCAGCCCGGGCACGAGTCTGCCGCCTGCCCCCAGCCGCGCTCGGTTGCATCCAAGCAGTGCTACTCGTGTGGCGGAGTAGGCCATATCCAGGCTGAGTGCCCGAGCCTCAGGATCCAGAACGCCGGTCAGAAGTGCTATGTGAGTGGAAACCTCTGGCTATAGGTACCGTTACCATTTCTTAACCCCGATATCGGTGTCAGAATTGCGGTCGCTTCGGACACTTCGCGCGCTCCTGCCCTAACGGCACCGGCGGAGCCTTCGCATCCCGCGCCCCTCCTCCGGGCCGCGGTCTGAACACTTCCACCCTTCCCCCGGTCAAATGCTACCGCTGCGGCGGTCCCAACCATATGGCGAGGTACGTTGATCTCGACCTCGCGCTTGACCTCGACCTCATCGCCTGCGGCAGGGACTGCCTCGCTGCACCGGGCACTACTGTCGGTGAGACTGGCGCCCCGATTGGAAACCCTAACAAGAACAAGACCTGCTACAAATGCCAGCAGGAGGGCCATGTACGTACGCAACAACACCTAAGATTTCTCCAGTGCTGATCTGTGGGCATCTGCAGATCGCTCGCGACTGCCCAGAGAACGCTGACTATGCGACTTGATCAACACCGATACCTCATGCGACGGTTCCGATGTGTAGGATGTTCGGTGTACATGAAGACCAAGTTGGCCGCGAATAATGCGACGCCTTGTATCGACATACTGTTTATTTATCGGCTGCTATATCTGTCGTCCTGTATGAATATGGACTTAGCTGCTCTCTCACCTGAGCATCCGATAAGCTATGCGATCGAACCGGCACGGTGAGATTTGTTCAGCCCCGAGTCTAATGTGTAATGATCGTCCACCACCCCACGCGCATGGGACATGAGTTGACGTCCGTGCCACCATGCTCATGTCCGCCCTTATTCCTGCAGGTCACACGCACAGTGGTTGACGTATTGCGGGGCACAGGGTGTTCACAAATGGACCGTTCGACCATCCGCATGCATGCAATCGACTGTACGAAGCCAATCTCACGGTAGCGTTTTCAAAGTGACAAAGATTTTCGTAATTCCAGGATCCAGAGTTATCCTACTGATGTGTTCTTCAAGTCCCTGAAGCTTCTGGTCCAGACTCTCCGCCATGCCAGTATCCCGTATCAACGCTCATCTGATGATGCGGGACTCGTGCGGCGCCGGTGAAAACCTTCCGCTAGGGTCGTGGCATTCGCCCAATGGTCAAATACGCTCTGAGAATGCAGATGAAGGTTCTTCTAGCTCGAATCCACGGAACGGATTGGCGCCGTCTGGAGTCTCGCCAAAGTGAGATGGCTGGGCGCTGGAAGGAATGCGACAACTACAAGTGGGGGTCTGAACCATTCTAAAAATGCGTTTCATCCTGCCATTGAGTCTTCGGCAGACAATTCCTCGCTTTCAGGCTGCTCTCGCGATTTGCCAGACCGGGATACGGGCAGGAGGAACACACCCCTTCGGCCTCCTCACTTCTGTTCTTCAACCAACGTAAGCGCATCCATATCGACACATGATCGCATCTGACGTGGGTGCCCACAGACACGAGGGACCTCTTCTTTTTGTCCTCGTGTGTTCCTTTCGCGAGTGATCATGTGCAGTCCTTCCTCATAATGGCAAGGGCGGAGCGGAAGGAAAGTTGTGTCCATTAACCCTAGGTTTTCGAAGGGCATACGGTCCACGTTGCCAGTTGTCCGCCTAGTTGGTATACGGCGATCTTTTTCGTCATAACCAGACGCCATGTATACTCACCGCCCTAAAGGCCTCGCCCGGCCGGTGCGATGTCATTTACGAACTTTATGTCCGTACGGGCGGGCCTCATATTCAGACCGGGAGACCCAGTCGCCGTGACTGGCTGTTGGGATGGAGCCGACAATTTCGACAGCTTCCTTAAGGCCAGCCAATCACAGTCGGTGCAGTGTCCTCTTTCCCCTCCAGAATCGTTGAACCATCGTTGCGTCTCAACCGTGCTTTGACGACCCGCTCTACTGCTTGTAGAACTAGCTCACCCCTTGCCCTGTTCTCGAATCCTCGCATCGGTCCGGCACCTCCCCCATGCGTTTTGCGCTAGACCCGCGAACTCTATCTCGCCACGCCGATGTGGAACCCATGCTCGAAAGGCGGCCTTCCGGAGTCCCGCACCAACTCAATGGGAACAAGCATCGATCGACTCGATTGCGCTAAGCGTTCTCCCGCCGGCACCTTTCCACCTCGTGTACAGGAGCGAGGAGAAACTCTTGGAGCGAGCACCCCCGGCGTCACCCGCGCTATCCGCCACTCTACTGTCTGGCTAGATCTACCTGACTGACGTGCGTTCTATTGTGGGAAGTCATTGCCACTCCGTAACTCAACTAATGCTTTCTACAAATACATCGCTTGATTGACTGGCACGGGTTGTAGCCATGCTCTGTCGCCAGTACTAGCGGCCATCCGAGCCCGCTTCTAGGAGGCGTACACCCGCTCAGTCCTCCGGCACCCCTTCTCTCAGGGTGCATGTCCGTACGCAGGCAATAGCCGTGTCGGGCGTTTGGTGGGGTTATTGATCGGCCTCTACAGATCAAGTGCATTGCACCGTGGAAGCTCGTGCTCGTTACATTCCACGACCATGGGAACATCCATGCTCAAAGCTTATCCCGCTTGCCAGACAAGAACTTGTTCGGCCTCAAGCTTTCTACTGATCCTGCCCAGCTTCCGACGCATTGCTGAAAGAACGGCCTGGCGGCGCACGAGGGCAAGACACGTCATGTGTACATAATTGTAACTGAAAGGGCTACTAGTGCACACATCGAGCCGCGAATCGGAGGCCTATGTTTCATCCAGACCGTAGATTTCTTGACACCGCTGTTCGAAGGCTTGGACCATCATCTTGGAGACTTGACCAAAGACTGACGCAGAGACGGCCGCGTGAACGGGGCTTGCGAAGGCAAACTTGAGGTCCAGAGTCACAAGCGTCGGCCCCGCCGCAGTAGAAGTTGTGCTCGAAGAGATCCTTGATCCGGGAGGCGGCGACTGGGGCGGCGCCGGCTGGAAGCGCCAGATGGTGTCCAGCGTCTTGAAGACAGGTGTCGATGACGCAGCGACGGCCTGTGTGAGCGTGAGCACGGAGACGCCGTGATGAGAGGGTGTGGACGCGCCTCGACCGACTCATAAGGCCGAAGGGTGACTTTGCTGATGTAGCTCTCCGTGAAGTTCAGGAAGCCGACGGTGAGCTCGACGTCCATATTCAGGTGCCCGGCATCGGACGGGTGCGGCTTCTTACTGAGCACCCGCGCATTGGTACAGAACGGGAGGAACCGTGGATACGAAGACGCGTCGGCGACGAGCTCGTACAGCTGTCTTTGCGAATATCTGCAGAGGGCGTGTCAGCATGCGCATATACGTCGACGGCGCCAGGTGCATCTAAACAGCAACACTCCGTACACGTACGGAAAGACCTTGCGCTCGTGATACACCTGCGAGCCTTGGTTGTTGCCGTCTTGGCCAGAGAACGGGGAGAGTGAGGAGAGGTCCGGAAGGGTGATGAACGATCTGGCCAACTGCGGGCGAGTGCAGTGGACGAGGCGTCGGACGAGGGCCATTAGAGTGCAACTGCCGCGCTCACTCCGAGGACGCGGAGACAGCGCTGATGCCGGTGGCCGGGTAGCGCCCACGCTTTGGGTGCATTCAGAACAAGGCCGAGCTCGGTGACGGGAAGTCTGCTGCCCACGCCTGCCCGTCTTGTCCTCCGCGTCATGCCCCCTGCGCTGCCACACTAGACATTCCACTGTATCTGCTTATCACTACGCTCCGTCTGGATATCCATCTCTCAGGACTGTACTTTTACCCTCTGTCGTCATTCCACCACCAAATCAGGCTGTATTACATCCTCCGCTAATTGGCTCTCCCACCGGGCCCTCTCCCAACCCATAATCTACAACCATGGCCGAACCACTGAACGTGCGACTGTCCAATAGTTCTGACGAGTGAGTGATATTTGGACCGTCCACCTGCGTCACAGGTACAGACCATCCCTGGGCAGTTCGCCGTTTCAGGAGGACGATAGCGAACAGGAGTCCATACCGCGAGAGGAGGTAGCCGAGAACCTTGATGAGGTGATCGAGCCACTCGATCCCCACAACTCCCAGCTCTCCCTCCTTTCTGGCGTAGGCCACAGTTTGGACGATCGAAGGCACTCTCGGCACAAGCACGATCGAGTCAGCCTCACCCAGCGCGACTTCCTCAAATATGCTTTGGACGAGAACAACGAGACGAAGAAGTACCGCAAAATGTTCCGTGCTGCTCTCGAACGGCTCGACAGCGAGACGCGTCGCGCGCAAGAGGCGGAACGGCGCGCCCTCGAACTCGCGCAGCGGTTCAAAATCGTCAACGAGGCTCGCGTCTCTACCCAGCAAGAGAACGAGCGCATACACACGGAGCTGCGGATGTACAAGGTCCAACTTGACAATGCGCAGCGCGAGATCCTTCGCGGTTCGGACCTCCTCAAGGATATCGAGGCGCAGCGGGACAGCGCGGAGGCGGCTGCGGCGCGAGCCCGGTCTACGGCGCGACAGTTGAAGGAAGAGCAGATGAAGACGAAGGCGCGCGAGGAAGGGCGAAAGGAGGGATACCAAGAGGGCCTCCGAAGAGGATACCAGCATGCACGTGGTGTAGGTCCCAGCTTATCTCAATTCGACATTCCCCCGGCTGGAGTTCCTCCGGTGGACGACATCCTTGAGAATGCTCCTGGACCTGTTCCCAATGCAAATCGCATGGACTCTCTAGACGGCTTCTCTGCCATCAACCTCGGCACGCCTGCCCCTATGCACCACGTCCCGCCGTCTGTTTCTACTATGATTCAGGATGACAGAGGAATTGTGGACGACCTGGACCCTTACGGAGCTGGAGTCCAGGGCTCTCGCTTCAAGGAAACTATGACCACTCCCTCTACGTTCAAGTCCACACTACCCGCAAGGTCACAACGTGGTGTCCCTTCAGGATGGCCTGTTTCGGAACCTGATGAAGAGATTCGCTATATCCGTGCCCCACCGTCTCCTCAGCGCTCGGATTACACCAATCTCCAAGAGGGCTTCATACCGACTCTGGGTCCTGATCATACACTCGCCATGCCCCCACCTCATGGATTGCAGCGTCCTCCATCCATCTCCACCGCACCTCCCAGCATTGTATCGCCGTCCGAAGAACCTAATTCTGCAAGCACCCTTGGTGTACGACCTCACGACTACGCATACGGTCAGCGGCCCAGGGCGTCACCTCGCTCGGTTGCGGAGTCTCTCCCGTCCACAACGATCTCACATTTCGATCTCGTGAACGCGCCGCCCACCGCCATGAAGGGCCTTCGTGACCGCAGTTCTGGCCTCAGCGCAATTCCAGAAGTCTCAAGCACGTTGGAATATAGCCCAAGCATGGACGGTCGCGTACGGAGCAACATCTTCCCGGGTGATATGGACGGGATACCCTCAAGACCTCACTCTCGCAGCAGGGAACAAAGTCAACGCATGGCGGATGATTTGAGTTACTCAGACCCTGAACAGATGGAAATGTGGCGAAGATCCACAGCAAGTCAAGTCAGTACTTTCCCCTGCTTATACGCGCTCCCGCACTGACGCGCAGCTCCTTCATAGAGCCACCCTTCTTCGTCACGGGAAAAGCTTACCTCTCCTCACCGACCGGCGCAAGTCACTACCCCTTCCCCGCTGGGTGCCCCTCCGATCCTGTCGTCCGGCTCACCCGGTCCACTGCACCACCGGACCCAATCCCTCCATACTCCGTCACCAAATCGTCCACCCAACAGCAGAATCAACTCGGGTAGTCACCGTCGTACCGCGTCGTCGACACCTGTTAGTATCCGCATAGAACCACCAGTGAGTAATATTATATCGTCTGGCTGTGACACCAGAAGGCCTCATTCACTGTTCCGTTAATTTTGATTCTTCTAGTCTGGACCCAATTCGAGCATCTCGCCGGGTTCTTTGCATGACAACATGCTCTCGCCAGTCTCTTCTCGTCGTCACATGCAACCGGATCGTGGCAATGGGACACCCACACCCGAAAGGCCTCACTCAAGGCCATACTCCCCGAGTCCCTCCCGTGAGGGTGCGCACTCACCATATCAGAGAGCTCCTTCTCCCCAGAACCCGACCTACATAGTACCACCGTCCCCACGAAGAACACCAGTTCCCATGCAAAGCCAGCCCGCGTATCCTTACGCTCATCCGGGTTCGTCGTCCAGTAGCTCTCTCGGTAGACCAAAGTCACGCGGCGGCTCGGTAGACTTCGGCCGGCCACCCTCTAGCCTCGGTCGCCCTCCTTCCGCACGTCCGATCACCCCAAGTCATTCCTCCGGTCCTTACCCAGACCCAACGCCCGGCGTACCGCCGGTATCCAGCGTACCAAGCGTGCTGCGCTCCCCGTCCAGGACCTCGAGCCGACAGTCGATACACCCCGACCCTGCGCGTCCCGCGTCCCGCGCGTCCGAGCAACCTCAGCGGAGCTTCAGCATGCACGCAGGTTCGACGCCAGGGGCGTTCTTCTCGAGCCGGCCGCTCTCCGGCGAGGCGTCGGGTCTGCGGCGGGTGCCGTCGGCGAGTTCGATCAACAGCGCGATGTCGCGCAACTCGGGGATGTACGGGCACTACGACAAGGGACGCGACCTCGACGCGGCGTACCTCAGCACGGAGGACCTGCACGCGCAGTCGCCGCACACGATGGCGAACACGGTTGCGAACACGCGCGGGAGCGCGAATTACAGCGGGATGCGGCCGTCGTCGCCGTCGCTGATGTCGTATGCGAGCTACCGGAGCTGAGGAGGTGGGATGTGGACTTTGTGTTCTGTGCTTGGACGGTAGGCGAAGAGCGATAGCCCCTCCACGATGCTGTTTACATGCCTTGTGTGCCTACCTCTCAGATGTTTCGGCCCTTCGTCGGGATTGTGCGTGAAATTGAGGCCGCTGTATGCGTTTGTATATGTCTATGGATGCTTCATGTTACATCGTTGCTTATATACTGTACTCCACGTCCGATAGCTTCGCTTGCTTGCGGTTCGGCCTGCCATGTGCCACTACTTTACGTCTATTATAAGATGTTTGGGGATCGCTGTATGTACTCACGACATCTTTACGTTGAAAGTATCCCGGTTGCTCTTCAAGCTTCAAGGTTTGTCTGTGTATACGCAGAGGGAACGAGGTGCGACCGTCCATTTGTCTGGGCGATCGATGCTATTGAAACCTTGCTTACGTCCAGTTTCAACCTTCGCCGCTGCATGTGGGCGTGAAAGTTCTCGATCATGCCTGCACGCACCACCGACCCCACGAGGCATTGACAGTGATCTCGTGATAGGCGAAGGGACACATACTGATCAACAGCGCCATACCGGATTAATGAAGCCACGCGAGCTACCCCATACCGTCGGCATCAGTGCATTGGTGAACTTGGCCGAAGGATGTCGACAAAGTCGCATGGCCTTGTCTGCAGACTGCGCCTCTCCATGCAGCAAAAACCCATACATGCATCACCAACAACGCGGCACTTGGTCTCGATCATACCGCGCGCGGGCTGGGCTTTCAGTGGTGCACTCTAGTCAGTTAATGTGGAATGGTTCCGAGATGAATGGACACTCCGTTCAGCGACTTTCGAATCCCGCTCTGATAAGTCTGGATCGATATCCGCCGCGAGGTGAGAGCCATCTCCGCGAGACGAGCCTCGCGCGACCAATGAGTGTAACGAGGATCGGACTGCGAGGATCCTTTCATTGCAATACAAGAACGGGGTACTCGGATGTGAAGTTATGTCCGCGAATGCATGGCCTGCAAACGTCATATGTACATGTCATCTATCTCCGCTGTAGACGGGATATAGGAGGATTTGAACCTCGGTGGACGGATGACGTCTCTGGATGGCAGACCGGTTGATTGGTCCACGCAATCACGCGTTCTCGATACCTGGATGACCGCCACTGCTGTCAGTGTGCCAGTGCTGGGGTGGCCACTGGCGGCGCCAACGTTACCGTCGCGAGAAACGAAGGAAGTATCAGGGCGCCGAACGACGATCGTCATAGCCACTCATTCGGCGCAGTGGAGCACCAGCGACGCAATGTGAACGGGTGTGGATGACGTCCCTGGGCCCATCATGTTGGAGCGGCGCGCACTGCGGCTCTGCGAACGGACAGCGCTCGGCGGCGGGCCCACGACGTATCCGGAATACGTTTACAGGATGTGGTCGTCCTGGGCGCTGGCTCGATAACCCAGTGGATGACCGTCGGCAGGAATGGTGGCGAGATGTCCTGCGTGGGCGCGGGGGTCGAAGCGGCGGGCGCCTGGATTAGGCGGGCTGTCGCATGGATGGGGCCAAACGGGGCGTGATGCGGGGACCAGTCTGCCCGGCGCGAGTGCGCGCGGCGGAGCCCGGACGGCCAGACGGGGCTGGAAAGGCCAGCGCTGCTCGATGGAGGGACGTCCAGTGTCGCGCCTGGCGAGGGCGCGGCTGGGAGCGGAGGGGTCTGTGCGGGAGGCGCGGCAACGACGGCGAGGAAGCTGAATCTGGTGTGGGCGGTGGGCGACCTTGGCGGTGCCCGATTCCCCGCATCGAAGAACCTGCGATCGCTCCGTCCCCCGCCCCCGCTCGCCGTGCGCGTGCGCCCGACCGCTGCGCCTGCCGCGGTGCACAATGGACCAGGCTGCTTTGTGGGCCGCGGGCGGGGGCGCGGGGGAGGGCGGCGCCGGCCGGGGGAGGACAAAGAACGGGGGTGGCGCAAAGGGCGGCCGGGCGGCGCCTCCCCGATATGGCATCTCGCCTCTGGGGAACCTCCATCGGAAGCGACACACGTGACCTTCCCCTCTGCCCACACCCGAACAACCCTCTGCCCTGCTCTGGATTTAATTTGTTCATTTATCTCCCTTCACTTCTCTCTCATACGCCCATCATCGTCCCCGCCGTCACCACTACAAGTCAGTCCCTCCTCGTGTCCCCGCCCCCGTCTTCCGCTCACTCGTCTCCCCCAGCCCCTCACCCCAGCCCCTCCACCACTCCCAACTCTTATCGCAGTGAGTTGGACGCGTCCGACACGCTTTCGACGCGTGCTCATGACGTATCTTGTCTCTCAGATGGCCCAGTCTCGTGAGGACTCTGTCTACCTTGCTAAGCTCGCCGAGCAGGCTGAGCGCTACGAAGGTATGTCCTTCGTCACCAGATCCGGCGGTTGGGGGATCGTCGCTCATGTGGGGTCATGTGCGCGCAGAGATGGTCGAGAACATGAAGCGTGTCGCTTCCTCCGACCAGGAGCTCACCGTCGAGGAGCGCAACCTCCTCTCGGTCGCCTACAAGAATGTCATCGGTGCCCGCCGTGCGTCCTGGCGCATCGTCTCCTCCATCGAGCAGAAGGAGGAGTCAAAGGGTAACGAGGTCCAGGTCAAGATGATCAAGGGCTACCGGGAGAAGATTGAGAGCGAGCTCGCCAAGATTTGCGAGGACATCCTTGACGTTCTCGAGAAGCACTTGATTCCCTCGGCCGCTTCTGGCGAGTCGAAGGTCTTCTACCACAAGATGTGAGCTATTCCTACGCCCGCCGTATCCGATCATGCGCTGATCATGGGTTCTTCCAGGATGGGTGACTACCACCGCTACCTTGCGGAGTTTGCGACCGGCGACAAGCGGAAAGAGAGCGCCGACAAGTCGCTCGAGGCCTACAAGGCCGCGTCCGATGTTGCCGTCACCGAGCTCCCCCCTACCCACCCCATCCGTCTCGGTCTCGCGCTCAACTTCTCCGTGTTCTACTACGAGATCCTCAACTCGCCTGACCGGGCCTGTCACCTTGCCAAGCAGGCGTTCGACGACGCAATCGCGGAGCTCGACACCCTCTCGGAAGAGAGTTACAAGGACTCGACTCTCATCATGCAGCTGCTCCGCGACAACCTCACCCTCTGGACGTCGGACATGCAGGAGTCTGGTAAGTAGTATTGGATGCCAGCTGCAGTGTTGTTACTAAGCATCTTTCCTGCTCTAGACAAGTCCGCGGACAAGGACGAGGGCGCTGAGGCTCCCGTAGAGGAGGGCGCGTAATGTGGAGATTGTCATGAAGTTTTTCTCGTGTAGTTTGTCGTAATGTCTTGCTCATCCATCATCGCATCCTGCATTCGCATCATATCATACTCGCGCACCTACCATCTTCTGCAATCTTTCCCCCGCCGCTGTCCCCCGTTCGGTTCCGTACGAGAACGTTTCGAGAGAAGTTATTAGTGGCTTTGTGTATAGGAAGGGTATCAGCATGCAGTTTCGTCGTCATGGTTGTTTGTGTGATGCGCGAGCAATGTGGTCAAGCTACATCTAAACCTCTTTCTCCGCCAAGTGCAACGGGCAATGTTTTACCGTACGGCCTAATTCGTCTTTGACGATGTTTGACCGGAAAATCTCGGTGAGTGTAACGCCCTGGATCGGTCTCGGGACTATGAAGCCCGATTGGGTTACTGCCCGCGCAGCTGGTCGAATCAAGGCTGAGTTAGATGTTGTTGCTACATGGATATACGGGCAGACGGATAGCTCTGCCGTTCTGCGTTCTGCGTGGGCATGTGCATGTGGTCTGCAACCTCCCGGAGGGATCCGGATATGCGGCATGTGGGTAAATGGGCGCTTAGACGTCTGGCAGCAAGGGTGGTGAATTGAGGGCGCAAAAATCGGACAACGGCAGATTCATGGAGGTCTCGCTAACTATATGCTGTGGTAGCCGGGCGCTGGGACCAAGGGCAAGGGTGGTGCGGAGGGCGGTCGTTTGGCGCGATACACAAGGACCGATGGGACGGGCGCCAGCCGTGGGAGGGTGGCGATTGGGTGAGCGTACTTGGCCGCGGAAGTGGGCAAGCGGCGGGCGGACAGGCAGGCAGGCGGAGTCGCCTGTGTTGGATCGCCTGTGCTGGGGCAGGAGGCGGGCTCCAGGGGTGGCTATGTCGCGAGGCAGGCGTAGCGGCGGCAAGATCGGCGTGGTGGGTTTGAAGCCAGCGAAGTCGCGGATTCCCACGCGGAAGGCGTCTGGCTCGATGGCGGTCGGCGTCCATCGCGGGGCGTTGGCGAGTGTGTTTCTTACCTTCCTTCCTTCTCCACGGCCACAATGCACGGCTCTCCCTCCGCTCGCGGAGGCTCCTCCCGTCGTGGCCGCTCTCCCCGCACCGCGGCCAGTGCGTCTTCCTCCACTCCAGCCTCTCTCCCTCCCGATTTTTCTATTCGCGCTCCTGCCACTTTCACCTCGTGCCTGACCATCCCCGTCGAGGGCGCTACCCCGATCGAACGCCCGGACGGTGCCCCCGCCCCGAGCGCAAGTGCGCCCGACGCCCCCGCCACGCCCACCGACGGCAAGCGCGCCCCCCGCAAATCCAAGATGGATGCTATCGCTGCGTTGCACACCCACACCCAGTCCACCCTTGGTGAGGAATCCCTCAACGACTCGATGCACGACGAGTGTGGTATCCGCATCCAGCTGCGCGATGGGCCCCCTCTCCCCGTCGACTCCTCCCTCAAACTCTCCACCGTCAAGACTCCTTCGCAGAGACCCACAGCACCGAAACCCACCCCAAGACCGTTTGGCCTCACGGACTGCCCAACATTCCGACCCACGGCCGAACAGTGGAAGGACCCCATGGCGTATATCACCGCGATATCCGCCACTGCAAAGCGCTACGGCATGTGCAAGATTGTGCCCCCCAGCGACTGGGCCATGCCCTTTGTGACAGACACCACGGTGCGTTTGTGCTTCCCCTTTTCTTTCCTTGTGTCTTCTCTGGGCTCCTCGTTCTTGCAGCCGTGCTAGCATGTGGCGGCCCGGTGGCGCCCGTCGTGCGCGCGCCTCTTTCGCTTGCGCATCGCTTTTGTGCCCCGTAGCCGAGACTGACCGCCTGGGCCCCCTGCGCACAGAGGTTCCGCTTCAAGACCCGACTCCAGAGGCTCAACTCTATCGAGGCCTCGAGCAGGGCCAAGGTGAATTTTCTTGAGCAGCTCTACCGCTTCCACAAGCAGCAGGGCAATTCTCGCGTCTCGGTCCCCACCATCAACCACAGGCCGCTCGACCTCTGGCTCTTGCGCAAGGAGGTACACAAGCTCGGGGGCTATGAAGCGGTACGCAAACCTTTTGGTTTGAACCGTTCGTTGGGCTGGGACGTCGGTGCTGACTCTTATCTGCGCCCATCTCTCCCACTGCTCCCGCCGCTGCCCTGCGTGCCCGTAGGTCACACGCGACAAGAAGTGGGCAGATCTCGGTCGTCTGCTGGGCTACACCGGCATCCCCGGGCTGGCGACGCAGATGCGGAACTCGTACAGCCGCGTGATCCTCCCGTACGAACACTTCTGCGAGCGCGTCCGCCACTCGGCTACGCTCTCCCCGATCAAGCCGCGCGACAACACCAAGAAGGAGCAGTCTGCTAGCACCGCCGGGGCTGGCCGCGGCGGCTCTCCGCCACCAACGTCGGCGTCGGCGCCAGTGTCCAGGGCGGGCCCAAGCACCTCAACGGCGGCGGACGACGACAGTCCGCCTTCGAGCCCGCTAACGGCCACATCGAGTCTGTCGGAGCCTCCGGAAGAGCCCGACTTCAAGCAGGCGAACGGCGTGAAGCAGGAGAAGCCTCAGCCGAGGCGTAGCGCGAGGCACACGTCACAGGAGCAGCCGAATACTCGTAAGCCACAAATTACGGCAGCGGTCGGAAGTTTTGGTGGGCTGACGGAAATTTTAGGTGGTCGCCGAACGTCCACAGCCGCAAATGCCGCCAACGGTACCGCGTCAGACAAGAAGAAGGACCCTAAGGACGAGGTGAGTCACTGCAGTGTCATCTCCAGCGCCGAACGCGCCAGCTCATGCAACGGTAAGCTGTACTGCGAGATCTGCATCAAACAAGACAAGGGCGAAGAGATGCTGCTGTGTGACGGCTGTGATTGCGGTGAGTCGCTACATATTCTCACCCTGCCCGGAACCGGCGTTGAGACGTCGGACGACCACTAGGGTTCCACATGTTCTGTCTCGACCCGCCGCTGGAAGGGGTCCCGCGAGGCGAATGGTTTTGCCACAATTGCTTGTTCAATACCGGCGGTGATTTTGGGTTCGACGAAGGCGAAGAGCACAGCCTGTCAAGCTTCCAGGCCCGAGACCTAGAGTTCCGGCGCCTATGGTTTCTCAGCCATCCGCCAGAGTCTTTCACTGGAAACTTGGCTCACGGCGAATCGTCGTCGAATGACTCGCCACCCGACCCTTACGCGAATCGCTTTGGCAACATGGTCATCACCGAGGATGACGTGGAGAAAGAGTTTTGGCGGCTTGTGGCGTCTCCGACCGAGACTGTCGAGGTGGAATATGGAGCCGACGTGCACTCTACGACCCACGGAAGGTTTGTGCTATATTCCTTCTTCAATTTCTGCACTCGCTGACCGCTCCGTCATTAGCGGCATGCCATCCTTGGAGACCCACCCGCTAGATTTGTATTCCAAGGATCCTTGGAATTTAAACAACATCCCCATCTTGTCGCAATCGCTTCTCCGATACATCAAGTCCGACATATCTGGGATGACTGTTCCATGGACCTATGTTGGAATGATCTTCTCTACGTTCTGTTGGCACAACGAGGTGCGCCAAGCAGTGTTCGATCTATCGGCTGTATATTCACCTTATGTCCCTCAGGATCATTATACATACAGTATCAACTACAGTAAGTGAGATGGACACGATCGGTCCGTTCAAAAAAGCTCAGACTTTTTTCTCAGTGCATTGGGGCGAGACGAAGACCTGGTACAGCATTCCCGGTTCTGACGCTGAGAAGTTCGAAGCAGCCATCAAGAAGGAGGCCCCTGACTGTTCGAAGCTCAGCCTGACCTGCTCTTTCAGTTGGTCACGCTCATGAACCCAAGCGCATCAAGGAGGCGGGTGTGGACGTCTATGGCTGCAATCAGCGCGCTGGCGAATTCGTGGTACATTCCCGAAGGCTTATCACGCGGGCTTCAACCACGGGGTACGTATGTCATCGCCAGTCGTGCGTGGACATTTGACAAGCTGATGTCTTGTTCAGCTCAACTTCAACGAGGCTGTGAACTTCGCGCTTCCTGACTGGCTGCCGATGGGTCTCGACTGCGTGAAGCGATACCAGTATCACCACAAGCTGCCGGTCTTCTCTCATGACGAGCTCCTCATCACTATTACGCAGCAGTCCCATTCAATTCAGACCGCAATGTGGTACGTGGTCATCTGTCACGTACCCGGCTTCCGATCCGCGATGGGGCTAACCTTGCTGGATCGCCAGGCTGAATCACAGTCTCCAAGAGATGACTGACCGGGAGATGGATGCTCGGAGACGAGCCCGAGAAATGCAGATGAACGAAATTCTGGAGCAGACGGACCGGAACTCGGACGATCAGTACCAGTGCGCCGTCTGCAAGGTCTTCTGCTACCTCTCGCAGATCACATGCACCTGCTCCACGAAGTTCGTGAGCTGCATCGAGCACGTCGCGGAGCTGTGCAAGTGCCCGCTGTCGAATCGCGTCCTTCGCAAGCGCTTCAGCGACACGGAGCTCCAGGACATCCAGGCGAAGGTGTCCGAACATGCCTCCGTACCTACCCAGTGGCGCAACAAGTTGAGGAAGCTCCTTGACGACACCCCCACCCCTCCTCTTCAGTCGCTTATGACGCTCTGCGCGGAAGGCGAGATCATCGAAGACCACCTAAAGGAGCTGAGGCACCTCCGCAAGTGCGTTAACAAGGCGAACAACTGGCTGGAGGCTGCGGACGCGATCCTCAATCCCAAGCCGAACCGGAAGGGAGGTCGCAAGCCTCGCCGATCGTCGATCGCAACCGCAGACGGCGGCATGGAGCCCGTGGATGAACCACCGCCTCGGCCGGAGCGCACACTTGACGATCTCTACGCGCTCCTCGCTGAGGTTGAGCATCTAGGTTTCGATGCCCCCCAGATCGCTGAACTCAAGGATGTCGCCAAGAATGCTGAGGAGACGCGCAAGACGGCCCGCGACGTGTTGAACCGCTTGCGTGTTCACGTAGATCCCGAGGAGTGGGTGAAGGAGTGCAAGCAGCTGATCCAACTGTCATTGTCGCTCCACGTGCTCGTTCCCGAGGTCATCGAACTGGAGAAGGTCGTGCTCCGCGACGAGCTCGTGAAGGAGCTGAACCCAGTCTATCAGGATCAGAGCGTTACACTCTCCTTCAAGGACGTCCGCGCGTTTGTGACCCGTGCACAGGCATGCACCCTCTCGTTTGAGGATCCCCGCATGCGTTGGCTGGATCACCTCTATCGCAAGGGCGAAGCGTGGGAGAAAAACGCGAAGCGCATACTCGACAAGCACCCACGGACTCTCGACGAGCTGGAAGAATTCGCTCAATCCGTTATCTCGACGTCCCCATTGACTCGGAGCTTCTCCAGCGGCTCATCGACCTCCGAGCTCGGGGCAAGGAGTACGAGCGCCAGGCGCAGATGTGGATGATGGGCGGCCCTATGCCCGAGAAGCCGAAGGTCACAGACGTGGTGAAGTTCGTTACCGAGGCGGAGAAGGACTTCGACATCGTCGCTGTCGGCGACCTCCGCCGTACGGTCGACTTCGCGCAGGATCTGGAGTCGCGCTGCGAAGCTGTCGTCAAGGGTACCTACCAGAACGCGGACGAGCCGGACGTGTTCATAACCATGATCCAGTGGCGCAAGTATGCGAACGAGCATCTGACGATGTTTGCGCTCCCCATTTCGAGAAGCTCGACAAGCAGCTGGCGGCACACTACCGGTGGATCGAGACGCTTCCTTGGTACTGCAGGCAACACAACGATACTCACGGTCAGCCTATCTTGGACGACGTCGTCGAGTCGACCCGCCCCGAGGATGACCTCCCGCCGAACGACGAGTACTACACCTGCATATGCACGTCGCCCGTGCGCCCACCCAGTGCCAACCAGGTGTCGGACGCGGTGCAGTGCGATCACTGCTTCGCGCGCTTCCACGGTGTGTGCGCGGCGAACGGTGGCTCGTGCCCATTCTGCGACCACCACCACTGGAACGGGACAATCCACAAGGAGCGCTCCTGGCACTTCTGCTACCTGCCCACGACCCTCATGCAGGCACCAGACGTCTCGCGCTACTACGCAGAGGAGTGGAAGCAGCTCGAGATCATCGTGCACCGCGTCGATCGCCTCGCGGGCGTTATCGGTCAATTCATCTCCTTCCTCAACCAGCCCGCGAACCAGCGGCTCGACTACCTCGGCCAGGTCCGCCACTACATGCGCAAGCTTTACAAGATCCAATTCGCGGTCGCACCCACGCCAGGGGTGTCGTTTGGGCTCGAGCTCGCGAGCCTGCACCGCGTGCTCGCGGGTCAGCCCGCGCCGGTGCGGACGAAGAAGCGGCGGCGGCCCAAGTTCGTGTTCGGCCAGGACCTTGACAAGGACTGGATCGACCACACGCGGTGCATTTGCCGCGGGCGCACGCCCGGGCTGCTCAACTTCCCGCAGGTGCAGTGCGAACTTTGCCAGAAGCTGTACCATGGCGGCTGCGTGTTCTTCCCAGTCGAGGCAGGGTCGCGCGGGATGTTCTTGTGCCCGCTGTGCTGTGTGCGGAAGAACAGGCAATACCCGTTCTCGGAGGTACGTGTGAAGCACGTCGGTAAGTATCACCACCATTTGTCCATTGGATGGGTGCTCAAAGTATTGCGCATCGCAGATAACGCCGACCCGGAGATCTTTGTGAACACGAAGGAGATGCTGGAGACCTTTAGCAAGGACATCATTTATCAGCGACTGGCTCCTCCTTTCACGCAGACGCTCTTCGTGGAGCTTATCCGGTTCACACCTGGACAGCCGGACAACGTCGCTCCCAATGGCGCTTCGTCCTCTTCGGGCGGTCCGCGGACTTCCGGGCCCAGCAACGCTCCCCTCCCTGTGCCCAACGGGACTTCTCACATGGCCCGTTCGATGCACCCACTTCAACAACCTCCCTCGCATGGAAGCTCGTCGCATGCTCCTCACCCTCACTCCTCCCATGCCAGTCACATTCTCACGCGAGCTCACACGTTCCCCCACCGCCCCCACCAAACGACCACTACAGCAGGCCGCAGTCGACCAACAACCACCACCATCACATCCCTCCCCCGCCACCGTGGGTCTCGAGCAGCACAAGCCGTTGGAGTTCCGCCGCGGCCGCTGCTGCCCCGCCCGGTGGCTCTCGCGCTCCTCCAACAACTTCGCAGAGCCATTCAAGCTCTTCAATGCACGCGTCGCCAATGCTCTCGCCCGCCGAGCAGCACCTGCGCTCACCCACGATCCTCCACACCCCTCCCCAGCAGCATCGGAAGCGCAAGTACCCCGATGACATGTCGCCCGAAGAGCGGCCTGTTGCGCCGCCGCTGCGCTCTCCGCACCGGCAGCACTCGCACTCCCATTCGCACTCGCACTCCTCGCACTCGCAGCACTCGACGCCACAGCCCCCCCGTCCTCGTCATCGTCCGTCGGCCGCTCGAACCAGGGCACGGGCATGTCCCCGAGCCTCGCGATGATGCTCGCCCCGCCAGGCGCGGACTTGCGCTCGCCGACGCGGGCGCCCCCGCCGTCTCACCCAACGCCGTCGGTCAGCGTAGCGTACGGCCGCGCGGGCCCGAGCGCGCTCCCGCCGTCGCTGCACCGGGAGCGTGAAAGAGAGCACATACGGGAGCACGTCGAGAACAGCCAGTCGCCGCTTGGGACGCGCAAGCCTGTCACCACGTACTGGGGGCAGAACATGAGTGTACGTGGGGACGAGGACCGATGGGGCGCGCCGCCGCCGCACGATGGACGGTCCCCGACGCACCCGCCTCGGCATCAGTGAACTGGCTTGATGGTGATTGAGATATTCCTTGGCCTCGTTGCTGGTGTTTATGCTCCTGTCCATGTATACATGCCGGTATGCTTGCGAGTCTTTGCTACTCTTACATACGTACGTTCCGCCTGAGTCCCATGTTGCTTGTGCTCTATCCTCGATTCTGCCGTATGCTGTCTGTAATTTTACTGGGTAATTCTATTCTTCTTGGAACGTCTGTTGATACACCAGTCACTCGGGTGCTGCGCGAGATACAACTAGTCGAACCATTAACGCATTCCGTGCCACTTTCAGGCAGAGCATGTAATCGTCTAGTTTAATGTAGTACAAGAAATGCAGGTACAATGTGATATCATGTCGATGCGGTAAGATGAAGCGTGAAAGAACCTCTGGTGATGCCCAAAGAAATCATGTGTAGTGTCCGTCTATTAGGCTAAATAGGCGACCGAGAGTCTATAGATGGCAACAGCCCAGGAGCAACCACTGATCACCGGTGCACCATGAGCTTGTACGTTGACCAGCCCGCGATCACGGCAAATGCGGCGAGGCAGGCGATAATGGCACCGAACCATTGCAAGCTCTTCGTGAGGCGAAGTGAGCTTCACAATCTCCACGCAGTGCGACGAGAGGCGGGACACTCACCTGAACGTCCTGCCCCGGCACATGCACGTTCATCCCCCATAGACCGGTGACCAGGTTCATCGGGATGAGCACGGTACCGAGCGCGGTCAGCTTCGAGAGCACGTCGTTGATCTGATTGTTCGCGTCCGTCATCTCGATCGAGATCTGGGCGAGGTAGTTCGAGTGCGAGCGCGACAGGATCTTCTCGTAGTGGTTCAGGTTCTGGGTCATCGTGATCAGGTGGTCCTGGATGTCGGAGAGGTATAGGCCCTGCATGCCGCGGTGAGCTCGGGGTCAAGTGGAGACGACGGGGGTGGGAGGGTGGAACTTACAATGTCGGACGTCGGCGCGACGCGCCAGTTCTCGTTGCACCGCTTGGCCAAGCCTTTTACGACATCCGCCTTGTTGCCCATGAGCCGGAGAAGGCCCATAACCTTCTTGCGGCATGTCCCGATTCTACCACGGAAGAGACTCAATGGGGGTCACGAGATCGACAGCGGTTCGGACGTACCGCCTGAGCATATCGCTCTGCTCCGCCTCTTTCAGAATGAGTACCAGCTCGTCGATGCTGTCAACCTCGTACTCGATGCTCTGGATGAGCGGACCGAAGGCGTCGGTGATGTCATCAATCAGCGCATAGGAAATCCAGTCGGACGTGACGCTGATGTAGTCTTTAAGCTGCTTGATTCGCCGACGCACGTTTTGCGGATGAGGTGTGGGTCTGAAATGGAACTGTGCGGGGTTAGCGGTGAAACGTGCCGCGTGCCAAGACCATGTAATACTTACGGAAAGGATGCCGTCACGGAAAACAATGATGTACATGTTGAGCGGCTCCAAGTGCGTTGGACTGTATGGGTCCTGGTCGAAACTGCGGAAACAGACGAGATAGTAATTCCGGAAGAGCTCGATCTTCTCGCGAGTTTCTTCCATCTGAATATCTTCCGTCGTGAGCGGGTGGATAGAGAACACCTAATCAAGTCCGAGTATGAGCAACTAGATAGTCGATGACCTTGCATAGTACCTTGCTGAGCAACTTCATCTCATCGTCCGTGGGAGCGAGCACGTCCAGCCACCATGTGGAGTCTGTACCCGTCCCATCTCCCGGCCGGCGTTCTCCTGGAGCCCCTGGCATTCCCGGCATAAGCTTGGAAATGCCACTCGACATGCCTAGCGGCGGAACAGGCGATGTCGCGCCGGACGTGGGGATGGATCCAGGTAAGCTCGCATTCGCTCGCTGGAGAATCGACGGTCGCGCGCTTGTGGGGTCGGAGGCGTCATGAGAGTGGTTACGGCCCATGAACATATCCTCAAAGCTCTGGCCGTCCGCCGGCAGCTCAGAAAGGCTGCGCGCGTGGATCGTGGCCGAGAGCGAGTTGGAGTAGAACGAGAAGCGGTACGGTCTGTCGTGCCCTGACCCAGGCCCTCCCCCCATGCCGTGTGCCGCCGCATCTTGGGTCCCTCGGTGGGAGTCGCCCAGGTTGTCGTAGGACGGGACTGCGCTAAGAGTGGTGCCCATCGCGAGGTGAGGGGCGCGCAACACGATGGACGGCGGAGGGGCGCCCTGCTCGAACAGTGCCATCTTGCCCCTTCGTGGTGCGGGCGAGCTCACGCTGAGCTTCCGGTGCCGCACCTTGGGCAATGGAAGAGTGAAGGGCATTGAAGAGTCTTGAGACGCGGGCTCGCCCGGTCCCGCAAGCGGATCCTCGCTGCTGCTTGGGAGCGGGATCTGGGTGGAAGAGGAGGCTTGAGGCTGCCTGTAGTCGAGGGTAGTCCCGGGTGTGTGGATCCCCAATCGCGCCTTCTCGCCTCGGGCATACTCCTCCATGAGACTAAACTCGTACTGTTGCTGGACCTCTGCACGATCTACCGTTGCTTGATACATAGGTAGTCCCCCCAACGCAGGGTCCTCCTGAAACGGGACGAGAAGTGCTGGATCATGGGCAGAGTTTAGATGGTTTGTGAGGAGGTCGTTGCCAGGAGTAGGGCCGGGATGCTGAAATTGTGTTTGATTCTCGCCGTCCGCATGCAGGGCAGAAGTGCCGCGTGCCTCATCGATAGCTTGCCGCTCTTGGAGTGACAGGTTGGGAAAATGAGAGTCGTCGACAGAGGGCAGGCGTGGAGAGGGTGCAATGGGAGTAGGGGCAATTGGGGAGGGTAGAACTACTGTTCCTGAGCGGGCTCGAGAGAGATGCAGGGCCATGTCGGCGTCCATGGTTCGCTGGCGTTCGCGAGCCTCCGGGTCGTTGGGGTTATAAGACCTGGAGAGGGTTGGGGACATACGAGGGCGAGAGGGGCCATCGTTGAGGTCGCTGCTGACGCTCTGGCGACGGCGAACTGGAGAGTGGTCGATCCGAATGGGTCGCGGGGAACTCGAGACGGAGCCGGAGAGGATGGAAGAGTTGTCCGGAGGAGAGGCCATGTCCGCCAGTCTTCACTTGGGCAGGGGGCGAAGGCCGGGGACACCACGCAGAGGTAAAATTTGGCGGGACGGCCTGAGCTGCAGGCGCGACGGGAACTTGCGTGGCCGAGAGGACCGAGGGCGGGCGAGCGGGGCAAGGGGCGAGTCGAGGGCCAAGCTCCGAGTCGAAGCGGCGGAGGCGGAGGAGAGCGCACTAGCGCCCGGCGCATGACGTCGGGACGGCCACGGCGCAAGCGCCCTCGCTTCGCGTCTCCCGCGATGAGCAGGTTGCTCGTTGCCCTCTCCGTCTTCACCCTTGCTGCCCTCGCCGCCTTCTACTATGCCGTTCTAGATACCTACTCCTCCCTCTCGCCCCAAGGATGCCGCATGTCATGGATGTGGCCAGGCTACATCCTCCAAAACAAGTTTGATCCCTCATGGACGCCTTTGGCTCGTCGCTACAACCTCTGGTTGTACCGCGAAGGCAACGACTTTGAGAGCCATGAGGTAAGCAACTCGGATATCTAGGCTACAGTGGGGTTTTGACTGAGTATCAGTAGCTGCACGGTGCACCCGTACTCTTCATCCCTGGAAATGCCGGGTCCTCGCACCAGGTTCGTTCAATAGCGTCCTCGGCTGCACACCAGTACTTCTCCGCCCCGTCCCATGTCGCCGACGAGTTTGCGGGAGAAGGGTACAAGGGGCTCGACTTCTTTGCCGGTAAGTCATTGTTCTTGAAGTTTTACAGCGGGTTTGTCAACTTAGTCGCGCCGCAGTTGAGTTCAACGAGGATCTCTCGGCCTTCCATGGTCCCACTATCGATACCCAAATAGCATATGCATCTAAAGCCATTGACTACATCTTGTCACAATATCCCACAGGAACCTCCATCATCGTTATGGGTCACTCTATGGGTGGTGTCGTTGCTACGGCGCTCCTACCAAACCCCAACATCTCCGCCGTCATCACTATGTCGACCCCTCACACACTCCCTCCTGTTAGGTTCGACCGCCGCATAGATCATATCTATGCAGAAAACCACAAACGTCTGGTCTCTGATCCGACGCCTATCTTGTCTCTCTGTGGCGGCGCTCCAGACTTGATGATCCCTTCAGAGGCGTGCATGCTCCTGCCGTCTGTTATACACTTCCCCTCCTCGCTATACCGACGAACGGTCTTCACCAGTGCTCTAGAAGGTTGCTGGACAGGTGTCGGGCACCTGGCTATGGTATGGTGTCACCAGGTCCGCTGGCGCGTTGCTCGTGCAGCTTTGGACATCGCGGCTGCTGGCACACTCGAAGGACGGACGGCGGCTCTAGACAAATGGTTGAAAGATGGTCATACGTCGCCTCGCTCTAATCCAGTCCCGCAACACCCACCTTCTCCGTCTTCCCATCGTATCACCTTCGTTCAGATCAAATCCTGCTCGTACGCCAGCCCGAGGAATCCACAACCTACATCTTGTCATTACCACCTGCACATGACGGACGGTCTTCTGCAACCTTTGTTCTCTATGCTTCGCGGGGCTCGATTGCCTCAATAGCTCCCCAAAAGCCATTGCCCTTCCATGTCAATGTCCATCACTGCCGTAACCCGAGTCCATGCTCGCCCCTTGCTCCCAAACTTCTTAAGCTCCTTCCAAGCCCAATCGCGGGGTCTCCTTTCCCGGTTCCAGATGAAGGTTCGGATGAGTCGGAAGGTATAGTATTATTTGAAGCAGATTTGTCACTGGCCGAAGGAGGCGATGTGATGGTTACCCTGGAGGAAGGAAACAAGCACGGATGGGTGCTCGGTGGGTTCGTCAACGGGGAGCCTGAAAACGCTAACGTTGGTCTGTTAAGTAAGTCCAGTGTTTATGCCATCATGCATCTGAGCTGAATGCCGTGCAGGCTTGCTCTTCAGCAGCTGGGAAGTAGACGTGCCTGCCGGCATCAGAACGCACATCAACATTCCGGGGCTCCTATCCAACTCCCTTCTGGTTTACTCCATCACACCCGTTGTGGATCAAAGCTCTGACTGTTCATGTACGTTGACTACTAGAGGTGTCCTATCGACACAGCTAATTGCCCTATTCAATAGCCAACACTGTTCTCCTGCCGTTGCTCGAGCATAGCTCATCCCCCGTCGAAACCCACTACTATCCCTTGGCCCCCGGCTTTGGACGCCCTCTCCTGCTGCACTCACATGCTGCGGCACCTTATATCTCTTCCGTCAACCCACGGGGCCACACACTCACAATCTACTCGTCCGGAGAATGCGCAGTAGAGAAACTAACAATTCGCGTGGATTGGTGGGCGACCATTGGGAGGTGGGGCACCAGGTACGGACCGGCCGCAGCTTGCTGGGCCGTAGGTATTGCCATCATTCTAGTATGGGACACATGGGGGATAGCAGAGCGAGGTGGTGAGTTTCTGTCTGTTCTGTATCTACATCAATCCTCCACTAATCACGTCAATTCTCCACTCAGCGGCGATTCCAGACGTCAACGGATCACTGGAGTTTTTCGCGCGGAGACGCCTCCCAGCATTGTCAGCCTTATCTTTGCTGGTCTCCCTTCTGCCTTTACGCGTGGGCCTATGGCTAGGGAACGCGGGCGAACCTTCCTTTGCGTTGCTGTCGACGCTGTTGCTTCCTATCTCCTTCGGACTGGTCTGCATTATGTGGTGGCTCCTTCGCATTATACTCTGGCCATTCCAACGTATACTGAGGGTATTCCCAAGGTAATGCCGATCTGTTTCATGAGAAGTCACCTTTTCTGATGCGTTCACAGACGCAGAGAGGATCTTGCCCTTCGACGACGAACCTCAGCCCTGTTGTCCATGGCTATCATATTCCTTCTCATTTTCGTCGTGGTGCCCTGGCAAGTGGCGTTCCTTGGCTGCTGGCTTATTCACCTCTACACTTGCGCCTCTGTCCTGTCTGAGGTGTATTCTACTCCTCCCGCCTCGTCTGCCCAGTCGTCGCCTGACGCAATTCCCCTGGTCTCAATGTCGTCCGAAAGCCAAGAGTTGGATCAACCAAGCGCAGAGGCAAGAGGGATCCCTCCAGCCGACCTTCCGTGGAATCAACAAGTGAACGCGCATTTGCATATCCTCCTCCTCATGACCTGGCTTCTGCCACTGGTCGCTCCAGTGTTAGCAGTATGGGTCCGCACGCTGGTCACCGCCGGCCTCACCACGCCGTTTGACGGCGACCATAATTTCCTCTACGTTGCCCCCTTCCTCGTCCTAGTAGAAGTTTTGGGCAGTGGAGCCGCAGGTACTGGCATCAAGGTTCTGTTGTACGTGACTCCTCTATGTCATGAATTCGCTCTTATGCTAACTGCACTGAACCTCGCAGCACCGGTCACATCCACGAACGTATTTCGCCGCGGTGGGGGATGGCAGCGGTTGCTCTGGTCGCTTTCTTCGCAGGTCCCCGCACGCCTACATGGTATTTGAGGCAGCAAGCGTGGCGATGGGCTGGGCGGTGATACAGAGAATTGGGCCGGTTTATTGGCGCGGAAGCGTATGATAGACGACGGCGAAGCACTCTCTGACATGCGTAGTAGGGCTCCATGATGTAGTTGTGCGTTGCGGGTGTCACGTCTTTTGACCAGGCGTGTTATTGAACCGTTTCCCACATGGTGTGGACTGCTGCGTATGCGGCCGGATTTGAGAGCTTCCGGATCAAAGAGCGCATGCTGTTCTTGCGTTTACGCGGTGCGCACGTCGTATTCACTAAGGAAAGAATACATCATGGGATTTGTGATACGCGAAGGAATAGACTAGGGAGTTGGCAATGGAAGACAGCAGACCGCCGAGGGTGCTGCGTATTATTGCTTGTACATAGTTCTAACCGAAATCAGGCCCGATGCGAGCGGCGCGGAGGGTGGGAGAATGGAAGATCAACTGTAGGCTTGGCCGACCGCATCTTGGTCTGCACGCTCATGCTCCCCTCCTCGCTGGTCTCTCGGACCTCCTCTCTAGCCTCTAACGGCCTCTAAACACTCTGCAGCACTCGCTGCGTATCTCCTCAGGACGACTGCTGAGCCACAATTCTGGCAATAAAGCGAGATCTGCCCTCACGGCCACCTCCGCGTCCGAAGGCCACCACATACCCTAGGGACCCTCTATCCCTCCCGAGCAGCAGGCTGCCTGCCCGAGCTCGCCCCCCGCATTGACGAAGAAGACACACGGTTCAGCACGCACCCGTAGCGGGAGATGAACGGGGTCCGACGCTTCCTCGGCGGCGGATCCGCCACGCCCTCGTCCCAGACCGCTCCCCTACCCTCCGTCTCGAATGGCGTCGACGAGAGCAGCCCCCCGAAGACGACCGCCGCGCTGGTGTTCCGCAAGGACCGCTCGCGCGCGACGCCGCCGTCGCGGCAGTCGGACGACGACGGCCACTCCTCCTTCCAGTCCTCGCGCAACTCGCTCGAGTCAGGGCGCACGTCCACCCAGCCGTCCTCGCCGATCGCGGGGCCTTCCTCACCGCGGGCCCCGGTGCCGATACGGGTCGCGGAGCTCGCGCGGAACGGGTCGGCGACGTCGAAGCGGACGAGTGCGACGTACAGCTCGAAGGACGACCTGCTCATCACGCTCCTCGCGAGCGAGGCTCTTGTGGACAGCAGAGATTTTGATATTTTGAGTGCGGAGGAGGTCGAGGATCTCAAGAAGGTGCGCAAACGAGTTCTCACTGTCAGGGTACACTGGGTTGACCGCCGTTTGTGTGCATGCCGCTGGTCTCATGCCCGTAGGAGTCCCAAACGCTCACAACACGACTGGTGGCCCTGTCGAAGAAGCTCACACTGGAGACGAAGCTCCGAGATGCTGCCCTCTCACTGTCTAAGGCTACCTCCTCGTACAAGGGCGGTTCCCAACAAACATCTGAGCAGGTCGAGAATGCCAGTCGCAAAGTCGATGCTGCGCAGAAGGAGGTCTGGCGCATATCGGAGCAGGCAGTTGAAGTCAACCGGCGGTTGCTCGAACACCGCGCGGGCGTCCTCAGCTACTCGTTGCGGAGCGTGGAGAAGAAGATGGCGGGCCCAGACACAAACGGCGACCCGAGCGCGTCGGGAGGCAGCACACCAAACCGCAACTCGGCGATGAGCCCAACGCAGTCGTCGGTGCTCAGTGCCCAGTCGAACGCATCCCGGTCGAAGTTCGACGGCGCGCACTTCTTCGCCGGTCACTCCGACGCCATTGTTCCCTTCGGCGCGTCAAGAGGCTTAGGGGCTTCGTCCGCGGCGCTCACAGCACTACAAGAACAGCTGAAGACCGCACAAGATGCGCTCGAGGTGGCGAATGCGCAGCAACAGAAGATGTCGAGGGAGCTCACTTCGTTACGCTCAGAGAAGAGTTCACTCGCATCGTCGAAGGACTCGGAGCTCCGACAGTCGGAGGAGATGATCGCCGCGCTGGAACGACAGATGGGCGACATGCAGGGCTTTGGCGACCGCGTGCGGTCTCTGGAGAATGAGAAGATGTCGTGGCAGAACGACAAGGCGGAGCTGGATGAGAAGCGGAGCGAGGTCGAGAGGCTTCAACAACAAATGTCGCTTCTGGAGCGACAGGGCGGGGAGATCACCACAGTGCAGTCGGACCTGGCGCGGGAACGGCGGAAACTGGATGAGAAGGACAGGGAGATCGCGGAGCTCAAGGCTGAGCGGGTGGCTCTTCTCGCCGACGGGGCAAACAAGCAGGAGCTGCATGACGGAGTGGACGCGTTGCAGGGCGTCATGATGAAGTACAGCGTCTCACATTATTCCCGCGACTCCTCAGTCATTGCGCTGGCGGCCTCGATTGATCAACATCTCGAAGAGGTGCAGGCCAAGCTCGACGCGCAAGGGAGGACCCAGGAAGAGTGGAATGCCGCACGGTCGAAGCTCGAAGTCGACCTCCGAGCCAGTCTCGACAAGCGGGAAGCCCTCGACGAGCAACTCGAAGCGGCAAGGAAGGAGCGCGACAGTGCCAAGGCCGACAACCACATACTGGAGGGGAAAGTCAGGGTACGTTCACCTGGTGATGAATACATCCTCGTCAATGATTAACTTGGTATGCATGATGTTCTTTAGGAATACCAGGACGGCCATGCACCAACGGTCGAGTACACCGGCGAAGCGGCCAAGATCACCGAGCTCCTCCAACCCGTCTGGTCTATCCTTCCATCTCCCGAAGCGCGTGTGCAGAAGATGGGCAAACATAAAGCTGTTCTTCCTTCCCCTACGGTCGGAACCAGTCCTGTTAACAAGGGTACCGCGTCCCTCTCCGAGATGGACGTTCGCTCACTCAAGACTTTGTACGACCCCAATGCCTTATCCTCTGCGCGACCAGGCGGCCCCGACGTTTTCAGTGTCGAGGCGTTCGTTGCCCGTGTGCAAGCCCTCATCAACGACGACCGTGCACTCATTGAGCGGCTCATTCGGTTCGCGCAAGCACACGATCTGCTCAAGAAGAACGCTGAACGGGCGCAGAAGCTTGCGCAAGAGAGCAATACTGCACTTGAGACATACCAGAAGCAAGTCAAGCTGCTTGAGGAGCGCAACGTTTCCATGATCTCGAAGCAGGCCACATTGTAAGTACCGCTCATTCCTGGGATTTGTGCGCGAGCTAACGCGATATGCTGCTTTAGCACAGACGAGATTGCCAATCTGCAGGAAGCGGTCGATCGCTTAACAGCAGAAAAGCTCGACCTCGAGACTCTTGCCGCCGAACAGGCGGAGACTTGCAGTCAGCTTACGGAAGCCAACAACACGCTCAGCGCTCGGGTTCTTAATCTTGCGGAACAAAGCAATGGGGCGGCAACCTCGGATACGGAGCGGCGAAAGCTCGAGCAGAAGCTCGAGGCGGAGCGGAAGCGCCTTCGGGAGGATATGGGGAGACTTGAAGTCGAGAAGTTGAGCCTAGAGGCAGAGAAGGCGCGGCTGGAGGAAGAGCTGCAAAATAACCAGGCGGCGCTGGAACGAGCGACAGAAGACGTAGAGGCGATGCGCATGTCCCAGCAAACACAGCAAATGGCGCTTCTCGACGAGCTCAACACAGTCCAGACAGAAAACGCAACTCTCCGTGCCCAACTGCGGAAAAAGTGAAATGTCTGTTGATTTCGCTGTATATCCTGTCCCAGCCTCCGCCGGCGCTCGCTCAGGTCACTTCCAACCATTCTTCTTCTCTCCTTAACGTCTCACTTCTACCGCTCAGTCGACGGGATGCACGACTTGACCTGAGGCGTTGTTTGGCCTCCCTCTCCTCTCTCTTGTTTCCAGACTCTACTCTCTGACCGGACGCAGGATCTCGATCCTGCCTGATGCACACACCGTCGATTGTATCTCTACGCAATGTTTGATATCCGCGCATCGCTATCTCTACTTATTATCGTCGCCATGTTGCATCCTCGCCCATGTAATCGTCATTCGTCTTGATTTCGTCGTTACGGTAGGTAGTACTCATGACGTCTCCGGTCCGAATGCATGCATGCTTTTCATAGGTACTCTACTCTAGACCTGCACCGCAATCAGGAGCCTCGGTCTGACAATTCATACTCGACACGTGTGTTGGGAATTGCACAAGCTCGCCGAACCGCAGACAGCGCCCGCTGTCAGACACACAGCCGCTTCGAGAACGCGCGCGGACGGGCGCCTGTACTCAAGGCGCGAAGTGACCCTAGGCGCCGAGTGGACCCCGACGGCGTCCGACGACCAGGGCCAGGCTTGCTCTCGTCTCGCCACCGCCTGCCCCTACTCGCTCTCTCTTCCTCTCTGACGACCTACCCCTTTGCACCCCCCATTCACTCTCTCATTTTGACACTCCATGCCACCTCTGGAAGGGATCGACGAATTTCTAGATGAACTGCCTAACGTTGACAAGCGGTCATGCCGCCTTCTGGGTCCAACTGCACTGGTGGGTTCGGTCGTGGCCAGGGACGGGTTATGGCGAGATCTCATGCATACTGGTCGCAGATTGTGCAGGCTCTCATGGGTGTGCTGGTCATCCTCTCTCTTGTCTATAAACGTCATCGCGAGACCCCGAAGCGGCCGTGGAGGATATGGTTCGTGTTGTGCCTGTATTTTTCCGGACTCCCTTCTAACTCCTCCGGAAAAAAACTCAGGCTCTTCGACGTCTCCAAGCAGATCGTCGGCCAAATGTTTGTCCATGGCGTGAATGTTCTTATCTCGGACGTCGTCGCGCATCTTTCCACCGCAAACGCTTGCGTTCTCTACTTCCTCAATATTCTCATCGACACGACATTCGGTGGGTCACATACCCTCCTGCTCTCGCATTTTGGACCACCAACCGATCTCCTCTCAAGGTGTTGGCATAATATATGTCCTCTTACAGGCTATGACCCACGTCCTCACAGTGAAGCTGCATTTCAAAGGGTTCGAGTCTGGAGTCTATGGAACGCCCCCCGCCATCAGCTACTGGTTCCGTCAAACGGCTGTCTACGTACTTGCCTTGACCACCATGAAGCTTGTGGTCGTCTCGCTCTTCGCGGTTCTTCCTGCCATTTTCGACTTCGGAGAATGGCTGTTGGGATTCCTTGGGACAAGTGATGCTGCCCAAGTCATCTTGTGAGTTTTGACCAAAATTCCCGAGTTCTCTCGTTCGGTCGTTGACTGCTTCACTCCAGCACCATGGGCCTTTTCCCCATCATGATGAACATCCTCCAGTTTTGGCTTATCGACTCCATTGTCAAAGGCTCGACCTACTCTCCTTTGGCTCTCGGATCCGATACTCCTCGCGCATCAATGGACCCTGCCAACGAACCACTTTTCCGCACGTCTGATGACGAAGACGACGACGACGACGACGACGACGGTCTGCCAGCACGGCACGACATCGAAAACCCGGCGCCACGCTCTGGGTCTATCTCGCGCGACAGGGAGCGCCAGAGTTCAGTGAGCGAGCCGAAGTCCACCGGTACGACTACGGCAGTTCCATCAGGTTCGACCACGCCGCAGCCCAAGCCCATCGATACCGGTGTTTCCGTACACGCATACCCGCCCTCCGTGATCGCAGCTTCTCCCAGCTCGGCCTCGAGTTCTTTGAGCTCCAACTCCTCCCTCTCCAAGTCTCGCAGACGCGAACCCCCACCCCCACTGGCCCTCAAGGCTGACCCGCCGTCATACATGAACATTGAGGTTTCAAGAAGTGCACCACCCGAGGAGGTCGAGCTATCTCGTGACGAAGACGAGAAGTGGGCAGCATGGGGTGATGAAGAAGACTGGGCGGAGCGTGTGGGGGAAGAAGAATGGACGGGTCGGAGAATAGAGGCGAGGAAAGAGGCGATGGATGATGTGTGGCGGGATCACCGTAGTCCCAACGCACACGCAGTCTCTGTTCCCTGAATCATGGACATATCTCTCGGTCTGTCGACTGTCTAGTGGCGCGCTATCCTCGATTTCACGTCTCACCGCTCTCACGACACCTTTTCTATCTCTAATACCTGTACATTACCCCTGCACCTGAACGTATTTTCGGCGATGTAACACAACGCTTGCACGCTTTTATACGCTTGAACCTGATGGACGAAACGATGGTGGTGAAAGCTTGCCTAGGTGGTAGGGAGACAATTGCGGCGGAACACTCGCACCGGAGCGGACCCGAGGACTCCGGGTCGATCGCCAAACATGGCGTCTCACTCGGGCACACACCTGTCCACAACCCTCTCCTCTCTCCATACCCTACCCTCTGTGGACTCGCGCCCAGCAAGCCCGACGCTCGCTATCACGCCAGAGTTTGTTGCTGTCCTTGTTCCCTTGAAGGCTCAAGCACTCCGAGCCAGCTTCGCCACACCGACGACAACCGTCCTCCATCTACCCGCAGCACTTCTTGTGCGCCATCGCTGCAGTCTTGATCTATGGCACCATCCAACCCTAAAAGGGCCGCCGCAAAAGTACGTGGCCCCTTCTTCTTTGGCGGTCTGGCGGCGCGGTCTCATGTTTGGCGATTCGGACAGTTCTACCAGGAGGACATCGTCCAACGGAAAGACGACCCCAAGACATACGGGGTGGTTCTGGTGCGTCTTCTACTGCTGCAAGCGTCTGTTATACATCCTCAGTGCATGGCGGGGTTGCAGAGATGCTGGCAGGATGCAGAAGATATTCACCCTCCCGCCGATAACGCGGATCCGCTCATGAGGCCACTCGTCCAGGTACGAGGCTTGTGTTAACCCTCCATTTCAATCTGTGTGTCTCACCTGGTCCATGGACTGGTGCATGCTGCATTTACAGGGAGAGGTCGGCGTGTCGTATTTTCCGCAACCGTTACGGGAGATCATCACGGAAGACCAGCTCACGCTGGTAGACCGAATGTACCAGCCTGGGGACCTGCTCAAGCGCAGCGTGGACGATGTGCGTTCCGGTATCGTGACCAGGTACGTCGTTTAATGCTTGCTTGTGTGTGCGGCCATATGCGACGTACATGGGCGTGCGGATGCTCACGCGCCTCACTTGCCTTCTCAGGACCATCGTAAAGGGTCGCCTGGATCATGCCATTAGCAGCGAACCTGTGCCAGACTGGAAATGTCTCGGAGATTTGCGCGCGGCGGTTGAGATCGACATGGGAGACTATGTCATCTATAACGATTGGGTCGGCCAGGTACGACATAACACTCGAAGCTCTCTGCAAGATAATTGAACGACCTATTTTTTAGGTTGTTGAAGTGCGTCCATGTTCTCATGCGCCCAAGTTCTCGTGATGTTCACGAGGCCCCCATCCCATAGATGTTTGACGAAGCCTGCGTCGAAGTTTCCGGAGGAAGTCTTGTTCGTCTACCGGAACTGAGCGCTCGCCTCGCGGTCGGAGAGAGAGGACCCGTGAGTACCAGTCATTTTGTGCTGAAGGCGTCACAAACTGTTGTGGCTTCCAGGACATTCTTCCTCAGCCTATGTCTACTGTACAAGGGCTGTTCGGATTTCTTCTGGGTAGCACTCAACCGAGTGCTGCAGATACCGTGGTTTCTGTCAAGCACACGGTCCTCGCTATTGCATGGCTAGCAATCAACCAAACGGTTTGACTAGTGTTCATATTTGACCTGGTAGCTCACTGACATACGTCATAGCTCACTCCGGAGGCGGCTCAAGCCAAGCCACGTCCCCAACGCTATTGGTACGGGCAAGACCTCGGGAAACTTCTTATTGTCTCAAGTAGAGCGGAGGAGGAGATGCGCGTTGGTGACCGCGTCCGACTAAAGAGCGGCCAACCCACGCCCACTACGAAACACGGCAGGACGGCAGACAAGGATGGTATCATCGAGGTCGACACCCTTGTAGTGCAAGAGACCGAAACCACCATCGAAATCCTGTGGCAAGATGGAACAAAGGAGACCCTGCCGGCAAAGGAAACCGTTCCGTATCTGAACCCGGACGAGTACGATTGCTGGTAAGGTACCTACGGATTTTGTTTTATATGAAAACTGATCATTTCAAGGCCTGGGGATCATGTTCTCTGGAAGACGGAAGACTCAAAGAGGCACGTCATAGTACAGTCAGTAAATGCCAAAGAACGAACTGCACAGGTCCGCGTCGTCGAAACAAGAGCAATCGAACTCGCATCCGTGCTGGAACTCGACCCGCATGGCACGAACGACTGGTCGGCAATCGCCCCCACCGACGGTCTTGGAATCCGCCGCGGAGACCTCGTTTTCATTCACGCTGAGAACTCAACAAATGGTGCCACTACACCGATGGTCCCGCGAATCGGCGAGGTGGAAGAATGGGTCCGCGAGACCCCCGTCGTCGGCTCGAATGGCCAGCTTGGCGGCTGGCGACGAGCGATGGCAGACATCGGGACCCAGATAGCGGAAGCGCGTGGCAGGGAGGGTGCCGTCGAGGAACCACCAATTCTTCGTCTTCCAAGGGGTGACACCTCCATTGACTGGTTTGGCGAAATCTCTGACGTATGTGATCTCGATCTGTTTGTGCGTACTTGCGCAGCTAACAAGAACTTCAACAGCTCCGGTTAGACGGCACGATTGAGATCATGCTCCCTGGCGGTGTCCCCCGAGTGGTGCCGCTGGACAGGTTGACACGATTGTATGACAGTCTCGAACAGCTGGAAGACATGTGGGATGACAACGAGGGGACGATCGACGACCAGGGCTCGGATGTTGAGGTCTGGGAGATGGACCAGGACGGTCATTGGGTGGAGGGCCGCGCGTCGGACAACGATGACTGGGAGTCCGCGGAAGAAGACGAGGACGAGGTGATGGAGGACGCCGAAGAAGGGGAGAGTGGTGACTGGTCACCATCCACGGTTACGGTCATCCCACCACCGAATAACGGGATACCCATGGACGTTGACTCTACATCAAGCGAGGAGCCTAGGCCTGATCCTACTCGCACACAGACTCCTGACGTCCCGAAAGAGGCAGTCACAGCCCCCGACGATGATGCGGAAAGCGAGGACGGCGAAAGTCTTTGGAAACGCTTCGAGGTACTGCCTGCCGCACCAGTGGACCACGCGTACTACAATACCACGCCCGCACAGCCGTCGCGAAACTTCATGGCGCGCCTCACGAAAGAGTACAAGGCACTCCAGAGTAGTCTGCCAGGTACGCATATTAGACGAACCACGAGTCATCCGCGCGGACCGCTTACTGTTGCGCCCATGCGGCTATCGTATGCCACCACAGATTCGATCCTCGTGCGCGCATACGAGGACCGGTCGGACCTCCTGCGGTCGCTGATCATCGGCCCCGAAAACACACCCTACGAGAACGCGCCGTTCGTCATTGACTGGATGCTCGACTCAAACTTCCCACAGACGCCACCCGTCGCGCACTTCCTCAGCTGGACGAATGGGAACGGGAGAGGTGAACTGCGTTCCACCGTTGACTGTCCGTCGCATGGCTGACGAGTGACGTTTGCAGTGAACCCGAACCTGTACGAGGAAGGGAAGGTCTGCCTGTCGATCCTCGGGACGTGGGCGGGAGACAAAAGCGAGTCGTGGAGCGCGGCGCGGTCGTCGCTGCTGCAGGCGTTCGTGTCCATTCAGGGGCTGGTGCTTGTGAAGGAGCCGTGGGTGCTCTCTTATCTTCATTGGCCCGACGCGTGTGCTCACGCGAATCTCCGTCAGGTGGTTCTGCGAGCCAGCGTACGAGAAACTTCGGGGAACCGAGGACGGCATTGTGAACAGGTCAGTCGCGCGTTGGTATCGCGATCGGTACTCGTGGGCTGACCAACGTATAGCCGACTATACAGCGAGAAGGCGTACGTCCTCTCGCGCGGGTTCGTCCGTCGCGCACTCGAGGTCCCGCTGGGCAGCCTGGAAGAGGAGCTGCGATGGTTCTACTACACGAACGGGAAGCTGACGAAGGTGTTGGAGGATGCGCGGGCTCTGATCAAGAAGAGCCAGGAAGGCAAGGAAGAGCCTACGGAGGCGGACCGGGAGTTGGCGGTGCCCAGGTTATCTGGTGGCGGGATCATCACGCTCGAACGGACACTGGTCAAGCTGCAGGCTCTGCTGGACGCTCACTCGGCGGGCGTGCCGTCGGAGAAGCCGCAGGCGTGAGCTCGTCGGCTCCTCATCCACTTTTTCTTGGGCTTGAGGGACGTGAGCAGCCTGGCACCGCGGTAGATCTGTTGGCCTTGTGGCCTATCAGCGATATTACAGACTATACTATGACGAGATACAAAGCACATGTTGCAGTCCGATGGCGATGGCGACGATCGCGGTGCGACGGGGCGAGGAGGAGCGGGAGGTGATTGGGCGCAGTGGAAATTTCGAGTAGCTGCCGCGAGATTCGAGGGAGGCCCCGCACGGCCGTGCTCGACATAAACGCGCTCCACGACCCTAACCTCGCCTGCTTCATATCACTCTCCGCCTCCGATCTCCCCTCATCTCCCTCGTTCCGTCCCCGTCCTGCTGCTACCTCCACCCGTCCCTCCCTCCCGCCCACCTCTCTATCTACCACACGATGTCCGCAGAAGAACAAGAGCTAGAGAACACCCATCCTCCCATGTCCCGCGCGAACTCGGGCAAGCCCAAGGGCATCCTCAAGAACGCACCACCAAACGCCCCTGGCGGCACCCAGCAGTGAGCCCCGCCTGCGATCTGATGCGGGACTACAGATAGATGACCACTGCCGGCGGACGAGCAGCTCGCTGCAGTGGGACGAGGAGAACCTGGCGTTGACGGAGGCGCAGAAGGATAGCCATATGAAGATCACGGAGCCCAAGACCCCTTACGTGCGCTACAACGCGGAGACGGACACTGTCGAGAGCGGTGCGTGCCCTGGTCCTTTGCCCTTCCCGCCGCTTCGCGACTGAGCTGATGAGAGCCGCACCCGACCTGCCGCCGGCCGACAACAATGGACAACAACAACGCATCGCCGGCTGCGCACAACACGCCCCATATCGCTCGCATGACGCACCCGTGCCGCACCGCCTCGCACCCTTGTCGCCCGCGTCGGGGCCGATCGGCAGACATCCCGTCGCTGGACCTGAACGGCGCGGGGATGCGGACGGCGAGCCCGGTAGCAGTCGAGCCGCCGCGGGCGATGTCGCCGACGAGCAGCACGGGGGCGACGGGCGGGGGCTCGGGCCCGCCGTCACGCCGGACGTCGTTCTCGAGCGTCGGGCGGGCGTCGACGCCGGGCGGGCGGAGCGGGAGCTCGAGCCGGAGCACGAGCTTCAACCTGCCGAGCGAGGCGCGCGAGGTCATCGACCTGGACGGACCGCAGCCAGGGGACGAGATCGAGTGCGACGAGGAGATGGACGAAGAGAGTGCGTGGTCTCTTTCCCGATTCGATGCCCCTTCCGCTGCGTCGGATCGCCTGCGCAGGGCTCTTGCTCCGTATGGGAAGAGTAGTTGATGTGTGTGTGCTGCAGCTGCGCGGAAGCACGCCGCGTTTGTGCGGGCCCGGGGACGGCATTATTCCAACGAAGCAGAGGCGATGAAGGTGAGTACCCGGCCCACAGCCCACCCGAGACCGGACTGACGAGGTGGCGGTGGCAGATGGCGAAGCGACTGATGCAGGAGGAGGACGAGGAGTCGTCGTCGTCGGTGGCCGAGTCCGCGGAGCAGTCGGTGAACGACTCGGACAGCGTGATGGACGAGGACGGGGTGCTGCACGTGAACGGGATCGCGCACTGAGGGGCGGGCGGGGAGGAAGCCGTGTGCACATACCCTTCCGTGTATAGGAGCTGTATCTGTATCTACTGCCCGAATGCTTGTCAAGAACCCGAGGTACGAGGCCGCGGGCGGGGAACGGGCGCCGCCGGGGGCACGTGGCGGGCCGGGGAGTATGAATGGGCGACATGCGGCTCTCGCGTCCAGCCCGGCCGTCGCTCCCCCCTCTCGCGACCATGTCCCATCTCCCCTTTCCGGAGCCGCCCACAGACGCGTCCGTCGCACAGGCCCTCGCCCAGCTCGACGCCTTCACCACCGACGCACAGGCCCTCGCCCGCCGGATCCAGGCCGCCCGTGACGAGCTCGCGCACATCGTCGACCAGCGCCAGGCCGCCATCCGCGGCCTCGAGCACAACCTCGCCACCCTCGAGGACCGCGTCGCGCTCACCAGGGCCTATGTCTCCCCCATCAGGCGGCTCCCCCGTGAGATCCTCGTCCAGATATTCCTTGCCGTCTTTGACGACTGCTCTTGGTCCCCCTGGATCCTCTCGGCCGTCTGCACCCTCTGGCGCCGGCTTGCGCTCTCGATACCCAAGCTCTGGTCAAAGGTACGCCCCTCCTCCTTCCCTCCCCCGTCCTAGCTGCGCACCCACACCCTGCCCCTCTATCACCTCCCTCTGCCACCCCCGTGGTGCGCGCCGCTCCCTTTGGGACTCTCCTAGACCTGGTGTGGACGCTTTCTGACCCCGCCTTCTGCCGCAGATTCGTCTCGTCACAGCGCACGCCTCCTCCGCAGAGACGATCCGTCTGTGGCTCGAGCGGTCTGGCCGCACGGTACCGCTCGACATCGAAATCGTCCTCTGCTCCTCCTCCTCCCACCACTCCGACGGCTCTCGCAGACGCTGTGTCCCGGTTGCTACCCACGCCCCCGGAGACGTCTGGGCTCCGCCCCCAGGATGGACAACACCGCCACCAGTCGTACACACACACGGCCCCGCTGCGGGTGGTGCGGCCCTGCCGTTGCACATAGGAGACGTCCATCTCGTCCCCGTCCAGGCGGTGGTGGCGGATGACCCCCCTGGCCCAACGCCGCCATCCCCGACGCACGCGCATGCGGAGCTCGAGATGCCGCCACTGCTGAACGCGGACACCCGGACCATCGCCCCCCATCAGCGCACCCGCAAGAACATGCACTGGGGCCACATCGCGTTCTACTACCTCGTCGAGCAGATGGCGCGCTGGGAACGCTTCGTGTTCCGCTTCGACAAGCAGTTCGCGTCGATCGGCGCGCTGCGGGCCATCGGAGGTATGTCCGCGAATTTGATCAAGCCTGCGCTTTGTTGACGGCGGTTCGCAGGCGATGCGCCCATGCTGCGAGAATTCGAGATCTCATGCTCGAACTCGGAGCCGGTCCTCTACAACGACTGGAAATGGCTTCCGTCGGCGCCTGCCTCGACGTCTTACGACATCCTTGCCCTGCGGACTCTGACCCTCCAGCATGTGCCCTTCCAGTGGTCCTCGCCCATGTTCCGCAACCTCCACCATCTCACCCTCCGCAGCCTGCCAACCGTCCACATCTCCCTCGACCGCATCCTCCACATCGTCGCCGCGAACCCGAGCCTCCAGTCTCTCGCGCTCCATTTTGCCTCCCCCAACCCTCCCGTCTTACCGCTCAAGCCCGTGACGCTGCCACATCTCAAGGGCCTCAACTTCAGCGGCCACTACCTGCTCGCCAACCTTGTTGACGTCCTCGTCCTCCCTGTCCTCGATACCCTCATCCTTGACATCGAGGCACGCGACCCGATCGAAGATACCCTCACCTCGCTCCTTACCCGCTCCGGGAACCCTCCGATCACCCGGCTCTCGCTCTCTTACGGCACGCACACCGGCCCGCACACAGGCTACTATTGGGTCAGCGGCCCCGGCGTCGCCTCCTGGCACTTCCTCTCTGAGCTGGACAGCCTCCGCGCTCTGCACGTCGGCGCCGCGCCGTTCGAGCCCCTCCTCGGCACCCTCGGCGCGCCTGACGAAGACAACGGGCAGGACCGCTGGGTATGCCCGCGCCTCGCGACGCTCGCCCTCCGCGGCTGCCACGCGCACGGGGACGGGATCGCGAAGCTCGTCCAGATGGTCGACGCACGGAACCCGGACGGCGGCGGCCCTCCCGCGTTCGGGGGCGTCGTCCCCACGCGTCTCCGCCGGCTCGAGCTCTACGACTGCTCGGCCGTGGGCCCGGATGTCGTGGAATGGCTCAGGTCGCGGATAGGGCCGGATGATGTGGTGTGCCCTGAGCCAAGCTCGGAGGGGTACATTGGCCGGTTCGTGCTCGTGCAGTAATAGGGTGGGAGAGACCCGAGGGTGCAGATCTAAGTCCTTGAGGACGCTGTTGGTTCCGTTGGTTTGTCGGTAGTGTTTTGTTTGTTTTGTGTGTGTCACGCGAGCTTTGTTGCATCATGATATCTATGTGTCAAACGTATGTAGCGTTAGTCGTAGTTATATCCCCCTGGTTTGGTGTAATAAACCGAGAACTAGTTCTCACCCGTGGCGTTGCCACGGCGCGTGCGGGCCTTTGGCCCTCGAGACGTGACGTCTGGCGGGTATTTGATGAATAATACTTATAGCGATACGGCAAAAACTGAAGTATGTGCTGCAAAGAGGCGTGCAGAACTTTTATCAACGTGCACTCACATGTGTTGGTGGTGTGGAATTGAAGATGATCGGTTGGGAGCAAGGGAGGTAGTTAGCCCGTCGGGATAGTGGGATGTTGTATAATCATTTCCACAGTGCCCGAGAACCTCGTCCAGTAACGCATGCGCACGCGCCGTGTGGTGAGCTGAAGGCGAGGAGTCCGGGACTGTTGCGCCGGCGGTGCGCGCCCCCGCGTGAGAAGGGAAGGGTCGCGCGGGCCCGTCAGCCTCAAATAGCTGGTCCAATATCGATAGGCCCTTTTCGCGCAGGAGCGCGAGTGGGGCTGTGTTCAGTTTTGGAGCGGGCCACAGCGCATAGCGACCTCATGCACCCCCGCGACCACTGCGCGCGCATGGCGATATCCCCGTGTGCACAACGTGTGCATTTTGCTTCCGCGCGAGGACTCATGTCCAAACCCCTGCCCGGACCTGAACGTAGGACGTGCCCTTGCACTGGGTGCAGAGGCCATTCCACGACGATGTCATGCTATTGCCCCACCTTGCGAGATTCACACATGGGGAGTCTGCAGTGCATGCGGAGATATACCCGCACGCGCGTGGGTGCTCGCAGCGGCGCGCTCAGACTTGCTCAGACTTGCGCTGTACTGCGCGCGGTGATGCGCGAGGGCGCTACGCTATGTGGCCCGCCGCCCGCCGCCCAAAGCTGAAGCGCTGAACGTTGAACGTTAACCCGGCCGCACTCGCGCTCCTGCACGAAAATCGATATTGGGCCAGTATTAAACTCGCCCATAATAATAGTCTCTCTCATCGCCCCGCGCATCGACCTCGTAAACTCGGCCGAAAGACAGTCCCGACCTGGGGCGGCCTCGCAAGCTCGGCCACACAAAGGCGCCAGCCTCGCAGGCTCGGCCGGCCGGCGCACGTGGAAGCCACATGGCAAAACCTCGGTTAGAGTCGCTTATTTCGGCAACTTCGCTAAATTCGCGTATCGCTGCAAGCGACGTACGCGGCTTACTAACACCACCGCTCCCTTCTTTATAGATCGATGAGCCTGGTTTGGAGCCGCTTTTTCATGACATATGATTGATGTGGTCTTTGCGTATGCGCCTTGGCTTCTTTGGTTGAGGGATTGCAGCAGATACCCTTGATCGGCATTTGACAAGCGTTCAATCCCCGAACTATGTCATCACATGAGCCAGGACCATACATTGGCGCACATATGAGATACACCTCTACAATCGGAGTCCCTCCTGCGGCTTCTACGCATCGGTAAGATATACCATCACGAGATTCGACACTTTCATTGTGCAACTTGTGTAAACTCACAACACACCATCGCACGCACCACCACCTGTCGACGCCCCCCACAAAGCCCATCCCCTCAAGCGGAGAGCGTGAACTCCGACACCTTCACCGAGCCACCCAGCGCCACCGTCGCGTAGTTGAAGATCCCGAACCGGTACCCCATGAAGAAGTTCCAGCTGTTTTCCATCGTGAACGGCCCGCCGATGTTCGTGAACTTGCTCCCGTCGGTCGAGTACGAGAACTGCGCCGTCTGGTCGCTGGCCGGCGCGATGTCCGCCTTCACGCGCAGCCAGATCGTCGCCGCGCCCTTCGGGAGCGCGACCGGGCTCGCGCCGTCCGCGCCCGTGTTCGTCGTCGTCCAGCCCGTCTGGGAGAGGTCGACGTCGGTCACCATGCGCACCGCGAGCGCGCCGCCGTCGCGCGCGACGCCGACCCAGCCGGTGTGGTCGCGGAAGAGCGCGAGCCCGGCGCGGTCGCCGTCCGCCATGCCGCCGAGCGCGAGCTTGATCGTCGCGGTCGAGGACGGGCCGAGGATGCGGTGCGTGAGCGTGTTCCGGGCGGAGTACAGGTCCGGGGTGACGGTCGCGGTCTTCAGGGTGAGCCCGTTGTTGACCGAGAATTTGGTCGTGTCCGGGTTGTGGTTCCACTCCCACTGCGGCCCGAGCGAGGTGCCGGAGAAGGTGTCGGTGCCCGTGAGGCTTGGAACGGGATGGGCGGCGAGCGGGTTGGCGTAGGAGGAGCCCCAGCCGCCGTTCACGAGCTACGGGAAGCCACTGGTGAGCAGACGCGACGCGAGAGAGGGTGCAACGCTACATACATCGACGGAAGGGAAGCCGTCGCTGCCCCATGTGAGCGGCGCAAGAATGGGAATGCGTCCTCCGGGGTAGGAATCGACGAACGCCATGTAGTACCAAGTGTCATTCCCGGCGTCGACGATGCCTCCTTGGTGCGGGGGGCCGGCCGTCAAAGGCGGGGAGACCGTGTCCACAAGCACCTTGCTGGTGTATGGGCCAAATGGACTTGAGGCCTTGAAGACGATTTCTGAGGTCGATGGATGGTCCGCGAGGATGTAGTAGTAGCCATTACGCTTGTACATGCGTGTGCCTTCGAGGTACCCTAAGGGAATCGCATGATGTCAGTAACCACACTGATAAACTCCGACTGCCATGTAGCTGACCATATGTGTCCGATTGCGGGAAAACCTCTTGAGATGATGCCTCCGCAGTCGCATCGGCAGTGAGCTGAGCGACCCAAATGTTATTGTTTTGCACGAACGAGACATACATGCTCCCGTCGTCGTCGATGAGCATGCCCGCGTCGTAGTAGCATTTGTAGATCTGCGTGTGCTGTGTCCACGGACCCGTGACCGCCGGGGCGGTGTAGATGTACGAGTGCCAGAAGTCAATGCAGCCGCCCCACATCCAGAGATTCGTGTGCGGATTGAAGTTGAAGAAGGATGCCCACACGCCCTCGACATACGCGCGCGTTCCGTTGGCCATGTCGTAATTGCTGCCAAAGTCGAGGCTCGGAACCGAATGCCCGATGAACTCCCAGTTGAAAAGGTCGTAAGAACGTAGGATGGGCGCGCCCGGGGAGTAGTGCATCGTCGACGCAGAGTAATAAAAGACGCCGTTGATGTTCCGGATTTCGACGTCCGCGAGGTCGTTCCAGATCACCGGGTTCGTGAAGGCGCGGCTGAGTGCAGGTAGGAGGGCCAGAACCCCGACGAGTAGGAAAGAGAGCACCATGATGGGCGCGGAACCGTTGCTGGGGAAAGCATCGGGGAAGAGACCTGCAACTGTCTTATATGCAGAAGAGGTGTACCGAGGCTCGGCGGCAATATCTCGGTTGGAGGGACCGGTCCTGTGCATGATGGAGGCGGAGAAATGGGCTCAATCTTGGTCACGACCGTCCATCAGCGCTGGGACATGTGAGGAGGATCAGCATGGCCAGGGAGTGTGTACTCCGGGTTTAGCGAATCGTTTCGCCGAGCTTTTGAACACAAGATGTATCCAAGTGCACTTCTGCAGGAACACAACAACGCGTCTGTCGTTCAAGAACGTCGGCAGACATGCTATAACTGACACGCGTACGCTGCAACGGACATGTGAGCCATATGCTCGAACCTGTTTAAGTAGTACACGTACTCCGTAAATCAAAGATCACCATTGTTCCCTAGGAGAAATGATGTAGTAGTCGATGAGTGACACACTCGCCTGGCCTATGTCATAAACTACTCACAGTCGACCCCGTCCAGATCTGAGCACGAATCATCTTCGTAGATCTCCAACTCCTGTTCGTCTTCGTCACACTCCACCCAACAACCCTTTCCATCGTTCATACGATCCAACCAGTCGTCGTACAACCTGTCCGGCCATCGTCCATTCTTCCTCCATGCTCTTCCAATGACGACCACTCGGGTTCCCTTTTCCGATTCTTCATAGAGACGCGCCCAATCCCGCATACACTCAACGCCTTCTTCCCACATCGCGAAGGGGGCATCACAGAAGTCGCCGGGCGCTGGGCCAGTAGTGTGAACCACGAGTAACTTGAGGGCACTCGGGCGTGATTGCTGAGGGTGGCCGAGAGAAGGCTCCATTCCGAGGACGTCGGCGAAAACGGCAGGAGTGGGTTCGTAACTGTCGGAGAACCGAAGGTGGGTGAGGCTACAGGGAGGGGAAAGGGATAGAGCTCGAAGCATTCCTTCTGGATTGCCTTCAACGCAGTGGAGACGCTTGAGAGCCGGAAGTTGGGCGAACGGGCTGATGGGAGGGCCATGCAGAGAATTGTCGGGGCATGAGGAAGGCTCAGGTAGGAAGGTAGGAATTCGACGTTTGCACGACAGCTCCTCCAGCTTTGGTAGAGATGTGCATGGGATGCAGGGCAGCTGTGCGCTACCGCCGTCTTCGAGAATACAAAGCGTGCGAAGCGTTGGAGCTGAAAGGCGAAGGAGGCGGGAGACGATGAATATGAACCTATCATCCCACTCGTCCTTCTGCTGTAGCTTAGATCGTTTGTACTCCTCCTTCTCCGTAGGGGACAGGCGGGAAAATGTCTTCCAGAAATCCGGTGTTGTCACAGTGGATTCGCGTAGGAATGAGATGTAAAGATGCTCGATCCAAGGTGAACACTCCTTTGGTTGCGCTCGCAGGAAGGAAAGAAAATCCTCCATATGTCGGAGATCGTCGAACGCAAGGGAACGAAAGCGGGGAGACAGAGATTGGGCGTGAAAGAAGTGGGTGGTGAGAGCAAGAGAGCTTCCAGTAAAACCGCCGTCGGTGCATGCTGCAGTGATGATGGTCCTCCACAGCTCAGTGGGGATGGAGTTGACGGAAGGCATGGGCTGGAAACTGTGGTGGAAGACGCAAGACAAGAAAGCAGCGAATCGTGCCAAAGCCATGGAGACCAAGCCAAGGCGCAGTTCCGCCAGAGTCATGGGGTCCTGGAGCGTAGAATGACCGCAGTCAGCGCACGACGTGGCGGTCCGTTAAGTGCATACATGTACTTACTGCGTCGTTTCATGTATCGAGATGCCTGGAGACAATGCACGTCCTTGGAACGGATGAGTCGCAGAAGCGAGGAATGGACTTCAGAAGGGCCGCATAGGGCATATACTGCCTTTCGAGCATGGCGGTGGTGGATGGGAGAGAGCCGCGGAGCTCGCGGCCCATTCTGACAGACGCTGCTATGTATTCACCTGTGCAACGCGGTGGCGCCAGGCGTTGATCCCTCCAGGCTCCTCCCTCCCTCTCCCTCCCTCTCTCTGACACGACCACTAGACACGACACCGACACGTCGTCAACCGCTATTTATCTACTCCCTCTTGAAGATCAGGCGACTACCCACTCTTTACCATGAGCTTCTTCCGCGGCAATCAGCCCAACCAACCGCCCCCTCCTGGCTCGTACTCCCGCCTCCCTCCTGCTGATCCCATGAGAGGGGGACCGCAGAGAGCATCCGCCCCACGCTATGACCAATCTGGATATGAACAAAGGTCCTACGATCGTAAACCAGTCCCTCCGCGGGGAGGAGGGGGCGGAGAGTACGTCCTCCTTCTCTCCATCTGTTTGCCTCTCGCGTCATTTTCGAATTAGGTTCTCGGTCCAGAGCGCACCAAGCGACGTGCTTGCGTTTACGAACTGCTTGATTGTCAACCCCTCCGACTTCCCCGACGGCCAGCATGTACTAGTGAAGCAGCAATACCCTATTACTCTTCGGTAAGTTGTAATCCGTCTACCTCGTCTCACACTGTCTGAGACCTACATCCTCACTAGCCACGACAACACCGGGAAGATACCCTCGGGAGCCATTGGAGCCTCTGCAGTATTGCGCCAATGGATGCAGTTGTCGCTCACCGGGGACTCGGTTACCATCGAGCACTTCTCCCAATCTCCCGCCTACCTCGAAAGTCTGGACATAGAAGTCGGGTTCTTGAAGCGCGGAATGGAGATCGCCGAGGCCTTCTCTGCAGATGATATGGTCAAGAACTTCATCCGCGCGTTCAGCGGCATCATCTTCGCTGCTCAAGAGGTCATCCTCTTCGAGTTCCACGGGCAGACACTCAAAGCAACTATCAAGGGTGCACGCGTCGTCGAACTGCCTGGTCAGCGCCCAGGTGGCGACAGCTATGGTATTGTGATGGAGAAGACGGACGTGACGTTTATGAAAGATCCCTCTAGTCCTATTAAGATCAAGTCCAGCGCAAAGAAGTACGTTTTGGACATCTCTCCGCCACTGGACACACACTCACGTACTTCGTCAATCATAGGGCACCACCGAATGCCATTCTCGCACCAAACTTCAAGTTCGAGGACATGGGTATTGGAGGCCTGGACTCTGAGTTTAGCTCCATCTTTCGTCGTGCCTTCGCCTCTCGAGTCTTCCCGCCAGCACTAGTGGAGAAGCTCGGTATCTCCCACGTGAAGGGCATCCTTCTGTTTGGTCCCCCGGGAACAGGAAAGACGCTAATGGCGCGACAAATTGGCAAGATGCTCAACGCTCGTGAGCCAAAGATTGTCAACGGTCCCGAAATCTTGAACAAGTATGTCGGTGCTTCCGAAGAGAACATCCGTAAACTGTTCGCGGATGCCGAGAAGGAGGTTGGCGCACACCTTCGTTTGCTTGTGTCAGAACACTCGCTAACCCAGGTGTTATGTGCAGTACAAAGAGAAGGCAGATGAAAGTGGCTTGCATATTATCATCTTCGATGAACTAGACGCCATTTGCAAGCAGCGTGGCTCGACAGGAGGAGGTACCGGTGTTGGGGATAGCGTCGTCAATCAGCTTCTGTCAAAGGTATGTGTTTCGACGCGGAGGCATCGATGTCACACTAATCATGTTACAAAACCAGATGGATGGTGTCGATCAGCTCAACAACATCCTCATTATCGGTATGACGAACCGTCTGGACATGATCGATGAAGCGCTGCTTCGTCCAGGTCGTCTTGAAGTCCACATGGAGATATCTCTCCCTGATGAGAAGGGCCGTGTGCAAATTCTCACTATCCACACCGCCAAGATGCGCGCCAATGGCATCATGGACAGTGATGTCGACATCATAGAGCTTGCCGCACTGACGAAAAACTTTTCTGGAGCTGAAATCAGCGGTCTTATCAAAAGTGCAACTAGTTTCGCCTTCAGCAGACACGTCAAGGTCGGAACTCTCGCGGGTATATCGGATGACGTGGAAAATCTCCGCGTGAGCCGGGTCGATTTCATGAACGCCCTCGAAGAAGTTCAGCCCGCCTTCGGTGTCGCCAAGGAGGAGCTCGAGCAGGTTGTACAGAACGGCATCATTCACCATGGTTCTGTTGTCGACGTACGTGCAGCGTCTCGCACCGATTATCCGTCGCTGAGGGTTCCTTGCAGGACATTCTTCGCTCAGGCGAACTCTTTGTCGACCAGGTTCGCACTTCCTCACGTACGCCACTCGTCAGTGTGCTACTTCATGGCCCTCCTGGATCTGGCAAGACTGCACTCGCGGCGACCATCGCGCAAGCGTCGCAGTACCCCTTCATGAAGTTGATCACGCCTGACAGCATGGTCGGCTTCTCCGAGGCGCAAAAGGTCGCTTCCATCACCAAGGTCTTCCAGGACAGCTACAAGAGTCCTCTCAGTGTTATCGTCGTCGATAATATCGAACGTCTGCTCGGTGAGATCAGCTCGCCATTTATGCGCCTGAACGCAAGCTAAATGTGCCATCTAGACTTTACTCCCATCGGACCTCGCTTCTCCAACTCGGTATTACAGACGTTGATGGTGCTCCTAGCCCGTCGGCCACCCAAGGTTCGTTGAAATATGACACAGCGGTCTTGCACTTGCTCATGACCGCTTTATAGGGTCGGCGACTCCTCCTCCTTGTCACCTCTTCCCTCCGGCCCGTCTTGACGGATCTCGGCCTCAACGAGGTATTCGACTCCGAACTCCGCGTCCCTCCCATCGCGTCCCTACACGCGCTTGAAGTTGTCCTAAAAGAGGTCGAACTCTTCCCCTCGTCCGACGAGCGTCGTCGGGCAATCAGCATGCTCATGCAGGCGGGCTTTGGGGGATCCGAGGAGGATGAGGGGCGCTTGAACGTCGGCATTAAGAAACTGCTTAGCATGGTGGAGATGGCTCGGCAGGAACCAGAAGCCATCGCAGAACGTCTCATGAATGCGCTTATGGGGCTTGGGATGTAAGATATATGGGAAAAGTTGAACCTCGACAGTTGTACGAGACCTTACGAATGGACAATAGTACGGATAGGAGTTCTGATTTCCCCGTTTAGTTCGTCTTCTCGAGAATATACGGGGTCGCTGTGTACTGCCTCAGCCAGAGAAGAGGAGGATTCCAGCTCACTACTAGTAGTCACTAGCTGGCGGTCTCCAAGTGAGAGTGCGCTTTTGCCCGTCTCCGGCCCGGATCTTGACCGGAGTGTGGCGGACCGAAAAGAAGCCCAGCGTCTGAGAGCGCTGCTTGACTCGAACAGAGGAGGCTGCTATGCAGACTCCTCCCGCTCACTGTTCCCTACCTGCGCTCGAAAATTCGCAGCCAAACCAATGGCTCCCGCTCCAATACTTGATGTTCATCCGCCCAATGGGCCGAACCCAGAAGCCCCCGAGGGTCAGGGTCAGGAGAAATCGCAGAAAGCAATGTGCGTCGCCGATCAGAGATCAGGACTCTCGTCGGTCGGTGTGAGTGTCTCACCGCTCTCTCGACAGGACTAAGCAGGAGCGGCGAGAGCTTCAGGAGAAGCAGCGCGCCGCGAAGGCAGCGAAGGCCACCGCGAACGGTGCAGCCGGGAAGCAAGGCGGCAAGCCTCCTGGGCTCGCCCCTACCGCGAGTGCGGCCCCCGTTGCGGGCAAGAAGGCGGGGCGGAGCTCGGACGCGGGCCTCAAGCCGCCAAACACCCCAACGGTGAAGGGCGCGGAGAAGGCGAAGGCGGCGCAGGCGTCGGCAGCGGACCAAGGAGCGCGCAACCAGGCGAGGGGGCTCCTCATCTTTTCACACTTCGGCCTGCCCAAACCTGTGAGCGCCGCGAAGGGTGACATCCACCCTGCGATCGCGCGCACGGCGCTGCAATTTTCCTCGTTCAAGATTGTGGGAGCGAATGCGCGGTGTATTGCGACCTTGACGGCGTTCAAGACGGTGCGTTACATGCCGTTCTCTATTTTGCATGCGCGAGATCTCACTTCTGCCCAGGTCATACAAGATTATGTCACTCCTCCAAACAACACGCTTTCTCGACACCTCATGACTTTCCTCTCTCCTCAAATCAGCCATCTCGTGGCCGCTCGACCCATGTCTGTTACTATGGGCAATGCAATCCGTCAGGTCAAACTGGACATTAGCGGATCGGACATCGACTTGCCCGAGCAAGATGTACGCATATCGATTTTTCACGCCGTTGCGTAGGCTGATGTTCTTTCAGGCTAAGAAGGCGTTATACCAGAAAATCGATACCTATATGCACGAGCGCATAATCATCGCAGACCAAGTCATTCAGGAGACTGCGGGGAGCAAGATTAAGGACGGTGATGTTGTCCTCACATACGCTAGGCGCGCAGTATGCTATTACAAACCACATCTTCCTAATACCATCGGAACAGGTCATCGGTGGTTGAGAAAGTCCTGCTTGAGGCCCACTCATGCGGCCGCAACTTTTCTGTCATCGTTGTCGATTCAAGACCCATGTTGGAAGGTGGGACACACTGCTGCTTACTCATCGTCGTCTTGCTAACCTGAGAAACAGGCAAGCGATTACTGGCTGTTCTCTCTGAGGCGGGCATCCCGTGCACATATCTCCTCCTTCCGGCATTGGGATCGGTCATCAACGAGGTGTCGACCGTCTTCGTTGGCGCGCATTCAATACACTCCAACGGCGCTGTGTACTCGCGTGCAGGCACAGCGTTGGTGGCCATGATGGCGAAACGGCACTCCGTTCCGGTGGTTGTGTGTTGTGAGACGTACAAGTTCTCAGAGAGTGTTCAGCTGGACAGCTTCACAAAGAACGAACTTGGTAAGTACCCTCTACCATAAGACGCATGTGCGTTTGACTCATGGCCCGATAGCTCCTCTTGGTGACCTATTCTCGTCATTTCCAAACACGAAACCGCGAGAATCGCTCACACTGGAAAACAAGCCTAATCTCGAGATCCTGAACCCGCTTTACGACCTCACTCCACCAACGTGCATTACTGCGGTCGTCACCGAGGTCGGGGTCATTCCACCCAACTCGATCAGCTCAATACCCGTCGCGCTGGGCCGTCTTCTTTGATCGTGCCGCTCCCTCCTCTGTTGTGTCATGCTTTCGCGTCTACCCCAGTCCGCCACATCGCACCTGCATTCCTACCTCATGTATCGCTTCCCTCCCCGCTTGGTCCCCAACGCTGCTCGTCGCTCGCACTACATTTATAGCTTAGGTACATTAGTGGACAGAGGTAGCTACGTAGACTTGAAACGCCTGTATATCCCTGTAGTGATAGCGCGGAAGAAGCCGAAAACATCTTGTATCTCCCTTCGCCTGCTGGCGGACTCGCAGCTGTGAACGGGGGAAAAGACTCTATTACATGAATGGTATATAGATCTACGGACAAGACCAGGGACCAGGATACAGCATCATAGCTCCGGCTTGCGCGGCTCTGCGCTGGTGGAACGTGCGAGCTGCTTTTCTATCCACTCAAAAGCGACATCCGTCACATGTTCGACAGGCTTGTCGAATATGTACGGCAGCACGGGAACGATGGCGAGACCGGTGACGGTGGGCGCCCACGTCCGGACACGCGGGTTTTGCACGTTTGCGAACGCCTTCTTGGCCTGTCGGACGGCCGTGTGGATCGTGAAAGCGGGCAGTGCCCTGGAATGTACACATATGGATGAGAATTCCCGAGCGCAGCAACGATCGTCCGCATACATACATCGACGCGATGGACTGAAAGGCGGAGCGCTTGACGGCGACCATCGTCAGACGTGTGGGCTCCGAGAAATGTGCGGCCTCGAGCGCGCTCGGGCCTTGTCGATGGGCCTTGTAGGTCTCGTACCCAACGTCACTGTGCGCATAGAATGGGACGATAGCAGCACGGCGTGCGGCGCGGAGAAATGGCGGAGCGGCAGCAACGGTAAGTGCGGGTTGGGCAAACCAGGATGCATGGCGGGATGCTTACCCTGCGAGGTATAGCCACGATACGCCATACGCAGCGGTGACAACCGCAGGATGTACTACGGGGCGGAAGGCCTCGCCGACATCACTGGTCTGGCGTGAATCTATCGCTTGTTGCGGCGCGGACACTGGAGGAGGATGCGCTTACATAGGCGATATAGCGGTGGCCGGCGCGGAGGGCGGTCCTCAGTCGCGCGCCGTAGGCCATGTAGCGGAGGTCGGAGTCGGTGGAATCGACACCTTGTCGGCGAGCTGGGCGATTTCCTTGGTGAGGTCGGACATGGTGGGCGGGGCGTGAGGGAAGATGGAGACGCGGGGGGCGCGGGCGTGGTTATGAGACACGGGCGCGGGGAGGGACGGGGAGGCAGCAAGCTGACGCGTGTGGACGGCGAGCTCGAGCGCGCGGGGGCCGGGCGGGGACGCGGCAGCGGCGGCGGGGGAGACAAGCCCAAATCCGAATCCGCGCGGTCGCGCTCCGGCAGCTGCCGGCGCTCGAGCGCTGGCGCGGGGCTTGAGTCGAACGTGCTCGCCAGCTCTCGCCAGCGTCCGCCATGGCCACCGTCATCTCCCGCCCGCAAGATACCCCCCTGCCCGTCGTCTCTCCGCCCCCGGAGGCCGCAGAGCCCCTCCCGGACAAGATCAGCGCGTACTACTCCCTCGTCTTCCCCAACTTCACCTACTATCTCCAGACCCTCACCGTCACCATTGGCCGCCGCTGCGTCCCAGCCAACATCGCCTCCACCTCCGACAGCCCACAAGTGGATGTCGATCTCGGCTCTCTCAAGAGCGTGTCGCGTCTTCACGCGAGGATAGAGTACGACGAGAACGAGGAGCGCTTTGTCCTCGTTGTCCTCGGCCGCAACGGCGCGTGGGTGGATGGTGTTTGGTCAGGCAGTGGCAGCAAGGTCCCTCTCGGCGACAGGTGCGTTATAAAGCCCTCTACCCTCATTCGCTTATCTGAAGCATTCAGCAGGTCACAGATACAGATTGCCTCGCGCACATTTCATTTCATCCTGCCCCCTCCCGCACCCCCAGAAGACTCCCCCTCCCCTAGCTCCCAGTCGTCTGGCGGCCACAGGGCACGTTCGCCTTCAGTTGATATCACTTCCTACTCGCCACCATCCTCATTGCCTTCCCAATCCCCGCCACCCGTGCACGTTCCTGCCTCTGCCCCCAAGATACCGCCGCTGCCGGACTCTGCGCTCCCTAATTCTAATGCAATACCACACAAGCCGAACGGGAAGAAGCGCAAAAAGCCTGATACGGCCTCCCCGCCTCTCCCCACTCCAGAAGTCATGCCGCCCAAGCCGCAGCTGACCTACGCCCAGCTGTGCTATCGGGCTATCAAGGCTCTCAACGGCAAGGCGTCCCTTCAGGAGATCTGTCAATGGATCAAAGACACGTTCGATTGGTACAAGTACTGTAGCAAGGACTGGGAGGCGAGTCTATTTCGTTGCGTCTTCTCGTGCGTGCATTGACGTCATCTCTCAGAGCTCGGTCCGCCACAACTTATCATCGAACCCCGGGTTCAAGAAGCTCCTCCGCCCCAAGGACGAGAAGGGCAAGGGCGCACTCTGGGGAGTCGATGAGGCTCACGAGCAGTCGTTCGAGGAGCTCGACGCACGCAAGAGCGCTGCCGTCGGTGTTAGTGGTGGCAAGGATGGGAAGCTGGGTGGGAAGAAGGGGAGAAGCGTTCCGCTAGAACCTCCGCTCAAGAGGAGTGTGAAAGGAGATCTCAGAGGTGCTCCATTGCCTCCGCCGCTCACCTCTGCCCCTCTCGTCTTCAAGACCACAAAGCCCGCCTTCACTCCTGACACCACCGCGTCGTTGTCAGCCGCTCAAACACCCCCCACGGCTTGTTCTTCGTCTTCTGTGAAAGCGGAGGAGCTCTCCGCTTCCCTCGCACCATCTCTTTACCCTCCAGCCAAGACTTGTCTCCTTCCGGCCGGCGCCCCCCCAGCCAGTGTCTTGGCTCAACAATCCCAATCATCACCTCCAAGCTCCGGCTCATCGGCCACAACCCCCTTCCCCGTTATCCCAGCGTCCGTCCGGATCCCAATCGTGGTTGGTCCCGTGCCTGCTTCACACAATACAGGCGACGGCCCGCCCCAGCCCATCGTCTTGCATGCCAATACACTCATCCTCAACCCCGAGATCTTCGCCCACCTCACGCAGCCACAACTCCAGGACCTAGAGAAGCTTGGCGCACAGAAGGCTCTCGAAATTCTTCAGGCATATATCGTTCGCTACTACAAGGAGAAGCTCAAGGCCGAGGGTAGCCGCGGCCGTGGGCGCGGCCGGCCTCGTCGAGGCCGGGGAGGCGCGACGGGTCGTGGTGCGGCGTCAACGGGCACGGGAGCTTCCGCCGCTCCTCACACAGAGACTTCCACCGGCCCGTTCACGACTGCTCCTCTTCCTTCCCGATCCCCGAGCGCGCATCCACCAATACAAGCCGCCGAAGCTGCTCCGGACTCGCCTATCGTCGTCGTTGATGACGATGACGACCCCGAACACCGAGACGAACCCGCAGCAAAGCGCCGGCGACTGGAGGATCCCGTCGTGGACGTCATGACTGCATAGAACTTTCCTCTCGCTAACCGTTTCACGCGATGCTAACCTCCGCGCCGGCACGCGCACGCATAGACTTTGTATATAGCAATGTAATTTCTAACGTGGCGGGCCCTCAGACTGGACCCGCCGCTCTCGTTGAGTCCGGAGCATTGTAATCATAGTGCGCAATCTCTTCCGTACAATACATAGCTATAGTCGATGGGGTAGATGAGGAAACACGGAGCAAGGTTTCGTAATGGTCATCATAGCACTGACACGCTAGCGTGTCTGTCGAGGCATATAACGTATATGCCGCCTTTATGGCGGTTCGATAGGTCCATCCTCACAGTCGATGGGTCTCTACGCTTTCCGCATCACGCCTGATCCTAGCGGCGCTTCTGTTCGGCCTTGAAGCGCTTCCTCCAGTGTTTGAGGACGGTCTTGGCGGCGTGGTCTGGGCGGGGCGCCGTTCTGCAGCCCAAGTCCGCGTTTGCGAGACGCCGTACTGCGACTGGCAGTCGGGTATCCTGGTGTGCAACATCAGAGTCTGGCCACCCCGCCATTCTGGGTGCTTACCTTGAGTACAGCCAAGCTCACCAAGTCCATCTGCTCCTCCATGTCCTCCACAGCCTTCACTACTGTCCTAAATGATTCTTTTATTACATTTTGCTTCACTGTCTTCTGTTTCTTGTGCAATTTGAGAAAGCTGTTGATGGTGTCCAGCCATCTGTAGGCGACTTTATGGGCCACAGTTGGTGTGACTCGAGATGTGGTTTCAGGTTCTGTGAAATTTATTTAATATCAGTGTTCAAATTGGTTTGGTTGGTGATGGCTTGCCTGTATTAATGTCCACAGCGTTATCTTCTTCAGCCTCTTCCACCTCCATTTTTGATTGTTTTGGTGTGATTCCAAGCAAAAGGTTTGGTGGGCACCATTCCTCTTTGTCTATCATTGTGTTGTGATTGCAGGTTTGTGGGGTGACGGGGGATTGTGTGGATGTTGAGGAGGTGTGAGATGATAACATGGGGTTGGCATACTGTGGTTGTTCTTGAGAGGCGGTGATGGCAATAGCAGTGGTGTTGCTTGCACTTTGTGGTTGTGACATGGGCAGTAGTGTAGTAGAAATTTGGATGTTATGATTGGGAACCACACTTTGGGAAACTGCACTTTGGCTTGGCAATAAACTCCAGAGGTGGCAAGTATCGGAAACCAATATCTGTGGATTGGCTGTGGCATTGTCCCCAATAGAAACAGGATAGACAGTGCTTGACGACACGCAAGGTGAAAGAGGTGATGCAGGTCTTGCATGTGTGTTGTCCCACAGAGGAGTGCATATAGAGGGGTCAAGAGGAGGGATAGGAAATGGGTAAACATATGGGGGCCGAAAGGTGCCGGATTTTGGAATAAGCACAGGATGTAAGCCTTTGACATGTTCAGGAGCAGAGATCACTGATGGGCCTAATGAAAGCAAGAGGCTGTACATCCCATCAAACCCTGCAGAATTTATGTCAGAATGCTCCATCAAGTCATGTTAGCATTATCACATACCTGTTTCACTTATAGCTTTGGCAATGTGCACAAAACCGCAAATCCCACAAACTATATAGCACTGTGACTCTGATCCATATGTAGTGAAGGATGCCGTGAAGGATGCCATGGCTGCAAGATGTTGTCCGAGTGCTTGGTGGGAGGGAAGAGGAAGAATACTGATGGTGGTGGGGTGACAAAGAGTGCGAAACTGAGGTCGAGATCATTGCAGGCTTTATAAAGGATTGGTCTGTTTCAAATTCAGACCTTCCCACCCCATAGCACATGACAGCCATACTTTGTGACTCATTCTGAGAGATCTTGAGATGGCATTATGCTGGAAAAAGGGCATCTTCTTTTATCTTATCTTGCTCGTGGGTAAGTGACATGTGGTAATATCCAGGGGCGGATCGTGTCGAGACCATCCGGGTGGACTGGAAGCAGAGCGGTGGGGATTGGCCGGCGGAAGGCAAACACTAAATGTTTACGTAGATTGACGGGCATACTCCGGTGCCACGGAGGACTGGGCTGAACGCATCAGCTGGCAAAACGGCCGAGGGTGACGGGAAAGGGAGCGGCGGGGGCGTCGGCGATCATCCACGCGGAGTGCGCGCGAGGTTGGCCGCAGCGTCCGACGCCGTTGTTGGCCGCGGGAGGCCACGTCGCGTGGGCGGGGCGGAGGAGGCCGTTGGACGACGATCGTCCGCGTGCTCGTCCCCATTGGCAGAGCGGGCGCGAGCGGGGGTTTCCACGGCGAGAGCGCAGAGAGTCGTGCGACGGGAATGTTATTCGTCGGCCAAATGACAGCAGGACACCGTGGCTGGCGCGGGGCGTGGCCGGAAGCGCGAGGGCGAACGTGCGTGAGGCATGGGAAGGTGCGCAAGGCCACCCGCTGATCACCCGGCGCGCACTGGCGGGGGCGCGGCCGGCGGGCCCATCGCTCGCGCCGCCGCGGGTGTCGACGGCGGGGGCGGGCGGACCATCTGCAGCATATAGGGGCACGGCGGGCGGGCGGCGTCGGGGGTGGCGGTGCTTTGTCAGCAGCGCTGGGGCGGGCCCACGTGCGACGTCCGGTGGCCATATCGTCACTGCGAAGGCAAAACTCTGAACTGTACCGCCCACCGCGACAACGCCTCCTCGAGTCCCTCTCTTCCATCGTCATCTCCGGCGACGCTCATCCATCCGGGCGACCAACGTTCCTTGGCCTCTGCTATATCTACACCCGTCTCCGCTCCCCGCCGCCTTCCCCTTTTCATATCTTCCGCCCGACACTCCCTCGGCTCTCGTTGTCGCCGCTCGCCATCTCCTGCCACCCGTGAATGCCTTCTGCCTCCGAGAGCTTTGGCTCCGCGAGGCTCGCTCCCCTCTCTCCCCCCTCCCCGCCCTCTTCCCTCTCGCCCTCCCCGAGCTCGCCCACTCTTGGCCATGCCACTCCGCCCCCCGCGGGCCCCTCTGCCCTTGCAAGGAACCACATTTTCGCGCTCTCCTCCGCGCCCTCACACGCGCAGTCCCAGAAGGTCCCCCGCAAACGCGCACACCGCAACTCGAGCAGGAGCGGCTCGGATGGCTCTGGCACGGAGACCCAGCAGGAGGTGGACTCGTTGCGCGCGCCCTACCAGCGCGCCTTCCGCGGGGCATCGGAAAGGGCGCTGACCCTCCTCTCGTCTCGTACGCCCGCAAAGCCGGATCTCTTCCGCACCGTCTCGCCCACCAAGGCCCGCCGTGCCGTCTCCCGAAGAACGCCATCCCCTGTCTCTTCCGCCTCGTCGTCTTCCTCCAGTCCAGACCGCGTAGTGCCGCCAAATTCCGCCTCGGGCATCGGGCGCAAGGTCGCAGCGTCCTTGGACCTCTTCAGGGAGACGGCGCCGAGCCCGTTGCAGGAGCAGAGCGAGGTTGATGTATTTGATCTCCCCCGCCCCGAGTCATCCTCGTCCAAGAGGAGAGGAACCGTTCCCGTCGACCAGGTTGGTCAGGCCCAGTTTGAGTTCGTCAAACGGTCCGACTGGCCCGACCGCGAGGCGGCCGCTATCCGGAGGGAGAAGAGCTCGACAGGCTTGGAGCGTGTCCGCACACGCGATTCCGTCTCCTCTGTCGCCAGCTCCCGCGAGCCCGACTTCCGAAAGCGGAAGGAGCGCACTCTTTCCCGCCGCGACACCGTCCTCAGCGACCTCGTCCACTGGCGTGCCGCCGTCGAGCCTGGCCGCGACGACGACGGCAGGGGCCGCCCACGAGAGCGCATCGTGCGGGTCGAGCAGCCCGTCCCGCCGCCCCTCGATCTCTCTGCCTCGCCCGGTTCCGAGTCCTCCATCTCCTCTGCCTCAACGCTCCATCACGACACTCGTTCCCCCAGGTCGCCCTCAGTCGCCCTTTTGCCTCCCCTCTCTCCCCATCTCCGCGCGTCACCCTCTCATGACCTCCATCCGCCACTCTCGCCCCTGGATCGTCCCGTTTCTCCTTTCGACCTCCACGAACTCCCGCCCCCTGCTCGTAGGAGCTCGCCGTCCCTGGGCGATGTCCCCACACCAACCCCCGCCGCTGCCGTGACACGCTTCGAAATCCCCCTTGAATCTCCCTGGTCCACCGACGACGATGACGACGACGACGACGACGACGACGACGACGACGAATCAGCATGGGAGACAGCATCCATTACCACCTCCACTTCGACGACGTCTGCTTCCTCGCCGTTCCCTCTCTCACCCTCTCGGGACAGCCCCCATCCCCAACCTCGAGTGCACAATCCAAGCGACGAGGACGAAGAGCGCCTGCAACGGGCAATGTTGTCACCTTACGACGACTTGGAGCTTAACTCGTCCGCTGATGGTCCTCCCGAAGCCAGTCTTATCGGGTCGTTCGGCGAATCCCAGGAGAGTCTGCCGCATATCCCCCTCCGCCCCTTCCGTAATCAAGTCGGTGGGCACAGTGCCATCTACAAGTTTACTAAACGCGCTGTATGCAAGGTTCGTCATATACTTTTTGAGTATCGACCTGAGGCTCATCTACTTTAGCCGCTCGTCTCGCGTGAGAACCTGTTCTACGAGGCTGTTGAACGGGAAGCCCCTCCATTGCTTGAATTTATCCCTCGGTACCTGGGCGTCATGCTTGTAAGCTACCGTAAAGTGCCGAAGAGCTCCAGTGTCTCTCCTCAGCTACCCTCCAGCGGCAATCCCTCCGCGATTGTCCGAGCGTCGCAGGCGGCCCGTCCCATCATGCAGAAGGCCGCCAGTGACAGCCCAAGGACTGTTTCATCGAAACTTGCCGAAGAGGACGAGGGTGACACCGATGACGAGGAAGCCGAGCTCCCTGAAGTCGCTCTTGATTACAATCGGCACATCATTCCCCAATGGCTACTTCGTGGCGGACGTCACCGCTCGATGTCGCATTCGGCTTCCTCCTCGTCAGTGCCTCCAGTCAACCGGCACCCTCGACGCCCTCACATCGGTGGGCTGACTGCATCCAGCCCGGACTTGGGCATCGCCTCCCGCTTAAACCCCTTCTCCCCCAACTCCTCCCAGCGGCCTCCATCGAGCCGGTTGGCTCACTCCCACACTGCAAACGACCTTGATGACTCCACGCCGTCGACCTCACCCCGCTTCCCCTTCCCCGGAAACGGCGCCGTTTCTCCGAATGGCCCGTTCCAAAACGGATGGTTCAACGGAACGGGTTCCACCGTCGTCAACACCAAGCTCCGGGACCATGTCTTCAGCACCCTTCTTCGTCGCCTATGTCGACAGGTTCCTGGTCGCGGAGTGAGTAGCAAAGGGGAGGACGACGGCGAGGTGGCAGATGGCGAGGCGGACAGGGGACCATTCAGCGACGGCTCGCGGCGGTATCGTCGGAAGAAGAAGCTGAGCCGAGTCGAACGGTTGCGGGAGGAAGAGAGCAGCCTGCTCGGGCAACCGTTGCGCCGGGTGCAGAGCGAGCACCAGATCAGCAGCCTTGGACAGTATCCCACACACGCCAACCAGCAGCATGACGGACCGGCGGAGATGTTTGAGTTCGAGCCGCAGGAAGCTCCTATGTCCACGTCGCAGGTTCGCGAAGGACAGTCGTTCTCTGCTCGTTCCTTCGGCCGCAGTCGGTCGCGCTCTGTCCCTCGCACCCTCGTCCACCCCCCTCTGTACCACGATGCCTGTGTACTGTCGGAGCATGTCCGCGACCCCGACCCGACTGTAACCCGTCAGAATCACTTCATCTTGATGGAGGACCTCACTGGGCGGCTGAGGCACTCGTGCGTGCTCGACCTCAAGATGGGCACGCGGCAGTACGGCATGGACGCGACACCGGCGAAGAAAAAGAGCCAGCGGAAGAAGTGCGATAGGACGACGAGCAGGGCGTTGGGGGTGCGCGTGTGCGGGATGCAGGTGAGTGTCTGGATATCACCGCTGTGACGTGCTGTTTGTCCGTGGGCTGCCTTCCCTTCTTGGGATTGTCAGTCGTCCGACCATGACGGATGGCTATATATCCGCCGCTAACTCGGTATATCCAGGTCTGGAACCACGCCTTGCAAGCGTATGTGACCCAAGACAAGTATAAGGGCCGTGAAGTCCGTCCCGACGATTTCCCCGCTGTTCTTGCCTCCTTCCTCCACAACGGCGAGAGTCTCCTCGTCTACCAGATTCCCATCATCATCCGCAAGATCTATGCACTCGCCCGCATCATCAACCGCCTTAAGGGTTACCGCTTTTACGGCTGCAGCCTGCTCTTGATCTACGACGGCGACCGCGAGGCCCAGGAGGCCTTTCGCACTTCGGTCCTCGACCACCCCTCGGCGCGCAGCAAGCGTGGCGAGTCACTGGAACGCCAGCTGGATGCCCGCTCGCAGAACGAAGTCCCGGCCTCTCGCACGCTCCGCCGTTCCCACTCCGAGGACCTTCTCATCGGCCCCGTCGCCGACCGCTCCTCGCGACGCCGGAAGCGCGGCGAGATGCAGATTCGGCTCGTCGACTTCGCGCACACCACCACGGGCCAGGACTGGCTGCCGTCCCCACCCCCGAACGGGGAGACAGAGGAGGTGACAAGCGGAAAGGGTTACCAGGCGGAGGTAGACCCGGTGACGGGTCTCATCTACGCCCGCTTCCCGCCACATTACCCGGACCAGCCCGACCGCGGGTTCCTCTTCGGGCTGATGAACCTGGCGGAGACACTGGAGCGGATCTGGAACGATGAGCGGCTGTCGCGGATCAAGCTCTCGCGCGAGGACCCGTCTGCGGCCGCAGAACAACTCCCACCACTCGCCACGGACGGCAAGGAGATCTTTGACAAGATCTTCAGGCGACCCGGCACGGGCGAGGAGGACCTCGGGTATATTTCGACTTGACCCATTTTTATTACATTCGTGCGTCTGGCACATGGGGTGGTGGGTGTTCCTCCGTGGTGCGCTACCATCTTGTACATACCTTGACTTCGCTGTCATGCCCCCTCATGCCCTCTGCCACATCCTCACTTTCATTCTCCTCATACGCATCCGTATCTCGTATCCTCATGTCTCGTTGCAACTTCATGCTTTCCAATAACCTCGTTCCCCACGTCCATGTCTCTTCATTCACTCCACTTCACCTCTCATGTCCTTTAGGCGTTCCGTATCGGCCGTGTTTCCCGTACGCATTGTTGTTCGCATGCATCATCACCCCAACCGAACGCTAGACCTCATTCTACCTCACGCACGATGTACATGTAACAATCGAAGTAGGCTACGAACGACGTACATAATCTTGACCGTGTTCCTTGTCTTGTTACCGTGCCGAATTGCTTCGAATGCCCGTACACCGACGAGCGAAGTACGTACAGAGCCAATGCTCAATATTGCTTTTGAAGTGCCAACTTTGGTGACCAACAAGGATGCTCGAGTTCGAGCTTGTGCCACGTCTCCGTCTTCATGGGGGAGGGGAACAGAGTTCAGCGTAGTGGTACTCACTCGAATAGAGGGTGTCCCGTGTGGAGCAGTCTATTATAGTGGGAATATACACAAGGAAGCTAATGGAACGCCGTAGGTGTCGCCGTTTTCATGCATCCTCAACGTACTTGTGACGGATGTCCTTCCATTGCTTCTGCAAAGCCAGTGAGGCGGAGTGTTAGCACATGGGGTGGGAGAGGGGACTCATGAGCGGGTACGTACGCCCTTGTTCCACGAGTCCCAGAAGGACGTGACGCCGAGGTCAAAACCGATGTTGAACGCGAACGCGCCCGCGAAGATGCTCGTCACGTACACACCTGCGCGCCGTCGTCAAACCCGCCGTCCCCGGACCCGACACGAGCACTTGAGAACACGGAAGGAAACTCACTGTTGCGCTTAGCAATAGTGTTGTAGAAGATGGTGGACAGCTGTCCGCACGACAATCAGACTCTGCGGGACCTCGACAGCGGCGGTAGGGAGACGAGGACTCACAGACATGGCGGGCAAGTGTGCTCGTGGTGAACCGGAAAGGAGGTAGGCGCTGGTTCGTGCTGCACGGCGGAGTTCGGAATTGTTGAGAGGCGCCCGCCAGACTGGCGGGAGCGCGTCTCGGCCTGCGTCCTCGTCGACCTCGACTACTTGCACGCCCCCTCACTCTACGGCGCACAGCTTCAAACTAAGGCCTCGGTGCCTTCTCCCTCCCTTTCTCTCACTCCAACGTCTTTATTCTCTCGCCGCGGACCATGTCGCTCCTCCGCACGCTCCCCCCCTCCGAAAACCGCTCCCTCAACGGATGTCCGGCGTCGCGTTCTTTGCCTCGCAGCCGGGCTCGCACGCAGCAGCGGAATTCGACGCTCTATTGCAACGCATAGAGAACCCGAAAGCCTCTGTCACAGCGGCCGCTGCCGCGGACCCCGCCGCGTCCGCCTCCAGCGAGGCTTCCACGCCCGACCCAGCCCCGTCCGCGGCGGCGGGGCAGAACCCGATGCGGATGGTGCGCGAGACGCGGGGGCGGGTGCGGCGGGCGGAGACGGCGGTGCTGGCGGCGCAGGCGGGGCTGGACGAGTACTCGGTGCACGTCACGACCTCGAAGCGGAACACGGTGATGACGCTCACGCGCGGGGAGCGCACGCTGCTGCAGTCGACGCCGGGCAAGTTCGGGTTCAAGAAGGCGGCGCGGGGCGGGTACGAGCCCGCGTACCGGTGCGCGCTCGCGGTGGTGGCGAAGATGGAGCGGGAGATGAAGAAGGGGCACCCGGTCTGGTGGCGGCTGAACCTGAGCGGGTTCGGGTCGGGCAGGGACGCGATTGCGGCGGTCGTCGAGGGCCCGGTGGGGACGAAGGTGCGGGAGCGGTTGACACGCCTGACGGACAGGACGCCGATCAAGATTGGGGGCGACCGGGGCAAGAAGGAGAGGCGGTTGTAGAGGTATGTCGTCTCCTTGTCCGCTGTGGTCCTGCGAAGAGTCTGGGCTGACGGACTGTGCGCAGGGCTTGCGATGCGCCGTTGCGTGTTTTCCTCGTGCGGCGGGGAATACGAAGGCGTGGCGGACATGTAGAATCGCCGGGAGACCGCACCCTAGACCATGTCCTCCGCGTGCTGCAGCTACTTCACCTACACTGCTCTCTCTCCGCGGCACCCATGTGGAAGGGGCTTCCGGGGAGTGGGTGCCGGCTACTGTATTGCACGGACTAATGGAAACGATGAAATCGAGCCCTGCGCGCCTCGCTCGGAGTTGTGGGCCGTCGTCGCACGGCATCTGAGACACTGCGAGATGTCTCCCGACGATCAACGCGCGGGATGACATGACAAATGCCGGGCGGAGGTCCTGGACGTCGCCCACTCAAGCTTGTCTCTCCGTCCCGGCTGCGCACCGTCAGCGTCTGCCCTGGCGGGCTCTGGCCCGGCCGGACACCACGCGTCCGCCCGGCTCTGCTGCCTCGCGCCGTTCATAAGCCCAAGCGCCGCTCGCCGCCTGTCCACATCTCCGGCTCCCCTCCCTTGTGCCTCTCTCGCTCTCACCGCTCTTGCTCCTCCTCTCACTCTGTCTTCCTCTGCTTTTCGGCCATTTGTTGCGCGCCATCGACAGGCCCTGCTCGCGCACATGGATCCCACCACTCCCTTCATCTCAGTGCCTCCCGCCCGGGAGATCCCAGGCACCTTCATGTCCAGCGTAAAGAGCTGGTAAGTATCCCGCCGTAAGCCCAGAGATCGTCTCTGATTACATCGCAAAGGTGGAGTGTTGGGGAAAAGGGTGCAGCAGCGAGCGAGGAGCGGTTACTCCGGTGAGATCCCCGCCACCTCTGGCTAAATGCCATCCTTGCTCATCTTCCATGTGCCAGGAAACTGCCATATTTTCGCCCAGAAGGGTCACCACCAGTCACGCCTGACTTTACCCATCCTGTCGTTGCTTCAAGATCTAAAGTCGAGCTCGATAACCCCAAGAACTACCTGAACACCGTCTCAATCACCCCAACTACTGCCCCCTCCTCAGGTGCCCCGGCCCCCGCAGTCATGCTGCACGGATACGGCGCCGGCCTCGGTTTCTTCTTCCAGAACTTGCCAGCCCTCGGCATGTGGGCAGGGAACCGCGGCACCTCCGTCTACGCCGTCGACTGGCTCGGCATGGGCCGTTCTTCCCGCCCAACCTTCCACATCAAGTCCCGGCGCGAAGACGTCGACGCGCGCGTCGCCGAGGCCGAGTCCTTCTTCGTCGACTCGCTCGAGCAGTGGCGCAAGAAGATGGGCCTCGAGCGCATGACGCTCATCGGCCACTCCCTCGGCGGGTACCTCTCCGTCGCCTACGCCCTCCGCCACCCCACGCGTGTCAACAAGCTCATCCTCATCTCGCCCGCCGGCATCCCGCCTGGGCCGGACACGACCATGCCCTCCGCGAGGCCACGGACCAGCAGGCGACGGGTCAGACCGGCGAGGACCACGCGGAGCCGGCTACGTCGGGGCGGGTGAACAACCTGAGGCAGGAGCAGCAGAGTCAGCAGCGGCAAGCGAGCACGTCGCGCAAGGTTTTGGAGTACCTATGGGAGCAAGGATGGAGTCCGTTCCAGGTCGTGCGGTCCACCTGGCTTTGGGGCCCGATGCTCATTGGCAAGTACTCGTCAAGGCGGTTCATCGGTCTGTCGGATGAGGATACCCGCGCCATGCACGACTACATCATGAACATCACGCTCGCGAAAGGATCTGGAGAGTATTGCATCTGTGAGTTGCTCGCTCTCGTGCTGTCCTCACTCTCAACGCCATTCCTCTAGCGCATTTGCTTGCTCCAGGTGCATACGCGAGACGGCCGATCGTCGACCGGATTGATGCTCTGAAGATTCCTGTTACCTTTATCTGTGAGTAGCATTACTTCCTTGACACGTGGCGCTGGAACTGAACCATCGCAGACGGTGATCATGATTGGATGGACCCTGAGGGCGGCAAGGAATCTGTAGAGCGACTGCGCCAGGCTGGGAACGGATTGGGCAAGATGTACATTGTGCCTCACGCAGGTCACCATGGTGAGTGGCGATTTCTTCTGTGGTGAAATGCCTATGTGCTTATTTTGTCCGCTCTATCCCAGTGTACCTCGACAACCCGAAGGCAACGAATGACCTCCTTGTGAAGGAGCTCGACCGGGCTGCGGATCTCACTCGCAGTTTCTATTCCCCATAGAACTCAACTTAGACTACATCTATTACGACCGTTCATGACCCACTTTCCTTTGGACCAGCGGCATTGACAGTTACTGAGGACGTTCGGTTTGCACCTGCTTACAGCTAGTTACTAGAGAGACCCTTGCATAATTGTTACGCATTCTGTACCATCGTAACACACTGGAATATATGTACATTATCACCAGCTTGTTGTTCGTGGTTCGCTCGAAGACAGGAGCACATGGGGAGCGTGACGCGACGCGATCGCCAGGGTTCTCACGAGCGCGTTGCAGAGGCACGTTCCGACTTGCTTCCCACCACATCGCTTGAACGGCAGAGGGCTGTTCGTCCTCCATGGGACCACCGTATAATGACGACCCAGGCTGCAAGTACGTCGTCATCGAAAACCCATGGCCAGGGGGCAAGAAAGGCGACCAGCGGGACCAGTGGTACTGGAACTTGCTCTGCACCTGGATGCGCTTCATGCTGCAGAAGACGGTGCCGGTTTTCACCGTATGGTCCAGGAAAACCGTGCGCCTCCTACCGTCGCTGAGAGTAATAAATAACCGTTAACACAAAACACAGCGCGATGAAGTGATCGTTGAGCTTCCGGAAGAGGTGGACCTGGTGCCCATCGTCGGCGCGCACCCATGGACACGCATCCTGGGCGACCGCGCAAAGACCTCGGATCAGGACAAGGTGTCGTACGTGTTTGCTTACGACTACCGGATGAAGGGCGAGCCCGGAACCCGTACGTCGCCACTCCCTCGTTCGAACGCCTCCGCTTGAAAGTCTGCATCGGTCGAACAGCACCAGACTGACTCTGTCGCTCCCCTTCTCGGCCCACGGACGCGCCGCCCGCCCTCGCACCCCACGCCTACGCGCACGCGCACACCTCCGCCGCTAGACAACTGGCACGAGAACACCCTGAGCGCGAGCATCAGCAGGGACCCCGAGCCGCCGGCCCACGTCCACTTCCCGTCGTGTACCCGTACCCGCACGTCAGCTGGGCGTCGCCGCGCGGGCGCAAGTCCGCGGACATCGCGCTCCCTCTCCGCCCATGCGCCAGCCGACGCCGGTCCCGGACACGGTGCGTCTGCCCTCTCGTGCCCTCGGCGATCAGAACGCGACTGACGGCGGCCGTGGACGGTGCGCTTCCGCAGAGCCTCTGGCAGCCGTACGCGCACCCGACGCAGCTGACCCCGGGGACGGTGGGCAGCGCGGAGGCCCAGGCGGCCGCGCAGATACGGGCGAGGGAGGCTCAGGGCGCGGCGAGTCAGTTATTTGCGGCATCGCCGACGCTCTCTGGCTCTCTAAGCTGACGCTCGTCGTGCAGCGGCTGCGCCGAAGGCCGCTACTCTCGTAGACCAGAAGCCGGAAGTGAAGCCGTCCGTCAAGCCCGATCCATCCGACCAGCCCCACGTGAAGGCCGAGCAGGTCAAGAGCGAAGTCAGGCCTGAGCCGGGACCATCAGAGGAGTTCAGAGCGACCTTCGAGGAGCGGCAGCGGATGATGCGACAGCCTACCCAGCACATATCGGGGCCGGATGTCAAGCCGAAGCCTGAAGAGGGTCCGTCCGAGGATCTCACTGCTGCCTTCCTGGCCATCCGAGGACACCAGCCAGAAACTTCTGGTTCGAACGGTATGTTGTTCTATGCGGACCACTTCAATTGCCTGTGCTGACGTCGAACAGGGACAACAGCATCGACAACACAGGTCAAGGCAGACCCCAGAGCCGCTTCACCAGCTTCCGAGGAGTTCTCTGCTGCATTCTACATGGCTCGAGCAGTCAATACGGAAGGCTCTCGCACGGGTGCGGAATCCTCTCCGTCCGCTCCGACACAGGAAATCAAGCCCGACCCGGGGCAGCGTGCTAGTCCCGTCAGAAGCCTCACTGTAACAGATCCGCGCAAGAGAGCCGGTACGCGTCCTTCGTCCCCTTGTTGCGCTCTGCACTCACGCAAATGCAGCCCCTGACGACCCCCCTCCCACGGCCACGAAGCGGATGAAAGAGGGGGATTTGCAACGCGATGCCGATTCAAACCGCCAGCGAGTGAAGGAGGAGGAAACGCACCGCGCTGGGCTCTCAACCAGAGTGAAAGCCGAGCGGTAGCGAAACTCGGTGACGTCTACAACGACCGCGTACATCTTGTATTTCCGTGCACACCCTTCGGTCCGTCTAATATTATCCCCTGCGCCTTCAGAGCGCCCCTGGCCTTCGCGAGAACTGGACCACGGGCCGCCGCCACGCCGCGGCGATGGTGAGGCTACTTTCCCTGGAAGATGCCATAACTACCCGAGATGTCATTGCGTGTTCAGCCACCTGACGGAAAAACCGGGCCTGTTTGGAACCCACTGTCGACAGGCGCGAGCTCCTGCACGTTCGAGCCATCGTCCAACGCTGCCTTCCGTCCTGCCTCATTCGAGGATTGCTGCCCGCTCGGAAATTCCAACTCACCCCCTTAACGCAACCGAAAGGACAAGGCGCAAGGAAGATGGGGCGCGCGATGTGGCGGCGGCGGCGGCAGCTTCCAAAGGCTTCCTGTCGTTTTGGGACGCTTCTTTATGTGCGCATTGTCTACATATTGTATTTAAAATGCCTTGGGTTATATGGCGATGTACTCTAGCTGTCTATGATGCTGTAGTCAGTGTAAGAATTGTGGAGGGCTCATGGTTCGAATCCTGGTGTATGTGTTTTCTTTTTTTCAATTGTTGCCACTGGTTGTACATCCGGAAGTGAATTTTCTGTCTGTCCCTCGTTTTATTCATGTGTGCCCCGCGCGAGTACACGGCATGTCCCGGCTGTCCGATGAACGAGTCAGTGTCCCATATTACACTCGCTTTTTTTACATTGTGTGACAGTACTTGCAGGATTCTGTCACTCCCGCAATCGGAGTGTAGCAACGCCATACAGACCCACACACGGGCCGTGGGCCCAGGAACCAGCAGCCATGCCTCCCGCCGCTGACGTGAGTCTTTCTGCGCCTCGCACGCAGATAGCCACCTACTTATGGCTGACCGAAACCCACCGAGTTATTTGCGTATCCCACGCCGCCCCGCAAGTACAACTGTTCCAATATCGATAGGCCGTTCTCGCGCAGGAGCGTCTTGGAGCGGGCCACATGAGCGCTAGCGCCCTCGCGCACCACCGCGCGACGGGCAGCGCGCACCACCGTGAGCGCCGCGCAGTCGTGGCGATGTCTCTGTGTGCACCCCCACTGCGCATTGTGCTCGCGTGCGAGGGATCATGCCAAACCTTCTGTCAGGACTTGAACATTGGACAACCTCGCACCAGGTGCAGAGGCATTCCGGACGTGTGCGCGAGGAGTTAGATCGTGGTGATATCGCACGCGCGCGCGGTGCGGCGGTGCGCTCGGACGGCTGCCCGTCGCGGGTGGTGCGCGAGGGCGCTAGCGTGTGGCCACTCGCGGAACGGCTACGCTCCCGTAACTCCTCTCAAATCACGCACTTTCGCTCCACTCCTCCGTACTCGGCCATTTCGGCGTTAGATTCCATCGAAAGAACCTGCATTATAAGACTACAATGAGCATTTAGGCGCCGGTTGTAGTTGGATTCGCCCGCTCGGTAATGGAGCTTGAAGCTTAAAGGCCGCTCTCTTCAGCGAAGTCTGTCAGCTCGAACTCTGCGCCGAAACTTGGTTGCATTTTTAAAGCTGTAGTCGTCATTAGGACATTGAACGAGGCCATCAGCAAGTGGGATGAGAGAAGATTACTGGCGAGGACAGAGGCGCTGGGCAACCAAATGCACGAGCATAGCACGCCTCCTCCAGAACGAAGGCCATCGAAAATGACCCGGATACATGGGGATCCAAGTTATGCCGTGACAATACGAGAAAGCGTTCAAAACCCGTCAGCGGACCATACTATTGGTTGTTCCTGTCAACACCGAAGAAAACCCACGTCGACTGCTTGAGGCATTATGTAGTAAATGTGCAGCAAACTCTAGCTTAGGTATGTCTCTACTCCACAGGACGCAATGTGAGCGGTAAGTAGCCTCCAAGTTGAACTTGACATATCGTATTCTGTCCGAGGTCAGACTTGCGCAGCCTACCAAAATGTCGACACACTCACTTTGTGTGATTAAAGCTTCTTGAGTACGGCATTGAGGACGTCCTCAGTGCCGCTCTTCCCACCCAGATCGGGTGTCAAGAATTCACCCTCCCGGATGACCTGGTCGACTGCTCGGTCGATACTGTCTGCACCCACCGGGTAGCCCAAGAAGCGAAGCATGAGTGCTGCGGAGCGGATTGACGCTAGAGGGTTCGCAATGCCCTTGCCCTCAATGTCAGGAGCAGAACCATGCACCCTGCACAGGATTTGAGCAGACCGCGACAAATGGCGAAGGTTGGAACCTACGGCTCGCCCATCACAAAGTTGTCACCCGCGTTGACCGACGGAACCAGTCCCAGCGAGCCGACCAAAGCAGCAGCAGCGTCACTGCAGGAAGAATATGAGAGACAGCTTTGCTTTCAGATAAAGATGCACGGACGAGATGATGTCTCCGTAGAGGTTGGGGGCGACCATGACGTCATAGATTCTTCATGCGCGTGAGTACCATCCATGACGAGAAAAAACATGGTCACTCACTGAGGTTCACGGAACAGGCTGGTGATATGGCTCAGTGCTGCGTAGAAGCGTCGAAGTTTTGACCATGGCTCACCGATACACGGCACTGTCCACAAGCTGCTCCTCAATCTTGACTCCGTCGAAACGACCGTTCACCTCAGGAAGAGACGGGACCCCACGGACCATTTCTCTGAACAGACCGTCCGTGACCGAAAGGACATTCGACTTGTGGATGATGGTGACTTGCTGCCGCGCGCGTTGGCTCGAGTGGACTCGGGGACGGAAATCGTACTCACCTTGCGCGGTCTGCCTAGCGCGATGTCGAAGGCCATCTTGCCAATCCTGCGAGATGCACGCTGTGTGATGAGTCGTGTCGCGCGCGCTTCGATGCCGCCGTCCTCGGTGGTAGTGGTAGTTTCTTGCTTGACATACTGAAAAACTATCAGGTTCATATCTGTAGCTGCAGCAAATAAAACCGTACCAAGCACTCGGTGTTCTCCCGTACCACAACCAAGTCAACATTGGGCTTCACCTCCGGGCTGGCGGCCACCTGGTAGAGTTCAACATGCGAACGGACAGGTGGGACATCCTACGCACTGACCGATGCGACTGGGCGAACGTTGGCGTACAGGTCGAGTTTCTTGCGCAGCGCGACAATGGGCGACGAGTAGCCGGTTACTATCCTCGAAGGCGAGCTACCAAAGGGATAAAAACCCGCTGCCTTATGCACGGTGACGCATGTACATACCTGACGGCACCAAACAGAGCCCCATCGCACTCCCGCAGCACTCTTGGGAGGAGACAAGTTGAGTGTTCATATATACCAATTCGGTTTTCAAGTGTAGACTCACTCAACGGTCTCATCAGGCAGGGCTACACCCGTGCGCGTGAACACCTCCCAGCCAGCTAGCAGAGGGACGAACTCGGGCTTCGGGATGTCGGAGCCAATCGCCTCGAGCACCCTCTGGGCTGCAGGAATGACCTCCTTGCCGATGCCGTCCGCAGGAATGAGTCCGAACTTGAGCGACTGCCGCGCTGCTGCCGCCATGTGGCGAACGGGTGTGCAGAACATTTTGGGGCAGGGTGTGGAAGCTGAAGCGGGAAGAGAGAGGAAGAGGTGCAGTCAGGTCTATCGGAAGCCGGTCTACTGTGAATGCCAGCATCATCCGTGCAGCCGAAGTGACTATGTTTTTGCGCCAGTAGCGCGATCACGTGGGAGACCGCGTCCACGAATTCGCGGGTTTTCGCATCTCCGTAGGGTTCAACGTTCGCACATTGGCACCCAGGCACACATCTAAACTCCCCAACAGGCCGCAAGATAAAATCAGACTATACTCGTACAAAATGGGATCAACTGCAGTCCCGACCACTAAATACATCAGTCCAACTCTTCGAGGGCCGATGAAGGACTACTGGTCGTTGGTATATTAGACTTGGGTACGGACATCTGAGCCTCTGAAGCTCCTGAAAGTGGGCCGGGGACGGGTTCCGTGCGCTCGGGGGGCGGTCCCTGTCGATACTGTGCAACTTTGGCCCCACCAGTCGGCCGAGATTGCTGCCCTGTCTGTGCCGCCATGTCGAGGACTCCCACCCAGCCGCAGATGAGCCGGTGGTCTTCCGCATCCCTAGCAAAGAAACAGATCAGCGCATAGTCACCTCACGTCCATTCCGTTATGACCCTCACCGTTTCAAGCAATCCTGTGAGCAGTACCTGGCTTTGGTGCACAACTTGCACGTCAGCTCATCGCCCGGCTCAGCGTCCAACGCACATCCACGGCGTGCGCACTGCGTGGGGTCTTCGACCTTCGCCGTAATGATTGCAAGCATCTGCCATGCACCTTGGAGCCATATTACGCTCCGCGGGTCAGCGCCGAAGCCGTTCTGGACAAAGTCGGAGTAGGCATTTTGAAGCCGCTGCCTCTCCTCACCGGTGGACATCGTCCCCGAGACGAGGAGTCGCTTGGTCATTCGCGGCCGGGGCAACTGCGAGCGGAGGAGCGCCTTGGTCTTGTCCGTCAGCTTCGGTAGGTAGCTTTCGAATGCGGCGAGGATTCCTGTCATGATCACTGCGACGGCAGCCACGCAAGCATCAGCGAGGATTTTCATGCTAGCAAGGAAATCATGTACTCGGGCCCCGGCCGACAGCTATAACTCGATCGATGTACTTGTCCAGAATGTCGATGAGCCCGGAGGATATCCAGTTATATGCCATCGCGTCGATGAACTCCTTCCCGTCTTCTTGGACTGGATGGCTCATTGTAGAGTATGTCGTGAGCCCGGCCAGAAAGACGGCTGGAGACTGTGGGACGGGCGTCTCCGCGGCGCGGCGCATGACGTCTGCGTTCGCCTTCCAAAAACCTTCGGACTTGTATGTTGCTCGGACAAAAGGGCGATTTTCCTTGAGACATAGGTCGAAGAATGCGTGAAAGAAATTGTATTCCACCGAGACTTCATCAAGAGACAGGTTCTTGAAGTGTCGAATGAAGGCTGCCAGGATTGACTCGGCAGCTTGAAGAGGCGTCCGCTTCTTCTTATTTGATCCCGCTGTCTTGCTTGCGCCGAGATAGATACGAGCTAGAAGTTCTTTGGCGAGAGGGGGTGGGTATGCTTCAAGGCCATCCTTCCAAGGATGTGAGCCCACAGGTTTGTCCAAGAGATATAAGAGGACACCGCCGTTCATCCGGGAATCAGCCACGGACGTCGAATGGATCCAGTACCGGAATATGACGGCTAGAGTTAGGTCCGAGGGCTTGAAAATCACCCTGAGGTTGATTAGCAAGTTCTCTCGGGGGCCTCTGTTAGAACAGTCTTACTCGATGAACGACGGGTCAATCAAAGGCAGTCGTGAGACGATCTGTGGGACGACGATACGCTCCAATAAACGAATTCGTTCCGGTTGGGGGTCCAAGCTGTGGCCTGGTTCTGACCATACCTGTGGATGTACATGAGTATGTCATTTCTCAGCGGACATCGCTCCACGCACCCTCTGCATGATGGTTGACCATGATTTTTTGATCTCCTCAGCCATCTTCAGCTCTGTCGGTCCTGGAGGTATCGAGCACGAGCATATAGCATTGCATAAAATTTCAAGAATAGGAAAATAGGGAGTCGGTGTCTGTGGCATACGTCATGTTCGCAACGCCACAGAAGGTCAACATAAACACACCATTTGGACAGCCGCGTCGACCTCGAAGTTCGGCGCATTCGGCCCTGGGGGAATAATCATGCCTTGCACACTCGACGCGGCCTTGAGGCTGTCCATGTGTTGGGCGTGAACACATGGTCGAACAGCAGAGGGCTCGAGGAGTGTAACAACTCACAGTGCGGGCATTACTCCTGCGTCGACCATCGCCCTCCAATCTTGGCTTTTCGCGTCGAAAGTCATCTTGCGAAGGTGGCCGAGAACGTACGATAGATCATGACCCGTGTCGCCTTCGATTGTTTCGTCCCTCACTCCGTGCAGCAGTAGCACCCGCACCGCGCGCCTCGGATCTTCCTTGACTAGTCTCTCCCATTTCGCCGAGAGAGATTCGTGCTGCGCGAGCCATTCGGCACTGGTCGTCGGTATGGGGTTCATCCTCAGGACCCGGTTCGCGAAACTGCGGGTTGGCTGGCTGAGAAGACAGCGGGACGAGTTAGAGGCATGGGCTTCGAGCGAAACATCGCGCGGACCAGCTGATCACGATCGTTGCGGTCACGTGCCCTCATTGCCGATGGGCGAAATATGGTATTAGACAGATTACAATATGAAGATCGTAAGCTACTTTGTACGCATTGAGTGCGGCTTGAGTTAGCGGTACCTACAGATACGAACCTCAGATAAGCATTGAAGCCACTTCTGGCCGTGGGCAGGAACGATCACGTGCTCTCGACGCGTCTCATTTGTTGACAGCGCCCGGGTGCAAGCGCTGTGGGCTCTCGACGCGACGCGACGCGTACGGAGCTTCCCCTCCCATCCCACAATGGCCCCCTCCCCCGACAGCAGCTTGGCCGACCGCACAAATATCTTCCACACACAGCAAAAGCCGAGCGGTCTCCCCACTCCAACCTCGGAACGCAAGCGCGTACATCAGCGAGGCGACGATGAACGCGACAAGAAGCGCATCAAGTTCGATGTGTCAAACAAGGAGAGGGATTCGATGGACGTGGATTCGGAGTGCGAGCGAGACGATGGAAATGTTTTTGGGCCAATTAGACGGAATCACTGGCAGTTCTCATCTCATGCGCTTTTCAATCGGGGAAGGCTCGGAGGGCCCTCAACGGGGTGGCGACAACTTCCCAGTACGTGCCTTTCCCGAGCTGTATGTGTTTCTCTGATTTTGCCACAGTACCAAGTATGGCTGTGTTGTCGACGTTTGTGTCCTCCAACAAAGCAGATGTTTTCAAGTGTCACTCTATCGATGAGCAAACCTTCATCGCGCCTCCATACGCTTGCTCATATTCTCATGGTATGGTCAACACTCTATTATTCATGAACTTGATGACCCACTCTCCTTGAAACGGTAGGTGCCAAGAGGGGGCTTACGCCACACCTAGCCGTAGCAACAGAGCAAGGAACCATTCACATCCTAAACACCTCGAAACGAGAAGATTGGGATGCAGGTGCGTGGTTTTTGTCCCGGCAGAAGGTGTGGGCTCATTTTATCATAGAACCACAGCGGACGTCATTCCAACCCCATGCGAATGGAGTGTTCGACGTTCGCTGGTCCCTTTCCGATTCCCTCCTTGCTACTGCATCTGGTGACCAAAGCGTTCGGATAACCACCCTCGCCTCCTCAGTCGCAACGGCGGACCGGACTCTCCATGTTCTCCACGGCCACCAAGGCACTGTCAAGTGTGTTGCTTGGGATCCCAGTCATGACGGCGATATCCTCTGTACTGGCGGTCGAGATGGCAGCATTTGCTTATGGGATCTGCGAGCTGGGGAACGGCGGCTCGACAACGGCTCCCTTGCACCAGTACTCACCGTTTCCAAGGCGCACGATGACCTCGCGAAGATTCCCAAGTCCAAGAGCAGAGGCAGGAAACTCGTTCCGAATGCGCCGCTGAAGAGCATCACACACCTGCTCTACACCGATGTCCATCCACATGGCATTGTCAGCAGCAGTTCCTTCGACGGGTAGGTGGCACAAAAGCTCACTTGTAGCGTATCTCACACACCAAACAGCATCGTGCACCTCTGGGACGTCCGCCTCCCCACCGCCTCCCCCACCAAATCCTCCCGATCCACTAAACCCCCTCGCCCCGCTCCCGTCCTCACCAGCGCCGACCCGACCACCGCGGCCGACACCCGACGCCCCCGCGGGCTCACCACTCTTGCGCTCGGCTCCGGGCCCACCGCCGGGCTCCTCTACGCGCTCAGCAACGACGCGCGCGTGCACACCTACGCGCTCCCCACCCTCGCCCCGCTCTCCGGCGCCGCGCCAGGCGCGGACCCGTACGCGTTCGCGGACCCGCGCATGCAGACCAACTCGTTCTACGTCCGGCTCGCCGCGTCCCCGTGCGGCCGCTGGCTCGCGAGCGGCAGCGTCGTCGACGGCGTCGCCGGCCGCGCGTACCTCTTCGATGCCGCGGCCGCCGCGTCGGCGCGTCGCGCCTGGGAGGTCGGCCGTTCGAGCTCGTCGAGTCTGGGCGCGGGGTGCACGAACACGGGCGTGGAGCTGCGCGGGCAGATGGGCGAGGTGGGGGCGCTGGACTGGGCGGACGGGATTCTTGCGACGTGTGCGGACGATGGGACAGTGAGGGTGTGGAGACCCGATGTGGAGATCGCCCGGCGATGTGCGGAAGAGTCTGAGGAGATGAAGTGGGAGTGGTCCTGCGCATCGGCATAGAAGGCGTTCGCAAGTTGCATTGCCGCTTTAGAGACAACCGTAAAGTGCATGGGCACTCATTTTGTAGCATAGTTCATAGGATTAATACCCTGCCTGGGCCGGCATTTGCTGATTTTGGACCATACGGGCTGATCGTGAGGCACTTGTGCCGGCAGGCGCGTGGAAAACAAGTCTATGGATGGAATGCGTGAGAGCTGTGCAATAATTATGGTGTACAGCGGGTATGTAGTATGATAGATGGTGTGTCCAAGCACTGCGAGCGGGCTACCCAGCAAGCCGACGCGGAGCGACCAGAGAGAACGCCGAGGGTCTGTACGGGTCAGACAGCACTCTACTTCTTCTGTATTGCATTCACCAGCCTGGAAGACCCCACGCAGCTGGATCAGCAAAGACCGAGACCGGACCATGGCGACGAGGCAGACGCACCAGTCGAGCCCTTCCTCCAGACCATCGCCCTTCGTCGCGCAGCTTCCGCGGACGCTCCACTGCCGCTCCTTCTCTCCACCCGCAAGGCCAAGCTTTTCGCTAACGGCCTCAGGCGCGAGCGCCCCCTGTACGTCTTGCTTGTTGCAGAAGACGAGGAGGGGAACACCCGCGAGCTCCTCCTCCGAGAGCATGGTGAGGAGCTCGGAGCGCGACGTATCCAAGCGGTCGACGTCAGAAGAGTCAATGACGTAGATGATGGCGGACGTGTTGGGGAAGTAACAGCGCCAATACGGCCTGCGAGTACAGCGGTTGCGTTGGAATGGGTACACGGGGGAATTGGGGTAGGTGCGCACCGAATGCTCGACTGTCCACCAAGATCCCACACTTGGAATTTGATGTTCTTGTACTATGTTCGCGGACGTTAGCGGGGACCGCCATGCAGTATTACGAGCCGCGACTAACCTGGACGGTCTCCACGTTGAAGCCGATTGCTGTCCGGATGACTCTGTCAGTGCAACGCGTAGGCGTCAGAGGGGACGCGACGCTTACTGGGGATAGTTGGTACGACTTCACCAATCTATGCGGCGTTGGGCAGCGATGGTCAATCGTCGCTCACATGCACACCACGCAGACGGACGCACCTGCAGACGATACAGAATCGTGGTCTAGAAGGCAGATGTCAGCCACACCGCACAGTAGCACCGGAGCACCCGTACGCACCTTGCCGGCCGCGTCCAAACCGAGCATCAATATCCGGACATCCTGGTCCTTGCTCCAGCGCACCAGCGACGAGAGAGAGGTGAAAAGAGAAGAAAAAGAAAGACCCATGGTGCGGCTTCCCAAGGGACAAGAGAGAGAGGACGCGGGGCGAGCTGAAGAGGCTTTCGCCGGAGCCCCGCCCCGCGTCGGCTGCTCGTCATGGGCGCCTTCCGTTGTCGGCGGCCCTGCTCGGCGCCGGGCACTTGCCGACGGCAAAAACGCGTCGGTGGCTGAAGCTCACCGGCCCATCTGCCAAGCTTGCAGGCCCGTCTGCAGCTTCTTGTCTTCCCTCGTACACTGCTATCCCCCAGCTCTCCGCGAACGTCGGCTCCCACAATGTCCGCAGGTACTCCCGAAAAGCCCGCGCGCAAGCACAGGAAGTCGAAGTCCACCGACGTCCAAGATCTTGCGGAGACGCTTGTACCCTCGGAGAAGCCCAAGAAATCCAAGAAGTCCAAGAGATCTGAGCCTGAAGACTTGGCCCCCGTCGAAGATTCAGCGCCGTCCTCTCCGAAGGAGAAGAAGCTCAAGAAGCTCAAGCATGCTCTAGAAGTGGATGGGACAGAGCTTCAGGATGACGGGATGGCGAAGAAAAAGCGCAAGCACAAGCACACGGAAGCGGAGGCAGAAGCAGGACTGGGGGGTGTGCAGTCTTCAGATGCGGATGTTGTAAGTCAAGACCAGATCGTGAAGTCAAAGAAGTCGCGGAAACCGCGAGAGGGCACGGACGAGAAGGCCGAGGAGGGCAGTGTGAACAAGTCGAAGAGGGAACGGAAAAAACACAGTAAAGGGGAAGATGAAGAGGAGGCTCCTGTGATGAGTTCGACGTCTAGTGTCACAAAGAAGAAGAAGCGGAAACACCGCTCCTCCGCCAACTCGTATCCTGACCCAGCAGAGGACGAGGTTTTGACCGAGCAAGCCCAGAAAGGTGTGCCCCATCTATGTTTGCTCAACGACTTCTACTTTCCGATTTCTCATACCGATGGTCTTAAGCTTTGCAATACGCGTTCAGCCAGTTCAATGACCCAACCTCGTGGAAGTTCAACAAAGCGAGACAGAACTGGCTCATCCGTAATATATGGTTGGCGGAAGCGGTACGGGATTATCTCTATCGCCCCTCTATCTCCAATGCTCATCCGGCCTTCTGCAGATTCCGGAGCAGTATCTACCTCTCACGATACAATATCTGCAGGGAGTGCAGGGAGGGGTACGAGAAGTCGGTTCATGTTTGTCCTCTTCGAGTTTTCGCTGTACTGAAGCTTAACCTCAGACCCTGCTCAAAGCTTGCAGAGACGCTATGGAAGCTCAGAAGGCTGAGAAGACAGAGATACCATCCACAGCCAATACGGCAGAAACGCAGACAGACAGTGCATCTCCGTCGAAACAGACAGTGAAGTTCGCTGCAGAGCCGGAGCCTATTGCGGAACCGTCACCCACGGACACGACCAAGCGAGAACGTGCAGCCACATTACTGGAGGCTCTTACTTCTGCAGCTTCGTAGCAGTTCTTTCGACCTGTTACTTTGTACACGCGATCACACCAAGGATATGTCACCATCTTCCTACTCGTCTCCATTATAGCACATCTAGCAATGGTAGTACGAGCACAATGATACATCCATGCAACGACCACACAACAATCAACCAACCCCCCTGGGCGAGACACCGAACGGCCGCAAACGAGACAGTACTGCATATCGAGATATCGGGATCCTACGCAAACAACCGAGACATCGAGGGCAACCTCAGGCGGTGGCAGCCGCGACGGCCGCAGGGATCGACGCAGTGATAGTGTTTACCGACGGGATCTCCTTGGGGAGAGGTGCGACGGGCTCGGCGGGGCCAACGTACGGACCGAGGAGGTCGTCGAACTTCTCGCGCGTGATGGTGACGGCCTGTTTGCTGATGACGGGGCGCTGACCGGTGTGGAGCTGCTTGGGCGCGGTGCCGTTGAGGAGACCGAGTTGCGCGTCGGACCAGACGGGGACGACGGGCTCAGGGTTCGCCATACCGACGTTGGCACGGCCGCCCTCCTTGCGCCAGTCCGAGGTGCGCTTGATACCGAGCTCGGTGAAGACGCTGTCGACAGCGGAAGCGAGGCGAGTGATCTGCTCCTGGTTGTGGCCGGGGGTAACGGTAAAGCGCAGACGCTCCTCGCCGCGGGCGACGGTGGGGTAGTTGATGGCCTGGACGTAGACGTTGTGCTTCTCGAGGAGCGTGTCCGACGCCAGACGCGCGAGAGCGGGGTCCCCGATGAGTACTGGAACGATGTGCGAGGGGCCGGGAACGACGGGGATGTCGAGCTTCTCAAAGCGGGACTTAAGGTCGCGGACGTTGATCTGCTTGAGCTGGCGGTCGCCGTTGTACTCCTTTTGGTACGAGATACTGGCGCGAGCACCCGCCATGTTCGATGGTGGCAGCGACGTGGTGAAGATGAAACCGGAAGCGTACGACCTAATCATGTCGACGAAGTCGTTAGAGCCGGCAATATAACCACCAACCGCGCCATAAGCCTTGCCGAGCGTGCCTGCAAGGATGGTCAGCAGGGTAAACACGGGATTGAAAACAGACTTACCAGTGATGATGTCCACACGGTCCATGACGGTGCCTGGAATAGGGTCGGGGCTCTGACCCGCGCGTTTGTGCGCCTCGTAATCAAGGTGCTCGGCGACACCAGCGCCGCGAGGTCCGTAGAGACCGACAGCGTGGACCTCGTCGAGGAAGGTGAGGGCGCCGTACCGCTCCGCGAGGTCACAAATCTCCTTGATGGGACCGACGCTGCCGCACATGGAGTAGACGCTCTCGAAAGCGATGACCTTTGGCGTCTCCTTGGGGTACTGAGCGAGCTTCATCTCCAGGTCCTCCAAGTCGTTGTGCTTGAAGATGACACGCTTCGCGCCCGAGTGACGCATGCCCTGGATCATGGACGCGTGGTTCATGACATCAGAGAAGTAGATCATGCCGGGGAGCTTCTGGCCCAAGGTCGCGAGCGTAGCATCGTTCGCGACGTAGCAGGACGAGAAGACGAGCGCGGCGGGCTTGCGATGGAGGGAGGCGACTTCGGCCTCGAGCGCGAGGTGCATGCCCGTGTTGCCGGCGATGTTACGAGTACCGCCCGCACCATGTCCGTAAGTATCGAGGGTGCGGCTGCGGACCGGAGGAAAAAGAAGCACAAACGCCTATCAGTGGGCCTGCATTGGGTTGAGAAGCAAGCGGCAGTGACGTACTGCATCGTCTCGAGCACGACCGGGTTGTTGCCCATTCCGAGGTAGTCGTTCGCGCACCAAACCTCGACCTCGTCCTTCGGGTCTCCGGTGTGGGCGATCGGGAACTTGCCGGCCATGCGGTTGATGTTGTTGAAGTAGCGGTACGACGCGTCCTGGTGCTTTTTCTCGAGCTCCGTGGCGTAGAACTGCTCGTAGTCGAAGCCACTGGGGGTCTTCGCCTTCGCCTCGGACGTCGAGGGCGCACTGGCGTTGGCGTGGAAGGGGCACCCGGCCGGCGCGGCTGTCGCGGGCTTCGCGGCGGAGGCAGCAGGGCAGTTGGGGGCCTTACCCTTCTTCGCCTGCGCGAGTTCCTCGGCCATGCGCGCAGCGGCCATAGCCTTGGACGCGTGCGGGCACTTGGCAGCGTCAGCCGCAGAGGGCATGACGTTGTGGTGCTCGGGAATCTGGTTGAACTCGGCAGAGCCAGCGAGGCTCGCGTACCCAGCGATCATCTGCGTCGAACGCGAGGTGAGGGCCTGGCCCATGACGGGGCATTGCGTTGCCTTCTCGGTGAGCTTGGAGAGGGATGGGTAGCGGGGCGAGGCGGCGGTGTAGAGGGTGCGGATGGTGGAGGACTTGGTGCGGCCAAGGTAAGGGCAGGCCGCCTTGAAGCGGGTGATGCTGGAGAGCTTGTCCATGAGAGCAAGCGGCCGGACGGAGAGGGAGACGGTGGAGGAAGAGGTGCAGACCAGCGGTTTGCGGGCTGCCTCTTATGGGAATCACTCGGTCGCAGGGTGGGCCGAGTAATTGCCAGCGCATGATTGGCCCCCGGTCGGAGGCTGCCTGGCCCCTGGGCTGGCCCGGGGGGCTCGCGCGGTGCGGCGGCCTCTTCGCCGGCTATGCACGGACTCCGGCGCACGCAGCAGTAAGCTCCCATGACAGACTTGGTCCCACTCTCGCATTAGTCTACTCCTCATTCAGTACATGCAGCACGCTTTCCACCACCTCCATTGCATGCCCAACTTCTCCCGCCCCGATGTTCAGGCTCGGCACCAGCCTCACCGCATCCGCTCCCGCCGTCAGCAGCAACACCCCCCGCTCCCGGGCCATCTCCACCACACGCCCGGGATGGCTAGCGTTCTTGAACCCCAGGCCGAGAATTAGCCCCCGCCCCCGAACTTTGTTCTCCAGGATGTTCGGGAACCAGTGCGTCAGCAGGCCAAGGCGCTCCTGCAGGTACCCCCCGGTGTCCCGGACGTTCGCCACAAACGCCTTGTCCGACAGGCGCGAGAGGACGTGGAAGCCCAAAGCACAGGCCAGTGGCGAGCCGCCGAACGTCGTTCCGTGCGTGCCTGTACAAACGTCCCACCATCGTGTATCAGCCTCGGACATGCGATGCATTCTGTGTGAATCTACTCACCCGCGGTCATCACCTCCGCCACACTATCCCTCATGAGTACGGCACCAATTGGGTAGCCATTGGCCAGTGGCTTAGCTGTGGTCACCATGTCCGGTTGGGCGTCGGCGGGAAATGTGGAGTGTGCCCAGATGTAGCCAGTCCGATAAAGTCCGCACTGTCAACGATCCGTTTCAGTCCATCAGTACTCTGTCTCTCACACAGCCGCGACGAGAACGCAACTGCACACACGCAAGCCGCTATTTCCGCCCGGACCGAAGTGTGATAAACCGGAACGTGACTCACCTGGATCTCATCATAAATCAATACCGCGCCGACCTCGTCGCATCGTTTACGCAGTGCGCAAAGCCATTCCACGTCGGCCGCGTTAATCCCGCCTTCGCCCTGGATCGGCTCGACGATGACTGCACACGTCTTGTCGTCAACGAGCGTCTTCAGTGCCTCCTGCTCGTTCAGTCGGCCGACTTTGACTCCCGGGATCAACGGCATGAACGGCTTCTGGTACTTCGGGTTCGACGTGACGCTGAGCGCACCCATGGATCGCCCATGGAACGACCGTTCGAAGCAGACGATCTCGTGCTTGTCGCACGAAGCGTCGTCCCACGACATGCCCGTCTTCTCCGCCCAGCGTGCCTTCCCAACTTTACGTGCTATCTTGAGTGCACCCTCGTTGGCCTCCGTGCCCGTGTTCGCGAAGAACACCTTCGCGCCACTCGAGCCGCTAGACCAGGATTGGGAGCTCCCGGGCGTCCACCCAAGACCACCTTCGGCTTGGGTCAGCGTGATGAGGAGTTCCGCGAGCTTGCTGGCGTGCTCGTTGTGGTAGACGTTGCTCGTATGCAGAAGATTTGACGCCGCGGTTCTCATGGTCTAAACATGAATAGCGTCAGAACTATGGCCAATCCTAAGCGTGGCATTACGGAGCATAGAATAAAATAGGCCCTGGAAACAGCACCTCAGGGGTCGTCGCAAGCCGAACGTTCGCTCCCGTGGCTATGAGAATGTGACTGCGCCCGCTCGGGCTCGGTACAACCTGTGGCAACAAAAATAGCCTTTACGGTGAACGTGTACACGGCTACGGATCACGATGAAGCAACAAGGCCCCAACCCGCTGCGTCGGCAATGACTTCAGTCGATCAGATAGTCCGCAGTCGACAGCTCTGCGTGCTATTTCCTGCCATTGCGCATCACGAATAGCACAACCTCGAAGACCAGCGGTTCCGACACTGTGCCGCCCCCGACCCCAGCCGCACCGTCTTTCCGCGCAGAAGCAGAGAGGCACTCACCTCGATCACACCCTCGTCCGCATGACCAAGCGCGTTCACAGCGATTCCGGCGCTGAAGTCGAGGTATTCGCGCCCCTCCACGTCCCACACGTAGGAGCCCTTTCCACGCTGGAGCACGATGGGCGGCCGGGCGTACACGGGTAGGATGTACGCGTCGGAGCGGTCGAGGAGCGCCTGAACCTTGGGAGTGACGGACGACGCGTTTTCGGGGTGCGAGACCGCCGTATACCGCGTCGAAGGTGCAGTAGGAAGCGACAGACCGGAACTGGCGTTGCTCTACGAAGGGGTGAGGCGACTGAGGGGCGTGTGTGCGAAGCAAACCAGGCATACCTGCGTGGCCAGACAGCGTGCTCCGAGCGTGTTTTTCAGAGGTCGGACCAATGTCCGAGACGCGTTGCGGGTGACTGCTCGCATTATGGTGTAGGTACTTTTCGCGGTGCTACGTCAGCCAAGAAGACAACCAAGAAGTGAGCGTCGAGGTGGAAGAAGGCGGAGTGGGCGTTCCGATCTCGCGTCGCGAGTCATGGCTGAAAGAAATAATGCGGGAATCGGCGTCAATTGGCGTCCCTGCAATGACCCAGTCACGAGTCGATCGCATATCTAATCTGCAACGACAGTGCTTGCCCTAATTGTACTGCCTGGGGGAGACCACCCTTGCTCGTTTAACGGAACAGGTCGGTGAATGCTATTCAGAAGAATTTGGCCAGGTCGCTCGACTTACAGCGTGGCTATTGCGAGGAGATAATTAACACACGACCACGGTCAAACTTTGGTCGAAACGACTATGTAACCATACTCATCGGCATACAATGCGCTCACAACAAGGTGCGTATTCATAGACCATCGACAGTCAGACACGAAGCTTCGTAATGTACACAGTAAAGAGCATAGTAGAGAGTTTTCCGGAACCTACAACCAAGGCCCCTTCAGTCCCGGTCCGACGCCGAACTGACAGACATGGAAGAATCGCTCGACGCCGAGCGACTGTGACGCTTCGCCCCACGAGGCGGAGAGCGGGTGCGAGAGCGAGAGCGGGATGACTCCTGACCAGGGGAGCGATCACGCCGCACTGGGGACATCGACCTTGACATCGACCGCGGCCGACCCCTTCCACCCCGTGCAATCGGGGACCGGGGCGCATGAGGAGGCGGAGACCGCACCAAGCCACGCTCGCCTCGCGAGGGCGGTTCAACGGATCCAGAGCGTTTGTGTCGAGGTGGTGGCGATGGCGAACGCGACTCGAACCGACGCCGCACGCGCGCGGGAGGCGAGGACGGCGAGCGGGACGCAACGCGGCGCCGAGGCGGGGTAGGGGACCTTGATGGAGGATGGCGATGGGGGGAGGGCGAGCGGCGGCGGCGATAGTCGCGGTCGTCGTCAGGTGAGGGGCTTCGGCGCATGGGGCTCCTGCTCCTGCTGGGTCGGTCACGGTCGCGGTACTCCCTGCCACCTCGGTCGCGGGGGAGGGGAGGGGGAGGCATCCTATCTCTGCGGCGCATGTCTTCTTCCCTCTCCTTCCGCCGCCGGTCCTCCTCGCGCCGCCGCAGACGGTCGCGCTCCTTCCGCTCCGCCTCCCACTTTTCTTTTTGAGCAACCATCTTCGCGCGTTCCTCTTCCCGCTGCCTGTCCCGCTCCTCCCTCTCTGCGTGCCTTCGCATACGCAGCTCCTCTTGCTTCTCCCTGTCGAAGGCATCTCCTTCGTGGTAGTCGCTTCGGGTGCCAAACGCCCGGGCCATCTTGTTGAGTTCGTCTTTCTTCGCGTAGGCGATGCCATGGGTATCTGACGGCTTCAGACTTTTCGCGTTGATTTGTGCGCTCGCTTCGGCAAGCAGTTTTGTGCGGAGCTCGCTTACTTGCTCCTCAATTTTGTCTTCCTCGACGCTAAGACAGAGGCCTTCAATCTGTGCTCGAACCAAGCTCAGAATGTGCACTCACCCTTCGTCCTCCAGCTTGAGCTGCAGCTCCAGGCACTTCACCTCCACTTTACGCTTCCTCTCGTGTTCCAGAATCTCCGCATCGGGCTCTCTGTGTTTGGGAGGGGCAACGTCCCACGCACTTGCGCGATCCTGGGGTGTCTGGAAGCTCCGTAGAGCGGATAGGTTTCGTACCACGTAACCGTTCGTGCCACTGCACTCCCAAAGCAAGTTAGCAGCAGACCAGAAGAAGGCCGCCGTCAAGGCGTACCTGCCGCGCGGTGTAGTGAGACCGATTCCGTTATACATGGTTGGAAGAGGATGGAGGTGAGTGGACGAGGCGCATGCAAGCGCGTTCCGTTGGCGGAGGGGCATGTTTAGCGCCAAGGCGTGTGAACTTCGGCGGCAATGGGCGAAGAGTCATGCCGTCCGACTCATCGCTTAGATCAGCGGTCGCACACAGAGAGAAGACGGACAAGCATGATGGAGGGTACTTGGGTGTATGCCGTACACCCATGCAAACAAGCCTCTAATTATGATAGTCCGTCCATATCCATTACTGTTACAGTCTAGGCTGTGTCGCTTCATTCATGCGAGAGAAAAAGGCGTCCAACTGGTACTTGCTGTATCCTGGACGGCTCAACGAACGCAGTGCAACCTGCTTGTCCGTTTCTATGTCCTCTATCAAGGCCTCTGGAATCCTCGTCAGCGCTGCGCACACCAACTCGTAGACAAATCTTCCTCTTACCCCGAGAGATATAATTGAGCTCTGGACGAATGTATCCCAAAACCATGACCTTCATCCCATATCCGTAAAAGTCTCCCTTGAAATCGTGCATGATGTGAATTTCCTTCAGTGAACAGTCAGCGAAAAAGGGTCAAGCCCACAGATAACTGTACGACACGTACCGCGGACAACTTCTCGTTGTTGTAGAATGGGTTCTTCCCAAGACTCATCACCATCGGCAAGACCTTCCCATCCCCCTCCGGAAGTACAGGCTGGCCCTCCATCTCCCTCGCGACCTGAGCATACCCATAGTACACCCCGAACTCGGTGATGGAGCTCATCGGCGTGATGCTCTCGTCCGGGAGATTAGCTCCAGAGAAGCGCATGAGCCGGAATTACTTGACGCATCTGAGATCGCGTGAACAGACGCACCTGTGGGGCAGCCCAGATCCTTGCCGCCGCGCCCGAATCCGTGCTGGACCGGTCCAGACAGCAGGATGGGAAACGGTGCCTGCGGGACCTCTGGTCCGACAATGGCCGGGCGGGATACGCGGTACGAATTCGTGCCGACGGGCGCAGCGGGTCGTTCTTCGAGGCCCATAGCTTGGACGACGGTCATGAACGGGTGGGGCGGGGGAGGCGGGGCGTGTGTGTGTCGGTGATACGGGTCGCGGATTATAAATAAGGACCGGACAGGCGCACTGGGTGAGAGCTGCTCTGTCCGCAGATGCTGAAATGAGTCCCCGGTGCCGATCGCGGACAGAACCAGCGAGAATGTCGGCCGCCGGCGCTTCCCCGCTCCCGCCGGAATCCTCGGACTCAGTGTCGGCCACACCTTTGCCTCTGCCACCCACCACCCCGCTCCGCATGGCCCACCACTATCCACCGCACACCCAGGCGCAAACACAGACGCAACCCCAGGCGACTCAGGCTGTAGCGTCTGGTTTCCCCGCCTTCCCTGCAGGCTCGTACCCCTACGGCACTGGATTCTATCACAACTACCCCGCCGGATACACCTTCGATTCCGGCGCGCATACGCAACCCCCCACCGCCCCGGAAATCCCAGGCGTGACAGCGCAGCTTGCATCCCATGCCTTGGGACGCTTGATATCTACGGAGATGCGGGATGCTGGTTTCGAGTCTGCAGAACTCCGCGCCGTGAGGAGGTTGGAGCTGGAGGTTGCCGCATGTGAGTATCATCTACGCGTGTCTTGCCATCCCGCGTCTTATGCATCACCCATCGTGTAGTGGTGCAACAACTCTACGAGCGCGCACATGAGTACGCGAACCTCGCCAACCGAGCGAAACCTGTCGTGACGGACGTCCTCTGTGCGTCCGATGATTTCAACCTTGAAGCTGTGGAAATATACCGCTTAAGCAAGAAGTCAAGGAAGCGGAAGCGCAGTACGTGTTGTCATTCTGAAACTCCAACGAAGACGTGCTCATATATCGTGTTCGCGAAGATCCAGCAGACGGCTCCATGAGACTTTTGCCTCCTGCAAAACGCTCTCCGTCGCCAGAATTACTCAGTTCTGATGACGAAGGCACACCTTCAACCGGCCCTATGACACTGCGACCGTTGCCTCATTATGTTCCACCACTACCTCCCAAACACACTTACCTTCGCACCCCAGTAAATGAACCACAGGTTTCTTCGCTCGTGTCTCGGCTGACTGGAGTGCCCGGTTTAGATTTCTCCACCCAAGAAAGCAGCAATCCCCTCATTGGAGAAAAAGCTGCAGAACGCGTCTCTTGTGCAGGACTCCTTGAAGAATCTCCTTCTCGCGACAGAAGACAGTGCGACGGAAGATGCAGAACTTCTAGGTGCAACGGTGAATTGGGAGTCGACCACCCACCCTCGAAAACGATGGAGGCTATCATGAAGATCCCAGCGGGGATCCGTCATCGTGTAATACTGTATATCACACCATCGTATGCTATCAATGTACAGGCGACTGCTTCGGGACACTCGTCAGGTATTGAATGCCTCACCAGACTCTACAGATGCCGTCCCTTGTCCCTTGCTCGTGCCACGGGAAGGCTGTCGACGGAGGGGTTTGGGCGAACTATCGCGGCCGATGGATTGTCTGCGGTATCCGCAGTGTTGTTCGTGGAGTCTTCGGCTGGCTGAGAAGTCTCTCCTGGCCTGGCGCACGATTTTACACCTGGTGGACGACCCCTTCCCCTCCCCCGCCTCGGCCACGACCTCGAGGACGACCTCTGCCTCTTCCTCGTCCACGGGTTACAGGCTCATCTTCAACAGGTGTTATGGTAACATCGGTGTCGCCTGTTGCGTTCGTAGCGTCGTCGACCTCAGCATTGTCCGGGGCGGTAGCCTTAGCACTGCCCACAGGTTGTGGACTTGGGCTTTGTGTCGCTGTCGCATTTTCGTCGGTTTGCTGTGTCGCATTACCAGAGGCATCATGATCCCCTTCTGCAATCCGTCTCCGTTTGCTGGGCCTGCCGGAGCTTTCAAAGCCAACGCCTTCAGCACTGGCCGTCGGCGTAGATTCTCCGTTTCCGGCAACTTGTGCGTTTATTACACGATCTTGGGACGACCCGGACTCGAGTGGCGCAGCAACATTGCCATCGCGGGTGTAGACCAGGTAGGATCCTGTTGACGTTCGCTTTCTGTTTCCGGCTCTTGGTTTCGGTTTGGGCTTTTGAGCCGCTGTTTCCGGGGCTGGAGTGCTCGTGGACGACCTTGATGTGTATGACTCGGGGTGCAAGATGAGATCTGAGGGCCGGTGCCGGGTCCAGGGGTGGGTCCGCGAGAAGAGACGCAGGTGGGGGTTGCACGTCGGAGGCTGACTCTGAGCCTGGGGTCGCCGTCGTGGCTCTTCCCTTTCGCTTCTTGCTCAGTACCGAGTACCGCGATCGGCACTAGCAGACAAAACCGTTAGTAAAGCAGCTCCTGCGAGGCATAGGCACAACGTACCATGTTGTCCGTCCGGCCATTGTCCAAAAGCCGGCTGACCTCCTTCCACTTCCCTCCCCAACCCTTGCGACCACCTCCAGCAACTTCTCGTCTTCCTCTGCCGACCATTTGCCCTTGGCGACCGTCGGGTTCACGTACTCCTGGTACCGCTCGCGGCACTGCTCGTTCGTCCGCCCCTCGACAAATTGGGCAACCTCGATCCACGCATTCCCGAACACCGCGACCGCGCGCCGGAGCTGCTCGTCCTCCTCCGCCGTCCATGGCCCACGGCGGAGGCTCGGGTCGAGCGTGCGCTGCCAGCGGTTCTGGCATTGCGCTGGGGTCGCGTCTTCCGATACCGTGCGCGCGACTGCGAGGGATGGATACGGGATGTTAGACGCGTACGAAACGAGGCGGGGCTGGACGACACACCGAGAGCCCAGTTGTCGACCCCGTACACCTCGACGGCGCGCATGAGGCAAGCGTCGGCTTCCGAGGTCCATACGTGGGTCTTGCGCGCGATCGCGTGCCGCATGCAGTCGACGGGCGTGCGCCCGGTCTGTGGAACCAGTTCGGCCTTGCTACACGTCAGACAGAAACGTCCGTAAAGGACTCACCCCGAGCTTCTGCGCGACTTCGACCCAGTCGACCTCGCCTTCGCGGGCTGATCCCACGAGCTGCCGAACCTTGAGGATTTCAGGCTGCGTCCACGGCCCGTCGTTGAAGTCAGGATGGAGCTCGCCCAGCCAACGAACCTCGCATTCGCGTGCAGTGCGTTCGACTGTCGAGTTGACGGAAGATACCTGATGATGGTGTCAGTGGCGACTGACTTTGGAAGACGGAATGTCTCCCACCTTCTGAGCGACACGCTCCCAATCTATCCCCTCTTTGTTCCGGTTGATGAACTCGGGCGGAGGTTCCGCCATTCCGAGAAACGCCGAAAGGCCTCTGTTGGCGAAGTTAGGTTATATCACGGAGCATGTAGAGATGAAGAGCCGACTGTGCTTGTGCTTGCAGCGCATATAAGCGGTAATTCTCTGCGCGAACCGCTTCTGCCAGAGCATCCAGCTCTTGTCGCTGCACTGGAAAGGTTTTGGGTTAATGAGGGAACTTCTAAATGCGCAATGGCGTACTTGGGTGGACCACGGTCAGGTCGTCGTATCGTTGCTTTCTTGTGGCATCCTCGAAAAAAGGAGAATTCTTGTATGAAGTATGGTTAGTCGTAATTTCGAGCAAGATAATAAAGAGCATTATCACTCACCTCCTCTAAAAACATGCTATCAGGGAACAGCCCCCTAGGTCTGGTTGCACCGGGAAGTGCGATGGAACCTCCGCAGTTTGGAATGGAGATTTCCTCCTCCTCGTTGTCAGATACATCAGCGGAAGCCTTCCCGCGTTATCTATCAGAGGAGAATGTCTCTGAGAAGGGGAATAGTCGTACTAAAAGTTTGTCCAGATGCTCGAGCTCAGCTTCCAGGCGTTCAGTATACACCTTCAATGCGTACTGGTGGTCTTTATTTGCCTGCAGAGCCGGAGCTATGAGCTCTTCTGGAATCCTTGACGGACCGGCCTGCATGTCCGTTTGTTTTCGAGGCCCTCGCCGTTGTCGCTTTGTGGAAAGATAGAAGTCGGAGGAAGAAACACGATCGGAATCCGGCGCGTCATCCGCCTCGAAACGTGCTCTTCTGAGCGCCCACGGGGCCGAGGAAAGGGTGGCCACACGACGCGACGTTGCACGTCTCCTCCCGCCACCTCACCGCGAACCTCCAATCATGGCGAACGCTTCCGCCAAAAAGACCGGTACGCCCTTGTCTCTCGTCTTCGGATATCCTCGCCGCCCCGCTCATGCTGCCCCCTCGCTCCCCGCAGCGCAACAGAACGCGGAGGCGATCAAGAACATGCAGTACGGCCAGGTCGCCTCCCTCGCGCTCGCGCTCCTCCTCCGTCTGCTCTTCCAGCGGCACGCGCTGCGGCCGACGACGGCCGCGTTCTGGGTGTACGCGCTCTCGCTCGTGCCCTCGCTTTCCTCACCCGCTACCTCACGCGCATCGGCTCCCCGCGGCGCGACCCGACCACCGGCGCGCTCCTCGCCGCGGGCGAGGACCTCTCCCGCCCGGCATCATCGAGTGGGCGTTCGACGTCGTGTACATCACCTGGGCGTGCCAGGTGTTCAGCGGCGCGTTCGGCGCGTGGGTCTGGTGGGCGTACCTCATCGTGAGTCCTCCACGTCTCGTCGGTATGCTCGTGCCCGTGTTTGACACGCCCTCTTCCCCGCACCTCGTCCCCCGGACGTGTCCTGCAAAAACACTCTGGTCGTGTCTGGTTGGCTCGGCTCCTACTCCCGACGCTCTTCGCCCGCTGCCTGCCCACACGCTGCGCCCCGGCCGCTATAGATCCCTCTGTACGCCGTCTACAAGCTCTGGAGCTCCGTGATCTCGCCTATGTTCTTCGGCGGCTCGGCCGCGTCCGCAGAGCCCGAGCCAGAAGCGAAGGAGGCTCCGACGAGCAAGCGGCAGGAAAAGTTGCGCAAACGGAGCGAGCGCGGCGACCCCCGCGTGCGCATGCAGCAACAGAGCTGATTGTACTGCGTAGCACCGGCCTCCTGTACCACTCACCATAGAACCCGTTTGCGGACTGTACAATTCTAGTTGCACACATCATATTACTGGAAGGGGATGGTTGATGATACTCGTGTGAGTAGGCACCATACATTTTGTTGAAGGACATATTATGAAGTCGATGTTAAGTAGTGATGTAGGCGCATTCCACTCAATTAACGCAGACACCGCAATGCAACAAGGATATATGTCCAGCACCCATATGAGCCCCAGACGCTGCCCCAGACACAGCTCGGTATATCGGTCACAGCTCCGGGGCACCACGATATGAGTGCTGGGTCATCATAGTAGGGTTGAAGCTAGGCGCTGACAATGACGGAACGTGGCCCTGTGAGGGGAACGTAGTGGGGTCATTGGGATCCTGTGTCCCAATATATCAGCCAAAGGCGCTGTGCTCTTGAGAGAAGTACTTACATAGAGCCTGGGGCTAGGCTCGCTGCCGGGCGCCCTATCCGTGTACGGGCTGTGCGTAGCGAACTGGTCGGAACCTGCAGCAAGGTCGACGTGCCCACTCGGCGCGCCTCTATATCCTTGGTTCCGGCGACGCAGGGCATAGAGAAGAACGCCCCAATGACCAAAAGCCCTGCGATTCCGCCAACGACTCCACCGACAATCGCGCCCACGTTTGATTTGCTGTTAGGTGTATCAGTGCCGGAAGGAGCACTGGTGTTGTCGGAAGGTGAGGACGTGGTGGTGAAGCCCGACGTAGGGTTGGTTGCACCGGAATCCGAGCTCGTGGGAGGTGTCGATTGAGTCGTCTGTGTTGAAGACGCGGACACGGGTGCGCTAGAGTCAGGGAGGTCTTCATTGGCCCGAGCTTGAGCTAATGTGGCGTTGAAAGTGCCCGAGACCTGTGGAAACCTGTTGAGCAACGCGAATGAAGCACGAGGCGGGACAACGTACGGTGACATCAATGTAAGCCCAGGCTGGGATAGAGGTTCCTGCAGGAATGGGCTCTGGGAACCTGCGATATCCGTGTGTTTGCGGGATCCAGGAGCAATGTGATCAAAAGCAACTTACTGCCCAATGACGACATCGGATCCCGGGGCCGTGCAGTTCTGGGAATACGTCGCCCAACTGACAAGGGAATGAGAAGCGAACAATAGGGATGGAGGGCATCATGCGCACGGGGCACACCCGCTGCCTGGCCCTGGCAAACCGCACAGGCCTCGATGACGGAGTACAAAACAGTGTTGCACCGGCATGGTGTAGCGCTGGTAGCGCTGAGGAGAGGAGTGTTGTAGTGGTAGCCGTCATCAAGAGGATAGACCCAAGAATCTGAACGGGATTTGAGACCGGCTTTCTTGCGTACGATGTCTCTGAGACACACCTGCAGACGATGAACAAGGAGTGAAGAGCCAAGATGCGATGAGACACGGGCTCTGGTGCATGGTGTTGTTCATCTGAGGGATTCGCATGCACGACAGGATCAGGATGGCAGAAGGCGTAGATTACGACGGCGGACGACGTACCCAATCATAACCAAAGCTGCAGACTGCGTTCGTACCCTGGGCGCACGCTCCAGGTACGCATGCCACAAGGAGGGCGAGGGCGGAGGCGGCGAGGAGAGCGGCCATGGGGACGTGGGGGGCGGAAGCAGGGAGCTCGGGGGGAGAACATGCTCGGCAAGGGATCAAATGAGCGAGGCGAGCGCGCCGGCGCGCCGGGCAAGGCTGCTGTGAGTGATGCCGATCACTGCTCGGACTTGTCCCGACACATCCTGTGCAGTGTCAAATACATCTCGCCCGATCTGGCGAGCGCCCTTACGTCATCTCCTTCCCTCCGAGCCCGCCGCACCGCTCGCTCCTCTGCACTCGCACTCCTGCCTCGACGCTCTCCAGCTTCGACCATGGACTGCCCGCAGTCACCTGAAACGCGTCTTTCGGTGATTTTCCACCTGTGCCCACCTCACCTGCCCCCCGCGCTCATGCCCGTCATTTCTCACATAGCGCTCCGTCTCACCTTCCAATTGTCTCCAAGCTTCATTGCCACCCGCATATATCCACCTTCAAGGGTCCGGTGTACCACCCCAGATGACCCGGTCTCCGCATATGTGCCCTCTAGCACCCGTGAACTTCATATCCATTCCGACAACACCTGCTCTGGCCTCGCCAGCCCGCCTGTCGACCCATCCGCGGTGGCGCCGCCTTCGGCCCATTGCTCTTCCATCTGCACCTTGCGCACGCCGGACGACATGCCTCAAGGAGAGCCTGCCAGCCATATGGCTACGATCGGAATTATGTCATCTGCCGCAAGAGACTCGGAGGTCCTCAAAGAGACTGGTACTGGCGCCGCTGGCTGTCGATCACCAGACACATCCCACGTTGCGGCTGTCACAGAGACCGATGGCTGCGGGCCTGAATCCATGCCACCTTCTTTGCTGTCCTTGGGATCATCCGACACTCCCCATACTTTCGCGACTACCCCAGATAATCTTGGCACAAACCTACCTGCGTCTCCTGTTCTTGAGATCTCCTGCGGACCCATCACTACTCCCCTGCCGCTCACAAGCCCCCATTGACATCTGCTGACCCTTGGTCCAGTGAATCGCCTTGCACAACTTCGCTGCATTCTTCGACGCTTTCTACTGTCCATGCAACACCAAGCGGGAGCGACATTGACAGCGCTTCGAATCTCCCCTTGCCCGGCCTGCCTGGAAGCGCAGTGCTCTTCTCCCATCCTTTCTGTCGAAGTCATGGATTCTCCGTCGACTCTAGCATCCCCCAACAAACGAGCAAGTACTCTGTGCAATATTCAGCCAGAACCGGTGCTCTTTGGAGCACGAAGAGTGCGCGGGCGACGATGGTTCACAGTCTATGTCACTCTGTCAAGACGCCGACCTCAATCAAGCGGAGCATCGTTCCGGACCCCCTGATTCCACCGCCGACGCAACTGTCGAAGAGATTCTTACCTTTGGCCTCATATGTGCGCGGAAGAACATGATACGCTCGAAGACAGTATATGCGGGGATGAAAGGCTCACTGATGCTTTGGCGGTCTGCTCCGAAGCATGCGTCGACTTTATGCTCGATCTTCCACCATCTTCACCTCCTGCTTCCTCAAGTCCCGTCCCTTTGTTCTCCTCTCCCTGCCAGAGCCCTGGTCCGCTTCCTTCTCCGCCGACTTCCAGCCAACCATTGTCTGATCTTGATGACGACAAGACGGCATTCATAACAGCAAAGATGACATGCCACGGACTGCTTGCACATTGTGACCAATCAACGGCCCGACGACGACGACGAACCTTCTAGTTCTCATAAGCCTGATGGACACACGGAAGAGACCCTAGACACTACTAATCACCACCGCCCTCGTCGCCCAACGACCCCACTTCCACTCGGTCCACGGCCCCGCTGCCCAAACGCCTCACAGTCGCTTCACGGGCCAAAGAACACAAGAAGCTCGCCGCGCCCTTCCGCTCGCCCGTCATCACCGGCCCGCTCATCCTAGGGGGACGAGAAGCCGTGTACGCCTCTGCTCGATCCGGCTCCACGAGTTTCCGCGTCGGCCACTCCCCCTGGTCCCGAGGCCGCGCCAACCCCAGTACCGGACCCCGATGCGACCGCCCCAGCAGACCAGAGCAAGCACCGCACCGCGCGCGTCGCCCGCCCGTTCAAGTCGCCGCTGCCCAACCCCGACGATCCCTCGGGACCGGCCCCGATGGGCCCGCCCTCCACGTCCCTCGCAACGCCATCGTCTTCCTCTGCGTCTTCCGCCGCGGCCGCCGCGACGATCCGCGCGCTGCAGAGCCAGGCGCAGACGCTGCGGCAGGCCGTCCGGATCAAGCTCGCGCCGCCTGCGGACAGCGACCCGGAGCTCGCGCGGCTCGCCGGGAAGTGGACCGTGGCGGGGCGCGAGGTCGCGTGGGCGTTGTGGGAGCGGGTGAGGGACATGGACCCAGGGAGTGCTGCGGGCGCTGGTGGGTTCGGCGATGAGGTCGGGCGGAAGAGGGGGATGTGGGAGGAGGAGGCGGGTCCAGCGAAGAAAAGAGCCCGGATGGATGGGGAAGGGCAGATGCTAGGTGAAGACGAAGATGAGGGGTTGGAGGACGAGGTCGTGCAACATACGCTGGGGGTGATGCTGCGAAGGCTGGGGATCGACCCGGTGACGTTGGGGTGGGATGAAGAGGAAGGTGACTTTGTTCAGGTTGATGTCTGAACACTCATTTTGTAAGATATCAGAGCTGTCTTGTACGCCAACGATTACATGGATCGATGCAGACACTCTTGGACTTTCGAACTACACAGCTCATGAATGCAAGCAGAACATCGATTCCGAGATTCGCGCAGATGTACGCGCAACAAATCTGATTCCGTAGGAGAGATACATGCATACATACAAGCGTCCACGTTCGCCAGTAGAAAGGCGATAGCGAAGTAACAGTTGTAGTCCAGGCGTCCAGTTATGAAGACATAACGATAATGATACATCATCAGTGCATGATAGCATCGGGAGGCGGGTTGAGGTTCCTCTCCGGATACCTGCGGGGGTGGGAATGACATTCAGCAGTCAAGTAGATATGAAAATCACAAAGGCACTAACTTGGCTTTAATTCTCGCCCTCATGTCTTCCTCGTAAATCTGATCCGCTCCGAGCTGGTTTCCGAGCGTCAGCCACCTGCAACGACCGCGACGTCAGTACTCTCTCGCGCGAAAGAATGGCCGTTACGCACCCAGGCCGGGTGTTGTGCTTCCGCCCGAAGATCTCAACTTTGCGTCCCCCCGGACACATGCGCTCGATCATCCCGTACACCTCATCCGGTTTCCTGCTCGTCTCGCGCACCTCGGAGACAACCACGTCCGTGTCGAGCCCCCTGTTGGCCCACGATGGGAACTTAAGGGTCCCGTGCTCGTCCGTAACCGTCTTCACCCCGACAAGCATGTGCTCCTTCGTATGATTGAGCCAGTGCCCAGTGCGTCCTGTGCGGATGACACGCTGGAGCTGGTTGGTCTTAACCCAGACGACCTCGTCCACGCGGGTGTAGCCCCAGAAGCGGAGGCACTCGCGCCCGACTTCCATGGCGCGGCCAGTGACCCAGAGGAAGAGGAATCCTTCGTCCTGGAGGGCTGGGATGGGCATGGCCCGCATCTCGTCGTCTGTCATCGTCCCGTAAGGCAGCTGTTAAGATGCTTCAGTACGAACAGCGGATGTTGATGGTCGTGGAACATACACTCATGTGGATATCCCATGGGGGGTCTGCCATGATAACGTGAAATTTCCCTAATACCGAGTAGTCAAACCGACGGAGGTCACAGTTGATCCACTGAGCTGGCAGCTGGCGACCAAGTCAGCAGGTACTTGTCCATCGAGTGTCAATGGCTACGCACTGGTTTCGAGAGCGTCTTCATGGGCCCGAGACCCAGCCCCACCTTGTAGGGTTTCCGCCTCGCCACAGATCGCTGGTCCACCATTCCCTGGCCATCGTTGACGTCCCAGTCGACCTCAAAGTGAAGATATCGACAGGGCGCCTTCTCTTTGCCCCTCCCGCCTGCTCCCAGTCCGCTCGGCAAGCTGACAGGACCAGAACCTTGAGCACCGTACTGCATTTGCCTATGGGACGGCAACGGCGGAATCGAAGGCGACTGTGCGTAGGTTGGTTCCGAATAGCATGTGTTGAGGTAGGAACAGTGTCCCAAGGTAGGGTCAGTGTGCGGTCGAATGAGAGGACGGAAATGTATGCGGTCACAGATGGGTGAGAGGCCTTTCGAAGGACTCGACGATGCATTCGACTCGGCACGGGCCCGAGCGCACTCTTCCTTGGTTATGCGTAGGCATAATGGCTCGAAGTTCCCCGTAAGTGAGCGAAACTACAAGGATGTAGAATAACCACTGAGATACGTGTTGGTGTGAAGGAGAAAGAGTTGCGCACCTGCTCCGCCAACAGCTTTCCCTTGGCGGTGCTCTGCTGCATCAGCCCATACACCTCCTTCATGACCTTGTTCAAGCTCTCCAGAGTGCCGGGGGGAGGGCTCCATCGCACAACTTTCTCCGGGGTTGACTCTTCAGCTTCCTGCGTCCGACCTACGGCAGAGTCATCGTCCTCGTCCACGGGGCGTTTGCGCTTGCGAGGCGGCGATCGTTCTGGCTGGCTGGTCGACACGACGCCCAACTGCACGTCCATGACGGTGAGACCGCCATCTGGGTCTTCATCCCTCGACACTACAATCTTGCCGCAGTCCCAATGATCCGCAAGGCGTTCCAGGATACGGTCGAAACGCGCGAGATCAACAAGGCGAAACCTGGGCGATGGCCCAGAGCCGGGGACCACTCCAGGGGAAGTACCGAGCGAGATGACGTGTGTGAGGAGGTCGAAGGACGAGATAGGCGTCTTGACAGTGTTCCTGGAGAAAAGAGATTCAAGAGCAGTGGAAGCGATCACTTTCAGTTTGTCTTCGATCGACATGGCATGGACGAGCCAGGTGTGGGATGAGGGAGCACTGGGTATTGCAAGGCCACGGCCCATGGGCCATAAGCGAGACGCGACGCGCTCAGAGGGAACCAAGTCATGTGCGCCCACCCGCGAGCTGAACAAAATGCATAACCTTCACCCATACGTCCCTACCGCAGACATCTAAAAATGCGGCAGGAGGTAGTGCAATCAGACAACCCCCTCGCCTTTTACTAGGGGGTTCCGTGTTCTGCCTCCATCATAATGCCGCATACCCAATTTTTCAGTTCACAGCTCTCCTTGAGCTCCGGCGCTTCGAGCGTGTCTTTCATTTTGGCAATCTTGCACTAGCCTAGCTATATACCGGCCTTCATCTTCTTGTTTTCCACCGCCTCCCTACTCGCATTGTCTGCCTTTGTTGGCTACTCATTGTTGCACAGTTGAAGCATCAAGTGAGCTGCCCTGCGAGTTTTACGAGTATCGGTGGCAGCATTAATGTGCAAGAACGTCGCTCGCCAGGATTGACGGACACTCATAAACTCTTCACATCGATTCCAGGATGACGTCTATACAAATGCATACATGCTACAACTCCCACACACGTTTTTACGCCGGGACCTTGATGCCAACCTGGAAAGCCGGACGAGCCAACGCAGCTTCGACCCATGCCTGGTTCGACAACACGTCAGACCACATCGATCCTTCACTTCGTTCGTCGGCGGACGCACCTTCACACGTGGCCACTCATCAAGAGATTCGATCCCCGCATAGTTGTGGATCCTGATCCAAGGGACGACGTTGATGTCCGCGAGAGAGTAAACACCGCGACCCGGGCCAGCGAGCCAGTCGCGATCCTGGAGACGGATTTCAAGCACGCCATAGAGGCGTTTCGTCTCATTAAGGTAGCCTTCGCGGTGGCAGGTGAGCATCATGCCTATCATTATGCACAGGTGGACTACTTACGCTTCTTCGCATAGGGAATGTCTTCGGGTGCGAAATGGTTGAAGTGGTTCGCCTGGCCCTGCATGGGACCCACGCCACCGTGCTAAGGAATCCAGTGAGTACAGCATCCTCCTGCTCTGCTGAAATGGAAGTGGCTCACAGCGAAGAAGATCCACTGCAGCATCTCGCTGTAGTCGTTCGGCTGCGACTCCTTGTCGAACCCGAACTTGCCCTCCTTGTCATAGTGTTGCTGGAGGTAGAGCAAAATCGCCGCGGTCTCGAAAACGCTGAAGTCTCCGCGCGAGCGGTCGGTGATCGTCGGGATGCGGCCGTTGGGGTTCAGCTTGATGAACCACGGCTCTTTCTGCTCGTTTTTGCTGCCGATGTCAATCTTCTGCGTGCTGTAACAAGGGCAAAAACGTTTGAATTCGGCCTCGATCCTGAACTGAGCAGGGCCATGTACGTACTCATATTGGAGACCGTATGCGGTCTTGAGCTCTTCAAGAAAAACAGATACTTTGTGGCCGTTGGGCGTGCCTGCAGTGTATAGCACGATAGGAGCTGACATATTACTGGTCGTTGATACTTCAAGGGCTTTGGCGGATAAATGGGCTTGAGGCGGGAAACCGATGTGCGAAGCGGATTAAACATGCCCAGATCTTATATTGAGTCCATGTTCCCGTACTTGCTCTAAAACAAGCCAGACGCCACGGACAGGACGAACGTCATCCAGGCGGGTCGCTTGCTCAGCAGCCAGTGATCACTTACTCATCCTTGGCGTGGGTGCGTAATCCCTCAGGCCCAGGCCCCGGGGCTCAAACGTTCAACGTTCATGTGTCCCTTGGGGCTCTGTATGAGAAGGCGGGTGATGCGCTCACGATGGCGAGCTTTCCTGTACCCTCGATGACAAACCATTCAAGCCACAGTCAATGTCTCAGTCTGCAACTCTACGCCGAGCAGAAAGCTTGCATCGTGACATTCTTACATGCTCAATCAGTCCGTACTTATACAACAGGGATATCGTTCGGTTTAACGCATGTCATCAAACCGCAAATCTCATCATGGCGCAAGTCACCATCGCAGGCAATAGAAGGGTCTGCCACGGGGTCGTGTGGCCGAACAGAAGGGCAGCATTCGACCCTCCATCCCCGCTAGGTAAGCCCGAGCCTCCATGAACAACGCCGGGGGTGTAGTTGGCATCAACCTGGGGTACAGTCGCGCCGATATACTGCTGACCCAATGGCGTGATAGAACCCTGGGAAGACATGAGAGCATTTGCCTAATGCCACACCAAAGACGTGAGCGTTGCCCCACAATTTGGATCACGGCGGGGCACCGGGCCAGCCACGCACCTCATTCACTCCTTGGAGGTTCTCCATAGCGCCGAACCATCCGTAGCGTTCAACCCAATCCGTGCTATCCATGAACGCTTGAGTAGAATTCATGAAGTCGACCACGTCTTGCTGCGAACACTGCATATCCGCGTTGTTGAAATTCTGCAACACAGTCAGCAAATGCGATGAAAGGAGGCACCTGCGGGTCACGGACCTGGCACGCCCATTCCGTTACCCACATCGAACGCTGGAACGTGTTGTGGTAGTCTTCGAGGTATTCCATGAAACCGGTCGAGTTGATGTCGTAGTAGTGCACGGCAATGAAGTCAACGGAGCAGCCGCCCTGGCACGCATCCATGAAGTCGAGCAGCCACTGTTTCCCTGCCGGCGATCCGCTTGGGGCAGGAGATCCCAATTGAACGCCCAGCCCACGGAGCGGCTCGATGTGCGCTTTCCAAAGCGCGGCGCCCTCTTGAGGGTCGATGTTGGACTGCCCTTGGATTTCTGGCTCATTGAAGCCCAGGACGTGGGTGACATGCAGGTCTTGAACGGTCTTGTTGATAGTTCCATCCCACTGGTCGACTTGATTTGTGCCCCAGAGCATGGGAACAAACTCGAGGTCGGCTTGGGTCGGGGAAGGGCTCCACGTGTAATACCTACATACTTCTGAGACGAAGGACAGATACGCAGAGACAAGTAGACGCACCATTGAACCTTGCCAGTGCTTAGATACTGATTGATATCGTCAGCATTGCCGTTCGGCCAAGGCAGCCCAGCCTTGCTGGTGTTCGTGACCGCACGCGCGTTCACTGTGGGGGTATCGTTGATAACAAGCGCCGAGGCACGGCAAAGAAAGGGAGTGAGCAGCAAGGCGGCTATTTGGTAAGTCATGGTATATGTCGTTCAGATGTCGTGAGAGGTGATCCGAAACTAGAAGTCGGCAAGAAGGGGAATCGTGGCCTGGGGGGCGGAGCCGGAGGCTCTTGTATAGTGCAAGGTGTGGAGTCCACTCCAGGCACAGTGGAGAAGGAGATTGACCACGGCGATAGAACGTCATAAGTAGAAGCGTGCACGTCGGAAGCATGGCGTACCACGTTGTGGACGCGGAGTGAGAAGGCGATGCCCAGATACATTATCCGTACGCTATAGTGACATGCAGTGTCTGCAGGCAACAGAGAGCGCATCAGCAGGGAGCATAGACAAAGGGGTACTCAACACACCTAAGCATGGTCATATGCAACTAAGACCCAGTACGTACGGTCTCATTGTCCCATTTAACGGCAGCCAGATGGATGAAGGACGAACCTCCTGGACACACCCACCCGGTATCCTAGCCCGATTCAGGAGAAGGCTGCTCCCGAGGTTTTGGGGATGACGCAGGGATGTCGATATTATTCCCCCGGAATCTCTTCCTCATGTCGAGCTTTTTGACCTGCATAAGCCAAGACTATACGGCTCAAGACCGTTCAGTAACAGGCGTACCATCCCCCGTTTGCATTCAAAAGTTGCCATCCTCAGAGACTTGCATGCGTCTGGGAGCTCGTCGGTGTGGTTCCGGAGGCAGTCGGAGGGGAGATGGCCTTGCTTCATGACACAGTCTGAGTACAACACGCACTCCTTGAGTGCAGCTAGCAGATGAGAGCAGGACGAGGACATGGCGGAAGGCAAGGCGTGCCACTGCGGTCCGACGAATTCCGGACGCGCGCGTCGGCCGACTTTGCGCTTGACGGCATTGTGGCAGCAGCTGCTTTCTCAGCCGCATTCTCCTTCTTGCTCTGACCACGCGCGATGCCACTACCGCGCGCATTGCGCGCGCTGGTGCGCACGACTCCTACAATTTCCCCTGTATCAGCGCGGCAGCTCATAGCAGTCACCGGCTCACAAGCGGCGAGTTCTTGAACGGCCTTACTGCGGCCTCCCTTCCAAGTGACCCCAAGGGCACTTCTTCTCGGCGTTCTTGCACGCCCAGGTGCGCACCCATGCCATTACGTTGTATTTATATCACGCTCACGCCGGCACATTTCAGGGAAGGGTGATTCACGATATATTTCTTTGGGCACACACTACACCTCAAGGCAAGCCAGGGTACCTCGTCGAATTTGATGCGACACCCTCGAAGTAGGCCCCCTCCTGCCATGGCTGAGCGTTTTGTGCTTCGATCGAAAGTGAAGCTTCGGGATGTAACTGAGGAGTACGACGTCTGGGCGGCATGGGGGTCCAAAGACACCTGGGAAGCAGAGCGGCAGTGGATTCACGCTGCAAGCGGGGTGATCGAGCCCGTCTGGGATAAGGGCGCTGGATCACCATGGGGGTCAACGGAGTGTATCATGCAGGACCGGAGGGCAGTAGGATGGGCGGCGACTGCTGGTGAGAAAGGGCGATACTCGTGAGTTCTCATGTTTGTATCTTCGCGTTCTCGATGCGAGTGAACGGGTTCAGCGCTAGGAGACCATGACGTGCTGGGGACAGAAGCATACACCTTGCATCGAATGCTACAAGGAGTGCCTGAAGGTTCGACAGACATCCCGCCATTGCAAGCCTTCCCTATGGAGTCCAACTTGGACGTTATGGGCGGGCGTGAGTGTCGTGCTGCACGTGCGCGATTTCTACGCTGACATTATGTGGATCGTGCAGTTGATTTTCGGAAGGGTTGCTACGTCGGGCAAGAGCTCACAGTCCGCACCTATCATAAGGGCGAGCTGCGAAAGCGCATACTTCCGGTGGCGCTACACAGGACAGACACGACGTACGTCGGTTTGGTGCAATATATGAATCCGTATCTGATGATACCGCAGACTGGATACGATGGAAGGATCTCTGGATACAGCCCCGCAACTACCTCCAGATACTAAGGTTAAGCCTGTTCCCACCGATAGTGACGACAGACAAAGATCCCGCCTCCGGGGCACCGGGAAACTGCTCACGTCGACGCAAGGCGTCGGGCTTGCTCTCATGAGGATGGAACAGGTTGATTCTGCGAGTCAAGGACTGCACAAGTTTATTGCGTCGACGTCTGAAGGACAGGATTGGGGAGTGACGCCGTACTCGCCCGACTGGTGGCCCGCTTCCTCTTCCCAGCAGTAGACGTCTTTGCACGGGATGCCTGAGTCATCTCTGTAGAGTGTTTTTAAAACTTAGCCACTTTATAATCCGTATGACCCTCTCCCATCGAACAACTGAGCAATATAGTTTTCATGGCAGCATCGAGGACGAGGTCATCACGCTTCTACAACAACATTCGTGAATACATAATTGCCGTCATGACTGACCGACGCATGGAAATTCCAATCTGCATCGCTGGACCGTACTGCTGGATGGTATTCGAGGAATGGCTTTCGTTTCGTGTCTGCAGAGAGACCGTGAAACGTGAAGTCTTTCCATGTCGGAATAGCAGCAGGGAACAGCGCCTTGTACGCAGATTCCTTGACGCTCCACCTGAATTCGACTTTCAGCTTGTGCAGGACATGCAGAAGACGTGAACTCACCTGACTGCGAGGTATCGCATGCGCCGCTCCCCGCAGGTAGCAGGAATCTCGTTCCAGACCGACAACTCGGTGTCGCTCAGGATGCGACGTGCAAATCTGGCTTCCCCTCGTCTTCCGACAAGCGCAATAATCCGAGGGGCATGTAGGACGTCGACGCCAATACCGAGAATTCGCATGGACGTTGCTGGTGGACGTTGCTCGACAAACGCGGGATGGGCCGGGCCGGCGTGGACGCTCGCCTTGCGCGCCGACGTCACGCGAAGTTCCGCGTCGCGCTCGCGCTGCCTTGAATCCCTCTCAAATACACCACATGCCCAGCAACCATCCCTGAGACTCTGGATGCTTTCTCGAGCGAGCGTCTTGCTTCTTCGGTCAGGACGGGCACGCCCATTCGCCCTCGCGTTCTCGGGCACATGCCGGACACGCACTCGCATCGCGTCCTTCCATTGCACTTCCCAGCACCAGATGAGACAAGGGCCGGGTTGACGGCGCACAATGGTACTCTGCTTTGCTTTCTTTCTCCTGCACGCCACTCAATGGTACTAGGTCCATACCCTACCCGGACCCATACATGTGGCGGCCTGGACCTTGTGGATGTAGACAAGGAGGTTGTACTCATGGGCTGGCTGGTGTCAAAAGGGTGAGCACCGAATGCTACGTGCAACCTCCCTCTCTCAAGGTCCGTGCAACCACTAGAAAGCTTGGGAAGAAGTTGTCTTTCTATGGGCTGCGAGATAGTCATGGCACCGCACAGCTCATCATGGATGCTCGAGTCCTCGGAGAAGACAACCTCGCTGCTGTGCGAGCCATCTCTCCAGAGTCGACTGTTCTTGTGAGAGGCTTGGTGGTCGCACGTCCTGAGTCACAAAGACGGTCGGTGCGTCTTTGCGTCTGACCTCCATCCCATGTATTCATGCCGCACTTCAGGAACGCAGCGGGTCGGTCGAAGTGTCAGTCAAGTCGTTCATACTCTTAAATCCCGCTGGCGAGTTACCTTTCTCCCCACACGACCCCGAAAATCTGGTACGCCCCAATCCCCTCGCTCTATGATGCGCAGCTGAAATACACGAACAGGCGAACGAAGATCTGCGGCTCCGTTACAGATACCTTGACCTCCGCCGAGCGGAGCTGACCGCTAACTTGAAGAAGCGTAGCGAAGTTGCGTACCTAATCAAGGACGAACTTCGGCAAGCAGGTACGCTAGCGTACGATCGTTGGAGTCCATCGTGTGTCTAACCTGACACTCCGTAGGATTCGGGGAGGTGGAAACACCTATGCTGTTGAATTCCACTCCCGAGGGTGCGCGCGAGTACCTCGTCCCCACTCGCGTCAAGCAATCTCCAGGCGCGCCCGCCGGACCTCAGTTCTATGCCCTCTCCCAATCACCCCAGCAACCCAAACAACTTCTGGTTGTCTCGGGCGCCGTTGACCGGTACTATCAGTTCGCTCGCTGTTTCAGAGACGAGGATGGCCGGAAGGATAGACAGCCTGAGTTCACACAAGTGGATCTGGAGATGGCATGGGTCAATTGGGGCCATGCGACACGACGACCGGGTGGCGAATGGGTGGTGGTGAAGTGCGCGACGTTGTCGAGCGTGTTATTCGCCGAGTGTGGCATGAGATCGAAGGTGTAGATCTTCCAGAGCGATTTCGAGTCATGACCTACGACGAAGCGATGCGCAAGTACGGTTCGGATAAGCCCGACCTTCGTTTCGGCCTTGAGGTGAGTCTCTAGTATGCGATCATCGTGCATGAATCAGAGAGCTGATAATTTCACAGATTATTGACCTCACTTGCGCGGTGCCTTCTCCGCTCCGCGAAGAGCTGGTCGCCAACGGCGAGGTCATTGAAGCTCTTGCGGTCAACGCCCACGACGATCACCGTCCGTTCCTCGCTGTCGCTGACGACGTGGAGGTCCCTCCAGAGGTCAAGCGGTACGACGACCCAGGTTCGGAATGGAAGCAGATTTACAATCTTGTCAACGGGTGTGCACTGGAACCCGGTAAGAGCGTGGTATGGACCGCAAGGCGGCCGAAGAAACCTGACGTAAGTTCTTCCCCTCGCCAGACACCTAGACTAAACTGACGAACCCCTCCCACGCACAGGGCGGCTGGACCCCCCTCGGCCGCGTCCGCCTCGCACTCGCCGAGGCAGCCCAGCGCCGCGGTGCCTTGGCCCTTCCCGCGCGCCGCACTTCCTCTGGGTGACCGAGTTCCCGCTGTTCACCCGCGCGGATGCGGACAAGGACTTCCTCGCGCACGGCCGCTGGAGCGCGACCCACCACCCGTTCACCGCCCCCATGGCCGAGGACGTGGCCCTGCTGCGCGCGGGCGACGTCGCCGCCGTGCGCGGCCAGCACTACGACCTCGTCCTCAACGGCGTCGAGGTCGGCGGCGGTTCAGTCAGGATCCACGACGCCGCGCTGCAGACGCACGTCATGCGCGACGTCCTGCAGCTCACCGAGGAGGAGCTCGTGCGCTTCGGCCACCTGCTGCACGCGCTGACGTGCGGCGCGCCGCCGCACGGTGGGTTCGCGTTCGGTGAGTCTAGCGTTTTTCTGGCATATAGCAGTTTCATGATACTTAGGCTGCCGGGGTATTTGCAGGCTTCGATCGTCTCATGGCCATGCTCTGCAATTCGGCGTCGATCCGGGACGTCATCGCGTTCCCGAAGACCGCCGCTGGGACCGACTTGCTCTTCAAAAGCCCGTCTCCGTCCACCGCGGATGTCCTCGCGCAGTATGGATTGAGTCCGAAAGGTTCATCATAGATGTACCACGCTACCCTTAGACGTATACTACCGTTTGACTATGCTCCACATAATCATGTTTCTGCGCGAGCTAATGGAGAGCACACAACACAGCACTTATCAGTAAATTATACTGGACATGTACATACGAACGTGAAGACATGGATATCGGGATGTGGTGATCAACGTAAGTACATAGCGGTAAGTGAGAGTCCGTAGCGTAAGCAAGCGTGTCAACCGCACATCGACTTCGAAGAGGTTCGACGGATCGGGGCTAAAGACGAAGCTCGAAGCTGGGAGTGGAAGATGGATACGGGGGTGGGGGAAAGACGTTGCAGAGGTATCGCAGGCATGCACTGTGTGCAACTTGATCATGCGGAGAGATGAGGGGTCGGATCGTACCTCATGAGGAAGGCACGGGTGAAGGGATAGCCGTGTCGTCCGAGTGCGGGCTCCGGCTACGCTCGGGGGACTCGAAGGACGGCATCCCTGGGGACTGGGTGCGCACTCGGAGTGTGTTACGTGGAGTAGTGTCCTCACCGCCTACGCTCTCCATGCCCCCATCCGGTCCGCCGAAAGTATCTGGGAGCTTGCTCGCCCACACGGCGGCGTCGGACTGGCCATAGTCGGGGGACTTGCCGCTTGAGGACGAGAGGCTTACGCCAGAATCTGTGGAGAGGGTTCTTGCGTGGCCTTCTTCGCCGTCGACTGCGGTGCCGTTTGGTCGTGGGGTGCGGGATGCGCCACCGGACACGTCCTCGTCAAGAACGGAGAGGACGCTGCGGAGTTTGGATTCCGACTTGCGGGAGTGGTGGGAGTAGGATGCGGAGGGGTGGGAGTGTCGCTTGGTGGGACCTGCGAGTCGTATAGCTGGAGGCGAAGCGGAGCGCACCGGAGATGTAGTGCCAGACGCAGTGCCTGTGCTTGCTGGTGGTGAATTCGACGGCACATCGGCCCAAGCCGCAGCGGTATCAGGGAAGAAGCCCCCTGTGCTCGACCAGGAGTTCTTGCTTGAGGGAAGCCCATCACTGCTTTCAAGTTCGGGGGTAGACGCGGACAAGGGACTCGGGGCTGTTGAAGCGTTGTTGGCGATGACAGACAAGGGAGGGAGGATGGTGAAGATCTGGTCCTCCGCGGGAGGCGGACCGTAGGAATCGAAGGGGTCGGGTATCGTTTGCAGCATTGGCTCTATCACAGGATCAGAGCTAGAGAAGCACCGGCGTTAGAAGTCAAACGGGTGGAAAAGAACACTAGAAGCATACGCTTTAGAGGTAAGCCTGTCAAACACATCCATTGTGGATCGCACGACCAGGCAGACTTTCCCTTGTACGAAGTCCCACACCTCCTCTTCGTGCTCAACAATCTCCTGATAATGGCTGGCCTTTAGCTCATCGAGCTCGTCGACTTGTCGCTGCAAGACAACCAATGCTTCGCGGAATGACTGAAGGTCTAGAAGGAAAGTGCCGATACCATGAGTAGTAGGCAGATGGTATCACAGATGAAGACTTACTTCTGCCCTTCTGCTTCATGTTACCCATTTCGGTTTGGCGGATAATTTTGCTCCTCTCCCGCAGAGCTTTCTCGTATCCGTTGGATCGATCCTACATAACGACTTCAGATGAGAAACATGCACAGAGTCAATGACCTCACACTACACTTACCGTGACAACCGTGCGGTAATTCTCCAGGTGTTGCCGGAGCGGTTTCTCGAACTGCTTGTCGAGCGTTTCCGCCTGTATGCCGCAGTTAGCATTACGCCATAGACAACGGGCTAGATGACTCACCATGACATGATAGTGATTGCCCATGAGATGGTGCAGGCCCGCCGCTGCCTGCATCCGGGTCCCAGACTCGTAGGTTGGGCCCTTGAGCCTGGATTCGGCTCAATATAGACATGTGCGGGAAGGTGGTAGAACGGACATACCCCGAGCATATTTCCATCGCATCCGCAAAGCCTGCCGTTGCCCTAGCCATGTTCAGAAGTGCAGCACGGTACGTCGCGCACTTATTCAGAAGCTGGAAGATAAGGTGGTAGTCAAAGCATGTTCGGGAGGGTGAAAATAGCTACGCGACGTACGTCATCGTAGGACTGTAGGCCAGCCTTGAGGTCCGCACGAGTTATAATCTTCTCTGGGCCTTCGGGACCAAAGTTGAGGACGGAAGCGTTCGTCGTCTCGGTAAATGTGGGAGAGGGAGGGCCAGGGGACACATCACGCTTCGAGGAGAGGGTCTTGGTGCGGAGAGAGCGTACGCGGGGCATTGTCGACAACCGGCAGGTCTGACGGGACGACGGAGAGGGTGCCGGCGACGGCGGCGAGTGGAAGAGGGGCGGAGGGGAGGGCGATGGAGGATGGAGATGGTGCAAAGGACGCTCATCTCGGGAAGCATGGTCTCGGCAAGCGCAGTCATCACGTGTCCTTTCTTTCAGCAGACGCTCATATTCGTATCTCTCCCGCTCAACCTTTCCTATTCCGCCTCTAACCTCTCTTCCATAGACGTATGATTCATGTTTCTTTCCATTTCAAACAGGATCGAACTCCTCCAAGCATCTCTCAAGAAATTGAGCAGCACCCTGTACTTTGAACCACCCTCCGTCGGTGCTCCGTTCTTCAACCTTCGCTTCGTTGTTTGAGCCGGTGTACTGAGCGATGACCCCTACGTACTCCTCTTCTCTTCCTCTGAACTCGTTTGTGAACTCGAATCTGATGAAGTTCCATCCCCGCGGTATTGCGCCGTCTATCCGCACCGCATCGTTGAAAACGTCGTATTCTATACGACTGAAGTCGAAGCCCATCCCTAGTCCCAAAGCCTTCGTGTATGCCTCCTTCAAGGTCCAGATGAGGTAGAAGCGCCGCAGTTGTTCCCGTGACGACAACGGCGATGAGGGCGCCTTTGGAAGAAGAATGAGTCGTTCTCGGCTCGTCAGCTTGGAGACAACGGTAAGCAACGAATCATTATGACACGACAAAGTTCCCTCACTTGCTCACTGAATATCTCGACGAAACCAGAGAAGTTGTCACGCTTGTCTAGGTGCAAGCGCATCACATCCAGGCCGACTCGGTAAGCAGGAGGGTCTGGATAGAGGTCATCCCCGCTGCTGAGTGCCATCCCAACGACCCCGTTGTCGTGAGTGATGTTGTAGCCGACAGGTGGATTTAAAGGCGTCGTCTGCGGGGAAGGAGTCAGAAAACGGGCCCGAGCGTGTCGAAACTGGGACACACAATATATGGCTTCCCAGCCTGTGTCCTCGAAAATATCATATCCGCCAGTGCAATTCCCTTTTCTCTTAACATCCTTCGCGGCAGCAATCGACCAATGAGTCCACCTAAGCCAATGTCGGCTAGTGGTTACCCAAGAGTGGAAGATACTCACGGACACTATCCACTCGATGGTAGTACTTCTGTAAATGGATTTTGGATTCATCGTCGACAAGTGCAAGAGCCTTGTTGTATAGCTGTAATGGTTCATGAAGTGGTGCTCCTCATGACTCTGGCGCCCGTGGGTTCCCGTGCTTACCTCCTCAAGATCGCCAACCACAGAGGTGTCTAATGTGACAATACGTACTTCCATAGCTTTCTGGTTTGAGTGAGGTCTCGAGGTCGTCGATCGAGTCTGAAGGTAGCAGAAAAGCGCTTGGCAAGGGTGCGAGATCGAGATCAAGGCCCGCTCAAACCACACACGCCTCGGGCCGAGGATGGCCGCTTATCGCAGCCTGACAGAGGATGCTCACTCTGCGCTAGGTTGCCACGATCGAGCCTCTCCAATGCGGACATATACGCAGGTCGTTCAACTTGGCTGTTATCCTTCTCCAGGGCCACCGCACATACACACACCGATGTTTTCTGCAACCGACACTTCGACACGCCAATTCGTATCCCTGGGGATGTTTATCGTGGATGAGTTCGAGTTCAGGGACGCAGAAGGTAATCTCACAGGGAAGACATTGCCTGGACAGGTAGGTTCCCAAGCGTCCCATCCCAGCATTCAGCTGAGTTTCGATCGTAGATTGGAGGAGGAGGAACGTACGCTGCCATAGGGGCGCGGATCTGGTAGTTCCGTTAGGAGTCAAATGCTAATCCGTCCTTACTTTGCAATTGGATTCGCAGGCTACCACCTCAGGCTGTGGGCATGATTATCGACAGGGGATACGACTTCCCGCCGCATATTCAGGCAGAATTAGATCTTTACGGGCCAGACATGTGGCTTTTCCGCGACGATCCCGGTCGTGGGACGACGAGGGCCCTGAACTCCTACAAAGGCGAATTCAGAGAGTACGTGTTCGCATCGTGTCGGAGACACAATCTGATCCTATTGCAGTTTCGAATACCTGACGCCACGAGTGCGCATAACGCCGAACGACCTGGCCAATACTAAACTCGCGCGCCCGCGAGTCCTGCACTTCATCTGCTCGCCCACTCGGGCAAGCGTCATCCTCAACGAGGTCAAAGCGCAGGAAGCATGGCACCCGACCACCGTCTATGAGCCCATACCTGTGAGTTCCGGAAGCCCCCACTGTTGGACGGAGCGTACTGACAAGAGCTGTCAGTACCGCTGCGTCCCTGAACAGCTCCCCGCTCTCCAACAATGCCTGCCCGACGTCTCCATTCTCAGGTGAAGACCTCTGCCCTGGTGGCTCGCGCGCGTGTATCGCTCAACTTTGATCCCGCAGTCCGAACGCGGAAGAAGCCATGGCACTGCTTGGTATGCCAACGGTCGAGCCTACCAAGGAACTCGTCGAAGAGGCATGTGGCCGGTTCCTGGACATGGGAATCGGCCCCCGCGGCGCCGGGTCGGTGATCATCCGCTGTGCGCACATGGGGGCGTGCATTGGGACGCAGGACGCACCATACACCTGGATTCCTGCCTTCTGGACGCCGAATGACGCGCACAAAGTGGTCGATGTCACCGGTGAGCAGCTTATGCTGCGTCTTTCCAGAAGTGTAGGGCTGACGAGCACCCCAAGGCGGTGGCAACAGTTTCCTTGGGGGTCTGGGAGCCGGTCTCGTTTTGAGCGATGGCGACGTCAAGGAAGGTAAGTTGATCAGACTGCATATTGCCACGCACAACCTCGCAGCAGCTGATGCATATTCTCAGCGGTCCTGTATGCGATGGTATCAGCATCGTACATCATCGAGCAAGAGGGCCTACCCCGCTACACACAGGTCGAGGATGAGGGTGTTGTGGTCGAGAAGTGGAACGACGGATCACCACAGCAGAGATTGCAAGAATTACAGAAACGTCTAGTGGAGGAAGATACAAAGTGAATAAATCAGGGTCAAATTACAAGAGAAAACATGGCGGGGGAGAGAAGATAGCAGTGATGCACGTAGAACGATGAGCACACGTCATGCATGCACGCAGTGATGATACAGAGGGATGTGTCCATCATGAAGCCACAATGCAGGGGCGTGTCCGCGAAGGCAGGGATGTAGGCGGACCGGGATCCAGCCAACGCAACAGGGGAAAGAATTCATTGCTGCGCGGTGCGGAACTTCTCGCGACTCTGTGCGAATAGAGCCTCTTGCTGGGCCAACAGCTCCTCCTCTGTCAACCCCGACTGCTCGAGCTTGGAGACCTTCCTCTCCCGGTCCTGCGAACGGCCTTAGTTGGGGCTTACAACGAGAACGGCGACCACGCACCTTCTGTTGCTGCTTGTGGTCTTTTAGCACGCTCTCCACTTCTGACTGGAATTGCTCGAAACCCAGTCGCTGGGCATAAATCAATTGGCACGCGTACTCTCATAAAGGGTCCACGACGCGACGCACCTTGAGTGCGGAGATAATGTGCTCCGGCGCGATCGTCTTCTTCGACTCCTGCTCGCATATCTCGTTCGCTTCAGACGAAATCAGGTGGATGAACTCTGTTGCCGAACAAGGACGCGTCAGGGGACGTGAGACGTGCGAGATCGCAGCGGCAGCACTTCACCTACACAACACTCAATGACGAGGTCCCGCGTGTCCTTCGCGCAGGTAATCTCGGGTGGCAGGAGCTCTGCGCGCGCGATGAGCTCGGGGCGCGGGGCGCCGCGGGGCGAGACACGCACCCTGGATCATTTTGGTGACGGTGGCCTTGGGGAGGGAGAGGTCCTCATCCGAGGGCATGCCCCCGGCCTCATGGTCGGACATGGCTGGGGAACGAGAGGAGGCTTCGCAGGGGTCGGGCGCGGGCGCGAGCGCGGCAGTGGGTGGGACGGGCGACGGGCGCGGGGGGCTCAGGCGGCGGAGGCGGGGTGGCGGGGGCGACGGAGCGCTGCAGGGCCAGGGCACGTTTATATCCGCGCGGGTGAGCCAGACTTGCCCTCGGAAACGGACGCCGGGCGCGCTCGCCTCTGCCCGCGATCATTTGCGGGGCGCCTGCTGCCGCACGTGTTCGCTCGCCTCGACCCGCGTCCTCGCTTCACGCCCGCTCGTGCCTCCCTCTCATCCCTCCTCGTCCCCGCCCTCCGCCGCCGGCCATGTCTGCGGTGCGTCTGCCCCTTGCCGACGAGCGCGAGATGCGAAGCTCATCACCCCCTCCCCACAGGTCAACCCCGTCAACCCCAAGCCATTTATGCAGGAGCTCACGGGCAAGCCCGTCTATGTCCGTCTCAAGTGGGGTCTCGAGTACAAGGGCTTCTTGGTCAGCACCGACGGGTACATGAACCTTCAGGTACGTCGTTACCGCTTCTTCTACGTGCACCCCGCTCATATGCCTCGCTAGCTCGCCAACACTGAGGAGTTCCAGGACGGAAAGTCAAATGGCGCGCTTGGGGAAGTATTCATCAGGTGAGTTTGCTCATCTCCCATAAAAACTTTTTCCTGGCCTGACACTCTGACGAAGGTGTAACAACGTGCTGTATATTATAAGTGTTTCTCTTTGGCCGCGAGTGCTCTTTCAACTCATATGGTTGTGGGTTTTACAGAGAGGCAACAGACTAACGTCCAGTGCTCGTGTAATCGATGGATCCAGTCGCAAGCTCCGCTCGCTATCACCCTTCTTGACAAGTCGTCCGTGTACAATACTTCTTCCTGCCTCGTCGGCCCATCATGTACGTCTTCTGGTCGCAATGAATGGCTGCTATCGTCAAATCCAGCATGCTGCCTCGTGTGGCAAATAAGATATGTCCGATATAAGAACGCGAGTACGCTGGGGTTGGCCGGCTTGACAAAGCGCATAACGGGTGGACGGGAGGAAAAAGTCTAGGTGAACAACCGGTCAGGACGTCTACACTACTCCTCATTCTTGTGCGTGATGGGCATATTAAGACCGACACGGTTGGCAGTTTTCTTCACCCTATCTTCAACTGACAGGCCGAGCAAGGGGTTGTATCGCTCCAATAGCATCTGCGTATGTCACGGATCAGCTGAATGCGCTGCACGATCCAGGAAGGCGCGTACCTTGTGCATCTGTTGCGATTTCAAGAAGGTGGTGACATTGCGCATGTCACGCTGAAACTTCGCGTCATCCTGCGCTGGCTGCTTTTCCTCGAAGACTGTCCGCAAATGCTGGGAGACAACTTTGGGGCGCGTTGCTCGTGGATAGATCGCCTGGCGAGGACAGTGACGCAAGTGAGTAGACGAGGGATGCATACGTGGCACACAAAACGTACCGCGCGGCTTACTTCCCTAACGATGCTCCGGTAAGCGTGCAATCTTTGTGTCACCATCACGCAGGCTAACCTATGTGGTAGTGAAAGTGAAAACACAGAGCGCTCGGCTTCGCTCAAAGGCCTGGCGTCGCGTACACGGCGCTTAATGCATTATAAACAGGTCACGTGAATACCTATGTCTTGGTATTGTGCACCCAAAATGACACGCTTGGGCACCCACCTCATTGTCCCTCCGCATCCACAGCCGATCGACGCGCCTCGTGGTACGCTCTTATCACTGCTCTTGCCATTGTGGTACGCTTCAATTTGTCACCAAAGCCGCTTCCCCTTTTGAACTCAACCAGTGCCCAAGGTATTTAACGATGTCCGGCGTCCTCCCCACCCCCATCAACGCGTCCGTCACTCAAGCACTTGACCACCACTCTGCCCGCGCAAGAGGACCACTAGCCTCAACGATTCCCATCTCTCTACCCGCAAAATATCCCAACCTTCTGCATCTTTCCCGCAATGCGCTTTCGATGCCCGTCGAGCTCCGATTCCTCTCTCAGGAGGACTCCTAGTGTTCAGGAAATGAATGTGAGCAATCTCTCTCGGAAATCGTTGCCACTCGGGTCGGGTCGGCTTTTCCCACACATTTGAATGGTCTGACCCCCCACCCCCCTCCCCCTTCACCAGTCTGTGCCGGAGGTAGTCCCTCCTCGCAAGAAGTATGCCAGCGCTGCCGCGAGGGCGGCTAGGAACCCTTCGAAGCAGAACAAGGCTGCAAAGAAGGAGGAAACGCGCACGAATATGGTCGCTGCTATTCAGTCCAACATTCATCAGTTCTCGGTGGTCTGGATTGGCAATGTCAGTGCATCGGTAGCGGTGCATTCGGTTTTCTGACCACCCGGTAGATCCACTCTGATGTCGAAGAAAGCGACCTCCGGGAGTTTCTCAATGACTGTGGCCCGATTGTGCAGATCGTGATGCGCACTGCGCGTGGCGTGGCCGTGCCCACGAAGCACCTCCGGGGCACATTTTTCTCCGACAAACCCGAGGGCATCCACTACGCCAACGTCGTTTTCCAAAGCCCCAGGTCTGTCCTCTCGGCTCTCAAGAAGAATGACCAAGTACTGTGCGGCCGAAACCTCATCGTAAGTGTTAGTCATCGTAGTGGTCGGAGTGTCACTTACCACCGTCCATTAGATTTCGGTAACGTTCAACGATATGCCCGATGCTCTCACCATCGCGGAAGACATGGTTAATCCCCCCATCGATAGACGGACAAGGTTCCAGAAGGGCATCGGGTTCGCGAAGTATGTGTCTGTTTTGGTCTCTCGGTGCAACTGCTTGCTGATTTTGCTGGGGCCACGTAGGCGCCTGACAATCGAGAGAACCGAACGAGTTGTGAATCTGGTTCGCAGTCCTGCACCCACAGGTACCAAGCGTACCCTCACGCGGTCGTATGCACGCCCCACGCTGGCTGCAATGGACAGGAGTATGGCGAACCTGGGGCGGGCGTAGTTCCAACGCGCCACTCAAGGACTCAACAACGGCGGACTCACAGTGCATAAGTAGTTCCCTCGGGCACTTAAGGTGACCAGCACTGCCGTTGGCGATCAGACCAGGCACAGGCCACTGCGGGCGGGACGCTCGCCCTATCCGGAATTGTTTGAATGTTTAGATTCCCTTGACCGCCACCAGCGCCTCTACGGGCGTTTCCACTCGTTTCCCCTCCGTTATTTTCCTTCGCCTCGAATGGCCTGCAGCACGCTGCGGCCGACCACGCTCGTTGTTAGGATCCCATATGTGTAGCATTTCCTCGACCTCTGTAGTACTCAGTATGATCAATGCCACGTTGTATGTCTTCCAGAAACAGGAATCAGGTTGTTTGATGTTTGGTAAGCAGGCATCAAACCCAGCCAGAGCCGACGCTGTAGACGACCTCCGAGCGCGGCCTCACAGCTCTCGTCCCCACCACCAGCTCGCCCTCGAGCTGTCCTGTCTTTCGCTCGCTCTCGTCTCTTTCATTCGCATGGCATTCTCTTGTTAGTTGGACCCCAGGCGTCACAGGTCCGTCTCCCCTCTTGCCGCCGTCCTGCAGTGGCTCATCGCCTCGGCAGTGTCGTCGTGCTCTCCCCTCCCCTCTGTAATTCTGTACCCGTCCCATGGATCCTCCCTCTCGGAGTCCGGCGTTAAACCCTGCTTCCACGCCGTTCTTTCCTGGTGCTATGCGCCTCAGCGAGGATGACGCCCTCGGCCCTCTCGGTGGCTACAGACAGTCCATATCTCGCGACCAGCAGTACAGCACCTCCTCGTCCTTTTCCCTGTCACCCTCGGACTACCTCACTCGCGCACCTCTCCCAGCCCCCACACGACGATCGGCGCATTGAAAGCGGCCTGAAGATACCCTCCCCTGGCGAGCTTGCACGCCGCTCTCCGAATCTCCGCCAGTCGGACATGGACAGGCCAACCCTCGTCCACCACGATTCGGCACGCGAGCTCAACATATCCCCGAGGATGGACGTGCCCGTCGACGGTGATGAGACCGACACTCCCGGACCGACATCTGTCCCGATCCCCATGAAAGGCATGAACGGCCAGCTCTCCGCGCCATCTCTCTACACCAACACGAACCTCCGCAGCCGGGAGAGGCTGGGCACGCCACCAGTGATGCAGGAGTCCACCAGCGGACGGTCGGCATTCGTTCACCCCCCGTTCGTGTCCTCTTCACCTGCGTCCTCTTTGGACTCCGGCAGCCACTTCGCCCCCAGCCTCGAGTTCTCAGTCTCGTCTAGCAGCTTTGACTCGCAGCTCAAGTCCTCTCCGCTGATGGTTGAGGTCCTCGAGCGTCTGATGCGTCTCGAGGCTGCCCACCGGGAGATCTCGCGGGATCTTGGAGATGTGAACCGCAAGGTGGACATCCTTGTCGAGCGCGCTCTGCATCCCATGAGCAATGGGTCTGGCATGAACGCCCCGGTTGAGTTCAAGGATCCCTTCGCACCGTCGTCGACACCAAGTGCCAGCTTCTCCGCCCCCGGAATCAATGGTCCGCGTGGCTCCATCGCGAACATCGCCCCAAACCAGAACCCCCCAGTGGACGACATCACGACGATCTCCAGCCGGCTCAACACGCTGACAACTTCAGTGGGTCAGCTCCTCGCGCTCCAGACGCAGCAAATCCAGGTGAACAACGCCCAGATGCTCGGGGGTGGCATGCCTCCCAACGAGCTCGTTCCTGGACTCCCTCCAATGATGAATCCCACGTTGCTTGGCCACGGCATGCCTGGGCAGTCCAACACGAGGCACAATCCCCGTGCCTCCAACCTGCCTATGCGTACGTGGTCCACGGGTAACCTGGAGATCCCGATGCGTACCACGGAGTCACCTGCGTCAATGGCCAGACAGGACTCCCTCTATCGCGACAAGAGGCGGTCGGTTAGCGGCATGATGCGTCGTGAATCTGTCGGGGTGAGTTCACGTTGACTGCGGCTGGATTGATTCCCATCACTCATGTACCCACGTTATAGGGTGAGAGTCTCTCCGGAGGGTCCCGCGACGGTGGCCCAATGATTACCAAATGGGAACAGCTCAACCTCGCGCCGGAGTTATTGCGTTCCCTTAGCACGTTTGGGTGAGTGCGCCGTATGTGGGGTAGCGCGCCGCCTGACGCTAACTCGTACCCACTAGCGTTGGCCCCCCGAACAAAATTCAACAGCGGGCACTGCCTTTCCTCTTGCGTGGGTCGGACATCATCGCTCAGGCGCCGCCAACCCAGGAACGCATCGCGGCCTATGTGATTCCAGCCATTCATATCGCTGTGACGCATGGGTCGAACCGCGGTGGCCCTCGGGGGCCTTTCGTGGTGATGATTTCCACCACAGTCGATCAGGCTACTCAGGCCCAACGCATGATCAGGGACCTTGGTGGCCCTATCGGTATCAAGTCTGCACTTGGTGTTGGTTCAACTTTGGGCGGTGGTGACCTCACTCAAGAGCTCCGTCTTCTCCAGCAGAATGTGCCTCACATCATCTGTGGTACCCCTCAAAAGCTTCATGCCCTATTCACGGCCCCAGGGGGACTTTCTGGCGCGGACGTCAGGTTCTTGGTGCTCGACGAAGTCGACCAGCTCATTGCTAGGAATCTGCATGAGTTCGTCTTCAACATTATCAAGTTGCTTCCCCCGCCCCGCTCTCGTGCCCTCCCTAACAGCAACACACCCGGCTCGACGCCCCAGATGCCGTTCCAGAACTTCGAGGCCAACAGCAGCTCATCGTCCCTCCTCACTCCATCGCAGAGTCTCACGCGTCGTCTCTCGAACATCGGCAACTCCCCGCCTCTGGACGGGGGTATGAATGGCGCTAACTCGGCGATCGAGCGTCAAACGGCCCTCTTCTCGAACACGGTTCCGCAAGACGTCCTCAACCTCGCCTCCGCGATACAGCTCCGGGAGCCCGTCCGCGTGCTCGTGCGCCGCGACGGTAACGTGACGCACGCGGACACCAGCCAGGGTGCTCGCGGACTGCGCCAGTTCTATCTGTACCTCGCCTTCACCGCCAGCGGCCGCTCCGACGCGCCGCTCCCTCAAGCTGGGCTTGGAACGATCGGCTCGGGCCGAGGTGCTATGAGCGCGGAAACGGCGCAGGCGCGCGAGTGGAAGCTCGATGCGCTCGCTGATTTGTTCGACGATCTGGACCTTCCGCAGGCCATTATCCACGTGGGTGGCATGGCTGCTCTGGATACGGTGGTGTACAAGCTGTCGAGCCGTGGACTGGACGCTGTTCCTTTGGTGAGCTTTCAGGTCGTTTCTCCCTCGTGCACCAGACTGACCTTCTTCCTTCGTAGCACGGTGACATGAATGCTGGCGCGAAGCTCGCTGCTCTGAACAAGTTCAGGGCTACTCCTGGAATTATGCGCCCGACGGCCACGAAAGTCCTCGTCGTTTACGATGTTCAAGTCAAGACGCCCGAAGTCTCGCAGATCCCTCTCGTCATCAACTACGGTAAGACGGTCGTCTCCTATCGGCCTTGACATGCTGACGCCGCGCACCCAATAGATTTGCCCAAGGCTGTTGAAGAATACGCGCACCGGTAAGAACCTGTCCCTTTCCGTGCCCCCGCAGAGCGCTGAAAGTAGCTCTTTTAGTGTCGCCCCGGCGATTGCTCCGACTTACTCTCGTGCTGGTGTCGTCGTCAACTTTGTTACTGCGACCGGTGGTGACGTTGAAATGCTCCGCTCCATAGAATGTTTCTACAAGATTAAATGTGTATGTGTCCATCCTTGGCTGTATCACCGAACGTCCATCGCTGACGTACCTCTCTTCCACAGCCTGAAGTTCCCATGAGCCTGCGCGATATTGTTTGATTTCACGTATCCCATGTGTGTATCCCTATAACGCCCGCTTTCTCGATCTCCTAGCTGTCCGCCGATTCGTGCTGCCGTATATCCTATTTAAGTCAGCTGCATAGCGCATTCTACTGTGTTATACCCTTCCTACATCTATCCCCGATTGTCTCCTTACTAGCCACCAGCTCTTGGGTCTAATCCCGCTTGCGCCCATACACTGTATACTGCATAGCTTTCCTCACTCGTCGCCGTAGCCTCTCCTACCTAACTACATGTCGCATACGCGTTACTCCGCCGCGATATGAACTGTCAATAGCTTCAATGTACCATCTTCCCCACAACTGGCCAGCGAGATCCCGTGTCCGTCTCGCTGCGCCTCTGCTGGTCGCCACGCTAGACAGTGGACGTGGTCAATGTGTGCCAGCCTATCGGAAGGCTGTCAAAGACGATCGACACTTTGAGTACGAGAGTGCGCACCTGTTCCCAATGGTCAATGCCTTTTTCCACTGAGCAGGTTTGTCTCGTGGAGATGTGTATATCTGGATCTCGCCAGATTCGAGGCCGATCGCCAACGTCCGTCTGTGAATGTCCTCAGCGAGTGCAAATCTTCACAGAGGCAGAGGTAAGTAACGCGTACCTTGTAGTCTCCTGGTCCCCCGGCGCCGGTGCGAACGCGACTGCGGTCGCCGCCGCGTCCACCGCGATCGTCGCTACCGCCGTCCACTTATGATCACCCGCTTCAACCTGTCGCCACACCTTGACGGTCTTGTCGCGCGACGCTGTCGCGAACGCGTCCCCCTCCGGCGCCCACGCGCAGTCCCAGACGATCCGCCCGTGTGCGCGCTCCGCAGCGACGGGTACGTACCCTTCCCCCAGCTCGCCGTCATCGCGAGCGAAGAGCCTCCACGTGCGGTCGCGCGAGACGGTGAGTACGAGCGCGTCGTCGGGGCTGAACGCGACGCGCGTAACGGTCAGCGAGTGCCCTGCAAGCGGCGCGCCGACGGGCCGCCAGGTGCGTGCATCGTACGCGCGCACGACGGCATGCTCGGGCGCAGTTGCGCGGCAGGCGGTCGCGACGAGCGAGCGCGCGGTCGAGACGGCGAGCGTAATCGACTGCCGTTGAATGAGTGCAGTGAGTAGGAGGGGCTTGAGGGAAGGGGGCGTATCAGCACACCTCATAGCCGTGTCCGAAGACCTTCTCGGTCTCGGGCCAGAGCGTTGCTGCGGCAAGCTCGCCTTCAAATGGCCGTCGGCGCGTCCGTGCGGGGTCGCCCTCGGGGTGCACCTCTGCCACCGCACTCACTAATTGTCAATACGTCAGGCTATCAGAAACACCTCACAAGCAGAATAAGAGAGTGCACGTACTGTCCGTCAGCGCCTTGTTCGACAGTCCGAGGGGAGGAAGTGCCGCCGCGCGGGGCCGCTCGCCTTCCGCCCCGAAGTCGGCGACACCGAGGTTGCGCGCAGCGTCGACGAACTCTCGCGGGGCCTCGAAGACGCGCGCGACCTTCTCGTCCGCAACGCTTACCAGCTCGAGCGGACCCACGAACGCCGCGCCGACGAGGTCGTACCCGTGCACCTGCGGCCGTCCAAGCTCGTGCCACGCCCTCTCGCTACCGTTTGCTTCCTCTTCCTCGTCCCTGTTCGAGATTTCTCGTGTGCGGACGGACGCATGGACGCGCGTCGTCTGGTCCACGCCCGAGGACACGAGCAGCTCCCCACCTGGGCTCCACGCGACGCTCCGCACAGCACCTCGGTGGCCCGTGAGCGCGGCGACCTCCTCCCACTCCTCCAGGGCGACCACCGCCCCGGTTGCGGCGCTGCTCCCAGGCCCGCTCCCGCTTTCGTTCTCCCCCCCTATTTCAACGGCAGTCGAAGGACTAGAGGCGCGTGCCCACCGCCGCCAGCCGCCATTCCACCCCACGCGAGCGCGGTGCGGCCCCGTGCGGCCCAGAGCCCGCCGACGAAGCCGCCGAGCCGCTGTCCGCCGACGTCGCCGAACCGCTGGCGGTTGATCCAGAGCGTCGCGGCGCCATCGTCGCCGGCGAGCACCGTCGAGGGAGACCACAGGATGAGGGAGGAGTCGGTCGAGGTCGAGAGCAACGTCGGGGAGGTGGATGCGCCTTGCACGGGGCGCCAGGCGAGCGAGGTCACGCCGGCTTCGTGCCCGACGAGGAGCGCGTCAAAGGTGACGGAGAAGAGCTGTGGGCTGAAGGAAGGGGGTTGGATGAGGGTGGAGACTACTGAGCATGCGGAACGGATACACACACCTTTCTGATGAGGACTTGACAGTCAGAACGTGCCGTTTGAGAGATATCTGCCGGCCTCCGTCGTCGGCGTCCTGCAGGTCTACAAGCGAGGCTTCGAACGCATCGAGCAGTTCGTCCGTTGCATCCCCGCCAGTGTCTGTCTGGAGCGCCGACGCACCCAGCGCCCCACGAGCAAACGCCTCAATGTTCCACAGGCGGATAGTGCTGTCCTGCGAGCCAGATGCGAGGACGAGCGGGTTGCCCTCACTCTCGGGCGGCTTGAATGCGAGGCATTTTACCCAGTCTTCGTGACCCGGTAGGACCGCGGCCGGTACGAACTGCACCTACACGAGCGTATGATCAGACAGTTCTCCTTTAATTGAATAAAGAAACCAACACACATTATCGTCCGCACGCGTATAAAGATGCACATTCCGGTCAGTGCACCCGACCGCGAGGAGCGCGCCTGTGTGCATCCAGGAGTGAGTAGGGGCACTGCGCTTCGCAGCCCGGATCGTGCCTGAGGCTCACACTGTGTGCCGGGAAGGCTGCCCAGCGCGACAGAAAGCGGAAAGCCCTTCCTCATCCGGATAGTCTGTGCCTCGCGGGGTGCGCCTTGTTTGTCTGCTGCGTCCGGCATGGTCCACAGTTTGACGGACCCGTCCGACGAGCCGGTCGCGGCGCATCCAGCGCCGACCGCGAGCGTCGCCACGCCGCTTGTGTGTGCCTGTACGAATACGCTTTTTAGTGTTGCGTCTGCCTGGAGCCGGAATTAGTTAGGGTGTGAGCGAGTGGTTAAGCAGAATGTGAGGACGCGCCTCCTTCAGTTGGGTAGTGGAGAAGCCGTGCCACAGCCGCAGCACACCCTTGTCGTCTGCACTGACGATAAGCGCATCGCTCGCGAACTTGATGCACGTCACGAGGCCGTCGTGGCCGGGCAGGGTGTCGTGTACGCCGTGGTCGCGTGGGTCCTGCGGAAGAAAAAAGAGACAGAAAAGTGGGTCAGCGAGTCAAGGCAGGAACATTATCATTGCTTACGGAGGAGTTCCAAAGAGATATAAATCTGCCAGAGCCTAATGCTACGAGACCAGCACTGGAGATGTCGGCGGCCTGGGCAAATCTGTTCGCGGAAGTGGAAACATAGATGAGCTCCGCGTAGGACATCTCGAGAAAATATCAGGTGGCTATATGGTTTTTTTGTCTCCAGTGCCTTTTTAAATGCGACTGTTTTGTTTTGGCGTCAAGCCGGGAGATTGGCTTGAGGTGCGGTGGGGGCAGGAGGCAAGTTGCGATGATTCAATTTGATCGAGATCGTGCAACAAGATAGACGCTCGGCGTTTCGTACGCCGCCTCACTTGCGCTCACGCTGGCTACATGGTTTCCCTAGAAACCCTAGGAAACAGCCTGAAATCGTAATACCGGGGAAAGAAGCCGTCTGGAACTGTTCAAAAAGTTGCGTACGGTTTCGTATGGTTGGGGTAGGTTTCAAGCAGTTTCGTGCGGTTTGGAAGGGTAAGACACTGAATTGCTATATATGGCACACTCCACAACATATGACTGCTCCGCGCGTCCGTACCTCCCCCTCGTCCGGGGCCAGTGTCCGCTCGGCTGCCTGAGTGCCCACGTCCGCCCCACAGCGCGTGCGCAACTGTGAGCCTCCTCTGGTGGCACGCTGTCCCCTCCGGTGCGAGACGTTTGCGTTAGTGTATCTAGTAGCTGCAGCTCGAGCCCGACTATCTGAGGACGTCGGCACCGTCGTCAAGAAGTGCTGTGCAAGGACGCACCCAGCGCTAGCCTCGCCCGCTCACGAGGGCTTCCACTCGGCCAGCCAACCCGCGATGGACGCAAGCCCGGCCTTCTGGACGCTGATCACGGTCGCGTCCGCGGCGCCGTTGGCGGTGGAGAGGTCGGAGCAGTGGAAGCCGTCCGAGATCGCGATCGGCTGGCCGGGCGTGCTCTCGAAGTGCGTGCCCTCGGCGGACTTGCCACGGGTCACCTGCGTGCGCGCGGGCGGGAGGGGAGGGGGGTCAGCCACGTGCGAAATGGGGCGCAGGGAACGGGGGAGACGCACGGTGACCGTTGGCGAAGAAGAGGTTCTGGGTGGTCGTGAACCAGCCGTCATACGCCTTGTTCGTCGCGTCGACGTTGGGCACGGGTAGGTCGCCGAGGCTCTTGAACTGATCGGGGAACATGTACGTGCACTGGCGCTCGTCGTACAGCGGCTGGATGAGGCGAGAGGCGAGCGTGGGCGTGCCCTTCGGCGCGCCTTCCGCGAGGAGACCGACTTCGTTGCAGACGATCCAAAACCAGGACCGGCCGGCGTTGTCGATCGAGGTGTCGGTCCAGTACTCCTGCGTAGGGTCGTAAGAGCCGAGGCAGGAACTGAGCGAGGACGTGTGTTAGGGGTGCGTGAATCGACCGTGGGACACAAATGCTCATACGACGTCCGAGTCACCGCAGACTAGACAAAATAGGTCATGAGCGCGGGGAGAAAGCGACAGAGCAGAGAAGACGTACGCTTCAAGTAGTACTCATTCACCCAGAACGAGCTCCAAGCCTTGAGCGCGTTGCTGAGGCCCCAGCCCTTGGCACTCGCGCTCTTGCTTGACTTCGAGCGGGTCGCAAAACTGAAAGAAAGTTCCGTAGCCGGCGGTGGGAGAGAGACTGCCAATCCCAGAGGTTGTTGCGGACTGTCCTCGCGTTCAACTATGGGTGGGCAGGGCAAACGCTCATTGTGAAAGGTTACGTACGGGAACCAGCAGCATCGTCGAGGTGGGGCGCGAGCGCCGTCATGTTGAACATGGCGAGGAGGGTATTGATCGACTCTTGGTTCTTGGAAGTGAAGACGCTGTCGATGTGGGCAATAACCGCCTGCACGTCGGCCGAGCAGTTCGTCGCCATGCCCTCCCGGATGGGCGTGAAATAGCCATAGAAGTCACTAGACTTCAGGCGTCAGCACACTTGCAGCCCCAGCGCCGTGAGAGACGCCAACGCGCGTAATGCTCTCCGAGACAGCAGAAGACGCGTAGCCCGCCTGGAAGAGGCCGGGTTTGCTGCGAAGCGGCGCATGGATTCAGTCCGGTCTCCGCCCGAATCTCCGAGGATTCCACTCACTTGGTCATCATGAAGCTCGTGAGCGCACCTGAGTAGCTGGCGCCAATACGGACCCAGGGAGCCTGGCCGGGCTTGACGTTCGCGCCGTCCGGCTGGGGGAGGACGACATTTTTGGCGAAGTAATCGAGGTCGTCAATCGCCTGTTGGATCGTGTGCACCTGGAGGCTCTTCACCGAGAGGTCGGGGTACGGGTTCGAGAGCCCGTAGAAACGGTGCTCGAGCACGATCGCGGCGCCGCTCTGAGCCTGCGCGATCTGGTCGTTGAGGGTGTTGTTGGTGAGGTAGCCGGTGTACGCTGCAACGCGAGGATGTGGTGGTCAGTACGGCGGGGGTGGGGAGGAGGCGGCGCGGCGCTCTGCGCCAGCCGTGCGGTAAAAGGAGAGGCGGGAGAAGCAAAGACTCACGAGCCGCGTTCGCTTCGCCGGGGGTGAAGAGCACGATGGGCCACCTGCGACACATCACATGCGACTCAGCGCTCGTCGTCGAGGCGCCGACGATAATGACGAAGACGCACCCGTCTCGTAGAGCTCGTACGTGTGCCAGTAGCGCTGCTGGAACGTGCCCAGGCTCGGGTTGTTGTGGTCGATGAGCTGGTCGAAGTAGTACGTCGTGTTGTACGGCGGGAGCGTCGTCCCGTTCCGGCTGGTCACCGGGGCGGAGGCGGCCTCGATTCGACCACGGGCGCGGTCGGGCGCGGGGGCATGTTCGCATGGATGCGGCCGTCGGAGCGTTTCGCGATCTTCGCGGCTGCGCCCTCAAGCGCGGCGGCGACGAGGAGCGCGACAGTCGCGAGCTTATGGAGAGAGAGGAAGACCATGACTGAGGGTCGCGTGCGGGGCGTGCTGCTCGGCGGTGATGGCGTTGGCGGTGGTGCGACCTCGGTGGTGGGCGGCGGAGAGCAACAAGAGGCTTGGAGGGACGTATCGCAATTTTATACCAGGCGGGAAGCGCGGAGGCGGGTGGTGACCTCAGCCGACTTCTGACCTATGTACATCCTGACCTGGCGGTCCCGAGGTATTTTGGTACCGCAGTGGATGCGCCATGTGGAGAGATGCGCCATCCTGGGTCTTGCCAGCTGACTCAACAATATTTACGACTGTGTTTACAATTTGGTGGGCGTGTCAAGTGGGCTGCCTGGGATGTCGTCGAGAGCGATGTCAGTGCAATGCATAACAGAAGGACATGGAAGGTCGTTCCAGCGCCCGCGTCTATCATGTTTGAAAACAACCTACGACCTCGACGAGTAGTAGACAGTATCGGATCGGTAAAGAACGTACATGGAAGGATTCGTTCAGCCAGCAGGTCCGCGCTTCCCTCTGCAGCAGAGACTGGACCGGAGCTGGTACGGGGAGTAGATAGGGTAGTTGCGACAAGGCGTCCAAACGGGGCGAGTCACCACTCACTGCGCGCCGCACAGTTCATGCACAGGCAGAACGATCGAATGCGGGTCAGCGCTGAGCGCCACCTGCGTCCGTGTCGCCAGTTGCCGCGGGCGGGCTGCACTGGGAAGCGCAGGATAAGCCTCGCGCTGACAGCCTGCGTGGTCGGGTCAAGAATAGGCTCCAGCGGCTGCTTCGTCTGCGGTGAACTGGCACCACACAACGTTCGTCCCAACCGGTCTGCTCTGGCACAAGAGAATACATGAGTCGAAATTAATCCGCGGGGGCAATGGATAGGACGGCGTATTGCCCAAAGCTACAGTCAGAGATAAATAGTACACGCAACACACCAGTCTGGCACTTGGCCTCCGACCTTTTGGGCTCTCTAAAACCCCCGGCCCCGTCCTCTGCATACTCTGCGCTTCAGAGCAGATCGGCGCCTTGAAAACGTGCAAAGACTCACCTCCCTCGAGCACGGTACGGCGTATATCCATGCGACCCTCCCCGGAATCCGCCCCTGTACCCGCCCCGGTATCCTCCTCGTCCTCGTCCGCGCGTGTATCCCGGAATGTTCGTCCGTTTTGGCGTGACCTAACGGCCATATCAGCCTCGCCTGCGATCGGTATCCACACCCGCCCCCCACTCACCTTGATCAAACGGCCACGGAAGAGTGAGTTGTCCATCGCAAGTGCTGCGTCCACATGCTCCGGTTCGGCGAACTCGACGTACGCGTACCTACACCGCACCCCTATTATTGCACAGCGCACGGCGAGGAAGTCGCACACATACCCTTTTGGATGCCCCGTGAACTTGTCGCAGAGAATGGTGACCCGATTGATGGTCCCGCATGCCTGGAAGTGCTGCTGAATCTCCTCCGGTGTCGCCGCATAGTCCACCTGTCGAGCCACCGCCCAGTCAGTATCCCTCGGAGTCGCGCAGCGCATATGACGACCACACACGCACGTTGCCCACGTACACGCTCCGCCCGTCCGACGCCGCCTTTTCCTCCTCCGTCTCCATTGGCGTTCCCTCACTACCCGCCGCGCTCTGCTCCGCCTTCTCCGCCGCCGCCTGCAGCTCACGAAGCTTCTTCGCCTCGCGCTCCATCTCTTCCACACGCTGCTTCATGAGCAGGATTTCCTACGCGGTTCAAGGCGTCAGTAAAACGACGCATTGACAAAGGGAAGCGTTGTCGGCGTACGGAGTCCTCCTCCTCGCCATTGTCTAGGATGGCGTCAGTCATTTCATTTGTGGGTGCAGTGGCAGCGACGTCTGCCATGGTGGTGGGGCGGTGGGTGTGAAGAGGGGATGGAATGGATGAAGGAGAAAGCGAAGTTGTGCTGGGCGAGACCAGACTCGGTCTGACGTTACACTCGCCGCGTCTCTCTCAAACTTTCGGGCGCTAAACGTGACGGGGTTTGCATGTCGGAAAAACCAAATCGGCCTCGCGAGGCCTCGCGAGGGATTCCGGACTGATCGGTGTTGCGAGGCCTCGCGAGCCAGGCTAATTAGCTCGCAATGTGATTACCGCCGTGACAGCCCCTTGCAAGAGCCGCGCGCCAGCTTGCAATCAATGGTGTCACGCTCGCGACAGCCAAGCGGAGATCGCAATAGAAGCAGGTCCCATTGCAATTTCCAAGCGGAGATTGAAAAGAGGCAACACGCGATGCAAAAGAAGGGATTACGGACAGTTTTAGCTTCCTTCAATTTCTTCTACCTTCTAGTGGTTCCTTCTATGAGGGATTATTAAGTCTTCACTTCTTATTATTGATGGATGGTATTGTTGATTATTGACTCTTTCTAAACACACTACAATTGGTACTCCTGAGCTGGTACTAATACTCTACTAATACTCTCCAACTACAAACTATTGCATAGTAATTGTGCTACTACATGATTAGTATGGTGACTACACTGAGCAGAAATGACTCACGGTGTGGGAATCGAACTCGCGACTGCACGTCATTGAAGAGCGGAGATCTATCGAGGCGTGAAAAACCATTAGTCCATAGGTCTGTTATGAGCACTCTAACATACATTTATATAGCACATTGTTTTAGCACGCTTCTGCAAGGCTACCATCACCTGGCAGCATCCAGTGCCGCCCGGTTAACTAGCATGAGCCCAATAATCTGCAACTGTCTATCAAGTCAATTTTGCCCGCATCAAGCGACCAGTACCAGAACGTCAGTGTGTGCACGTGGGGCACGCTCTCGGCTGAGCAAACCTAAGCTACCACCACCAGCTCGTTGCGAGAGCGGGTGTTTGCTGTGGTGGGAAAATGTGAACAACCGGCCGCGCCATTCCCATGTGCGCGCGCCCCTCCTCCACGTCGGCGACGACCTTGAGCTCTAGGTCGGGGTGCTCGACCAGCCGGTACGGCTGTGGCCAGTCTGCGTACCGCGCGAGCACCTTCCCAGTCCCCGCGTTCACGAGGCGCGCCGCAGCAACAACACCGCGGTTCGGGTCGACCACTTGCGTACGTGCCAGGCTAATCCCCGGCACGCGCAGCTCAAGGAACTTGGTGGTCTGGTTCAGGAGCAGCATGGCGTCGAGTGTGTGGGTAGCTGTCCAGTCGGATGATTTAGGTGTTGTACATGTGCCTGCGGCTCCAGTCAGCAGTGGACCCGTGCAGGAGACGCGATTGAGCTGAGCTCCACACCAACTTGAGAGGGCTGCACATCCCGTTAGCACTCGTCGGACGCAGGAACGCGAAAGAAAGGAACTTACGTTCGTGATGTTGGGAGTCTGAAGCGTCAAGTGAACACCCCCGCGGGATCATTGCTCGGCAGGTCGAGCGTCTCGATCTTGACCCCGCCCTTCAGGCCGTTTGGCATGCCCTTGAGCGTCACCTTCTTCTTGCCCAGCGGCCCCAGCCCGATTCCTGGCACCGAGATGCCAATCGCAGCCGCTGTGCCCCTTCCGTGAGCTCTTTGCGCGCCCAAACCTCCAACGGCGACACGCACCCGACAGGTTGCTCCCCGAGATCACCCACTCGAACTCCTCCGTCAGCATCATTTTCGCGAGGTCCGCAACTGCGAACGTCGCGTCGAAGCTCGCACCGACACCACCCACCACGTTCACGTCCGGCATCTTGATGCTCCCCAGCGCCTTGTCGTTCTGGACAATGGTGAGACCCTCGGGGAACGCGATCTTTGCGTCGACTGCACGATACGGTCGCCAAATGAGAACGGATCAGAGGGGCGACGAGGGCGGGGACATACATGATCCGGCGTTGGAGTTCTCCTGCATGTCCTTGATCACCACCATCTCGATCCCGAGCACGGAGCCGGACACGATGTTCTGCACGATCGGCTGCGTGAGCATGGGCACTCGCGTCCGTCTTGATCGTCACGTTCGGCTGCGTGTAAGAGAGCATGGTCGGGTAGTCCCTGATTGTGACGCCCGTGGTGAGCGCGACCTCCGCGGCGAGCTTCGTGAAGTTTGAACGCCTTGTCGACGAAGGGAGTTCTAAGTTCTTGCAATATTCGGTCAGCCTCCGAGGGCAGGAAAACGTGGACGGGAGTGCGTATGTGAAGATGTTGTCCCTCTTGGTGTCGACCGCCTGCTTCGACCCACCGAGCGTGACAATCCGGTCGAGGGGTGCTGTGTCCTTGCCCGCCTGCGTTGCAAGCGGCTTCGTGACTGTGAGGAGACTCTGCGGGACCATGTTGAGGTTGAGGTTGAGTGCAGGCGAGGTCGTCGTCGACTTGCCTGCGGATGAGAAGGCGACGGTGTCATCGATGGTCCTATGGGAAATGCCCTGGAAGGTGACGTTGGACGAGGTGTGTGATCTCGAGCGCGGCGGTGAACGGGTTCGCAAGCGAGACGGTCGTGTGCGAGACGTTGTTCTCCCCGGTCGTGGACAGCACTAGCGTCGGAAGGCTGACGTCAGCGTAAGAATGTTCGCCACCCGCGATGTGGCGTACCTTGCAAGGACGCAGAGTTCAGCAGATTTGAGGAGAGCGCAGGAAGCGTGGCGTTGATGTTCAGGCTCTCGAACGCGGCGAGGAGTGATTCGAATTTCGTGCTTCGCAACCTGGACGTTGGTGCCAGGACCAGGTGCTCCCAACGAACTGGCTCAACATCTCGAGACCTTGCAGTGAGTCGTTCGGCCACCCAATGGCGGCGTCAGCGTCGCGGGGCCTTCCAATTAAAATGTTCGTCCTCACCGTGAAGTTTCCCTGCACGCTCAACGAGTTGTTGCCCATCTCAAGCGTCGAGTTCAAAAGCAGTGTCGTGCCCATCACCGCGCCGTCGCGCAGCAGTTTCAGGCTCATCGTGTCTGTGGCAAGCTGCAGGTTCGACGTGTTGAAGATGTCCACTGCCGGTCTCTCGTCGTCAGTCCCGGGTGTCTATCCTCCAGAGAGAGAGAGAGAGAGAGAGAGAAACGCACCGTCGATGCTCAAGTGGATGGCCTCCGCTGACCCGCCGAGGACGTCTCAATATCAACCCTGAACCCGAACGGCAGCTCCATCCGCGCCTGCACCGTGCGCGAGTTCGTCACCTCGCTCTCCTGTGTGAAGTCCAGCGCGAGGTCCCCGATCTCGATCGCCCCTGGGGCCTTGAACGGGACGTGCAGCTGCAGCGCGCTGAGCCCCGCGCTGAGCCAGTCCACTGGGCTGCTCTTCTCCCATTGTCCCAGCCTTGGCATCTCCATCCATGTTAGGCCCACGACAGTCGTATTGCGGGACGCATGTGCGGCGGCCTCCATCGACACAGCAGGCTGGGGTGGCGGAGGTCGAGGAGGGGCAGGTACGCGCAGCGCAGGGAGTGGTTTTGGGGTTGGGTGGGTCGCCTGGACTAAGAAGGGTGATGGTGCGGACTAGAGGGACCGAGGGGCGCAAAAGGAAAGGACAGGGTCGTGGCTAGCAGCAGCACAAATGAGTGTTAGTAGCCGAACGAACGAGACGGAAATACCACCCAGTGTGAGGGACTCATCCCGCATGTTCCGTAGGCTCGCTGGGGACCCTGGGCTGCAGCACGGGGCAGACGTGTCGGGACTCGGAGGGCACGTCGGGGTGGACACGTCGGAATCTGGCTGGAGGGCGGCGCAACTTGGACGCGTCAGGAACCGTCAGAGGGCGCGTTGTGGGGGGTCACAAGTGGGAGTCGTGACCAAGCCACAGGCGCACTCGATCGACGCTCACCCACCACAGCTGGCGGGGCGGGGCGTGGGCGTCAGACTGGCGAGCGAGGGACGTAAGTTGACGGCCACGACAATGAAAGATAGCACGTACGATGATCACGATGAATCCCCTCAATGAGGTCGGCACGATCTTCTTCAAGAGCTGCACTTGTCATGCATGATCGTTCGTGGTTCTTGATCCCCCTTGGAGCGTACTTCTTGCCACATATCGAGCACGGGAGGCAAGAGTCAAGGCCCAAGGGGAGCGCGAGGGCGACCTCTCCCGCGCGATGACATAAGCTAGTCGAGGTGCTAAACACACCATCCTGAGCGAGGGCGAATGGAGAGAACGCACCGACTCCAAAGTATATGGAATGGTATAATACAGCAGAGGAAAGAGGGGGAGCCGAGAGCTATCGCAACGGCATCCAGATCTCGCGATATCATCGCAAGATCTGCCGGCCGTCTCGCAACGAGCCGCAAGACGCTCAAAGGGTTGCGATGCTGCTGTCACGTCACGGGAGGCGTTGCAATCTAATCACAAAGCGGCTACGAGAATCTCGGCTCGCAAGGCCGATTTGAATTTTCCGACACATGTGACACGCGCGTCATGTCACATTAATACGCGGTTGTGGCGCAACGAATTTATAACTGTACCACTGCTGGCTGTAGTATATGAACTTCACCAAGAGCGTCGAGGGAATATCGTCTACGCAAAAAGCCGTCACGGGTCTATTGGGTGTTATTAATATTTGAATAGTCTAACACCTGCATGACGACCTAAGCCCAGGCTAAAGACGCCTGAGTTAAGAGAGAATACCACGTCGGCGCAGGTTCAAGTGGCTTGCGCAAATTGTTTGAAGGGCCATCAGCATGAAGGGGTTTTCGGAAGACCGGTGCCGCGCCTGTTCAAGTGTCAGCATTGTGAGAGTCCTAGAACACTAAGGGCCATGGGAAACGGCGAAGCGAACGCCCCGACCGCGGCGGAGTGAACACGTCGGCCACAGTGGCGAGCGAGCGCATTGAACATTAGGTCCGTGCTTTGACAAGCCCAAGAACGTTATTAAAGTCGCGGGACTGGTCCACCGGCATTGCATGCCATTCTTCTGTGCACCAACGAATCACGTTACATACATAAAGTGTCTTAGCAAAATCTCGGATGGCAAAGAAATACCCATGTTGTGCTACTCATACGTGAGCTTACTATAGGCAGCCTGAGGCCTCCTAGGGATTCCAATGCTAAGCGCCAAGCTCGCCGAAGGATGAGGTTAGGCGCCAGCTCACCGCGCTCACTTGACCCTGGCACTCGCTCGACGCGCCCCCGCCACCGCGCTCTCCTCGCGCCCACGCCTCGCTCATCTTTCCCTCGCGCGGTGGCAGCATCAGCGCTGCGTTAGCTTGGGGGCCACTATGAACGTCAGCCAGCTCCAACCCTCGCCGTCTACCGACCTGCAAAGGATCTCCCGCGAGGCTGTCAGCAAGGATGCCGATGTTCGTCCCATGCACATCTATGCGCTCTTTCGCAGCTCACATCCTGCTTTCACAGTCCTTTCTTGCTCTGAGGATGGTCAACAAGCGTTCTCGCTTGCGCATCTCGCCTCAATCTCTCAACGTTGACCTCCTTCCTTCCAAGGGCCACCTCTTCGCCATCTCCAATACTTCGGGTTGGTTCTCTGCCGCAATTACGAGTTCAGACGGCTCGCATGGTCCGTCGGTCACCTCTTCGTATGTTTTTCTTCCTGACTTTGTGCAGCTATCGCTCTCTCTCCTCTCGCCGAATTGCGCTCCGCCCTCGCATCCAGCTCTTCCACCGAGCCTTCCTCCACCTTCACTCCCCGCCATATAGTCCCGCTCTCCGCCCTCCCCACGTAGTCGTGTTCACACAGGACGATTCTAAACTTTTGGTCGCATGCACCACCGGCCAATCCACGTCTTCGACTCACAGGCCCTTTTCCAATCCTCCTCCACCTCTCCCAGCACACATTCCCCTCGTCCAGCGGACGACCGGTGCGGGATATCCTGCCAAACCCCGGAACTCCGGCCCAAGTCGCTTTCTTGCGTGAGCCCTACGATGAAATCTCCGTCGAAGTCTTCGACCTCCAAACGATGTCGTCCATTGGTGGCTGGCGCGCCGGCAGTTCGCCGCACACCATTCCGGTCTCAGGTTCGTACACATCATGCACTGTGTTCTTCCTGTTCTGATTTTCGCATAGCATCGTGGTCACCCAAAGGGACGCAGATCGCGATTGGTCTCCAGAGCGGGGACATCGTCACGTACAGTCCCTCCGACACAACCGCTCCCAAGCTCTCGGTGCCCTGTCCGCCAGCGGCCAGCGGCCAATCCGTCATCACCACCACATGGCTTTCGAATACCGAGTTTCACGGCATATACGTGCCAGCCGGTCCGCTTGACCCTCAAGTCGAGCAGACACACTACATTCTCTCGCTCGATAGCAAGGCCAAACCACCGGGGATGTCAAGCTCAGCACTCCATACTTCAATTATCCTGGTTTACGTCCTCCTGGATCACTGTCCATCGTGCTACGCGGCTGGGACCCCTCCAGATACATGCTGTTTATAGGGGACAGCACTTCCTCAGACATCGGCCTCATAGGCAGTGTGCCGGACCCCAGCTCGTCCCAGCTAGAGTCGTGGTGCAACCTTGCTCTCGAGGAAGACTCAACGCCGTCCGTGCCACTGGACGCAGACTCGAACGACACCATACCGATCGGTCTGGGCCTGGACCTCACGGCAACTGAACCGTTCAGTCATACCGGCCCATCCGGTGAGACATCCGACGTCCCTCCACCGCCCATCATGTACCTCTACGCCAGCGACGGGACATTGACCGGCTGGCACATCATCCAGACGCAAGGAGTCCCGTACCCTGGCATGGGCGGCGCAGGCTCGTCCGCTTCCACCACCACCTCCCCTACCGTTGTCGCTTCGCAGGTGGCCTCGCCCACGCCGCAGGCAACGGCTTTTGGTACGACGGCCTCTGTTCCTGGTAGTGCTTTTAGCGGGAGTCCCTCCGCCTTCGGGGGAGCGTTTGGTAAAGCACCCGCCGCCTCTACTGGCGCATTTGGTATGACGCCCTCTTCCCCTTCTGGGGGTGCATTCGGCACAACATCCTCTACTGCCGGGGGCGCCTTTGGAACAAGTGGCTTCTCGAACACTCAATCTGCGTTCGGCAACCTCTCCACTTCCACCAACGCCTTCAAAAGCTTGAGTGCGGGGTTCGGCGCTTTCTCTACGCCATCAAACCCTACTCCTGTTAGTTCTCCCTTCGCCGCTCCTCCCACCACTTCCCCGGCCCTTTCGCGGTTCGGCATGACTTCCTTCAGCAACCCATCTACGACGCCAGATGGAAAGTCTGGAACTTCCGTCTTTGGAACATCTTCTACACCCTCTGTTTTCGGACAATCGGCGTTTGGGCAGTCAGCGTTCGCGAAGCCCACGTCGACACCCACCACGACTCCCCCGTCAACGTCCGCATTTTCAGCATTTGCGGGGAGTGGCGGTGGCTCCTTCGGCGCCGCCGTCGCGGGTTCGTCTTCCGGGAAGAGTTTCGGTGATATGCTTCGCCAGAAGGGTGAAGATGAGAATAAGGACCCCAAACCTGCCACCTCCGTGTTCGGGGCGCAGCCGTCTACCCCCTCATCTTTGGGTCAAGCAACATCTGCGTTCGGGACTCCAGTGACTCCGTCGGCATTCGGGACTCCGGCCACTCCGGCCACTCCGGCCACTCCCTCACCTTTCGGATCGTCAACGAGTCCATCAGCATTGGCGTCGACGACACCGCCTGCGTTCGGACAATCTCCGATGGGAACTCCTACGACACCGTCATCTGTGTTCGGGAAGAGCTCCTTTGGCACGCCAGTCAACACCTCGGCCTTCGGGCAACCTTCACTCGGAACGACACCCACGAAGTCACTGGACATCGAGGAGCCGACAACATCGACGACACCCAGTACGGCTCCGGCAGGCTCTGGTTTTTCTGCGTTTGCTGGGACCGGCAGCTCCTTTGGGGGTGCAGCTGCGGGCTCATCGAACAAGGGCTTCAGCGAGTTGTTGCGGCAGAAGAGTGACGAGAGCCCGGCAGAGGCGAAACCTAGCTCGAGCCCGTTCGGTGCATCGTCCACGCCCTCTATCTTCGGAAAGTCGATGTTGGGGACATCGCAGACGTCTTCAGTGTTCGGGAACTCGTCATCAGTGACGCCAGAAACCTCAGCTTTCGGCAATTTATCACTGGGAACTCCGGCATCATCTTCATCCTCCAGCAACACGCCTTCCTCCGTCTTTGGTACGACGAGTTTCGGCACGACGAGCTTCGGTAAGCCGGATGCCTCAGTGTTTGGCAAGTCGGCGTTCGGTGCACCAGCAAACACCTCTGTGTTCGGGAAGACCACGTTTGCAGTGACGCCTTCATTGGCTGAAAATACTTCGTCGACGCCTAGCTCCACTCCTGCTACCGGGGCATTCTCTGCGTTCGCTGGCTCCAGCAGTCCCTTTGGAGCCGTTGCAGCCGCCAGCTCTTCGAGCAACGGCTTTAGTGCATTGCTTCGCCAGAAGGAGGGGGCAGTAGTAGTCAGGACTCATCTGAGTCTCAGGCGAAAGGACTCAGCCATACCGCGGAGGCTTGGAAGAAGCCGGTTTCAGCATTCGCCGGGCTGTCAACCACGGCGAGTACGTCTGCTCAGAACGGTAAGCGACCTATACTGTGTTTGTGGTTTGATGTTTACACGTCTACCGCAGACGAAGCGGAAGGAGAGGAGGAGAACGAAGACGACGACGACGAGGCAGACACAACCTTCCGGGACGACGACAGCGACGATGGGATCGATGCGTTCTTGAAGTCGGATGAGGAAGATATCGGCACAGACGAAGAGGACGCTCATTCAGATGTCGACGGCGCTGAGGAAGAAGAGCTTGACACAACCGAGGAGTACCCAACCCCCGAGTCGACGACGGCAAAGCAGCCCATTCCCAAGATTGAGGCCCCTCCAACTCCTACCGAAGGCGATTTCTTCAACTTTTCAAAGGCGGAGAAGGATCTCACAGAACTCGCAGGGCCATCAAAGCCAGCACGCGCAGTCAGTACCACGCCCCCGGGGTCTCCCGTCCCACCTCCCACCTCTTCATCTTCCTCAGGGAAGCCCTCTGCTGTGCCTCTCGATCGCGCGGCGTCTGCTCCACCAGCCACGTCGTCGTCAGCAGGGCTTCTAGGCGTCGGACGACAGTCCACGCGCCCGGCACGTAGCTCCCCTCTGGCCAGTCGTCCTATCAGCAACCCAGAAGACGAAGACGAAGAGGACGAAGACCCGGTTCCTTCTCCCTCTTTCAAGAAGGCCCGCTCTGCCTCCCCAGCCATTGCGACGACCCCCGCCCCTACCGCACGACCTAAAACCCCACCTGGGATCTTCGGTGCTCCGGCTTCCCTGCCGAAGGCCACCCCTTTCTCGCTCACACCCCCGTCCACCGCTCCAGTCGCTGCGGCCTCACCGAAGCCTGTGGCATCGTCTTCGTCGGGACCCGGAACGTCTATCTTCGGTACCCCTAAGATTCCAGCACCAGTTTTCGCGTCTCCCACAACCCCAGCTGGTGGCGTGACTGGCGTGGCTAATCCCCCTACACCCACGTCGGCTGGCGGTCCGTTTGGGGTGGCGAAACCGCCTCCTACCGCACCAGCTGGAGGCCTGTTTGCACTAAAGCCTCCTACCACCGCGCCAGCTGGCAGTATCTTTGCATCGAAATCTACTGCTACTGCCGGGCCCTCGACACCAGCTACCTCGGTGTTCGGTGGGGCCAGCCTGTTTGGAGCGCTTCCAGCGTCGACCTCGGCGCAGACGCCTGCGCCGGCATCGGTCAAGACACCGATCTTTGGTGGGCTGGCAAGTCCCGGTGATTCACCAAAGCCTTCCCCCTTTGGTACCCCGCCACCAACAAAACCGCCCGTTGCTGCTCCGCCCGCCACACCGAAAACGCAAGATTCTGCGCCGCTCTCTGCGCCTCAGCCAACTCCCCCCAAGCCGGCGCAAGATCTCGGGGCCGAATTCACAAACCTGTATGAGAGCTTCACGAGAGAGCTCGTGGGGGTGCGTAAATATTCCCGAGTTCTTTGCCATTTTGGTTTACCTCGTACTCTCCAGCTCAAGGCATTGGGTGCTCATGCGGCGTCTCTGACCACCTCGATGAACGGACCTAGCATCCGCCCCAAGAGCAGCCAAGATCTTACTGATGCGTCTAAGTGGGCAATGGGCGACTTGTCGCAGTTCAAGCAAATCATGCAGGAAGTTGAGCGAGACCTGGTGGCCTGGGAGGCTGCGCACGCGACTTGCATCTCGGGTCTGCGAGAGCTGGAGAGCGAGATGATGAAAGGTATGTGCCCTGGCTTTAGCAACACGCCGGTTACTCATTGGTGGAACAGCGGACATGCGCCACGAGGAGGCTGAGCGGTTCAGCAGGGCTTCGAGCGATGCGAACTTCGCGCGGATGTTGAAGACCAGGGCGCTGAACCCCGACCACCTGGAGACTCAGTCGAAGCTCAGACGGGATATACGCGTACGTCTGCGTGTGGGAATTTTCGACGCGATTGTTGACTCTTATTGTCTGATCAGACCATGCGAGGGCGGGTACAACAGCTCGAGGAGTACATTCAGGTGTCCAAGAAGAAGCTGAACAGCCTCAAGACCGGCAAACCGACTCTGAAGCCACCCACCCTCGACACGATCAACCGGACCTACCGAAATATCGACATAGCCATAGACCAAGAAGAGACCGAGGTTTCCGAGCTCGTCAACCGCGTCGCCGTGCTCGAGTTGGGCGCCGAGCCTCTGTCCGGCCTGCACCGCTCTACCTCGTCTCGCGACAAACGGCTGCCAGACCGCGGCTCGCGCGTCGGCCGGGAGGTGACGCCCAACATCGCGGCGTCGACCGCGGCGGCCCTCAACGCCGAGCGCAGCGCGCAGAAGCTCAAGAAGGTCCTCCTCGCCGCCCGCGCGAAGCCGCTGCTCAACACGACGGCCGTCGACGCGATGCCGCTCAAGCGCGACAAGGCCAAGCGGCGCGCGCCGATGCTCGGCGCCGAGTCCGGCGCGGACGTCAGCGCCGCGTTCTTCGCAGGGCTCGGCGCCGGCGCGTGGGGCCCGCTACCGCCGTTCGAGCCCGAGTTCGAGCCGGCGGGGGCGCAGCCGGCGACAGGCCTCGCCTCGCGCAACCGCAAGCAGCCGCGGCACGCGAAGCCCATCCAGACGAGCGGGCCGAAGCCGCCGCCGCCGCCACCGCCGTCGGGGTTCAGCTGGGGACCGGTGCCGGTGGTCCAGCCGAAGACGACGATCTCGGTGTTCACGGAGCTGAGCGCGAACAGGAAGGGGAAGGCGAAAGCGGAGGACCCGGACGGGCTGGGAGGTTCGTGGGTCGCGGACGGGTTTGAGAAGTGATGCGCGCGAAGGATTGCCGCAGTGGTATACGCTGTCTGTCACCTTGTTCATTTGATTCTCGTAGGGTTGTACACACAAACTTGTATGATTGTATACCCTCGCGTCTGGTCTACACAGGCGCATGACTTGCCATTTCAATCTCGCTGTTTTGTTGGAGCTAGACTACCGAGAAAGACAGCTTAGTACACCGACAAAACGCGGTCAAGTGACCTAAATGCGAGTTGTTTCCACTTGTGGCTGACGCGTGGCGTAGCATCAATGCCGACGCGTCGACTCTGTCTCCTTCCACGAGTCACGACTATCATCTTGTGTACCCACCTCCCCGCTCTTGGCAGGGTAAACCAGCGACGGATGAGCGTAGAGGTCATCATGTGGATTGGAGGTGGCATGGTCTCCGAAGAATCTGCGCGAAAGTGAGTGCCCTCGTCGCGGACGTGATCTGAAGCTTGCGCATGCAGAGAGGATCTCGCGAACACAAGGAAGCCGCTCCCTACCTCCTCAAGGCGATGGAAGATCCCCACAATCTCGACGCCGTGGTTTCCGTCGCGGTTATCAAGCCCACCACGCAAGCTGGCCTCAATCCCCAGGCTGGAGGAAGGCGCACTAGTCTGAGCCAAGTATATGAACCGTCCTCTTCGCACGTAATCTCGTCTAACGCTATTGTCGAACGTCTCAGGACGCGCAGATCTGCTCCGTCGATTGGGCCCGACCTGCTTGAACGGCGACGGCGAAGCGGTCGGGCTCTTCTGGGGGCTCTTCGTCTAGACGCGCGCGTGCTGCAGGCGATCGTTCGGCTCTCGTTATCGCAAGACGACACGCGCGTGGGTCCCCGCCGGCCACACTGCGAGCCTGGTCTCGGCCTCGCGCAAATTTGCTCATCGTTCTCGTTCTCTCGCTAGGAACACGATCGCGGGGATGCTGCGTCCCTGCTCGGGCGATGACATCTAGACGAAGGAGGGCGCGCCAATGGGGCGCTTGGCCATAGGCAGCACCTCGCGTGGTTTGACTCGAAGTGTGGGCATTCGTCAAGGCCAGCGACAAGCCGCCCTCAGCGGCGACGACGATGAGAGAGGAGTGGATCCGCCGCCTCGCACCCCACTGGAGTCCGGTGGCTTCTCTGCGGATCCGGCTCTGAGGCGACGGTGAGCTCGCGCGTCAGCACCTCCTCATGGCAACGTCGGACTCCATCGCACGTGCTCTCCAAGATCCTCGGGAAGGGCGATCAGGCGAGTGAGTGCCCGAGCGGACGTCTGCCATTCATTATTCGCGTGGCCTCGAATGCACGCGAAGCGGGGACTTCGCCATCACGAAGCTGACGATGGTCTCTGTTGTGCAGAGCTGCTCAGCAACGTCCCGCGCGAGACACGACCAGCTCTGGCTCACCGGGACCTCTGGATGGGCCTCGACGTCTGGGCCTGGGCTGACGGCAACGCCTTGGCGAAGATGGCGGCGCTCAAGGTCTGCGCGAGATGTGAAAGCGTCCGGGTCCTCCTTCAAACGCTACGGGTGCAAGCGGGTGGTGTGCTGTGGGTCGGCATGTCAGAAGGAAGACTGGAAGGTGGGTTCATTCACTCGCCTCAGCGCTTGCGTTCACGCCTTCGTCACCGCCGCAAACGATGACGTAGGTGCCACCCAGTGCGGAAAAGAAAGATCAAGTCACCTGTCGCGGGATGGCCGCGGGTGGACCTCGGCGGACTTCTCTTCCCAAGGGACCATGCACTACGACATTCCACACCGCCTGCAGACCTGGCAGCGCCGAGGTGCGGGACCGGCGGGCGCGCAAGGTCGGCGGCTCGCGGCAGAGAACGTTCAGGCCTCGGAAGAAGCACAGCGGCGGGTGGGTTCGCGAAGACGGCGGAGTGCCCGCAGTGGCAGTCTTCGCGCGCGATAGGGCGCGAACCGGGCTGTGTCTGAACTCTGCCCGTCGATCGGGCGAAGGCCACAGACCAACCTCGCGCGCCCCTCCCACGCTCCCGCCGCGGGCGAGCGCCGAGCAGTGACCCGCGCGCGGATGCCCCTGCGCCGATCCCTCCCTATCGCGCTCTCCGACGCGGGGGCACGGAGCGCCCTGGCTTGACTCCTACGGCGGAAGACACGGACGGTGCGCGCTCGACGAGACTGGGGACCGGTGGGTGGGCAACCTGCGCGAGCCGCTCAGCGGTCCTGCAGGGTCCTCTCGCGCCGCCGCACGCGCATCGCGCATCGCGCGCGAATCTGCTGCCTATCTGCTGCCCATCCGCGCCATGTTCTCTACCGGGCGGTACATCCTCGTAGAATACCGCGCCGGACGCGCCCCTCGCCCCTCGCCACTCTCGATCCCCGCAATCGCACATCCTCCCTCGCCCTTCCGCGCCCGCGCTGGGCCCGTATGTATCCCGCGGTCGCCCTTCTCCAACTCCGCTCCCGCCTGGACCCGCTGCGTTCTCGACGTTGTCCATCCACATAGTGCTGCGTTAGTGCGCCGAGACGGCTAGGCCATATGAAGCCCGGGCTGCCCCACGCCCGCCCGCGGCCTGCCCTCCTTCTCTGCTTCCGCCGGCGTGAGATGGCGGATCTGGGGTACGTCCGCACGCATCACCGCTCGCACGGCTGCCCGTTCGTTCGCCTTGTCTCTCTCCAGCCCGCGTTCCTATCCGCGTCCGCGTCCAGCGGGCCCTGGACGAACGAACGACCGTCCGTCCGACGCGCGTCGCGCGCGTCCGGACCCGGCCTCGACCGCGGTCGCCAGGGCCTGCCGTGTGCCGCAGCGAGCTGCTCGATCGAACCGCGCGCTCTGCGCCGGGCGAGTCAGACTGCGCGAGCCGCGACGAGCCCGCGCGTCGTCCGGCCTTGGGACCCTGAGTCCGCCCGTCCGAAGAGCACACCCCGGTCTGCTCCCACACCAGCCATGGGGGCCCCTGAAAACGCTGCCTCGCGCCCGGCAGGCCCAGGCCCTGGGTGACGGGGCTCGCGGAAGCAGGCGCTGCTCCGCTAGCCTCGCTGCGGCGCGTCAGCGGGCCTCTCGAGACTCGCGCGCGGAACGGCAGAGAACAGAAGCGTCCACGGATTTCCCGTGCGCGCGTTCTCGATCACAGAGCGCGAGGGGGCTCGCGGCTCGCAGCTTGCAGCTACACCGTTCTTTGCGCGCAGCCACGCCCGTGCGTCGCGACTCGCGACCCGTGCCCACTCCGAGCCTCCGAGCGCCCCCTCCCTTCCGTCTTCCGTTCCGTCTCCGAGCCCCGCGCCCGCGCCCCGCGTTCCGAGGCCCGAACTCCGTCTCCGTGACCCGTCGTTCCGTCGCGCAGGTCCCGGCTGGGGTCTGTCGTCCTCCGTCCGGCGCGGTCAGAACTGCACACGTCGGTCGTATGTACGCACCACTGTCCGACACCGACTCTTAGATTCGGCGGTAAGAGAGAGGGAGAGGGATCCAACGCAGTCCGCGCCGGCCCCGGCACGACTGGGCACCTGCTGCTCAGTTCGCCGCGCGCACCCAGGGCGAGATGATCGATCTTCCCCGGCCGCGTAAGGCAACCGTGCGGACGAGCGAGCGAGCGATACGCACCGAGGACGCGGCGCCACGGCGCAGACAGGGCTAGCTAGGGCGTCTCAGACTCTGGTCTGCGCTGCCTGGTTCGCGGCCCGCGCCGCATCCGCAGAATCTGTCGCGATCGCGAGCGGGGCAGCGTCGACGAGCACCCGCACGTATCTCCGTCGCCATCTCCGAGGCCTGCGCCGAGGCGCGGACGAGACGAGACGAGGCGAGACGAGGCGAGACGAATGCACGGCAGGGCCATCGATGACCGGTCCTTGCGCATGCGTCGTATCGCGTCGAAGCGCGTCGGCGGGCTCGCGGGAGCTGGCGATTGCGCGAGGACAGGTGCGGGACGACGTCGGTGCGGAACGGAACGCGTCCACGCCCGGCGTGCGCGTGTCCCGTCGCGCGTTGATGCTCGGCCGGCTTCACGGCCTCATGATCCACCAGTCTCCGGCTGGTGAACCGGTGACGATTGCAACGCGCATGGAGGGCGGGCGTGGGCCGACGCCTGCAATCTGGCCGGCGTATCTGGCGGTGCGCGGTAAGCAAGGTCGAACGTTTGAACGGTGAAATTTTGAACCGTCGACCTCGAGCCTGTTGCGTTCACCGCATCGAAGCGGCCCCCGATCGACAGCAGTTCCTCCGGCCGCGGCTTTCAAGCCGAGGGCGACGGCTGCAGACCTGCGCTCGCGGATCGCCAGCCTTAGAACGCGCAAGGTTCGAGGGAGCTTACTACTTACTACTTATTAACGACCGGCTTACACACGCGTCCGCCTGCGCTGCCGGCCGGAGAACCTAAGGACTTCTGCTCGAGCTTACTTGCAGCGGCTGCAGCGGCCACGCCGCACACCCGAACGCAACGCGGTGCCGCCCCGCTCCACGGCATCTAACCAGGCCCGCGCGCGAGTCTGCAAAGCAAACACAGGTGGAGCGGCTGAGAACGAGGGCAGAGCGCGCGGATCTCGTGCAGGGCTTCGGGTGCGGAGTGGGAGCATGTGGGCGCGCACTGCACAAGAAATACGGGGGGAGGACGATGGATTACGAAGGCGTTCTATGCGACAACAGACAGGGCGTGCGTGTACACGAGACGGGATATACGAGGCGTGCGGGATATATGGACATGGCTTCCAAAAATGTGCAGGGGAAACAGAGGGTGTGCATGGGCGAGGGAGGCGGACGGGCGGGCGCTCGGTGACGGACGGCAGAAGACGGCGGGGTGGATTAAGTTAACTAGCAGGGATATCTGAGATGCGGGGGTCTTCTCAGCGTAGAGTACGTACGAGGCGCGGGGCGTGCATGGGGCGAGGCAGAGCGAGTCAGAAATGCTGCGGTGGGTGAATCACAATCGTGACGGTGATGCAACAGCGGAATGCGATCCAGAACAGGGACTGTGAGAATGGTGGGGAAATGAGATAGCAGGACGGAAGCCGATACGCGTGCGAGGTGGGTAAGCAGAAAGCATGGTATGTGAGTACAGTAACGAAGAGCGGAATCGCAACGTTTTAACGCTGCTATAGTGAGGGAAATGTACGTTTTAGGGGATGATAGCAGTATGTCCGAAGAAAGGTCCGGGAGAGGATAAGTTATCAGAGGAGCGGCGAGCGGCACCATGCAATATGGCCGCGATGGGCGCGTGGCCCAAGGAGGTCGGGGATTATGGCGATGCGAACCATGGGCGGAGGGAGGAGGCATGGGGTCGGAGAGTACACGGCGTACTCGTGTTTTGGTTCACGAAAAGTCCTTGAGAGGAGAGGGGGATGGTCCAACCCGTCGGGTTCGAGCGCGACGCGGCGGTGGTGGCGAGGGAGCGAAAGAGCGTCGGGGTGGATGATCGGATAGCCAAGGAGGCCGGGCAGTGGGATTGTGGACGGGGAGGCAAGGACGCAGGCGGCAATGACGCACGATAACGCACTGGCTCAATCGATACCTCGCCCTTCCCTCTCCGCCCGATCGCACGGTCGTGGCGGATCGTCTAGTACGACCAATCCGCGAACGCGCCGTCGAAGTCGTAGTCGCGATCCGCGTCGAGCTCGTCCTCTGCGGGGAGCGCGAACCCCCGCGGGGTCGTCGATGGCGACAGCCACTCCTTCTCAGGGGGGTGATACGGCGAGGTCGCGGGCTTGACGCGCGAGTCCCATGGCCGGCCCCCGAGCTCGAAGACAGAGAGGTTGGGGAGAGTGGAGAGCGTCTCCGCGATGTGCGGGTAGAACTCCTGTGATACGCGAAGCGGTCAGCACGCGGCGTGGGGCCAAAAGCGCGAAAGATGACGTACCAGGCTCGGGAAGTCAGAGAGCGCGTAGGGAGTGGCGAGGCGCAGATACTGGATGTTGGGGAAGACGCGGGCGAGGACGTCGATGAGCGCGGCGGGCGGGGAGGAGGACATCGCGCTCATCACTTGGAGCGGGGGAGCGTCGGAGGACGGGATGGCCGTGTTCCGGGTGTGATCGGCTCGGGCGCTGGTGCGTCGGAGACGGAGCATCGCCTCTGCCGCCGACGGAGCGCCCGTGTCGGAGGCAAAGAGTTCGAGGGCAAGGTCACCGGAGAGGTGGAGGGCCTTGAGGGGCCGGGAGACGAGGGTGGGAAGGAGATAGGCCGGTCCCGTGTACGTCTCGAGAAGGGGGATGTGCGACGGTGGGAGCTGGACGCGGGGCGGGGGTGGGGGCTCGTCTTCCAAGTCCGAGTCGACGTCAACACCGAGGATGACAGAGGAAAGGGCGAGGGAGATAAGAGAGGGGGTGTGGCCGAGGAAGGAGGTGAGATGGGCGTCGGGCGGGAAGTTACATGTCAGATGCTCGAGGCGGGAGTAGACCGCGGGCGCGGAAATGGGGACGTGATCCGTCTTGTGGCTGCTCTCGGTCACTGGGGGTGAGAGAACCCAGCTGGCGGAGCAGTCGACATAAAGGGAGAGGCCGGAGATGTTTGTCATGATCCGCAACGCGCTTTGTAGGTGGGCGTATTCAGGGAGGAGCTTGGAGTCGACATCGTCCAGGTGGACGGTGAAGGTGCGCACATGGGCGGCGAGGTGTGGGTGGGATGCGAGAAGGGAGAGGAGAGAAAGGTTGTGGGCATGGTCGGAGAGGGTGAGATGGCGGTAAAGGAGGCGAGTGGCGCTCTGGTTGAGGAGGGCGGAAGAGCGGCGGCGGCGGCGAGGGCACGGTGGTTGTGGGTGAGCGGGGCGAGGACGGCGTCGAGGAGCTCGACGGGGAGGAGTTGGAGGGCCATTGGGCTGCGGGCTGACGTTGGGGAGAATGGCGCGGGCGGGGGAGCTATATAGAGGGAAAGAAGCCGGGGAAGACGCGTGGGCGGAAAAAAGGGCGTGGCCCTGGGGTGGCCCTGGTGGAGGGAGAAGGACTCGCTCGAGGGACGCGCGCGACCGAAAGCATTCGGGGCACGCAGCAGGCGCCCACACGCAGTCCAAGCCTTGGCCAGGCCACCGCTGCTTCTCGCCCGCTGCCACGCCCGCAGCCTGTGCCCTGCACGCCTCCGCCGTGAAGACGATCTCCGCTTCTGACCGCCCACCACACACGTGATCGTCTCTCGCTCCCCTCCCGCTCTCCACCACGCCCACCAGCCCCCGAAGCCGTCTCACTCGCTTGTCCTCGCTCGCGCGCTCTCAACCAACCCCGACATGCCATGTGCACCCGTGCTCTCGGTCAGCTCGCGTAGCTCGACGCTCATCAGCACGATCCACCACGGCTCTCACAGCGCGCGTCCTATCACAACATCCACATTGACCCCCCTCCACGCCCCCCCGCTCATCAGCTCATGTCACACTCTCCCAATCACCCCAGCGTCGCCCGTGGCCGTGGACGTCAATGCTGTGGCCAGCTCCCCACCGAAGCAGCCAGAAGCCCGTCTAGAGCCCTTCCAGTCTTGCAGGACGGCAATCTGGTCGCTTCAAGAGCCCGTTTAGTACGTCATCCCTCCTTCTCCTTGCACGACTTCGCCCGCTACACCCACGATCTATCGTCCCTTGCCCTCCTCAATCGCTCTTCCCCCGATCCATCGGCTCCTCATCTGCATCCCGTAGTCGTCTTGTACGCCAGCACAGGCTCGTACCATGTATCCACCCCTCGCCCCAATTGTATATCCCTGCTTTCGAGCGAGACCGCCTACCGGGCCCTCATGCGTAGTATATGGTGTTCGAGAGTACCAAGCTCGCAAGGTTCGTGGCTTGACACATTGCGCGGTCTTCTAGTCGCAGGCACCTCAAAATTTTACTCTATGCCTGAGATCCTCGTGTACGCGAACGTCTGCCCCATATCCGCACAGTTTGCTTCGACGCGGGCCCGCTCTCGGCCACACACCCTGAGCAACATACGCCGTGAAGCGTGCGAGTCATTGTCAATCGCGGGAACGCGTCTGGCGTTTCATCACGTGATACGCGTCTGCTTTTTGGCGTTGCCCCGCTGGCGCATCTCTCCATCCACCACGTCCCGACGGCCTCCATGATGCTCAACGCCTTCCGAAGATGCGCCCAACGGCTCATGTCTACCTCCACCACCCTACCCTTTCTCTAGTATGGCCGTAATCCACCCCCACCCGCCATTCCTGCCCCCACAAACGCCTATGCTGGCAAGGGGCTCATGTCCTACCTCCCCCAACGCCACCTCTCCGCGGAGAAACAAGACCTCATCGCTCGGTTCGGGAAGCGGCATCCTGAGCGCATACTGCCCGGGTCCGTGCTGCAGGTGACGAACGCGCAAGCCCCGACGACGTTCACCGGCGTGCTCATCTCGATTCGCCGGCGGGGCGCGGACACGTCGTTCGTGCTCCGGAACGTCGTCCAGCGCACGGGCGTCGAGGTGCAGTACTTCCCTGCGTCGCCGCACCTCAAGGCGATCAAGGTCCTCCTCCGCGCGGCAGACACGGCACCGAGGGCAAGCCGGGCCCGCGCATGCGACGCGCGAAGCTGTTCTATCTTCGGGACTCTGCAGAGAAGATGACGTCCATCTCGCGCGGGCTTCGTGCTTAGCGTGCTCACGCGCGTGCGGGTCGGAATGGGCACACACGGGAGACGCGTTGTAGAGGCTAGAGGCGGGAGATAATGGGCACGTGCGAGGGCTAGGGCTAGACGAGACGAGGACGGAAATGCGCGCTGGGTGGTTTGCGACGCTCTGGTGGACGAATCACGCAAGACAAACGGGAGACCGGGCCCGGTCGCTGGCCAGTCGCAGGGCAAGGAGAGGTGCGTGCGTCGTCGAGCTCGTCTTCTCGCCCTTCCGCTGACGTTTGGGGGTCTGAACCTCGTCTCTTCTCCATCCACCGCGCGACCTGGACCGCATCCGCTCGCGATCCGTATCTGCTTCCGCCCGCCCGCTGCCCTGCCCACCCGCGCACTGGCGACCGCACCCCGCGCGCTCGCTCGCTTTCCCGGCGCGGCATCCGGACTCGACGGCCGGTTTAGGCTGGGAAGGCGTGCGCCCACCCGCTGCTCGCCCTCGCGCTCGGCTTCCATCTGGACGCAGCCCCAGCCCTCGACTCCGCGAAGGGGCTGGGCCCCCTGGGGCCCCGTCGCCGACCCGCCGATAGTCTACACACAGCTCATACATAATCCGCACCCTTTCTCCCCGCACACGCCGTCCCAGATCGCCCCCGCGGCGTGCCTGCCTTGCGCTCGTCCTCGCGTGCGCGCTCCCGCAATCGTCGTGTGCCCGAAGCGGAAGGCACGCAGCGCGGCCCCTGCGGACTTCGCAACGGTTCTCCGAGCGGGCGACCGGCAGCGCCCGCGCAGACGTCCGCGTCGCCAGCTGTGTGGCCAGGCACTGTCCAGCGTCCTCGGTCGGACTAGCACTGTTCGTGCGCCTGCGTCTCTCGCTGCGAATCTCCCCCTGCTCGACGGTGCCGCGGCGTCGGGCTTTCGGAGTCGGAGTGTCGGGTGAGGGCTCGCTGAGTGGCCTCTCGATCCGAGGAGCTTTCAAGCCATTCTCGTCGCTTGTTGTCAGGGCGTCCACAGCGTACAAGCCCCACAAACAGACGAATTGCATCGCATGACCGTACCCCATGGGCAGACAGGGAGATCGGGCTCCGCCCAACACGGTCCCGTGCCAATGCCGGTGTGTGCTTCGGTCAAAATGTGTATGCGTATTTGCGCGGGTGGGGTCGCGCCTGCGAAGCGGTCTGTCCGTGTCGAGGTCGCGCTCGACGACAGGTCTAGTGGATCGGGGGGCGTCTTAAGCACGCCCTCGAACTGTGTCTCGAGGCCGAGACACAGCACCACACCCCCGGGAGATGGATCGGGCGACGTCGAGGCTCGACACCATACTAGCCCCGCGTACCAACCAAATTCAATTCATGGTGCTATCTCGATTGGGCCGCGCTGTGCTCGCCCGCACTGCACGGAGTGGTCCGTATATGCGCACGCGGGCCCGACCGCCGAGCTTTTTGTGTCTTCTCAAACGCGACGAGTTGGCCACTCGGCGCACCTCGCTAGATCGGGGTAGAGGGACGGGATCATTATCTCAGAAGCCGCCGACGCGCTCTCGCGAGCTCAATTGCGAGCCTCGGGATAGCCACGCGCCAGTGGGAAGGAAGGCGTCGTGCGCCGCGCACGTGGGGGATGGAGATTGGGCCCTTTACGGCCGCGCGGTGGTGGATTCGGGGAGGGACGCAGGACGGCACCCGGGCCCGGAAGCCGGAGGGAGGGGAAGGGGGATTGAATGGGTGGGGGTGGATGCCCGTCGCCGGTGTGCCCGCGAGACACAGCGCGATGGCGGAGAGCATGGCACGCGCGACGTAACGCAGTGGGTGACGAGGGTGTGGTGAAGCAATACTTAGGAGACGAGCACGGCAATGGCGAGAGCGTACTTTGGGCGGCGTATACGCAGCAGCAGGTGCTTAATGGACGGCCGGGAAGCGAATTCGAGGGCTTGGCGGGGTTCAGTACTGGATGGGCCCGTCGGCTATTTACATGGACCTCGTGCGAGCACTCCGCGAGGGGGCGTACGAGATCGATGGAAGCCGTCGAACGCGTGCTCGTGCGATCGGGCAGCGGGGGCGCTGTCGATGCGGGGTAAGTGAGGAAACAGGCCTGAAGAGCGTGGCTCGCATGGACGACCTGCTGGGCCGGCGCCCACTGGTCGTACCCCCTCCGATCGCGCCGCGCGGTTCGCCCTGGCCTTCCCTTTTGCTGGCATTAATTGCTGCCAGTGGATGGGCGTTTGTGTCCGCACCGCCGGGCGTCCGAGATGATGTGAGGACGGCGGGACGCGCGCGAAATGCACAGTGAAGCGCGCCTCGGGCGCGGGAAGCAGCCGCGGGTGTGGGGTAAGAAGTGGTGGGGAAGAGCATGTGGCGGGCGGCAGTGGGGTGCGTGGACGGACACGAACGGCTTTCGCAGTCGACGTGCGGACGGACAAGGACAAGAGGCCGCAGACCAAGTACGCCCGCCCGCGCTTGTCCGTCCCGAGGAGCCGGAGAGCGCTCTCGCGCGCGTCATCGAGCGTGGCAGGCCGAGGTCATCGTGGGGATGCGAAAGCGGTGTGTGCTGACCAGTGCGCTCGTCCGGAGGGTACGGCGGCGGAGAGGGGCGGGCATACGCGGGCGGCGGTCAGGCGCGGCGAGTGGAATGGCAGTGGTGGCGGGGAGTGGCAGGCCGGGCGAGGCGGAGAGGATATATGGCCAGGCGCCAGGAACGGAGCGAAAGACGACCCGATCTCCGACTCCCTCAGATCTCGCGCTCTCAATCTCACCCTCTCCCTCTCCGCGGCCGGCTTCTTGCTCCTCTCCCTATCCTCCACGCCTCCCCCCTTTCATATATACGCCCGCCCGCTTCCTCCAGCCATGACCACAGAACCAAATCCAAACTCGACCTCCGACCCCGACGGCCAGCCCTCCTCGTCCGCCGCCCCCGCCCCCTCGATGACCATCCCCCACCCACCCAAGAAGAAGCGAGTCGACGACCCCGCCCTCCCGCCCGACGCTGGCCTCAAACCCGTCCAGCTCCAGCGCAGACGAGTCTGGCGCGCATGCGAGTCCTGCAGGTGCGTGCCCGTGATCGTCGCTCTCCCACTATGTCCCTCCCCCGCCCCCGAACCCCTCCCCGCGCCGGTCCCCCTGCGCCCGCCTTCCGAGTCCCAGGCCCGATCTGATCACCACGTTTTCCCCCATGCTCGCCCGACAGGCGCAAGAAGATCAAGTGCGATGGCATGGAGCCCACATGTTCGCAATGCTTGGCCTCCAAGAGCCAGTGTACCTGGCTGCAGACCAAGGACAGGGCTGCACTCAGCAGACAGTGAGTCTTCTCTCTACTCCCCGCTCTCCTGGCCTTTTCATCCGCCGCGGGAGCGTCACGGGGCCCTCGCTCGTCATCGCCTACACATATATATGATGGCAAATTGTGGGCGAGATCTACCTGATTGCGCTCAGTCCAATGATACCCCGTCGGCGAAATGTCAACGAAGCTGGACTTTGAACCCTTTGTTTGCGCCTCCACGCATCATCAGTCGGAGAGCGTCCATACGTCTCACTACATTGTCCTTGCGGAGGTCTGCCGTTACCACGTCTTATCCCCTGACTCCATTTTCATTTGATTGTCTTCACCTTCGATCTCATCGTTCCTGACATGCCCACAGTTATGTGCAGGAGCTTGAAGCCCGCTTACTCCAGCTGGAGACTCTTTTCCAGCAGACAGCCCCGATTCTCGAGCAAATTGGACAGGCGACCGGTCTCGACCTGAATGCATTGGCTTCTGCAATTTCCGCGAACGAAGGAGGCACGGTACCCCCGACCGAAACGCTCCAGGGGTTTCTTCCCCGCATATCTGAAAGTGAAATTCTCTCCAACGGTATCGGCAGCCGCAGTTCTAGTGGTCAAGGCTCTGAAGGGGACGACGTCGCCGTCAAGATTGAGGATGATGTCTTTGACGCATTCGGCCAGCTCGCACTCGACGAACACGGCCACCTCCATTGGATAGGAAAGTCGTCCACCATGACACTTATTCAGCGACTGCGGGATGCCACGACCTCCCCACTACATCGTGTCTCGCCGATGGAAGAGGATCCTCTCGCGCCAGGCCCGAGCGTCAACAAGCTCTACTTCCCGGCAAGCGTGTACTTCGGGAAGGTCAGAGCTCTCCCCAATCCAGAAGAGGTCGAGTTCCCCGAGCGGGATCTCGCCGATAAACTGGTACGTGGTTCTTTAGACCCCGTGCTCAGATTCGGTAAAGCGGGCCTGACACGCCTCCAGGTCGAGGCCTATTTCGCACGTTTCCACTTCTTGATGCCCGTGTTGGACAAGCCGGACTTCATGCGCCGGTACCGGTTTCTTATGGACCACCAAGGCGACTTCCAATTCATTCGAACACACGCACCATTTGTGGCCCTCGTGTGCGCAGTCTTCGCCGTTGCTTCTCGCTTCGTGGACGACCCCCGCCTGACCATGTCCGATATTGCTGACGAAGCAGGCATGGGTATGGTTTATCACGAACGGTGCGTCTCTTCGCTTTTCCACGAATCTGGGGAATAAACAACTGAGCTTCTGACGGTTCATCCAGTGCCCTGATTTTGCACTACATCAGCGGCTCTTCGATGCAAGTCGAGCATGTCCAGTGCTTTTTGCTCATGACTTCCTTCCTGTGTTCGATCAACTGCCTGCCACAAGCGTGGCTTTTGGTCGGACAGGCGGTGCGTGCGGCGCAGGATATCGGTCTACACGTAAGATTTTCTCGGTCGACTGAAAATTATGCTCTGACCCTGCCATAACTAGCGGTCGCCCCGCCGGCTTCTCGTCAGCCCGATTGAGAAGGAGACCCGTCGCAAGATCTGGTGGGGCGTGTACACCCTCGATAGGATGCTCGCCCTTGCCCTCGGCCGTCCGCTGGCGATCGAGGACAGAGATTGCGATGTGGAGATCCCCGTCGAGCTGGATGACGAACAGCTGCCGCAGTACTTCTCTGGCGCCACCCTTCCGCCGGGGCATGTGCCGCTCATGCGCGGGTTCATCGAGCTAATCTCGCTCTACAAGATCGCCGGCCGGGTTCTGCGCGAGGTCTACGCCATCGACATGTGCAAGGACAATCTGGAGATGAACAAGCGCAACGAGCTCCACCGGTTTGTCGAGACTCTAGACCGGACGCTGAGCAAGTGGTGCGAAGATTTGCCGGCGATCTTCAAGTCCTCGCCGACGACGGAGAAGCAGGTGTCCATGGCGGCGGTGCTTTGCAGTCACTATTATTCAATCCTGACAACGCTCCACCGCAACTTCATCCCGGTCAGAGGCGAACAGCCGGTCGCGCCGATGTCGACGGCAAAGGCGGTCTCGACCGCGCGGGCATGCGTCCGGCTTGCACCATCGATCAAAAACGTCGTGCCTCCGAGCCACCACCTGGCGTTCTTCATCCAGAACCTGTTCAGCTCCGCGGTCATCATCCTGCTGTACGCGATGCACGTCACGGACCCGCAGGCGTCGCGCGCGGCGCTGGAAGAGGCGCGACGGTGTCTTGTGGTGCTGGAGTCGTGGGAGGGGCACTGGCCGGGTGCGCGCAAGTGCAAGGAGCTGCTGGAGGACCTGACGGCGAAGGCGGGCGAGGCGATCAACACCCCGGGACAGACGCGGGACGGGTTCGCGTCCGCCGGGCCCTCGGCCCACTCTCCGTCTTCTGCGCCGATGGCTGTCGACGGACGCGCCCACGGAATGGCTTCTGGGCCGCAGATTCCGGGCCATGTTCCCGAACGGCTCATCCGCAACAGGCCCTCGCGGCGGAATCGGTCGCGTGATGTCCCCATCTCGCCACGCAACGCACACGCCTCGTCGCAATTCCGCGCAGACTGTGAGTCCTCGCGGCTTCTCCGGGCAGATCTCCCGCACTCCCCTTCTCGCCTTACTGACACCCTGTCCCCAGCTCTGCGTGCCCGGTCCACGTCCCGGAAGCGGCCACATGACGAGGATCTCTACCAGGACCAGTACACCGGTCGCTCAGACACCGGCCTGCCCTCTTCTTACCCCGGGCGCTCCACCCTGGCCGCCATGGGCCCGCCCAGCACTCAGGGCTCTTCTCCCATCTCCGTGAACACTTCCTCTCCCCCCGGCCCGGCCCGCCGCTCCATCGACGGCACCGACACCAGCCCGCGCATGATCCAGTCCAACCCATACGCACCCTCCGCAACCCCGCGAGACGTCAGCGTCCAGATCCCCGGTGCTGGCCAGCGCTTCGACTACGACTATACGCTCCCCAGCCCAAGCTCGACGACGGACAGGTGGGCGAGCCCCGCGATGGACGCGAACGAGCTCAAGTTCTTCCCCTCCGACCCGGCTGCGCAGGCGCAGCCCATGCCCATCAGCCGCCCTGCCTTTGGCCAGGGCCATGTCCGCAGCTTTTCGGGCCCGCAGCTCTCAGGCATCGAAACCTCCTCGCCCTTCCTGCTCGACGCGAACGACTTCAACGCCCAGAACGGGAGCGGCGCCGGTGGAGGGAATTACGATCCCTTCTCACCCATCACCGCTGGCCCATCTGCCGGCGCGACGGGTACGACGCCGCCCTCAGCGGGCTTCGCAGCTCCGGGGCTGCCGTTCCACGGGCTCGACTTCATCCGGAATTACAATCCCGCAGGCGGAGCCGCGCCTGTGTTCATGGGCGACCAGCAGGAGCAGTACTGGCAGAGCTCGTTCGACAACTACGGCGTCGACCCGGAGATGGCCTTCACGCTCGGAGGCGACTTCACGACCGACGCGCAGTGGGCTGGGCCCCAGTGAGCGCGAGCGTACGCGCCTCCTTTGTGTTCAGTGCTGGCTAGCACAGGGTGCGCTGCGCTGCGCCGTGCGTCACTCTTATGGCTGTCCTTCTTGCTTTGCCTCGCCAACTCCGACCTCGCTCCACCTCTCCGGCTCGCTGGGCTTCGTGCTGCATTCCCCGCTCTCACTCACTCTTGCTCAAATCATGCTTCTCGGTTCCCTGTTACTGTCATCCACGTGCACCCATCGGGCTACCGACTTGTACCACTAGTATTGTATGGTTTGTGACCACGCGCGCACGACTTTATGACTTACGTTATTGCTGGACTCCCAGGGGAGCCGCAGCTCACATCTTCTTCACGCCCAAATGACCTTCGTCTCTTCCATCCCCGCTCTTCTCCTCTCATCCTCTGCCATCTTCGGTCTCACTCTATGCCCCCTTGACGAGTCTCAGAACAAGGAACTGCTGTTGTATACGTACCTGTACTACATATTCTATACGACTGCTGTTCGGACATACGCTAGTAAGACTAAAACTAATGACTCCTTCTATGTATGTAGCTGAAGTTGAACGATTGCGTCGTGTACCGTGATTAATGACTCTTGGACAAGGACCTGTTTCCGTCTCATGTACTGTAACCTTCGAAGATATGTAATCATCCTGTTTCGCGATCACATGAGCTGGCTTCGACGCTTGATTCAGGTCGAAAATCAGGTTGTGCGGCTGACGCTTCGGCAAAGCTGCTAGTGCTCGGCCTATATACGTCCTCCGGCCTCCTGTCAGTGATTTGGAGCGCACATGAGCCGTCTCCAGGCGTGTCTCGATCGCAGGGGGCGTCTAGGTCGGGGGAACAGGTGCCCGGTATAACCGGCCATCAATGGAGTGCGGGGTCGAGCAGCATACAAGTCTTCCTCTCCCTTTCCCCACATTCCTTCTCCCCCCTTCCTCCTCTGACCGCCCACTTCACTACCATATAATCATGGCCATCACCCTATTGTCGAGTACACGTCGCCGTCGTCGTGGGCGCTGGTGCGTGGTGGTGCTCTTTCTACAGGGGCGAGGACGCTGACGACGGCAAACCGTACGCGTTCCGCCAGATCGAGGACAAGCTGTCGCCGTTTGCGAAGGACACGCTCGCCAAGCTCATCAAGTTCCTCGAGGTACGTCGCCCGCTCTCGCCTCGTGCGCCCGCCCGCGACCCCTGAGTGCTGACCCGCGGGGACGCACAGGAGGACGTGTGGCCGGCGGTGCGCGTCGCGCACGCGCAGGTCCCGCCGGACCACGTCGCGCGCTGGAAGGCGGTCGTGCCGGTGACGGCGGACCTGAAGGCGAAGGCGAAGTCGCTCGGGCTCTGGAACCTGTTCCTCAGCAAGACGCACTACCCGGAGTTCGGGGTGCCGCTGACGAACCTCGAGGTGCGTGTGCGTGCGGGCGGCGGCGGCGGCGGGTGCGCTCACGCTTGGGGCTGCGCGGACAGTACGCGGTCATGGCGGAGCTCCTCGGGCGCGCGGGCCAGGTCTCGTCGGAGTCGGTGAACTGCTCTGCGCCCGACACGGGCAACATGGGTGCGTCGGCCGTCCGTTCGTCCGTATGTCTTCCAGGGTGCTGACGGGCGGGGAAACACAGAGGTGCTCGCGCGGTACGCGTCGCCCGAGCAGCAGAAGAAGTGGCTCGTCCCACTCCTCAACGGCGAGATCCGCTCCGCGTTCTCGATGACCGAGCGTTTCGGTGCGTGCTTGAACTGGGGCGTGACTGCGGACGCGGGGCTCACGGTGCGGGACAGTCGCTTCGTCGGACGCGACGAACATCCGCACCACGATTCGCCAGGAGGGCGACGAGATCGTCATCAACGGGCACAAGTGGTTCGTTCTCGTCTCCTGTCTCCCGTGCATTGAGGGGATGCTGACGTTCCGTGCGCAGGTACATCTCCGGTGCTGGTGACCCGCGCTGTGCGCTTCACCTCGTGCTCGGGAAGAGCGACCCCGACAACTCGGACAAATACCGCCAGCAGAGCATCGTCATCGTCCCGGCGAACGCCCCCGGAGTGAAGGTCGTCCGCGCCATGGGCGTGTTCGGTTACGACGACGCGCCGGAGGGCCACTGCGAAATCATCTATGAAAACGTCCGGGTCCCGGTTTCGAACCTCGTCTACGGATGGGGCAAGGGTTCGAGATCATCCAGGGTCGTCTTGGGTGCGCGCGATAGACTGCCTTCAGAGCGCACGCGACGGGGTGCTGACGCGCTTTTGCAGCCCTGGGCGTATCCACCACTGTATGCGCTCCATCGGCGCGGCGCAGTACGCTCTCGACCTGCTGCTCCAGCGTGTGACGGACCCAGCGAAGAAGACGTTCGGGAAGTTCCTCTACGAGCACGGTGGGTGGATGCTTTCACTTCCATGGCTTAATGACCACTCGACTGATACATGGCGCAGGCACGGTCATTGCGGACATTGCAAAGTCTCGGGCCGAAATTGAGTCTGCGAGATTGCTCGTTTACAGCGCGGCGCTCCAGGTAGGGGATCTCGTTAGGCTGAGCCGAGCACATTTCACTTATGCGCTTCGTGTAGATTGATAAGGTCAAGGCCAAGGGTGCCCTCAAGGAGATCGGTATGCGAAGGTACCTGCTCTTCGCTCCCTGCTGCGTGCGTAAGCTCACCCGGGTTCGCCAGTTTGTCGTCCCGAGCATGGCCTGCCAAGTCATCGACCGCGCCATCCAGGCGTACGGAGCGGAGGGCGTCAGCCAAGACACCCCGCTTGCCGCGATGTACGCTGGCCTGCGCACGCTGCGGATCGCGGACGTCAGTTACCCCCGCCCATGAACCGTTGAACCTACCGCTGACCTCTCGCTCGCTCGTATACAGGGCCCCGACGCGGTGCATATCCAGCAAATCGGCCAGCGCGAGCTCAAGCGCGCTCCGCTGGTCACAAAACGTCACCAGGGCTTCCGGCAGAAGGAGAAGGCTGTGGAAGAGAAGTACGGTGTGAAGGCACACCTGTAAGCCCCGTGCGCCCGTTGCCATCGAGATGCGAGCCTTTGGTGTGCTCGCCGCCGTGTAGTAGTGTGGATGTATAATGTTTTTGCCAGCAAATGAACACGTGCCAGCTTGAAAGTTGAGACGAGCTTGACGAGTGGCGCATATCGTCCCTGTGCCCGAGTGCTCGAGCATGATGATACCTCTCGGGTTGGTGGATTGAAGATATCAGCGCAACAAGCACGCGCTGTGCTAAGCTCAACGTCCAACGTTAACGTTCAACGTTCGTTACTTAGCATCTAGTTGCCGGAACTTAAGTGAACGCCTCAGACCCAGCCGCTTTTGTTCTCACTGCCCTCGCATCGAGCCCAGGTATCTATCTATGGAAGCAAAAGAAGCATTATTATATACAGGGTAGGATTCGACCTCATGGAACTTTCGACATCCCGGCCTCATGAGTAGCAATCATCCGACTGTGGTAGTTGGATCAACGTCCATGACACCCATACCAACTCCATCCGTCTGTCGAGAACCGTCCAGGTCGCTATGTGTCGTTGTCCACACATCCAGCGCCCACTGTTCGATGCGCTCGATCCATTCCTGTCCATCCAACTCCAACTCCTCGTCCAAATACTCATGAGGGGATCCTTGGTGGCCTTTAAGGTGCTGTTGCTGCCGTTGCTGAGGGAGTCCCATGGATGAAGCTCTGGTGCCCAAGGTCTTCCATGGGAGTGTGTGGATGGTGCAAACTTGTGTTCTCGCCGTGTCGGAATCCTGCTGACGGATACGAACGGACCCAGGCAAGATAGATGTCTCGTATGACACAGAGCATCACTAGCTCGTGCGCGCGAAGGAAAGAGAAGGTGCGAAGACACAACGGCGCGTCGCCGCAGAGCGCGAATAGCTTCTGCCCGCTGTTAACGATCGCGTGGTGAAGAGGGATACGGAGAGTCAAGGTCGGAAAGGCGCCGAATGGGTAGACGAACAGCTGCAGCTGGTCGAGCTTGAATGGACCGGGTCCACCAGTATAATAACGCACGGAGAGGCAATGTGACATGCTGGGCAGAGGAACGAGCCTGTACTGGAACTCGGTTCGGTCTGGGTAAAACTGGGCAGGGAAGTCAGCAGTGGGCAATTTGGAGAGCGGATTAGGACGGACAGTCGAAGGATCCTGCCGCCAGTCCCTGGTGCCAGGTACAGCTTTTGCGCGGTACTCGTTTTCGGTGAAGTCCTCACCGACATATTGCTCGTACATAGCCTTGATCGCTTCGCGTGCGTATTCGGCAGGGAGCAGTAACCACCCGGCGGGTTTCGAATCTTCATGCAAATCAAACCAGCTACGTAGTTCTGCTGTGACTGAAAAAGACGCCCATCGAACACGCGCACGGTAAGTCAAGTTGGAGAAACTCACCCGGTATGACATTTTCGCGGGCATTGACATCGAAAGTGCCGCGTATTAAGTCCCATGACCACTCGAGGGCAGCGAGCTCCTCACACAATGAGTCTAACCCGCCATTAACCGAGATAAAGCCCACTCACTTCGTCCTGTGATACTTCGGCTGGGACAACGTGAGCATCCTCCACTGGCGAGTGACCAGAGAAGACATGAGTGACAGCGCACTCGACCTCGTCGGGTGGCTCTTGCTTCTTCACAAGCATGGGTATTGGTGGCTTGGGTCGATCGAGTATCCGAATGCGTTTTTGTTCCTGAATTACGGCACGCTTGACGGTCGATGGTATTGAAGAGACAGACCTAGTGTCGGAGGTGGACCTTCTGCGCTTTCGCGGGCCTGATTTCCTGCCACGGCCCGGTGAATTGGCGGGAGTGGTGTCCATGTCTGTTGATTATGTTTAGATTGTGTTCTGAGGTGCCACAGCGAGAGGAGGAGGAACAGCGTGAACTACGCGTATAATGTAGGTCGCTGTGAGTGGTGGTGGCATCGGACAAGCCTTGATGACCAGGCGCCCGAACCTGCGGCGACGGAGTTGACGGCCGCGGGCGAGTCTCGAGACGCTTCGCTTGCCACTTGTCTTCCTTCTGATAACCCTTCTCTCACTTTGCTTTACGGGCACGTCAGGATGGCATATGTGCAGATTGAATCCGATGATGTGAGTCGCCAGACCCCTTCGTTTGTTCTCTATACTGACGTCACTGTCTCCCCGCTCGCAGCGGATGGAGGAGGGCCCCGAGAGGCTGCAGTTCCAATGTGGGTGTCGCGCAAGCCAACACAGCTTGCGCCTTGTTGACCGCGGTGCACAATTCAACCAGCGTTTCTGAGCACCGATGCCCGCGCGGCGAATCAGGAAGGTGGCAATGGTGCTCCGTCTTCAGGTGCGTCTCCATTCCATATTGTGCATATAGTCTCATCGAACTGAGGTCACTCGCTGCAGGTTACTTCTCCGAAGGTCCCGCGAAGCCTTCAGGATTCTGGCAGCTCGAATACTACCAGCCTTACTTCGATGTCGACACCAAAACCGTACGTGTTCCTTCTACTCCTCCCTGTCCACCGTGCTCGTCGTATCTCTATACGCCATACACTCCGTTAAACTAAGTCTCACTGTCCTGTTCCACATCCGCAGGTCTTGCGTCGCTGTTACACCACGCTCCTCCCACACACCCAAAACTACCTCTCCGCCCACCTAACACCCTCCGCGGACCTCTACGGCCCATTCTGGACGCTCACCACCCTGATCTTCTCCCTCTTCGTATTCTCCTCCCTCGCGTCGTCCATCTCCGCGTACCTCTCCGACCCCGCAGACTCCTCCGCCGCGGTCGTCCTCGAGTACGACTTCGGGCTGCTCTCGACCGCCGTCGGGCTCGTGTACGCGTACGGCCTCGGGGTGCCCGTCCTCCTCTGGCTCGCGCTGCGCTACCTCGGCGTTGGGGAGTGGAGCGTCATCGAGGCCGTCGCCGTCTGGGGCTACGGCCAGTTCGTGTGGATCCCCGTTGCGGTACGCCTTGCCGTTCTCTGCGCCCCCCTGTCCCGCTCATTGAGCTGACGGCGCCGCACCAGCTGCTGAATGTAATCCCGGTGCCGATCGTGCGTTGGGTGCTGACTGGGGTCGCGTCCCTAATCTCCGGGTGGTTCTTGGTCGCGAACGTGTACCCCATCCTTGCCACGGTGCGTATGCGCGGCCCGTCGGTGTCGGAGAAGGGAGGCTGACTCTGCATGCGCGACAGGCGGACGCGAAGCCGGTACGGCTCATCATCATTGTGCTAGCTGCGATGCACGCGGCCGTTGCCCTGTGTTTTCAGATACTCTTTTTCAGCTACTACCCTACTGGAGCAGTGGGGCCCAAAGATCCTATCGCGACCTTACGATAGAGAGCATGGGTGGATATGAACTGGGTTGTAATTTATTGCATCGTGGAAAGTACAGAGTGGTGTAGTGTGAGCAAGAGTGTGGACGCAAGGTGAGGACGGGGGAAGCGCGGGCATCATAGCCCCGCATCCCTCAGAAGAATCTACGGCGTTTCGCAAGGAAGTAGACTACTCCAGTAAGGAGTCCCCCAATGTGACCGGCAGAATCGGTCGACGATTGCTGTGGTGCATGCAAGTGGCCCGTCAGCGAATGACCCTCGTCACGGGGCGAGAGGGGAAATCTTACCCTGTGTGTTATGGCACTGTAACCGTCCCAAGCGAATATACCCGCTAAGAAGACCCATGCAGGTAACGGAACGATTCCGTAAATCAAGAATGTTGTCCGGGGAGACACACATGCTGATAGAGAGATGATCGAGTATATGGCACCGCTAGCACCATGAGACCATTGAATATGGCTGGGCGACAGAATCTGGTTCCAAAGGACACTTGTCAGAGAGCACACCACACCACCTGGAAATGAGCATGTTATTTCTCAACAAGGCTATGGTCATATTTGTTGGGCATACCTCCCAGGTAGAGAGCCAGGAAGCTGGCGTTCCCCAGCATCTTAAGGGCTGCAGGCGCAAAAAAGAAGTAGGTGAAGCCATTGAAGAATATATGCCCAAAGTTTTCATGGGAAAAGCTGCTGGTAATAAGCGTATACCTGCGAGCACGCCACGACTGATTAATAGGCAAAAGGAGAGATCATTGAAAACGCGGCGCACCATCTTCCTTGTTGGAGGTTGTAAATTGAACTTGTGAAGTTCTTCCTCATCCGAATATAAGAGCTACTGTCACCCAGACTTTTCTGGGCGGTCATATATGAGACCACCGCGACAGAAAACACACGAGAGAGCAAAGACTCACCCACTCCGCCGTGGCCATCTGCCATCCCACAAATACCGCGCCGTTCAGTGCCATGATCCCATAGAAGATGTAATTGCTTGGTATCGAGTTCAATCCAGGGAACCTGGGCCCTCCGGATCCCCTGTCGCCGCCACCGCCACCTATCCGACCGAGTGATATTCTGATTCGAGCCTGGCTGCTGCTAGAGTTGATTCCACTGCGGTGTGTTGCTTTGAGAACGCCGCCCAAGAAGCCAGAGAGGGTGGATGCGCGTCGTGGGACACCGAAAGAGTGGAATGCGCGTGCATTGTGTCCAAGAAAAGGCGGGGTAAGCAGCGTCCTCATCGACATCATCGACTCCGAGGACAGGATGCTGGAACTTGGAAGTATGCGTCGGCCAGAATACTCGCCAGCTTCCGTGCCGAGACCGCGTGGGCGCTCGGCTGAAGGATATTTGTGCGTGCTTGGTCCGCGTCGAGGTGCCTGCCGGGATCGAGATCGAGATCCGACGATTCGGGGGCCTTCGTCTTGCGTTGCGCGACCAAGTATCTGTTCATTGCACCCTCTCGATCCTCTACACAACACTGCAATCCGCTGCCATGTCCCACCATTTGTTCTTGCTTTCTCCTCCGACACCCCTCTCTACAACCTGACGCATTACTCGTCTAAGCCGTCTCAAACGACGACGTCCCCTCTGCTTCCAATCTTCCAAGCTGGTCAACCTCCGCATTTGCTGGGACATTGAACGCGCTGTCGGGTGCGACGGGCGCAAATCAAGCACACCAGGGAGGGACAGTCAAGATTGGAGGCGGGCAGGACAGGCATGTCATCCAAATGATTGCGAACGCGAGCTTGGATGCGATAGAGGAGGTGATGCGCAAAGATAGCGTCATGTTAGTACTCGTAATCCATGCGTATTACCCCCGGACTTCAATGTCGCTCTTCCACCCGACAGGTATCTGAAGTCGGTGGATAAGTTCAACGAATGGACGATCTCTGCGTTCGTCACCCCCGGAAGTGAGCTCCCTGCGCTGCTCCCACAGCGCAGGATGATTGATGCTACCGTTGTGTTAGACATGAAATTCGTGCTGTTGCACGAGTCCCGCAACGACGACGGGATCAAAGCGTTTTTCACTGATGTCTGGGAGCTGTATGTCAAGGTGAATCGCCTCGCTCGGGGGTCCGAAGGCCAGCGCTCATCCGCTTTGTCGCAGACAATGCTCAACCCGTTCCACACCGCGCACACGCCGATCCGGAGTGCGGTCTTCGATGCGCGGGTCCGCGCCAGTGCGAAAAAGTATCTGTGAGCACCGGCTCGGGCCGGAGCGGGCGCCATTGCGCTTATTGTCTTGCGTGGAGCCAGTGGCGGTCGGAGGTAGGGTTGGAATGGACGGGGTCCTGGCGACAAAGCAAGGAGTGTGTGTTTGGGACCCGCCGCAGTGGCGGCGGCCATGTACTTTGTACCGCGGCAGGACACGGATTCATCACAGTCGGCCGCAGTCGCAGCGGGAGGAGCAGTCGCGGGCCGGGCGCGTCTGGGGCGGGACGATGTGCGCGGTGGCCGGGGGGCGGGGGCGATGGCGATACTAGGCCCGGGCGGCGGTGATAGCTGTCGTCTCCTCTCTCTCTCAGACCTCTTGGTGGCTCCTCCTTTTCTGTTGTCTCTCCTCGTCTCGGTCTTCACCTTCTATCATATATATCGCTACCCCTTATACGCGTCCGACTTCTTCCTCGGCCAGCCACTCTAATCGCCCCCGGCCTTTTTTCTCGCCAATCCCGCCCCAGCAGCAAAACCCGCGATCCACCACGCACCCAAAGTCTCGGAGAGAGACGGACGTTGTCCATCCTACTGCCTTCTTAGCCCGAAGAACCACTGAGCCCTCAGGTGAGCCCTCTTGGGCCTCTTCGCAGTACTCGCTCTTTCTCAACCGCTCCCAGCTGTACTTTTCCCCCCGTTCCTTCCCACTCCTCGTACTCGAACCCAATCTTCTCGACAGAACCACCAGTCATCGTATATCCCCTCACGAAATGGCCACTCCCGCCCCCAACCCCCGCGCTTCTCTCCTCGCCGGCCTCCGCACTGGCGGCGTCCGTTCCTCCTCGGGCCCCATCCCGCACACTGCCGCTCCCGCAGGCACCTTCAACATTCCCCGCATCATTGCCCCCAACCAAGAGGACAACTATTTCCCTCCTGAGGAAGAAGAGGAGCTCTCCAACATGATGTCCCAGAACCTTTACGTCCAGAACCACCCTCGCCAGGCGCCCATGACTGCGGCTGTGGATGGCATCCCGAACCGCTTCCAGCACCAACAGCAGCACACCATGAACGGCGGCATGCCCTTCAACATGAACCCCAACAACATGAACTCCGCTCAGCTCCAGCAGGTTCAACTCCAGCTCATGCAAATGGAGCTCGCTCGCATGCAGGTATGAGTTTCAGCGTCGTATTTTTTTGTTCTGCATTGTGCTGATCGTGTTTCAGGCCATTCAGGCTCAACAGTACCAGGCTGAACTCATCGCTCAAGCTCAGGCTGCCCAGAACCGCCAGCGTCAGGCGCAGCAAGGCAACCGTCGCGCAGTCTCCTACGCCATGCCGTCACCGCAGGCCCGATGAACACCTCGTTCGATCTTCGCGCGAACAACAGCCAGATGCGCCGCATGAATCAGGCCGACCACCTTCGCTCCACGCTTGGCGTCTCGGAAGACCAAGTTCCCATGACGGCCGCCCTCAACGGCAAGTTTGGTAGCCGCCTCGCCTCCGGCAAGTACGACTCGGACGAGGATGATTTCTCCTCCGTTGGTGCCCGCCCTCCGGCGACTCCAAGCTACACCACGGTTATCAGCGGTGGTACCTCGCTCGGTGCTCCTCCGACCCCCACCATTCAATCCAAGTCGGATGCCGCAGTCTCGTGGCGTCGGGCCCCAAACAACTCGGTCTTGAGTGCCAACCGTGCCGTTTCATCGCCCACTGTGAAGATCACCCCGCCGCCCAGCGAGCGCGTTTCTCCACCCCCTGGACTCGCCGGTGGCAAGGTTCGCCCCACTCCCCTCCGGTTCACCGCCCAGACCTCGCAGCGTGCTGTCGCCATCGACGGTGATGGTGTTGAGGCGGACGACAGCTCTTCCTCCTCCAAGTCCAACTCCTCGCCCAGCACTCCCCACTCGGCTGGTTCCGGCGACGTCCCCCTTTCGCCTCGTGAGGATGCGACCAAGAGGCTGTTCGAAGGTCTCGGTATTGGTCGTGCTCCGTCCGGCATCAACGTCGTCGTCCCTCAGGACTCGCAGATGGTCGTGCAGCGCCTGGCAAGCACCCCTGTTCGCCAGCCTCGCGGCCCCCCTTCAAACAACGAGGAGCTCGTCCCTAAGAACTTCGCGACCCGTAGCAGGCGCAAGGCCGTCGACGCCCTGCTGGAGCACGCGCGCGAGCGCCGTGAGATCATCGTCGAGGCGTACTAGATCCATACGCCCTGGCGCCCTTCCCTCCGGCTTACACCCCAACATACCCTGCGCGTTTGCCCCCGCTGCCCTGCCCCACGACACCCACGGACTGTGATTTTCTTCTGCGACGTTGAGCTGTACGATACCTTCTTCCTGCCCGGATGATGTTGCCACTTTCCTTCTTCTGCGTTGCCAGCGTATTTAACGGCGTGCGTGTATCGAACGGACGATGGCGTATGCGATTACGGCCTGTGCCATTCCCATTTCCGTAACATCCCCTCCTTACTTTCCCCCATCCCTTGATTGGTTCTCGTCTTCCCATATTACTCCACCCCTCCCTCTACCCTCGTCCACGTCCCGCCCGTTGCTGTGTCGATAACCATCGGCAGGACGAGCGGGACTTTTAGGCGGCTCTAGTTCCGGTGCTGTCGGTGGTCTTATGTTCCGAGTAGTAGTAGTAGCTCGAGTGTGTGTCGGTGGAGGCGAGCGCGGTCGGCGTTTTCGCGTAGAGGTGTGGCACGGAGGAGCTGGGCGTAGGGAAGCGGCGCTTCCCCCGGACGATCGACGGACGACTAGGCCATGCTGGGCAGGCGCGGGATGCGCTCTTGAGGGCGGTCCTCGACCCTCTCGGAGCGGTGCGTTTGCGCTCGACGGCGCGCGCATTTTCTGCCTGCCCGTGGCGACGTCTCGTACGCGTTGCGTTTAGTTTTTCTCCCTCCGTACATACATTTGCTCGAATAACGCAGTCCGCCGTATGTATACTTCCTGTATGCTGCGCAGTCCCTCGCTCGTCCTAGTGTGCGTGTGTCGGCGGAAGACTTCGAGATTGCCACTGCCGAGCGAGAGTGTACTGGAACAGGGATAACAAACAACATTGTGACAAGCGCAGTATCAATCATTTACAGTGGCCGCGGTCCTCCTGAAATTGAGAGTACAGTCTTCACTTGCACCTCTGGCCGACGATAGCTCGTCCATGCTCCTGGTAGATTGTGAGCCATCGATGAAATGACATGCGAGCGATGTCGGAAGTAGCGCACCTGCCACTCCTCCTTGCTGATCCACAGCTGGTGGAAGGTACCCAAGCTAGCGAGCATACTGCCACCCAGCCAACCTCCAAACCTGCGCTCGGTGGTGTTACCCGGTGCGTGTAGCTTGACCTGCGAACGAAACAAAGAGAGACCTGTCAGATGCGTCCACATGGCATATGGAGAGTGTCGACTGACGTGTGGGAACTGACGGGCCATCTCGTTCGCGAGCCTGTCCGCGAAGCCGGCGAATTGGCTGCCGCCACCGGTGAGAACGACGTTGCCGAGCAGGACCTGGCGGAGGTCGTGGTCGCAGTGTCCAATCGAGTTCATGATCAGCGCGGGGACCGTCTTGGGCAGATTGGGGTTCGAAGCCTGTTAGGCATGGCGCGACGCGCGATACGATCCGTTAGCGATCCACAGTGCGTTCTAAACGCGAGGGAAGAACGCACGACGAGCTGTTGCGAGTGCGTGAAGAACTGCTCGCCGACGGCGAAGCGCTCGGGGCCGCTGAAGTGCGCGCTGCAGCCGGTCGGGAACTCGTAGTGGCGGGAGCCCTGCTGGACGGCGAGCTGCTCGTTCCATCCCTGGACGAGGCAGCCGCCGACGGACTGGACCCACTCTTCGACCTCGTGCGCCTCCGCCCAGGCGCGCCAGGAGTCGGTCGTGCCCGCCTTGCGGTCCTCGCGCAGGACGAACTTGGGAGGGACGCCGACGTCGACGGGCTGCGTGCATGAAGGGGGGTGTGTGTGAGCGGGGAAGAAGGCGGGGAACGGGATGCTCACGGTTTTGCTCGCGATGAGTTGGTGGGGAATGAGCTGGATTCCGGGCCGCATGGAGGTCTGGTTCATGAGGAGGTGTCTCGCGTGGGCATGGACAAGCTGTGGCAGCGCGCAGTGCGCAAGACCTAGAAGAAAGCCTCGATGAGGACAAAGCAAATGAGTGCAAGATAGGGACGCCAACCTTTTCGGAGCACGAAGCCGTCGACAACGGGGGTAACACTTGCGGTTGAGTGGCCAATGTCGATGACGAGTGCCGAGCCCTTCCCTGCTGCGAAGCTGTCCCGACGAGAGGTCATGTTTGAATCGTGTTCAAGAGCACAATCGGACGTACGCATTGAGAACCCCCGTGTTAGCAATGTAAAAGGCAGGAGTCTGGAACTCCTCGAACATAATCTCCGCCATGCGTTCCCTGTTGGCCTGTGTGTTCCATGCTGCTTCTGTCACGAGGACTGGATGGTCCGCAGCGCTACAACGCATAACCTCGGAGAACGCGTGATTGATGAGGGAAGGTATGGGGTCAAAGTTCTGGACTGAGTGGAAGAAAGACACATCCAGCAACGCACACGACATAGATCGTATTGTGGAACGTACTCAGTCCGTCGTGCATGGGGTTCCCGACCTGCATCCCGCTCCGCCACAAGGAGGGGCCGTTCTGCCCGATATATAGCTTGGCCTTGGGTTTAGGTGCAGAGAGCTGCTCACCCTCCGGCGCTGCAGCATCCCCCATGGCCACGTCTCCGTTCGAGGTCGATTTTTCTTCCATATAACCAAAAGACGTCGGCACGACTGCCTTCGGTGCGTCATCTCCAGCATACCCCGCGCGCAAGGAGGACGAGCCGATGTCCAGTACCAGGGCCGAAACCTCGTCTAAGTACAGCGTCAGTCAGTGCATGCCGGCAGTTGCACAGACGCAGGACCCACCACCACCGTAATTGACCATGCTGTAGAAGAAAGTGGCGGAGAGAAGGACGCGTGCAAAGCACGGGCGCGCAACGAGAGGCAACGGCTTTCGAACGCGCCCCCCGATCGCATCTCCCCCTGTCCACGTGCTCTCGATCCTCGAATTTTCGGAGGCGCTCGCACTCTGCAACTTCACTGTTCTTTCCCTTCCCTTGTTGCCCTTGTCGTCCCCCTTCTTCTTCGCTATGGTCGCGGCAGAGCTGAAGAAGCACACCAAGAAACGGAAGCCCGCGCCTGAAGAGGATGCACCCGCCCCGCCTCCTTCGGCGTTTCCTGAAGAGGTCGTTCTGGAGATGGGTAGCGAGGATGAAGGAGAAGAAGACGAGGTCGCGTCGGATGACGGCGAAGTGGAGGCATTCCCGGAGATTGATGCGCGAAGCGATACAGACGAGGACGATGGAGACTACCAGGCAGGCGACGAAAACGATGAAGAGGACGACCTTGACCCAGAAGACGAGGAATCGGAAGACGCCTCGGACGACGACCTGCGAATATTCCCTCAGTCGAAAACCATCATATCGGATATCACTGGGCAGCCCAAACGCGTATATCCGGAGATTGAGCCGGACTACGATTCGGACTCGTCCACAGAAGATGTACGGATACCTTTTCTCGCATTTGGGGGCAGTCTCATCTCACTCACGCTGCGTACATCTCCTCCGCAGGCTCCCAATCGCGTCGGAAGTATTCCAATGCATTGGTACGACGATCTACCGCATATAGGCTACGATATTAATGGGAAGAAGGTCCTACGCCCCGCTCGAGGAGACGAGTTGGACAACTTCTTGAAAACCGTCGAGGATTCTGAAGCATGGTGGGCTGCATCCTTGTTTCGCCGGACTGCTCATTGAACGTGGTGCAGGACGTCAGCATTCGACAAGAAGATGCAAATGGACAAGCCATTGACCCCGGAGGAATTGGACCTCATCCGACGGTTGCAGGAAGGCGAAAATCCGGATGCAGCCTATGACCCATATGAGCCTACTGTGGAGTGGTTCACTGGGAAGGGCAAGGAGGAGGTTATGCCAATTTCGGCCGCACCGGAACCCAAGAGGCGTTGGATTCCCAGTAAGTGGGAGAAGAAGAAGGTACGCTGCACAGACTCTGCTGAATGCATAGCGTTCTAATGCCCCTGGACAGGTCATGAAGATCGTTCGTGCTATCCGCGCAGGCCGTATTGTGCCCAACAAGCCGAAGACTGCATCCACCGAGCCTCGGTTCTACTCCGTCTGGAATGACGAGCCCTCCGGCGCGCCCGCGCCCCTCCCTGCACCCAAACCCCGTCTACCAGGCCACGCCGAATCTTACAACCCCCAGAAGAGTATCTGCCCTCGCCGGAAGAGCGCGCGCAATGGGAAGCCACGGAGCCGGAGGACCGCGAGCGCGACTTCCTGCCGCAAAAGTACAGCGCGCTCCGGCTCGTGCCCGCGTACGACCGGTTTATCAAGGAGCGCTTTGGTCGCCAGCTCGACCTGTATCTCGCGCCGCGCGTCCAGCGCGTGAAGCTCCGGATCGACCCGGAGAGCCTGATCCCGAAGCTGCCCAGCCCGAGTAGCCTTAAGCCGTTCCCGGTCTACAGGAGCTTGGAGGTCCGCATAACAAGCGGGTGCGTGCTTTGAGCGTGAGCCCAGACGGAGGATGGGCGGTCAGTGGCGACGAGAGCGGAGTCGTGAAGCTGTGGGAGGTCATGGTTGGGAAGGAGGTGAAGAGGTGGACGTTCAAGAGCAAGATTGGGCGGTCGAATGGTGTCCAAGGACGGACGTCAGCTTCTTCGCAGTCGCTATGTGAGTGAGCCTTCTGTGGGGGTGCTGGGTGAGGCCGCTGATTTCGGTTCTTCAGCGAGGACACATCCATTTCATCATCCTCCCAATCTCCCGGCCTAGTGCTGACCGCAACGCAAAACGTTCTGGCACCTGCAAACCTTCCGCCTCCCGCGCCGTTGCTTCACCAGTCAAATGGAGTTCGGTGCCGGCTGCGCAATCATCATCAGAGCTCCTACACTCACCCTGAACCTCCCTACATCGCCCGAGCCACCCAAACAGCTCGTATGGCACCGAAAGGGGATTATGTCGCTTCAATGTGTACGTCTCGAAACCCTTGCCTATCAATGTCCGGTGCGCTGACAGATCGGGACGTCGCAGCGGAAGGTCAGGCAGGGGTTTGGATACACCAGATGTCTCGTCGGCACTCGCAGGCACCGTTCAAGAAGGTCAAGGGCGCGGTCCAGCTCGTTCTATTCCATCCCTCAAAACCGCACTTCTTCGTCGCAGTACGTCCCCGTCCCTCGGACATCCATGCTAATGTTGTGTTCTGACGCTAACTATCTGTGGCCGTGATTGGCGGAAACAGACCCAGCGATACGTGCGGATGTACGACCTCGCGGAGCAAAAGCTCCTCAAAACGCTCACCCCCGGCACGCGCTGGATCTCGTCGATGGACGTGCATCCATCAGGGGACCACCTGATCGTGGGTGGGTACGACCGCAAGTTGTGCTGGTTCGACCTCGAGCTCAGCGACAAGCCGTACAAGATCCTCCGGTATGTGATTGCGCAACTTCTATCCCACGCTTTTTCCGCGCATACATCACAACCACCATTCCTGTCTGTCTTCCCTGCTTGGACCTCCGTGTTGAGATCGGAATGTACTTTGTATCATACATGTTGACTTTCTGATGCCCGCGCCATCGCCGTCCCACCGGCGCGCCGCAGCGCGCCCCTCTTCCGTTCTCCTGCGCTCATCTCAGGGCAGCTGACCGAGGTTCCCTACCCACGCAGGTACCACGCTCGGGCGCTGCGGTCGGTCGCGTTCCACCCCACGTACCCGCTGTTCGCGTCGTCGTCGGACGACGGCTCGATCCAGATCTTCCACGCGCGGGTGTACAACGACCTGATGACGAACCCGCTCATCGTCCCGCTCAAGATCCTCCGGGGGCACGGGGTGCGGGAGGGCTCGGGGTGTTTAGCGTCCGCTGGGTGCCGCGGCAGCCGTGGCTGGTGAGCGCGGGGGCGGACGGACAGGTGGCGGTGTGGTGCAGCTAGTGCATACGGAGCACGTGTAGTACTGTACGGTGCTTGGTGCGTCGGATCGGGACGGGGTTGGGCGGGTGGGGACCGTCGCATGTAGGGATATATTGCGGGTGCAACGATCATTTGTTTGCTCGGTATGTACGTGACCGCACCAATCGCGTAGAACACCGGAGATGAAGCTTTGAAGCTTGAAGCCTCGCGCTTGTGATGGGTGGATCGCGTACCTGTGGTGCGCATCCTTGGGAGGAACGCGCCATGCAGTCTCCCGAGAGACGGTCCGTGAGCCACGGTCGGTGCGCGGGTGGGGTCCGGGCCCACCGGAACGAGGGATCAGAGTCCGGTCGAAGGGCGGAGGGCGCCTGACGTCAGGCCGGAGACGGACAAGCGCAAGTCGCCGGACGAGTTGACAGCGTCGCGATGGCAAACGCACGCTGCCGCCTCGTGCTCGCCGCGCGCAGCGGGCGCGTCGTAAGCCATGCAGGCTAAGGGGTGCGATCGGGACGCGATGCAGATTTATGAAGTCGCGAGGGCCGCGGAGCAAGCGAAGCTTCGCTCACGGACCCGCGCGCAGAGCTGGAAGTGGCTCGCGAAGGCGAAAGTCTGCTGCGCGACGGCAGACGGGACGGACGCTGGGGCGGCGTCAGCGCTGCCGTTATGTACGTGGATTGCAAGCGATGAAACACGGATGTAAGTACATACTTGGACGCTGGCCGGCCATGACAGCGCCGTCGCTCGCGGGGAGCGATGCAGGTGCCGGTGATGGGTCGTTGGTCGCAGCCGCGCACAAGGCCGTCGCGCGGGCGAAAGGCGGGTGCGCGGGGGAGCTGGAGAGGGAAGAAGGGCGCGAGTCAATGTCGAGTTCGAGACGGCCAGAAAAGGCAGGAGCTGCTGGATCGGGTGATTGGGAGGGAGATCGGGGCCTCTTCCCTCCGCTCGCTTTCCCGCTCGTCTCGCTCGTCTTTCCTCCGCTCGTCTTCCCTCCCCACTCGCCTTCTCGCCCACCCGTCGACGCTCAGGATCCCCGCGCGCGCAAGCCAGCCACAAACCCCGAGCCCGAGGCGCCTCACTCGTTGCGATGGGCGGAGAGGCGTCCCGCCTGAGAGAACAAAGGACGGCCGCGAAGAAGCCCTCGCCCGTGGGCGCTGCCCGTCGCTCGGACGCTTGCCGTAACCGCGCCAGACCTGCGCGCGCCACTGTAAAGCCCGCGCCATAAAACATACCCCGTGTCGCTGCAGGCCCCGGTTCCTCTCCTCGCCCCCTCCCCCACCGTCCCGGTCTCCTCCTTCTCCTTCTCCTCCTCCTTCCGCCTGTCCCGATATGCCTGACTGGAGCGACCCCAAGGAGCTCCAGCACGAGAGTGGTCCGTCGTCTCCCTTCTCGCTTCCGACCGCGTCCTTGCCTGACACTCCCCGCGTAGTGGCCTACACGAATGTCATCTTCGCATGCTTTGGATTGTACATTTGGGAAGTCTTCCAGACCTTCGACTTCGAGCTCTCCTTGCTTCGTGGCCGCCGCAAGTTCCGCTTGGAATGGGTCAGTCCTTTTCATCTACTTCCCTCCTCAGCTCCAGAGCGCTAATCTTTCGACAGAGTACGTGCTCTTTCATCTAAATCCCGTTCGACAGTCCTCAGGTCTTCCCTCCAGTCTTCATGTTCGTTTGCCGGTACAGTCTTGTCCCCTCCGTCGCTGCGTTGTGCGTCCCACCATTTCCCCCACCCGATCATATGGTTAACTCGCTACCGTAGGATGGCCTCCTTCACGGTGAAATCCCCGGTCGGTATCATCCACCAAAGTGATCGGAAGCCCTTCTGACGAACGACAATTAGATCAACTGCCAAGGCCTTTACACCTTCATCTCGGTATGGAGACTCCTTCGGTTCTTTCTCCGTTGACTAACGCATGTATTCAGGTAACGGGGAACCTCTCCATCATCTGCGCATCCGCCACCCTCGCCTTTAGAGTGTATGCCTTCTAATCACCCTCGTCTATGACCTCGTGCTCACCAGCCTCAACAGCATCGCGCTCTGGCGGCGGCAGCTCGTCGTTTCCCTCTTGGTTGGCGCTCTCTGCCTCGGCGATTGGGCCCTGCTCGTCCGCGGAATGTTCGTTATGTCCGCGACGTACGATCCCACCGCGCTCGCGTGCTCGGCGACGACGAACCACCTCAGGTGGCTGGGGGCGACGTTCTGGACGAGTGAGTGCTCTCATTGATCTCAGCGCCGTAGAAGTATGTGTGTGCTAAAGGGTTTGGTGCGCAGCGCTGGCCTACAACTTCGTGCTTCTCGTCTTTTACGTCGTCGGCCTCATGCGCCGGGATCATGGTGCGACCCTGTGGGAGCTGCTCGTTGAGGATGGCGTGATCTGCTACCTTGTGGCGTTCTCGGCAAACGCCCCTGCTGCGGTGAGTGTCTTCATATGGACTGCACGTTTACAAGTGTCTTATCCTGTGGCAATTAGGTGATGACCGTGTTGAACCTGACTCGTGAGTAGTCTTTCGACGAATATGTTTTCGAATCGATTGACTGACCTGGCCATTGCAGCAATCATGGACCTGTGAGTTGGGGTTCTCGTCGACCATAGCTAAAAAGCTATATACTTACTGACCTCGCGAATCGTCGCTCCTTCTTAGCATCTGCATTGTGAGTCCCGCATGCGACCCCTTCGTACTCGAGTAGGTCGCTGACATATATACACACGCAGGTTCCTGCCGCTGTCTTGACGTACGCATTTCAATTCATCTTTATCTCGCCGTACATCAGAATTAATGCCTCTTCCACTTTTCACAGTGCGATGGCCGCCTGCCGAACAGTGACTACTCTCCGACCCGTCGATGACAACGACGACCCGTACGTACACAGCGCGACGCAGCTCTCGCCCGCGACGACCCGCCCGCCTTTGCGCTTCTCCTCCCGCTACCCCCCGCGCCCGGAGGTGCACGTCACGACGGACCACATTGTCATGCAGGACTTCGAGTGCGTACCGCCGTCTCCCTACCTCTCGAAGTTGGTCCTCTGACTCCAGACGTCCTCTCTTGCAGGCCGAGCCCCTCAACCGCCAAGTCCGACCTGAAGGCGCCATCCCTGACGCACGACGAGTCGGCCGAACAAAAGGCCTTCCACGCCGTATGAGCCGCCCCCGCCCCCCTACGCCTCTCTCCCCCTCTCAGCACACGACTGGAGACTCTGCTTACCTCTCCGACCTCTCCTTACATTACTCACGTACACTACTTCTCACCCAAGTTGTTCCGGTCGCTCCCGCCCCCCACCCCATGTAGCCTGCGGCTCTTGGACACGCCCGCGGTCCACGCCCGACCCGCCCTTTGCTCGCTCGCTCGCCCGCCCGCCCATCACGCTGAAGCACCGCACGAATCGTCACGAACCAAGCGAGTGGGCCTCCCCCCTCCCAACGTGCGCGCGTGTACGAAGCAGTCGAAGCTTAGCCGGTGGCCGTCCTCTCTCTCTCTCCCCCTCTGTGTATTGTACATAACTACCGCCCTGCTGGCGCGCTCTCCTGCGCTTTTCCTCCGTCGTCTGCGGCATGGAATGTGACTAGACAACTGCGTTTGCGGTTTGTGTGTATTGGCCGTTGGTTTTGATGTGCTGGTGCCATAAGCCCGAGCGACGTTGTTGTGATTGAGGGTCTCTACTGATCTCGTGGATCCGGAGAGATCGAAGCTCTATTACGGCTCGATTCGATGGGTTGCAAGTCATACTATCGATTCTCAGGATGATGTAGACATCACCGAATACACCTGGAAATCTGAACCCCTTGGTCTGCATGATTCTGTACACGGTCTGTCCGAACGACGCTCAGTGATCAACAAGCCCTACGGATGCTGTCGCTCGATTGAGAACAAGTACTCATGACGTTTGTCTGTTCGTATCCCAGGTGGGGACCGAGAGCCATATCACATACAGCATACAGTCGGTGTAATAGCTACTGCGCGGCGAAGGAAGAACGCATACAAGGTCGAAGGGAGACGGTACATGACGGCCTGAGTAGCAGCAGGGTGTAAAAGCCAGAGGGATGACGCATGGACGGTCTCTCGAACGAGAGTTTTGACAACGCCGGCGCACGCGAACGCGACGACGCACGGAGCGTCCGGGGCTCATCGCCTCCGTTGCGACCGTCCAGCCTTCCGCCGCGCGGCGACGCCGCCCTGGCGGTTCATGCCCCGCGCGGCCGGCCGTGGGGTCAGTCCCTTGGACGCGCGCCACTGCTCCCGCCGCGAATTGCGTGGGCCGTGTGTGGAGACCTTCGAGGAGGATCCAGAGGAAGGCCCGGCGCCTGAGTCGAGGGCCATGGCGTCTGTGCGCGGGGAAACATAAATTTGGATACGATGAGACCATGTGGTATGGATACAGGGGATATCGGTACAGACCTGCGCCGTCGCCGGAGGGATCCTGGGCATCTGGTGGTAGTGGAGAGGAGAGAGAACAGAGGCATCAACGATCGTCGCCGCCGTCGGAGCAGAGAGACGAGGAGGAGGGGAAGAGGTGGTCGAGCCCGCCGGTGGGCGAGCACTGGGAGACGGATCGAGGACGCCGCAGCACAGTGCCCCCGAGGGAACCCGAGCGTGAGGGCCCGCTATGTGGTGCGTACTCGGAAGACGGAGGCAGCGCATCCCAGAGCTCCCCAAGACCGTCCGCAGTCATGTCCGCAGGGTCCATGAGCCCGAGCAAGAAGAGCGAAGCCCGCGGATTCGGGAGCCCGCGCGGCTCCCTCTGTCTCTCCACGGCCTGAGCAAGAGCGGGGCGGCGGCACCAACCTGCGTTGCCCTCTCCGTCCACGGTCTCCTCCTTGTCGGCCGCCATCGCGTCTGCGTCCGGGTCTTCTTTGCCGCTCAGTGAGACGAGCGCACGGAGCTTCGAGTTGAGGCGGTGGAGGCGGGCTGCCTCAACGGCGGCGTATACACTGTCTTCACGCTTCTTTGCGCGGAAATGGCGCTTGACTTTGGAGCGGGTAGATTTGGCCATCGGGGTGGTGTTGGTATTGTTGTGGGAAGATGGCGATGGGTGGATTGTTAGGCTCGAGGGCGAGGTGAAAACGACGGTGGAAGTTGCGAGTGAGGGCCTTGGCCTTCGCTGTGGTGGTGGTGGTGGTGGTGGTGGTGGTGGTGCAGAAGCAAGAGGGGCGAATAGAGAAAGAGGGCGTGGTACGAAAAGTTGTGCGACCCGGCTCCGAGGCGTCCGAAAGAGGAAAGGCACGTGCACAGAGCGGGAAACCCGCTTGAAGCAGTCGGAGTCGGAGTCATTGAATCAATCCTTCCATGCCGTCCGCAAGCAGCGCTGCATCGTATTCTGTACATTATTGCCATGCACCTACATCCTATTTGTTTCCTGTTAGCCGAGCTCACAATGTCTGAGTGCGCTCAATGCCGAACATTCCCCCCTTCTTCGTCTTCTTCTCACCGCTCTGCTGTTGTACATACCATCCCCACCCCGTGTCGACGCCTTCCCGGGACGCCCTGCCCTTCCGCAACGTCGTCGGTTGTTCCCCCCATCCTCATGGGGCGTGTCGCGGCCGGGTCCGCTTTCGTCGTCTAGCAAGCCCACGGCGACCCGTAATAGAAATCCTGACCCTTCATCATCCGCGTTTTCAACAGATTTCTGTGTCCTCCACTTTCACATCAACATGGCTCTGGCTCCTTCCAAAGCCAACAGCAACTTTCAAGGCGAAGAAAGTAGAGGTGGTATATACCGTCCTCTATACTCACAACTGGTTTTGCGCGCAGGCATTCCACAAACGATGCGACCGCTTCCCACACGACTCAGAGATGGTTTCCGTTGGTTTGCCTCCAGACCCCAGTGTCTGGAAGCGAGAATGGGACGAAGACGAAGACGAACCGGGTTCGGTGCACCCGTCCCACTCAGAACGTCGACAGCCTCAGCCGTGCGTGATGCACCTCGTCGCCGAGGAGTATCCTTTGCTCGCCACGGAGGCCACCGCCACCGCGTGCGCTGCAAAAAGCTTGACCGCGACCTCGCTCGCGCCCGTCGAGATGCACGACCGCCTGTTCGACGTCGTGTGAACGTCCCGCGCGCGCGGACACCACGAGTTCTCGCTCGCGTCGCCCATGTGGGCCACGCTCAAGGGCAACGAGGACATGTACGAGCACGACGCACCCGAGCCCAGTGTCGCCAAGAAAGACCTGCGACGGTGCACCGCTCCGGGGCTCTCACCCGCCCGGGGTGGTGTGGTTTGGGAAACGGTCGTGGCAGATGGAAAGGCTCGACAAGCTGGTGGAGAGGGCGGACCTGTGCATCGTCGTAAGCACCTCGTAAACCGTACGTTGAAATGAGGCGAGGCGAGGCGGGATGACGGCTGACAGCGAGATTCGCCAGGTGTACCCGGCCGCCGGATATGTCGCGGAAGTTCAGGATCACGGTGGATATGTCGCGGTGCTCAGCCTTCACAAGAGCGAGGGGGCGACGAGGCAGACTTTTGGGACCAGCCGAAGAGAAGCTACCCGAAGCCCTCGGGTTGAAGCAATACGTTGGGGCTCCATCGCAGCAAGCAGGAGAAGAGTAGCAGCAGCCGTAGCCCATAGCATTAGAACAAAATGTACTCTAGAATGTATCCTACAGCCGTCGTGTCAGCACGCGTCCTCCACCACAATGCAAAACCATAGACTCACCCAACGCCCTACGCGCCCGGCGCCGCCTTCTCCTCCTCGACCTCCTTCTTCATACCCTCGTACTCGTCCACCAGGGCCTCGAACGTCGGCCGCCCGCGCGAGTGCGTGCCATACAGCGCGCGCAGGACCGCCTCCTCGCGCGGCGACCGCCGCTCGCTCCACGCCGTCGCTGCCGCCGACTTGTTGCCCTTGTCCTCGTACGGAGGCGCGAACTTGGGCTGCCGCTGCATGCGCGTGAGGTCGTGTGCGAGCGTGATGAGCGGCCGCTCCGGCGAGCGCGTCAGGTCCGGGTTGTCCCTCCGGGAATGGATGAAGGCGGCGTCGATCCGGGAGGAGAGGTTTTCGCGCGTGATCCACGTCCGGGAATCGTGATAGAGGTCGACGAGGACGCGCATCTTGTCGTCCGGGAGAGTAAAGTCGACCTTGGGGACGAGCTGGGGCATTAGCTCTGCAGGTTCGGGAGCAGGGTCCGAGGAGGGAGACGATGAGGGGGCAGCATCAGACGTAGAGGCAGAAAGAGGTGGGATCTGTGTGGAGGAGAGGCGAGCCCGTGGTGCTCCTCGCCGGAGAGAGGACCGCAGAGTGCTGGCAGCAATGCTCGACATGGTGAACGAGAGCAAGGAAATGCGCGATCACGTGGCAACCTTCTCGTGCTGTCAAGGACTTGGGGCGCTAACTCGCTCACTTTCCAGTTCATATGACGCTCAAGAGCGACAGCGAACCAGAAATTCTATGCCACTTCATCCATGTCACCTGCGATAATATCCCAGGGGTAAGCAGTATGGGAACATTTACCAGGCGAATAGCAGTCGGACAAAAGCATCACACCTGGACTGGCAGACTACAAATCGAACGCGTATATTATGTGTACAACGGATGGACAATTGCATGAGAATGGTAGAGCTACATTGTACGTTCACGGTTGTCAGAATGCAACAGCTTCACGACATCAAAATTACCGATTTCCCTTCACTTCTGCATACGGGTCCGCTCAGTCGCCTGCGACTGCACGACGCGTTCCATTGCATCTAACCACATCTCAACGTCTGCTGCCGCTCCATGAGTGTTTGCCGCCGCATTCCTCGACTTTGATGCACCGTTGACATGCGTGCGGGGCGTCACAAAAGGAACGGCACCGATGTACCTGGCATGTGCAAGGACAGGAAGTCGCCGCAGAGAACGACCGGACATCTCTTGCTCCTGGACTACAGTCAGCCTATGCCCATCCAGTCTCGAACTGAGCACGCACCCTGCAAGCCTGTGCGAGTCTCATCAGTCGGATAGATGCCAGCCTTGACCTCTCGCGGGTGTCATGCGCCTCGATCTGCGAAGGGGTGCCCATGGCCGGATTTCCGGGTGACTGCAGGCTGAGATTAGAGAACTCGGCCGTCCGTTCGTTTATTTCTGCTTGTGGGTAATCCGGGATATCCTATATGCTCGCTCTCAGCATTGGTGAGACGATTACCGACATACCCGAAAGAACGTACCACGTCTCCGACAATTCTTCTCTTGATCAGCTCGACAAGACACGAGCGTAGAATCTCATAGATCGCCTGACGTGGTGGCAAATCGACGTATTGAACAATATCAGCACGGTCAACAAAAGCGGAGTCTGCAAGTGAGGAGGTGAGCATTGAGAAGTGCAGCAGCGGATGGCATTGGCCGCTTACCAATTGCGGAGGCGAGGTTGCTTGTAGACATGACCAAGCAGTTTTTCTTATGCTTCAGTTTGTCCAGTTGAGTCAGAAGCGCATTCACTACCTAGTTCCAGGTCAATTCCAGCCAAGCGTTGGAACCAGAGGTTACTTTACCCGCAACGCATCCGATGGTTCTGTTCCAGCCATTGCACCCGCCCGTGCCGCCGTCAGGGATTCCACCTCATCTGAATCGAACCCATGAGACGGGTAATGCGAGTTTTCAGCTGCAAGAGGATGGTGCTCACCAATGAGAACAATGACGAATGTCTCGTCATCTTCTACCATCTCCATGATGCTACTGAAAAGCTTTTGAACGAGCTTTCCCGACTCCGAGAACCACTTCGAGAACAACGAGTGCGAGTTGATTTCGAGCAATCGCGAATGAGAGTATCTAGATGATACTATCGATCAGATATTCGCGGTCCACCGTTGGGGGAGATATGCCATCACCTGTGAGAAAGCCGGATAGAGAGCTTCTGTGCCAGAGCGCGGCAGAGTGAAGTCTTGCCCGTACCGGGTGGCCCATGGAGCAGTACCACGCGATTCCACGACACAACGTTGACTGAAATGAACAGATCAGTCAAGAAATGAGCCCGCCAGGAGTCCATATTTACAATCTACATTCGCATCGCTGAAAACTAGCGTTGCATGGATGTAATCAAGTAATTTGGACTTGATGTTGTCGGAGTATATGAGACTGTCCCACAGGCCTTCCCAAAGCATGCTTGGGAGTTCGCATGACGACGCGGCCATTATTTGTTCGTCTTCTCCTCTACCGCTGCCACTAGTGAGCTCTTCGAAAGCGTCGGCTTCCGTGGGCTGATAAACGTGAATTTGAAGAGACGTTTGGTCGATGGGCAAGAAGGATGCCGGACACGCGCTTTCAGACGCATGTATCCGCTCAATCGACGAGGCTAGCAGAGGTACATCTTCCCATCCACCGATGACGGAAGGGAGATAAATGTCGGAGAGGGCGGTGGTCAGATACGAGTTTACGGCGTTCCGGATCGTGTCAAATCGCGAAGTGGCGTTGGCTCGTACGCGCACTTCGACTGGTGAGCGTGTCAGTACTCTGCTGTGCGTGATCCTTAGTGGACTCACTATGCACAGGCCAGATAGTCGATGCACCGCTGTGCGCTAGGGCGATTGTGGGTCCATGTTCATGGAATGTCGTTGATCGCACGACTACACACCATCAGAATTAGTTTCGCCCCAATATCGCCCCGGTATCGAATCAGCCTAGGCACGAGTCGAGTCCGCCCACCTGTCTTCGCGGTTTTTGGTAAAGAGCTTCACACGCTGTGCGAGGCCCTGTGATGTGGTGATGGAGGGAGGTGGAGAAGCAGAAAGCGGCGGTGGGGACTGGATGGTTGTGGCACGATGGCGCGTCTCGTCCACGTGACCGTTTTGCTGACATCACATAATACTTGCCACCCAACGGTCTGTGGACTCCTGTCTCTCATCACCACACGCACTAGGACTATGGCCGACATAGACGGCAACATGGGGAACAACCCAATGGATACTGCCACCTTTGCGCCACCTTCGCAAGCCATCAAACCCAGCATCACGATTGAATTTTGTGACAGGGTGAATGTCCACCCCTTCTGAGTGTGTCCACTTTCCTGACAATTTGTTTCTCAGTGTCGGTGGTGCGTGAAATATAGCAGGAAACCGCTACGTTATTGAAGCAGACAACCATCAGGCTACATCGAGCGACGTGGGTGTCCACCGAACTTTTCTTGACCTTTCCCGCCCCTGCGATCAAGGCGATCAACCTCATGCCACTGCGAAGTGACGAGACCGCTGGGCGATTTCGCGTCTGGTTATATCTGGATGACAAAGCCCCGATACTCGTATGGGACCGCAAAGTCGAAAACGGCTTCCCCGAATTGAAGGTTCTTGTGAGTACTGTGACGACCGCCCCGCGCTGTCGTGCCCTGGTTGAACGCCGTCTTCTGATCTCTGTGCGGCTTTCTGTTCACAGAAGCAGCGTATACGGGATCACGTACTACCCGGCCAATCTCTCGGGCATTCAGACAAATGACTGAGCGGCCCTTGCTCATCTGTTATCTTCAAGGCCGCATGTTTGCATTGTATCAGTTACCGGCTTCATGTAGCGCGTATGTCTGTTTCTGTATCGCTGCACCCCTCATAACCCATCGGTGTGAACGCATCTGCGATCCACACGCAGCTGATTCTCCCAGGTTCCCTCGCTACCCTCCATGGACCAGAATCACCGCCTGATCATTGATTAACTTGTAGGCATAAATGACGCTAGCGGCTCCAGCTCGCTTTGACGAAGCACTATAACGTGACCAACAGATGTGTGCCTTTGAATGCTCGGAAATTGCAATCTCCTACTCCTCCGAACAGGTTACCATTATGGGGTTCATGGCGTTTCCTTTTCCGTGCGGTACGTAACGCTGCGAGCTGTCCTGCTGAGCAAATTCTCCAGATGAACTCCGACGGCGGTCGCCGCAACCTGCCGCCCTCATCGTCGCTCGCAGTCTGGACCCCATCAAGACAGTGCTGGCAGTCACACCCGCCGAGTGTCTGGACCCATTCATTCCCTCCTCGCAGTCACGCTCATATGCTACCGTCGGGGGGTCTCCTGAGTCATCGCGCGATTGGATCCAGTCCGTGCCCCGCAGTATCCCCAAAGGTGTCTTCTCCCCCCACCACCGTCACGTCAATGCGCAGAAGATCCCTCCCAGCCGCACCCCGCCTATCTGTCATTTCCTCCTCCCCGGCGACCCGTCCTTCCGTGCGCTGTGTCTTCTCTCAGCGGCCTTCGCTCTCTTCCGAGGGAATCCCATCCCGGTATGGCGGCGCGATCTTGCGTCATAAGCCCTCCACAGAAGTAGCAGCAGGCCTCAGGCTTCCCGTCTCCCAAGCCTTGGCCTGCTGGCCCGAAGCTCCCAAGTGTGTAAGCATCCGGCGAGGAAGCAAGCCATGTGCGTCGAGGGGATATGCCCGGGGTTCGCCCTTCGTATCTCCGCAGTGCCCGTGGTCTCGCCAAACTTACCGCTCTGCTGTTTCTTTCTCCTCTTGCCGCTGGCGGCTGCGCTATGTTTGCATCCCGCGGAGATTCTGCCGGCCCCTTCTGTTCCAGGAGCCCCCATGCGTTCAAACCTTCGTGCGCGCCAAAATCGAAGGTGCAGATATCACATCTGTCAATGTCGCTCAATCCTGGGGATGGCATTACAAATGCAGCTTACAGCGGCGCCTGTAACCACGGTTGTCCCAGATCGACCGTGACTCGGACTGCACAACGTCCGGTGAGTGACATTTGAGTTCTATGATAGCAAACTGATATCGAGCACAGCCTCGGCTGTTTCCGTTCAGGAGCTGCCCTGCACTCGCACTCCTATGATCTCCGCTCCTCGCCACGCAAGCTGTTCCTGTCTCTTCTCCTTGATGACTACATTGGGTCACCTCGAACTTCCATGGGTCTTAGCACGCACGTCCACACCGCAGTAGGAGTCCACTATGGAAGGACATACGGCACACGCAGTATAGCTCAGTTGACATGGCATCCCCGCACCGCTCACCTGCGCCGGCGGATTTGACGGGCATTCAAAGCCACCATGCTGGATATTCGACGCGCCAGAGTCACGTTGGCCTGGAAGCTCGTCGGTCCCTCCGGCACTGGTACTCGCGCACCCCGGGCCCTGTCGTCCCGCTCCCGTTCCCAGGGTCCAACGACGCTCTGTCGCGGCCCTGCGCAAGCCAAGCAGCCAACCACGTCCGCGCCCGAACGAATGCTTTCCGCGCACCGTCGTGCTCCGTCCGGTCTCGTGAGCTCCCACCGCACCGGCATCCGAGCACCCGAGCACCCCGACGCCTCCGAGACTCGAGTCGCGGCGCCGCAAGCACTCGCGCGCGATCGCGAGGCACTCGAACGACTGCACTGGGTCTCGCCAAAGGATCACCAGACCGGCGCCGCCTCGCGGCCCAACCCGCGATATCATCCCCTCCTCGTGAATACCCGCAGCTGCGTGGCTGCACCAAAGGTCTGCTCTCTCCGTTCCGAATGTGGTGGCACACAAGATCATCCGTAGGCTGCCACAAGATGCGGCCGCGAGGCTGTGTAGTAAGGTTCAGGATTTAGATGCGCCGCAGAGCGCTTCTGTTCGTCGGCGCGACCTCTATACCTTCTCTCGATCGAGATCGGAAACGTACAGGAGCGAAAGTGCGGAACACGGGAAGTTCTACAGGTCGTCAAAATGTGGCACGCGCGCAATACGCTTCGAAACCAGAGCAAGCACTCCAACATCTGGTGCCCACGCCGACGGTGAGGAATGACAAGAGCCCGATATATTTACTACGACCGCGCTAACTACATTCTGGATGCCCCGTGACGGGCTCCCGCGGCAACGTACAGTAGTGTTCGTAGGTACTGTTATGGAATAGTGGAGCGACTGGCGGTTCTAGCTAGCGTGAGCCGGAACATCCTCGGTCATCGCACGCGCGGCGCGGACGGCCTCGACGTGTGCATGCACGCACCGCCAGCCGCCTTGCGCTGTATTCTATGTATCTTAACACCGCGACCTGACAGGGCGCGGGTAGCAAGCGAAGCCCTCCCGCGCGCGCGACACGCTCCCCAGGAGCGGGGAGGGACAACGCGCGCAGCGAGAGGTCCGGTCCGACGGCGCGCTGCAGATATACCACACCTGCGCTCCCAAAAAGACAACGTCCGTATGTGCCGAAGGGTTGGGGGATCCGAGGCCTCCTACACGCAGTATATGTAACAGTTTTGGTACAGCGTCCGCAAGCGGAGGGAAAGTGAAACGGGGACGGGGAGGGAAAAGAGGCAGCATATGTACAGTATATTTATACTTAACTTCTCCACTTCACTTTCGAGGACGCAAAGGAACGCGCGCGTGAGCGACAGCACGAGCAAAAGATGGTGTGCACGAAAGATCGGAACAGCGGGGGAGGGGGAGGGGAAAGAGGATCGGATGCTGAAGGGGTGAATGTCGAAGTCGAGAGCGGTAGGGACTACGAGTCCAATGGCTGGCGAGATGCTGCAGCCGAAGCCGACGCGCCCTGCATGAACACACTGACCGGAGTCGTTGCCCGCGGAGCCTCCGCCATGCACTCTTCCAAATCATGACTCCTGCCCTCCTCGCCGAGAGGAACGCGACGCGCTCCTCTGCGTACGCAGCCTCCATCGCATCCTCATCCTGGAGCTCCTCGTCGACGGCCTTGCGAGTGATGTACGAGAGGTAGACGAAGATGGCGAGGCAGAGGAAGATGCCGGCGATGGTCGAGTAGTGCGACAGCGCGCTGCCCTCGTCGTCTTCGCCCGTAGATTCCTTGACGTGGTACTCGGCGAACGAGTGGATCGAGGAGCCGATGGACGTGTGGATGATCAACTTCGGGAGCGACAGGGCGGTGCAGAATGTGTAGGTGCGGAGGGTGAGAGACGGCGACGCAGCGAGGAGGCAGTTCATGACGTTGTAGGGATAGGGAGCCAGGCGGATCAGGAAGAGAAGCTTCGGGTTGTTCTCGATCGCGCGGACGACGCGCTTGACCCACTGCGTGCATGATAACCAGCGCGAGATGCTTGCGCGGAAGAAGGTGCGGGAGAGGCCGAACACTACGAGCGCACCGGCGAGAGAGGCCCCGTAGGAGATGACCGCGCCGGTCCAGGGGCCGAAGGTGTACCCAGAGAGGATAATGAGCGTGGAGTATAGTGGAACGGGTGCTGCGGAGAGAAGCCGCGCGATTAGACAGCGCGAATTGGTGGAAGCCGCAGCAGGACTCTTACGAAAGGTGGTGATAAAAATGAGCGTGAATATCACTGCGTATCCGGTGTAGGTATCGGATTTCAGCCACCTCGAAAGCGCATCTAGACCTGTCAAGATGGAACAGCGTGAGCTGTGCGCACGGGCTGTAACGAAGGCGATGCACGGCGGAGGACACATACTTTGGAAGACCTCGACCTTCCAAAAGCTGACGGCGACGAGGAAGCCAAGTGTAGTGAGGATGTAGAGTATTATGGGGATCCATGGTCTGATTAGGTTGGCTATCCGGAGGCCGCGGGGACGAGTGTATGGTGAGGGGGTGGCGAAGGGAGATGCGGTGGACGCAGACGAAGTGGTTGGCCAGCTAGACGCGATCGGGCAAGGTGCGGGTGAAAAGGGCGGATGAAGGTGCGAAGTGCGTGGCTGGTGGTTGCGCGAGGACCGGATCCATGGCGGTATTGAGGACACAGGGGAGGACGCGACGGGGGAACGGAAAGAAGGGCCAGCGATCGGGGACATGTCCTGGGGCGGACCCGCGGGCCTGTGGGACGACAGCTCGAGCTGGGACAGGGAATGCTTCTTCTCATCGTAGACGACTTCCTGGATGTGGGCAAATCGATGCGACTGTGAGGCCATGTGAGCGACTGGAGGGGAGGGAGAGGACGAGAGGGAAGAGGTGTGGACGAGATGGAGAGACGGGAGGGCTGTCCTGGCCGTGTGGAGAGGTTGTGCAAGTCCATTGCAAGATGGAGGCCAGTCCAAAGGGATCCGTGGGGAGAGAGAAGGGCGAGGGGAGGATGGAAAACGGCGGCGACGATGCTGCCAGGGACAGAGATGATGCCGCGAGGGCTGGGGAGCGGGAGCGCGACGGGCCTAGAGAAGAGGTATATATTCCTGATTGCTTCCCACGCCTCGCGATCCCCCCGCCGGGATCGGCGCTTCCGGGCCTTGCCTGCTACGCGACGCCCCCTCATCGACAGTATCGCTCGCAGCGGCCCCAATCTGTCCCTGCGCTCGCAGACAGAAGACTTGCCCCGCCGCAGCAACGACGCGAGAATGCACGTACCGCGGTGGCAGTGCCGCGAGACGCATGGATGCAAAGTCGTCCATGCGCCAAATATGAGTCCTCCAGCCTCGCTCTGCACTCTGCAAACGTCGCGGCCGGTGGTCTGATATAACTCGTCGCCAGAGGGCCTGCCGAGTCCCGACCACTGTTCCTGGCGGAGCATCGCCCGGCCCCCGCTCGCGCCCGCAACGAGGGTATCGGGGCCGCTGGCGTACCACGTGCGCCCGCCAACCCCCCGCGTGAGCCCGCAGTGACGCGCCCCGCGACCTTGGCTGCTTCTCCTCTTCCTGCCTCCCCCGCGAATAACCCATTCGTCCTCTTCTGCTCGTACGCCGACGCTGCAGCCCTCTCCCCGGTCCGCGCGAGCCTCTCCCTCCTCGAACGTGCGCCCGTCATGGCCCTCGCCCTCCTCCGCCGCGCCTCCACGCCCCGATCGCCCCTGGCGCACCTCAGGCGACCCCGCGGTGCCCTGCCCGCGTGTCCACTTTCCACCGGGACGCAAACCAGCCCCGGTGCCGGCGCGAGGCCGCCGCCTCCTCCTTCACCACACGCCCGCTTTTACTCCGAGTACGCGGCGGGCATGGTCCCCGTCGCCCTGCTCGGTTCCGTCGTCTACATCGTGCGCACCGCCCTCCTCGTCCTCCTCCCACGTCCGCGAAGCTCACCCGGTCTTTTGCTTTGCGACTCTATCTGCGCACGTGCGGCTGCGTTATCTTTCGCTGCCCCGGCTTCGTCTTCCCCGCCGCTCCGTGCGGCCGCATTCGACCCAACCTTGCACGCAAACCTCCCACGCACGACGGACACACTTGGCGTGCGCAGGGCCTACGAACGTGGCAGCAGCACCTCGCCCACGAGCGGTTCCTCGTCGAGGCGGAGGCGCACGTCCGGGAGCTCGAGGCGGAAGTGGTGGCCCTCCGGCATGAGCGGGACGTGGTGGAGGCACGGGCGGCGTCGGGAGGCCGGGGTGTGATGGAGGGCGACAGGCAGGCGGGCAGGCGGTGGTGGCATTGGTAGCGTGTGCTGGTGTGCTCTACTCAACATCTGGACCTGCCACACGTCTGTCGGGCGGTGGTCCATCGTGACGCTGGTTCGCAGGTACGGTGCTCGTTTCGCTTCAGCGTCCCGCTCACGGAATGAAAAAAGCTATGCATAATACTACGAATACTGCGAATTAAGGAACCCATCCAGGAGGAGCCAGATACGGCGAGAGGATACACATAGATCTACGACGGTGGTATATTATAAGGCAGCTTATAGGTACGTGGGTCTATGACGAGACCGCCTTGCTCAGCGCGCTCTTGTGCTTGTCGTAATACTTCATCGAGCTACGCCACCGTCAGACTACTCGACCGGAAGGGGGTATGCCAAGCAAATACTCACCTGAGGATTGCAGACGCCAGCCCTGCAGCGGTCTGGACCTGGCCCTTCGCGCGTTTGAGGCGGAACACATCATAGGCTAGCGAAGCCAAAGCGAAATGAGAACGTAATGCACGAGCTGGGGAGGAGATAATCAAATTTATACGCACAGACGAAGATCAGGTCCATGACGAGCTTCCACTTCGAGATCTGGATCCAATAGTCCTGCTTCTGAAGTCGCGCGAGCTCCTTGTGGTCCAGCTTGTCCGCCGCCGGGTTCGACTTCGCCGTCGTCCCCGCCATCGACTCGTCGTACAACCGGCCTTCGACTGCACACACACCCGACGAACGCTCAGCATCATCCGCACGCCCCCACGCTAGAGAAGGAGAACGCACCTTGATGCTGGAGCTCGAGGATCACGCTCCGCTCGACGCTGTTCTCGACCAGGTTGACGAGCGTGCCGGCGAACCAGCACCAGTTCGCGAGCTTGCCCGCGCGCTCGCCCGCGCGGGGGCCGAGCAGGCCGAGCCGCGAGAGCGTCGCCGCGTCGTCCGCGAGGCCGTTCAGGAGCTCGAGCAGCACCGGGGGCGGCGCGTGCAGGATGGTGTGCAGGAGCGGCTTGCGCTGCCCCTTGCGCGCGCCGCGCGCCGCGTACGGGTCCGACGCGTGCTGTTCGAGGATCGCGGTGAGCGGGGGCAGCCAGTTGAAGAGGATCAGGCATTTTCTGTGCGCCGAGCCGGGCCGGGCGAGGAGGGGGAAGGAGACGGTCAGGATCGTGCTGCACTGCGGGGCGAGACAGGGTGCGCGGAGAGGAGCGAGGAGGCTCACCGGGTGAGGGAGAATCCTGCGATGGCGGAGGTGAGGCGTTTCGTGAGTTCGGTCTCCCAGCCGGGACGAGAGCGGCCCTTGAAGGCGGCACTCGAGGCGAGGGCGACGTGGAAGAGAAGATACATTTTCATCGAATACTGTATCAGTTTCTGTGGACTCGGATATCAGCGGCGGTGCGCAGAACGGGACATTGGGGCGACGTACGAAGGCCTTGTCCCGGCCGTAGGCGGTCTTGAGGACCTCCCGCCATACCTCCTCCTTGCGCACCCGGCTCTTCGCAGCAGCAGCCTTCGCCTCGTCCTCCTCGTCCTCGGTGTGGTAGCCGTCCGCCTCCGGCTCGCGCTCCCCGAGTTGGGTCGCGTCTTCTTTGGAAGACTCGTAATCGGACGCGTACACGTGCGAGGCGGAAGACATGATAGACGTGCGGGGTGTACGCGGCGGATGTGATGAGAGGGGGTTCATTTGGAATGACGAGGTGTCGGAGGGCGGGTCATAGGAAGACGCGAGGTCGGAGTGTACAGAGACGAAGGAGGACGAGGCAGCATGTGCGGCGTACGGGAACGTGATCGAAGACATGGCGGGTGGCGTCCGACCGGGCGGCGGAGCGTGCTCGGTTCGCTTGCGCTTGTATGGGCAGGAAGAGAGGGTGCAGCGCGAGGGCAGCTGGGGCTCGAAGGCGAGTGCAGCGGTGAGACCGTCGGTGGAGAGCGAACGATGGGATGCCACAACTCGCACGCACGACTGCAGCCGCCCACCAGGACGCCAGCGCCTGCGTTGGCCGCCAGGCGCCAGACGCCGCGAAACGCCGCCACGTGCGCGGAGAGAGGAAGGCGGGCCAAACATACGTCAACCGCCGGATCGGGCAGGCAGGCTGTTGCATCCCGCGGTGGCGGACGACGACGACTGCCTCTCGTCTGTCCCAAGTCCGACTGACTGCTCCGCTCTGCCCATGGCAACCTCCATCTCTTCTGGCCTGCGCTCGCCCTCGACACCGAGATCGTCCGCCCCGAGCCCCCGCCCGAGCGCGGCCTCGCCTTCGCCTGCGTTCGGGCTGTCGCAGTCGCGGCCGGTAGTCACGTTCGACGCGGAGCTGCTCAAGGCATACATGAAGGAGCTGCTGCCGACGACGCTCCGGACGGCGACCTGGCCGGAGCCACGAGAGCGCGACAAAGTCAAGGCGTGGATGAAGGAGATCGGGGAGCGCGTCAAGAAGCGGATGCTGGGTGCGTGCCGTCATCCGTCGGCCCACTTCACGGGCGCACGACATGGGCGACGCTGACGATTGCGCGACGGCCTCCGTGGGTTGTGCCCGACAGAAATCCAGCCACGAGACTTGTGAGTCGGCTCTACTGACGCCGCACGGAGACGGATGGCTGACTTTGACCGGGGTTGGTGCAGCAAGTACATCGTGCTCACGCAGATCAACGAGAACGCGGGACAGGGCGGCAGGTGAGTTCCCGGAAGCAGGTTGGGGTGGACGACGTGGATTTGACGAGGGGGGCGCTCGCACGTTCCGCACCAGAGCGGACTTGGTGTGCCACTGGGAAGACTCGGATGCGGTCGCGCAGGAGGTGTTCGCCAACGTACGTCCGCCCGCCTTCCGTTTACGCCGTCGCCCCGACCACCGCGCCGCCGCCGACGGGGCGCGAGGCGCAAGGTGGGGCCGGCCGAGAGGACGTCGCTTACCGCGGGTCCGAAACAGGACTCCATCATATGCATCTGCGTCGCATTCGCGGTCCGGACAATATAGCTGCCCGCTCTGGCCGTGCTCGCGTGGGCGTGGGCTGGCCTGCCGCGCTGCTCTCCTCCGTCCGCCGCCGCCGCGGCCACGCGAACTGTATTTCGACGATACCCCCGGAGAGAGATGTGAATCGGACCTTGCTAGAAAACGCCGTAACCCGCCTGCTGCTCTCCGCCGGCACACTCGCCTCCCCATCCAGCCCGCCTCGACGACACCGCGCGCGCCGTCGCCGTCCCAGCGGGGTAGCACGACGGGCGTCGCGAGAGGGTTCCGCCGATCTGCGCCGCCGGGTCCGGTGAGGCCCGGGACGTGGACGAGACTTGTGAGTGCATTACCGATGGAAACCGCACGCCGCTCACCGCGTCCGCCCCTTCCGCCTCAGTTGATGCACAGACGGCGCTGGGACGCAGTCAGCTGGCGCCTGTACACCACATAATGCGAGGGCTCGTTATCTGCACGCTCGCGCCCTGTCCGCGTACGAGTCCACGGCTGTCACCGCCCCCGCGCTCGCGGAGCCCAATCGCATCGCCAGGCCCGCGTCTGCGCTCCTCCCCGTCGCCGCTAAGAGCCTCGAGGCTAGCCAGACCCCGAGCGAACGAGAGGGCGTATCGCTCGCTCGCGTGCAGTCCGGGACGGAAGTTCGCGGTCCCCGCCGCCGTTACGGAACTCTGTTTCTCATTCACGAATTCTGCATCGGGCAGAGCGCTTCCCCGATGTTCCGCGCACGCTTCGCACTTCGCACCTGGCTCGGTATTCTGACTGCCTTCGTGTCGACACTCCGACGCGACTCTCGGGGTCGATGTCGATCTAGGCGCTCGTGAATATCGCCTCGGCGCCTGATGCGGCGAAAGGAGGTCAATCTCCGAACCACGCCCGCGAGCGGTCTTGGATTCGAAGACCCAATTACGAGGCTTTCATCTGCGCTCGCTCAGGCGCGCGGACGCTCGGGCGTGACATGGGCAACATCGATATCGCGGTCGAGGTCCCCGCTCGCCCAATGCACGCATGTACGTACTGATTGAGTCCTCCCACTGGGCCCGTGCGTGTCGAGTTGGGCCGCCGGAACAGGCGCGGGGGGGGGGCGCTCTCAGAGCTACGCCCATTGCATCATGGGTGATGCCCGAGCTGTTCGTCGCAGGCGCGCGGTTCGTGGCTCTTCGCGGGTGTGCGCCGCGAAGGGCAGGTCCGCGCCGCTTGAGCGGGCCCGATACTGTAGCAAATGCGAATGATGTGGACCGTGTCGCGCGTCCGCGCTTGGCTCGGGCACTAAAGGTCAGTGCTAGCTCGATGCAGGGAAGACACTCGCGTGGCATGTACACGGGGCCGCAGCAGGGTATTGTGTGGGGCGGAATGTGGGGCGGAATGTTTGACCTATCGAGAAGTCACGGAGCGACGACCGACCTTGGGAACGAGACTAGCGGACGTACGTGCTGCGCTTTCTTCTCCGGCGCGCCTCTGCATTCGCGCACAACCGTCGGCAGCAGCGCCGGGTCGGCGAACGCGACGTTAATCGACGATGCCGCGCTCGGAATTGTGGGGGGGGAAGGGCGGGAGAAGCTGCAGGCGTCGGTCCCCGCTGCGCCGTATGTGGGACGATCATTGGGGCTGCGCACGTACGGTGCTAGGCCTGCGCTCCGGCGACCTCGTCGTCTTACGTGGATACGCGCTGTGCAGCCGCCTGCAGCGTCCGAGGCTCGTCGTCGCACACGGCGGCGGCGACGCGGCGACGTGCGCCGCGCCGAGCGCTAGCGTGCGGCGAGTTTGTTGGAGTCTGTTGGATGGATCGGTCGAGGTGCGCCGTGTCTGTGCGCTGCGCATGCGCGATCGCGCGGCAGGACGGTCCCAGTGGCGTTTGAGGCCGGGGTCGAACAAACTCAGAATCCAGATCGCTAGTGGTGAGCACGGCCTGAGGGTGACAAAGGCTGGTTTTTGAACAGACGCAGAAACCTGTTTGACGTCGCTGATATCGTCAGCTGCGGCTGCGTGGCGAGACTGGGCTGAAGCCGAGAGCCTCTCGCAAAGCCCTCCGTCGGTATGTTGTCAACCTACATAGCTGTACTTTGTAGTCCTCGGCGCTTCTGCGGGAGGATACGATAGGCTGAGCTTCGGAAGGTGGTGTTGCACACAAGACCAAAAATGAACACATTCGCAACCCCGTCCTACTACTCCCGTCACCTCGTTCTAGGCATCTCAGCAGAGGAGCGTAACGGGGCCCGCTCCGACCGCAGCCGCCACTCGCACCATGCGACCATGACGTCCCCGGCGCGCGGGGCAGCGGGCGTGGGACGCGACGGGCGTTGAGTAGCGTTTGGAAGGCCCGGCGGAATTTCTGCGTGCCGTCACCGCGCGAACGGCCGCGCCACCGCGCTCGTCGGCTGGCGGGGGGGGCGTGACGCGGTGGCTCGGGCGTAAACAAGCCTAAACGGGGGGCAGCAGACTGCGCGCGGGCGATCGACGTGGCCGGATGCGAGGATGGCGCGCTCGTCCGCAAAGGAGCCGCCGCCGCCGTCGAACAAGGGCCCGGGCCCTGCGTCTGCGGTCCGTCCGTGCGCCTGCCCGGCGGGTGATCAGCATTTGCAACGCGCGCGATACGGCTGGACGAACGAATGAGCGTGCGCGTACGTACGTCCCAGGAGCCCGCCCCGTGCGCGCCCTATCGCCGCCCTGCGCGCGCGCGAGCGAGCGAGCGAGTCAGCAGTCAGCGGTGTCGGAGGGGGGGGGCGGGGGCGGAGCGAGGGTAGGCTAAACCGACGCTGCACCCAGGCGACGTCCCATTCCGGATTGGGGTCGCATTCGGATTGGAGACTTCAGGTCAGAAAGAGCCTTTGACCCCGCCCACGCACCGCGCGGGGTCGCGCGATGGCCGCACCTCCCACCGCCGACGTACGTGCGTCCCGCCCGGGCCCGCGCGCCCTGGTGGTAATGAGTGACGTCGGCGGCGGGCCTGGGTCGGCTTTGCGCTGTTGCCGGCGTGCTGCGCGGTCACGGACGAGTCAGCGAGGGACAAGTGCTGAATACTGAGTGGTGAGCTCTGCTGAGTAGTGAGTAGTAAGTGCTTAGCACGACACGGCCGGCCAAACCAATTACTGACCGGCTCGAGCCAATGGGCGGGAAGGTTTGATGAGTGGCGGCGCTGGATGGCGGGGCGTACTTACGCGTCGAGGGCGTGCTCGCCACGGGGGCTCGTGGGATCATGCGCCATGCAGGCCCATGCTCGCTGCTCGCTCGTTCGGGCAGAGAGTTTGCAGGCGGGTGGCCTGGAAGAGGGTCTGGAGCGCTCCGCCGGCGTTGGAGGTGTGCAGGCCAAAGGCCGGGTGATTATCGCCTGCAGGGGGCGATCGATGGACACCGGAGGATGCGCGAGGGTGTGGAGGGGGTATCAGATGCTCGAGCATGCTCTGGCGAGTCCGTTCGAGCACTCTGTCGGTCACCAGCGGGGACGATGCTGGCACAGGCACGCGGTGGCATGGGAGACGTGCCAGCATCGGCCGGGCCGGGGTGGGCGCGGAGGGATGGCGTGCGTGGGCAGCGACGGGCGAGCGGCCAGTGCAGGCGGTGGCGCGCTCGAGATGGCGTCGACGATGGGCACGGGCGCTCGGAGGGCGGGCTGCAGCAGAGGCTCGCCTCCGCCGACGAGCGCCCGCGGGAGGGCGTGACAGGGGCCCCCGAACACCTCCGGAGTCTTGCGCGGATCTCGATCCGTCCCGCGCGAGAGGGCGAGCGTGACACGGCCAGCGAGCGCGCGTTCGATCTGGTGGGGACAGGCGCCGGTGCTTCTGTCACTGCATTGCGTGGGGGAGAATTGGGGGATGCCGGCAGTTCTCGAGCAGCTTTGTGGCGTTCGGAACCAGCTGGCGACTCGCGTCTTCCTCCCAGGGCAGCCAATATGCTTCGCTGCTCTCAACATCCGCCCGACGCCCCCGACGCCTGCCACCTCACGCTTTGCACACCGACGTAGGAACGCCGGGCACACAACACACCTGCGCTGCAGAGCCAGACGGCGGCCACCACCGTCGCGTCCCACACGGTCCATCGAGCGATCCATCATCATCATGCAGCGCGACAAAAGGCCGGTGGCAGCAGGCAAACTTTCCTACCGGGCCCTCGCGACGTCCCGCTCGCCCGGCTCCCCGCCGCCTTCTTCGTCCGGTGCCCAAAATCTCAAAATCCCCCCCCTGGGCTGCCCTTTGTGACCCGTCCTAGTCTTGTCCGCGCGAGGAGAGAGGAGGACGGTGCGCGCGCCTTGCGCTCCCCATCGCCCACTTGCATCTGCACCCCGATCCGGGGCTGGGGCCCTGGCTGTGCGCGGGGAACTGGGCGTGACGGTGCGGTCGTTGGCTGAGCGTTGAGCGCTCGCTGATCGCTCGCGCGTAGCCCTCTCCACCCGCGAGCCAGTGCAGCAGCGCCAGGACGGAGCAGCGTCGGAACGGGATCACGGCCGCAGACGGGCGAGCGAACGAACGAACTCTGCTGCTCAGCGCTCGCCCCACCCCGTGCCCCGTGCTCTCTCTTCCTCTCTCGACACGGCAGTACGATCGCCAATGCGGTGCGAGGACGTGGGGCACCAGGCGCCCGATCCCCGGACGGACGGACGGGCACATGAAGGAAGATGGCAGTGGGGACGTTGGCACGGGCCCGCCAGTGACGAATGAGGCCGTACTAGAATCCCGCGGCACAGCTTCAGTCTGCGCAGAAAACCCGCCGCTCCCCGAGCACACGCCCCATGGGCAGCGGTCTTCCGGCGACGGCAGCGAAATACAAAAGGTTTGCGGCAGTAAAGAGGGACGCCCGCCCGGCTGTGACTGGCACAGGCCAAGGGGCCCTGAGGGAAGTGAGGGCGCAAAGGGGGCAATAACGCAAGGTTAGGCGCCCCCTCGCGACGCACCGCCAAACGCTCGACGAACAACGAAGGTCGGAAGACGGACATAGCCATCGGAGATCCCGCGTGCACAGCAACGGCAGCGACAGCAACCACGGACCCTCGCGCGCGACAAAAGACGGCCGGCGACTGGGGGGGGCGATGGTTTCATTTGTTCGTTTGTATGCGTATCACCAGGAGAGGGCGCGAAAGGCCCCGCGCGCCGCGTCCAATAACATCGCGTCCGCATCTGGCTCCGCCGCTCTCACCCCGGAAAGACGGGAATACGAATGGCCTGCACTGTGCAGCCGTCGACCGGGGTCTGTGGGCGCACGGCGAGCCAGAGGCTGTTCGCCTGCGCGGACGCGGACCTGCCACGTCGCCTCCCCGACGCCGTCGAGGCCGCAGCTCGTCCACACCCACATCCGCGCTGCCGAGCGAAGCGTCGAGCATCAAGCGTCCGAACCCTCTCCGCCACAAGTAGATTGCTCGGTGAGTTCGGACTCGCGCGGTCGGGGTGGCAACTGCGCGAACGCGTTCGTGGCCGTGTCCGTGTCCGTATGCCCCTCGCGCACGCCCGTCCGTCCGTCCGTCCAGTCCGGTGGCGGGGCCGCAGGTACAGGGCCGCGCGCGACGACCCCGCCTCTTCCCCGCCGCTGGCGTGAAAGCCCGGCCTGTCCATCTCCACCCCGCACAGAACCCTATGTCACGGCCCATTCGTGTGTCGCCCAGCACGTCCTCGCCCGATCAATCATTGGGCCTCCGCGGACCGCTCGCAGGCAGCCCTGTGCAGGGCCCCTGCACTTGATCTGTCAGACGAAAGGACCCGTCTGTGTCTTCAACTCGGCACTCGCAGCAAGCCCGGGAGAGGTGCCCACAGCGAGCCCGGAGTGGAGCGCAGGAGATGATCAGAAGACGAGGACCGGGCAGAGGCCGAGAAGGGCAGGAGATCGTCGGCGGCGCGGAGAATTCGCGCAGGTCGTCAGAATCCGCGCAAGACGAGAAGCGCGCAGAGGCGAGAGGGGCGAGAGCGCCAGGTGGACGTGGGAACGGGACGCGAGGCGTTGTACGTACTCGCCCCGCCGCGACGCGAGGGTGGGAGCGATCGTGGCCGATCCGGGCACCCGGGCGCGCGCCGCTCTCGATCTTGCGTTCGAGGGCGGCTGGGGGCTGGAAGGTTGCCTGGGAGGACCCGCACCCCAGAAGTTTTTCGGCGCGAGCGCACGGCCGTCGATCTGCCTGCGAGAGGACGGAGGACGGAGGTGCGCAAGGACAGTGGGACGAGGCCAGCCGCTTTCTGCGGATAGCTGAGGAAAACACAAGAATGTGCCAAGAGCTCGCTGGGCGAAGGCAGCCCGCCGCGGAGTACGAGAGAGAAGACTTGGCACCGCTCGCTTCCGCCCTTCGCTCGTCTCACTGGAGGGGGAGAAGAGAGAAGAGCGCAGGGTGAGCGTGGATCGACATGTGCCTGAGCGAAGCCCGCGGTGCGAGAGGTGCGCTGGGAAAAGAGTCCGAGATGCTCCCCGTCGCACCGTCCGTTCACCCCGCGACACGCCTGCCCAGCTCGCCGGCAGACAAGCTGCGGAAGTCGGCCCATTCAGTATACCCGCTGCTTGCCAGTGGGCAGCGGGCTTTGGCTTATCTATCACGACTGAGCGGATGGCTCCGGTGCTGCTGCATTGAGTTAAAATAAACATGGTCCGGAGGCGCATAAGTTGCAACGCAGACGCGACAGGACATTGAACTCACGCGCAATTCAATGCTCCGACGAAGGTTCTGTGAATTGTGTTGCTTTGGACCGCGACTCCTCGAACCCAGTCCGCCATCGAAGGGTGATGGACATTCCTCGACAGCTTCCGGCCCTCTGCGAAGCGTTCGCTCAAATCTATCTTTCGGACAGAGTTTGAGAAAGGAGTAGCGGATTGGTAGGCACCGTAGTGACTATCGCGGGCTTCCGCACATTTATCAGACGATCCACCGGCCACTGACAGCTGTTGCCCGCTGGCAAGATGGACGTCGAGTCATGTATATTGGTTGTGACTCAATCAAAGGAGAAGCTCACCCTGTCCTCGTGTGTACAAATTTATCTCTCATTCCCGTGGGAGGGACAGGCTCCATGCCATTGAGAATACCGTGGATTACGAGGCGTGACGTAGTTTTGGTATTCTCATATCCGACCACAGCGGGTATGCCACGGAATATTCCGTGTTCTTCGCACACTGGAGTCCGATGATTCAGGGTTGGCCAAAGAAACAACTCTGCGCCCAGGGTTTCTTGCAGTCACGTAAAAGAACAGGTGAATGCGCTATCAGCCAACGTGGAAGGGGAGCGGTAGGCGAGTGAGTTATTACGTCCGGTTGACTGCTCACCTGAACATCCAGGACGGCGAAAGTTACGGCACCCCCATATGCTGAAGTCGTGACCAGAGGACAGAGGGCCCGAAGCTGCACCAAGAGAACCGGGCGTACGAAGCATCCACCGGAGTTTGGGCTTCCGAACCCATCAGACCTCGTCTCCCTGTGAGAACACGCTCGTTCACGAAGGTTGGTGGAAGGACTCGAGCAGTATCGTTTTTTCCCAGCGGAACCTCCCAAATTGGAAGCGGCATTCACGCGCGACTTTCAAAGTCCGGGTGCGCGATATAGGGCATGTGCCGTTGAGTAGGTCGATCTTCGATGTGTCTCGATACAGAGCGCGTCAGAGGACGACCGTAGTCTTCTCATCTGTAGCATTCGCACGCTCGTTGCGGGCCGACCACGATTACAACTTCGCCGTTCGATTGCCGGAGCGACTGTTCTTCACGGCGGGAGAGCAGGGGCTGGCAGACCACAGACATGAGATATGGATAGAAGTGTGAGTGATATGGTTAGGAGGAGAGGAGTGGCTGACGACGCGTGGACCCACAAATTTGGCCTTTTGCTACGATTCCCACGTGTCCTTTGGGCGCTCCGACCTGGGCATCCGACGCTAGGCCGGATCTGTCTCGCAGCCACTAACAGCACCTAACGCAGGAATCGTCGATGTGTGCAAGAATCTTGTTGCCCCCTGCGCCTATGCACTGCTTGCAGCCGACACTTTTTGAATATGATAGATGAACTCGTAGAGTCTTACCGCCGTCTCTTGCCACGCGTAGTGACTGAGTGAGCGTTGTAAAGTGCATACCACGAGCAGAAGATTCTGCTTGGCGTTTTTTCTGGCTCTATGTGACCGAAGCTCCAGGGGAAATGCTGACACTGAAAGAAGGCAGGATGACCGCGAAGTTGACGTTGATCGTGGCAGTGGGCGTTTGTGTTGCCTAATTGAGCGATGCGCTGGACGGGGTCACGTGGCGGAACCCGGGCCTTCAGCACGGCGTCGAGGACTCTGCTTGGGCCCCGACCTCTCTGCGCCGCATGGCCCATCGCTGTCTGCGCCGATTCAGACTCGCGAAGCCACCCAGCCTCCCGCATGTTCGCGCCTTCCACCCCACTCTCACCTCCTTCGTGGTAGCGGACCCCTCATCGTCATTCCCTTCGACTTCTTCATCCTCCTCACCCGTGACATCTTCGTCCTCCACCCCCCTTCCTTCTCAGGATGCCCCTCCTTCACGACCCGACACTCTTCCGGCACGTAAACTCGAGGAGCTCCGAGCCGTCTTGTCTCTCAAGTCACCCGACCCAAACCGCGTCTGGCTTCTCTACCAGCAAGTCCTCCATCTCCATCCTGGCGATACGGTCCCACTAGAGATCCACCAACGCGTGCTTCGAAAATGCGTCCCGCCTCCTCTCAATGTACGAACCATTTCGGCGCGACATCGAGTACAGAGAACAAGATGGGAGGCTCCTGCAGTGTACGAATCGCGCTATCGGCAAGTCCTCCGTAATATACGCTCCACTGGACAAACGCCCTCGCTTCGAGAATACCACTGCATACTACAGTACTTTGCGGCTCGCGGGGACTTTAACAACGCGCTCCTGCTTCTCAAGGAGATCAACCGCCAAGGACTGGCGAAACAACCCCGAACGTATTCCTATGTCTTCATGTCCATCGCCCATCGCCTCACTTTCCCCATGGACGAGGAGAAACGTCGGCGTGTGGTGCTCAAGCTTGCTCAGAGGTGCAACATACTTATGGAGGAGATGTCCAGGGCGAACATGCCCTTGGATCAGGTGAACGTTGATCTCGTAACACGTATTCTGAAGGAGAGTATGGACATGGAAGCTTTCACAACCCTCATGAGGAACGCGTACGGCATCGACATGGACTTTCCGGATCGATTGCCCTTGCGATATTGGGAGAATCGAAGCTCTGCGAGTACGGATGACGCTGCCGATTCACAGTCCAAACACGTCCCGGCTCGGTTCAACATCCATGCCTTCCACACTGCTCTGGAATTCCTTGGGAGCCAACGGGAGGTTTCGAAGCTCGTCCAGCTTTTCGAGGTGGTCACCAATCCTCTTCCTGCGAGTGCCATCCACCGGAACCCGAACGAGGAGGAAGATGACGACTTCGGCGAGTCGGATCCCCAAGTGGCGCCTTTCAAGCCTCCGCAAGTACAACCTACCACCAAAACGTACGCCATCATGATCAAGTGGCTCGCGAACGCCGGCCACCTCGTACTGGTCCGACACTACGTCACCGCAGCGATAGACTGGTGGCAAGACCAAACTCGCACAATGAAAGCTTGGACGCTCCACCTCCCCGCGAACGAGATTCCTGCACTTCGTATGTCTCTGAACCATTCCCACTTCACCCCCGCCGTCGCCGTCGCCGTTCAAGAACGGAAGGTCCTCCTCACCCGCTGGTTGCACGTCCGCATCGCCCGCGCCGCGCGCCGGCACAAGTACGACATCGAGTACTACACCGAGCTCCGCGAACGGTGGCAGAAGCTGGGGTTCTACACTCCCTCCCTCTCCCCTCGGTCCGACATGGCCGACGAGACGACCGAAGACCACGTCCAGATCTCCCGCTCCAGGCCGCTGCTCACCTACGTCGACCCCGCCCTCCCGCAGCCGGAGCACGACGAGAAGCGCGCGCGCCTGCCCAAGCCCCCGGTCGGCGTCCCCCGCCTCGACATCGACACCCACCTCCGGGTGCTCCGGCACGAGTTCCGCCAGCTCTCCGACCTGGAGAAGGAGACGGAGAAGAAGCTCGCGGGCGCGACGACGCGCAAGGCCCAGTGGGTCGGCCGCCAGGTCTGGGCGGAGAAGCCGATCTTCGTCCCCGGGGAGCCCGCGCTCGTGAAGGTGTCGCCCGAGGAGTACACCGCGCAGCTGAGGGGGAGCTTCAAGACGACGTGGCAGACGATCCGGAAGCACCTCAAGCGGCGGCGCGGGAGCACGCGCGCGATGGAGTGGCGGCGGTGGCAGCGCCGGCCGCCGCTCTTCCGCGGGGCGATGGTGCAGAAGGAGCTCGACGCGGAGGCGCTGGAGATCAGGCCCCCGCTGGTGAAGCTGGCGCTGCTGGCGAGGAGGCGGAGGTGGAGGCAGCTGTTCGTGACGAAGCGCAGGATTCGCATCATATCCGAGAAGCTGGCCCGCGAACGGGGTCTCGAGACAATACCGGAGCTGATGGAGGAGGGTACGAAAGCGCGTCGGCGTTCGTGAAGGTCTTGTCGTCCTTCCCTGCTGTGTACCGTAGGTGCGACTATGCGATTCACAACTTGGGATAAAAGCACTGACCATACCTGCAGGCCCTGCTTAGTTTCGTCGCGCCTTGGCAGCTTGTTTCGCGTCGAGACACGTGAGTGGGCTCGTGCGTGCCCTGCATGCGAGGTTGCCTGCGCTGAAGTCACGCTCCCCCCATATTACCGTGTATCTTCTCATAATGCTACGCCTTTGGACGCGGCGGCGCTTGATTGATGTGTCTTTCTCCAACGCATTTGTTGAAGAAACGTGCCGAGTGACGTGAAATGCGGCGCGTTCGCTAAATGCGACCGCCCGCAGCACACCCAGCCGATGACATGAAAGCTCCGCGACGTCTTCTCACGCCCACGTTGGGGTGCTCGCGCTCAGTGAGTACTTGTGAGACTCCTTGCCCGTTACCTCGTCTATTGACGAGTTGGCCTGCAACTCCTGCCTCGCCTCACCGGCACCATGGTACAATCCCCGCCGCTCCCTGATCCCAATAGCACTGATATGCCACAACGAGGTCAGGCCACCGACGAGAGTCCTGTTCAAGACTTCTTCGCGCAATGGCCAAGCTCCAACTTTGACCCGACCGTTTCTGTCTGGACCCAGTTCTACGACCTCTCGGACAAAAAGGGGTGGCACCAAAGCCAGTTGAAGGAGTCGCGCAAAACAGAGCTGAGACAGGCCATGGTCGAACAGTTCGAGCAGATGTACGGGCAAGACGCGGAGTCACTGGCGTCGTGGCAACTGCTGTGCACCGCGCTGGGAGCGAACCCTCCCCCTAGCCGGATAAAGGAGTGCAAGTCGGTGAGTTCCTGATTATGCCGCTCTCGGTCCTGCCACGTATGGCTGAAGCGCTGACGCCGGCGCTGGTGGGCCTGTAGCTCCTTCGCCGTACCCACGTCAACTTGGTGGACTTTATCCTTCCTCCGAACCCTGGACAGCCCGTCCGGAAGTTTCGTACCGAAGCTGCTTTGAGCGTATACAGCAAAAAACACCAGAAATTCTTCCCGCGCGAAGACCTTGCTCCAGGTAGCTTGCTCGAGATACTGCTGCGACAGCTTATCTCACCGCGCTCGGACTACGGAACTCAAAAGCTGGGGAGGGGCCAGAGCCGCGGTCGTGGAAGTAGAAGAAGGCGGGGACGGGGGACTGCATGATCGTGACAACCGTTGTGGGTCGTGAAGGTCTTGTCGTCCTTCCCTGCTGTGTACCGTAGGTGCGACTATGCGATTCACAACTTGGAATCCAAGCGCTGACCATACCTGCAGGCCCTGTTTAATTTCGTAGCGCCTCGGCAGCTTGTTTCGCGTCGAGACAGGTGAGTGGGCTCGTGCGTGCTTTGCATGCCGGCTGTCGGGGGTTGCCTACGTCTAGACCCGCCAAAGTCACGCTCTCCCCCATATTACCGTGTATCCTCTCATAATGCCACGTCTTTGGACGCTGTTTCGCTTGATTGATGTGTCTTTCTCCAACGCATGTGTTGAAGCAACGTGCCGAGTGACGTGAATGGGGCGCGTTCGCTAAATGCGACCTACCGCAGCACACCTGGCAGGAGCCGCTCTTCTCACGCCCACTGCCGTTGGAGGATAAGGTGAGGGCGCCAGCCTTGCCAACCGCTTCATTTCTGCACTCGCCCACTGACGAGCAGGCTCGTCGCTGGTGTCATGGTACGCCCCCCGCTGTGGTTTGCTCTCGATTCACACTGACACGCGTTCACGACTGTAGGCCACTGCCGTTCAAGAGTTCTTTGATGAATGGCCTCACTTCATATTCGATCCGACCGTCTCCGTCTGGAAGCAGTTCTACGAGCTCTCGGACGGCGAAGACTGGGAGGACGACATCAAGTTCGAACATAAGCGGCGGCTCGGATACGCCATGGTGCGACAGTTTGAGCAGATGTTTGGGCACGCCGCGGATCGATTGGCGTCGTGGCAGCTGTTATGCACCGCGCTGGGAGAGAACCCTCCTCCGAGCAGAATCAAAGATTGCAAGGCGGTGAGACGATCTTGTTTCCCGACACCTTTCTGTTGACGCTGACTGGGATCGCCAGCTCCTCTACTGCACCCACGTGAACATCGTTGACTTCATTCTCCCTCCCAATCCAGGCGAACCCATTGAAAGGTTCCGTTCCGAAGTCGCTCTGAGTGACTATAGTCGAAGAGAACAGAAGTACATCCCGCGGGAGCAGGTCAAGGCTGGGAGCTTGCTGGAGACGTTGCTGCGGCATCTCTTCCATCCCCGTCCGGACTACGGGACTGAGCCTCGTGGGAGAGGCCGTGGTCGCGGAGCCGGGCGAGGGCGAGGGCGTGGTCGCGGTGGCCGCGGTACGAGGGGCGGATGAAACGCCACACAAGCCAACACTAGTACTACTTGAAGTCACCCACATCCCCCATCGTGAGTACCTCGACTTCTCTGCGCTGTCGTGATATCTCAAGGCTGTATTGGCCGCAGTCAAGCGCAGTCGGTTTATGCTTGTCGATTGCGCTCAGACATGGAATCCACTGCGTGAATATCTGGAATTATATTATCATGAACTCGGATGCACGAAAAACCAATACTATCACCGGAGAAAGTTAGTTCTCAACGTAGTAGGACTACGTCCACGCAATCCGCTTGTGCGCCAGAGTCTGACTACGAGCTACATATGTCAGAGGCGAACTGCCAGTCACCGCCTATGAGTACTTGCCCGATGTGGTGGGCGGGTTAGTACCGCAGCACGCGAATGGGGCTTTGATGGCGAGGGTCTGCGAGGGGTCAGTAGCCAGTGACGAACCGCCCGAATGCGTGTATCATGACGATGTCGTCTTGTTCCTTGGTACTTTGTAGAAGTCAGCCAGGCCGTGGCTGTGTCAGCCGCGGACACGCTTTGCAATGGCGCCTGCTCTTTGTGCCACACTTCGCGAGCTGTCCCTCATGCGGTCGCCTGCGCTCTCCGATCGCTACACAACCATACCGCCGCGTTCTCGAGGTCCACATCGCCTTGTGCCGTCCGGACCAGTCAGCCCACCACTCGACCAGCCATCTCGTAACGACTCGTTGCTGGATGTTCTATACGCCGAAGTGGTAGAAGATCAACAGAGAGTTGAAGTCCTCTCTACCCATGGATCTATGCTGGAAGGTCTCAACAACGACAGGGTATCAACTCAGCCTCATCGCGCGGAAGGCGTATCCCTTGATCTACAACTCCCTGGAATGGTCGAGAACGAGGATTATCTGCTGACACCTGTACGAACGAAGCTCTTTCCTGAAGCCAGCCCTCCAGGGGTTCTTGGAAAGCCGCTCGAGACGCCTTCCTTGCACCCCCCAGCCCCGGGGACTCCCATTCTTGAACTGGGCTATGAAGACGACTCGCCATGTTCTCCTTCACTATCTACTGGGCTACGGTCTCGTGCCGTTGCGACCGCCCGTGAGTCTACTCGCTCAGAGGCCCCCCGTTCCACTACTACGCTTCTGCCGGCTTCGCTTCCGTCCCCCGCGTCAATCCGAAATCCGTTCCCATCCCCTCCTCCGAGCACTGGACTTCTATCCATCGCGGCCTTCGCGCCGATCTCGGAGCCAGGTTCCGACAGAGAGTCTTCTCCCACACTATGTCAAGCCCAAGTCAAGCCTCCACGTTCGAACAACATAGCATACATTCGGGATGCACGTCGTTCCAACGTGACCACTCTCCAGAAGTGGTCTCCTCACATCCGGACGCCCTGGGACTGCGTGCTTCGCCTTGCGTCCCTCTTGTCACTCGGACCGTCGCCGATGACATCGTCTGCTCCGACATCGGAGAACGTTCCCGTATTGATGACCCCGGGCCCGTGCGAGCGCACGCTGCCAACGATAGCAGTACGGAACTCGTGCCGCCTCGCCTCCGTACCGCAGACCCGCGGCGGCTCATGCGTACCGAGGTCGCCGCCGGGGTCTTCCGAGACTTTCGGCGCGTGCTGGCGGAGCTGCGGGGGAGGATCCTTCGGAGCCTGTCGCCGCGGAGTTCCGCGCCGTGACGGTGCAGAGGGACGTACAACGCCAACAAGAAACACAACGCCGTGGTCCTCCTCCGGGTTTATCCCAGGCCCCCGGAAGCATTCTGTCCAGCCGGGTGTCTTGTTATTCCGCCACCCTTTCCGCTGTCTCCTCGGCCGACTCGGATCTCCCTCAATATACGCCGTAGCCGAGAGCACGCACGCCTCCAGTGTTGAAGCGCCCTCGAACGCGGGCAACTCCAGCACCGCCGCCCCCAGGCTCTGTTCAAACTTCAGAACCTCACGCGACAAGCGAAGATTTCCCAGCCATCGACCGCCGCAGATTCGGCGTCCTCTCCTTCTCCCCCTTCTCTCGACCCGCCTTCTCGTTCGATCCTGTCACTCGCCGCACACCCATCCGACGGCGCAACAATATCCCAGCAGATCCAGCACTGGCAGGCGAACGTTCAAACGTTCACACGCGCCCTCGGACGCCCTCCAGCTCGAGTTTGCCGCCCTGCTCGCGAGGCCGAGGCGCACACGCGTGGCTCCTGCGCGAGCTCACCGCACGCCTGGAGGACGTCGCCCACCGTCGCCCGCTTACCGTGCGCCGCCGGCTCTAAAGTAGCGTCTCCCGGCCCAGCCACTCTGCCTCCTACGCCCGACAGCTCGCGTCACCGGTGCTCCGGCCCTTCCCAGGGCTGTCTCGGAGAGGCACGCTAGCGCACTTAAGTTTTAGTGGCGCTTGTGGTGAGCGACGGCAGGGTCGTTCGCCGCCATCGGCAGCCGCCCACGGTTCGCGGGTGCACATCCGCGACGCGGCCGGGGCTTCTGACATCCTGGATAGACTCAGGGTTGGACACCCAGGACGGGGGGGGGAGGGGGAACGTGGCCAGGGCGGGGCGGGCTAGCGGATGCGTTCTGACGCACCGCGCGCGCGTCGTCCTCCCCCTCGGGTCAGGAGACGTCGAGACCCGACCGGCTCACGGTCACAGCGCTCCTCCCTGCAGGGCGTCGGAGATGAGGGCGTGTGCGGCGCGCGTCGGCGCGCACGCTTTTCATAACGCGCAGACCCGGAATCCAGAATTCAGATCCCCGCGGTCGCCTGCACGCGCGTCCCTTATTTCACATCAAATTCAATATCACCCGCAAAATGAAGGGCGTGCACGGGCGCGGAGATGGGGCTGGCGATTAATTGTTCCAGCCGGGGGAGGGCGCGCGCGGGGTTTGAAATGTTGTATCCTTCGTTCGCATGATCATAACCATAGGACCGGGTCGTCGCGAAAACAAGTGTCGGAAGCGCAGGGTTACGAAGCTGGGCGAAATGAGAAAGCGGTGAGCGGAGGCCGTACGTAGGACTGCAGTAGTGAGGCTGCGAGGCGGGCAAGAAGTCGTCGGCGTTCGCCGCGCATTAAGATAATGTGCCCGGTGGGCCCAAGGGGGCGGCAGGCGGATGCACTGTGTCGTGGACGGTCTAGAATATCAACGTAACGCAATAATGTGCTGGCGGACAGACGGCCCCACGGCCCCGCGGACGCTGGCCATCCCTCCTCTACCGGCGCGGCGAGCTGAGACGGCCGTCTATCCGGCGCATCTCGCGGTTGAGGCGTTCCACGGCGGAGCCGTTCGAGCTCGAGGCGGCGGCGGGTCCCCGCGCGCCGTGCTTGTCGAACATGTACGTCAGCAGGTTCTTCTTCTCGTCCGGGAGGCCGTCGAGCAGCGTGAAGAGGTGTGTCTCGTCGCGGAGGACCATCTGCGCCGCGATCGTGGCCGCGGTGGCGGCCTCGCGGACGGCGAGCGCGTTCGTGCCCGTGCTCTCCGTCAGGGACTGCATCACGACGGGAACGGGGGACCAGGGGAGCGGAGGGGACGAAGGTGAGCACCCCATGGGAAGAGCGCGGGGCTAGGACGCACCGAGATGAGCGTGGAGCGGAGGCGAGGCAGCTCTTCCTCGAGCACCTCGGCGGGCAGCCGGAGGAAGAACTTGCCTAGCGCGATCAGGCCGAAGGCGAAGGTGCTGTCCCTAATTTCCGTCGTCGCGCCCCCAGGCGGGGCCTCGTCTTTGAATTGACGGAGGGAGGAGTGGAACGTGGTGAGCCCGAACACCGGGTCGATACGGTTCGTGAGCGTATCCCGGAAGAAGTTCGTCGCCTGCATGACCTACATGCGGGAGGAGGTACGTAAGCGATCGACTCATTCGACCCTCGACCCCGCCGCGAGACAAGGGCGCGGGTCCGGGGAGGTGGGTGGGGAAAAAGGGCGACGTACGTTCAGCTGCGCGCAGTATCGGATGTGGAGGAGCACGCTGAATATCTCGGCCTCACGCTCCTCAAGGAGCGGCGCCTGGTTTTCGAGCATTTCCCACAGGACGATTAGACCGTACTCGAGCTCTTCCGCACCCTGAACATGAGGACGTAACGCATGAGCAACAGTGCAGCCCTGCAGCAGAGTTTTCCCTACCCTCTTAGGATTCAAGAACTTGACGAGCGCGTTGAATAGCCGGTCGAACAGCTTGTCCTTCTCCCAGAACTCGCTCCGTGAGAGCTGGTTCCCAGAGCCGTCGATGAACGACGGGGTGAGCGGCACAGAGAACGCTGGTGAGGACGGCGATAGCGGCTCGCGCAGGGAATTGTGCGCACACAGGCGCGCGAGGGTCTTCAGCGCCGCAACATCTGCAGAATCATCCTCGAGCGCCGCAACAAGGGCGCGCACGGCGCTCTCGCGGTCACTATCGAGCGCCGAGCCATTCTCTGGCGCCCTGAGCACTAGAGAGGCTCGTCAGCGTCAAAGAAAACGTCGGGGGGACGGGCGAAAGGGAAAACGCAATCAAGGATACAGCTCCGTCTGGCGCGCGGCGCATGCGCAGGCCAGCGGTACCAGAGCGTTGGCGGGAACGGTGCTCACCTGCCGTTCGCTTGCCCACCATGGCCCCGCGCTGTCTCTGCCGTCGACCATCGCAAACAGGTTCGCCGTCTTGCTTCCGAACGCGGGGCTGTCCTGGAACAGCGCCGCCTGCTGCATGATCGCCGCGCTCCTCGATTTGTTCACGGGCGTCTTGGGTGGGGGCGCGGGCGCCCGCATCGGGAGCCGCCGTTGCTCGTCCGTGGACGGTGCGCGAGGCTCGGCCGCGTCTCACCACCGCTGGCACCGGCGCTTGGGCGACTGGCCTGGGTCCCGTTGCGAAGAAGCGCAGGAGGAAGTGTGTGCGCTAGCATCGTGTCGTTCGCGTCTTCTGGTTCGACGAGCTCGAGGAGGCGCTCCGCGGCGCTCTCGGCCTGTTCCGCACGAGCGCGCATCGCGTCTTCGACGAGTGGCTGCCCGACGCCCGCCGGGGGTGAGCTTGTTCCTGTGGAGAGCGCGTTCGAGAAGATTTGGGGTCGTGACGTCGTTGACGCGGGTGAGAACGAGTTCTGCTGCGAGTTCGACCGTGGCGCCGGCGGGTACTTCTCGTACGGCGTCGAGAAGGAGATCAAGTTCATGGACGCGTCGTTGTCCATGTCCATGTCCATGTCCGAGTCGCTGTCTTCGGGCACGGGTATGTTGGTCGCGAGCAGCAGTGACTCTTCGTCGTTGTGTTGCCACCGGACATCTGAGCGATGGACATTGACTCGCGGTGCAGAGGTATGGGATTCACCCCGAGTTTCTGCGGGCGTGGGTTCGGCGACACGAAATGGCTGACGGACGCGGGCGGGGATGCCGGCAACGTTGTTTCCGTGGCTTTCCGGAATGTCGAGTTAGACGTCGGTGGCGAGGGGCTGAGGGTGGTGAGTGGGGAGGTGTATCGGCGTCGGAAGGACTGATCTGAGGTGGGGGAGGGGGGCGAGTCGCTATTCCTTGGCGGACTCCGGGAACCGGGAACGACGTGCAAGCTCGTCACGGCTCCAGCGGACATGACTCTTGACCTAGGTGGCGAACCATGCCGGTCGCCTGTCGAGCTGCCCGTCGAGAGGCTGGGAGATATCGGCCTCCCACCGCCACTGGAGATCCCGAGCCCAGTGAGCCCATAACGCGACGGGGGCGACGTTGCCCGGATCGTGTGCGACGTGGAGGTCGCCTGGTGCCGCAACGTCGGCGGGGCGTTCGCAATCGCCTTTGCCTTGGCACGACTCGCCGCAATCGCCGCAGCGACGCTGCTCTTCTTCGTCCGTGGTGGTGGGGTGACGGTGGGGAGAGCGGTGAGCGCGTCTGGATTGGGGCATGCCTTTCCAGCTGTTTGCGGGAGGACGCGTCCAGGGAAGCCATGATCACGGTGCCGCGCTCGGGGTACATGCCTTGGAAGATCCAATACACCTGGCGCGCGGTGTCGCGCACGCTGGGACTTGTGTCCCCGAGCGCCTTCTTCAGGATCTTCTCCAGGGTTTCGATCACGCCCGAAGACTCGATAGTGTGCAACGTGCGCGCTCCGTGGATTTCCAGGTATGTCTTCACGTGACCTATAGCATACTGACGGGCCTGGATGGCCTTGTCTTGGAGAGCGTTCCACAGCATTGAAATGAGGAGCTTCGGGTGCGTGGAGCTGTGTTGAATGATAGTTGTGACCGTCGCCTGTGACATCTGCGCGGTGATCTTTTTCGTGAGGGTGGACATCTTGAGAAGGTTCAAGTACATAAGCTCGCAGAACGGGTCGAGAGCGGTGCCAAGGGCGATAGAGAGCTCGTTGTAGAGCGCACAAGTGTTGGACGCGACCGTCGTCCGAAGACTGACGAGCTGATAGGGCGGGGATTTCATTAACGAGGACCATCAGAGAACGCTCCACGCGTCCGTGGGGCAAACGCGGACGTACCGTTTTGAGTGACGCGTCCATAAATCCGTTCTTCAGGCCAAGGATGAACGTGTCGTGGAAGCGCTCGTGTGCCTCACCCTTCAGCATCCCTCTGACCCGCTGTATCGCCTGCTCTCGAGCTGCCCAGTTGTGCTCAGACTCGCGACCCTGCAACCACAGGCACGACGGACGGTGAGCGGCCCCGACGCATGGCACGAAGGGGTTTTCAAGAGCACACGTACCTCGAAATGTCTCAGCATCGCCGCGAACTCGGTCTCGAGGTCTCTGCTCGAAGCAATCTGTCGCATGGAACGGTCTCCGTCAATTCGCCGTCCGCTTCCTCAGAACAGATAGAACACTCACGTAAACAGCCTTCACTTCCGACACACTAGCCCCGGCCCCAGGCCCTTCCCCGGTCGGTGACACGACGGCCGCAGCGCGACTCACCGGCCGCGGTATCTCGCGCGCGGTGCTCTGGCTTGCCACGCGGGACGTCGCGGGTCTCTTCGTCTGGTTCATCAGCGCGATACTCGGAGGCACGTACTCCTGCGGCGACGCGTCCCCGCCGTCGGAGCCCTCGGATGCCGGGGTCCCGGGGAAACTCGCGCCCGCGAGGACCTTCGCAAGAACGTCGTCGGTGATCGCCTTCCGGACGCCCTTCTTCGCCATCTCCTTCTTGAGGTCCGCCCGCGCGGCGTCCGTCACGCCAGGCCCGGTGAACAGCTCCACGACGGACGAGCGCGCGCACTCGCGCACCTTCGCGTCCGTGTCCTCGAGCGCGTCGACGAGCTGCGGGAGGTACGGCCGGAGGGGAAACTGGTGGTGGCCACGCCGGATGTGCACCAGCGTCAACATCGACTGCCCGTCCGCGTCCGCGTTGGCGTCGTAGGTCGAAGCGGGTCCGGAGAGGCGATCAAAAAAGGTGGGGGAAAAGCAAAAACGAGCACCGCGCTCGCACCCGTCACCCTCCTCACGCGCAAGCAAGACGGCGTGCACTCACCTGCTCCCTCACCCGCGCCACCTTGCTCCCCAGCCCGCCCTCCTTCAGGAACCGCTCGAACATCTGCAGCGGCGTCTCGTGCTTGTCCGACCTCGACCGCCCCAGCCCCGAGCTCCCCCCACCGCCGCCGCCCCCACCCGCGCGGAACGCGAACCCGCCGATCGCGACGAGCGTCGCGCGCGCGCACTCGCGGGGGCGCTCGCGGGCGTCGCCCAGGCGGTCGACGACGCCGCCGCCCGCGGGCATGAGCTGCGCGACGACGTTCCGGAGGGCGTGCGCGTCGACCGCGCCGCCGCCACCACCGCCCGCCCCGGACGAGGCGGTCGAGACCGCGGGGGACGTGTTCGACGGCGGGAGCGGGATCTGCGCCGGGTGCCGCCGGACGAGGAGGGGTATGAGTGCGGGAAGCGCAGCAAGCGTAGCCGTAGTAAGGTGTTGGTTCGGGGTGCGGAGGCACGCCTTGAAGGTCTGGACGAGTGCGTCGGGGTCCGGGATCTGCGAGGACGGCGGGCACGGACGAGGCGGGGGGCAGTGTGGAAAATTTGGGCGCATTAGGGTCACAGACAGCGATGTGAGGGACGGAGGAGGACGAAATGACGCACTTCGGATCCTTTCTCGAACTCGGCTTGCAGTTTCGTGATCGCGTCGACCTTCACGTCGATATCTGCAGGGTGGGCGATTTCGTGGGTTCAATTATGTGCATTGGGGGCATCCCAGGGACGAAGACAAGAGGGATATCGGTCAGAGGCAGCGTCGAAGCCGGTGGCTTGGAAGGGGAGAGAGACTGACCATTAGACTTGCACTGGGCGACGAGCCGCTGCACTGGCGAGTCGTCGGCGTCCATTTCCATTTGCACAATAACGAGTCGGGGAGTTCTCCCGGGTGCGTATACACGTCTTCGTGTGGCCGCTGGGGCGAGGGTGAAGCCAGGTCCGTCGTGTGCGGGTGGTTACGCCGGGTCTGCGTTCGGTGGTGCACGAAAGGCTTCTAGCGGGCAGCGAGCAGGATCTCAGGCACCTCGCGGGTCGCGTGGCGCAAGAAGAGCAGAGGAAACGTGGGGCGAGGCCGAAGCGGAAGGAAGCAGAGAGGGCCAAGAGGTGCAGCCTCGTGAGTGTCGCGGACGTCAGGCAGCAGCCTCAGGCGAGCTCCAGCGGCAGCGGCACTAGCGATAGGCGCCCTCACGGAGACGGAGACGATGGTACGGGCGCCTGCTGATTATTGGGCCTCCGTCCGCCCCACGTGCGCGTCCTCCCACGGGGGCTTCTCACGCCGGCGGATCCTCTCACGGTCACGCAGCACGCTCGCCACCCTCGCTGAGTTTGAAAGCGTGGGCGCATCTGGGCTCTGCACCAGCGCATCGGTCGGTCACCGGTGATTCCGTGGGTCGTCACGCGTGACCGTACGCGCAATTTGCTTCCGCGGTCTGCGTGCGATTGGCTGGCTGGCGCCCTCGCCCGCTGCCTTGTCCCAGCGGCTCGGACGCGCGCGGAGACCCGATCTCGCGAGCGGATCTGGGGTGAACGGCGGGCTCGTATTCGTTATCGGCCGTGCCACATGAGGCGCTCTGCACGAGGTCCCCGCCGGCGCGCCCACCCTCCACGCTCGACGGGTCTGGACAGGGAGACACCTGCTGATGCGCGCGCGTACGCGTTCATTACACAACCTGTCCTCGAGACTATTTATCGCCCTTCGAGCTTGTGAGATCATTCATGTCAGTGAGCGCTGTCGCGGCCGCGAGGGGGGACGAAGATGCACAAGACTGTATAAGGAACAGGATGGTATGTATATACGGGGGAATTGCAGAGCGAAGAGGCCAGGAGAATAAACATCTTACAACGAGACGGCGGGTGCAGCGGAGCGGAGGGGTTCGGTAAGCGAGGGTGGGTCGGACAAATACAGTTATCAGCGTAAGGAGATACAGACCGAAAGCGACACAAAACCGGAATCAGAAGAGCGACAAAGCAGGAATGGGACTATGACACACGTACGAGGGATGGGTATGACGGACGGAACGGGGGCGAGGGTAAGCGTTCATCAACGACAGCGCCCATCGAGCGACAGATGGATGGAGGGGATAGAGGGCAGGGAAGAGGGAGGCTCCGTCAACATATAGGTAATCAACTGAGATGATGGGGAACTCGAGCCCGAGTAAAGGGGACAGGAGGGAGATGGATGAAGGCGAGAAACATAAACGGTCCGAGGCGCATATCAGCACACCAGCCCCCGAGAATGGCGCCGCGATGTCCATTCGCACCACCCGGTCCACCGCAATCGTGCACCGCTTGGGTCGCACAGATGACTGGACAGGTTGTGGTCGATTCCCACCATCCGTTGTGCAACGGCCCCTCTGATCCTCCGGCGTACGGACGCTGACTGACGCTGGCTCGAGATGGACGGACCATGTCCTATCCCGGCCACCATCTGTAACTACCGCGAGGACGAGGACGCGGACGTAGCCACTGCGAATTACCGATACAGTCCATTCGGAGACGGCGGCTTCATCCATGGAGCTGGGCGCTGACCGAGATAGCGAGGCGGGGTGGGGTCCATGAGAGCAGCAAGACTAGAAGAAAAAAGGCGAGAGCGCATATGTTTACGAGCCTGGAGACGAAAGTTGAGACGTCTATGGAGGGAGGATGGGATGGAATGGGCGCGCCAGACACCCCGGGCGAGAGGACGATGCCACAGGCACGACTTCTCAGAGCTCCGACTTGGAGTACTGCGGGAGGTGCTCATTCATCGGCACGAAGCCGTAGTCGGGTGAATCTGGGCTGGGAGTCAGCACCGTGCTTGCGCGCTCGACGTCCCATGGATGCAACCCTTGCAGGCCGAGGGGGAATAGGGTGCACCCGATGGAATAGTCATCCAAGAAGCAGGACTCACTCACATCGGGTGATATCCGCTTCCCCTGCGCCGTTGCCGTAACCGTCGGCACCGGGGGTGTTCGCAGCGGAGCTGGTTGTACTCAGCGATGAAGCGCTCGTGGAGGGGCGCACGCTGCGGCTGGGCATCGCACCGTACAAGCCCGAGCCGTGGCTGCCGTTCTCGTCGACCGCGTACGCGAAGTCACCCTGCGCAGGGTTGAAAGAGTACGAGGCCTCCACCGAAGGGAGCTGAATCATGCTCCGGACGCGAGGAATCGCACCGCTGGAACCATGGTCGTCGGGAGGATGGGGCGAAGTCGACGGCCGTTGAGACGGGTGCTCGGAGTAGGGGGAGGGGTAAGGCGACATGGCTTGGCTGTGGCGCCTCTCGCGGCGGATGCTGAGTCCGCTACCGTTGGCGTAGGACTTGGACGAAGGCGGCCTGGACGACGACGGGCTCATCGGACGATGGTGACCAGACCCCGGCCTCGAGTAGTCGTGCGAGTAGTGACCGGCGTTGGAGTCCTCGTACGGGGTCGGCAGGGAAGACATGGAAGAGGCCGAATAACCCGAGGTCGGCCTGCTGTCCGGAGAGACGGGACCCGCGCTGTGATGGCCGCGGCCAATGGGTGCATAAGACGAGGACGAGTACGTGTTGATGGCAGACGGTTGTGGCCGCGCTGAGCCCGAGTATCCGTTGCTGCTAGGGTTGAGAAGACTGGAGAGCGAACCAGAGGAATGCGCGTTCGACGCGCTGCTTGGAGAGAAAGACCAGTTGCTCTGCTGGTCGGGGTATTGGTAGGATGACGGGGAAGGCAACATCATAGACTCGCGTCCGGAGCTGGAGTAGGTCATCGAGCTGAAGCCGGAGGATTGGGTATCTTCGGTGGGAGAAACGGGATGGAGGGTATGCGACGATTGGGAGTACAAGCTCCCATGGGAGGAGAGCGAGGGTGCGTCGGAGGGGACATTGAGAGGCGGGAGAGTCGAGCGCGGGTAGCTCGTGCCCCACGGGCCCGCACCAGGCTGGCCGAGCGGGGTGAACGAACCAGGGGCGGAGAACCCTCGCGCGCGGCCACCTTTGTAAGGTGATAAATCACCCGCAGGGATTGAGAGGGGGAGATGGCCCGTACCGATCGCGGAGCGAGGCGGAGGGAGCTGGGCGAGGTCGTTGTCGCGCTTGCGAGGCTTGGGAAGGCGCGGGGGGACGCGACGCTTGAAGTTGGCGACGACGTCGGGGGACGAGTGCCGGTTGAGGGTGGGGTGGGCTAAAGGAATAGACGCCACGATCAGCAACAGCGCCACCGACGCGCGCCGAGGTCAAGACTTACACCAAGTGCTCGCGTCGGGATCCTCGATGGCGGGGTCGACGTTGCGGAGGTTGACCTTGCGCATGAAACCATAGATCTGGGGCGGGGGGTGAGCAGCGCGAACTGGTGGAAGGGGTGCGCGGGGCAGACAATGGAAGCGGTGGACTCACATTAAGCTGGCGCGAGAAGCTCGCGAACCGGGATTGGCGGTAGACAGAGGGCAAGACATGGAGTGCGAGCTGCTCTGGCCGCTCGACGATGATGTGTTCGCCGGCTTGATCCCAGCGGATCATGTGGTGGTTCTCTGGCCGCTCGAGGAGGCTGCAGGGGAGCTGAGTGGGGGCGCGCTCGAAGGAAGGGGGAAGGGACGTACGCGTAAAGCTTCGTGAGGAAGGTGGCCTGGGGCTTAGCGGGCTGCTGCTGGGCGGAGCCATCTTGCTTTTGGGCGACTGCGTTCTCCTGCTTGGGCGACTGGGAGTCGCGCGGGGACGGGTGGGAGCTCGCGTCGGGGGAGTGGGGCTCGGAGAGGGAAGGCTGGGTGGGGAGGAGCTGGGGCGGGTAGACGACGGAGGAGGAGGCGGGGAGGGAGTATGGCTGGTCGGCGCGCGACGGGTAGGACGAGCGCGAGTAGGCAGATTGGGGGAAGAGGTCTGCCGACATGGCGGGGGACTGGCGGGACGAGTGGCAGAGCGGGCAGATGAAGGGGCACGAGGCCTGGAGAGAAGGACTTCTCGTAGAGAAGGGAGGGATGGGAGACAAGGGCAGAGGAAGGCAACACTTTTAGGGCCGAAGGCTCGCGAGTGCAATGGACTCGGTGCGGGCGCAGAAAAGGAAGGCCGCGGAGGGGGTCGCGGGGCAGACTCGGTGGACTTAGAATCCTGCACCGACCGGGCATCATCGCGTCGGGGTGCCCGGGGGCGGGGCGCGTCACACGCCGAATAGAGTTCGAGCAGTGACCGCCGTTCGAGTGACCGTCATTCTGGAAACTGGCGGGCGATGGCTCCAGTCAGAGCGTCTGATCGAACATCGCCGTCTAAATCCGGGCTCGTCCTCGGCACTTTCCTCTCCGCATGCCGTACTAGACTCCATTTCTGCTGACACACCGCCCCGGCCTCTGGCCCCCCAACGCCCGCGCCGTCCCCCGCGAGGCTGCCCACGGCCCGCCGATGCCGGACGGGCCCATCGTGCTCTCCGCCGTCGGCATCTCGGCAGCGCCCGCCCCCGCCATTGGCTGTCGTTCGAGGGTGCTCCCCCAACCTTCACGGGCCGACCCGCGCTAGCCGGAATGGGTGACCGCCTTCCCCGATCACCTGTGTACGCTGCACAGCTTTCGACCCCGCTCGCCAGACCCCACCCCGACGCTGGAGAGCGAGCCTGGCGACCTCTGCGCGACTGCCCGCGACCTCTGCGCGCGACCGGCAACCTGGCCGCACGCGCGTTCTGCGTCCTCGCGAGACTGGACGCCCCTGCGACGTCATTTTTCTTCACGCGTCCGGAAGCCCAGCCGCGGTGCCGCCACCCGCGCGCGGGGTTGCAATCCTGCGCGAAGCAGCTCCCCGCCCGCCCCGCCGCCAGAGCCCCGCGCGCGTGGCCCGCTTCTACGCCACAACGGAGTCGCCTACGCCGCCGCGTGTATCCCTCCCATTCCCCAATCCGGCACGACCCCGCCGTCGCCTGCCCGGTCTGTTATGCTTCCGCCGCCGCGTGACATGCGATCGCCCACGCAGCAGCTGCAGTGGCAGACGTGCACCGTCCACGTCCGTGTGTCTGCGTCGTCCCCTCTCCGTCCGCACCAGCCGTCGGACGATAAGCCGGAGTCGCAAAAATACCACTCCCGATCCTATTGCGATCCGCGTCCATGCGCTCCCTCCCAGCCCAGCGCGCTCCCAATACAGTGCCCGGCACCTGCCATCCACCCCACCCCGCGCACGCGCTCGGTCCCATTTTTCCGCTCGGCGTACGGCGGGCGCGTCGGACTCGCCCGCCGCGCAACACCCTCGTCCTGCACCGCGTCTGCAGATCCCCAAACCAGCCGAACACATCCTCGCCTCCTCGCACCACTGCGTCACACGTCCGTGACGGCTGAGCATCCTCTCCACGCGCGCCCTGCAGCACAGCGCCGGCCTCCTATGCAGTGCGGGCAGGCTGTGGGCAGCAGAAGCTGACGGGGACGATGTGCCCCACCGCGCGCGATGGATGGATGGCTTGGGCACTCACGGCGGTGGCTGATCATCATCATCATCATCATCATCGCCATCCCGCCTCCCCTCTTTCTGTGCCCGGGAACAGACCGTCGCGCGAACATGATGATCATCCACACCCCCGCGCGGTGGGAGAGCGCGGCCGAGGAGGTTCATCCCGGTGCAGGATGCGGGGCCGCGGCCCTCGCACCCTGCAGCTCCTGTCACATCCACTCCTGTCCGCCCGTCACTGTCGCGCCTGTACGTGGGCCGGCAGCCCCCCGCCGCCACCGCGCAGCGTCCCTCGAACGGGGCCCCGGAGATCTGGAGGGCACGCCCTCACGCACAAGACAAGGTTCGGGCACAAAGATCGGGGGGAGCGCGCGCGCGCTCGGACGCGCTGCTTTGAGTTCGATGGCGTCGCGCGAGAGTTCCGTCTGCGGTTTGGAATTTGGAGTTTGGGCACGGACGCGGGGCTGCACAGGACAGCGCTGCGCGTGTACCGTCCCGCACGTCTCCGCCGGCACGATCCTCTCCCCCTCCCCCACCGCCTGCGCGCTCGCGCTCGCGCTCCTCGCACTCCTCGCACCGCCGGACGCCCGATCCCTGAGGGCGTCCGTGGGCGAGCGAACGGAGAGTTCGGTGCGCGAGCGCGAGCGCCGCCGCCTCGTGCTCCCCGTCCTGGCGTGCGCCCTGCGCTATGCTCCCGACGCCGTGCTATGTGCTGCGTGACATAGCCCCTAGGCCGGCGTCTTAACTGGGGCTACAGGAACCCGGTGGCGCACCGACCTTGTCTGCCCCTCCGTCCTTGTCCAGCTCGATCGTGTCCCCCGCCGCGGGATCATCGATCCAGTGTGGGCGCCCACAGACCACATCCTTACGTCCGCAGACAACGGGCCCAAGCGCGCTGCGCCCACACAGACAATTGCGCTCCTGCTTTGTGCTAGCCACAGACAATCGCCCCCCGCGCGACCGTCGCCGTCGCGGCCTCGACCCCGCCCGTTCTCAGAGGACCCCACGAACCGCAGGCGGAGAGCGGACCCGCGGCGCGCAGGAGGGCGGACGGGACGAGCCCCGCGCGCGCGGACGCGCGATTGTGATCGAGGGTGGCATCGGGCCCCAGCCAGGCCTGCAGCCACCCGCACACGCACACCGCTCGTGCAGCTGCAGCCACAGCCGCGCACGCGCACGGGGCCTCGCCGCCTGCCGTTCCGCACCTCGAGCTCCAAATCTACACATACCCGTGCCTCAGGCCGCAGCGCAGGCCCAGGGCCCGACGCCCTCGGCTGTCCGCATATTGCGGCGGCCTCGCGTTCGACCGGGAGTCTCCAGTGGCTCGGAGTGGAGGTACGCATTCTAGTCGGTGGCGGCAGCTTGCCGGGCGTGCTGCAGCTACTGCCCCCGGGCTTCTCGACGGCGGCCGCCCCTGGTGCGCACAAGCCGTCCCTGTCCGTGCGATATCAGCTGCAACGGTAATAACAACAGCGCGGCAGCACCGTGACGCACCCCCGCACGACGTTCAAACGTTCAACGTTCAGTATGGCTCAATATTCGACAACGGATGCCGTACAGCTTGCCGTACAGGGAACCCCGTCCGCGCGGCGGGCCCCGGCGCCTGATCCGCGCACCCGCGACGCGTTACAGTGCGCGAGCGGGCGCCCGGTGCGCGACGATCTCCCGTCCGTCGTGCAGCTGCGAACGCAGGTACCGCGTAGAACCGTTCGAGGGCTTCCGACGTCGTGCGCTGAGATCGAGAAGCGGCGGAGACCATCTCGGCAGCGGGCGACGTCCACACGCACGCACAGTACGTACGGCACAGCGCGCGGGGTCGGCTCGCTGGCAGACGTTCGTGAACTTCGGGGCTTCGTCCGCGGCGCCCGGCCGCGACTCGCGGTGGGCCCTCGGGCTCGCGTCGGGCTCCTCCCCCTCCCCCGTCGCGTTCGTGGTCGCACCGCAATATCGCGCTTCGCCCGCCAACACCGTCCCCCGCCCTGACTGCGCCGCGCGCGCGCCCGCGCAGGTTATTACCGTGTCTTCGCACACGCACGTACGGCACCCACCGCCAGCTAGAAGTGAGGACCCTCGCCCGCGTCGTCCGCCGCCGCCGAGTCCCGACGGCTCGGACGCCGTCTCAAGATCTCAATGGCAAGTGCTCAGTGCTAGCTCTAGCGCGTCCACGGCCGTCGGGGGGCCTATCTCCGCGCCCGGCGGCCCGCCTCTCGCTCAGCGCGCAGGGTCGCGACGCGGGCTCGAATTCGGCACGGGGGACGAAGCGACGACGTCGACGTCGGGCCCAATATTTCGCATGCCGCGAGCCTCGAGTTGAGGGTGGCCGCCCGGGACCCCCGCCCGCACCCTGCATCTGGCCGTGGCACCGCGGGCACCAGGCAGACCGTGCGTGATGCGTGCGCGTGATGGATCCATCGCTCCGCTCGAGCGTCGAGGGTCGCGACGAGGCCGGGGGGGCCAGAGTCCAGACTCGTCTCCCTCCGACGCCGAGCGTGGGTTTGAGTCCGTGTGCGAGTCCGAGGCCTGATCGACCTCGAAAGCTTGATCCCGAGGCCGACGGCCACACGGAGTCCGCCAGTTGACGTCGCGACGTCACCAGAGCGACTCCGGGCAACACATCGACGGCCCGTTCGGGTTCTCCCACGCCCACGGACCACGGTGCTTGGCGTCGGAGGGTGGTCGGACGACGCTCCCGTTCGATTGCGACTCAGCGCGGATGGGGGGCGTCGAGGCTGGCCCAGGGAAATGGCAACGAACGATTACGGGCCCCCGGGCGGCCCGTCGCTGATATTGGTAGTCTATGTCGCGAACCGCACAGAGAGAGAGCGAAAGCGTACGTGAGGGGAATGCGAGGGAGGGTAACCAAGTTGTACAGGGTAAAGTCGGAGTCAGCGGTAGTAGTGCGTTTCGTTATTTACGTGCGGTATCGGTATGGGCTGTGGTGAACGACGAAGTTGACCTGGAACGTTATATGAAGCGAGGGACAAACGAGGGGCCGACGATAGAAGAGCTCCGGTGCCGATGATGGTACAATGATGACTGGTATTTATGAGACTGCATGGGGAGAGGTCACGAAATGAGTGGAGTGGGGAATGAGGGGACGCAGTATAGGACAAGTGAGCAAAGCCAATTACGAATATTGACCAGTGTTCGGACGATTGCCCCAGCATCATCCGTACATGTCATAGTATCCAACAATGACGAGGAAACAACGCAAAGTCTGGGTTTAAGTCGGGCGAACGTCGATGCAACGATGTGCTGCAACCACGAGCCTATCGCCGCCAGCCAGACCATCTCAAATCTGGATGCGGAATATGTTACGAAAGAGGCGGAGAGAAGTTGACAGAGCATTCCGGGATGTGTGGCGGACAGTCAGGACCCAAGAGAGGTCCGAGCCGTGCGGGGTCGGAGGGAGCGCAGCAGGGGAAGATAGGAGGAAGGGAGGTGAATGATGCATGGTTGAGGAAGCTAGGTCGCCGGAGATGCCGGAGAGGGGGCAAGGGATGTGTCTGATCAAGTCGCCGACGACGATCGGTGGCCACCGGCGACTAAACCAGGTCACCCCTATGTTTTCCGGCAGGAGGGCAAGTGCGTGGCGGGCCGAGTGGTGCACCATGCCGTCCTGTGTGCTCGCTCTTGCTCTTCCACCGGTGACCCCCGGTGCGTCCCGCGCCTGAGAAGATTCAGCTCCTAAACGCCCACCGCCACCCGCTGCGCAGGGCTCCGTCTAGCTCTCGCCGTCGTACTGCAGCGTGATACTTGAAAACGCGCTGAATTCGTCCACGACTTGTGACGGAACGGTGTCCAAACCGTCGTCCGTTGGCATACCGGGTGACCCGGGCACGCTTGACCCCGCAACGCCCTTGATCGGCATCTGCCTCTCGAGGTTGAGTGATGTCGACTCGTGCATTTGCCGAAAGTTGACGGCGTCGACCCCATTTGACGCTGTGGGCACAATCTGGAGGGCGAAGACAGGGTGGAGGTAGATAGCGGATCGTTAGCGAAAGTTTATGACGGTGAGACCTCGAATCGAGCATGAAGAGGTAACCAGGTCGCGTGGAGGCCGAGAACCCCTTCCGCCTAAGCGAAAACGCGGTGCTCGACGAAACGGGAGATCCGGGGCCACCTGCGGCACAGTCCACGACAACAGTACAGACGCTGTCAACGAGAGTATGCACATCGTATGCACAAGTGCACGGCATCGCCATATCGCTTGTGCTATCCCGCGTATCTAACGCGAAGAAGATGACAGTAACTCGCAAGAGACCTCGTACTGATCGAGATCGGGAAGAGAGCCAGCGGAGGACCACACCAATTAGGAAATATCAAGCGACCAGAGGCGGAGATCTGTCGCTCGGCCATTTCGTTGGCCCTTGCACGCCGCGGGGGTCTTCATCGCTAGCACGGGATAATGCCACAAAGCATGCCGTCCACATTGGCCCGGCTGCCTCGGCACTCCACTGGATTACCTCGATGCATGTGCGCGTGCTCCGATGCGAATGTCCCAGGTGTGGACGACCCTCATGCCTTATTCGTCGTGGAAAGCGTGACAAGGGTGAAATACTCACCGGTGGCTGCGTGTTCCGCAAGAGACCCCAATTGATTTTGGCGAACCACTTGTGTTGCTTGACCTCCGAGGCGCCGCTCTTGCTGCCCAGACGAGTCCATTCGCGCTTATCGAGGAGACGCGTGACGACATCCTTGCCCGCCCTGAGATCGTCCACGTAATGAGCCATCATGTTGGTGTGGGCGACAAAACCAGAGAGGAACGTGCTCACGGTGACACCTTCGGCGTGTCTCGGAAATGAACTGGAAGGTTCAATATATTATGGAACGTGTCGTTCCTCTCAACACCCTTGAACGGCGTCGTCGCGTACTGTGGGTGTCCCAGGTACGTCAGGGCAAGGACACACCAGGGACATTAAAGAGAGATGGACAGGATACTCACGATCATCTCGTATATGAGGATTCCAAGGGTCCACCAGTCCACCGCAGATGTGTGGCCCGAAGTTTGGATGACTTCGGGTGCGATGTACTCTGAAAAGGAATCAAGGGCCACCGCGTCAGTGCATCGCATTGGTTTCGGATGAACGATTATGAGGCGCACCCTCTGTCCCAACAAAGGAGTTCGTCCGGAAGTCAGCGGTACACGCCCTTGTATCGATCAGCGGTGTCTGGAGGGCGAGACCGGCCACGTTCACGTCGGTTAAGCTCAATGACAGAATTAGGGAAGATTAGTGGCGCACCCCATTCTCCTCCGTGTGCACCATAGCGGGCCGACCGCCGCGCTCATTCGACTGCTTTGCCAGGTCGAAATCCGACAACATTATGTGACCAGATTGGTGTAATAGGATATCTGACCAAGAGGCCCCAGGTCAGCACAGCTCCACGCGCAGACAATGAAAGGGGCACCGCTTCGCGGGAGCGCCACGAAGGGCCGGTACTACCGGTAAACCACGTACTTTCAGGTTTCAAGTCCCGGTAAATGAAGCCCATGAGGTGAAGGTACTCGAGCGCCGCTGTCACCTCTGCGGCATAGAACCGTGCTGCGTCCTCCGAGAGACACTTTCCGGGTCGCGACTGTAATGCGCGGAAGAACTCGCCACCCATGCAGTATTCCATGCAGAAGTAAAGGTAGTTCTCCGATTGGAAGGAGTGGTAGAGCGTGACGATGAACGGATGGTTTGCCGTTGCAAGAATCTCTTGCTCCGTCAAAGCTCGCTTGATCTTTTTCCGCTCGATCATCTCCTTCTTCGAGAGAACTGCACGCCCGGTCAATGCAGCTCGGTGCTAGAGGGGTGATATAATAACGGACCTTTCATGGCGAAGAGCTTGGCACTCTTCTTTTCCCGCACCAAATACACCTTCCCTACATCTCCCCTTCCAAGCATTTTGAGCTTATGGAAGCTACTCGGGCTCACTTCCACCTAACGCAACGCTCATTACAGCGCACGTAAGATGCAGAGGGGAGGCAGAACTCACCGATTTCACCTTGATAGAATGGCTCGAGTATGTCCTCCTGAACGCGATCTTCCCCGGGCCCTCTAACGTCTGCGCATTGGTGACGCGATCCTTGGTCCTGGATACCTGGGTACTGGCTGACCGGGCCTGTCGCGACGGCGCTCCCCGTGAAGACGCCGAAGACAATGTCTCGAGCGAGTTCGTGCCCTGTTCAGACACAGACTCGGGCATCGGTGGGACCGAGTCCCCTGGCGACAGTAGGCCGTTCTTTGTCGTTGTCGTCCCATTTGACCTGCCGAGCGCGAACAGCCCCTTTGCGTTCGGTGCGGACGCGACCCGGCGAATGAAGCGCGACGCGTTCGCGCCGATGGCCTTGGGGGACAGGGGGCCCCCGGACCGCGATGGGGTCGTCGGTGTGGGGGGCATGAAGGACATCTGGGAGGAGTTGGCGGTCTGGGGGCCTTTACGGCCGAGCATGCGCTGCTTGTCGGACCGCTTCTTGAAGCGCGACTTGTCGGTAGAATGCGAGGGCTCTATCTCCGATGATGGCCCATGTTGGAAGTAGTCCGGGGTAGGTGGCGTCTGCTGCACGGTTCGAGAAGGCATCGAGGGGTTGGAGTCGGTGGACAGAGTGTTGGACGAGTTGTAGGAAGACCGTCGATCCGGAGAGGCGAGAGCGGTGGGAATGGAAGACGCGGCAGATGTCAGAGGAGTGAGGGTGCCCGGGGCGGCGTGGAGGACGGTAGTGTCGAGTGTAAGAGCAGCGTTGGACGCCTTCTTCGACTGACTACCAAGTTTGAATAATGACTTCCATGCAGGCGTGGTGGCGGGGGACGTCGGAGAGAGAGGGTGGCCTGTATGCGGGGAATGGTGGGAGATGACGGGGCTGACGTTTTCATTGCTGGGACTGGAGTGGACCATGGCGGAAGGGGCGGGTTCGCACGACACAAGCGAGTGATGGTGATGAAAGGAGGGATAGGCACGGCTTGGACGCGACCTGGGGTCGACCTCCAGAGCAGGGGAGACAGCGAGCGTGGCGGCGAAGATGGGAGAGCAGAGGAGGGTCCAGCGGAGCAGGTTGTCGAGAGTCGCTTGCCAATGGCGGCGCTCGTCTTCGGGCGAGCGTCTCGCGCGTAACGTGCGCGCCGGCGCCACTACGCCGCTGCCAGACTACTCGTTGTAAACGGCGTTCTAGTCGGACTACAATGAGTAAGCATTATTCCCTTTGCGCGCCCTTCCGGCCCCGGCCCGTTCAGTCGCCTCCCGCCCCCTGTCTGGCGGAACGCGCCCTGCCTGGTCCCGCCCCGTCCTCCGCAGCACGCTCCCTCCAGAGCCCGCCAACGAGCTTGCCAGTGCATGAGCGGAGCCGCGGCGACACAAGGTTTAGCCGTTTAAGATCTATGAGACCGCTTGTCGTCCCATCATCCTCCGCGTTCCTGGGCCTCACAATTCAGCGGGACTCGCGAGGGAGGCCCAAGTCCTCCTGAGCACCACATAGCAGTTCTAATTCAACCACACACACCCTTCCCACCACACACAAGACAGACTGTGGACCCCTTGCCCCGGCCCCTGCACAAGTCACCGGGTCCCCAACGCGCACATAGACCGGCCAGCTGATCAAGCCTTCTCAACGGCGTGCTCGTATGTTACGAAGTACTGTACGTGTTCCATTGGCGCCATTCAGCTAGCACCCGTCCACAAGACCGTCTGAGAGTTCTGTCACGCCCACACAGATCTCATTCTTTGCCATGCACGTTTCAATTTACTCTCGCCTGTGCGCGCGGAGATCTTCCAGAGCACCCGACTCCAAAAGATACGAACACCTCTCGGACTCGGAGGGCGAGGACATCGAACCACCGTGGACCCGCTGTCTATTCTGATCCGATGTCCACTTTCATGACCACCCACGCGGTCAAGACTCATATCCGAGCCTCAGCGGCGACCCGTCCAGAGCTCAGGAAAATTTACCACCCACGCACAGACCAGCAGGGGCCGGCGTCCAACACCTACCCAGGAACCCCATCCAGGTTGCTTGACACCCGCCGGCGACGCGCCCCCGCCCCTCCCGGTAGGTTCGCGGCGGGAGCGCGCCCCATGTGTGGAGAGAACAGGGCGCGCCGCGGGTTCCGCACGGGAGAACGGCGATCGCGTCCGGAAGGGCTCGCAGTGAAGGCGAAGGACGAAGGTGCCGCTAAGCCCGCAGCAGCCGCGGCGGACGAAAGTCGCCACAGCGCCACGTTCAAAGCGCGACGACTAGAAGCCACGAAGACGAAGCTCGCGGGGAGGCGGGTCAAGGCGAGACGCTTCCCGCCAGCCGCGCGCGGGTCATCTCCGTCTCCTCGATCAAGGTGCCCGGCGCAGCGCGCCCCCAGCCAGCGCCGACGGGCGGCGGGTGTGGACGCTGGGAGAGCGGCGGTGTGCGTGCGAACGCGGGGTGGATGGGAGAAGGTCCGTCGCCTTTCTGTTGGGTTGGGTGCGCGGCCCCCCGCGCGCGAGCAGACGTGGGCTGATTGCGCGCATCAGGCGACGCGAGCACAGCGGGCACTGTGACAGAGGCTGGCACGCACGGGCGAGACCCCGCCCGCTCGTCTGGGGCGGGGAGGTGATTACGATTGGCATCTGCCTCCGCCATCTAATCTCCAATTGGCCCCGCGCGGGCCATGACGTGATTAATCTGCGCGCAGGCTCGCGGTTCGCCATCGCTATCAAGTGGAGGAGATGGGAGATGGCTCATGCGCCCTCCACAGTGTAACGCGTGAGTATCGCCCGCACTCTCGGGAAATCACAAGACCGCCCCCTTTGATCTGCAGAACTGCTCACGGTGGCCTCAGCTCTTCTCGGATCGCCCCTTCCACCCAAAGCTGGGCAAAGATACACAGGCTCAGAGGCACCCTCATCATGGTCTTCCAGCACACTTCCGCCAACAGCTTCGATCACCGCAAAACACACAGGCGCTGCAACGGATACGAGCCCGCACAGCGCACCGTCGGCGACGGCGACGTCGTGACACAACTTTATGCTGAGGATGCTGCGCGGAGCGTTCTCGACGGTACCTCGCAAAATTAACGGCGCTGATGAGCGCGCCCTCTCCGATGCGCGAACTAGGGCGATCAGGAGGTTGTCGCCTCCCAGCTCCAACCGGCCGCGCTTACACCGTGACCGATGCCTCTCCTCAAACGCTTCAAACGGTCGCTGTCAATCGGGCGACCTGCGATCCCACCATGCCCCGCACCGTCCGGCCCACATCGGACGAGGGGATGGGGAACCATCTGTTGGAAGGCGAGCCTGCGGGCGAACGAGGGCGCGGATGCGCGCGCGGGCTGACGGGAAGCAGGGTGCGGTCCCCTGTGCGCGAGCCGGCGGACACAGGAGATGCCCGTTGTGGCAGCGAGCCTGTATGGGCGAGGGGGGCGAGGGGGCGAGCAGAGCGGCCCCAGCGCCAGGGCCCCCGGCGGGCGGAGTCCGACGCCAGCTCCCGTCGATTCCGGATCTCGAGCGCGGAGACAAGCGGAGGTGCGGGGGGCCTCTGTGCGCCCCGTCGGTGCATGGAACCTGCCACGGTGCGGACGGACTGGGACGTCGGGCGTGGGCGTGCGTCCATGCCTTGCAACGTGCCGCCGGCATCTTTGCGAAATTTGCGGCTCCCCGAGTGGATGATCAATGCGCTTTTCAAAATGTGTGGTCGGTCCTGGAGGGCAGGCCCGAGCGCTGCGTTAGTGCGCACGGGCCGCCCGCCTCGAGCCGCATGGGTGCGTGCGGGACTGCGACTGCAGCCGTCCGCTTTCGCACACGTACTATAGATTGACGAGTTGACAGCCTGCTATCATGCCTTGCTAGTACGACATCGCTAATGCAGCATTCCCGCAAGTCAGTCAACCTTCCGAACGGCCATCCGCGTACGCAGTCAGCATCGCAGATGATTCGCCGAGGTCTTCCTACCGAAAAGCCCGACTGGCACACGCAATGATAGGTGTCTTTTCCTGTCGCCGACGGTCGTGGGCACGTCCGTGGTGCACTGTCATGTGAAACACATTCCGTTCCCTCAGTATGTCAGCACGTTGAACGTGCACGGAGACGGCCCTCAAACCCAAAGGACCACGCTCACCGTCTCCATATGTCGAGATGCGAGACTGCCGTCCGGACCTCCCCTCGCCAGACGCGCAAGCGTGCCAATGCCGTATCGAGCGCAGGAGCGACGTGCGTGCCAGGGTCACCCGTGACGGCCACGGCCCGCGTATCAAACTCGAAGAACGTGGGCAGAGCTGAGAAGCCGCGGACCCACAACTTCAAGCTTCAAGGCCTGCGACAGGCGTCGACCGCGCCGACGGGCCTGGCAGGAGTTTCCCGGTGCCGCCACGCGCGCCCACGCGGTAGCACAGCATGGGGAGGTTCGCGCGAGTTCTAACTTCTAGCGTGCCTTCGGCGAGGTGCGCCTCAAGGGGCTCGGGCGGAGGGATCCCGCACTTCGCAGGCGCCGACCGGGTCGCGGGTGCTTCGATGAACGGCTACGGTGCTTTGAGGATCGTCCATCGCTGCGGGCGACCGTCAATCTTCCATCGTGTTTGGCGAGGCACCACGGTGAGCAAGGGTGAGCATCTGTGGGATGTGCGGAAGGATGTGAGACTGAAATAGCGCGGGCGGGCATGCGAGCTGCGGGCTTACTGTGTTTGGCCCGGAGTTTTCCGGTTCCGGTATGAGGAAGCGGAGAAGTAACAAGAACACGATCAGAGTTCGAGACCTGAAACCTCCATTTGCATCAAAAGAACTTGTTGAACTGATCGTTGGTATATGCTGGAGTCAAGTGGTTGAGTCGCTAGTGGTTCCTCCCCGAGACCTAGTGGCGTCACCTGAACGAAAGCCCCATGCTTCGATCCATACTGCTGTTAGACGTGTGATTCAAAAAGTACAGAAGACTCTGTTAGCGCATCAGAGTCCGTGGACGAAACACGGGAACTTGAGCAGTTCACTCCGCGAGTGACAGGAAGGACACTTTCCTGAACACAACGTCAGTAAACTCGGCTGCATGTCATCGTTAGAATGCCCTCACCAGTCAGTGGGCTGTCCATTGCAGAGCGGGAGTTATTTAATAGCCCTCTCGGTCCCCGCCCCGAGCACGACATGTCATACCAGTTTTAGAAGAGGGGTCGCCGACCTGGGTGTGTGCAGGACTTCTATAGCGCGAGGCGGAAGATTTCTACCTGGCGCAGGACACACTGAAAGACCGGGCCAGCGCGCCCATCTCGAGACCGAGCGCGCTCGGGATCGGATCTTGTGTACCACAAGTTGCGCTGCTCAGGACAAACCACCCGTTGATCTCCGGGACATCGGAGGCCGCGCGCCCGTCTGGCCCACTGAAACCTCCAGACGGTAGACCTGGCACGCCCGTACGACGAACCACGTGTGCCCAGTGTGTAATCGGACGTGGGAGGTGTGCGGGCCCGGGCGCAGAACGAACGAACACCCTTACACACTTACACGCATGTTACACACGGTGATAGTCGGGAGCCGCGGCGCAGTCTTCCAACTTCTCTTCCCCCGCGCACACGGAACACCGCTCGCAGGCCGCCGGTTTTCGCAAAGCCCGCGACTCTCCGGGCCATCGGAAGGCACGCCCACGCTGGGCGTGGGCGTGCCAGGGCCAGGATCCAGGCGAGGACACCCACCGATGGTACCGGAGGGGCACCAGGGCGCCATGACGTCGTGGGCGACGCTTTTCGTTCGGTCTGGAATTCGGGAACGCGAGATAATGGCATTGGAGGCGTGAAGGGGGTGGAAGGGGATACTACGGCCGGGGGTAAGAAGCGTGTGTCGGACTGCGCCGGTGCCGGTTGAGCGGGAGGGCGCACCTAAGTATATGTTCGTCCGCGTTTTAGGTGCCGTGCGGTGAATAGGACGTTTGCCGATGCATGTCTTTACGGGGATAGCAGGTCTCGCGCGGCCTGCGGAGTGTTGATATCGCGCGCGTGATGAGTGTGCAGGAATGGTGCTCACCGTCGTGTATCGGAGGGCTTTGATATGCCTCGAAGGCAAGGGACGCAACGGACGACAGCCTCGCGTTGTGCCGGGCATAAATCATCTCTGTAGCACAGTTTGTTTGACACCGACATCACGATAGCATGAGAAGATCCCGCGAAAGGGCGTGCTGAGAAGACCAGAACAGGTCATGAGAGCATCGCACTCACGAGCGCTGCGAAGAGATCGGTGGATTAGCGAAAGCGCGACGTTTTCTTCCTTGCCGAAGACACTAATATCACGCGGGACCGGCCAATCACCCCGTTCCGGGCCTGAGGGCGTCGAAAACGTGCTTTGCTAACCACCCGTGCTTGTCGCAGATGGCACAGGGTCACGGCCCGCGTGAGTCTGCTCCACCGGCCTGCCCCTCGTCTGCACAATGTTCCGTGGTGAAAGGCGTGTTCGCCACGCTTGCCGGGTGCACGCCGCCGGCCTTGAAATGCAAGGAATACGAGGCATGCTGCAAGCAGCAGCGTCCCTGTTGGCCGTGGAACGCAATGAACAGCAATACGCTGGGAATAGCACAAGTCTTGACGTACCTTGCGTCTCCAGAAGCCTCTTACTGCGCTGTGGACGGGAACAAACGCGAACCGAGCCTCCGACCGAGACGGACGCCAACGTTCCCGCCTCGCAAGCGTCCACTGCGTATCGTCGCTGGATCCGGAACGTTGTCGTGTGTAGCCACCTGCTGGGGTGGAAGTGGGTCAGCTTCGACGCAAACGCGACGACTCGGAAAGCACGATACATAGAACGGGACGGGACAGGCCTGGGCACACCGTCATCGCACGATCGCACGATCCGGTGACCTAAGCCCAAAATGCCGTGGTGAAACGGCGCCCCGCGTTGAGTCCAAAGAAACGCGGGACGTTAATGACGCTCGTGGTCGTGCGTTCAAGTGTCCAGACGGGATGTAATGTCGCCCGTGCGGGTGTTTATAGGGCTGGCGTCTGCACGAGGTGAAGTGGTGCACGGATGCTGCGAGGTCGGAGACGGAGGTCAGAGACCAGGCGAAACGTGAACACGAGCACTCGGACGGACGCACCTAGGAATGGACTGCCGCTGCGGGCAACCTGGAAGCTGCATGTGTCGTCATGGAACATAGCGTTGCACGCCGTAGGGCGCGCCGGGCGGTCGGCAGCGCCTCGTGGATGAACGAGGGCCCGCCAACCTCCCAGGTCGCCGTCAGTGAGACTAGTGAGGGCCGAAACGGGCGCTAGGACAAGCCGGTCGACGATCGCGGCCTAGAGCGACACGCCTAGACTGGTTAGCGGTGGGATGCGTTCGGTCGATACCGCTTCCGCACAGCACGAGTTCCCAGGAGTTCCCTCTCTAGCGTCGGGCTTGGGCCTGGAAGTGGCGCGTGTAACATGATGAGCGGGCGGAGCGGGGGCGTGGTGCTCGACGTACCAGTCGAGGTGGACCTGGTTCCGCGTCGGATTGAACTCGACGACGGACTGTGGCCATTCGTGGGCGGCGGTATGTGAGCCGGCGCGGGACGCCGAGGCGTCCTCCATCGACGCGTGGTGCGCCTGCCAGGTCGTGCGTGCGTGCGCGCCCGCGCCCGCGCGTCCTGCAACCCGTTCGACCAGAATGTGAGCATTAATGCGTACGACAGGGCCGGCCCGCGCCCGCAAGCAATGGGAGTGAGGTGATCGGAGCGCCGGGGCCCTGGGCGGCGTCCGCAGGAACGGATCTCGATGCGCGATGCGTTCACGGGAGAAAGTGCCAGGACGGCGCTCACCTGTCGAATGTCTTGTGGTGTGCAGCTGCGAGCGGGCGACCAAGAAAAATTGCCACCGGCGGGCTCGTAGAGCGCCCGCACGTAAATCAGGCCCTGATATCGGATCCCGTGAGCGTCCAGCTGGTGGTCAAAGGGCAGGAATGACTCGAGCGGACCCACCGATGCGACCGGAAGGAAGGGCGGTCTGCATACGGACACGCGACGGGCGGGAGGATCTTGCATGGGCGTGAATGGGGTTCTCGGGCACAGTAAGACCAATGCTCGTGCGTGGCGACCTGGGAATACACGAGCTTGGATTGAGCACTGCTATACATGCTACGGGTCCGTTCAGTCACTCCGCACCATTCAGCCGTGTGCGGAAGGACCGTGATCAATGCGTACTACGCAACGCCTCGCAGCAACGGACCGGGCCGGGCCAGAGTGGGATGGCCAGATTCCCCAACCCGGTCGGGTGACGATCAGGACCGCCCAATCCTCGCAGCAGCTCTTCTCCGCGCAAACGGAGATAGCAGGGCCCAACCCAACGCCCGCCCGACGCTGCACATCCTCGAGGAAACCGGGACGCGGCGGCATCGCGCACGCCGATCAGAGCGTCCCTGGAACCGTCGCAAAATGAAAACCCTGCGCCCCCCTCCCCCGACGAGAATAGGATGCGCACGTCCGCCCCAGGCGCACCGAGGCCCCTCCGAGCGGCCGCAGGGAGGGCGTGCGCGTGCGCCGGCGCGGCACGCGGTCGCGCGCGTTCAGGCGCGAACCACCCACGAGAAGGACGTGCGCCGGGCGCCCGGGGCGACGTCCTCGTCCGCGCGCGCGGAGAAGCACGCGGGGGGGGGAACGTGCTCGCGGGCGCGCGCCGCGGGCGGGCAAGCCGCCTTCCGCGTGCACGGCGGGGTGGTTGCGCGCGAGGGCGGCGGGCAGGAGCGCTGCCCTTGGCGGGCTCGACGGTGGCGCGGGCGCGGGGCGTCGGGCTGCACGAGGCCGGGGTTCGAGCGTAGTTTGGGGTGCGTGCGGCGCGGTGGTGGGCGTGGGCGAGGCTCGCGGGGCGGGTCGTGGTGCGCGGGTGCGAGCACGGCTGTGAACGACGGGCGGGGGAAGGGGTGCGGATTGGCTGGGAGCGGGGTGCCTACGAGGAAATCGGAGGATGACATGATAGCACGAGCACCTGGGGCATCATTCAGCGGACGGCGAAGGCGCTCGGGTCCATATCTGGGGGCGTGTACCAGAGACGAATGTTCTACTGGACCGCGTCCCGACACAAGGTCGCAGAGGTTGTCACGGGAAGGCGGAAAGGGCGTGCGCCGAGGGAAGAGAGTCGCAGCTCGGCGTGAGCGAGCCGTGGGCGACGGCGAGCCTTTTGACAGCGAAGCATACGTTCTGGAGATCGGTGGTGCGTCCAGTCCGGGTCGTTAACGATCTCCGAGGGGTGGTACATGCTGCGCCGCCGAGGAGGAGCGGTCCATCGAAAGCGGAAAGCGGCGAGAAAACAACGGTGGAGTGTCTTGTTGTGTGTTTGCCGGCGGCCTATGTCGGAAAGGGATGCCGTTTGTTTGTCAACGGAGACTGTCCCGGGAAACACTCCGACGGGCGGCGGATCAGAAGGGGAATGAACACGACTGGAATCTATTCGTCGGAAACGGCAAGCAGTTGTGGGCCCGCACCCCGAGGGGTTGTGGTCGGACGGATGGGGACAGAAGCGGTGGCGCTGGAGACAAGCAGGCCGGGTGGGGGAGGAGGATAATGAGCGGTCGGATAATGCAATTATATGGCTGATAGGACCGACCGGCAGGGTGGGGCGAGAGCTGTGTTGACAGAGTGTCAGAGTGACGACCGAATCCGTGCTCGTCGGAGAAAACGCGGGTGGCGGGCGGCGGGGCGCGGCGGGCGTCGGGGCCGACGCGGAGGGCGGCGGGGGCGGCGGGGATGTGCGCGCGGCGGGTGGGGTTGGGACGAAGGGGGAGGATGGAGGAGAGGAGAGGAGGGCAGCCGGATATGACGGAGCATGACAAGGCGCGCGGGGAGACGCGCACGGGGTGTGATCTGCAGGGAGATCTGGCGCAGGGGAGCCTGCGTTCTGAAGCCAGCTCGAGTCGGGCTCGCGGCGACGCTCGTGGCGATATAAGACGGCTGGCGGTGGACGACGGGGACCGCACCCGCCTTCCCTCGGCTTCTTCCTGCGCGCGTGGTACGCCGTTGCCAATCCCGTCCGCGAGTTCGCACTTAATCCAACGCCGATTCTCCCGGGTTCTGCTTCCCCTGCCAGCTTGCCCCTCTAAAGTCACGCCCGCCCTCCTCCCCCGGCCCCGCGCGCCATGGCCTCTTCCTCCGACGAGACGCGCCCCCTCCTCCCCCACCGCTCCGCCTCCCGCGCTTCTCGCTACTCTTCCACCGCTTCCACCGCTTCCTCCTTCACCCACTCGGACGAGCCCCCCGCGGAGCCGCCGGTCGTCAACAAGATCTCGCGCGCAGACCTCATCTGGGTCCTCGCCGGCCTTTGGAGCGCCGTCTTCCTTGGAGCTCTCGATGGTGCGTCCCCCGTCCACCTCTCCTGCCACCCGTGCGCTCGACGTTTGCTCTGATGGGCAGGCACGATTGTGGCCACCCTCCTTTCGCCGATCGGCAGCTATTTCAACGAGTCGAACCGGTCGTCGTACATCGGGACGTCTTACCTGCTGTCGGTATGCTGCTTCACTCCCCTGTACGGTGCGTCGCGCGTGGGATCCGGCCCGTCGCTCGTTCTTGACCCGCGTGCGCGCAGGACGGCTGTCGGACATCCTCGGGCGCAAGGGCGCGATGCTTCTTGCGCTCTCCCTGTTCGGTATGTTATCTCCGGCGTCGGCTGCCGCGTATCAATCGCGTCTAACGCGTACCTGGGTGCGGGCGTGCAGGCTCGGGCACTTTGCTCTGCGGGCTTGCGCCGACGATGGACGCGCTCATCGCCGCACGGGCCATTGCAGGCATGGGCGGAGGCGGGTGAGTGCCGCGGGCTCGGTGCGGAATTTCAGATTTCTGACATATGCCCTCTAGAGTGATGACAGGTATGTCCGCCGGCGTGACGTCATCGGCCTGCACTCACCGCGCTGGTCAGTCTCCTCTGTCGCGGTGACAGACCTCATCCCGCTGTGAGCATCCTCCCCTCCCCCGCCCCGCCCAGCGCGACTGACCCCACTCGCAGCCGCCAGCGCGGGCTCTACCAGGGCATGACCAACATGTGCGCGTCCTCGTCGCTCCGCCCCGCCTGTCGCTCACCGCCTTCGCAGTCTCTTTGGTCTCGGCGCAGGCCTCGGGGGACCGCTCGGGGGGTGGTTCAACGATACGCTTGGGTGGTGAGCCTCCCATCGCCTCTCGTGCCGGCACCAGCGCCAACTGACTCTCCCGGTCCGCTGTGCCACCACACAGGCGCGCCGCGTTCCTGCTCCAGGTGAGCCTCCTCCGCATCTCCTCCGTCCCCCCCGGAACTGACCACGCCTCTCTGTTCCCCATCGATCGCCTCGGCCTCCAATCGCGTCCACATGACCGACCCGCTCTCCCGTCCACCCACGCCCGTCCACGCCCGCGCCCGCCATCGTTTCACGTCGACGGCCGCAGATGCCTATCCTCGTCTTCTCTTTCCTCCTTGTCGCCCTCAAGGTTAACGTCAGGCTCCCCGACGAGGTCGAGAACCAGACCCTGCACGAGAAGCTTCACAAGATAGATGGCTTCGGCTCGTTTACTCTCGTCGGCATGGTCGGATGCCTCCTCCTCGGCCTCTCCCTCAAGTCTACCGAGGAGCTCGCATGGGCACATCCCCTCATCTGGGGCCTCCTGCTCGCCAGTCTCGTCTTCGGTGCCGCCTTCATCTGGGTCGAGACCAGCTACTCGTCCCACCCCGTGATGCCTATGCGCCTCGTCAGGCAACGGACACCGTTCTTCGTCTGTCTCTCGAATTTCTTTGGTAGTGTCGCCGCGTTCTCCATGGTACGTCCCGCTTCTTGACGCATTCCCGTGGCGTCCACGCTGACCTCACGTTTCCCCAGATTTATAACGTACCATTAGTACGTTACGCCCTGCTTTCACATCCAGAACTCACCGATTCTGATTGTTCCCGGTTGGCATTCAGTATTTCTCCGCCGTTAAGTTAAACTCCTCAACAGGCTCAGGTGAGCCAATCGCCAAGAATCTGTCTCCCGCGCGCTCACTTTGCTCTCAGGGCTTCACTTATTGCCGCACTCTGTATGTCATGGGTATCAATCTTCGTGTACTGTCCGGGGCTCACCGTGCCTTCTCCGTCCCAGGTCGCTATCTCCACCGGAAGCGTTTTCGCCGGATGGTGCGTGCATTGTTTCCACCAGCTTTCTGACCGCAGCGTTCCACATCTACTATCAAAGTCGCACCGCTGACATGTCTTCTATCAGGGTCATGCGTCGAACGGGCAGACTCTACAATCTCACGTTGTTCTCCTGTCTCCTCACCGTGTTCGCTGCGAGCCTCGTCGCGCTCTGGGACGACAACACCGCAACATACCATTTGTGGCTTGACATCGTCCCGCAGGGATTCGGCATGGCCAGTGTCATCACGACCACGCTCATCGTGAGTTCGCCTCGTCCCGTCTACGCGCCCGCGTCCTAGGGTGCGCGCGATTCCCCGGTATCTGATACGCGCGCGCTCGCCCCCAGGCCATGATTGCGAGCGTGACCCGAGAAGACCTGGCTGTGGCCACCGGCAGTGCGTCCCTCTCTCGTCATCCTCGCGGTCTTGTGCGCACTCTGACGAAATCACCCACCACGCACCCGCAGTCACCTACTTGTTCCGGACCACAGGGCAGGTCATCGGCGTCAGCCTCAGCGGCGCCCTGCTACAGTCCGTACTCACTGCCAAGCTTCGCGAACGTATCACCGGGCCTGACGCAGTCGCTGTACGTTACCGTATTTTTTTCAATTCCCCTACTAACACTCTCGTCTCCTTTCTCGCCACCGCTTCGCGTCCCTCGTCCCGTGCACACGTCCACGTGCATCAATTCCGCTGTCTCCGAAAACGCCGCAGATAATCGAGGACATCCGGTAAGCTCATGTCCTTCCTCCCCGCGGACGGACCTGTCACTCAACCTCACCCACCCTTCCGCCCTGCGCTCCTCCCTTCCGTAACGCGCCCGCCCCCCATCAGACACTCGACGACCATCATCCCGGGCCTCCCGCCAGACCTGCGGCACGCGGCGGTGGCCTCGTACGCGGACGCGCTCCGCGTCGTCTTCGTCTGCCAGGCCGCGATCAACTTCATCTGCTTCCTCTGCTGCCTGCCCATCCAGGAAAACATCCTCCCGTGCGTGCCCTCTCCGTTCCTCCGACCCGTTGGGCGACACTGACGTCTCGCTTTGAATCGTCGATCCCTTCCCTCTGTCCGCCTCGCGTTGCATGCGCGTGCGTTTCGGAACCTCGCTCCCCCGCCGCGCTCGGCCCGGGACGCGCAGAGGGACGCACGAGGAGCAGGAGGCCGCGTACCGCAAGCGGAGAGACACGCTCTCCCGCGCGGACTCGGAGCACACCGCGGTGTCGGACGCCGAGGAGTCGGACGCGGACGCGCGGACATGACCGCACACGGCCCGTGCTCTAGCTTGTGGGGGCTTGTGGGCGCCGCCGCCGTCGCCGCCGCAGCGGGGCCGCGGACGCAGACGCGAGGCAGAGACAGAGACACACTGTTGTTGTACGACTAGCCGAAAAGGCGGCCGCCGTGCTCCCCAGGGCTCCCCCCGCCGGTACAGCAGGGCGGGGGAGGGGGCAGAGGTCCTCTAGCATTAGCGTAGTCACGACTGGGTTACATACGCCACGACGTAATGATACCCCGGGCTTGGGTTGGACAGAGATCCGTGGTTCCGACGGGCTCGTGCGCGCCGTTTGGCTTGAAGCTTCAGCCTTCAGGCCTTCAGACTTCGTGATTAGCTGCGTGGGAGGCCGCGCTCATACAGGGCTACAGGGCGAGGGGTGAGAACGACCGCCAAGCTTTCGACGGGCTTGCGTTGAGGAATGGATAGAAGGGCAGACGACGCGTGGTGGTCTTCTTGCTGGAAGTTGGGTCGACTCTACCCGGGGAGCGAGGTACACCCAGGTGGACGGGAAAACGAAAAAGTCCACTTTGCACATGTACACACCGCACATACGCCCATGCTTCGCGAGCTGCTCGTGGGCCGTGGACAAACCCCGGACACGCTCCACCCGCCGGCCAACGCCTCACAGTGCACGAGCCGCGACGCACACATTCATCCACACGACGCACTGCACACCTCACGCGCACGCGCACCCGGAGGACGGCGAAGGACGAGAAAAAGAAAACATCACGATTGCGACTGCGACTGCGACACGACGCTCCCGCGCTACACCGCTCCTCCGCGTCCGCCGCGCCCCGCCGCACCGGCGGCCGCGTCTCCTCGATCCACCGCCGCGGCTTCCGGTCCACGACCGTCGTCACCCTGTGCCCACCCGCGGGTGCGCCGCCGCCGCCGTCGTCGGCGAAGCGGCTGCGCGGGACGGGGCACGGGAGGAGCGCGGACGCGGAGACGGTCGCGAGCGCGGCGAGCGCCGTCAGCCCGAAGAGGGACGAGAGCGCGGTGCGCCGCTGGCGGGGGTTGAGCTTGAGCGTGCGCGCGAGGAGGGTGTCGTAGGACATCGTGCGTGGATGAGTGGGGGTGTTGGCGGTGGCTTGAGGGATCGAGAGGAGTCGCGGCCGGGTCGGGTCGGCGGAGAGTCGGGGTCGGGGGAGCTGGGGTAGGATATGCGCGTGGGGCGCGGGGAGGCTGCAGAGCTGGAAAAGAGGGCCGTGTGGAATGGGGAGTGGGGGCAGAGTTCTGCTTTTGGCTGCCTGCGAGACGGGAAAGAAAACCGGACGGTCTGAGTCCTCCCTTGCGCTGGCACGGACGGGAGTTGACGCACCTGAAGCTTCAATCTCCCATGTCCTCCTCCGCAAACGCGGGTCTAATCGGTCGACGCCCTCGGGGGCGCGATGAGCGGAGAGAAAGAGAAGGAGAGGAGGCACAGAGGTCGATGTCGGGACAGAACACGGCTGGCCGAGGTCGAGCTGGCCAGCCTGGATCGGAAGCGCTCGATTGGCTGGGCCCTCGGGCGTCTCGAGTCCCTCCATCCAGCGAGACAAGCGCCCGCTCGTTCCGCTCTCCGTAGCCCGACGTCGACGTTGTGCGCCAGCCCTCTCTCCCTCCGCCTCCATCCTCGCACGACCTCGGGTCCGCCTGCCGCTTCTTCAGGCTCCTTCCACGCCCCCTCACACAGAAAAAACCAATCCGCAAGATGGGCAACGCTCGCGTCCTGCGCGACATCAAGGCGCGCCACGGCGTGAACGCGACCGAGATCCTCCGCCGCGCGTACCTCTACGTCGCCCGCAACCAGACGCTGCCGCCGCAGGTGCGCTTCCAGGCGCAGCTCCAGCTCAACACCTTTGGCCGCTACGAGCGCCCGACCGCCGTCAAGAACCGCTGCGTCGTCAGCGGCCGTGGGCGTGGTGTCATCGGCGAGTTTGGGCTCTGCAGGGTGAGTGCCGTTTTGGAGCCCTGTTGGGAGGACGGGGGCTAGGTGTGCGTGGTTGGAGAGCCCGTCGGTGGTAATGGATTTGACGGCCACATGGAGGACAGGGTTCAAGGACCGGGCCTCTGGGCTGACCTTTTGTCCTCGCAGTACCAATTCCGCATGAAAGCGTTGGCAGGGGAGCTTCCCGGTGTACGGAAGGCAATGTGGTAGTCCTTCTCTCAGCTGCCTAGACATTTGTATTTTGTGAGTGCCACCACTACCTTGGCTCTCCTTTCCACTGACACGCCGTGCAGATTCACGCACGCCATGTCCTAATTCACTACCTCATCGCGCTCACGTATCCTTCACGCTCGAGCTCCGTACGAAACCGAACCGTGTTTGCTACTACTAGGCCGAGCACATATAAAAGGAAAGAGCATACGTGAAAACAAGCGACAGCGACAACTACGTTAAGGACTCTGAAGAGAGGTTTAGTGATGCTCATAATCAGGGTATGAGGGCGAGATTCTAGTCGATACAATGCCCGTCCTGGAGGGAGGGCCCGTGGTACAATTCATGTCCTTGGTGCACACTGTACCGCTCCCGACGGCTACGCCTGCGCGGGCCCTCTGTCGAATACTCTCCACCGAGGAGCTCAGAGTCACCACGCTCTCTACGCCATTTGTTACTGATATTGAGTGTAGCGTGGTCAACGAGGAACCTGTATGATGGTCAGATAGTGGAAACCCCGTAAAACAGTTGAACACATGCTTATAACGTCCAAGCCAAGTCTCCGAAATCTCCCAGTTAACGTGAGCAAGAACATCATCACCGTGAATGTTGACAGCGAGCCGGTAGTCGTGCAGACAGTCGACGAGGTTGAATCGGTCTGAGGGAAAGAGGGTTAGCGGTGTCCAAGGTTGAACTTGGCTCCGTGCGAGATGACAGGCCGAAGACGTTAGTATGTGTAACGGGCATACCTCTGAGAAGAATCATTCGGTCGCGAAGCTCAGGATGCAAGACACCGTCGATAGCACTCTCTGCGATACACACGGTGAGAAATTATCACATGTCAAGAGCAATGCAAACTGACCATGAGGAATGGTCCTAATTTACGCATGCTATATGAGCAAAGATGAAGAGATAGATCCTCAAGAATGACTTGCCTTTGCACCAGTGTCGGACGAAGGGACGAGGGTAGACAATAGTTGTTGTTACGTTTCCAGTTGTCGAGGTGGTAGCTGGAAGGAGCAAAAAGCCAAGTTGAATATACAGAATATCCGCGGAACACGAACTTACTATATCAGCTTGTAGGCGTCCATCTTCTTTGGGTCGATGTCTTCGTCGTCTTGCGACTGGGTGGACTGCGGTGTCCGTGAAGCCGTCGACATGCTAGGAAGGGTGTTGTTGACCATGGTCATGGACGACATGTGTTCCTGCATGGCATGCCACCACCGACAAACGAAGACTGGAAGGGCATAGACATGTTACCGTTGGCGGAGGACCCGTATTGACCGGTGGCATTGGGAGGCGAGGATGGGGGGACAAACATGGGAGAGGTGTTCGACGACCCGCGAGTATACTCCGACAGCAAGCTGGGTTCGCCGTTGGAGGGGCGTCCGGAAGAATAGAGACCGTTGGCACCCACAGAAGACACGCCGGGATTCATAGGCACGAGCAGCGGGAAGCCGTCGGCGTTTCCACTCGCTTCTCCAGCGCGGGCACGCTTGCTTCGGTGAGGATCGACGTCTTCTGCGGAACGCTTTTGGCCGTTGGTTGATTTGGAAGGACCAGCAGAGGTTTCCGATTGCTCACGCTTGTGGCGTTGGTAGCTCTCCCAGGCAGTGTCGGTTTCGGCCTTGTTGACGAGGTCGTTGAACTCGTTCATGTCCCAGCCCATTTTGTGGAGTAGTCCTCCAGCACCGTCACCGATGAAGCCGCCCAGGTTCTTGAGGAGACCTCTGAGGACTTGATTCTCGTGCATAAGGTCTCGGGTGGGGACCGTTAATGGCTAGGAAAACAGATGGAGCGAGGAGGACACGTACCTTTCAAGACCTTCCTCAACTGGGACAGTGCCTCATCCTTACCGCCTGAGAGAATCTCGACACTCGCTTCAAGGTCACGGATCTGTGCGAGCGACGGTGAGTTACCACGTCGAGCCCGAAAGGCGACAATGGGGAGCAGGTCGGCGAAGAGAACCACTCACGCGTTGCTGTTTACGCAGACGAAACTCGCGCTGGGCTATCCTGTTCTGATCCCTGCGAGCGGCTTGGGAGCTGGGATTGGCAGTCGGACCGTGAGCATGTCATCACGCTGAGCAGAGAACGATCTACTTTGGATTTTTCTTCCTGCCGGGTTTACCCACCGGTGGCTGAGTAGAGTCGTCCTTGTGCGAAGCGTCATCGTCGGAGCTCTGCACGAGGTTTCGTACGGATGAGTACGCAAGGGACGCAGAGGGAACGTAACGGACCTCAGCACCGAGGTCATGGGACACACTACGATCTCTGTCTTCGGGCATGATGATGGACGAGGTGACAAATAGAGGATGAGTGCTCAGGAAAGCGGGGACGGTCTCGGGCTTGGGCCTGGAAACAGGGAGGGGGCGAGTCAAGGACGAGCTCGTTGCTTGCTAACGCCTGCTTCTCCTTTGCCGCCGATGCGCGCGGGCTCGGTCGGCCGTCCTCTGGCGCGCGCCGCACGTGCTACGCTTTGACCCACCACGGACCGCAGCTGCGCGTCCCGCCTCCGGGCGGCGTGTGTCACCTCTCCGGCGAACCCGGTGGTTCACCTACTGCCTCCCCACGAAGTCCAACCACGTCCGTTCATTGAACCCGTGGGATGCACCTATACGGGAAATTTAACGAGACAAGAAATTGGCGGGTGCGTGGTGATTGATTGCGGAACGAAGACTTCTAACGTCCTTGAGCCACAGGCTCCGGCCCAGAGCACTCACTCAAGACCTCACGGAGGACCCCCAGGGTGACGGCAGTGTGTGTCACCAGTCCCGGCAATTACGTCCCCGCATGCTGCCTGGTTCGACTCTCTCGCTCATCTCCGCTGTTGTATCTTGCTGAGACGCCTCAACGTGCCTTCGGTTCCCTTCCGTATCATCACACCCCGCTGTGCAGTGCACAAACCTTGTCCCTTGTGTCCCTCCGGCGTTCCCAGTCCAGTCCTCGCCTTCCACTGTAGGTCAAGTAGACATTTCGACAGCCTGACAACGACACGCACTGCTCGCTTTCGCTGCATTTCTCCTCTAAGCGATCGCATTCCGAGGGTTCGCATCAGCACGCCCTTCGTGCACTGGGTCTACGGGACGTGTTCAAACTCCGAATCGTCCCCCATTCAATTGGGTAGATTGTGCGCACAACGTGGTTATGTGTAGGTGACCGTCAAGTAGGTTTTGCTGCCGGCACCTTTGTCCCTCACAGATGCTGGATTTTTCTGGTGACCAGGCACCCTGGGAGACACATGCTGTGTGTGACTTAGTGCCATCTCTGCCGCCCTTTGGTTCTCGCTTCAGAGTGCACCACGAGGCCGTTTGCAGCCGTGCGTGCATATTTTGTAGCAACAAAACGCCCCTTCAAGTGACGACGATCTCCCATTGCGGTCGCCCGGCGTTAATACGACCCTTGTAGCCGACTATAGACGATAACCGCTGGGTGACTAGCCGTGCGAAAGAGGTTGTAGTCGAAGTCAGCGTGTGACCAGGTGGGACCCATGGGCCATGACGCGACTCTTCTCTTCCCTCGGCAAACGCACTCAGAGAACGTCTCCTCCCCTCCAAGGTTCAAACCTCCGGGTCGATATCAGCTCCATTGCCGGAATCTCGCCCGTCTCAACCGTTGTTGCGCCTGGCTCGGTCACATCGACACCAGCCGATAATCCGTAATAGCTCTCCAACCAGGCATCGATAAGGCTCCTCTCGTTCACCAGAGCGGCACACCTGCTCGCTGCTTCCAGATATGCACTTCATCCAGGGCCGCCATTCATGGTCCACGTGCTCTGACGCGATTCTCGCAAATTCAAACATAGCTTCGTGGACCTCCAGCGGTTCACCTGACTTCCCGTCCAATTAGGTCGCCCCGTGCTCACACCCCTCCCGGCAGTACCGGAAGAGAATATCAGCATCGAGATGGCCAGGGACGTGCGTGGACTACTGCCGAGCCTCGCTTTACGGCGAAGATGTCCACGCGATCCGCATGCATGCAATTGAACGCCCTATCACGTCACACACAACATATCCCAGTGGAGGTTCTCTGGATATCTCAAGCAAGGTCTGGCCACGCGAGTTTAACTCTGGTAGTGCCTGGTGCTAATCAGATTGTTAGCGATCATCCGACCCGACGGCCACGCCTGCAGCACCCCCTGCTGGGACCCTGATTAAGGCAGGACGCGCTCGGATCCCCAAAGCCTAGCTCGCGTATTCCCTGCCCGGCTTCGTGGCTCAGCCGGGCCATAAAGCAGCTGCCGTCTTGCCGGACGAGCGGCTCCATCGCCACTACATCCTCATCTACCGTCTCGACTCACCGACACTGTCAAATTTGTCGTCTATCACCAGATTCTGTCATCACGACGCCCGTCCCCTGCTCCTACCCAACCGACTTCTCTTGCCTTCTTGGCCGCGGTCATAATCGCCCACGACACCCGGCCTTACGGTTGCCCCATTGACACTCCCGTAACGTGAAACCCTAATACCCTTAGCCTGGCGGCTCTGCGAAAGCTGAAACGCGACCTGCGACAGGACAATAATACGCGGTCCACGACGGCCACACTTTTTTTTCGTTTGGGCGGGTAGACCAACGACCGACACACTAAGAGCCTGACGCCATCTTTACGAACGATGGACCCCTCGACAGATATCGTACTCCGATACGAATACGCCACCTTAACGAACCCCAATGCCGAGCCCCGCACGATGCAGGTGCGGCAGATCGTGGAAGGCGCGGAGCCCGCCGACCTCTATAAGGTGCGCCGCCTCCCTTGCCCTCCCACCGCCGCCTTCCTCCGCTGCACGACTTGCGGTTTGCCCGACGACGTGCCGCGGGCCGCGGGCCGGCAGTCGCCCTCCTCAACTCGTACGCTGACTCTCTCCCCCCGTCTTGCCTGTTTATGGGGTCCTGCGTGCCTCCGGCCCCGCTCCACCTGCCCTTGATTCCACGATATATCCGCCGCTCCCTCGCTTGATTACGCCACATGCTGCTGTACGGAAATTGTCGCGACCACCCACCCCCCGCCCCCTGCCCTCCGCCGGACGTCCCCTGGCTCCGACCCGCAGTTCTATCATCCCAACACAGGTATACCCACCGGTGTAACGTCTATCCAGCGGAAGAACGCCGAGACGAGCGTGTGGGAGAACGCAGGCCAGATTGAATGGTCATCAAACACGAGCGGCGCGGTGTACTTTGGCGTTGAGCGGGTGAGTGCTGCACACCAGCCCCTTGTGGCGTCGCCGATCCTTGTGACCTCGTCATCGATCTGGGCCGGCCTTTGGTGTTCCTCGAGGCACACGCTTACCTTGGTGGCGGGCGGGGGCAGATATCAATACGAGAGCTGCGCAAACCGAAGAAGCCATCGAGCCAGTGGGTACCCCGGCAGCGTTTACGAAGTCGCCCGCCAATGGCGGGCCAGCCACTCATGTCTGCATCACCGACAGATCCCGCCGCTTCAAGGTGAACGGCACGGAGTATAAGTGGAAACTCGCGGAGAACAACACCGATATGACCGTGAGTAGCCAGACCTCCTCCCTTTCCTTCTTCACTCTCTTTCCCTGCCTCCCAATCGCACTTTCACTCCTCCCCACGGCCCCGCTACATCGTCGCCCCTGTTCGTCCAGCACCCGCTCGCGTACCCGGGCTCTTCCCCCGTGCTGTGTCATCACGGGGGTTCTAGCTCGGGGGTGGCCTCCGCATGTCGCACATCTTCCCTCTCCCTTTACCTTCTATACCCCCCTCACCCTTGACCTCCTGCGAAACCCCGACGTTGTCACTGCACAAAACCCCCTCGCGCCACCCTGCGGGGCAGGCCCGCCAACAATTCCCACCCCCATCACCTGCCCTACCTTTCACTCCAGCGCTCCTGTACGCCCCCCAAACCTCTCTGCTCGTGTCACAGAAGTCCTTCCCTGTGCATCCGCTCCCGCGACGCGTTCCCCTCTTTCACACTCACCCCTTCACCTCGCTCGCTCGCTCTCGTTCTCTCGCTTCACTCCCGACTTCCCCCGCTCCCCGCCGTCCCCCCACTCACCCTTCCCCGGGTTCTAGTGCGTGAGCGACAGCCTCGGCGCGCGGGGCAAGCCGCTCGCGACGTGGACGGACGCGACGCGCACGCTGCGCGTCGCCGAGCGCGCGGAGCCCTTCCTCGACCGCGTCGTCGTCACCTGCCTCCTCCACGTCTGGTTCCGGCGGTGGAACGCGTGGTAGACCGTGCGGGCGGTCGCGGCCGCGCACCAGGAGGGGCCCGTGCGGGCGAAGAAGGAGGAGGGGGCGGGGGCGTGCCGTGGTGGTGATGTGGGCCGGCGGGGGTCGGGCGAGAAGCATGCAGGGTTCGTCTCGGGTACGAGCTCACGGGACAAGTGGACGACGGGGCGGGGCAGGCTGGGGGGAGGGGGGTCTCAGGCAGCACTTGCATTGTAGCAACTACCTAGGAACTGCTCGAACGAGGGTCTCGTGTTTGTGATACCACCATTTGGAGAGATGCGGCTCGGAGCTCGCTCGGGGTGCGCGCAGGGTGAAGATTGGGCGCGATGGTCAGGTTCGACGAGGTGGTGCACAGGCCGATGACGCTCCGGGAGCGACGCTGATTATCACCGCTCGACGCGATCTCCAAGCCCCGGGCCACGCTTTGTACGCCGACTGAGGCCTGTGGCCTAGCGACCTGACTAATTCGTTCTAGCGGCTCTCGTGAGTCGTCGGTAAGCGGCGCCAAGGAAAAGCGGGATACGCTAGACGAATCGAGCCAAACGTGGGTGGACCGTGACGTACGGCGAGACAGCATGTGCACACACTTATCGCATTCGCGCTGCTACTTAATCTACACACGTTCTACCTACAGGTCTGGAGGGGGCGGTTTGGATCAGATGTGGAAGGAAAGACGCCGAGAAACACAAGTAGAACGAGAGCGTCCACCGTCGCAACCCTTGTCCCTCGAAGGGGATATGAAAGCCGGACCCTTGGCGACGACCGTGAAGCCCGCCCAAAACAGGAGTAGGGATAACGTATCCACATCCGGATACCCCGGGCTGGTCGTGGGGGAGGCACGTCGACAGGTCAGACGAGAGCGCAAGGAGAAAATGAGCGTGGTGAGGAGGTGTGGATACGGGTGCGAGCGCGTTGCCGGACGACGAGGAGACGACGACGGAACCAGAAGACGGTGCCAAAATCAGGGACGCTGCATGCGCCGCGGTCGCGGTGCGTGAATTAGCGCGCCTCGAACTGGACCACTGTGTGAAAAAGCAAACGGGAGTAAGCCCGAGACGCGCGCGCGGACGGGGGAGGGAGTGGCGGCTTACTTCGTGTGGTGCGTTTCTTATACATGATGCGGTGGCCGCACTCCCTGCAGCGGATGGGCTCGCGTGGACGGATGTCGTTGGAGAGGTTGCAGTCTGCGCGGGCGAGGACGCGAGGCAAGGTGGGAGGAGTAGCGAGGCGGAGGCACGGATCACGTCACCGAGCGAAAAATTGCGGCAGCGGGGTGAGTGGCAGCGGGGAGGTGGGGGGCGAAGGAGGACGCTCACCTGCGCAGAGGTAGGATGTCTCCTTGCGTTCTGGGGCTTGGAATGACGGCTGGGGCCCGGGCTGGCCGGCGTAGGGGTTGTTAGGCTGAGCACTCATCGTGGTCGAAGACAGACAGGTGTGTAAGCTTGTTTGGCTCCCCCATCCGTCCAAATCCGGTGCGGGCGAGGCGCCTGTCGCAGGAGGCGCCCAGGGCACCGAAGAACGCGGGCGGGCTCTCCTCCTCCTCCGACCTGGTCTCGTCCCCAGCCGCTCTGTACCCCACCACCGCCTACACGAGCGTGGTGGGGTGCGGTACAGAGCGGCTGGGGACGAGACCACTCCGACCGTGCCGAGCCGCCCTCCCCTCCTCGCACACATCGTGGTCCCATAGCGGCCACGTTTGCTTGTCCGCCCGATGCGCGCCGGGGACTTCGTGTTGCACATCAACCTGCTGCTGTCAAATTGCTCCGTGATGCCGTGTAGATTCGCAAGGCACAACGTACTTTAAACTTGCGGATCGTACAGAAGATTGAGATAGACTACGTATGGGCTGCATGACGACGCACTGCGGTTCGCCTCGGTCGTCTCAGGGGTAACTTCCGGGGCGCCCGGACTGCAGAATCCGTCGCCGGACGACAGGGGCGCGCCGTCGGTCCGTTGGGCGGTGGCGTCGCGAGGATGCTGCAGCGCGGACACGCAGTGCGCAGGCTGAACGCACGGGTGGCACTGGGCACACCGCACGCATGCGGGCGTGGTACGCCGCGCGCAGCCGCAGCGGAATGTCGCGTCGACAGCCTCCGGCGATGCCGACAGCATTGGGGCGAGGAGGAGAGGGTGCGGGCCGCGCAGCCGGGTGGGCGCCGAGGGCGAGAATCAGAACGAGGACAATAGCTATGACAATAGAGGTCGCGAGGTGGAGGGAGAGCAGGAGGATCGTACGAGGGCGGGTGGGAGACGGCGACGGTGATGGTCGTGGGCGACGTGGCGGTGGGATGGAGACGGTGGGCGGATCGAGGCGGGCGCTGGATGGGATCGCAATTATCTGGACGAGCGCCCTTTAGCGCCCTGCCTGGCAACCACTTCGCTCGGCTCGTCGCCAGGGCCCGCGCATTATAATCCCAGCGTCCCGGCCTATTGTCCAAGGTTGTCCCCAACCGGCTGCCTGCCTCCCGCCCCCTTCCTCTCCGCCCTGCCAATGACCGCCCTCCCGTCCTTCATCGAGCTCATGGCCACCCTCGGCATCGACGACCCCACCCCCGAGCCCTCCAAGCTTGCCGCGCCCCACCATTCGCGCTCCTCTTCTCATTCCTCCACTGCATCCACCCTTTCAGCATCTTCCAGCAATGTATCATCAGCACCCCGCAATATTTATTTCCTTCAGCACAAGCATTCCTCCCCTGCCATCGTCGTCTCCGCCCTAAACGGCCCAGAAGACTCCGAGATGCCCGCCGACATTCGTCGCTCGCGCGCACACACCAGATATTCCCCCTACGGAGCCATTGTGAGTCCCTCCTCCGCCGCGCTCCAACCGCGCCTCATTCCGCCAGAGCCATTCTCGCAAAGCCTCCATGCCTATCTCAACGGAGAGCTCGCCCGCGAGGGTCCCGTTCGAGTGAGCTTTTCTCCTCTTCCATTGCGTCATATCCATATCCATAGTGAACTTCGCCAGGCACTTTCCACCTCCCCTCGCCTCTCGCCCATCAGCGCGTCCTTCCGTGGACGCCGTTCTCGCCGACCTGACAACCTCAACCTCAATACCCCAGAGTCCGAGTCTATGGCGTACACTCCCATCTCCTCTTACGTTCGACGCCGGACGCCCCAGAACTCCCCAACGTCGCCGACTTTCGCGCGTACACGGGAACGGAGTTCGACCATCGCACACCCCCTCACCATCCCTACCCTTCCGACCCTCCTGTCCCCCGCCTCCTTCGCCACTCAGTCGTCCGACAGCGAGGAAGACGACATGGACGCGATCCCAGACTCCGAGTACAAGCTCGGCCAGTCATCGCGCGTCAGTGCCAGCCCTCCGTGGCAGTCTCGCTACTGCCAGTCAGACATTCCCCGCGTATTTCCGTATGCGCGCCGCTCAGCCCCGACGAGCCTTCCTGTCCACACCTTGCCCCCGTTTCGTGAGCGCGGACCCCGCCGCGCGATTTCCCGCCACGCCCTCCTCCCTCCGCCTCCCGCCCCCCCTTCCCCCGGCGTCCCGCCGACCGTCGCATGCGACAGCCCGCGCTCGCGCCCCATCCACATCTCTGCCTGCGCCTGCCGGCCACGGAAGGACCAACCATCCCACCTCTTCGCAGCACCCTACGGCACCTCCCTCTCCCCTCGCACAAAAACTGTATATTCTAATGTATACGGTAATCCCCAGGGGTCGCGCGTCTCGTGCCTCTTAGTGCCTGCAATCTCTCCATCTCTCCCGTGCCCGAACCTCGCCTCGAATCCTAGTATCTCCTCAGAACCGCATATCTGACGGACGCTCCCACTCTTTTAGTATCCACTCTCGTTTTAGTCACAGACGTTCACAGTCCTTACTTCTGCCCAGCTGCCGCTCTCCCAGACGGGGACCCGCTCGAGTCCTCTGTCCCATATCCCCTCCTTCGACTGCTATCCCCCGTACCGCTTTCGTTGCTGATCTCTGAGATCTCTACCACCCACCCGTATCGCCTTCCGAGCGCCTTGAGCACCCGATCAACAACCTCCTTGGTCGCGGTGATCTCTCCCATCCCCCCATCTCCTCCGCCCCCATCCGCCCTCTCGACGGCCATCTCTCGCCTTGAGCTCCGCGCCTTCGCCTCCACAACAGGTGCAGGCGCTCTCGCCCTCGAGATATGGGAGCTTGGGATCCAAGCCCGCTCGCCGCGCAGTCATGCCGTGATCGCGGTTGCCCCGTTGTCCCCGCCACCGCGCGCGGGGCTTCGATGGTGCAGCGTGATAGAGCGTGATGTGCCATGCCGCGATGGTTGCCCCCCCCTGTACACGCTCCACGCCCCTTCCTCCCCCGGACTGTTGTCGTTGTCGTGTACATGCTGCTGCAGTTGTTTACTTTTGTGATCGTAGCAACATTTCGGCGCGCGTGCGTGCCCGTGTCTCCTCTACGCGCGTGCTTGTCTGCTTGCCGTGTGCGTGTTTGCGCAAGTACCCTGCACCTTTCGTGCGCGTGTTTACGCGTGTCCGCCGTCGCGACGGCGCGAACCTTGACTCACTCCGCCGCGCCAAGAAAGGCAAGCCATTCCTCTGTCGGAACTTTTGGGGGAGCCATCTACGCTTGGAATGACTAGGTTTGACACGGTCCGGTCGCGAGGCCCCGAAACCGCGCGCTCCGATCGTGCTCCATGGTATCGACGTCCGTAATTAATGAGATGTGCGACGAGGCTTCTGACATATGACATACGGGCTCGGCGTCATAACCCAGATATGAGCACAGGCAAATCATGCTGGCAGGCTCGGCTTCTTTTCATATCTGCGCCGACGCTAACCTTGAAGCTTGACGGGGCCTGCTCATTTACAGCATCCGATCTTTCTTAGCCTCCGGAGAGGGCGAGGGCATGCGTCGGACGAACGGACGGTGGTGCAAGGCAGCCGCGTACAGAGCCCTCGTCCATCGTTGCTGCCACAACGACGACGACAACGACGAACGCTCGGGAGTCCAATTCTGCGGTCGCCCAATGCGCTTCCCCCGGCGCGTCGCCGGAGCTCCACTCGCAGGTGCGTGAGTCGCGACGGACTGGCGACGGGGCGGAGCGCGAGCTCCCAACAACTTATTCCGAGCGAGCGTTCGAGCCTCTGTGCCCGTCTCCACGAATACCTGCGTCCAAAATAACGCCGCAGCGCGGCGGTCGCGCCCCGCCGAACGGCGGTGACGTCCTTGCCGGCATCGCTAACGTCGACCGTCCGCGAGGCGATCACCAGATGCCGTGGATATGTAGGAGACGTCGGGCCCGGGCCAACGTCTGTGACGTTGGCGTCTGTCATCAGGAATCGCATCCGCCGAGTACGAGGCGTTGGGGTGCCCGTCGTCGTCATCGGCTTGTGAAGCGGGCGCGGACGGGTGTGATCGCTGACCGCGCGGTCCCGTCGACGAGCGTGGTTGCGGAGAGGCCGACATGAGAATCCGCCGTGGAGAATTGGCCCCGCCGCGCGGTGGTGATGTCCACGTCGTCCCGGGCTCTGTACAGCCTTCAAACAATCGAACCCGAGGATTGATGACGACCGGGACAGGGACCGCGCCCCCTTCACGAGGTGCACGACTCGGATGATCGACCGCTGCAGGCTTCGGAGAGACGGGCGCTGAGATTGCGAGGACGTGGAGATGTGCGTACAGGATGCAGATCACCGAGTCGCTACGTGCCGCGCCAGGTCCGTCAGCGCGCTGTGCATCGCACACAGACAGATGTCTGGCCCAGATGTGGACAGAGGGCCGTGGGGTACCGTTCGGATCAGCGTTTCAACCTTGAATGATCTCTAGTCGTGGGCGTCCTCATCGGGCCCCGGACAGTCCGCGGCCATGTCTTCGTCGTCCGTGTATTGCGTCCCGCACCAGAAACAGTACGCGTATTTGCGGCGGAGATAGTCCAGAATGAGCGTGAGCCTGTCCGGGGGCTGTCGGCCGCGAACCGACCGTTAGAACGCATTCTAAGCACGGAAATGTGAGGGCGTACGCCAAGTCGAAGGAATTGTACTGCCTCTTGGAGCTCCTCCTCGGAGTAAGGTGATTTACGTAGTTCCACCTGGTCTGCTGCGCCTTCACCCGTGTCGTCCGCGTCTGCCAACGAGCCTTGAAGCGGCCGCAGGGCGTCCGCCCGCATCTTCGCGCGCAGTCGGCCTTCGATGCTGTCGCCTACGCGGGCGCGCTGGATTTGTGCCGTGAGCGCAGGGTCGTCCAGCGCGTCCAGCAAGCCGTCTGGGAACGACTCCGGGTTCTCCGGGTCCAGCCACAGCACATTGAACTGCAAAAAGAAACAACCCGACACAGATGCGGACCATGAGAACGTGTCCCCCAAGACCTCCAGCCGGGGCAAGAGCCCGGCGACGAGGCACAGATAGACGGACCTCCACGCCATGCTTCCCGTCGAGCGTCGCGCACGTCCGTTGCGCGGGGTGCAGCCGCCCCGCCGCCCGCCGTTCCTCGTACTCCATCCGCGCGCGGTCGCGGAAGGACGCGTGCGTGCGGTCCTCCGCCATGCGCGCCATCTTCGCGAGCCGCTCCGGCGCACTGGGGGACGCGGCGCGCTTCCGCAGGCCAATCCCCGTTTTTCCTGTGGAGCAAACGTGAGCATGCGCGCGAATACGGGGGTGGGGCGGGGGAAGGGGAGGATGCGGTGGGCGGCAGGGTAAGGACGCGTGAGGGTGGAGTGATGCAAGGGACCGAGTGCGAGCGGGAGATGGGGGACGTGCCTTGCCACTCGTTCAGTGCGAGGGGAACAGTGCGGTGCGTCGTCGTGGACGTGGACGCCGACGTGGACGATGGTGTGGACGGCTCTGCTTTCGCGTTCGTTCCCACATAGCAGCCTCCAACGCGTCATGGACAGGACGGGCTCCGATACCTCTCCGCGCAGGCTCCGCCTCGTCTTCCTCCTTCATCCCCGGAGGCTTAACCTGACCGCCGTCTCGGGTTGTGTCATGTGCAGCCGCCGCAACTGGGGCGTCGTCCTTCGCCCCAAGAGCTTGCCCCGGCTTGAACCCCATCTTCATCATCATCGCGAGTGCCTTGTTCTCGGACCCTCGCTCTGCATGCTCCTCCCGCGCGCGCTCAAATAGCGAAGTGCTGAGGCCCTCTTCGCGCGATATGCGCTCCCGTTCGCGAAGGCTGAGCGTGCGGTTCTGCTCGTTCTTGCGCGCGGCCGCGAGCTGAGCTTCACGGCGGCGGTCTGCGTATGTCTTGGGAGCGGAGGACGTGGGTGCGGCAACCTCGACGAGGAACTTGTCTGAGAGGTAGTCGTCTTCTTCATCAGACATCGCAGTTTGCAAAGCAGCTGGTGAAGAGTTTATCTGGGACAAGGGAGAGATGGACGTCGGTGGCTGAGAGCGACCAGTGAGACGCTCGATCGCAGCGCCATGCATACATCCCACATTCCTCTGTAGCATCCTTAGCACCTCACGCGACACACCAGAAGGAGAATCGTAGACGTCATTCCATTCGTGACAAATTAATAAGGTATTTTTTCGATAGGGATGAGACGCAAAGTCGCTGGAGTTGACAAGCGACAAAGCAAGGCGACAAACGAAAACGGCACCAGACCGTGAAAGGGAACATGTGGGTAACCGTAGGGGAAGAACGGAAGCCCAACATAGATATGACCGGAATGGAAAGCGGGGAAGGAAGATGAACTGCATGACGAAGAACAGATTCTTCGGGGGATTCCTGACTCCAACCTCCGTTGAATCCTTTGCGTGTTGGTTGCAACTTAGGCGGCGACGGCAGGGGCCTCCATGCGGGCTCTGCCTCGGCCGCCTTCTCCTCTCCTCGCCCTCAGTCTCCTCGTTCGTAGGGTTCACGGCGATCTTGACCGCGATGGCCCTGCCACCGACTTCCTGGCCCTGGAGCGCCTCCATGGCCTTCTTCTGCTGCTCCTCGTCACCGACGTCGACGAAGCCGTAGCCCTTGCTCTTGCGGGGCTTCCCCCAGCGGCGGCGGACAATGCGTGCGGTCTTCACGGGGATACCAGCGTCGGTGAAGAGCGCGGAGAGGCCGGCGTCGTCAATGTTGAAGCCGAGGTTGGCGACAAAGAGCACCGTCTTGGACGGCTCGCCCTGGGGGTCCTCGCCGGCGGGGCGAGGGGGGCGAGGAGTACGAGCCTTGCGGGCCTTGGGCCTCTTTTCACCCTCAACGGGTGCGGCGCCCTCAGCGCTAGCGGGCGCCTCGCCATCCTTGGTCGCCTTGGGCTTGCGCTACCATCCCCAGTTTCAGATCAGACAAAACAACGCATATATGCGATTGAAATGACTCACGGCCTTCTTCTTCTTCTTGGGCTTGGCCGCGTCGCCCGACGCGGCGGCCGGTGCGTTGTCGGCGGAGGCATCGCCGTTCGCCTCGGCCTCGCTGACCTCGCCGGGAACCGACTTGCTGCCGCGACGACCGGTCCTCTTCTTGAGGCGGCGCTGCTTCTTCTCGTTGTCCTTTTGCTCAGCAGGCTTGGCGACCTCGACGATGAGAGTGCGACCATCGAGCTCCTTCTTGTCGAGGAGCTCCACGGCCTTCTGTGCGGCCTCTGCGGTGGAGAAGGAAACGAATCCGTAACCTGCAGAGCGGTTGCCGCTGCGCTTGATGACCTGAGCAGAGAGACTGCCGCAGCGCATAAGTGGGGGAAGCACACGCCGAAACTGGGATAACGGGTGGGCAACGTACACCTCGCTCTCGACCGGCGCAAAGAACGTCTTTAGCCCTTCATCCGTGGTGGAGTACGCGAGATTGCCAGCGAAGACCTGAGGAGGAGAATGAGGGGCGCGTGCCACGTCAGAGGAGGCTAGGACGCACCTTGAAGCCTACTTCTTCGACGACGGTCTCCTGCACGGGCGCGCCGTTCTCGGTGACAGGGGCGGCGGGGGCATCAGACATTTTGGGGGATGAACGGGGGGAATGGACTGGTGGGTTGTCGTGAGGATGAACTTGTTGAACCGGTTTCTTCGTGCCAAACTTGGGGGTTGAGAAGAAAGGGCAGACCGCGGCGGGCGGCTTGTTTTGATACGCCTGGCAAACTCCGCTCTGTATTACGTCGCCATAGCGCTCATCACTAGGCCCGGGCTATGCTGCTGCAACACGCTGCAGCCTGCAGATCATCACATCCCTTGCGGCACGCAGCGTGGCGAACACGATGTAGAGATGCAGACCACTGCGCTCGCACCGACGGCGGCGGGGATGCGGGGGCGATCCGGCACTGCGGAGACATCGGCAGGCTGAGATTGACGGGCGGATTGACGAAAGGCTCTGACAAAACGCGGACGGGCACACACTGGTGCGAAGGACGGACGGCGGCTAACGGCGGGCATAGAGGGCCGCCTGGAAGACTCAGGGCCCCAGCTTGGCGGTGGGGCGACGGGCAAAGCGCAATCGGGTGTGTTAGGCGGAAGGCTTGACCGAGCGGCGAGAGCGACCGGGCCTGTCCTCTCTCGTTGCGAGGTCCGTGCACACCCTTGGCGGCTCACGTAAGCACCCCCGCCGCTCGATTTCTTTTCTCGCCGCCGCCGTGAACGCGTTCTCTCTCTACGTCCATCTCCCTCTCCCTCTTGTCTCCCCGGGCCCCGTCGCTCTTTTCACGCCCGTCACTCCTTAGTACCCGCGCTCACTCTCTGCGTAATGGCCTCCAAGCTCCTCAGCCTCGTTTCCCTCTCCACGCTTGCCATCCTCGCGGCCTCGTTTGGGCCCGAGCAGGTCACCGCCCTCTCGTCCCACGGCCATCTCAACCGCCGTGTCGAGCATCACGCTCCTCTCGCCCGCAAGAAGCGTGACTCCACCACTCGCTGCCGCGCCCGTGCCACCACCTCAAGCGCGGTCGCCACGTCCTCGTCCTCGTCTTCGTCCTCTAAGGCCGAGGCCACCACCACCAAGGAGGCCGCTACGACCAGCACTAAGGCCGCCGCTACTACGAAGACGTCGACTTCGAAGGCCAGCACCTCCACGGGCACGTCTTCGTCCGGTGGCGCTGGCTTCTCCAACGGCTTCGGCACCTCGGGTCACAAGATTGGTCTCGCCTGGGGTATGGGCAACTCCCCGTCTGTCCTCTCCAACTTCGTGACTGACCATGTCGTGGCGTGAGTACCCTTGCCGTTTTGCGTCGTGTTCCCGTATTAAACCGTCGTCTAGCATCTACGACTGGAGCCCCAGCAAGCCCTCGGGCACTGACGAGCACAACCTGGTCTTCATGCCCATGCTTTGGGACGACGCTGGTGACAAGATCTCGGCCTTCCACTCGGCCATGAAGTCGTTCGACAAGAGCAACACCCTCATCCTCGGCTTCAACGAGTGCGTAGTCGCAGATCCTCCTCAGGGTCTGATTCCTCATCATTTGATCGTTCTAGGATCAACGAGCCCGGCCAGGCCAACATGTCCGGCGAGCAGGCCGCCGCCGTCTGGAAGGCCCAGATCGAGCAGTACTGCTCGGCAGGTTTCAAGTGTGCCACGCCCTCGATGTCCTCCCGCCCCAACGGCAACCAGTTGATGCGCGACTTCTTCAACGCTTGCAACGGTGGCTGCACTGTATGTTAATCCGCACAAGACCGTGCCCTGTCTGATGCTTACTGATGTTCGGGTTTCAGGTTAGCCACATGGCGCTTCACTGGTACGACACCACCTTCGACAAGCTCACGACCTACCTCGAGGCCTACCACGACGAGTTCAAGCTCCCTATCCTCCTGACCGAGTTTGCCGATCAGGTTTGTGTGTTTTACGGCGTGGGGCCGTACGGATGCTGACTGCAAGTCTAGAACTTCAACGGTGGTGGTCAGGCGTCCATGTCCGATATCTGGAGCTTCATGACCCAGGTTATCCCCTGGGTCGACAAGACCGATTGGATGGAGCTTGCTGCTCCTTTCGGTGTTATGACCGACCTCCAGGGCGTCAACACCCTTAACGCGCTTCTCTCCGGCAACGCGAAGACCCCCACCGACCTCGGCTACTATGTCATCAACAACGGCAACTAAGCTCGCGAGGTGGCGCCGGTCCTTGCGTGGTTTTGACCATCGTGCTAGAACCTTAGTGTCGTTCACCATATACCCATTTCGAAGTCATCCCGCAAGGCACGGCGCCTTTGCCTCTGGATAGGTGTTGATGCGGGTTTTAGTGCGAGCCCAAGTTGGCCTGGTATCAACGACGATTCTTCATGCAGATCTTTCTTCCTGCGAGTTGTCGTGTATCTTGGAGATTTCTTACGGTATCGAGTAGTGATATTGTGACATACTGCGCATGCTTATGCGCAACTGTTGTCTGCTAATGACCGAGTGTTTATACCTATCAATTCGACATTCTCCCTAGAGCGGGTGCATGTCGTAATTCAGCGCTCAACGCTCCCGCCTGACATGGGTGCGCCCAGCCAGCCTTGTAAAGTCGCTGGACTTATTGGCGGATACACAAAGACGTAACGCGTAACAGTTCTGCCAGCAGCGTGATCGTATCGGGATGCCTATGAAGTCACGAGTGCATGCAATACTATCTCGCGGCCTCGCATCCACGGTTCCGTCCGATTGTCGGCACCCTGGGGCCTGGGAAAGACGACTAGTTGGATGCTGAGGTGGGCAAACAGGCTTTGACTCAACGTCGTGGTTGTGAGCTACGTACCAGCAGCGCTATGGTCAAACACTTGCCTCCAGGTATCAAGCAGCTTCTCGCGCTCCGTAACCCTCACCCGCGACCAACGCCACCGTTCTCAAGACTCGACGCCGTCTTGCGCAACACCCTCCAGGACGCACAGGCCAGGAAAGCGGAGAAGGGATGGCTCACGCTTGCGGTAAACGATCAACTTCCTCTCATCCGCACAGACCGTATGCGACCGAATCCGCTGATCACTCGCACCATTCTCAACAGACGTGCACGCTGCTCACCGCTAACGCGCCCCCCACGGTGGGACGGCTGTACCACGTCACGACACGCACAGACCCAGACAACGCGTCGACTCGTGGCCCGCTCGCCACCTCCGTGGAGAAAGCTGCGCTGATGCGCGAATCGGCCCTCAAGAGCTGCATCTTCGTCGGCGTGCCCCGCGTAAGTCGTGCCGCGAAGAGCGTTCGTGCCTCGCCACACCCGGGGGAGTTTCCCGTCAACTCGGTGTGCTGCGTTCTGCGCCTGAATCTCTGTTCGCCATATGCGATCAGGGCGGGCGCAGAGGGCATCACGCTGGCGTTGCGAGGGGCACGGGGGCGTGTCGTGGCGCGGCATGTGATCTTTTGTCTCGTGCGGCGTTGGGACTACATGGAGGCTGAATCGCTGCCGTGTGATCTGTCCAGACCATTCTGTCCTTGGCAGCCCTCAACGAGGCGATCGAGGAGGACGTGAGGGACGGCCTCCGGAAGACGTCGAAACGGTGCGTTCCCCCACCCACACTCGCCGCGTGCGCGACGTTGGCTGAACGGGGACGTCCCCACGCCCGGGCTGGACGCTTTCGTCAAACCTGTGCAGAACGGCGACCAAGGAGAGCGTGGACGAGATCATGACCCGCGGCCGGGCGCTCTGGGGATCCATCTACGCGCCGCATGCGGAGAAGTTGTACAACAAGCTCGGCTCGTACCACCCTGACTTCATCGGTGAGTCGCTCCGTCTTGTTGCCATATCAATCTCGGTCTTTTTGTTTCCCTTTTCGTCTTTATCTTTCGACAAAAGGCGTTCTGCGCTCGGCGGAGAACGAGAAGGCGGGTTGAACATAGTTCTCCGGTGCGCCTTCTGGAGGATCAGGCCGGCAGAAGTCCTGATGGGGTTCGCCCTGGAGGTCCGCTTCGTTGCCGGGTGCCGTTCCCGGAGTGTGCTCGCAGGACGGCTCCCACGTCGGCGCGACCGTCGAGCTGTCGTCATCGATTCATCGGTCGCTCCCGCGGGGCTGCTCCGAGGCACGACGAGCACGCCGGGAATTAATCTGCGCCTCGAGAGCGGCTCGACTGGCCTCCGGGACGGACATAATGTGCAGCATCCGCGCCCTTGGGCCTGCATGCCCCGTATGTCAGTCCTCGTCCAGGCTCACTCGGAATCGGCGGGTCCGCGCCGGGCCACCGGATGCGCTGGGCCGTGCTTTGTTCGCCGTGCTGCTTGTTCACCGGGCAGGCCCGACGCTGGCGCGCGCAGCTCGCGGGTCCGTTTCCGCATCCTCGGCCGTCCCAGCACCGTCTTCTCGCGCCGGCTTGGCCTTCGCCATCGACCCCTGGTCTTCTCGCTTTCACAGTCGGGTGCGGGCCCTCGCCGTCTATTTGTCTCTTCTCGTCTTCTCTCGCCCCGTCCGTTCCTGCTGACAGACGCTTCCTCCCCACTCGTCCCGGACCCCCTCGCGCACTCCCACCCGTCGCCTCCGTCGCCCCTCGCGTCCACACGCGGCCCACGCTTATCTCTCCAACCCACCCCGTCCGCTCTCGCCCGGCGCCCGGCGCCACAGAGTTCATCATCCAGGCGTACGGCGCGGTGCTCGCGCCGCTGCCCGGGGCGCGGCCGAGCAGGGCAACCTGAGCCGCGCGCTGGGCTCCGTCGTCGGCGCCGCGTGCCTCCGCGCGGAGGGCGGCGTCGGCCCGCAGCTGACGAGCCACGTCTTCGGGCTGCTGAAGGCGCGGGGCGCGCCCGGGCTCGACGCGGAGGACGCGTGGCTCGCGAGCGACGCGGGCGCGGAGTGGGTCGTGCGCACCGTGGACGCGATCTGCGACGTCGCGAAGCCCGAGCTCGCCGCGGCGGACGCGGGCGCGGAGAGCACCCCGGCGAAGCTCTGAGGACGACGGCGGCGGGAGGACGGGTCGGGGCGCGCGGGCCGGGAAGGCTCGGTGCGGGAACGAGAAGTCGGCGGGTCGGGTGCGACGTCATTGCGGGCGTCGGCCGCGGCGGGTGCGCGGGCTCGAGGCGCACCCGTGCGGGGAGCCGTGCATCCACGCGGGTACGTAGGCACTTGCAGTGTGGGCCCTCTGTCCGGCGCGCCGCGCCCGAATCCGAACGTCGACGTCGATGACGCTCTCCGATCGCCGCAGCGTGCTCGCGCTAGGAGACGGGCACCTGTGCCGCCCCCCGCGCGTGGATCGTCCGCCAGGGCCGGCGCGCGGCGACTCGCACGTCGCGCCCCTCGCCCCGTGGCTTCGCGCTCGGGCGTGGGGCTTGCTTTCTGTGGTTAGCGCGCCACGCGCGGACGGCGCGGCGCGGTGCGGTGCGGTCGCCCGATCGCGCCTGCCGTCCGTCGAACGAGGACGCGCCCCGAGTGCGACGGGCGCGCGGACGCCAGGCGCACGAGTGGCTGCAGGGTCGTGCGTGCGCGAGGGGCTGCGGTGCTGCCCCGCGGACGGACGGACGGGTGAGATCGCAGATCGATGCGCGTCGTGCGAGAGATGCGTTGGAATGGGGAGCGTCCCTCGCGTATATCATTAAGTGTTCATTTGCGAGGGCGAGGGCGAGCGCGCACGCGCGCACCGGCGCGGGCTCGTCGTTCGGACTGCGTGCTATTGCGTCCTCGCTCTCGATATGGTGCGCGGCACGCCAGATTCGCGGCGGACGGGCCACGACGATGCGCGCACCGAGCCTGCGCTCGATTCGGAGTCTTCCGCTAGCCGACGCGGGGCGTGCGAGGGCCGACGACGAGCCACCGTGCGCAAGTGGGCGCACGCACGCGCGTTGCGGATCGTTGGAGTTCTGACCAGTTCCGCGGACGAGCCCGGTGGCTTGGGTGCATCGGGCGAGTGATGTGCGGGGCGCGGGCGAAGGCTTCGGGGCCCACTGGTGTGGTACGCGGACAGATGCGGCTTCGATTCTCGGGGAAAGTAGAATACAAGGTTGTACATCGACTTATAGATAAACAGCGGGCGGGAATGGTACATTTTCGTCGGGGCGCGGGGCAGAGCGGAGAGCGGGCGAGGATGAGGATGGGCGTGCAGGTGCAGGTGCTGAGCGCGGTCGAGGAGGGAGCCTCGCGGCCGGGTCAGAGACCGAAAGCCATCACGAAGCGGTAGAGCATCGCGGTGACAGTGACGGTGTCCATGAGCGGGGGGTGCATCTGAGGCGCAGCGGACGATCAGCCATCATGCGGGCGGGGCGCGGGCAGGGGCACGCACGACGACGCCGGCGCCTGCGTTGCGGACGAAGTGCAGCTCGCCGTGGACCTCGCCGATGTTGTACCGCTGGGGGCGTGTGGGCCGGAAGAAGGCGATCACGTTGTCGTTCTGGTCCTGGAGCTGTGAGGGTGGGGGCGGGAGCGTGAGCGCGAGCGGGGGCAGGGAGCGCGGGGGGAGCGTACGACGACGTCATTGTAGCTGTTGTTGGCGGGGCGCCAGCGGTACTGGTAGCCGTCGGGGCCGTTGAATATCCTGGCGTTGAAGACGCGGGCGTCGGGGCGGACGAGGTCGGCCATGGGGAGCGTGCTCTGCGCGGCCGCTATCAGCGGGATCGGAAGCGGGGCGGCGGTGAGTAGCGCACCTTGCCGATAATGGCGCGTCCGAGGCCTCCGTTCGGCGCCCACTCCAGCTTCGCCACCCGGTCCTCCTTGTTCGCGCGGATCGCGCGCCAGAGCGTCGTCACGCTTTGCCCCTGGCTGTTCGTGTCCGTCTGCGGAGACGGATGTGAGACGAGCGCAGAGAGCGCGAGCCCGCGCGGGGCGCACAGGGCGCACGGCCGGCGCCCGCGAGCCGCGCGATCCGGAGAGCGGGTGGCGCACCTGAAAGCGGTAGAGGACGCCGTAGCTGCCGAAGAGCTGGCTCGTCCGCGGGTCCTGCGACGTCCAGGAGAGCACTTCGTTTCCGGTAGACATCGCGGTCGTAAGGGTCGTCAGCGGTGGTCGTGGCCGAGGAGGGGGTGCGGGTGCGCGCGAGAGGCGAGTGCGAGGATGGCGTTGAGCCCGGCGAGCGTCGCGCTTTATATGTGTGCGCGCAATGCGAAAATTTAAAAGAGAGAGTGATGCTGGATGTTCGATCGAGAACGCGTGGTCGTGGCGGCAGATAAAGCGTACAGGGAGGGCCAACGTGCCTTTGGGAGAAGGATGGTGCATCATCTCCCGGCGCGTCGCGGGGTCGTACAGTGGAGTGAGGCCCGAGATTGCTTCGCGCTCGCGAACGGCGTGATCGAAGACACGAGGGTGGACGCACTCGCCATGTGTGGACGGACGCGTGCATGTCCTGCCCGACGCCAATAGAAATACTGTGAACACGGCGCGGACCCCACCGGCCACGACGGCCAAGCGCGCTCTGCCCTCCTCGCATGGCCGAAAGGCAGCCTCGCGGATAAATCCGTGCTCACCCCGTCCGCCGACGCCCCCCGCGCCCGTCAGCCGTGGCCGGTCCACGAGGCCTGAGCAGCGTCCGCATATGGCACTTTGGTCGCGGCCGGCTGGGCCACAGGCCGCACCTCGTCGACAGCGAGGATGCGTGCCCGCAGCGTGCCCTGCCCGCGCTCCCAGCCCAGCACAAAGGGGCCCCCCATCTCGCTCACCACCCCCACCGCCCACCCGCGCTCGAGCGACCGCAAGCCCGGGCCCACCCTGACGTTTGCGGCCGCCTCCAACGGGCAGGCAGGCCCTCCGCGCGTGGAGTGCTCGCCGCGATGGGGCAGGTCGAGCCTTGTGCGACGGGCCCTCGTGCCCGTAATTCCAGAGCTTGAGCCTGCTCGCCAAAGCCATGAGCGAGATCGCAAAACCTTGCGGAATGAATGCTCGCCCGCGTCAACCTCTCCGACTTCTCCGTGGCATCCCTTCTTCCACCCTCGTCACGCGCCCACCCTCGCCGACGACAGAAGCCTCTCACCCCGCCCGCTTTCCGTGCAGACGCCACGGCTCTCGGCTGGAATCTCCTTGGCATATCGCATGCGCGCACTACCTATGTACAACCTCCAGGCACACGCCTGCTGCCCAGCGCGGCTCGCCATCCGAACGCGCGACGACTTCTGGGAAGCAGCGGGCCAGGCGAGATAATCAATGGATGGCGGTACGGCACCGTTGAGCAACAGGTACGTACACGTCCAACGCAACTCACGCACACGCACCAGCCGCCCGCGCCCTCACGCCACCACCTGGATCCCAATCGTCCGCGCCGTGCCGATTACGGTGCTCGCGATCGCTTCTAGTCGGAGGTGCTTCAGATGGGCATCCGTCGCCTTGATTTTCGCAATCTCGTAAACGTGCTTGAGGCTGACGGTCCCTACGGCTTCGTGACCAGGCTTTCCGGCGCCCTTCTCCACCCCGGCGGCCTTCTTGAGGAAGTAGGCCGTCGGCGGGCTCTTCGTCACAAACGTGAAAGACCGGTCGGGCTGAACGGTGATCAATGTGGGAATCGGGATGCCGGGGTCTATGTGCGCAGTGCGAGCGTTGAATTCTTTGCAGAAGTCCATCGACTTTACGCCGCGGGCACCGAGCGCAGGTCCGACTGGCGGGCTGGGGGCGGCCTTGCCAGCAGGGATGAGGAGACGCTGTGAACAGATTCGAGAATGAGATTCGCGGGCGGAGCCAGAGGGGCGGGAGAGGGGAAGGAACGCACAATTACTTGAGCTCTAGCATTGAGGGCAGCTTTGGACATATCGAGGCAAGGAGGGGGAGGGCTAACCACAGGCAGCGTCGAGGGCAGCCAGTCGGTCGTGGCAGCGAGAGCAGAGGAGTGCGCGTCTGTCGCGGACACCCAGCGCAAGGTTAGGGTCCGCGGCAAGTCCCGGGCGCGGGTGGCCCTGCCGACCGGTTCAGGCCCGCTGGTGGCTCCCGCTGTGGCTGTCGCGTCGCCGCCGTCACGACGCGCGTTCCTCCTCTTGCTCTCGTCCCACCACTAGACCTGGAGATACCGCCTGCCTGCCGATACCCGCCATGAAGTTCCTCGCCCTCCTCGCTCTCGTCTCCGCTGCCGTCGCCACGCCTTTGTACGACATAAGTGCCGAACAGGCACTTCTCGGCGACTTCCTGCCCACCAGCTACCCCGGTTTCGACCTCGACCTCTACGCTCCCCGCCTGGTCCAGCTCGAGGAGGATGGCGAAGTCGTGTCGATGACGGAGCTCGAGAAGGTGGCTATATGCGCATCCCGGCCTCCGCTAAGTTCCTTGTTCTCATGGCGTCATCTTCCTCACCCTAGATCCAAGCGAAGGCCAAAGGGATCAGGTTCTTCGATGTGTGAGTCCGCCCGAGTCTGTTCCAGTGTTCCGTCCGTTCATCCCATTTCGTCAGGACGGACACTTTGGACCTTGGCTCTCGCGCACAGTTCAGGGCTGCCCGTAAACGTGGGTGCTCTTCGCTCGCACACGCCGCCTTCTCTCACATAGTGCGGCCGAGCAGAGTCCTTCCCCACGCCGAGCCACGGTGAGACCGTCAAGGCGGTGATTGACACTCTCGACATCCAGAATCTCAAGGATGGGCTCGCCAAGTTTACCAGCTTCCGCACGCGCTGTGAGTGCCGCGCCCTGCGTGTCTAACCTTCTTTCTGACGCTTGCAATAGACTACCGCAGTGAGGTATATGCGCCCCACGGTCTATCAAGACGTCTATTACTGACTTCCAGACCCCTTCGCCCAGACCGGGAAGCAGAGCCAGCAGTGGCTGATGAGCAAGATTTCCGAGGTAACCTCCCATGTGGTTAGCTTCTTACGGGCGGAGCTCATCCCGTCCCCCTCCAGCTCACTAAGGAATACGCTTCTCCCGAGCTCCAGAGCAGCATCTCCATCCAGGAGTTCCCTCACAGCTGGACGCAGAGCAGCGTCGTACGTCTCACGCCCTGCCCGTACTGCCCCCGGCTCATTGACTCGTCCTAGATCGTCACCATCAACGGTACCTCTACTGAGGACGACGGCATTGTGGTCATCGGCGCGCACCAGGACAGGTCTGCGTGTTTCCAGTTCCGCTCGTGTGCTGTTCTCATCGTGTTCCTGTTAGCACCAACACATGGCCGTTCCTCCCGGCGCCTGGTGAGTCGCGCCTGTCATGTGGACGAGAATTCGTCTTGACCACTTCTTTGCTTCAGGTGCCGACGATGATGGCTCGGGTTCTATGAGCATCCTGGAAGCGTACCGCGCGTTGATTGCTTCAGGGTTCAAGCCCAAGCGCACGGTGGAGTTCCACTGGTATTCCGCTGAGGTACGCTCGGTACTTGAACGCTCGGAACTTCACTTACGACATGCTGCTACTGCAATAGGAAGGGGGACTGCTCGGATCTCAAGCGGTCGCGAGCGCCTACGAAAGGAAGAACATGAACGTGGTTGCCATGAGTCAGGTTCGCGTTTATCTGTTTGAATCTCAGTCTATCACGATCTGGCACTGACGCCACTGATCGCTAGTACGACATGACTGCTTGGGTCAAGCGCGGAACTCAGGAGCAAGTCGGCATTATCACCGACTTCACTGACCCGGAGTCAGTCATTATGATAGATCCAGTCCCTGCTACGGCTTCTCACCGTGTGTCGTCGTGTCAGGTTGACTACCTTCAACAAGGCGCTTGTGGAAGCGTACCTTTCCATTCCTTGGGCAGAGACCGAGTGCGGTTACGCTTGCAGCGACCAGTAAGAGACCGGATGACCATGCCGAATGTCGAGCCGCACTGCTGACGCTTGTTCCAGTGCCTCGTGGCGCAAGGCCGGATACCCGAGTGTGTTCACGATAGGTGGGTTCCATCCCGTGTTGGGCACGTTCTATGTTACTCACATGGCACGAACCCTCACTGCCCAATGTGTCGACACGCGTATCGGATTCATATGTCTTCAGAGGCGAAGTTCGAGGATTCCAACCACAAGTACATCCATTCCTCGAACGAGTGAGTACATCCATCCGATGATTTCCGGTCACCGCCCGCGCACAGCTACTGACATTTCTGCAGCCGCTCCGACATCTCGGACGAGTTCAGCTTCGAGCACATGCTGGAGTTCTCGAAGCTTGCCGTCGGATTCGCCGTCGAGCTCGGTGGCTGGACCAAGTCGGCGTAATGGAAGACGCAGGCGTTCATATCGGATATACCTCCCACATCGTACGAGCGTGTAGATGCGCTGATCTAATCAATTATACGGAACCTTGCATACGAGAACCCTCGCGCTCGAGCCCGCGGCTCGTGCTCGCCCTCATCGTCGCCGAGCGACGCAGGTTGTATAATATGTACGTACTCCGATATCGCGCGTTCGTGCGCGCGCGGGCATGCGCCTTCTCTTTGGACGATTCTGCGTTGTGGTCGACGCGGGACGCGCGCGATCACCCTCGCGTACGCACGCACACCCTTGCAGGGCCGGCCTTCGTGACCTGACTGGGCTCTGGATGCCGGGGTCGTGCCCCCGTCAGTCACGGGCGAAGCCCTGCTCTCGCTTCCTCCGGCTGCCCCAATCCGGTCTGCTCGTCTTCGCGCGGCGCGCGGCGCTGCACACTTGGACTCGTATCCGTCGCGCGCCGTCGCTCCGTGCTCGATCGAGCTGCCGCCTCGAGCTCGACAAGCTCATCTCCGGCGGCCACGCGCGCGGGCCGCCGGACGTCTGCGAGATCGCGCGCCGGACTCGACTTGGCTCGCGTTTGTTTCGCGTTGCTGGGACCGCCCCCCGCCTCGGACTGGGAGTCAGGACAGGCTGGTGGTCGCCGGTGGCAGCAGCGGCTCGCTCTCGCCCGCGGGTGGCAGGGCGTGCCCGGCCACGCGTCTTCCACCGAGAAGCCCCGCGGGCGCGCGCGAGGGGGGGCGAGGCACGTCCCGTGGCTCGCGCGGCTGGCACACGCCGGTTCGACGTCCAGAGGAGGGGGCGCCGTGGTGCCTCGGGCGACGGGCGCGCGGGTTCGGAGAAAAACACAGGCAGGGTCTGTGCCATTCCGCACGGCTGCGGCGAACGCGAGCGTGCCCGGCGGAAGCGGGGAGGCGGAAATCGGAGATAGCTCAGCTGGTTGGCTGGCTGTTTGGTTGGCTGGTTTGCTGGCTGCTGGTTGGCTGGAGCGATGCTCTCTTCTACAATAGACCCTGGAGCAGCTGGGGCGAGCGCCGCGCAAGGACGGGTTCGATGTACGTGATGCCATTAATCGTCGAGCTCGGGTATCGTATATCGCAGGCGCAGGCCAACGACGGCATGGCCGGACGCGCACAACATGTCCGCCGCGCGTCCGCGGCGGTCGTTGCTGGCTTCTCCCCGCGCAGCTGTACATCGCGCTGCTCGAAGGGGCCCTCGAAGGCCCACCTGGCGCGCGCGGGCGCCGAGGAAGAGGAGCCTTGGAGGAGCGCCGCCGGCACGCGTGAGCGATCGAAGGGCTAGCGCGTGGCGGGCGAAGGGTGGAGGGTGCTCCAGAAAGTGAGGTGGTGAGCGCCGTACGCGATCACGTTGGAGCCCTGGCCCGCGAGGACGGTGTGGACGACGTTGGTGGGCCGGCGGAACGCGCAGCGCTCGGTGACGGGCTGCGGGCGAAAGCGGGTCGGGTGAGCGGACGGAGGAGGAGGAGCTTCCGGGACGGGACGCGGCGGGGGGAGAAGGCGGGGGGAGAAGTGTCGGAAGCGGGCAGGGCCTGCGACGCGTCGAGCAGCGGCGCCGAGACGCGTCGACGGCGGTCTGGGGGCTGGCAGGTGGACAGCGAGCGGGGAAGAGAAGACGGGAAGCGTGCGGCGTGGACGACCTGGGCCACCCGCCACCCCGGCACTCGCTCCAGATCCCGCCGGCTTCGGTGCTCCTCACGAGCGACGAGCGCGGCGAGGCAACCGACCGCCATGGACTGCACGCGGTCGACGCGGTGACGACGACGACGTTCTGGAGCGCGAGGACCACACAAGACGGGTGCAACAGAAAGGCGACTCACCTTCCGGTAGTCCCAGACGAGTACCGCGCCATCCGAGTAGCCCCGCGCGAAAAGGGAGTCCACCGTTGACCCGCGCGTGAATCGAGTGTCGTGGTGCGGCAGCCCGGTCCTGGTTCCTTTGCTCGCTCGAGGGCTCCGCAACGCGGCGCGGCGACCAAACTCGAGCACGGGCGCGCCGCTGAGCCCGCGCTCGCGGATGTCGTACACCTGCACCTGCCGGTCCATGTGGTCGATCTGCACACGATGTAGGTTAGCCATGTCCTGCACCGGCTTTGGCGGGTGATTCTACCGCCGCGCCGCCGCGCGTCGATCGGGGGGCTGCACGCCCGAGCGGGGAGGAGGGGAGCAGAAGATCATGATGGAGGCTGAAGAAGGGCTGCACGGGAGCGACACGGGCAAGCGACCCACCTCGAGCAAAACGAGGTCCCGTTCTTGCGGGTGGACGTGCACCTGATGGACCTTGCCCGACACACGCTTTGCTTCTCCAGCACTGTAGGCATCGACCTTCGTCTGCGCGACGCGGTCGCCCGCCGCAGTGTAGACGACGTTGTTCCAAGCCGAGTAGGCTAACGCCTGCACCGGCTGGACGTGGTTCGTCGGAACGCGCGTGGAAGTGACCGAGAAGCCAATCGCGTTTCCGCTCCCGTCCGGGGCCCGTCTGGGATCGGTGGGCGCGAGCTTCCAGAGGTAGAGCCTCTTGTCGTACCCGCCGGACAGGAAACTGTGGTCCTCAACGGGTGCGAGGCAGGTAATCCCCCGGTTCAGACACGACGTCCCGGCGAACGGATTCTCAATCACCGTCGTGTGCGCCTTGTGCTGGAGATCGATGCGGAACGGGCGCTGCGACGAAAACTTCAGTGCCCATCGTCAATACAGTCCACAGTCCAAGGTCCGGTACCTGATCATCTCCCACGGGAATTAAAGACACCTGGCAGGGTCCGGGATTGTACCCGATGACGACCGTCTTGCCGCCCACGAGACACGCGTCTTCAACACGCCGCAGGTCCTCGTCGTCTGGATAAAGCGAACACGCTTGATTGCGAGTTCTGTACAGCCACACACGTTCAGTGCCCAACATATGAACGTCATAGTTGCACGCACCTTCTGCGCTGGTCCACAAAGTGCACCTCGCCCCGCATCGTCACCGCAATCAGCGGGATGTCCGGATCGCTGGGCGCCAGCAGCCTCCTCGCCCGCGCGTGGTCCGCTTTGGGTATGACGACCAAGTGCCCCTCGTTGGACGCGGCCTCTCCCAGCTCGTCGTCCGAACTCAAGTCAATGGTTCCGTTGGAGCCCGAAGCCGACGCCGATCGCCTGCGAGAACGGGGTCGCCGAGTGCTACCGGAGGCCGTCCTTGTGCCCGAAGCCGCGACCGTCGTGTCGCCCGCACCCACCCTGCGATCGCGGCGAGAGCTGGCAGGAGCAGGCATGGGCCGCCTCCGCGGCTGGCTCGTGCGGGTGGCGCCGCGATCGTTTTCGTCCTGGGAGTCGTCGCTGCTCAGGATGACGTTGCGTGTCCGCGCGCATTGCGGCTCTGTCGCCCTCCCAGCGCGGTTGTCGGACTCGGCCCGGTCATTTGAGGACGAAGACTGTGCTGGAGCCGCAAGCCGGCGGGTGCGTCCGCGAGGAAGGCCTGTTACCCGGCGTAGTACTGCGACTTCATGCTCATCGGGCGACTCGCTCGCACGGGTAGAGTCGGCCCGAGAGCCAGTAGTCGCCGAGGTCGTCGGAGGGAGTAACGACAGGCCTGGGAGCATCCCACTGGTGGATATTCTTCATGAGGGAGCGGGGGAACACGAGTGACTGAAGATTCCCTGCTTGAGGTATGGTTGACATCGGGGTCGGCGTCGCTCGAATCTTCCAAGAAACTTTTCCATGCACCGTAAGAGGCCTTCAGACGTTCTGCCTCGGAAACTGTTTTACGAGTACTAGGACCTGGTGAAGGACGGGAAGGGCGAGGCTCGACATCGGATTGAGGCAGTTCTCTGGAAAGCTCCCTGGGCGGCGAGCTGGGAGCTCGATCATAGAACACGTTGCTGGGCATCGGTGATTCCGAACGTCCAGAAGCGTATGTCACTACGGACTGCCGGCCTGGCGAGACTCTATAACGGTTAGCTGGTCAATTAAATTAGGACTGGGTACGAAGGCACTTACTCAGCCGCTTGTCGGCTGGCAACCGGCTCTTGTTTTTCATGAGCTACCACCGTTTGACGAGGGGACCCATTGGAACATTCATATTCATCAAAATCATCAATGATGATTGGATCCGCCGACGTTCCTCGATTTAGAGGGGCCGTGAGGGAGGCCTCTGGAGGCATTCCCCGGATCTTGATGCTTGAAAGCAATGTAACAGAAGCGAGTTGCTCTGCCTCTGACTGCAAATCTCGCATGCTGGTGTTGGAACTCCCAGCGAGGACGGACGGAGCTCTACGCATGACTCTGGCAAGATCCTGCATACGAATCCCTTCCCTGAAAAAGAGCATATGAGCGCTTACTTTCAAACCATGACCATGGCACTTACACGGAGAGAAGATTCGCGAGGCTCTCGCCACGAGCTGAATCATCAGACTTCCTGGGAGTTGCGGTCAGACGCGGGTGAATGGGATATGGGCGCATATAGCGTACCAAGCAAAGGCAATCCTCCCAGATCTTGCATCCCGCCTTAGCCGTCTTGGAAGCCACGAAATGCACCATAACTTGAGAACTTACAGGAGACGTGGTGCTCTGGTCAGCCTCTTTCCCTCTTGCGATAGGCGTAGCGTGGTATGGAGGATGATGTCGTTGAGGTGCGCGTTGTCCTTGGGTAATGGATGCAGGGCGACAACTTCCTCGCCGGAGGGCACTTCTACGCCATCGAGCCGAGCCACAGCAGGAGACGACGAGCGTTTCCTCTTTGCTTTGGGGATATCAAGACCGGCGACATGGACAATTTCATCAAGATGAGTATAAAAGGGGGAAGGTGAACGTTTGAGTGTGCGAGAAGAGGTGCTCATGCGAACGGCAGAAGGTCGAATACAACTGAGCGGCGGGCGGGGCAGAGCAAATATTCAAGACGCCCGTCCCCGCTTCTCGCGGTGGCTGGCGGTGTGGACCTCCGCGTTTTGGCTTCGACTCTCGTCGTCCATCCCGATGACTGCTTCTTATCCGACTCTCGTTGCGACTCACACATTATCTGGACGGCATGGCTCAAGAAGACATGCAACCCAATGAGTTGCGTCATGCTCGCAAAGGCCGCGCTGTAGTGCCCACCATTCGGGCGTCGAGGCCACCTATGCGGCAAGGAGATCGGGGGCGGGGCAGAGGACGCGGGAACTACGGTGCGCACAACTCAAATGGGCGAGGCGCACACTCCCGGTCGATATCCCGCATTTCTTCTCATGCACCACAACGCGACCTGCCGCCCCACTTGTCCTCAACGTCTTCGCCCGGCTTCAAGGTCGAGGACACAAGCGACGATAGAGCGCCGAAGAGGGTCAAGTCAGATCACAGTTCTACATCCGTCAAACTCGAAGACCAGCCTTCGTATCATACTCGCCGCCCCGAGCCTAGTCGGTCAGCGCCAATTAAGTGGGAGGAAGAAGACAAGGTAGTTCATTATGGTGCAAGTTCTGTGCATGTCTCACAGTTTTACAATCTAGTATTCCAGGCCCACTAGTCCCGGACTGGGACCGCTGAAATCGACGAACCCACCTCATGCGCGTCTCGCGCCGCCGGTATCAAGCCGCCTCGACTTGATTGCGCTTGGAACCCGCAGTTTGCAAACTTCACCATCCCCTGAGAGGCGGCATGCTTCAATACGCCTCGAGGATGGATTGAATGGCGGGAGCAGATCTTTCCTCCGACCGGTACGGGTGCATGGCGCGTCCGATGAAGATGGCGCACAACGTCGTCCCCACACCCCCGCAAGCTTTGACACAGATCATGGGACATCCTCGGGCGGTGATTCATGTCAGAACGATCAGAAAGAGCGGCCGCTCATTCAGCAGCTCGATTGTCCATCGCCTTGTCCGGAATCACCGCATTCGGACACGCAGGGGGTGGCCAGCGTATCCCCAGAACCCAGCCGTACTTTCGCCGACTCTCAGACGCACTCTACAATCGCGGCACCCCCAGCGGAGCATATACAAGGCCCGGCACTTCCACGCAAGGGTCCTAGCTTCCGATCAGGAACGCTGTACATACGACTTCCTTTCCACAGACCCTCGCCCGAGAACCCGCCCGAGGAGCACGTCCATGAACACAGAATCAATTCACCGTATGTAGCTGTCTTTCAATCGGCACAGCGACTCTCACGACTGACGGTTGCATGCGCTCTCGATCACAGGTCTCTGGGAACAGACATAGTCCAACCGATTCCCTGTCCCAGTGTGACTGCAGCTTCGACGGACGACCCGGTCGCCTGTTGCGACCAGCCCGGTCGACCATGTACACCTCCGCACTACATCGAGGCCGTTCAAATGCGCAGGGATCCACACGACAAGCCTCGGCGGATCTTTGTTCTGCCCGCACTTGGCGTTCTCAGCGTTTCGATGCGTGGTTGCTTTGACCTCGTTGAACGTGAGCCTCTGAGGTGCTCTGCGCTTACCAAGCCAGCCACCGAACAGGCCTCCGATCACACGGTGGATGGTGCTTGTTTGCTGTCTGACCCTGACTCTCCCACAGTCGTGGTGGGTCGCACGGGAGACGTTGGGCAAGTGTCGCTGGTGCGGCTGCAGGGCAAGAAGGTTCGTGCCCTCACATCGCTTCTTGACTCCCCCGCTAAGGCTCCGCGACAGCTTGTGGAAATAGGCTGTTATAAAAATACGCCTCAGGGGGATAGAAAAAGCGGCATTAGCGTCATCTGCGCGGCATGGCAGCCACGCAGCTTCTTCACGGGCGGCTACGACCACTCAATCAGCCTGTGGTCGTCTGCGGACGGCGAAGCACCCGCCCCAACCCTTCTCGCCATCAAGCATTCGAGCGCCGTCCATGCGTTGCTGCCGACCCAAGACGGCGGCCACAAGCTGCTATCAGGCAGCGCCGACTGCAGCGTATCAGTGTTCGACATACCGTCGGGCCGGGTCACGAACGCGCTCAAGCTCTCAAACACAATCTACCAGCTGCACGCCACCGAATCCCCGTTCTGCACGCTCCTGGAGGTGCGTGGCGCGTCCTTCCATTCATCCGTCGCCCTACCTGCTGACCACTCCCATTGCAGATCGGACATCGTGAGTTCCAGTTCGAAGTGCGCGACCACCGGCTGGCGCCCGTCCAGCCTGTCCTGCGCTTTGGCTATCCGAGCGTGAAGGTGCACGGACGGTTCACGCGAGGTGAGCGGACCGCCTCCCGTCCGTCGCCTCCGAGTCTGACGCTCCCCCCCCCACCAGGCGCCGTGCAGGGCCATCGGTTCGCGTGCGGCGGCAGCGAGAAGGACGGAACGGTCCGCGTCTGGGATCTGCGCAACACGTCCGAGATACAGCGCGCGGTATGTCCGTCCGCGCCCGCGTCCGAAGTAGGGGCTGACGTCCCCCGTGATCCGCGCAGATCCCTTGCTTCCCCGGCCGGAAGGCGACCCAGGCCGAGTTCGACCGCGAACGGCTCCTCGTTTGCTCCGACGACAACCAGCTCGCTTTCTGGCAGACTGTTTGAGGAGGAGGGCGCTAAATTATTGTGATAATATATGAAGGTACTCTACATCCCGGGCCGACTGTGATTCGAATTTTCAAGCTGGGTGCTGCCCAGCGTCGGCGCTCGTCACAAGCTCCAAAACTCTGTGCATCGGACGGTATTGCAGCAAGACATAAGTGTAGTAGCATCGAACACCAGTATCAGCAGTGATCGACATGCTACCAGAGGGCATATCCCCGGGGCCGCCCTGAGAGAAAATCAAATCGAATCAAGAAAATGGTGCGTGCAGACGGATGAAGGCATATTGACGGAGGTTCTTGATCTCGTGGGTCTGGTTGGAGAGGGTCTCGGGGCGAGCGATGGCACGGTCATAGACACCACTGCGCTTGCGAAGGACGCCCTGGCAGTCTGCGAGGGAGCGACGGGCCTCGGTGTGGAAGGGCATGCGCAAGCTCTCGTAGCCCTTCAGTGGCTGTGACCTGTAGAGCTGCTTGCTCTCCTCCTCGCGCACCCATCTCAGCTCTTGGCACCTGCGCATTGAAGGTGCACTGATTCAAGCGCTCTGCCGCTCCTTGAACTTGCGCCGTCTCGCCGCCAAGTTGGTCTCACCGCGACAATTTGGACCTCTCTGTATTGACACTTACACTCGGAATAATATACGGGAAATTTTGTTGCAGGTACTAGCCTCTAATATTGCCCCCAAACAAAGTCTAGTAAGCTTACGCGATTTCCATGGTTTCTGCACGATCGGTGATCATCTACTGCTCGATATGCATTCAAAAACACCATGTAGAAGGCAGGGCTGACATATCTTCACGCGATTCCGCGCGCGGCGTTCTGCGCTTTCAAGCCTCTACGGATGTGGATGTGGAGTTTGGACGTTCTCGCGCACATTTCTATACAACTGTGTTTTACGCCCCTTGTGCCTTCATTTCACCGTGCCCAGGAAAGCTCATCGCATCTCTTTGACCGGACTCTGCACGAGCGCCTGTTAACATTTGAATCGGCTGGCGTCGGGCCGCGGAGGACGCGGAGCTCAGCGCTCAGCGCTCCTTTCAACGCACACGTCTTCTCGCCGCTAGGTTTCCCATCTCCCCTACCTCCTCGGGCGCCCCCATTCCAACGCACGAAACCCTCGAAGCGATGAACTCTCGCGACCGCCGCAAAGAAGACATCGAGAAGGCGTATCAAGTGCAAGCCGCGGCGGGCCTCCGCGGGTTCGCGCAGTTCGGCGCGGTCGGGCTCGGGCTCGCCGCCATCGGACACCACTCGTGGCCGGCGTTCAGGTGCGTGCTCCTCCTCTCTTCCTGCGAGGTGTCTTGTGCGGCACCGAGGAGGCCCCGGGCAGGGACGCGCGCGGAACGCTTACCGTCTCTCGTCCATGTACCCCGCGTGGGCCGTCGCCCTGCGTACCAGGAGGCAGACGCTCCCGTTCAAAGCGTGGCTGGTCACGATCGGTGCGTCCGCCATCTGCTCCCGCCGCCATCCCCGTCCTCATCTCGATGCACCCGCTCACCGTCTCGTCTTGCCACGCCGCGCGTCGCCTCCGTATCGTCCCTCGTCCTTTGCCGCGGGCCCTTCAGTATCCGTCTTCGGCCTCTGCATCCACGCCGAGAACGCGCTCCAGGCGCACGAGCTCGAACAGCGCCTCCGCGAGAACTCGGTCCGTCGCGAGGCCCGGCTCGACCTCGCCCGGCGCGGGCTCGTCGCGACCGAGTCCGAGATCGCGAAGTGGCGGGCAGAGCGCGAGCGCGCCGCTGCCGCATCAACATCCATTGCCCCGGCAAGTCCTTCGAGTCCACGCTGAGGCAGACGAGGGGGGTGGGGGCTTGGAGATAGAAGGGCTACTGACTTGCATACGCAATGCAATACATATATACACCTGTGTAGCATATCGCGCTAGAACCGACCCAGCCGCTCGCCCTACATGTGTCTTGCTGCGCCAGACGCTTTGCGTGACTGTCATTCCTGACCGCAACGCTGTTATATGTGCACCACTGCGTGGTCATTTACCTTGACACGGATAGTGTCAGCCGACTAGGACAGAGAGCCCGTGGCAATGTCAACAGCAATCGACTCCGATGCTTATTACGTCCAACAGACATTTAGATCTATGGCTATTTTTTCGGTTCGTGAATGGGCAGACGTCAGAGGGTGAGGGTGATACGATCGACTGTGTTGTATGGTGCGTGTTGTATGCGATGCGTGACGGCAAGTCCAAAGAAGCGAGGGGATTTCGACGAGAGAGAGAAAGCCTACAGGCTGTATAGATGACGAACAACGATAGCGGTGGGTCCGTAGAGACGAGCAAACATACGAGACGCGAGAGAGAGAGAGAGAGAGAGAGAGAGAGAGAGAGAGAGAGAGCGATACAAATGATCCAGAAACAGGGACATCATCTTCGTTACCGATATATCACTGGCTGTACTGATACTCGTGCTGAACACCTGGAGTTGGTAGATACTGTGGTGGCCTGGGCGGCGGACCAGGGTAGTATGCCTGCCCGTTGTGAGTGGGAGAGTACGAGCCCTGTGGCTCATACTGCATGTGCGAAGGCATGCTCGGCGGCGGTGGAGGCGGCGGGAGCTGCTGGAAACCTGAGGCCTGGAGGGCGTACCCACTGCCTACGGGCGGAGGTGGAAGACTTGGCCGGCGCTTCGGGGGCTGTGGGGCGGGCTGGCCAAATGACGAAGAAGGGGGTAAAGGAGGCGGAGGACCCGGGACGGGCAGCGAGCCGTTAGAGAAAGACGATTGCATGGGCGGCGGTACAGCTTGTCCAGGCAGCGGCGGGGGTGGCGGGATCTGCTGGTACGGCATCGCGGTTGGGAAGGACGACTGCGGCACGTTGCCGTTGTAGTACCCAGAGTAGTTGGCGGGATGGGTAGCGACGACTGCCTGCGTGACTGCTGGGAGTACTGGGGCGACTGGCCGGGCTGAGGTAGTGGACGTGAGCCTGGTGTGGTAACAACCTGCGAGCTAGGCGGACTGTCCGTCAGGGGAGGAGGTGGAGGAATATTGTCATGGGAAGGTGAGGGAGACACATGTCCGTATGAAGGCTGCTCGGGAGGTGCAGAGAGAGATTGGTGTAAAGGTGGGGCGGGTAGCGGTGGGTACGAATGCGAAGGTGCCGATGCGGGCTGAAGTGGAGGTTGCTGATAGGATAAGTTAGGTGGGTATGTGGTCGGAGGGGTACCCGGAGGGTAAGAAGATGCTGGCGGTGGTTGGTGGTATGAGCCGTTCGGGGAGTACGAGCCAGGTGCAGGCGGTTGACCAGGGTAGGGGCTCGCGGGAGGAGCATTCGCAGATGGAGGTTGGCTGTAGTACATAGACGAGGGCTGTCCTGCCGGGGGAGGGTATGTAGACGAATGCATCGGCGGATGTGACGCAGCGAAGCCAGAGGGAGCAGTCTGGGCGGATGGCATGGTGGAAAAGCTAGATGACGGTATCCGACTTGCAGCAACTGCTCCACTGTACCCTCCAGGGGCTGGCGTCACAGACGGGGGAGGGAGGAAACCCGAGGGTGCCGGCGGTTGAGAGTTCAAAGGAATGAACCCTGAAGGTTGAGGAACCAATGGCATGAACCCAGACGAAGTAGGGGGCAGGCTGTACCGAGGTCGACCCCCGTGCGCAGAGAAGCTAGATGGGGCGGGAGGCGCTCTTTGCTCGTACGCAGGTTGGTATGGGTCGGGCAAATGGACATTATCGTTGGCGTAAGGCTGTTGCTGGTCAGCCCCATAGTCGTACTGCTGCTGGTCGTACTGCTGTTGATCGTACTGCTGTTGGTCGTACTGTTGTTGGTCGTACTGATCATACTGATAACCTCCCTCAGAGTAGACGGATCCGCGCTGAGCATGGGTATGGTATGGTTGCTGAGACGGGACCGCACTCATCGCCGAAGCAGGCCGGGGCAAGTAGCTCCCCATTTGCGCCTGCAGGCCTCCTCAATACCACGGATGGGAAAAGGGCTAGTAATGTGACGCACCGGCATGCTTTGCCTCCGATGTCCACCCGGCTGCACCTGCAGCTCCGCAAACTCGTTCGTGATCCCATCGATAGATGAATTGTGCGATCTGACACTTTCGTACGGCGCATGGTAGACGTTGAGTTGGGAGGATGCTGACCGTAGCGACGGAGGTAAGGTGTCACGGCTCCCCGTCGTACTCGTACTTGCTGAACTCGTCATGCGCGAAAGGTCCGTATAAGAAGAGCCGGCCGACCCGGATTCTCCTAGAGGCACAAACGTCCCGCTTCCTCCGTACTGGGCGTTGTTCGGAGGCTTAGCGGTCGCTTTTTTGACCGGAGGAGGCTCCTGTGGAGTGCAACGCGAAAGTGAGATGCGCACTGACGCACCAAAGCAAAGTACGCACATCAAACCACAGCGTAAGCTCGAGGTACACCTCCCCGCAGTACTTGTCTTTGTTCATCACAGTGAACCATTCTGGAGAATCCGATCAGTCTGCGCAAACACGCGTCCAAAACACATACACGTACCATCGGTCTCGCCCTTGGTGAGCACCTCCGTCAAATCCACCTTCGCTTCTCCGATCAGGTCCGGGTCACGGGGATCTTCAGCGAAGCAGGCGATGTTCATGAAGTTGCCACCTTGGACCTTGGGGGGCTTGCCGTTCGCCTTGGGCGGAGGCGGCGGCGGGGTCTCTGACCCTGGGACGTGCGGCAGGTCCGAGTCGACATCTTCAAAGAGCTCGAAGCGGATTTCCTCGTCCCATTCAGGGTGCTGGCCGCCGCGCTTGATTGCCTTGGTGCGCCTCCGCTCGCCGTTGAAGAGGACCTGGCAGTACGGGTCTTGCTTTCCGATGTGACGCTTGTTTGGGAGGTTCCTCTACACACACACAAGCAAGCGTGGTCTCAGCGCGGGCAAGAAACAATGGCAGGAATGAGGCACACGGACCGCTTTGAGGACGACGACGATGAGCGTGCCGATGTGGCGGCCGGTCGACATGGGAGGGGGGGGAGGAGAGCGGGCGTCTGACTGTTGCGGCGAGGTGTGGGCGGAGGGCGGGCGCGAGACGGGCCAGGCAGTCGGACGTACGGAGATGGGAGGAGGAGGGATTTATTGAACGAGAGCTGGAGGCCAAAAAGCGTCACAGCCTTGTGCGGGGACAGGCAGGGGCAGCTGGCGACGGCGAGCGCGTCGGCGTCGCCCTCGGCTCGAGCCGCGGCCAAGCCACCCGTCCGCTTTCGGGAGCCTCCCTCTCCCAGCCCCTACCAACGTGCATCTCGGACGTCCAGCTCTGGACGATCGCCGCTGTGACCATACGCCGCGCCTTCCCGAATATCTGCTTCTCCCCCTTGTCGTTCTCACCTGCGACCTCTCCTACCCGGCCCGCCGCTCGTCATGACGCCTCTCAAACGCAAACTACAGACCAGAGACCAGGACCGCAGTGCGCCACGATCAAGTCGGGACGTCATTATGTACCACCCCGACTCAACACGCGACGGCCTGCAAAAGCCTGCAAAGCCCTGCGCGGCATCAACGATGATGCTCGTCAATCGTCGCACATGGTATTTGATGTCGGTACGGCGCCCGGCGTGCAGCCCGAAGTGACCACTGCGTGCGTGTACAGTACATTTTCCGTCACAGTTCTGGACATCATCCTACATATGTGCAACGCCGTGCTCGGCCCACATGTCATGCGCCGGGGACATACGGCTTGCCGTCCTTCAACACAAGGTGCGGCTTGCGTTGCGCGAGGTCCAGGAGCATTTCTGCAAAGTAGCTGTTCGCCCACGCGAACCACGGGCGCGTGTAGTCGGTGCCATTGTAGATGGACACGGACTCGTGGATTAGGCCGAGACCAGCCGTGTTCTGTTGAAAGCTGTTAGCATGCCCGATTACGGGTTCGAGGGAGCGTGCACGTACGTTGGCGATCATGTAGAGCGACGTCATGATTTCGTCGTCGTCATCGGTCCCGTAGATCGCAGAAATCCGCGACATGGGCCTGTAAAAGAAGAGAATGAGCCGGTGACTCGTTCGGAAGCACACGGTCCGGAAGCACGGACCATGGGTGCCACGCGTCGACATGTGGCCCGCTGTGCGGAAGAAGGGATGGAGGCGTCCCTGGAGTGTTAGACCCTCACGGATGCGACGCACGGCCGGACGCACCCAACGCCACTGAAGGTTTTCCCTGCTGAAAAGTAGGGGTTGTGCCTCGACAAAAGGACTTTGCGCGTTGCCACATAAGCCGGATGTGCCTTGTCGAGGAAGCCTAAGTACGGGAGCGAGAGCAGCGACTAGGCGGGCGAGTCAGATGGAGTCGTTCGAGAAGGCAGAGAGGAGGGCTTACGGGCACATTGGCGTCGTCCATTACGTATCTCCCCCCGAAACCTGTTTCGTTTCGTTAGTGTCTGGGCTCTGTCACAACAACCTTAGGCTTCACCATTCGTCTCGTACGCGAAAATGTTGTTCACCACAGTCGTCTTCCACATGGCCTTCTCAATCACGGAGCTGTACTTCTTTGCCGCTGCGCTGATGTTATGAGCCTTCTTGGTGTCGTCGAGGACCTTGGCCAGATGTGTAAGTTCGACGCTCAACATCGCGTTCGCGGGCGTCAAGAAGGCTACAAGGAAATATGCGTCAGTCGCTGCATTGAGACTCCACTGGAAATGCGACATACCGAACGTGCTTAGATCATCGGATGGCCGATGGTGCGTACCCACAAGACCAGTGTACAACTTCGGCTCGCCGTTTCCGCGGTTAGGAACGGCGGGAGAGAGTGCACCATTTCCACCCGTCCAGTTGTAGTACGATACCAGGTTGTAGTCGTCGTCAAACGTAGATTGGGACTGCTCCCAGATGACGTTGAAGATCTGGTCGATGGCTGAGAACCAGTTGTCGTTCATAAAAGAGTCGTCTTTGGTGGCATTGTAGTATGATCGGGAGAGCTTCAGGAAACCGCAGAGCGAGTCGATCTCATACTACGAGAGAGGTCAGCGGCCGTTGCAGTCAGACGGCAAACACGGTCGGTTTACTTTACACTCAAAGACGGTCTGGTTGTTGACAGGACTACGAGAGGGATCAGCTTTGAGACAGGCCGGGATGGAAGCGTTACTCACGGGTTCACCGTCACGCCGTCCGCCCAGTCGTTGTGAGAGGGCGCGAGTCCGCTCTCGGGGGGAGGCTGGAAAGCGCCGCAGTAGGGGTACTGAGAGACGTAACGCGCTTCGTTGTTGATGACTGCCTTCACGAGTGTCGCTAGCTCTTTGTCACTTGATAGCAAAGTGTGGTAATGAGCGAACTGGTTGGCCGTGTCGCGCAACCACTGAGCGCTGTGTATGTGCGGTCGGTGTCAAGTAGCTTATGCAGGAGCAGAACGTCTGCCTACGTGATGTCCTACAACGCGAGATGTCAGGCTGGGATGCATCCTAGCGGTAACGAAGAACATACGCCAGTGATGATGAAGGCCAGATTCTCCGTCTAGGATAAAATGCCTATGAGCCTCTGCGTGGCCTCCCACGTCAACATGCGTTGAACTCACCTCATTGAAGTACTTGACAGTAGTGTCTATTCACGAGCTGATGAGCTTCCTCCCAGTGAAACGCAAGACGCGAGGCAAGAGAACGCACCGAGCGTGTTGGGGAACGTGTTCTCAAATAGACGTGCCAAGTCGGGATCCTTCAAGCGGTTTTTCATGTCTTCAATGACTTGCTAGATTCAGAACCGGAGCCCTCTCAAAACCCATCAAGGCGCGCGATTGAGGAAGCAGGCAGACTTACTTCTACCGCCGTGCTATTGAACGTCCGGCATTCCGGCGCGGGGCGCATGTACGGCAACGCCAGAGGTCCCGAAGACGGGCTGCCTTGTGGGCTCTGAGTTATTTCGAGCGCGAGGCCGTCAGTATCGCACCAAAGCTCGATATCCCCTCCCGCATGGACCCCTTGCAGCATCCCCCCCTGCCCCTCCAACGCCCCCTCACTGTGCCTCCGACCCGCCCCATATATGCACCAAGTGCCAAAACACTCACCTGCGAGAACGTGGTGTAGTCGGGGCAGTCTGCTGCCGCGACTGCGACCGCGGTGAGCGAGACTAGCGGCGCGAGCTTTGCGAGACCAAGGCCGAGCTTCATGTTGACGGCGTCCGCAACGCGCTCGAGCGAGGGAAAGTCCGAGAAAGCGCGGACGAGGTCAACGAGCGTGGAGGGGAGTTTATGTAGAGACGCGTCGGCCAGGCCCACAAGGCTTCTCATCGGAAGGGCGGCCTGACGAGCATGCCAGGTGATACGAGGCCAGGCGGCGGGTGGAGGGGGGCGGGCGCAAGAGGTGTGGCAGGTGACCGCGACTTTCGTGAGCGGTATGACACGATGTGATCTACATCAGCAATTCAGCATCATAGTGCGCCACATTCCAAGCAAGGCAAGTAGTGAGCACTTGAGTAGCCACAGACTGCACGAGTGGAGGGGATAACGCACCATATGGTTCCGATTCAGAACGCTCCTCACATCCACTGTTGTTCAGGTCTTCTAAGAGCCCCAGCAACCAGGCGAGCTTGTCAAGAACCTGCCACAGATACTACATCTCTGGTAGCATAGATGAAGAGGAGCTCAGGCAAAATTTTCCGGGCATCCAGGAGGACGCAGCCTGTTGGCTTATTATTATTATTACGTTCTTTCTATCCCCGTGTGTCACATATGCGCGTGTAACTACACAGCTAAGAATCTATCCCGCGTTCGTTTGACTGCGCAGCCTGTTGGCAGGTGACCGCGATGCTGCTTGCGTTTGTACACGTGATGGCCCACGCGTCGACCCTGTCCGTTCAATTCTCGGCGCTCGCTCTGCAACAGGCATGGCCTCCATCTTAATCCACCAGCACACATATGTTGTTAGAGTCCTTCATGGCGATCTCACAAAGCGCCTCCAATGACCTCAAAGAGTGCGAAGTGAGTATTTATGGCCACCACCGTACTGTCGCTTTTTGCCCTCGACTTGAAGCCACGAGGCTGGCCTGCTCACCGCTTTGCGAAGAAACCAGAGAGCGGATCCAGGGGAAGCGTTCCTGGTGTCTGATAAAGTTGAAGCCCTTTAGTATAGCAGGACTCGTGATCTATCACGACAGTGTATTAGACCACCTTTTCATGAGTACTGTGCGAAGGAACGCAGCTCCGAGTCGGGTGCCGGCAGGACAACACATGTTTCGGAGGTGCTCCTCACACAAATTGACACCAATACAGCAGTGTCATCCAGGGCTAGAGGCCCAAATGCGGAGGAAGGTCTGCTGAATTTGGGTTTGTCTCCATCTGGCTGGGACGAATATTAAGCGGAAAATGATGGTGAAGTATCGTCTCAATCTCAGACCACAATGGTGGCCTAATGGCTTGAAAGCTTGTGTTATGGCCTGCTCCGCCTGTCTGGTTACGAGCTTCGGCGCGCACCCGCTACGGACGCCCAGCATACGATCGTCCGCCACTGGTTACCTTGCATCACTTATATTCTCGCGCCCGCTTCACTGTATCGCCACGCGATTGCCTCCTGGCTCCTCCCCGTCGCCTCTCCTTCCCGTCTCCCCACTACCGCGAGCCTCTCCGAGGTCAAGCGCGTCCTCTAATCCGATCCCGCCTTTCCGCTCGTCTCCGACTCGCCCGACCTCCGCGCTCCCGCGCTCCGCGACCGTAACAGCTTGAGGCCTCAACAACCTCGCACGCCATCCACGCAGGAAAGACTGGTCACTCATATGTGGTAGGCACCATGTTGCAACCGATCGGCACTGTGTAATATTCTGTACCAACTTAGCATACAAGTGGTTCAAATACAGAAAAAGTGAATCGTAAACTTTCGGCAGGGCTCTTGAGCCCACTTGACCATCAATCCTCCTAGTTGGTACCCAACATAAAGTTCACGAAGTTTTCACGCGTCTCTTGGGGGGGGAGAAAAGCTAGCTCAGAGGTGGTACTGAACGGCGAGCTCTGAGCCGAGCCGGTGCTAGATAGCTCATCCCGGATGGCTTGCATCAGAGCCTCCTTGAGCTTAGCCCTGATGCCTTGAAGAACCTTGAGCGGCAGGCCGTCCGGGGGGAGCCACGGGTAAACTGTTGCGTGTGTGCCTTGAAGAACGAACTTGACTGGAGAGGGGGACCCGTTGGACGCGAGCTCCTCGGCAAGGAGGTGGCAACAATAGCAGCATTTTTTGCTGATTCCTATCAGGATCTCCCCTTCCTGGATGAGGAAGTGGAATCAGCAACGAGGGTTCGATGAATGACAGCTTAGCCATGACGTACACGCAACATGTCCTGTAGGTCCTCAAAAGCCTCGCCCAACACCGCCTTTGCAGTGCTTGGGTTTGCGCGCAAAGACCAAACGAGAGTCATGAGAGCTGCCTCGGTGTGTATCACTGCGCTGTGCTTGGTCTTCTTGGATGTGCTCAGCTTGAAAAGGTCTGAGTCCTTTGATACGTCTAAGTCGCTCTCATGTGCTGCCCGCAGGACTTCATTGAACAGGCCCGAGGAGCTGGTAGGTGAGAGGCTTGAGGCGGAGCTCAGGAAACGGTACACGGTGACTGAGGTGGGGCGCGCATTACGGAGGCGTTGCAAGGTGAGGATGATGGTCAAGGGTATCAAAAGCGTCTTGAGGTATCTTATCACATGGGATTTCTCCGTCTCGCCTGGTTCGGTAGATGCGTCCGCAGCCAGATCTATTCGGAGAGAGATCAACATTTCGTTGGGCAATATAGTAAGGAAGTGACACACCTTCGTCATCATCATACCCGACATGTTCTGTGGACGTAGGGTTTCCTCTGCTCGAGTTCTCCTCTGTATGGCTCATCAGCCTCGGGACATCCGAAGACCCGTGGAACACACCTTCGTGAGGGTCGATCGAGGGTTTACCCGTAGTATCTGGCTTAGTGATGATGGCTTTGCTCATGTCAGACACCGCTGCAATCACGATAATCACAGCTGAGACTCACCCTTGAGGACAAATCGTTTCAGGTTGTGGTCCCGCATTTTGGAAAGTGCGATCTCGATATTCCCGGTGATGAGATGCGAAACAACGCCACACCTCAAAAGAGCCTGCAAGAGCACCATGTAATATTCCAGTTGCAGGAATTCGAGGATCTCGTACGAGCTCTTCTTCTTTTCCACCATCTCGCGCAGAAAAGTCCTAACTTTGTGTACGATGCCGTGAAGGGCTTCCGCCCACTGCTTCGCATTGTCGGCCGAGACCTTGAAATGTCTTGTGGAGGCATTTTGAGCGGCGGAGGACCCAGGTATGGTCGAAGCTCCAGGTGCGGTGGAATCGACAGTCTGATCGGTGCAGGACGACGGCTCAATACCCCACTCGCTGAGCAAGATCTCGATGTAGGGTGGTAGACCTAGGACGAAGTGTTGCTCGGTGATAGACGATGGGGATTTGGAGTCGAACGCTCGCCGGATGTAACTTGTCGGATGATCGTACTCGGTGCCCTTCGAACCACCCCAAATTTTGTCTCCGTTCTCCACGCGGGCAAGCAACTTGTGATAGCAGCGAGTGATGATGAAAGCGAAAACGAGAGCGATATATATCCGATCGGGCCCTGAGCGATCCTTGCTGCAGAAGAACTGGATAACGGACGTCGCGTCCTCCGCGTAGGAGTCGAAATTGGAAAAGTCCCTGTAAATCTCAGTCAGCAACTATGGCTTGGACAACGCTGGTAGTCGAACGAGACATACATCTGGGGGACGGTTGAAGTCTTCAGTATCTCGTAGCCTCTCTCAGAGCTTCCTAGGATACGGGTAGGTGCGGAAGACTTTGCGGCTTCTGTAGAAGATGCGTTCCGCGACAGGAGAATAGCGGTGATACCGTCGGTATCCGCCTGACCTATGACTGCAACCTCCTTAGTCCCGCTCTCTCCAGGGCCGCCTGAGGTATACATGAAGGAGATGTTGCTCACGGCCTTCAGGTGGTCCTTGATGTCAGCTGACAGTATTGCGCTGGTGGAATCTATCGGTCGGGCATCTCGAAGAATTGACGACAAGGCAACGATGTCCCGCGCAACGACCTTTGGCGATTCTACGTCAGCTGTGGAGGGCGATCCAGTCGTGGAGGATGACCCTGCCACGGATCTAGCCGCAGAGGTGGTGGTCTTGGCCTGTGAGATTGGAGGCATTGCCCACAAGGACGTGTCGTAGGGGGCACTGTTTAGTCGTGGGAGGTGACGAGGTTGTGGATGAGGGTCAAGGATGGCAAGGCACCTTGGCGGCACGCCACAAGCTCTTCGCGAACGAGACAATACTTGTTGGCACCGTAGCACAGGTGGAGATAGTAGCTGTGGCTCCGAGCAAAAAATGCAGACATTCATAACGCAGAGCTAAGGAGGATTCAGCATGAGTGTGTTCGAGAATAGCGGAGAACAGAAACCAGTAGCGTAGTAATACACGAACTAAAAACCACCTCGCTACCACGACAATCCTGCCAAGCCAAGAAACCGCCCCCTCGACCGAACTCAAGCCGCCGCTGGTGTTGACGGCGACAAATACTCCGTCTGTGCTGGGCTCAGAAGAGCAGGGCTGCTCGCTTCCACTGTGGACTCCTGAGGGGCAGCGTCCGAAAGGGCTTGGTGAACCGCCATGGCAGGTGTGACCTTCGCGAGATCCGGATTGGACGCATCCAGAGACAACACCGTGGTCGCCTGGCTGAGCTCAACGGGAGCAACTTCCGTCTTCGTAGGCGTACTCGCACCATCCTGGTGCGGATCGGTAGGAGCACCAGGGGGAGAAGGGATTTCGGATCGAGTCTTCGAGCCTGCGAGGGTGGCCGTGGATACGATATCGGCAGGCAGGTCTGCCTTCGAACCGGGCATGACAGTGGTGGAGAGCTCCGCAAACCCTTCCATGGGTTGATCGGCAGGCGGTAGGATGGCGGGGACGACGCTGGGTGTGGCACCGTCGCTAGTGAGGGAAGACGCGGTCAAGCTATCCATCTTGCTCTCCACGCCCTCTTCCGTCCGCAGGTCGTCACCATTCCCTTCTTCTTCCTCCTCCTCTTCGACATCGTTGTCGTCTGCTCTCCCACCGTCCACACTGATCCCACCGGTACCCGTGATAACGCTCCCCGTCCACATGCTCTTGCTCTTCGCTCCACCCGGGCTGGGCAGCACCGCGCTCCCAGGCACGTTTGCGCTCCATCCGCTGACCGCGCTATCCCAGCTCCCGCGGCGTGAGCTCCGGGGACGCAGCGCACGCACGCTCGCGTCCACGTCCGGGTAGACGTATCGCCCGCCTTCCTCCATGCCCTCCTCAACGTCGCCCGTCATCATTAGGTGGCTCGCGCTGTCCGTCAGCGCCACGGTGTGGCTCCACTGCGATATCGCGTCGTCCGCGATCGAGCCGCGGCCGGAGAGCGCGAACGCGCCGACGCCGATGCGCGCGTTGGGGAAGCCAAACGCGGAGGACGCGAGCGTGAGCATGGACGCGTCGTCTGGGGGCGGCGAGGACGGCCGTGGGTTATTGCGCGGGTGGTGGGAGGTATAGAGTGGGGCGCTGAGCGCCGTAGCGCGCGGCGAGGCGGCCGCGCCGGAGTTGCCGGACGAGGGGCGAGAGGGTGAGGAGGGCAGGAAGGCGGAGAAGGTGATCGAGCCAGCGGACAGGCCTGCAGAGTGGGTGCGAATGTGTGGCGGAATACGGCTACCTGGGGTCGTGGGGGTGGGAGGGGCCTGGGCGATGTGGGCCATACCCCCGGTGAGGTCGACACTGAGGAGGGTGGTGGGCTTGGTGCTCGCCGCCATCGAGCGGAATGTACGTGAATGCGACAGGTACGAGGAGGAGTCGCGGGAGGGAGCCGGCGAGGGCGGTGAACTTGGAGGCAATGGCCGCAGGGAGGCGTCGTCATCTGCCTCAAGGTAGCTTGCAGGCGAGTAGAGGGACTCGCGAGCGGCGGAGGAGGTTATTCCATCGTCCGAGACACTACGGAAGGACCTGCTTTCCACGTCGTCTTGGGACTCATTGAGGGAGATCGTACCACGAAGACTGTGGGCACGAGTGCCGTTGCTACGAGTTCGCGAGTGGACGGAAAGGGGAGGAGGCATGGGCACTGACGAGCGACGATGCTGCTTCTCGGTCTTGCCTCGTGGAGACGACGCACCATAGCGCTGCGACTCGGACGCACGTCGAGCACGGACGGTGCCCGCGAGCTTTCGCTGAAACCAGTTGATGATCGGCTTGCTCGAGCGACGCGGAACCTTCTTGTTGTGCTCCTGGGCAACAGGCTTGGGCATGGTAGGCGGAGGGTTGGAGGGTTTGGCGACGTCTTTCTTGGTCCTGACTGTTGACATCGCTGAAGCGGGTGGGGGGGCAGCCTTGGCTTTGGCGCCGGACGCTTTGGAGACGGTCGGGGGCGCGGACGGGGACTGAGAAGGGAGAGGGTTGGACATCCCGAGTCGTCGTGGGTGGCAGCGTAGAGAGCATGGAGCCGAGCCCTCGCTTGAGGCAGGTGCATTCCACTGGTGGCAGTGTCTCCACGTGCCCTACACGCGCCGATGATGTCAAGCTTTCACCTCCAAACCTCTGCGAGCGACACACCGCGCTAATCATCACGGGGAGTATATGCCATGTACCACACGGAGATCTATGCTAGAAGAACACGACCTTCTTTTTATCCACGGGCCCTCTGCCAAACGCCTTGACGACCCCCGTGTGTGCCCCGACCATGACGCTAGCTTTCTTCTTCGCCTTTTCCTCTGCCCGTTCTGTCTTATCGACCTCGACTGTCGATCGCTTGAATGTGTGGAAGTCGTCTTCATCTGCCCCAGCGGCCTGACCAGTCCCCACGAACAAAGTCGCAGTGGCGACCTCTGCGATTCATTCAATCATACAGTGCAGCATGCGCGGCCAAAATAGGGGACACGACCTTGCTTCCGCAGAGGGCAATCTTTAGCTAGATGCGTGGTCTCCTTGCAGAGCTTGCAGCATCCTCCATTCGGGTAGATTCCTTTCGTCTGGTTCTTCGGACATTTCGAAGCAAGGTGCCCCTTGCCAGAACATACGAAACATGACGCGAATGGAAGTGGATTGGATGGATTGACGTCCTCTGGGCATTTCGACAAGTTGTGTCTGCGTGAGCCGCATCTGACAAAACCCATCAAGATCGGCGGAAAGTTTCCGTACGACAATGCCCACCTGTAGCATATACCAACCGCATCACGTCCGGCCTTGGTCCCAGATCTTGTCCTCTCCCCGTCTGGTGCGTCGGCGGCCAACTTGTTTGTACAGTTTCTGGCAGAGTGACCCTTCTCTCGACACGCAAAACAGATGGTATCCGCATCTCGCTCGTCTATGCGCTTCAATCTCCGCTGCTCTGAAGCATGTGTGCGCATAGCCGCATCTAACGACTGATCAAGACCAATGTTACAGAAAACAAGTGGGTAGATAGGCTTACCTTTCGGTCCGCGTTTGTCAAACTTCTTCTCTTTCTTCCGCTTGTCGCCAGTTTTCGAGTGTTTTGACGGTCGCGCTCCCTCCCCTTGCGCACCCCCCTTGGCATGTCCATCGACATCAACGGAGCTTTCCCCATCTGCGGCCTCCGTTTGCGCCTTTTTGGGTCGTACACGCTTACGTTTCTTGGGCTCCGTGATCGCAGAGTTATCTTCTGGAGCGTCCTCAGTGGCCTTGGTGAGGGTGTGTGTGTTCTCTGGCTCGTTGTCCATATCGAGTCCTTCGTCGAAGCCTGCCTCCACGTAGGTGCGCTTTCGTGCAAAGTTGGTGTATCTCGTCATGTTGCCAGAGACGTTCTCAAGAGTAAAGCAGTGGGCGAGAGAGGAAGATCGAGCGCCTCCGGCCATTCGCAGCTTCCACATCGCGCCGGCCATGCGCGTCTACAAGTAGTCTTGCTTGCCCCCGACCCTCTTGCGACCTCGTCTCTTCAACTAGAACCCACCGCTCCTCCTCTCTTTCGCCATTTCCGCGACACAGCCATTGGCGACTGTCTATGCTTTCCCTTCGCTTGTCGCCTCTACGCGGCACCCGCATACACCCTGAAGATATCGTGCGTCCTCGGGTGTACAAGTCTTCCTTACGGAACGCTCGCTTCGCTCCGTATGTCACGATATCGGATCCACGACACCCTAAAGACGTAGCGGCGATCCACCTCGCGCATCCGAAGGATCCCTCCAGCCTCTCGGGGCCCTCTACTCCTCCTACTTCGCCGCCACCATCCGCTTCCCCGTCACGACCTCCTCCGCCGTCCGGATATTCTGGACCTCCACCTCCTCTTCCATCTAGAAACGATGCGTCTGCTTCGTCTACGGGTCCACATGGGCCTTCACCAGAAGCCTCTCGAGATCAGCCTCCAGCTGTAGAACCAGCGTCGTCCTCGGTACCTGCGCGATTCGTGCACCCGCCAATAGATCCGCGAACGAACGTGCCCTTCCCCCAACACCCACCGCATTCGCCGGAACACCTCGTACCCCCCTTCAACACGTACCGCTTCTTCAGCGTACTGGAGCAGAGCTTCGCGACGGACATCGCGCGGAACCTCATGCGCGCGACCCGTGCGCTCCTCGTCGACCGCATCGGGCGTGTCAAGCACGATGCGCTCACCACGCAGGACCTTGAAGCAGTGAGTGACTGTGCTTTAGCCGACGAGACATACAAGTTGAGCGTGCGCAGCAAGCCTACTTGTTCAAGGCAGCGCTGTCGGAGCTGCGGACCGAGTCGAGCATGCACACGAGGAACGAGACGGCGGCGATGCGGACGGCGACTACGGCGCTCCGGAGAGAGACGGACACGCTGAACACGCTGATGAAAGAGGACATTGCTACTCTCAAGCATGAGTGAGTGTTGCGCGAGCCTTCATTGGTCCAAATATTCCGGGTTTGACGGCATGCTCCCAGGATCCAGATGGACCTGGATAACCGGAGGAACGACACGAAGAGTGATCTCAAGCAAATAGACATGCAGATCGAGGCGAGTGACTCCAACACCTGTATTGAATAGCCTTAGCCAATATTTATGGGCTCGCAGGAGGCATTGAGTCGAAGTCTCATCGAGATCGGCGAGCTCAAGACTCAGGTTGAAGAATCTCGCTGGGAGAAGATGAAGGCTGCTGTCGGTGAGTATTAGTCGGGGTGCAATCTCGGCCCGAATGCTGATGTACCTCCAGGCGCACTGGGTGCCCTCTTGCTTGTCATCATCGTGTCAATGGAGGTCTATGTCGTCCAGCCCAAGGCTGCTGAGAAGCGCGCGAAGCAACTTACGAAGCAGCGGCGCGAAGACGAGTCTCCATCCAGTGTTGCTAGTCTTTTCCCATAGACTTTGAGGCTTTCGCAGGCGAATTGGCCGATAGATCAGAGGCACGTCGGTAATATAGGCTACGTACATCTCGGATGCCTCGCTGAATGTACATTATTTCGGTAGGTCGCCGTCGTATACCTTTCAGTGGTGCAGAACTCACAACAGTGTAGAATATGGTACACACACTCCTTACAATGAACGGCATCCATTTATACAGACATTACAATTATCTTTACACTCTGCTAATGGTATCCGCGCTCGCACACCTACGCACGAAACAAAACTCACGAAAACTTAAGAAAGATTCGAGGTATACAACAGATGGAATACAACAGAGATCCAATGTACGACGCGCCTCTCACCGCACCTCGAGCTTACCCAGCTTGTCCGCGACCGCATCCGCCGCGTCCGCCTTCTGTGCGACCGCCCAGTTCGGCTTCTCCGCTGTGTGTGCGCCCTCGCGCGGGGGCGTCGCCGTGCTCGAAGCCGCCTCCGCCTCGCCTTCGCCCTCGTCGTCGTCGTCGTCGTCATCGTCCCAGTTATCCTTGACCTTCTCGTCGCGCTTCTCTTTCCGCTTCTCTTTCCGCTTCTCGTTCTTCTTCTGCGCCTTGCTCAGCCCCGCTTTGCTCGCGCCCGCGCCCGGAGTGGAGGCGGCGGCGGAGGGAGGGGTCCAGCCGATGATGTGCCCCTTGGGGAGCGTGGTCGCGTCCGCCTGGGCCTGGCGCGTGCCGCGGAACCGGCGCACGTCCTCCTGCGGGGTGAAGCCCGGGCGGATTTTGATCTGCTTGCGGACGCTGCGGGCGCGATGGTGGGAGAGCGGCGCGGGCGGGAGAGGCGGCGGGTCGGCGGAACGGAAGCGTACGGAGGGCACGAGTGCGAGCGTGCTGTGAGCATCGGCGAGACTGGGACAGCGCGGGCGAGACGTACGTGCCGTCCAACCTGCGGGACTCTGGGATGACGCGTTCGAGCGTGCGGGGATCGACGGCGATGCCGGCGGTGGTGGTTTCGGGGATGATGGCGGGCTTCGACATGGTGAGATATTGCACTACAGAAGCAGATAGAGTGTTTGGAGGTAGTGCGAGGAGAGGGCGTCGGCGGGATGGTGGCGTGCCAAGTCCACAATGCACGGCGTGCAGCACTGCGGCACGAGCAGCACTCTAGGCTGCCTCGACTGAAGTTCAGCAGCGGGAGGAAGCGCCTGTAGATTATCTTCCCGAGGCGGCGAGCGCTCGCGCGACTAGGACTTCGCTGTGTCTGGCCCCCGCCACCACCATCTCCCCCCGCCCAGCTTTCCCAGTGCCCTCGACCAGCAGTCCGCTCTCTTCACTGTGTCTCCCATTCTTAACGATAACTTATTTCCTTCATTCCACCCGCTGTGACTCCCTACCATGCGCTACGCCGTGCTCGTAACAGGCCCCGCGGGGGCAGGCAAGTCAACGTTTTGCAACGGCATGATCACACACCTTTCAACATCAAGACGAACCGGACATCTTGTCAACCTAGACCCCGCCGCGAACACCGACGCGTTCGAGTACCAGCCTTCAATAGACATCCGGGGTCTCATTTCCCTCGACGACGTGATGAGTGAGCTGGGTTACGGCCCGAATGGCGGCCTTGTGTATTGTTTCGAGTGAGTGCTTCACTCTGTGTTTTGTGCGTACGTTAAATGGCTGGTATCTTAGGTATCTTATGGAGAACATGGACTGGCTCGATGAAGAACTTGGCGGGTACGAGGACGACTACCTGATCATTGACTGTCCAGGTGGGTGTGCTCCTCCCAGTACGAACGTACGCTGACGGATAGGCAGGTCAGATTGAGCTCTACACGCACCATCCCTTCCTCCCGACGCTTGTCCGCCATTTGCAAAGGTTGGGCATCCGGACATGCGCTGTGTACCTCATTGAATCACAGTTCATGGAGGACAAGTACAAATTCTTCAGGTGAGTATCAAAGGCTTTACAGAAATGATGGCACCGTTCTGATCATTCATGGCGGTAGTGGTGTGCTTTCCGCCATGTCTGCTATGGTCAATCTTGAAGTACCTTGGCTGAATATTATGTCAAAAATGGACCTTGTAACCACAAATATTGAAGACAAGGGGAGCGGTCGGAATGGCCTGCGTACGAAAAAAGATATTGCAAGGTACGCTGTCTTGTATCGTGCCCCTCCTTCTCGGCGGTGCGTCGTAATTTCTCCAAATGGAGCCTTTGTTATCTCTCGCATTTGCTGAGAGACGGTATGCCCCGTTCACTACGGGTTGCTTATTGGTCGGTGATCCTACTCACGGTCCAATCACCCTGCGTTGTTGTCCCTTTGCGCCAATTTCAGAACGGCAGCACCCAGCTACACAAATTCGCCAAGCTGACATGACCCGTCCATCAGGTATCTAGAAGCCGATCCCATGCTCCTCGTATCGGCCCCAGGAAGTCGCGAGGAGAAGACTGAACGTAACTCGCGCTTCCACGCGCTCAACCAAGCCATCGTTCAGCTGGTGGGTCCCAGGCACTTCGCCGTAGATCTCGTCGCTAACCTCCCCGCCTCGCCCGTCTTCTCCTCGGACCAAATGGACATTCACCAAATGATCACAATCGACGCTGAACCACCATGCACATATGACAGATCGAAGAAAATCCGTTGGTGAAATTCCTGGCTCTGGACCTCACAAGCCCTGACTCGATAGAGACGGTTCTGAGCCACATCGACTATGTCATGCAATATGGCGAGGACGAAGAGCCGAAGGAGGTACGTTCATATATGCGAGTTCTGAGCTGTTTCATGTTTTCTGACGAGTGGTATCACGCCGGTGTTTTATCACACAAACTCGCTATCGCGTCCGTCCGGATCGCAACCCTGGTCATCGCGCACACGCCAGCCTGGAGATCTCGACGAAGGAGACTTCGCCGACATGGAGTAGTACAACTACCCCTGGACTTAGCTGCAGCGCGGGCTTTACCTCGTCTGCAGGATCCTGCTCTTTGTCGTAGGCCATGATCAATGCTATTTCTCTCGACCCATGACGTGGGCCCTATACACACTTGTTGGTCAAGCGTCCGACCAACCCTGTCCGAATGTATGTTTTCGCGGGAATCCAAACATCGGTGTCCCAATTACACAATATCGTCGAGCTGACATGATCATTCTATAGGTATCTAGTGGCTGACACAAATCGGCTCCAGGGAGCCGGGAAGAGAAAACAGAACACAACTCCCGCGGCATCGTGCGTACCCCATGCTGTGTCTCTTTGCTGTTAATGCCCTTCTTTTTTTAAAAAAAACCTCGTTTATCGCCCATGAGGGCGGGGCCCTCGGATAGAGATGGTACTGAGTCACATCGACTATGTCATTCAAACGGCGAAGACGAAGAGCCGGAGGAGGTGCGTTTCACGGGTGCTGGTTCCGTGCCGCTGAATCGGGTCTGCCGAGTATCACGCCTTTCCATTCACGGGGTCTTCCTTCACAATCCGCTGCTATCGCCACGTCCGACTCGATCACAACCAAGTCATCGCACGAACACACAGCCCGGAAACCTTGACGAAGGAGACTTTGTCGACATGGAGTAGGATGTCGCGCCTGGCGCCGCCCGAATACTAGGGTTTTGTCGTCGACCATGATCAATGCTGTTCTTCTCGACCCTTGGCTTGGGCCCGTGCACAGTGCACACTTGTCGGTCAAGCCACCAGCCCTGAATGGTTCCTCAACCACCCTCGATTGGCCCACGGCGCCTCCATTCCGCAGAGTCGCCCCCGCGTCAAACCGCCCCCTGGAACGCTCGAACTCAGAACCACCTAGTTCCGCCTCCGGGTCTCCGTCTGGATCCGTGCCCGTCTCCACCGCGCCTCGAGGCCGCCGCGCGGTGGGGGCAAGCTCAGGCGCATGGTTACGTGTTTCCGCCCTCTACGCGATCGCCAAGTTCCCGTTCGGGTGGGATGCGGCGCACGTTCGGGTGGGAGAGCGGAGTCGGCGGGCAGCACTGGCGGGCATTAATTATGTGGGGCGTTTGAGGGGAGAGCGTGAGGCACGACGCGCCCGACGTTCATTATCTCCCTCCACCGCACGCCCCCGCATTCACGCACAACACACAATTTCAACGTCCATCGCAGAACGTCGCCGACGGTCGCGCGTCCTCGTGCGTGGCCGTGCACGAGACGCTCGCGAGCGTTGAGAGGCGTATACGCGTGCTTCCCGATGGATGTCCTGAACTCTGAACGTTTGGTCTTCGTCGACATCAATCAGACGCTCTGCAGCGTGGTCGCTCATACCTCTGTTTGGACGAAATCCCGAATGGGCCCGCAGTCCTCGTTTCTGTCCTAACAAACTCCAGTGGCGGCCGGGATGATTGCATGTGTGGGCTGATGGGGGACGCCGAGCTCAGCACGAACTCGTGCGCAGCCCCCGTCCTAGCCTAAGACGCCGCGACTTTGACCGCACGCACAGGATCCGGGCTTGGCCACACGCTTTCCTATCGTAGTTAGCTCTCTCGCACCGATCGCTCAGCGAACAGGGATCTGGCCGGACCTGCTTATCGTGCATGTCGGACGCAGCTCCAGCGAGGATCGTCGGCCTCCAGATGGATCCGTGCGATTGAGCATGCGTCTGGGCGCACTAGGCTCCCGCCGCACTTGGCTTCGCAGGCCAAGAAGAGTCGGCCTCGCGCAGTGCCGCAGCGGCGTGCGGCGCGACTCCTACGTGGTGGCCTTTGAGGGTTCTCCACAAGCCTCGGTGTCACCGGTGCAGCTGCGGTCGCGCCCTTCCTTCTGCGAACCACTCCACCTCCTCGAATCTGACTCGAGCCCGCGGCTAGCGCTCCGCCTTCGATAGCGCGGCCCATGAATATTTGCGCATACATACATGCCACTGCGAGAAAGCTGCCTTCTTAGGCACGGCACCCGCACGGCGGAGACTCGTTCGCCTCGCAAGCACATGAGGAGAGGTGTGCGCGACATCGACCTCACCGAGGAGCGAGGGCTCCGCCGTCGACAGCCCCGCCGGAATGGAAGGGCGCGCGGTAGCCACCCGCGCGGACAGAGTTCCGACGGGCGCGCGTCTGCTTTGGGACCACAGCGCCGCGCGCCTTCGTGTTCCGTGCCAAAACGGTACGTAGGTACGGTGTGTGCGCCCCACACCGACGTATGTCGGGCGGGGCGGGGCGGGGGCGCGCGCCGTAAGTCGAGGAACGCGAGCGGAGCGGTGAGCGGGCGGGCATGCCCTGGCCGACTCAGACGGGGAACTCTCTCCGCAGGCTTCCCCCCGTCGCTGTCCCACAGTCGACGCGGCCAATTGCGTCCCTCGACGCGATGCGTCTTTCCAAATTCCAAGTTCGCTGGCTCGCGCGCGTCCCTCGCTAAACCTGACCAGGATCCATATCATTTGTGGTGCTGAGAACAACTCCATTTCCGCGTCGGCCCAATCACGGTAAGCACGCGAGCACTGAGCCCCACGCGAGTTCTAGCACTCGGAACCACGCCCGCACCCCGCATCACGCGCGCCTCCCGCGAATGAGACCAGGACGTCATCGCACCAGTCGTACCTCGTGCTACCAGCCTCCACTGTCGGCGCGGCCAATCATCCCGAGCGCCGCCCCGCAACGATGGGCCCGCGCGCGAGGCTCCAATGTCCATTCTGCGATGACGACGTTCGAACCTGCGCGTTCGACGTTCAACGTTCAAGCGTTCAAGCTTCAACCGAGCGCGGGTCGGCGGGGCGGAGCCAGGGTGGCGAGTGCGAAGATGCTGGGTGCTCAATAGAGCTGTTTGGAAATGCACTATAGTGCACGAACCTGACGCCACTTCGGTGCCTCCACTGCTCCACGGCATATCGGCCCGCTGGCCAAACACCCGCCGGGCAGTCGCGTGGAGCAGGGACTCCAACGCTCCAACTCACGATTACTACGGTTCACTATCGTAACTTTCCAAACGGCTCTAATGTCGCCACTGCGAGCGCGAAGGACCCGCCAGTCCGCGTGTGTTGGCGTTGAGTGCCACGGCGTTCGCACGCGGCGCGACCCCCCACGAGGCGCGTGGGGCGAGCCACGAGCCGCCCCGAGCCGCCGCCGTCCGTGGGTTCGGAGGATCGGCGCGGGCCCGCGCGGGAAGCATCCCGCGAAGGCCGCACCAGCAACCGGCTGCGTCGTCATACGACCTCGCGCCCCGGCTTCGTCATCGTCGACATGAAGCGGGGTCGAAGAGGAAGGCGGGTGGGGGAGTCCGGGGGAGATGTGCGCGATTCGCAGCGTGTCTTGGGGTCGATCGCACAGGGAAGCCGGGAAGCCAGGGGTGGATAGGTGTGCATTCCGGTCCTGATCGCGGTTCGGAGTTCGGCTTTCGGGGGCTCTGGGGGCTGGCTAGAGACAAAGTTAGGCCTCGCAGCCGGGAGTTGTGCGGCGCGGGGCACTCCGGCGGTGGGTGGGGGAGAACCGCGGCGAGTGGAGGCACCCCAGCACGATGTGGGCACGCCGCGCGTACAGACGTCGGGGGGCGCAGGGCGGGCGCGGTGTTTGCGCGCACGCGTCCTCGAGCTCGGGCCTTCCTCTACGCCTTCGCGCGGTGGGGCGAGAGTGCCTATCCCGAACAGGCAGGACGGGTTGTGTCGGAAGGGTGGCGGGCGCCCCGTCCCCGTAGGAGCGCTGCGGGTGGTGGTGGCGGCGCGAGTACGAGGAAAGAGTGTGGCTAGGTTGCAGAAAATGGGAGGCCTCGCGGCGCTCAACCTCGAGCTTGTTTGAGGGCTGTCAGGGTGCTGCGCGTCCCGGACGGTGCGGGTTCGGGCTTTCACCGTGTAGAGCCTGTGTGTGACAGTGCTCCGGGTACAGTGTGCGTGTTGGCGGGCACAGTCGGTTCGGGGGTACCCTGGATGGATAGACTATGTCCCTGCAAAACCTAGAGGTGGCCTGGGACGGCGGTGGTGGCAACCTAGGAAGACCATCCCACCTGAGAAAGGCAGTGGCGGGTCCGGCGGAGGGGACGCGCAGTGTCAAAGTTGTGTGGCCACTTCTGCGATGCAGCGTGGCCGGGGAACATGCAGCTTCTGCGGTCGCAAGAACCTAACTGCGTGAGATCGCGGTGGTGATATGCTGGTCTGTACGTACGAAGCGCGGCGCGTGTCGTGTTCCGCCCCAACTGGGAGACGTGGGGCGGAATACTAGAGGGGAATAACGCGCTTTCGAGCTCGTTTAGGGAGATGCGCGGTTTTGAGTGTGGCCACAATGCGTTTAGGCTTTTCTTCGCCGCCGCGAGGCGAATTGAATTGTTTTTACACGAGGTAGGCCCAGAGATGACTTGCTGGACGGTCGCTAGTAACCAAGTGGCGGAAGGCAACATGCAGACTGGAAGAAGGCCACCGGCCACGCGGCGGGTTTTTCCCATAATGGGAATGGACTGAAGTGATTGCATAGGTGCTATGGGGGCGGAGTGAGCAGGTGGTGTATCAGAGGAAGGGGGAAGCGGCGAGAGCGGGGGTGCTCCGCCCTGAGTGCTGCGTGATAGCGGATGGAGCGCTTTCAGAAAAGTGGTGCGACGAGGATAGATTTCGAGGGACAGAGATGGGTTGTCCCTGAGAGAGACTGCGCATGCCTGCTCGAGGCGTGCGAGTGGTTAGGATCGAGGCCAGGTGGCAGCACGACGAGCCTCCCTGATTCGCAGGTTCGTCGGTAGGCGTCCGCGGATGAAGAATACATCATGGATATACGGAAGTAGACGCCTGCCACAGACAATGCGTCCGGCAAGACAACGAACGAGCTGCGGAGGTCACAGGCCTCGTTAACCTCCACCTGCTAGCCGGCGGAGAGAGAGGACTGGGATTGGACGAGGCGCAGTGGCGGGAGCGGCATATGTGAGTGGGTGACGGGCACGGGGGCGCCGTGAAACGTGGCGGCGAGAGCACACGAGCGAGGGAGGCCGGCGGGGAGGGGCCTGCGGGCGCACAGGCTGCTCGAGGCAGTACTGGCGGGCGATGGGCGGACGGGGGGGAGGAGGCGGGACGCGCACCGCCCACGAACGCGCGGTCGATCTACAATCGAGATTGGAGGAATGACGAAATCGCTTCTCTCTTTCGCACGGCCATTGGCAGGGCGCCTTTCAAACTTTGGCCTCCTCCACCTTGCTATAAGACCCGCCCTGCGCACCATGCTCCATCCTATCCACACCCGCCCCCCGCCCTAGCACGCCATGTCCTACTACCCTACCCCCCAGCTCACCTACCGTCCCCGCGCCTACTCCGCCTCCTACTCTCCCCCCATGGCCCCAGGCCCGATCGTCTACACCTCCTCCCACCACTCTTCGCCAGGGCGCCGCACCACATACATCCCGGCTGCCCCTGCGTACGCACCCGCCGCGCCTCAGTACTTGGCCCCCACCTACCGCCAGCACCCCTCCCCTCACCATGGCCACACGCGCAACCACTCGGGCGGCAGCGGCGGCTACCCGTCTTCTCCAACGCACCATCGCACCCACCACGAATCGACGACGACGACGCACCGCAGCCCGCACCGCAGCCACACCACAACCACCCGCCAGCGCTCCTCCTCCGTCCATGCCCCGCGCGCACCTCCGCCGCGCTCGCGCTCGGTCCCGCGCAGCTCCTCGCGCGTCCGCGTCGCCGAGCCAGACTCCCACCATCACCGCCGCGTACGTTCTTTCGTCCCCTCACCCCGTCCCCGCGCGCCTCCTCACCGTGCTTCGCAGAGCTCGTCTCGCCCCCGCGAGACCGTCCCGATCCTGCGCACGACCTCGCACACGCCCCGCCCGTCCGTCGCGTACCACGAGCCCCTCGGCGACCGCATCCGCCGTATTCGGCCTGGGCCGCGACCGCCACGTCGAGTTCATAGACCCGCGCACCGGCCGCTACCCCGTCGACCGCCGCGGCCGCCCCATCTACGCCGTGTGAGCGCATACACACATCCACCCCCGAGGCGGGAAGTGCGCGTTCTCCCGACTCCCTGCCCTGGCGGTGCCGCGACGGGTGCGCGGCTCCGGCCTTGGTTTCGCGCGCGCGCGCGCGCACGGACTCGACACTTTTCGGTATCCTCTCCGCTCTCGTCTCCGTCTCCGTCCATGCTCTGTCTTACACATCATGCACGCCTTATTGTTCCTCGGCCTCGTCTCCCCCCAGACTCGGACCGGTATCCTTATGCCCTTTGTACCACCACCGCGCCTGCGCGACCCGTCGACTCGATGTCCTAATGTTCTCCGCGGCTGCGCTATGCACCCCGTCCTCTTTATCCCCCTACGACTTCACGATTCCACGACGTGTACTGTGTGCGCCAATCCGTCGTTGTCACGTTTTTACGGCCCTGCTACGATCGCTTTCACGCTCTACCTATTACTCGCTATCTCTTGTACCTCTGCGGACCTAATGCACATATACTTCACCTGTATGCTGGCGAGCTGCTTCCAGACATGAACGCATGAGCGTCTGCCCAACTCACTACCTGGCCTCGATGATTGGACGACATTGCATTCTCCTCCTTTTCCTCTTGGCGTGACACAGCCACCATGATGGTCGAGATTGAAAGCGAGTCCATACATTGAATCTTCGAAAGTTTCAGAATACACACAGCTCGGGGCACATGCGTAACCACAGGAGACGGAGACAGAGAGGAGATAAAGAGAAGAAGCAAAACGTTACGAGGGAGACGATACGATGAGGCATACGGTATGGAGCACTAGGCGGTACAGTATCGTTCAAAAGAAGAGGGGGGTTGTACAGTAGAGATTTTGGCGAACAAGACCATTCACTACTACAGTAGGTGCTGGGGATCTGGAGATAGAGAAGCATAAGATACGACAGCATGGGACTAATTGGGGTGATCAAGCCAAAGAGGAGGACGGAAGATAGGAGGGAAACAGGAATGTGGCGCGCCTAGGCAGCGTCGTCCATGTCGTCGTTGGTGTAGGTGAGCAGCGCCTGGGAGAGGTTCTCCGAGCTCTTCCACAGTTCCACCTGCTCGAGCACTTCGTTGACGGTCTCGACGAACTCGGCCCGGACGCGCTTCTGCTCCGGGTCGTCGCGCACGCCCTCCCACAGGACGGCGATGCTGACCTCGATCTACGCACATGGATTCCATGTCAGCACGAATGGATCTACGTAGAGGCGAGTGAGGAAGTGCGCACCTTGCGCGCAAGCTCGACCAGCGACCCCTTGAGCGCGATGCCAACTGCCTCCGCTGCCTTCGAGAGCCGCGTCATGATCACGTCCGCGGCGCCATTGAAAACGTGGTCCTTGGTGCGCGCAACGTAGTCGTGGAAGACCGCCTTCTGCCGTGCGACGCTTCCCGTCCCGCGCTCCTCCATCGCACGGTTGTAGCCGTCCATGAGCTGGTTCTGCACGTGCGGGGCAAGGCACCGGCTGACCTCCTTCTGCTCAGTCGTCATCGTCTCGCTCACGACGTCAAGCGTCTTGCGGAGCGCGACCCGGGCCTCTTCCATGCAGAGCTCTCCCTGGCCCTTCGCGCGGTCCTTGAGCCCTGCCGCGGCAGAGGACTCGATGTCGCTGAGGAGACGCTGGATTACTTCGTTCGAAGCTTGTTCGAACGAGACGAAGAGGTCGGCTTCGAAAACCTTCGACCATGAGCTGGCAATTTGGCGCGTGAAGGGATTGGTGAGCTCGACGTTGAGGTCCTGACGCCAGGAGCCGTGGCGACGAAGGGCTAGACAACGGAGGCTGGTCAAATGGGGGCACAAGCGCACCAGGACACTGTAACTTACTAGCACGGTACGTGGCCCAGTGCATGCTCGCAGCGAAAGTGTCCGACGTTTGTACAGCAGCCGAAGCCGCCTATGAAGGAGATGAGGTTAGATTGTACAGAAGCACCGTGATCTTGACCGATACTCACGTTGAGCGCGCCGAGATGGCATCTTTCCTCAAGGCCATCGCGGAAGCGTTCTTGAAGCTCCTCCACACAAGCGTCGATGACAGTTTGGAATTCCTGTTGAAAAAAAATCGAACTGAATGTCGCACAACTGCCAGGGAGGAGATGTACCCACCCTGATGAGCCGGGGTGTGATACCAACTGGCTCGCCATCTGGGCCGACTTTGGTTTGTTTCATCTTGTAGAAGAATTGTGGTTGGAGGCCTGGGGGTAAATTCATAAAGTCGTCCATGCCGTCGTCATCATCCTCCTCGGCGGAGTCGTAGTAAGGATCAAATTGATCATAGAAGGGATCCATGCCAGCCATCTTAGATTCCCACTTGGTCTTCATCGTCAACCGGTCCGCCTCAGTGACTTCACCGATACCTTGCAGGAAGGCGCGAACGTTCTTGGAGAATGTCGAAAGGTGGGTGAGGAAGTTACGGGCAGCACGAGAGCGAGACGAGATCGTCAACTGGTGGCACCATTCTTGCAGAGCGGGAATTCCGGTATCCTTGGTGCTGGTGAAACACGTGGGATCACCGTCGCCCTTGACTTGTCCTGAAGCGACTTGAGATGAGCGAGGATCATGCCGTGGACTAGGTGGTGGACTGTACCTTTCATGCGGACATAATCGCGTGCGGAGCATGTGAACACAGGGAGGTCGATGGAGCTGTAATCTAAGTGCAGCACGTTAAGAGTATGGGGCCAAGAAGCAAAAGCCGGATCTGAACGCACCTCTAATGTTCACTGTGGGATCGAACGAGTCAGGGTTCTGCTTCTCTTGCTCTGCATCTGTGAGATTGGTCAAGTGTCAGGTCAAATGAAAAGAACACGAGATCGACGAAAGCTCACCATCCAAGTCCTTCAACCCGGTACGGAAGTCTTCCTTCAAGACGTCGCGAGAGAACTGGAAGGTGATCAATGAGCATGGTTTCACGATGCGAGCTGGTGCCCATACCCCTGATCGCTTGAGAGAGCAGAAACCGTTCTTGCGTCTCTGAGCGTCGATCTGGCGCTTCTTGGCAGAGGCGAGGGTATCGACGGCGTCCTTTCGCTGTTGCCTGAAGATGTTGAGTTGAGCACGGCCGTCCGTAATCGCTTGCTTGACCTCTGCGATCCTAGCCTTGACACTCTCCGGGGTCACCTCGTCTTCGGCGTCCATAGCGTCCTCGCCTTTCTCGGATTCTGAGTCGGAGCTGGAGCTGGAAGAGTCGTCATCACTGTTATCCTCGCCACTGTTCGCATCGCTGTCGCTAAAAACAAGCTCGTCCTCTACCATGAAGTCGTCTTCATCGTCCTCATCGACATCCATTGCGCTCGAGGCCCTCGGACGATGCTTGTCCTTCTTGGTCTTGTTTGCCTTGCGCTTCTTCGCGGGATGGACCTTAGCCTTATCACCCCGTTTGTTCTTGCGCTTCTTGCCCGTCGGCGAATCGAGGTCGCTCCCAGAGGCGGCTTCGGAGTCGGAACCTGAATCTGTGTCGGAATCCGAGTCTGATTCGGCCGACGTCTTACTCGACGAAGCCTTCGTCAAAGCCTTCTTAGAGGTCAGTTTCGGCTCAAACGGCTCTCCGTTCTCAAGAGCCTTGAGGTGATCTTGATACTCCTTCAAAAGCTCACGGGAATGCGCCAGCTGAGCTTGGACGTCTTGAGAAATGGGAGTCATTCAACGAGTACTCCCTAGAACGACAAAGGACGTACCTTTTCCAGCAGCTTCGGCCTCTGCCTTCTTCACCTTGTTCACTTCAATCTCTTCCAAGCTCTTCTCGATCTCCTCGTCGATTTCCTCGAGGTCCGGGTCTCCATCGAGTGCGAGACCTCTGATGACCTCCGAGCACGAGACGTCGTCGCATTTGGTGGCTACACACAGACCTTAGTAGTGACGCGGCCAAGACGACACGAGGCGAGTGCTCACCAATGAATGTGATCGCGTTGGCATCGTAGCTATAACCCTGTCAAGATATGGTGATTCAGACACGTGTGCTCACTTACTTTCCGTCTACCCAACACCAATCAGTCGACGACCCTGAAAAATCCCAAGATAACACTCACCCATCATCAACTGCATCTTAAACGCGTCTCCCATAAGATCTGTGGCCATCAAATCATCAGACAAGCTGAAGGTGAACAGCGTCTGAAGGAAGTCACCTCTGGCAGTCTTGTCGTCTACTGCACGTGTGATGGGTGCAAGAATCCAGACACAGTCACACTTCTTCATGTAATCTTTCGCGATGCTGTTTCGCGCGGCGTTGGCATCAGCTACACCTGGTAGGTCCACCAAAATAGCGCCAGTCGAGAGTGCTGCCGCATTACATTTAACGCGAACTTGTCGGATGAGCGGCCAAAAAGCGGGCCCATCATCTTTCTTCTCCCTGTCTTTCTTCTCCTTGTCTTTCTTCTTGTCTTTCTTGTCGCCACGCTTCTGGTCCTTGGAGTCGATATACTTGCTGATCTCTTTGGCGAACGCCTTCGAGTCCGGGGAGGAAATCTGCTTGGTGGTGCCAAGCAGCTTCGCGATCTCTGTCGAGAGCGTATGTATCAATAGACCGCGGAGAAATCAGGATGAACGACATGCTCACTCGGGTCACGCGCGATAATCTGGTCAATGCTCATGCGCACGAGCTGCTCTTGAGAGATTGACGGGTACACGGCGTGCACTTTCGACCATGCAACACCAGCGTCGCTTCGCAAATCTGTGCTTCGCTTGATATTGCCGTCTTCGTCGACCATGTCTTCGACGAGTACCTTGAGCTCGTCGCGCCATTCATGTTCTGAAAGGAAGGATACATCTCCATCGATAGTCTTCTTATGATACGCTATCTCGGTTACTACAGCGGTGCAGGCTGAAATGCGTGTGAGCTTCATTGCGTACAGACAGGGGTATAAGCAACTCACCGCGCATACCACTAGTGGGGACAACATTGTCTAAGACATCATCCAGCGGTCAGCAAACCCGCGCATTTTGTAGCGGAGGAGCACGTACCGTCCAAAATGGCGTTCAATATCGAAGATTTCCCGGCGCCGGTGGCTGCAGACCTTAATGAGACGAACGGCGTCTAGTAGTCGCATATAGCCACTCACCACCGCATACCGCGATCATCGTTGTCGGAGCACCTTGGCTCAACAAGCTACATAACCGACTGGGGTGAGCACAGACTTGATAGGCACAAAAACACGACTCGAACCTTTCTATCTCATCTTTCCACACGCTCTCGCGCATCTTGCTTCCTAGGTGAACCCGCTTAATGTTCGTCCTGAGCGCCTTGACCATACCCATGCCTTCCTTGAGTGCTTGCTCAGGGGCGTACTCGATGTCTTCTGCGCGTTCGTAAACTTTGTAAAAGCTACGCGGAGCGACAGCTTGCTGTTCTGCTGGAAGGGGTCCTTTCATGTCTGCCTGCGGCCCGAGGGGCGCGTTCACAGGGGCGGGAGGCTGCACATACAAAGACGCATTGATACTCTTATTCCATACAGAGAAGTGCCCAATACTACCACTCACCATATACGACGCATCGAGAGGCTCGGGCTTGACCACCGGTTTGATGTCTGCTTCGGCCTGCCATGACGCAGAGTGAGCAAGAGGCGTGATGCGCTGCTCTTCGGGCTCGGGCTTGATGAACGGCCCGCTCTGTAGGAGAGATGGCACGAGGAACAAGGTTGTGATAGCGTTATTAGCGATGACCCACGCGACAATGCACCCTGGAGCGCTAGAAGCATAGAAGCTCACACGAAAGCTTTGATTTTCCTTGAGGCTCATAATGCCTACGAAGGACGGGAAGGATGCGGTGTGCGGTATTGGTGCGTGTGTCTGGTCCACAAGTCGATCTGGCAGGGTAGAGACGGGGAGGGGGAAGGATATAGGCGCGTCGCGTCGACGCGCTCGCTAAAGTACTTAAGGGGCGTGACTGCTTCACGCTCAAAACAATGATAAACAACGCGTTACGTCACACAATGACTCGCCCGCTCCTATTCGAGACCCATCCATGTCGTTTATGGGTCCACCACGCATAATGTGGCCTTCCGACAATCATCGAAATTTTTCGTCCCTGGACATTGGGTGGATGCGCCAATCAAAGAGTATAACAGAAAGGTACAAACAAGGCAGGAGTTGCTACAAAAGACTCTACATGAAATGTCACGAGTCACGGGCCACAGTCGATCAATATCTTTGCGGTAACCAATGTCTGTGCAATCTCTGGGCTACATCCGCCTCAACGCTGCCTACCCCTGGGCGGGAACAGTTCGCCTCGTTGCGGTCTGCCTAGAAAACGCCCAGGAGAAGGGCTCGACCTTCTGAGAACTGAGGTAAGGTCGACAAACCTACTTCCCAGTCGTCATCGGATGCTCCGCCGTCTTCCAGGTCCAGGTGCAAGGTGTCGGCTAAGCCCGCAGGATAAGCGAAATCAGGGTCGTCCTCCGCGATGCCGTGACCTGGAGCGTCATAGCCTGCGGCTAGAACGGAGACTGCATCATCCTGTTCCGACACTTGGGAGCCCACGGACCGAAGGTGGTAGTCAAGGTCCCCGACCGCTTCTCCCATGTGGTGAGTCTCGTCTTCACTGTCGACTTTAGGCCAACAAGAGTACGATATCAATCCATTTGAGTGGTCCGTGGTGGGATAGTCGAAAGCCGAGAGTGGCTCCATATGATGCTGGTAGGGTCCAACGTCGTCCAGATATCCTGCAAGATCTTCTGGAGCCTCGGAAGGGGTTTGGGCAGCGCTATCAGAGAATTCGCCGAGAGGGTCGTATGGAACAGCAGAGTGAGAACGTTGTTCCATATCCATCATAGCTTCGCGCCTGAGCGCACTGCCATACGGATGCTCGGACAGGAAGTGCTCTCGATCACCGTCAAGAGTGGAAGCTACAATGGAGAGACCAGAGCTAGAGCCGACTGAGCCACCATGAGAGCAGGGAGTGATAGGAAGACAAAGGGCATTAGGTGTCGACAAGGGGGCAGAAGGATAAGATGGCTGTTCCACCGCAATATTTGAGTCTTCAGGCTCTGTAGCGGACGGTCGTTGTTCCTCTGGAGACCTTGCCATAGTTTCACAGCCATCTTTCCCGGAATAGAAGATGTCAGGAAATGGCTGTGGCGCCGGCGGCTTCATGACGGAAGCATCGAGGACTTGACGAGTCGTGGAAGGGAAATACCTAGAAGTATGAGCGTCCCGTAGCAGATGTCGAAAGGCGATTTGCGAGGCAGAGTGGGATGGATGAATGGATGGAGACGACGATGGCCTAGGGGGAGCTTGTTCGTCCCCAGGGGGTGGAGCATTGAGCTGTCCCCATCGTGCAGCGAACTTGCTAGTATCCACGAGGATGGTGCCATCCACTACAGACGCCTTCTCCACTTGTTCACGAGCATCGTGTTCCGGTTCAGAAGGAAGCTGCCCCCCTTCAAGCTCGATGTCCCACACAGGTGACTCAGTAACGCGGGCACGTTTTCTCGATGGAGTCGCAGAAACCTTGGGGTTTCGGCTGGACGCTGGAATGGTACGGGGAGAAGAGGGTTTTGGAGGGCTATGAGATTCGCGACGCTTGCGTTTGGAGACTGCTGCTGCCCTTGAAGTGTTCTTCCGAGTTCCTCCCCATCGTTGGCCCACCCTTCCCGAGTGAAAGGTGCTTGTAGAGTCGGTCGAACTTTGGTCATGGATTGGCTTCCGACGTCGGCGAGCAGCTGAGAGGAAGAGCTCCTCAGAGAAAGATGATATCTTCGATTCTGGTGTAAAGAGATGTAAGTTAGACCGCGTCGTAGTACAAACGTGGGATAGACAAACTCTTTGGAGCTTTCACAGGAGCAGAAGATTTTCCCTTGCGGAAGACACCGACATTGTCAAATGGTAGCTGTTGATTCATCGTGAGGGAAGGAGGGGTCGTAATTGAGTGCAAAACATACCGTCAGTCGATTTTTGCCGACGTTAGTCGCAGTGAAACCATGCATCAAAGCAAGACCAGCCGGTACATTGAGCTTCTTGTCCTTGCTCTTGCTCTTCGATTTACGACCTCGCTCCTTGCCCCGCACTCCGCTGTTCTTGCGAGGCTCGGTCTCAGACAGATCTTCTTCGTCATGTTCGACCTTCTCGGGGGGATCGACGATATCCCTCTTGGCCCGTCTGCGTTCTCTGCGCTCGGCGAGCCCTGAAAAGCAGAGGTCAGTGCACCTTGCAGCGCCAGCAATGATGAATATGAACGTACGGTGGATACGCTCTTCATCCGACGAGTCATCTTCAAGTTGCTTCTTCCTTTGACCCCCTCCATTTCGTTTGCTCTTCGAGCGCGGTCCCTTCTCTCCCGTGGCTGGTAATGGATTGTGTGTCGAGCGTGAGCCTGCCGTGCCGCAACTAGAGGGAGGCCGTGAACGGGCTTTGGGAGTGTCAATTGAGCTATTCTGAGACTTGTACTGCTTGGCAGGCGGGTCGACTTGGCTCGAGCCAACGCGATGGGTGTCTTCTCCATGTGAAGCTTTGTCTTCACTCGTTCTTCGCCGTGGATGGGTTTTAGGATACAGGGCCCGAGGTTTCAGCAGGGGAGTTCGGAACGTACTCTCCAGATCACAGTCCTGTATGAGTGTCCTCGGAACCGCATCGTTCCCCTGTGCTTCGTAGTTTTGAAGAGTCCATGAAGCATCCAGCTGCCGACCTTCTTGAGCGTAACCAGAGCTGTTGGCCACCTGCAAGCGAAGATAGGAGAGGAGAAAGGTGTCTTTGTCATGAGGAGACGAGTCAAGATCACGAAGATTGGCTGTAGTTAGAGGAGGAAGAGCAGCTGAGAACGCCATCAAACGAGACCATGCAGGGGAATGGGCAGTGGCTGCGAAATATGCCCGACGAAGTACTGATACATTCATTTAGAATTCCAGGCAACATCCTTCGCACGTGACGTCGTCGTCGTCGACTTGCGCTGTCACTCTTGTACTTAAGTCTTCGTGTTCCGTGAAACACACTGCAGGTTGCGACGGACACTATTCTATGGTGCCAGGATCGACACAGTATTTATTGGAGGCCCGCGCTAGTCCATCAACCTCACATATTCCTTCCTCACTTCGCCGTCCCCTCACGCTGTGTACTCGAAGAAGGGGTTCCTACAAGGCGGTCTCAGACCAAATCGGTGCACATGGCATGTCGTGAAAGACGTACTCGTTGTCCGTCATATCCAAAAATGCAGCCTTCTCCCGCTCACGCCGGACGTCGTCGTCTGACCACCCGTTCTGTGCCTTCATCTGCTCCAGTATGCGCCTCTTCTTCTTGTTCATCCACAAGTTCACCCATCGAATGAAAAAGCACAGCGGGATTTGCGCGCTCAGGAGGACCAAGATGGAGATCTTTCCCGGTAGGTATTGAGGGGCGTCTTTGGGGAGAAAGGTTTCCGTCCCAACAATGTTCGCAACACAGAACGCGGCCAGAGTCATCGCATTGACCGTCACCTTCTTCGTGTGTCCCGAGGTGTTCGATGCGTTGTAAGCGTAAATTATCGCTAAGGAGGGGCCATAAGTGCTGACAATCCAAGTAGCTATCCGACCCGAGATGAGTGGAGGCGATGATCACTGATAGCTGGAAAGACTCACCGAAAAGCAAAGCGCCTTTGTTGCTGGGACCTTCCAACGCCACGAGTAGAGCAGCTCCTACAAGCGTTGGGAGAAGTGACCAAACTATGGGCAGCATACGCTCTCTCTTCATCAGAGAAATGGTCCCAGAGATGAGCAGGGTGTGTGACACGTAGACCTGGCAGGCGACGTACCGCTTTGTCTGAGTACCACCCCAGTACTAGAGAACTGATGATGCCAATGACACCGCCAGGAGTCGACAGAATCAAAGCTTGTTTGACACTGTATATGCACGAGTACGATTTCATAAGATGTACGAAGAAAGAATACGCGGACCACGCACCTATATCCGAATCCCTATGGACGACGGATCAAAGAGTCGGTGCTCCATTCGTCTCAGAGGTAGCGTCGCGTCACAGCTACTTACCACGACGATGATGTTGGTGACTACGGGATGGAAGGGCGTTTGTCAACTTCCAAGTCGTCAGTTTACCGGAATACGTACAGTTCGCGAGACCCCCGTTGGGGATGTTGGCTTGCAGATCGAACCAAGGTTAGTAAAACGGGGTAGGGAACACTGCAAATGAAAAACTCACTCATGAGCGTGGCGAGCACGATCAGCCATGACCTAATATCGGTCAAAGCTTCAATGATTTGCTCTTTCTTGACACGCTTATTTTCCGTTCCGCCCTGCTCGTCGCGGATGCGCTCAATTGCCGCGATCCGTTCTTCATGGGTGAGGAAGTGAGCCCGGGTAGGAGAGTCCGGCATGAAGAGCAGCACACAGATGCCAACAGCGATTGCCATTGCGCCCAGCAGGATGTATATGACCTTCCATGGGGCGAAGCTGCCTCGAGCTGGGATGAACTCTATGCCCTGTGGTTAGGGCAAGTTTAACAGACATGATGCATAGAAAAGCAAAATGGGGACCTACATAGGCCAAGAATCCACCAACGATGCCTGCAACCCCGTTCTGGTGCCCATGTCTGAGATTTAATACGTATGCAGAACAATGCTGCCCACCATCATGTAGAACCATGCGATGCGGCTTCCCTGACAATTCCTAGCATAAGAACGGTTTTTCCTGGGAGAGGCTGGTCGAGGAAAGTGCATACTTGTTCGTTTTTTTTATAGAACATGGAGATGATGAGGATGAGCGTAGGCGCGACACAGCTCTCCAACATTCCTGGAGTTCGCACAGCGGCCGCGTGAGCTTGGCCCTGTCGCAGCGGATGACCAGAGGAGCGCACCAAGAATGAGCCTCAGCACGAAGAAGGGGCCAAACGATTTCGGAATAGCGTGCAGCATCATAATCGCCCCCCAAAGAACGATCTGGCTTCCCAGGTACTTGCCAAGTGGAAGTCGCTGGGCGATATACATGGATGGGAATACCCACACGAGGAACCCTAGCACCAAGGCGGTGATCATGTCACTAGGCGCAGCGTTGAAATTTGTGTCCCAACTCACCGATGTAGAACGAGAGCGCCACGAGATTGTATCCCTACTCCAAGGCGGCATGAGAGACCGGCAGGAAAGTGGAGAGACATCCGCCCTTGCCTGTCCAGTAACGGGGAAGCCCATGATACTTGTGCTTCGTTAGCGTCAGCATGGGAGGGCCTGGCATAAATCGTTCACCTTGCGTAACCCAGTGCAGTCTTGTCGCTACATGAACAGTCAGAGTGATAGCTAACAGGATAAAGTTAGGTGCTCACAGGAACTGCGTGAAATACACAGCAGCGCAGAGGGGAGGGATCACCAAGTCAAGCTTCCGACGCAGCTTCGTGTAGTACTCTTCCGAGAAGTGTGCCGTTCTTTCGAGACCGACGAGGCGCAGAGCCTCGTCCTTGTCCCTGAAGTCAACAGCACCGGAGCTGGCATCAGATTCCACAGCAATTTCTGGTATCTTCTCCGGAGCTTTGAGTGTTGTGTCTTCTGTGATCATCGTGAGTGGCGAAAAGCGGCGAAGGACGAGCGAGTCACCTTGAAAGGACTCTCCGGGAGCTCGACCTCTTAAGTGAACCTGTGACTGCATTCTGCAGACCGTTAGGCTTGGGAACCTAAGGATGTCCGAGGAGCTTGAGATTCTGTGGGAAGGAGATAACGAACGGCTCCCGCAACGAGCCGCAAGCCGCGTTGTTACAGCTGCCGAACAGCGAGCTGGTTCAAGCTGACCCACGCTGCCAGGTGGCGCAGAAGCTCCATAGCGGCAAGATAGTCTGCACAGAACCTGTTACGTTACCCCGCACACTCCAGCACACGAGTAAAAGGTCGTGAGATTCATGACTACTCCATCCTACAGCCTCGTAACGTATATGGATAGTCGTCAGACTGTTCTCATTTGTATGTCTTAGCTCGTGTAAACGAAGTAGGGGTTCCTATGAACAGAATCAAACACCGATATGGAGAGAAGAGACAGATAGGGTTGAGGAAGCGGACGTACTGCTTATCCGTGAGATCCACGAAGGCATGCCGTTCCCGCTCTCTCTGGACGTCCTCGTCAGTCCATCCACGCTTAGCCTTCTCTGCCTCCAATGCTGCCATTTTCTGCTTGTTAAGACGTTGGTTGATGTAGCGGAGCAAGAACGAGACGAAGAGCTGCGCTGAGAGAAGGACCATGATCGCTATTTTGCCGGGTATGTAGCCTGGAGCATCCTTGGGCTGGAAAATCTCCGTGCCAATGATGTTGCCGACACTGAACGTCGAGAGTGTAATCGCATTGATAGTGTTCTATGCAGAGACATCGAATGACTGATAAGCGCTGAGGTAAGAACGACATTACATTATCGGATTCGTACCTTCTTGGTGTGCCCGCTAGTGTTGCTCGCGTTCCAGGCGTACACGGCGGAAAGTGCAGTGCCGAAAGTACCAATGAGGTATGACGCTGTTGGTCCGGTATGAGGGGCGTTTGTTGCAGAGTCCAGAGAGTGATCATGAGTGCACGTACCAAATAACAGAGCACCCTTATTCCCAGAGTCGTTCAGTCCGATAAGCATTGCTGAGCCTATGATGGTGGGGATAAGGCACGCCACGATTACGATCATGCGGTCTTTCTTTGCAATACATAAGACATATGAGCGAGGGTAAAGGAAAGGAATGTCTCTTACCTTCCTATCGGAGTACCAGCCACAAGCCAACGTCGTGAAGGCCGCGACAATGCCACTCGGTGTCGAAAGGATGAGAGTCTGCTTCGATCTGCCGAAAGGTCAATTCGCTTGTCAAAACATTCATCGTCCGAAGCCACGTACGTGTACCCAAAACTCTTGATGATGATGTTGCTGACTGTTCAGGAATGAGTTCGATCCATAGGGAGAGGAATGGGCGCACTCACAGTTACTCAAGGCGCCATTCGGAATGCTTGCTAAGGAGATAGTTAGAAATCACATGAAGACTTGAATATATGAAATGGACTTACTCAACAACGTGGTCAAGGCAATGAGCCAAGTGCGGACATCGGTGACAGCTTCGATAATCTGGTCCTTTTTCCAGTGCCTGTTCTCCATACCACTCTGATCATCGCGCACGCGCTCCAAACAAGCGATCCGCTCCTCTTTGGTGAGTTGCCACGCATGGACGGGCGAATCGGGAAGCCAAATGACAACGCAGACGCCGACAATGATGGCGAGGCCTCCTAGGAGAAGGTAGATGATCTTATAGGGTGCCAAAAGATGACCGTCGTCGAAGGATATGCCGTAGGCGACGAAGCCACCGAAGACGCCGGTGAGGCCGTTCTACGATGCATTATAGATTAGCGAAGACCAGGGGTGACAACTCGAAGCAGTGTACCATCACGTAGAACCACGAAATCCGTACTCCCTAACGCAGAAATGGTTGGTAAGAGATCTAACGAAGCAAGAATCGAGGAGACCAACCTGCTCATCTTTCTTGTAGAACATGGTGATGAGCAGAATGAGAATTGGCGCGACACAGCTCTCACACATGCCTGTACGCCAGGTCAGTTCACGCACTGAACACAGGTTAGCACACTCACCAAGAAGGACACGAAGAGCGAAGAAGGCGCCGAATGACTGAGCAGCAGCATGGCACATCAGAATGATGCCCCAGATAATGATGTTTGCGCCGAGGTACTTCGCAACCTGTACACCGCGCGAGCGGACGCTGAGTACAAAGTCAGGCACAGTGGGATTAGACACATACCCTCAACTTCTGGGAGATGTAGACTGTAGGGAACTCCCATGCGAGAAATCCGACATAAAAAGCCAGCGATACCAGGTTGTAATGCTGTAACAGATGGTCAATTCGCTACCCAAAGCGTACTGAGATGTACCACGCACCTGCCCCGTGATCGGGAAGCCCATGATACTGCAGGAAGGTGACCATCTAAAGGAAGAAGCTCTGGCAATGAATCTCACCTCGCATAGTTAAGCGACGTCTTATCCCTGAATATTCGTGTCAGACGATGAAACCTGCAACTGCACACCGCAAGAACTCACAAGAACTGCGTAAAGTACACGGCGGCGCACAGAGGGGGGATCATCCAATCCTAGACCGACCATTATACCTTGTCAAACGACAACGAGCATGAACGGGGCAACGCACCAGCTTCCTCCGCAGCTTCGCATAGTACTCCTCGCTAAACTGCGCCGAACGTTCTTTGCCCACGAGCTGGAGCGCCTCGTCACCGTCGATGCTGTCCGCGGAGACGGTGGTCGTGGCATCCAACGCGTCCTTCTCTTCATCCCGCACCAGCACCTTCTCGCTTACGGGCACCTTCTCGATGGACCTGCGTTCTTGAACTGTCGTCATGACGGAGGTGCTGTCGAAGCCGCGAGTGAGGGTAGAGGGTCCGTGAAGGGCGAGAAGTTGGGCGAGATAGGACTCAAGACGTCGGTCACACGCTGGGGCCGAGTTTTTTGACCCTCTAATCTATGTATATGCCTCGTGAGTCAAAGAGCAGGTATCAGTCGTCGGCGTGGAAAATCGTTCCTGCCTGAGATATGATAAGACAGGATACCTAGCCGCATCAAAACCACTCACCCACTTAGCCCCACGCAGCAAGCGGGAGCCCGTCAGGCCGTTATCAACGTTCGCGCGGCTGTCATGGGCATAGACTTGTTTGTAGCCGCGACTCACACAATAGATTCCAACCGCGCACCCGCCAAGGAGAAGTTTTGACGTGATCAGTGAATCGAAAGCGATGCGAGAATAGTACAGTGCGTGATGTAAAGAATAATCTACAGCTTCTGGATGACCAACGCAGATGCGGCACCACCCTGCAAGGAGCGCAATCAGTATGCGTGGCAGTGCGGCATATGACTAATCACATACCCCGTTGCAGATACCAGCCGCTCCGTACTCTCCGGACTTCAGCGAGTGCACAAGAGTAACGATAATGCGTGAACCGGAGTTGCCGATAGCATGGCCCAGGGCGACAGCACCACTAAACATACTCAGTATACAACATCACAAAGCACTCCAATAAAACTCACCCGTGAGGGTTAATCTTTGCAGGATCAATGCCAAGCTTCTTCTCCGCGACCCGGACAACGACGGAGAACGCTTCGTTGATCTCAAACTGCGCGATGTCGTCAACTTTGAGGCCAGCCTTCTCGATGGCCAATGGAAGAGCGAAAGTCGGCGCTTCAGGGAAGTCGATGGGCTCGACACCAGCATCAGCGTAGGCTTGACGAGCAAGGGTTAGCATCGCGTTAATCAGAAATCGTGGTAGTCACTCACAGATGACCTTGGCAAGAGGCTTGACGCCGAGCTCTTTCGCCTTCTCTGCTGACATGAGAATAAGAGCCGACGCTCCATCGTTGAGACTCGACGAGTTGGCAGGAGTGATGGTACCGCCGTTCTTCTTGAACGAGGGGTTCAGGGTGGGGACCTTCTCGTAGATGACGCGCTTGTACTCCTCATCCTCGCTGACGATGGTGTCGCCCTTCTTGCCCTTGATAGTCACGGGGGCGATCTCGTTCTGGAACACACCAGCCTTCCATGCCCGGTCCGCACGCTTATAGGACTCGATTGCATGCGTGTCCTGAGACTCGCGGGAGATGCTGTACTTCTCGGCGGAGTGCTCACCACAGTTACCCATCGCGAACTGGTTGTAGACATCCCAAAGACCATCGGTCTCGAGCGAATCCTTCGTGGTGAACTTGCCGAACACGGGGTTCTGGCGAGGCAGGAGGAACCTGGTGACATGCACATGAGGTCGGCGCAAGTACGTAACAAACATGTGGGACGTACGGCGCGTTGCTCATGCTCTCCATGCCACCAGCGACGACAACCTTCTTGTAGCCGGACTCGATACTCTGGGCAGCGAGCATGATGGACTTCAGACCGCTTGCGCAGACCTTGTTGATCGTCGTCGCGTCGGAACGCGTCGGCATACCCGCACCGAGTGCAACTTGACGCGCTGGGGACTGACCGACACCAGCCTGAACGACGTTGCCGAAGTATAGCTCTTCGACCTCGTCAGGGCTGACGCCTGACTGCTCGAATGCGTGCTTGAGAGCAACTACGCCGAGCTGAGGCGCAGTGAGGGTCTTGAGCGTGCCGTTAATCGATCCCACTGGCGTACGGGACGCAGCGACGATGACAGCCTCGTGACGGGTGGCGGAAGACTAGCATAACGCCAGGTAAGGAGCCACGGTCGTCCGGAGTAGGCGAAAGGGCACTCACCATGGCGCGAGAGAGGTGTCGGAGGGGGAGGCGGGAGGAAGAAGGGACGGTTATGCGGGCAGCGAACATGATGTTCTATCGAGCTTTATATCCGCAAGATGGCGCGAGGCGATCGATAAATGCACGGATAGCGTGAGGCGTCGGCTTTGGTGATCGTACGAGACGGTCGTCCTAGCTTGGTGCAACCGCTCAGTCGGAGGCGGGGACAGAGTGAGACCACGTCGGGCGTCGACTTTATAAGTCTGCTCGGCCATCGGACGTCGTAACAAGAGCCGACCGATCCCCAGTGCCAGGTGATTTCGTCCCGCCCCTCAGACGACGACAGCCGCCCGCGTGTGCACAGCGTTCTCGCCCCATGGGAACTCATCTGCATTACCCCGCAAACCTCGCGGCGGTTCCACACTCGTCGACCTACGGGCATGCGCGGCCGATCCTTTCTTATTCATACCCCTAAGAACAAGTCTACAATATTGCCCATCACCATGAACCATGCCTCTAGCCACCGCAGGTCGCTGCGTTCGGCCTCTCCCAGTTGTGCCATGATCTCTCCGACTATATTCGCGGTGTGACAAGGATGAAAATGCCATGACGGTGTCCCGAGTGTAGGATGGTCCCCCTGCGACAGAAGAGGGAGGGAGGAGTCGGAAAGCGTTAAAGCGAACGAGCTGCCTTCGGAAGGAGGTAGCGCGCTCCGGCGGAAGATGGGGGTCTTCGTGATTTCGTCCAATGTCAACGGCGAGCCGCCTAGAAGCTAGCCTCGGTGAAAGGCAAAGGACGTACACAGATTCAACACGCACTAGGATCATGAAGCGTCCAATAGAAAACAGGCACTCCAAAAGTTGAGGAGTACACAACGTACTGGTCGCATATAATAATATCGTTCGATACAGTGCATGAGGCGCCATCCTCCTCATGCAGCAATTCGACACCCCCATCTAGCTCCTCTACTACATCGGCGGGAAGGGCATGGCGAAGGAACTGGACGGTGCGTGCGAGATATCCCAACTGCGAGACATACTGGGCGATGTGAGAGATGGTGACGACGATTTGACCCTGGAAAACGTACGGGATGCTCCCTCCATGTCCACCCAGAAGAACGGCGTCTCAATATAGTGTCACCATTGGCAGCAGGGGCAATGTAGGCCTTGCAAGCGACGTCGAACTGTGCACGAGTGAGGGGAAGAGAGGACATGGGCTAATGGGGCGTGGGAGCAAATCTTTACAGCTGTAAAAGTAAGGTTCAGCCACCCCCAAGGCGCTCACGCCATCTTCCCTACTGCCTGTGCGCGTCTGCCGAAGCTCACGCATCCCAAAACTCAGCCCGTCCAAGTGCCGGCTCACCTCCTCGCGGTCCTCCCCCGCCCCTCCTTCCTCCATCCACCATGGCTGTTGGCAAGGCAAGCCCTCTCGCGCTTCGAATACTTATGAATATCATCCTGATCCGTTTGTACGTCCAGAACAAGCGTTTGTCCAAGGGTAAGAAGGGTATCAAGAAGAAGGTCGTGGACCCCTTCTCCCGCAAGGGTGAGTAGTCTGATCAGGTATGCCCAGTATTTCTTGCGAGCATATCTCTCTAGACTGGTACGACATCAAGGCGCCCTCAATCTTCGAGGTCAAGAACGCCGGCAAGACTCTTGTCAACAGGTCCCAGGGTCTTAGTACGTCAATCCCAGTCCCTTCATCTCCCTGTATCTCACGTCGTGCGTAGAAAATGCCAACGACTCCCTCAAGGGCCGTATCATCGAGCTATCGCTTGGTGACCTCAACAAGGATGAGGACCAGTCGTTCCGCAAGATCAGGCTCCGGATCGATGAAGTTCAGGGCAAGAACTGCCTCACCAACTTCCACGGCATGAGCTTCACCTCAGACAAGCTCCGCTCCCTCGTCCGCAAGTGGCAGACCCTCATCGAGGCGCATGTCGACGTCAAGACGACTGACGGATACCTCATCCGTCTTTTCGCTATCGGCTTCACCAAGCGTCGGCCAACGCAGGTCCGCAAGACCACCTACGCGCAGACCGCGCAAATCCGGGAGATTCGCAAGAAGATGTTCGAGATCATGACCCGTGAAGCGACGAGCTGTGACCTGAAGGAGCTGGTGCAGAAGTTTGTGCCAGAGGCGATTGGCCGGGAGATTGAGAAGGCGGCGAGGGGTATCTACCCCTTGCAAAACGTCTATATCCACAAGGCGAAGATTCTCAAGGCACCGAAGTTCGACATGTCGAAGTTGCTTGAGCTTCACGGCGAGTCGACAGACGTGAGTTCTACCTGTTAGCATCTCTTTCTCGCCGTCTTCCTGACCCACCGCATGTGTTACAGGAGACTGGCACTCGTGTAGTCAAGGACTTCAAGGAGCCTGAGATTCTCGAGTCTGTGTAAAACTTTATTGTTGTCGTCCTTGTACCACTTGCACATGATCTCCTTTCTATGCTACGAGGGTATGGCAATCTATGACCATGACACGCACGCAGTCTCCCTCTTTTGTACAATGTCATCGCGTGCCTAGGCTCGCTAGCAATCCACCACAATATGTAAACATCTAATACGCTCAGAGAGACTTAACACATTGTACACGTACGAGCCCTGGCTTGTTCCGTCAACGTCTGCCTGCCTGTCGAGCTCGTGCACGTTTGTGGTCAGCTCAACAATATAACCGGGCATGATCGATGTCGATGATCGGCGACCGTTGTCTGTTACACTTGCAGATCTAGTCTCCCCTACATTGGCAGCCCTTCTATGAAAGTTGCACATCTAAGCGAGCATCCTCATCGCCGTCGAAGTCCGCCCACCGTTCCATACCACCATGGCCGACGTTGAGCACCTGAGGAGCCTACTGCGCCCCTTCCCCGACTGGCCCAAGAAGGTGTGCATCTATGTTTATTCCCGCGTAGGGCTCGGCCCTCATCCCGCACGGCTTGTACAGGGCATCGTCTTCCTCGACATCTTCCCGCTCCTGCGGGACCCAGTAGCGTTTGAGACGCTGATCACGCACTTTGTGCACCGACTTGCGTCCGAAACGGTCTCGCGCGCACCGAACAAGAGGATCGATGTCGTCGTGGGTCTCGACGCGCGCGGATTCTTGCTCGGCCCCATCATCGCGATGCGTCTCGGCGCCGCTTTCGTGCCGGTGCGCAAGAAGGGGAAGCTGCCGGGCGAAGTCATCCACGCGGAGTACATGAAGGAGTACGGCCTGGTGAGCACTCCTTCACGATCAACGCCATCCGAGAATGGAGTGCGAGGGTCGCAAGATGAGAGGTCGAGACGAACGGGCGGGTTGGCTGACTTCGGGTGGATCGATGCAGGATGTCTTCGAGATGCAGGGGGACGCGATCAAGCCCGGCCAGTCCGTGGTCATCATTGACGATCTCATCGCTACTGGTATGTCTCACCGTCGTGTCCGCGTTGTGTTTGTGTTCATGCGGACTTCTCAGGTGGTTCTGCGAAGGCCGCGGGAGAGCTTGTCGCCAAGCTCGGTGGCAAGACTCTCGAGTATCTCTTCATCATCGAGCTCACCTTCCTCAAGGCCGCGGAGAAGCTCGATGCGCCCATGTACTCGATCGTCAAGGTCGACGACTAGACTATGTTTTAGATATCCGCACGTTTAGACACGAGGGGACTGGGCGTCGCGCACGCGAGGGCCCGAGGCAGACATCAAACATATACTCTATGTGCATTCCTATACAATGGCAAGTGTGCATCATAACAATAGTCTGGAGTTGATTAGTGGGTGGTTGTTGAGGTACAACACCTTCGTCACCTCCTCCCTGTCCGTCGCCTCCGTTGGAGATGCCTCTGTCGTCGTCGGGCTCTGAGCGTCAGCCGGCTCGCCGGACGATTCGACGACAAGCCACACGGCGCCGAACTCTTCCGCCTCGTCGAGCATCCGCTCTACGACCTCCGCGTCCTGCTTGCGCACGACGACAACCGCAACGTCATCGACACTGACGCCTGTCCCTGCGATCTCCTCGTGGTCTGCCGAGGGGTTGATGTGGTGCTCTTCCGTGCCGAGCACGACGACCCCGCTCGCGCCGGCGAGCTTGGCGGCGGCGAGCTTCTCGAGGAAGGTGCAGTCTCCGCGGGCCACGACGATGGCCTCGGAGTGGAAGAGTTCCTCGGAGTAGGCATTGCAGCCCAGCGGATTGTCGGGGAAGCGTACGAGGCGCACTCCGTCCCCGTGTCCGAATCGCAGAGGAGTCGAGGCTGGGCCAGAGGCAGCTGCGGCTGGGTCGCCGCCAAAGAGGGCGGTGGCAGCGGTGATGACGGTCTCGGTGATTGCGTTTTGCATGCCCGGGGTCTGGGGTTGTAGCATTGGGTCGACGTAGTCCAGGTGCAACCGGAGGTTGACCTCCATGGCACGCTTCTTGGGCTTCGGGTCGTTGGTAGACCAAGAGCGGGCGAGCTCCGAGTCGTTGAAGTAGATCCGCTGCCCGGTCCTGATTGCGTGCGGGCCCACTGAAAATATTCCGGTCAGACGTCAAACAAGGTCGCCAATCAGTGTACCCACGTTTCGCAATATCGTAGCCCTTGCCGTCCAAACGGCTCACAATCTGAACACGAATACCGCTCACATTGTGAACAAGGAACCCATCGTCAACCGCCACCATCTTCGCCGCCGACGGTTGTGTGTCTTCCGGGGCCGCTGACCCGTCCGAAGAGAGGATGAAGTCGTACGTCTATCACCTGGTCGTTCAATGTCTACCCTCGGGAATAACAAGAACGGACTCACGTATGGCTCATATTTGGGGATTTGACAGTATCCATCGGGTACCCATTGCTTCTGCTCATAGTCACTTGCCATGCGACCGATCAAATGACGGACATATTCCATATCCGCGCGAGAGAGTACACCCCCGTGCAGGCCCGTATCGGAATCCCAGTCGTCGTACGCCAGAAAAGGGTTCAGGTAAGCTGGACATTGCAGGTTCTCGACTCGCCGAAGCTTCTTGCGAGCAGCAGACAGCGGTTTTAGGCGGTCCGGCTCCAGCGAGAGTATGTGGCCTTCCGTGGTGAATACCCAATGCGAGTCGTCGGTGTGCAGAGGATTCTCTTCATCAAAGAGAAGGTAGAGATACTAGGAAATGGATGAGCGGGACGTCTGGGCGATTGCAATACATTCACCGACCTTTAGCGTTTCTGATAGTACGAAAGACTCCATACGATCGTCGCGGTGGTTCGTCCGTAGGTCCTGGATACTTGCGAGACCACAATCTACTTTAGACCGACGGTTGATGTCGAATAGAATACGTGCTACATAGGTATCAATGGCTGAACAGCGAGCTGGACTCCGGTCAGACATACCTCCGACATCAAGATAGAACGGGTCTTTGGTCGCCTACGGTCTTCCTTAAGAATTTAAGAGCACGAATGAATATAAACGGCTTACGCGATACAGGTACCAAGTCGACTCCACAAATTCTGGACCGCGGATATTGAGTTCTCGATGAAGACTGTTACGATAGTGAACGCACCTGGACGCAAGGGGTATGCCAGAGCGGTTCCTGTCTTAAAGTTCATGTCCCACACCTCAGGTATTCCCGCGAATCCGCGCCACAAGTTCCAATCTATTCATCCTGAACAGTTTTTCGTTGTTTAAAACAATATGAAAGCTTACACACGAGATGCGAACGAATTGCATTCTCTACATCACCCCCAAGGACTTGAAGGCCAGGCCAAAACGCTGAGAGCGAGTCCACTGAGTTGTACTGGGCATCTCCCTAATGGAATGTGAGTATCATTTTAAGGCGCCTCGGATGGACAGCAACGTACCGTGAACATGTTCACGTTTCGATACTTGGGGTATGTCAGGAGAAGAAGAGCAATCATCAAATCATGGGACATACCCAGTACCCGTCCGGAGCACGGGAGTATCGCATGGCAGACGCATACATGTCTTGCCACACGTCAAGGAACTCGACCTCACCTGGGTCAAACATGAGTCCAGAGTCAATGTTGACGGAGAGATCCACCTACCGCTCATGATGTACCACTTGAGAGCATATTCATAGTACGAATCAACGCCCGCACCAATGCCATTGACTTCGGGGTGCAACCAGTTCTGTCGGCATGCTCAATCACTCTGTTTGGTATCACGCGACCATTGGACGTACTCCAGAAAATATATTGATTGTATTGCCTACAAGTCCTATATCTGACCTGCGATTCCACAGCGCAAAGAAGGCCTTATATGCTGCTTTTTCGAAGCGGTCGTCCCCGGTCAGACGACTCAGTGTGCCGAATTCCAGAATGAGTGACCCAGCACCCGCAGTACCTGAGGATAATCAGGCTGCCGGTAATGAAGCCATAATGATAATGTCACTCACAAGTGTCGTGTGATTCTCCTTTTGGCAATCCATGTCTCAAGTTGATCTGAGAGTCTGTGAGAGATAATACACACAAGACGGAATGTCGATATTACCCTCGAATACGGAAGACCGGTTGGCGTTTTGAACGCAGGGAGAAGCCGTAGGCCCAGATCGTATGCAAGAGAGAGTAGTTCACCCTTATACCAAGGTAGGTGAAAGGGCTGATTCTGTCGCTCCGCATATATGTGCCCTGAAAGAAGCCCTCCGAGTGCCCGAATAGTTGTCTCGAAAACTTGCGGGTTCGTGTTAACGTCGTATGCCACCCACTTGATCACGTCGCGCACAGCTTGTGCAAAGCCTGGAGGGTCGTTCAACACGACGAAGGTATCAAGAGAGTCGACGAGGGTGACAGAGAAGTTCCCAGCGACGTCATTTGTAGCTACATCTGCCCTGCGCGTGCGCATATCAGAGATATAGCATGAAGGGGCATCGCGTAGGACTCACGGGTTGTGCCAATTAGGACCCCTGCCAGAACATGACAGTGGTGCAAGCTGCGTAACACGTTGAGACGCACATCAGTTTCAACAGAAGTTGAGCTCACTTCGTCCATAGGAAATGCTATGGCAAATCACAGGCCATCAAAACTTTTCAGAACAATGAAGAGAGTGGGGTACACACCATATTTCATGTAGCTACTGAACCCATGTTGCCATAGAGCACGAACCTCGTCCCTGAAGGTTGCACTCAGACATGCATGAGTAGGTGGAACGCAATCAAGACTTGCCTCATCGCAAGCTTCCTACCACTTGTCCATTGTACACCCTCAGCAAATGCGTGTGCAGACCCCGCAGACAGCCATTGACTGTCCAGGCCGGCGAGTAAGAGCGCGAGGAGACCGCTGGGCCATAGTGTCGGCAGCTTCATGCAGAACGAAGAACAGCCGACAGTAAAACGCCTCAAAGAAGCACAATGACGGCCCAGTGAGACGGGGAGAGAAAGCGAGAACGAAGGACAGCGGGACGAAGAACTTGGAGGATGAGACTCGGGCGTCGTCCATCAGCAAAAGGTGTTTTTAACGGTAGCGCCCGATAGCACGCGACTCTGCCAGATCGGGACAGGCCGTCTATTGTCTGCGCGACAAATGATGATAGCAGAACGGTAGCAGTTGATATTCATTCGTCTTCGATGTGACGTTTGATCATATTTCGTGGCCGCATACAGGTTATGATGGATCGACTACAGGCACTAGTAGCTTAGACGGAAAGCTATAGTCGATGATATGATAATGATAGTAGACGATCATGTGCCCCTCCAAGGGTGATTCATGGCGCGCGGGGTGCATGGTAAGTTCGTAATGAGCCATACGGTCGGTTCGCGAGTGCGCGAACAGTGCGCGCGGCAGAGAACGCGGTGCGCGCGAGGATGCGCGGGTCAGCGCGGGCGCCTGTACCGCTTACGGATGGAGTCCGCCGCAGTCCGGCGACGGCGAGCCTCACCACCTCCCCTTCTCCCATCCGGGGCCTCTGTTCCCCAAATTTGTTCTTGACATCTCTTCTAATTTCTCGCTGTTCTGCGGAACCTGGTATTTCCATGTGTATCCTCTTCATCAGAATGTTTGCTTCTCTGGGACACAACTGGGACATGATTTATTCGACTGCGGACATCTCGTGTCCTTGCTCACCAATTTAGCATTGTCTCGGCCTTTCACGTTCCGTCTCATGTTTACAATGGACTTAAGGCGTGCTTCTCTGTACATTAGGTGCGCATTTCATCTCCCCCTCGCGTATATTGAAGCGACCCTGTTCCCAAACAGCGAGACGGTCAGTGAGTAGTTCATCGCAGCGCCGGGTCGTTTGGGCACCACAGCCCTGCTCGTCCGACGCCCGGCGTGTTGTCCATACTCGCGGCGCCGACGCACCTGGGTATTCCAAGGTACACTGGTGACCCCCTCTCACGGCGAATGTCTAGCCCGCGTCGAGCTAGCTGCTATCTCGCTTGCACTACACATGTCAACGATCAGCGCGTTTCTTCCGACCCTCCCATGCGGCCCAACACCTGGCTCACGGGCTTTGAAGCGCTCTCAGCCCGCCTAGCCCCCTGCGAGCCAACGATCAAGTCCCGCTGCATCGCGATTCTTGTCGCCGACGGCTTTGACCGCGCGCAAGTCAACGGCGTCCGCACCACACCGCTCAAGGCCGGAATAGCGAAGCGTGGGCGATGGCGAGAGCAAGGGCCATCCCGCGGACCACCACCGTCGCGAGTGAATCACCCGCCTCCGCCTCTTCCTCCTCCTATTCGACGCGCTCGTAGTCACGCGCGGCACGGCGAACGCGCGGCGCACGCCGCACGGGGCACGGGCGAGGGCAGTGAGCAGGTTGCGAATACGAAAGTTAAGTCAAGATATATACATCCTTGGGAAGACGTACTACAGTCGGTGTTAGCGACGACGAAGAGTCTGTGGTCTGGCAAAATTTGCTTATGATGATTTCTTGCTAATTGTCGTGGTTCGATGCGGCGGCGCCGCAGTGGCGTCCCGCTTTGGCCTCCGTTCGGTCGCCAGACTGCATGGGCGCGTGTGCGCGTGTGCGCGCCTACTGGACTTCCCCTGCGACCGCCATCATCCCCTCAGCGCGATGTGCCACTCACGCTCGCGGGTGATCCATCAAGACATGGTGAGTTCCTCCCTTTGCTCTCAGCATCTCGTTCACAGTGCCCACATTTCTATCGACATTGATGTGGCTTTTAACAACTTCTCGCAGACCATCATTGTCTCGTCGCCCTCATGGCCGCCACTCTGCGCCCGGTACGTTCAACTTCCCACCTCCACAAAGCCAACATGACCACCCACTCCCTGCGTTTCCGCCTCCTCGTACCCACCACAAGTCACGATGTTTTTTCCTCAACCGCGCGAGCTTGGTGCGCCTCCAGAACGCAATCAAGCTTGAAGTCATGGTGCTTAAGCGCTTATGGCCACGGCCACCCTCCGCGCGCGGTGTGAAATTCCTCTTTTGCCTCTTCTCCTCCCCTTCACGCTGATTCCTCAGCCTCGCCGGCAGTGTAAACGTTGCTCCGTGTGCTCTTACATCAGTCCCGAGTGACTCCACTTGTAATCGGGGATGTAAGGAAATGTAGTGGAGGTGTTGCGGCAGCCACTCAGTGGGAGTGCGGTGTACAGGTACGTCTTCAGAACTTCCATACAGGCTGGCAGGTGAGCAGGATGTCAGGACACCGCACGGTTGAGCCCGCGCCTCGTGGGCTTCTGCTGCTAGACCTGCGGGCGACCACTTCCGGCAGGTGTTGCTGAATGCGCGCGAAACGTCCACCCCGAGCACCAGCCCGTTTTGTAGCAGCAGCGGCTCTCCAGGTTGCGTTCCTTTCCCTTTTCCACCGAGATCAGTTCCGCACTGACCGCTCGTCCATAGCTGCCTTGACCAACTTGCAGTACTCACACATCGCTTGAGCGACCTCCCCACGCAAGCAGGGCGGTCTCGGTCCAAACCTCAGGCTCCTGCTCGTCGAACACCGCGACATGTCCATCTCGCCTGATTACGTTGTGCTCGTTGAGGACGAGGGCATCGCCCTCTGTGGGCTCTTCATCATCGACCCATAGGGGATCCTCAGGTGCGTTCGGCGGGGTTGGACAACTGAACCACCGCAATCGACAACGTCCCCGTCGGCCACTCGGTCGAGGAGACGATCCGGTTCGTAAACGTGTCCCAGTTCACCCAGGTGAGTTTCGCTTCCTCCACGTTCTCCGTGGCCACTCCCGCTGACTACTCCCTCCTCGCTTTCCCCTTCCCCGTTCACCACGCTTCCGAACGACGAGCATGTTGAGGAGTTCCCCACAAACTGGAGTGAGGAGGAAAGATGATGAAAACACGGCCATCCATGCTCACCGTCACGACCATCTCCCCGCGCCCCTCCACTGCGCCCCTCGCCGCGCTCGACCGGCCTTTCCGTGCTCTCCACACTGACTGCTCTATCACTGGGCGAGCACTATATATATTCGCATTTTCTACAGGCCGTTACTGACCACTCTCATGGCAGGGACGACCCTATGCATCACAGGAGTACTATGTCGATGTGCTCACTGCTGGTTGAGAGGCCTCAAGGACGCGCCCACATCGCTGACTGTGTAAGTCGTTTATTCTGCTCTTATGTCCATTGTATAGGATACCTGCTGTTTCGTATCTACCCAAATGGATTACTATTGCACAATTGGATTGTACTCTCTGCGTAATATGTGATCCCCAGTGTGCGATGGAAGACCATAATGTTCTGCATGATGCTGTCATCCCCTCCGCTAAATCTGACGTTTTATCATGTAGCGCTATCATCTCATGCGCCGCAGATGACCGGTATATGGTCGCGCGCGCACTCAGAAATGATAGCCCTGTCCGCGAGAATCGATCATCATTTGATAGCGGAAGAAGCAGACGATAATACACTACAAGTTACTGCATTACTTGGATGCTCAGCTACCGTCTATTGTCTTCGCTATCACTAACTATCGTATGCTACGAATGCCCCCGTGCACTATCAGACGCTACCGTTTCCGCGCCTACTTTGCTGATGTCCGTACTCACCGACGTGGAACGTCGCGTGTGCACGTGATCCGCGTGACTGTCCCAGGATTTGGAGGCGTCCCCCGTTGGTCCCCCGAGTCGACTGCGCACACTCGTCCGCCCGTCGACTATCTCTACTTTCTTCACGCCGCCCGTCCCTCGACCCAGCTCCGCCAAGCATGGCCACCGTGATTGATGTTTCGAGCAGTCTGGGAGAGTATATGTTGAAAGGCTGGGTGCGTTCTTACCATGCTTCAGGCTTAGCAGGTTGTCTTGAACGTTTCTTTCGTGCGCATGGGTGGCAGGTCTTGACAGACAAAATATGCTCGCAATGCTCGCGGGTTCCTCTGATGAGATCCCCCGCCACGTCTGCCACGCAGATCCACTTCTGTGTTAACTGCGACGCTGCGCCTGAATCCTCTGGTAGCACTTCGGTAGTTCCTCCGGCAGCTCGGAACCCTCCGCCGACCTCCACTCAGCGCGGCAAAGTCCCAGTACCCACCTATTCTCCGTCAAGCAAGTCATACAGTAGCGCAGTTTCACGCGCATCGACCCCTCCCACGGAAGTATCCAACGCGCCAAGCTCTCCCCCTCTCATGCCTGTCATGGACACAGCAGAACTCCTCCGTCGCCGTCGGCAGTCAGATCTTGCGTCTGCCGAGATCGGGAAGCGCATGCTCAAGGGCTGGGCCATGCTCGCCGACGAGTGCCCCAACTCAGACTGCTACGGCATCCCTCTAGTACGACCACCGAAATCCGGCGCATCTCTCGATCCGAGGAAGGCGAGTCTTCTGAGGCACATACGAACCCCGAGTATATTTAACGAGACGTCGTCCCGCAGGAATGCGTGATCTGCGCCGCTGTTTACGTCGACGAAAAGGATGCCTTCGGACGGGGTCACCTAGTCCCAATGCCACCACCCCCTTCTTCGGCAGAAACGTTCCAGGCACTCAGGCTTGCCAGCGAAGCTCGCCAGACTGCCGCTCCCGCGCATACCACACGACCAATGGCAAAAGAAGGCTTTGGGGCAGCCCCCCAACCGGTACGCTACTGTATATGTGATACACCCGCAATGCTGATGACCCCGTTCGCAGCAATTATCCGCAGGTGGCCGAGTCCCACATATGGGCACGGTGAGTTTTAAAATGAACCACCTGACCAAGTGTTACTCAACGTCTCGCAGCAGCCGATATCTAAATCAGCCACCGCTTCGGCCCTCGAGGCGACCGCGCTATCTCTCGAACGGACGCTACTTGTCCTCTCGGAGCGCATGAATGTCTGCTCAAGCGCGCTATTAATCGACCCCATATCCATCGGCCAGACAGCGGAGGCAATCACCAAGACCTCACAAGCATTGACTCAGGTCAAGCAACTGCTTTGGAGCGAGACTCAAGCGCTCCAAGATTGAGAGCTCTGCGCCCGTATGGCTCTCCCATGACCGGCTCGCGAGCCGCCGTTGAGCAGGTGAGTCCTTTCCGTGGGGTGCATGGCCTCTGTCGCACGTCTAGAACGACGCGTGTCCCGATTGCGCAGCGATGACGGACCTCGTTTCAATAGCCGGGGACGGATCAGGAGTGATGGGCGTTGGCGCGGCCACAGACACATAGAAGAGATGCGGGGACGAGTGTACGAGCCATCGGCGTAGACGAATCAAAGGCCTGCGCGCGGCCGCGTTGTGGTTCCCTCCACGAGGCAGCGTGCGAACGATCCGGTCTCGAGCAGCTGACATCAACTGGCGCGGTCTCGCTCACTATCTCCCTGAACGATATCTAGATCTCGAGCCCGGGCAACGCGTATTACGCCATGCACGCGGGCGCTGTGCAAGCCCACCTTCCGCCGCGGTTCGGGAATGCGCGGTATCCTCATGTTCTCCATGTTGCGGCCTATAAGGTCCTCCTCCCGGCCTTGCGGGGCTCGGATCCCCATCTGCCCCTGTCTGTGCACCTCGTCATCTTCGTTGCTTCCGCCGTCGTTTGTCGACAGCGTTGAATGCCGGCATTTTCTGAATTTCACCCCACTTGCCCTTGAGACCTCACTTCGCTTAGCTTCTCCCAATGCCTCGTCTCTTCCCCAGTCTTGGTCGCTCCTCGAAGGAGCATGCTAGTGCGTACGCTGGGTATGACACCTACGATGCTCCCCATGGCTATTACGACGACCATGGGTACGATGAGCAGGCACCACCCAGCTCCGCCTGGCGCCGAGTTTTTGCTAAAAAGCCATCGAAGAAGGTATGTCGTCGCTGTCTTGCGAGTAGCTATCGCTGACGTATTCCAGAAGTACATTAGACCAGAACAGGTTTGTCGGTTTTTCGTGCTCCAGACAGTACGTTTGACTTAAATGCTCTTCCGCATCAGGTGGTTCCGTATGCAACTCCCCAAGAATACCGTGCCACCATCGAGCATTGGCCAGAAGAGCCGAACTATCCGGCAGATGGTTTCCCCGACGACGAGGATTCGTCATACGAACATCTTCTTCAACATGGTTCCCGCCCTCGCCCTCCAGAGAGCCCACCCCTAGTTGAGCGCGAGAGCACCCTCGATCGGATTGGGCAAGCCTTTGGTGGCCCCGACCCTTACGCTCCCACTCCCATCGACACCGTTCCTTCTGGGTCGCGTGGTGCGCCTTTCTATGCTCCTCAGCCTCCTCCCAGCGGTCCCCCACACGTCGCTGTGATGTCGAATATGCGCCAAGTGCCGAACCCCGTCCACCCACGAGACGGTCGAGGACACCGACCGGACATGGTCCACCCGTCAGCGTCCTACCCTCCCCGAGGCGACCGGATGGCCCACCCTCGGCGACGAGAACGGGAGCATAGCGAGCCACCCGGATAAGCGTGCGTCTTAACTGTCCTTCTCGCATTCATATAGACAATGAGGGTACTGACGAGGATGCCGCAGCCGGCGCGCGATCATCCTGCGTACTGGACAAGCCGCTCGACCCGCGCGAAGAACCCCCGGTTGTCGTGGTCGTTGAGCAGGGTAAGAACGGGAAGAGGGACAAGTACTATATCATTCCCGGAGGAGCGCCGGTCATATTCGAAGACGCGGCCGGTAATGAGCTCACTCGGTGCGTGGGTCGGGTTCCTGTGTTCCACATCGCGATGGGGGCTCATACAATTTCCGAGAATAGGGTCGGAGACTTCAGCGGCCGTTACCGACCCCCGACACGTCCACGCCCTGTGATTGTCCAAGACCAGTTCGGTCGTGAGATATGCCGGTGCGTTCTTTGAGTTAACCTCCGTGCGCTCTGTAGTTGATCTTCGCGCTTCCTGCAGGGCCGGTTTCAACAACGACGACCGCGTGTCAGTCGGCAGCCGTTCAGTGGACGATTACTCCGAAAGTGGACGATCTTACCAGCGTGGTCGTCCCGCGGAGCGTACTCCTGTAATACCCGGAACGAGGTTCGTCTCTCCACGCTTCCTGCGCGCCGCGATCTCATGTTTCATTTACATAGGGAGAACCGCTCAGCTCCTCATCTCTCCCGTCATGACGCAGCACAACATGGGTCGCGTCGACAAGGCTCGCACCAAGAGTCGCGCCATGGATCGCCTCGGCAGCCCGAGTCATCTCGGACACAAGCGACTCCTACCCCCGGCTCATACGATAGAGATCCACATTACCAGTACGTTTGTCTCGCAGCCAGCTCGGATTTGAATAGCAGCTGACCGTGACTTCAGACCCTCTGGCAGAAGACGCGCGTACACCACGCGCGAAGATATGGCATATGTGGACCCTAGAAGCGCAGATCCAAGGGGACCGCGCAGCGACAGGAGCGGAGGGTACGTTGGCTATCTTAGTGCATTGATGGTTCACGATCGCTCATCTCTGCATAGCTCCAAACATAGCTCGAACGACACACTAGTGCGCGCGACTAGCCCCCGGCACGATGATCGTCACGGTCGCTCAAGGCGAGATTACGTCCCGACTGAGCGAGACTACACCTATCGCCGTGACAATCGTCGAGAGTGAGCATGCTTCTGAAATTCTATGAACAATCTTCCTTCACGCACGCGGACTAACAGGGGTAGTCCACGTTCCGGGTCCTTCAGAGACTCTTCCGATTCCGAGCGCACCACGAGTACCTTGACTGGCACGAGTAACACATCAGACACTTCTCTCTCTATCATTTTAGACACTTCTTTCTCCGTCATTTCCGGGTAGAACGTGTCGTTGAGCAGACATTATGCACTACATGCTATATATGCCCCTATGCCAACCTATGCCCACCCTATGCATCATCGCTTCCCGCCTCTCCTACGCGCACCTTTACCTCTACTACTTCCGCTCCTCCTTTCTGCTGCAACGATGTCGTTTCTACCCAACCGCAGGATCCCGTCCTTGAACGATCCGACGCCCATCTTCATGCCTCGTTCCCTCTTATGACTCGGCTTCGAGCTCGAGGGATCATAAAGAGCCTTCAGCGAAGGGTGATAATTCCCCAGTTGCTTCGCCTGCGGATGTTTCAGCCCAAATCCCGTCGACGCACACGTTCCATGACGAACGCACCTCCTCCAGCTCCTTCTCTCGCCTCTGCTGCTGCTTTTCCAAGAGCCCGTCGCGCACGTGTTTCGCCGCGCGGTTCCGCTCCTTCTGCCTCACCGCCGCCTCCCCCTTGCCGAGCTTCGCGCCTCCCGCGGCCTCGAGGATGCGCCCCGCGAGGGCCTTTTTGCGCTGTGCAGGCGTCAGGTCGAGGTCGTGCTTGAGCGAGCCGGAGAGAAGTTGCGTGTGCACCAGCCGGTGGAGAAGCGCGTCGTTCTGCGCGTTCGTCCTAGGGGTCCGGGGTCCGGTTAGCGTTCCCGTGAAGCGCGAAGCACACGAGGACGGGGCAGATCTCGCGGGAGCGCGGGGTGGGTGGGGTGAGAGAACAGGACGCGGAAGTTTTGGCGCAGCGGAGGGCTGCCCCCCCCAGAACCGAGAGGGAGACGGCACTCACAGATCGTCCTCATCATCCGCAGAGCGCACTTTCTGCTTCTGGGAGGGTTTCGCCGCGTCCTCGGTTAGCTTGGTGACTTTCGAGGACTGTGACAGGGCGCGGTGAGTCGCTTGCGGGACGATCAACCGGCAATGGGTTGGCACACCATGAAGCCCGTTTTCGACGCTCTGGTGACAGCGGAGGATCTGCCCGCCTCCGAAAATACAACGACGTCGGGCTGGGGGGCACACGACTCGTATGTGAAGTCGTCATCTGTTGACCGTCGGCATCGAACGATGAACCGAGACATGCGGACAGACCGCGTACCGTCATCCTCTGGCTCGTCGGTCACGCCTTCGCTATCCTCGTCTTCTCCCTCCGCCTCGCTCGAGGTAGAGCGTTGAGTGATCCCTGCCCACTCTTCTTCTTCAGAAGCCTCTTCCACACGCTTCTTCTTGCTGATCGCCCTATCGAGGGTGGAGTGGGGTCCTTTTTTGCGCTTCCCAACGACGGTGGTAGTCTCAAATGACTGCAGGAACTGTTGTCCATGAGCCTCTAGGACCTTGAGCAAATCTTGGTCCGGCATTTCCGACACGTCATTTGCTACTGGGATTCAAAATTACCGCAAAGCGAGAATTCGACGAGGGAGATCTGGAGCAGAGTGCTGTGAGTGAACGATTGAGGGTTGGTTCAGACCTCCGACCCTTTGGACTTCGGCGGCCCGGAAACCCACGTTAGGGTTAAGAGTCCAGTGACATTAGCCGATGCGGCCAGTCCTTCCCTCTGATTCTACTTGTCGATTGCCCTGTTTACACTCAGCATTCTCCATGTCGCAAAGCAGGAAGCGAAAGAGCAACCCCAAGATACCCCTTGAGCGGCCTAAAGCTCCCGAGACACCCCTTGAAAAGCCACTTGTCGACATCTCAGAGTCGGAACAGTGGCGAATCATCAAAGAGTCAGGCATCCTCAAGCAGATTCCGACTGCCCCAGACGGCACACCCAGAGCAACAGAGGGGAGTGACGAGGAGGGGAAGTTGTCACCATGTGCAGAAGAGCTCTTCAATGCAACCATGCTCATCATCCCGATGTCGTTCATGTTGTTGCTCATGGACATGTAGCCCTCCCCTGGCTGTTCTCGGCAGTTATTGAGGCTTTGTGTTTCTCCCGTAGACTAGTGCATCATCAATATGGAAGACGGCCGGACTATTGGCAAATATTCACCCAAAGGCTGGTACCAGGGATACCGAGTACGTCGCCTGTGTCCAGTTACTCATGCCAGTATTCATGTCGAGGTCGCAGTCCTTTCAATATTCATTTTCTACAGTGAGTCACCTGTATTCCTACCAGTGCCTTTGGAGCGCTGACAGCATACAAAGCCAACCGTTACAAGTCCGTGAAATGGATGCAGGCTGCGTTCTTCGTGGTCGCGTGTGTTTCTGGCAGTCGCCTTGTTTGGCTGATCAATCGAGGGAATTGGCTCGTAGTCATGCAGCAGGTGTGTACGCTTATCATACACCATGAACATCTCTGAAACGTAGACGAAATCTTGTCGCAGAGTCCGCCGACGGCTACGGCTTGGATCTACGGGGTATTACAGCTTGATCTGTTACCGTCAGTGGTGAGTTTGGGAGGCGTGGTAGCGTATAGCTACTGGAATAGCTGAAGATGATGCCTTGAATCGCATGAGTTAATCCCACACGGACATCGGGCACGGGAATATATTAGCAGGTCGTTGTGATTTCGACATAATTTATGTACACAGAGAGTCAAAGCTCGGGAATGTGTGCTTGACAATACGCCGCAGTACGTGTTGTGTTCTTCGACACGAGCAGCACCTTTTACAAGCACGGGGGATTCGGTAGAGACGAAGTTACCCCGGACGCTGAGAAGTCTACAGACATCCAGATCGTTGTATGCTCAATCATACGCCACTAAGCGGGTTGGGGCTTTGACCCGTAGGGCACCTTGTATGAGCAACGGTTTGCATCACACGAGGCGAGTTCAAGGAAATCCACTGGTGATACAACCGTCAGCGAGAGCAGTGATAGGGTTACAGCAAAGAATATAATATCAATGTCCTTCGGATTCGTCCAGTTCCTTTGCAAGCGACTCGACCTTAGTCTGTAAAACCGACAGTCAACATTCGTTGGATCAATTGTGACTCATACAAGCGTACCCGATAGTTCTTGCTCCGACCTTCCAGATGCACTCGGAGGGCTCCCAGCTGCCAACGAAGCCGCCTTCCAACTTTCGTTCGAATGGTATCTTGATGTCGATCCAACCGTTCAACGAACGCTCTGTATACGCGATCATCCCTGGCAAAGTAGTATGTCTGCCCAAATAGATGAATAAAGCTCTTCTCTTGACATGAGCGCATAACTCACGGGCATTGGGTCGTCTTGTACGTATTGCAATATATTGGACCACGCGGCCATCATTACAAGGTCCGCGGTAGCGTTGGCAATGCTGTACAAAATCAGCTTAGAGAGTACGTTGGCTTTCAGAAGAGAAATACCGACTAGTCTTCAAGAGTGGCGATGAAATGAGCCTTGCCAAGATTGTTCGTCGCGAAGCTTCGTACGGCAGCTTCAGCGGCATGGACAGCTTTCCCGTCCACGCCTTGCCTGAGTGCAGCTGCGATGTCGCCAGTTTGTAGCGTTAACCACGAGTCGCCCTCGCTCATGATGAGGGTCTGCAAAAACGAGGCGATGAGGTCTTTCTGGGATTTCTGCAGCCCGTAATCGATAGCTATCTTCAAATTTACTCCTGTAAATAGTGTGACCGCATATTCAGAAACTGTATCTGAGAGTGGCCACGTACTCAGCATCTTCAACATCTTCTTGGTTTCCGGTTTCTCAAAGTCCTCGTCATTGAGGTTGTTAATATACCGGGAAAATGCGCCAAGTAGCACGATGGCAATGTCGGTGGCCTCTATCCGCATGGCATGAATAAGAGGAGTGACATCGCCTGATTTCTTAACTAGACTCTAAACTATATCCGTTAGTGGAACAATTATAGGACGTAAGTCAATGACGAACCTCGAAAGACCTGTCGCGGACATCCATAAGGAACATGATGTCCTTCCTTTCTATGGCGCGCATAATCTCAAAGGGCTACGCACGAACGTATGAAAAGGATATATCGCTTCAGGAAACTTCGCTTACTTCACCTCAGGAGGTTTCCAAGGAGAACTACCGGTTCGCCTTGAGGTTTCGCGTAGCATTTTCGCAGCTTGAATGGCAGAAGGTAGTATGTCCAGTACAGACTTGCGTTTCACATTTGGGCTGGTCTTGGGAGAACTTGAGGTCGACGCAGCGTCCTGTTCCTGCTCATCTTCTGAAGGCTTGGCGAGAGCGATCTCCAGAGCCTTCCGCTGTCGTTTCAGCTCTGCTTCAAGAGCTCTCGGAGCTTCTATGTCGCCTCACGCCGCAAAAATGCTTGAGATGTGTTTGCTTAAGATGTGTTGGGCCCTCTCGCTGATACGTACAGGAGGAACAGTACTCACCCGTTGAAGGCAGACGCGCTGGAAGGCAAGGATTCGGAGGGGACCTGTCTCGAGGAGGGCTCGCGCGTGTTAAAGGAGTAGCAAATTCGTCCAGGGATTGTCTCCGTGCCAGGTCGACGACCACCTGAACATGGTTGAACATTGGAGGTGGAGGACAGGGTGTTGAAACGGGGAGAAGGTCTAGTAGGTCCACAACAGCCTAGAGAGCCGCTTTTGTCTGGCGTGGCGGCACAGGTGATGATCTGGACCAAGCTGCGGAGGCATTCACAATGACTAGGGATGGAGAGGACAGCGTGGACAGTGATATCTCGATGCAGCCTGAGGACGTGGAGAGGAAACTCGGCCGTCAGTTGACAGTGCCTCAGTGGCTGCAACCAGCACTGCGGCGGCCCGGCGCGAGCACTCGATGCCACTTCACCGCCGGCGGCCCTCGGGGCTGCTCACTCTTCCTCCCTGCCGTTTACATGTTCCGGTCTGCTGCTCGTTTCTGTAGAACTCCCCCGTCGTCCCGGACATTCTTCACCAGCTCGACCCTCCGCGCTCAAGCCTCAAAGCCAGCTCCCGCTGCTGAAGATGCACCAATTCTTCATTTCGTGAGGAAGAAAGTACAAGAGCGGGACAAACTTCAGTCTGAGGTATACCTGCCGGTCTGAAATCAAGAAGGCTGATTGAAAGTCGTTGATGCAGCTTTCCGAAAATGCCTTGACCGACGAAGACGTGAAGCGAGTGAGGCGAATACGTGAGCTGGAACCTCTGAGCGAGGCGTTCGCTACATGGACGAGAGCCAAGGAGGTCCGTGCTCATTGCTCTTCTCGCGCGTGCGTACTTTAAGTACGTTTTCAACAGTAGTCGTTAGAGGAGACGACTCCTTTTCTCCATGATCCCGACACCACAATGAAGAGTATGGCTGAAGAAGAGTACGCCACGCTAACGAAGACTATGTCCAAGTTGGTAGAGGACACGTTCCCCGCTCTTCTTGTGCCAGCTTCCAAGACCTCCCATCTTTCCGCCATCCTCGAGATTCGCGCAGGCGTAGGAGGATCAGAGTCCGCACTTTTTGTTGAAGATTTGATCGGGATGTACACTGGCGCCACACACTCCATGGGCTGGAGCCTCACAGTGCTCAATGCGAATCCTCTTGACGCAGGGGCATCAAGGACGCCATTGTAGAGGTCAAAGGCGAGGGCGCATACGACGCTCTGCGATGGGAAAGTGGCGTCCATCGGGTGCAGAGAGTACCGGCCACCGAGTCGAACGGGCGAGTTCATACAAGCACCGTCAGCATCATGGTAAGGCACACTCCGCCATTGTACTATTCGTCCCACTCACGCGGATTGCAAGACTCTGCCTTTGATCGAAGAATCCTCTTCGAAGAATCCTGATGACGAGCTCTTCAAAATGGACGATGTCCGGATCGAAGTTATGCGGGCTAGGGGGGCTGGTGGGCAGGTGAGCATCTGCTCCGAGTGTACCACACGTTTTTTGACGTTTCGCTCGTTCTCAGCATGTCACAAAACGGAATCAGCCGTTCGCCTCACCCATGTACCCACGGGTATTACTGTGTCTATGCAAGACGAGCGGAGTCAACATCAAGTGAGCAGTTGCTTGTGTCAGTTGTCTACAGGATGCTCACAGTGCCGCAGAATCGCAGACGAGCTTTTCAAGTGCTCCGTGCGCGCCTCATGGACCGAAAGTTGAATGAAGACATGGTTCAGCGGCGAGAAATGCGCCGCAGTCTGGTTAGCAGTGCAGACCGAAGTGAGAAAATCAGGACATATAACTACGCCCAGGTAAGCTACATTCAGCTGTCTCGCCAGTGGTTTAACATAGTCGTAGGACCGAATCACAGATCATCGGATTGTATGTCCATCAAGAACCTACCCTTGGTCATGGAGGGAGACGGTTTTCATGTCCTTTTAAGAGCTCTTCAACAACGCCACGATGAAGAACTGTTGGAGGACGTGTTGTCGGAACAGTAAACGTCCGCCGTTGTCGCGCTTGGTAAATTACAACCTACAGTATAATTCCCATATCTACCCGTCTTGATAATTTCACTCCCCACGCATCTGGCCCTTTCTAATGGCTTGTGTGATTTATGATAGCGTACTGGGATTCCGTGCGATTAAATGAGATCCTCATGTGTGCCGGGTATGTTGATTCAAACAAGCGCTTGTAATCTTATGACGGTGCCACAATGATTCGGAGCGCCGAGTCCTTGCTGCAACCACTTGAACGCGAAACCCCAACCATTCGCCAGTCCTCGAGATTTCTCGTATATAACGTTGGTAAGATCCAGACTCTGGATATATGATTACCGCAGCATTCATGTTATCCTTCACTTTTGCAGGTTCGTTGCTCATACCCGCTACCGTCTGGCGACTCAGCCTGTGTCTCATAGGCTACATAGCATGCTTGGTATTTGGAAAGACGCAGAAGCCGCTGCTTCATCTACTTCAAACTCAAGCAAGGGCTCGCCAAGGGCTCATGAAAATGAATATCCCAGCAAAAAACGGAACATCACGCCCTCTTCCGCTTCCCCCGAGTCACATGGATTACCACGCCCAGCGACCAGTCCGGAGGAGTATACACAGAGGTGACGCAAGGAAATGGTAGGTTCGGATGATGAGTGGCTATTACTGATACCTCATTGTTCATAATAATCGTTTTGTAGCAATCGTCATCATCGAGAGCCTTGAAGGTATGCCAAGTAGGAGAGGCTTTGTCTGTGCAACTCTAACAATTTTTCGCAGAAAAGATGCGCATGTTCAGAACAGCACTCGGTCAGAGCATCGTCATTCGTCAAACAATAGCAAATACTGGGAGTCATCGTATCATTCTTTTCGTAGTCGAGTGAGTACCACTGCTGTTTGGTCAAACTTTTCTGCTGGTCAATCTCACGCAATCAATATCAGTGACGATAATTCCATCGATCAATACGCCGCAGCGCTAGAGAGCATGGACTTCACAGTCGGATCTTACACGCTCCCCATGCATACATCTGGTCAGAACCAGTGGCCCAATGTCATCTTCAACGACATAGTTGTCGTGCCTGCCAATGCAAGTGCCTTCTCCTACCCGGTCTCATAGCCATCCTCAGTTACGACCGAATTCTACAGATGTTGCTTCAGGCTCTCGAGGACGGCAACGTTAAGCTCTCTCAAGCTCATCTCATCGTAATCAGCGATGCACAGCGCGTAGTCCCGATGGTCAATCCCCACCCAGTTCTGCGCATAGTGTCAGAACATTACTACGCCAAGACGACAGATCGTCCTCGAATCCTGGCCACACTTACAAGCCCACCAGACCGCTGGCAACACATAGACTTGCAGCACCTTGAGCAATCTCTGGATGCACGGTCGTTCTTCCTCGTCACGAAATCCCTCGATTCTTGGTTCGGTCCAATGGAGCTCGTCACGGAGTATGATTCGCTTGGTCCCCTACCTAAGGACAGTCCACTATCCTCCGACCTGCGAAAGGCAGATCCAAACGGGGTCGTTCTCAAGGACCACCACTTCCAATGCGCCGGCCGCATTTTCTCACAACTCGGGAATCACGCCACCAAGCTCTACTGGCGAAGCGTCTACGATGAAGTCTCCCGTTCCCCCGATGATGAGGTGACGCTCACGAAGATGGACGTTCTAACGAACATGATGGGCGAGTCGTTGAACATCGACATAGCTTCCCCCGCGTTCAATACTACTCCAAAAATGGTGACGCTGTTGCAGATCCTACAGACATGTGCCCAATACGGAGACAACTTCCGCGGTGCGATCTTTGGTCAGTGTCTTGGTTTCAAAGGTAAACACGATGGCTAACTCGTCTTGCAGTCAATGATGCCCTTGTGGCGGACAAGTTGACGGAACAACTCAACTCAAACCCCGGGAGATTGTCTTTTATACACGCCTCCACCGTGCGTAAGGGTCAAGAGGTACGAAATACCTCTCTGCGCGATCCTATCCTAACGCCCAACAGAATGACGTTCTCGGAGCCTTCGATGCTGGAGATTACAACCTCCTCGTCCTCACAAGATCGTTCGCAGACACCGATTCCTTACAATGTTCCGTTGTCATCTGGTGCGCTCTCTTACATATATTTCTTCGCATCACCACTTAACAAGACCACACAGTTTCGATCTGTTTAGCGACCATCTATTATATGCATATGGACAAATTCACAGCAAAGGTCGCCATTCACATCTTATACATATGGTTGAAAAGGGCAACAACGAGCACAGAAACCTTCTCGCACGTCTTCTAAGCATCGACGGCGATCTCAAAACTTGGATCGCAAACGCGGCTCATGGTACAAGCAGGGTGCCTCCAAGAAGTACATGGATCAGCACAGATCCTTACAAGTCAGAGGATGAACAACACGCCAAGAATGAAATAGTGGATCCTACAACTGGCGCAAGAGTGGACAAAGCAGAAGCCGTCACCGCGATGTATCGATACATAGCAGAAGTTGATGGCCCATGCTCCCCGGTGAGATCAACGTCTCACTAACCGTGGAAGAGGGGTCGGACAGCGAAGAAGGGCTCTATAGGTACAAACTCTCATTCCCACCCCAAACAACGCTACCAAGCTACATTGGTCCCTACTGTCTCACGAAGTGGGAAGCCCGCCGAGAAGTCTGCTATCAAGCCTGCAGTGAGCTCGCCAGCGTCGGTCTCCTGTCTCACCGCCACTTCCCTCACCCCCGCACCCCGATACTCACCTCCGAGCCGAACCCGACCTCGCTCACCCCTCTCACCCCGGTCCAGACCGCCAACACCTCGGCGCAGACGCACGGCTACCCCCGCGCGACGCCCACCTTCTGGCGCCACCCCCTCCCCTCCCCGTCCGACCTCTCCGCGGAGCCGACGACGCTCTACCCGACCGTGCTCGTCCCGGACTCCACCTCCACCGGCGCCGCGCACGCTCCCATCGCGCTCCTCACGCGCGCGCCGCTGCCCCCGCTCGCCGGCCTCGCGCTCTTCCCGACGGCCACCGCACGGACGTGCACGCGGAGCGCGCCGCGCCGCTCGTCGTCTCGCCCGCGCAGCTGCGCGACCTGCACGGGTACACGCTGCGCGCGACGCGCTCGCTCACGAACAAGCCGTTCGACTGCGGCTTGGGAGGCCTGCTCGCGTACGTCGCGCCGCTCGCGGGGAGTGGCGCGCGACGAGGGACGCGCGCTGGCCGCTGCCGCAGCTCGCCGCGCACGTCCCGTGGGACGCGGTGCGGCTCGCCGCGGACTTCTTCGCCGTCCCCGTCCTCGGGGCGCTGGGGCGCTGGGGTCGAGGGGCTGGACGAGATGCTGCAGGACGCGATTGTGATCGACCGGAAGGTCGAGCATACGCTGCGGCACTTTGTGGTGAAGGTGAGGCACGACTTGACGCCGTCGAGCAAGGCGGAGGACAGCCCGGTAAGTGTTTTCGAAGAATGTGGTATGTCGGGGCGTTTGATGAGACGGCATGCACAGCGGGAGGCAGAGTTCTCTAGCTTCTTGGAGTACTGCAAGGCGCGACGCAAGGACTTCCAGGGCCTCGAGTACGACAACCAGCCCATGATTGAAGTCAGCGCAGTACCCAGTGCCGCCAACCTGCTGCATCCCACCGGGAACGGCCCAACTACCCCAACGGCACACCCCTTGAAATGTACGACGCCGCCTCACGCCGCTTCGCTCGCGCTGACATCTCCGCAGACCTCATCCCCGAGTTCGCCTACAAGTTCACAATCCCCGCCAGGTACGCCCGCCCACCTCCTTGACTCCCTACCACCCCCTCACCCTCCCCCCAGCACCTACCGCACGCTCCTCCTCCTCCCCTCCCTCTCCGACAAGCTCGACGCGCTCCTGCTCACGAAGGAGCTCAACGCGCGCCTCCTCCACGGCGCCGCGCTCGAGCCCCTGCTGCTCGCCGCGCTCTCCGCGCGCGCGGCGTGGACGGACGCCAACTACGAGCGCCTCGAGTTCCTCGGCGACGCCTTCCTCAAGGCGCTCGCGTCCGCGCACGCGTTCGCCGCCGCGGCGCCGGGCACGGGCGTCGGCGCGCTCCACGCCGCGCGCAAGGACGTGGTGAGCAACCGCGCGCTGCGCGCGGGCGCGACCGCGGTCGGCCTCCCGAGCTTCGTGCGCCACAAGCGGTTCGTCGCGAAGATGTGGCACCCGCCCGTGCGCGGGGAGGGCGCCGCCGCCGCCGCCGCGGTAGGAGCGGAAGTGCTGGATGCGGGCGCGGGGTTAGGGAGCGCGCAGAAGGACGAGGATGGGGACGTGAAGATGGAGGACGCGGAGGCGGTCGGAGGGAGAAGAAGGGCGGGAAGGACAAGGGGAAGCGGTCGAAGAAGCAGCGGCAGCTCGAGGAGCTCAACACGCTCTGGATGGGCGACAAGGTGCGCCCTCTGTCCGTCCTTTCGCTTTGTGGAGCGCTTTAACGGGCAGCGGGCTCCCCCCAGATCGTCGCGGACGTCGTCGAGGCGATCCTCGCCGCCGCTTTCCTCTCCGCCGGCCACGAGGGCGGGCTGCAGGCCGCGCGCAGCCTGCGCGTGCCGCTGCCCAACGTCGCACAGTGGGGAGACTTTGCGCGCATCCTGGCGCAGAACGACGCGGGCGCGCGGGGCAAGGCGGTGAGCAAGGGCGACGAGAGCATGCTTGGGGCGAAGGGGTTGGTCGAGCAGGCGCTCGGGGTGACGTTCGTAAGAACGGATTTGTTTGTGCAGGCTTTGGTGAGGATTCCGTTCGAACTACCAGAGATTATGGAGTTGATGATGAGGTTCAGACGCATGTGTCCATTGGACACGGGCAGGATTATGAAAAACTGGAGTTCATGGGCGATGCAGTGCTCGACTTTCGTGAGTACTTCCCTCAATGCGTTTGCATTGGTATTAAACTGTAGGAACCAGTTGTCTCGAGGTACATCTGGGAACGGCACCCATGGCTCTCCCCGGGAGGACTCTCTCTGCTCAAAGTCTGTCCTCTTTTCTTCTCCACGTCTTGCTCCACTTCCTGACCCCACCCATCAGGCCGCGATGGTGTCGAACCACGCGCTCGCCGCCTTCTGCGTGCACGCGAACCTGCACCACCACATCCGCTTCGAGTCGCCTGACTTGCGCGACGCGATTGAAAAGTACGTGGGCGCGCTTGGCGCGCTCCGCAAGAAGGAGTACACGAGCGCGGAGAGCGAGCAGCGCCTGCCCGGGCAGTACTGGCTCGAGCTGCCCATGGAACCGCCCAAGGTGCGTCCTTCCCTCCCTCCTTCCTCTTTTTTTCCCTTTAGGAAGATGATGACGAACGCGCGGGGGCCAGGTGCTCTCGGACGTCGTCGAGGCGCTCGTCGGGGCGCTCTACGTGGGCGACAACTTCTTCGAGCCCAGCGTCGGTCGCTTCTTCGACGGCGCGTTCCGGCAGTTCGTCGAGGCGCACATCCGGCTCCAGACGCTCTCCGCGAACCCGAAGGCGACGATTCTCGAGCTCCTCCAGGCCGAGGGCTGCCAGGAGTGCGCGGTCGTGAAGCGGCCGTCGGTGAAGGCGAGCGGCCCGGTGCAGATGGAAGGTGCGTGGCCGGGTCCGCCGGAGATTGTGCGGCTGGCTGACGGAAAGGGGCGGGGACAGTGGTGATCCACGGCAAGGTGCTGGCGAGCGCGACGGACGCGTCGGCGGCGGTCGCGACGCGGCAGGCGTGCATGGCGGCGCTGGACACGCTCGCGACGGACCCGGAGCTGCTGGCGCGGACATGCGACTGCAAGGCGGTTCCGCCGGCAGGGGCGAAGGTGGGCGACGGAGACCGGGCGGCTTCGAAGATGAAGGAAGAGCCCGAGTAGCGCCCGGATCATTTTCGCTGGCTGTGGCTTTCGAATGCAGAGACACAGGTCGGACGTCGAACGGGGGATGCTACAACGCAGAAGAGCTTGCCCATCTATATTCTAGAGGTATACGCGCATCTACAAATATGGTGTGTAGGTAGAGTAGTCTAAGCCGAGAAGGGCACGGGACCTCTATGACGACTTGGACCTACAAGAGATCATGAGACCTGGGCTCGCAAGAAGCACACGGCGACTGAATGGGACTCACATCTGGTAGTAAGCCGCGACGAAGGGGACGGCGAAGCCGGTGGCGAGGTAGACGAAGACCTTGGCACCGAACGCGGTCTTGTTGGAGTAATTGAAGGGAACGGCCTGGACAAATGTTGGTCTCGTTGGTGACGTGTCGCGCGCTCGAGCTGCTCGAGCCACTGACCTGCTCGCTGTGCATGGAGCGCACGGGGGCGGCGCGGGGCGCGCGGAGGGCGACGTGGCGGAGGGGGGCGGCGGAGCGGGCGAGGATGGACATGGTGTTACAGGCGAGGGTGGGCTGTGTCTGCCCCCCAGTCGCGCAAGGGCTCAAGTACTCGAGCAGCCGATCGTTTCGGCCAGCATCGGACGCGGGCGGAACAGCCAGTCCCGTTTCTCGTCCCGAGCCAATCCCCGACGCGCACGCTGCGGGCCAATCGCGGCCGCACGGCGAGGCGCCGGCGCGGTTTGCTCTCCTCCGCCGTCTCGATGACGTCGTCCACTGTGCTTTGGCCCGACTCGGTCTCGCCCACGCCCGGCATCTGCTACGGATGGGCGAGTCCTCTGCTCTGCGTGGCCGGCATCTTGCCTCTTGCCACTCGTGAGGTTCGAATACCCACCTGTTGTATGCGCTCTCGCTCATGTAGAACCTGATCCCAGGAGGCGCAGGGTGTCCTGCAACAGGTAATGACCAGCGCCCAATGGCGCGCTGTTCGCTCCATGTTCTCCTCCGACCCTCTCGTGCTCGGCCGTTGTGACGCTACGGCCAACCGCGACGCCTCGCACCAAGATGCTTTGGCCGCATCGCTCTCTCTTGACCGTGGTCCTATTGGCAAGTTGGCCTGTCCTTCACTGCATGCCAATGCTATACAGCATTGACCGGCCTGGACAGATGAACACAATCTTGTGATGTACGGCCGACATAAACGCCAGTCCATGAGGTTCTACGCGTTCGATTTCAACGAGCTCGACATCCTTCCGTCCCAGGGAACGGATGACGGGGCTTCCTCCCACCAATCTCCAACTGACGGCTACCTCAGCATGGACCCAACTCGCTTACACTCCCCTTCGACTCGCAAGAGCCACGTCTTCGATGGCGAAGTTTTGTCTCAGGTAAGCACTCGGTAAATCATCCTGAAAAGGCCATCCCCATCTTGACGTATCATCCAGGTCAACCTGGCCCAATTTCTTGCAGCACTCGTAGAGCGCGAAGCAAAGACTGCGGAGATACCTCCTAGTATTCCCGGGACACCCGATCCCAACACTCACCGTGGCTCAATGCCACTCAAGGTGGGGGAAACAGCTCATCGATCTGTCCCATTTCGCAGCGCTCAGGGATTTCTGAGCACTGCCTATCGATTTTCGAGGATGATCTCCACCACAGGTGAGTGGTGATATCGACTGCCTGTAATCCAGTATCTGAGCCGTGCCTAGTGGAACAATTTGATGTTCGGTACGAACAAGGCGTATACGTATATGGCGAGTCGCCCAACGTCTATCACGACAAAGCGCGTACAGTCCAGTCCATATCGAAGTACATAAAGTACGCCTCGGTCTACATTTTACTCTGGTCAGTGGCAGTAACTTGTTTGATACTCTCAGGTTCCACAACTGCGTCTGGCTTGTATTGAACGACGCGATCATTGGCGTTGCGTTCGGGACTTTCCTCTGTGAGAACCAATACTTTCTCGCACGATGGCTCCAGTACGGGCTCCGTGTGAGCAACGGTTGTATCATATATTGGCTTTGACTCACAACATCCCTCAGATATACTTGGTTGACGGCATGGAAGACGCTCTGCTTTGGCTCAACAACTGGCCCGCAGGTCTCAAGCTCAATACTGAGTTGAGCCAGTTCTACTGCCACTCCCTGATCGGCTTTGTCTCTGCTTGGGGATGTAAGTCTTCTGTCTTTCGTAGGCTTTGCCGATTTCACGCAACCTTGTCCAGGGGTCCTATCAGCCATTGCGCCATACTTCCCGGCCCTCATATGGCTCATCGGCGCTGCAGGCTGTCTCGGGATGACCACCATCGTCTCCCTACTGTCGGACGCGCTCAGCCTGCTCACCGCGCACCTCTACTTGTGCTACTTCATCTCCGCAACAGTCTTCAGTCAACAGCTGAGCCTCGCCGGCTCGTTATGGAACCTCTTCCGAGGCGAGTAGTTCCCCACCCTCTGACCTTTTTCCCCGCTCACCTAACCCACCCATGTACAGGCAAGCGATACAATGTCCTGCGGAACCGGATCGACAGCTGGGATTACGACCTCGATCAGCTACTGCTCGGCACCATCCTCTTCACCCTCGTCGCGTTCCTGTGCCCCACAGTGCTCACCTACTACGCCCTTTTTGCAACGGTAAGCACAACAGTCTGAATATACCCCTGAATGCAAGTATAAATTCTATGAGGAATGCAGGCAAGGCTCACAGTGATTGTCGTCCACGCCGGCTTGGACACACTGACGGCGCTGCTCAATCACTTCCCTCTGTTCGCTTTAATGCTACGGGTAAAGGACCCGTTGCGCGTGCCAGGTACGAACTGTGTGTAAGGATATCCGCGCAGAGCCTAATTCACGTTGCAGGGGGAGTGTGCATACAGCGGTCCGCCAAGGGACCGCTCATCCTATCTGTGAGTAGAACCACCCACATCCGTCTGGCGGAGAGGCTCATCCATTCCCTTGCAGAGCCAGCCCGCGCCCTTGTCGTCCATCTTCAGGCATTACGGTAAGACTGTGTCTTACATTCTCTCCCTTTTGCTGACAACATTTTGCCGGTAGCACATCTCGCCGGGCGACTGGCGGGGCACTACCACCCTGTGCGGATGCTCCGGCACCTCGCGTCTGGCCGTCTACTTCACCCCATCCCGCGCTCGGATATCCGGTACAGCATGATCCCCTCCCCGAGCGAACACATCCCTCGCGGAACATAATTGTAACATAATATAAAAATCTGGATGGAGACAGCGCCACGCGTGACTGAGCAGAATGGGCGTATTTAGTCCGCCAACTGTGTGTCGATCAGAGGCAAAAAGTATCTCTGTATTCCTTTCGCGGTATTCGTCTTCGTCCTGGCAAAGGCTGCGCGGTCCGTATCTCGGACTTTTTTGGCCGACCGAATCGCGAGACAAGCGCAGGACGTCCTGGCCGACCGCCAGCTCGCGAATACCAAGGCTCGCCGTTCGTCATTTGTAAGAACGTACAAGACGAGAGGTTGTGGCACAGAGTTTTTATTGCGCTTCGTGTCGAGTGAGATGGTATAGTGGTACATTGACGCAAGAAAACGGCCCCGTTTAGATCGACGCCCTCTGCGAGACACGCTCCTACTCTTCCTCCACCGCGACCGACGCGTCGGTCTGCTCCGCGGTCGCGGTGATGTCCGCCTCGGACAGCCGCCAGATGCGCACGCTCCCGTCGTCCGAGGACGACACGAGCCGGTCGCTCCCGGGCGCGAACGCGAGCCCCGTCACCTTGTCCTGGTGGCCGTTCATCGACGGCAGCGCGCGCCCGGTCGCCGTCGCCCACGCGAGCACGGCGTTGTCCCCCGCGCTGCTCGCGACGACGCGCCCGTCGGGCGAGAACTTGACGGCGTTCACGAGCGTGTCGTGCCGGTCGAACGCGTGCACCTGGTGGCCGTCGAGCGAGTCGCAGATCTTCACCGTCGCGTCGTTGCTCGCGGAGAGGAGCTGGCGGCCGTGGACGGGCGCGAACGCGACCGCCCAGACCGGCCCCTGGTGCCCGCCGACGATGACGAGCTCCTTCCCGTTGCTGGTGTCCCAGACGCGCGCGGTGGTGTCGTCGGAGCCGGTCGCGACGCGCGCGCCGTCGGGCGCGAACGCGAGCGACCAGATGACGCCGGTGTGCGCGCGGAGGACGTGGAGCGTGGCGCCGGTGGGCGCGTCCCAGAGGCGCGCGGTGTAGTCCGCGGCGGCGGAGCCGACGAGCGCGCCGTCGGGCGAGAACGTCGCGCACATGACGATCCCCGTATGGCCCTCGAGCGCGTGGAGGAGCGTGCCCCGCGCGGCGTCCCAGATGCGCGGGAAGGAGTCGATGGTGGTGGTCAGCAGCCGCGTGTTGTCGCTCGAGTACTGCAGAGTCTGCACGGCGCCGAGGTGCTTGGGCTCGAGCACGACCACGATCATGCGTGTGGCGAGGTCCCAGAGAAGCGTGACGCCGTCCTGACCGCCGGATGCGAGCCGCTCGCTGTCGGGCGAGAATGCGACGGCCCAGAGGGCTTCCTTGTGCCCGCTGAGCGTCGCGACTGGGTCGCCCGTGTTGCCGTCACGGAGGATAATCTCGTTGTCCTCCGCACCGGAGGCAATTAACAGCCCGTCGGGGGACCAGGCCACACATGTCACGCCGCCCGTGTGCTCTTGGAGGACCACGCCTGGCGGGGCCGCTGCGCCCTGCACCATCGACACGGCGCGGATCTGCGCCTGGTCTTCGTCCTCTTTCGTGTCTTCATTCTTGGAATCGGAGGGGTCACCCGGTGCAAACGAATCGTCCTTCTGCTTGCCCGCGCCTGTAGGGGTGACCTTAGCGTACAACGAGCGGACCCGAAAACTTTGGATTGATCTTACGTTTCACCCCGTCGAAGAACCCTTCCTCATCAATGTCATCGAGCTCGTCCGCCCATTCGGCGATCGCGAGGGTTGCAACTGCGAATTGAGGTTACACGGGCACCGCATTAGTTTGGGATATGCTCACCTTGTCTTTCATCGTCTACGAACAAGATCGGCGGTTTCATTTTGGCAAGCGCAGCCTCGAGGTCATCCGGCACATCGCCTTCCTGCAAGAGCACGATGTGAGCAAATATCATAAGAGGGCCCAAGCGACGAGGAACATACGAAGAGCTGATATACGTGTTGGTCACAAGCGATGGCGGTGTCAACTTCGGTACCGTCCTGCTAGCGTTCAGTGCTTCGTGCGGAGACAACTGACGAACAAACGGGCACACCTCTACTGGATATGTGAGTATGTAGTCCAGAAGAATGCCGACCGGATCGTACATCTTGACCCTTGCACGTCAGAGATAGGTGATGTGAAAGATGCTGGGACGCACCGGATCGATCGCTGGCTCTTGAACCGCAATGTAGTCATCGTCGGGTTGACTGGGAACAGGAAGGTCGTCTTGCCCTTCGCGATCATGAGGTTCCCGTTCATCTGGGCCCGCGGCGGCTTTCCACGCTTGCTTGTACACCCATATACGCCTTTTGACCCTCCAATAGTGCAAAAATATGGCCTGGTCGCTCAGACCATTCGGGTTGCTGGAAGTAGAAGGACTCGCGCCAATTGAGCTGGGGCCTGCCGGAGCCGCATCGGCGACGAGGTTTGGTGTTGGAGGGGCAGACGACGTGTTTTCGTTCCTCGGTTTGATTCGTGTCTCCGCGTACGGGCCTCTGTCGGACGACGCGGAGACGCTGAGACTGCCGGTGATGAATGGCATCTGGGCCTGGAAGCTTACTTCTCCACTTTGACCTCTGTACACGAATGCACCGAGGCCCCAGTCATTCGTCTTGATGAAGCCTGAGATGAAAGTCAAGTCTTGGGGCTTGAGGTCGATGTCGACATGCTCCGAGGTCGCGAACTGGTACCATTTGTCGATATTGGTCAACAGGTAACGCGCAAAGCGCTTGCTAGGGTGCAGCTGGGTGCGGACTGGAGGGGCATCGACGAAGATAAACGCGCCCTGCTCATTGGAGCATCTAAACTTCAGTCCGGCTCCAATTGGCGTGGCATTGCTGGAGGACTGGTTATTGAGTTTAGGAAGAGCTCGAGTGACGACAGACCGTACCTCGCCACTGATCCTTCGAGGCCAAATGCGGTGACAGAGCGACTGCAAAGGTGGGACACGAACATGGCATTGGTTCTGTGCACATGCGTCGGCCTGACCTCCCAAGGAGTGTAGTCGTCTGGAATACCGTTGACTTGCTTGACCTCCTTTGACATGGTGGCGTTGAACAGCGTAAAGAATCCACCTGAAAACATGTAGCCCACATCTCCCAGCTGGACCTCTCCCATCTCCTTAGGCTCAGGAAGCCAAAGGGGAAACCCGTGTCCACGAAGGAATAGCTGCTTGGAATAGATGTTGTACGCGACCTCTCCATCGCCGCCGCCTTGCATCGAGGTCCTATCCATGGTGGCAAGTGGCGGCTGGTGGCGGACTGAGAGAGAGGTGTGTGTGGACCCTGATGGAGGGCGATAGAACCCACTGGCAGCCGCCCGACCTGCTCACACGCCGTATTAGGTTTGCACGCACCGTCCCAGCGCCCGAGGACGCCCACTGACGCGCACGAGGCACCCACTTCGGTACGGATTTTATTCTGGCACATCGAGAATGACCTGCACGATGTCCCGCATGTCCTCGACCAGACACTGTATCATCGCAGTGTGACACCCCAGTACAACTGCTATGCACCGTTAGCTTCAACACAGAAAGGGCTCACATGCAAACTCGCCTTGAAGTATTCTACGCGTTGACTGATGGAGACCGAAATCGGCGGATAGCCGGGTATAAAGACGTGAGGGTGTGCGTGAAGCGTACGTTTCCGTCTTGAAGGCTGAGTATGAGATTGTAACACCGGTCTGCGGCCAACTGTGAGGGATGTGTCGTCGCTGAAGACGTACCTAATCTGTCAGGAAGAACGTATTCTCAATATGTTTTGACTCAATGGCAGGCTTCGTAAGGTACCGTTGAAAAAGCACGGCCACGAAGATGATAGAGAACTCACAGAATGGGAGATTCGTTTGAACACTACATCTTGTCTGGCCTGTATGGATCACATGCCGCGATAACTCCTATGAATCTCAGGTTTGACCCTCTTCAGAAAGGAAACTCTGAGCTTAGCAACTGTATATCGCTGTAAGCCACTGGCTTTGAGTACAAGTTTCACGACGCACCTTATGATAGAAGTCCAATGCAACTGGGGTGTCTCCACTGAGCCTGACCTGATAGTGAGTGATTGAAACCTCCAGGTAAGGAAATGCGTCCGTGTCGCTATACCGCTGGGGTATACCTTCCAGGAGTAACAAGTGCTCGTCGAAGGAAGTTTCAGAGGCTCGAAACAACCGTTTGTTTTCTTCAGTCCCTGGACTGCCCTCAGGGAAGCCCTGAAAAAAATGAATAAAGCTCTGTGGTCGGCAAACATACCTTCAAGAGGGGCTTTTCGAACCCCGGCGGTTGATTCATTGCCCTTCTAAAGTACGAAAGGCCTCGAAAGACCTTATATAGGAGCTTGTGTTGGACAATCGCATGAGCTCTGCGACAGAGGGGTCCGGGTCAAAGTGGTAGACATCGGGCGTCAAAGGGAACGTCGGGTTTGGTTCCTGCTGGGATTGCAAGCCCTCGGGCCTCGGAGCAACAACGGTGCAATGAAAGCCACACACAGGAGCATGTACATACATCATTGGGCCCGGTGGCCATCCAAAATCGCAGGACAGGTTGACGCGGAACCACGAGAAGGGCGTACGACGGGATGTCAGTCGAAAAAGCTTCCAATAATCATGTCTTTCCTCCTACACGAGAACTCGGCGGTTTCTCAGAGCCCATCCCAACTATTGGCGTCGGCCGCTTCGCGAACACCATCTTCCGCTTCACGACCGCGACGATGTCCCAACCGGTCGCACGCTGCGAGCTCAGCGGCCCCGGCGCCCCGCCCGCTCCCTCTTCGTCGACGTCCATGCCGTCCGCGTCGTCATCGCCAGAGGGCAGGCTGTCTCGGCGGTGGAGGACCGCGAGCGGCTTCGGGAGGTTGACGAGCTTGCCCTCGAGCAGGTGGTAGCCGATCATGAGCGTCGGCTTCTTCTACTCTCGCCGTCATGGTCGCAATTGGGTGGAGGGAAGGGGCAGGACGAGGGAGAGGCGTACCGATTCGGGGTCCACTTTCAGCTTCCCTACTAGCTGCCCGTCCTTGCTCCCTTCGACTTCCAACCCTCCTTGGAGCTCGAGCAGCATCAGCTCGTCGGTGCCAAATTGCACGAGTTGTGGAGGCAGCTTGCGCGCAGGGGGCTGAGCCTGCCCTAGCAGGTTGATGTTCACAGGGATGAGCATGGTTTGGGATATAGTGGATGCCGGCGAGGGTGAAGGACGAGGAGAAGTCTGAGATCTGAGAAGCCGACGCGTGCGGCAACGCGTCGCGTCTAGTCATGTGACATAATTCTAGAGTAGCCGTTTGGCAAACGGGGTATGTACAAGGAAATGGGGGTAAAGATGTAATTGCTTGTTGAAAGCGATGGTATCTGAACAGGGAGAGAGTACAGTACTATACACCCATTCTAATGTTACACTTTTTACGTTGAAGTCTCCGTCGTACATCGTCCGATCACCTAGACAGCGTCTCCCCAGATCGCCTTCGCGGTCTTGGACACGAGCTCGAGCTTCGCGCGCATCGCAGCCTCGTCGATGTTGTTCCCGTCCGAGTGGGACGCGAAGCCACACTGCGGGCTCAGGCAGATCCTGCACACAAGGCGAGTCAGCACCCATCGCACATGAACTGACACAAGCTCACGACGCACTGATCAAGGGCCTGCTCGACCGTTCGGCCCTCCTCGCCCGAGGCGATGATCGCCGCCGCGTTCTTCACGCGGGCGACGAGGTCATCGACGTCCTCAAGCTGCGTGAACTTGGACGTGATGAGCCCTAGGACGACGGTCTTGTTGGACGGGAGGTGCTTGAGCGGCTCGAAGGAGCCGGCGCGCGGGGTGTCGTACTCGAGGTAGTAGCAGTCGACGTCGATCTGCTGGAAGAGCTTGATCGCGATCCGGTCGTAGCCGCCTTCCGAGAAGTGCATCCCCGAGCGGAAGTTGCCGCGGCAGAGGTGGAGACCGACGGTCATGTCCGCGGGGCGGCCCTTGAGACAGCCGTTGTACGCGCGGATGTAGGTGTCGAGCAGCGCGACGTGGTCGATCCCGCGCTCCTCCATGCCCTGGATCATCGAGTCGGCGCAGAAGTAGGCGAGGAGCGGGTCGTCGAACTGGATGTTGCGGCAGCCGGCCGCGTACAGCGCCTGGATCTCCGCCTGGTAAGCGACCGCGATGTCCGCGAAGTACTCGTCTGTGTGGACGCGCGTGAAGGGAACGAGTGAGCGAGTCGCCCGGGCAGCGCGCGACGCCCGCAGGCACACACACCATCGTTCTTGTACACGTCCTTCGGGTACGCGAACTCGCCGTGGCGGAGGTGGAACCACTCTGGTGCCGTCATGGTCATCTTCAGGTTCTTCCACTCCTGCCAAACGCGCGCGATAAGCGCGTGCTCAAGCGGCCGCGAAGTCAGGCGCACGCACCTCGGGGGCCGTGAGTGCCTTGAGGGCCTCGAACTGACTGACGAAGAACGGCTTCGTGCGCTTCAGTTTCGCCTGGGAACGCGCCCGTCAGCACGCTCGCGCGAGGCCCGGACGAAACATAGAAAGACGCACCGCGCATACGTACGAGTCGCCGCCCTTGAAGTCGAGTTCCTTGAACGCCGCGACATCGGGGACGTAGTCCATCAACATCTCCATAGGCACTGTACCGCGCGCGGGGGATCAGCCTCATCTGCGTGTAGACAAAAGATGGTACGCACCGGGACGGATATACTTCATGCCCTCGAGATTGTCAAACACACCGTCGAAGAACATGTGCCTGCAACAGAACGCGTTCTATTCCTCCACCCGGGCGGCCGCGAAGGATGGATCTAGCGCACCTGCGGAACTCGCCATCGGTCATGCTCTTGATGCCCACCTCGCGCTGCAACTTGACGATCTCAGTGACGGCCTCGTCCTCGATCGCCTTGAGCTCCTCGGGGGTGACCTTGCCGAGCTCGAAATCCTTGCGCGCGGCAAGCAGCTTGGAAGGGCGCTTGAGGGAGCCGATGTGGTCCGCGCGGAACGGCGGGTTGAGCTTGCGGGTGGCGGCCATGGCGGACGAGGCGAGTACTGAGGGATGCACAGGACGGTGAGAGCTCGTCGGCGTGCGCAGATGAGAGATTTATACTCGGCGGCCCGGCGCTTCAGGCACGGCCGCCGGATAAAATATTGGCTAGGAATAGTCCGTTGGATGCAAGTTGGACGGATGGCGGCTGGCCTGACCGGCAACCAGACATACGCGAGATCGATCACAGCGCCGTCCCGGCTGGCTGGTGGTGGCTACGCTCGTGCACGTCGCCCGTTCTGGTCGCTGGTGGCTTGCTACCGCGCTCGACGGCGCCGCTCCAACGCTCAGCGCTCAGCTCAGCCGTCAGACTGGGTTAAGTCGCCGAAGGAAAGTACCCTCAAACCCTTGCGGAGTGGCTGTTGTTACGCGAAGGCATCAATATGTCCTAGGTCCCGCAGTTGTACGCGCCACTGTGACATTGTCCCATCCACGTCCACGGCCGCCGTTCGGGCGGCTAGGCGGAACCTTTGCGGCCGCCGGCACAGATATGGTGAAGTTATAGTTCACGTGTGCTCGTAAGAACTAGAGATACAAGCGTGTGAGAACGGATGCTGTATGGCGCGTCAAACGCAGCGGTGTTTAAGGTAGGGCTGTATACATAGCGTTGAAAGCGTTGTGCGTGAATATCATCGTGAAAGGCACAGCAGATCATGACGCTGCAAAGCGAGATTTTGCGCGTATCCGTGCACCAGTTCTGTAGAAAATGAATCTATGACCGTGTGATTAGCTAGCTGCATTTGGTCAACGCTGGCTTGGTCGCTTACGGCAAAGGTGCCATGATAGTCATTAGACCGGCAAGAAGCGCGGTGGCCCCAACTGTACCTAGGGCATCATACATCTGACCAGCGAAGAGGGGGAATGCGGCTGCGAAGGACGACCGTAGAGCGCTGTTCGCAGCCATTGCACTTGCGGCGATTGGTCGGTAGGCAGTGACGAGATATGTGAACACTCCGGTGAAAATGAAGTAGGTGCCCGCGCCAAACACGGAGGAGCCGATGACAGGCCCGATCCAGTGGACTTGAGGATAGGTGGTGAACGCCATAATGAACAGACCTATGTTCATGACAAGTCTGAACTTGACGATACGTGAAGTTAGAAGTAACGCTAACTGCGTACCTAAAGGCGCTAGGATAGCTCCAGGCATGGCGATAAGCAAGCGAACTTCTGGTGGCGGTTTACCTCCATGAATCTTGCTTTCTCTGCTGAAAACGGTGTTCCAGTATGGCTGGCTTGAAAGCGAAAGCAACATTCCGACGGAAATGCCCAGGAACGCCAGTCCGGTTTCATGAGCACTGAAGCCATGAACACCCTCGAATATGATCGGAAATGCTTGGAAAGCAAGATAGAGGATGCCTAATAGCACGGAGGACCTTGATCGTCAAGAAACGGGCAATTAGTGCGGACGTCCACGAAAGGACAGATGACGCACTCACCAAAGATCGAGCAACAAGGCCATTTGGTCGTACATGATGAGCTCTGGGATATAATTTAGACTTACACACCGTGGGTCCCAAAGGGAAGAGGAACTCACGGAAGGGGGTCTTGATACTGAAAGTGAGCATATCGAAAAGACTCTTGTCATTGTGGTCCAGTGGGGCGTAGTACTTTTCATCTACAGTCTTCCGCAGCCTGATTGGTTGATGAATGTAGGATTCAAGTCGTAGAACGGAGGAAGTACCTCTTGGCCTTGCGCTTTAGAATGACGGGAACATAGGTCTCTTGAACGCACTGCTCATAACTGCGTAAAACGATGCTTCGCTCAATGATTGAGAATGACTCACTGTGAACAGAAGAACAGTCTGAACAAATTGCCATATGATGAGTGCGCGATAGCACCATCTCCAGTCGGCAAACTAATCGAGAGTAGGTGCAAATCCAGATGGAGGCAGAACGAGTGACGTACGTCCACGACGAAACTAAGCCAGCGTATGAGTCAGATATTGATATTCCTTGACGAGGGACATTTCACTCACCCTGCGACAAGAGGACCGATAACGGGCCCAATGAACGGGGATATAGTGTAGACCGCCATAGGACTGAAAGGAGGAACCCAATAAGACATGGATCGAATGTAAGAGGTAAGACTCACGTTGCAACATGAGCATCATCGAACAAGTCACTCACACTCCCTCCCGCGACGCTGAGGAAAGCGGAACCGCACAATCCTGTGATGAAGCGGAAGACGAGGAAGGTGGCTGCATACAGGAGTCAGACGCAGCAGCTACGCGGCTTTGGGGGGAAGGACACTGACCGATGTCTGGCGGGAACACGGTGGGGAATGTGAAGGCGAAGAATAGAATGTACGACGTGCGATAGATGATGTTCCGACCGTACAGCTCCGACAGCGGTCCCACCACCAAAGGCCCGATTCCTAGACCCAAGACGTAGAGGCTGATGCTAAGGATGGTGACTTCATGGACGGTATGCAAGTCTCTTGCGAGCCCTGCCTCAGTGAATGCGGCCTACCATACATGCGCAACATGTGAGGCGTGGAGATGGGGGGCAGGGAGAAACGACTCACGACTGAGGACGCGAATGTGGCGCAGAGGGAGGAGGAGCTGATGACCAGAATGGCAAGCCACTTTCGCCATCGTGGCAGGAGGAGGGGGTCGTCCTCAGGCTCGAGCTTGACTAGGAAGGGGTCGTCGTCGGGAGCAGGAACGGTCTGGGCCACTCCGATGTCTTGTTTGGACTGACGTCTGACGTCAGGCGCCGCGCCCGTTTTCTCGACGTCCTCGGAGCCGCTGAGCGTCACGGTCTCTGAACGCACCCCGGGACCGGACATGTGGCAGAACACAGAGGACAGCCGGTGTTTGGTCCGGGCAGGGAAAGCAGGGAAGGGGAGGATGGCACTCCACCGGATGTTTATAACGGTCGTGCGCTCTCATAAAAGCGAGCGCGCCTGCTGGAATCCGTACCACTTGAATTTCACCGCGTCGGGCCGGCACGGGCACCCGCCGCAGAAGCGCTGGCGTCTTTCGGGGAGGCTCCCGTCAGCAGACGCAACGTCGCCTGTGTCAGACACAGTCCCCGTTCTTCACCGTCGATCCCGTCCAGTCCTATTGGCCGTACAGTACATGCGAATATGCATCATCATCGGATATTCGTCACGACGAACGTGTTCTGATGCCATGCGAACAAGCACTAGTTGCAGGCGAGGTTTGAAACCCGCGCCAAAAGCGAGAGGACTCAGCAACGATGCATTAGAGAACCCACCCCCACGCTGGGGACGAGCAGTCGACATACACTAGATGATTACCGCAGCAGCACGCAAGCAGGCGCGGCGCCCCTACGCTCGCTTCCCCAAGCCCGACCCAGGGATAACCTGGTTCTGCGCCTCATCGAGCACGAGCGAGCGCAGCTTCTCGTTCGTCCGTGCCGCCTTCCGCGTCTTCCTCTCCCGCCTGCGCTCCAGGCGCGCCTCCCCGCCGCGCTTCCGCCAGCGCTGTTTGCGCTGCGCCTGGCGCTCCTCCGCGACGTGCTGGTGCCACCTGAAGATCGCGTCCGCGCGAGCGGCGGGCTTGGACCGGCCGTTGAGGTTCGCGTACTCTTTCTGGATCATCTCCTCGAGGAGCGCCTTGCGGCGGGTGACGAACGCAGTGTAGCGCGCCATTTTCTTCGCGCGCGCGTGCGGGTTCGCGAGCTCCTTGTGCACGTGCACTTCGAGGGGCGCGGATGCAGGGACGGTCACCGACGCGTCCGTGAGGGAGGTGATGTACTCCTGCTCGGACGCGATCCGGGGAGCAGGCGCGCCGAGAGGAGGGATGACGGGAGGGAGTAGGTGACTTCGTTCACCGCGTCGGCCGTGGTATCGTAGATGCCGGCTATGCATGGATGAGAGGAGAACACGCGACAACGGAGCAGAGACACGTACGATCAGGCTTAAGGACGTCTGGTTCGGTAGGCCATGGGATCGCAACAGGCTCATACGTCTCCGGCGAGTAGTCAGGGAGACGTGGGACGGTGTTGACGGCAAAGCGAGTCCACTCCCAGCGACCATTCACATAGTTCAGCTTCGGTGCGGATTTGTTGAGACGCGTCGCAAACACCCTAAAGGTCGAGGTCATTCAGCACGTTCAGACGGAGCCGACGCATCGCGTACTTTTGGAATTTTGTTTCCGTCTCTCCTTCCTCTGGAGGGTATTCATACTCGCCGACGTAGAGCTGGCACTGCGAGTACGGCACGGACTTGCCGGACGGCCGTTTGTCCTGTCGTGCTGACGTCTGGAAGCATTTCTTCGTTCAAACTCATTCGGACAGACAGCGACGCGCACACGCACCTTGAGCTCCCGCTTGAGCACCACCCTGTTCGTGATCTTGTTCACCAGGAACACCTCATGGAGCTTCCTTTCCTTGTCTCCGCGAATGCTCACAAAGTCTCCCGGCACGATTTCCAGAACTTGACTCTGTCACAAGGGTTCGCTACCTTCAACTTCGGCATGCCTAGCGTTTTGAACTGCTTGTTGGCAGATTTCAGGCGACCAGTGGGCATGGGCAAGAGGTGACGAAAGTCGGTGGTATGCCGCGTCGCCTGCGTCGCCTTGTGACTTCCTGGATGGAGAGTGAGGAGGGAGCTTCATGGCGTCCCGGATAGCGAAGCAGCGAGGAGAGGAGGAATTGTATGGTGGGGTAGAGCCTAGAAAGAGCACAGAGCGCTGCTCCAGCTCACGACCTCGCGCGACGCGAATGTTACGTAAGCATACTTGACGCCCGTCCGCTATTGCACTTGGCCTGCTGCCTCGCAACATCCAGCTAAGGAGATATATTCAGCTGATCGCCGTTGGGAAATTTTCGAGACTCGAAAATGACCATATATTAGAGTACTTAGACGCGGATGCATTGCTCGAACAGTGTGAGATTGATGTACAGATGAGATGCACGTATATGTCCAAAGCTACAGTCCTCGTAAATGGGGGTAAATCTGGTAGAAGCGCGATAGCGACAATGCAGGCATTGAGTGAAGGGAGGAGGATAGAGGAAAAGACAGGAGATACACAAAGGAGCGGAACAGCCGATGCGGACGATGATGAAATTATATACACAGCTCAAGGAGAGTGCAGGTGATCATCACCCAATCAATGGATGCAGGGATCGAGGAGGAAGGGGGAAAACAGGACACAATACTACGCAACTACGTCCGCCGCACTGAAGCTACTGCGTCTGCGTCGAATGCTTCGCAGTCCTGGCCGCTCCGACTTGGACGCCGGAACGACTACCGAAGAGGCGTTGTTTGCGACCCACGTCCCTGAACTCGCAGCTTTGGCAATCGCGGCGACAGCAGCGGGAGTCTCTTGAACCGAGTGAGTAGAGCCGTGGTGTGTGCGCTTGCCGCCGACGAGCGTGGGTAGTCGTGACGGTGTGGGCGAACCGGGTTGCCGAGGCCGAAGTGGTCGTCCAGTCACTGGAGCTGAAGGCAAAGGGACCTCCTTGGAAGATCCGACGGGTCCTCGCGCGGACGTGTCTTTCGTGAGACGGGGAATTTTGTGCGGTAATTGCCCGTTTGCCTTTGTAGCCTTGGTAGGAGCGAGAACATTGCTGGCTTTCTTCGCAGCGACAGCGGCAGACGACCGCGTGACTCGTGATGGACGTTGCTCAGATGCCGGAACTCGCTGGTTAGCGGATCGAGCTGACACTGGTTTCGTCTTGCTACGACGAGGGGCGGCGACAGGAGCAGTGCCAAGGGCAGGCAGGACGTCGTCTTCTTCCCCGTCCGTATCAGACGCAGTACGCTTCGCAGCTGGAGTCTTGCGAGGCTGGCCAGGCGGCGCGATAGCATGCGCTTTAGCAGCAGCCGCAGCGACGTGCTTGCTGGGAGTGACAGGAGGAACAGAGGTCAACACCACTGTTGTCGTCGTGGTCTCGGTGAGAACATCCATCTCGTCCTCTGTTTCCGCGGGTGGTGTGACAGGAGCGACAAGCTTCGTGGCGACCGCTGTTGCTTGTTGCTGAACCTTGCGCATTTCGTCAGCCGCTGCCCACTTCGTCCATTCCAGCTGCTTGAGATACATGTACTGCTGCTGAGGGCCGACAACGCTACCAGGTCGTACGATCCGCATGAATGCGATAGCCTCCGAGGCTGTGAAGCCGTACTTCCAGATGAGATATGCGCCGATGAGGGTACCAGTGCGTCCCAAACCTGCTTTGCACTATAGAGCATCAAGTATGTCAGCAGTACGAGAATTCGTTCGTTCGTAAGAACTTACATGGACAGCAACCACTCCACCAGCCTCGATTACTTCATCGGCCAAATCAATGAAGCGTCTGACGATTTCATCGGCGGGGTTGGTACCATCGTCGAAATACATCTCCACGTGGTTGATGCCGCGGTCTTGGAAAAGTTGGGCGTCGTAGAGCGCATTGTTGAGCCGTACTACCAGCTTGACACCCTCGCGTTCGAAGTAATCCAAACAGTTCTGGAACGGTGTAGACAGCTTTCGTTGCAGAGCGACAGATTTCACTGGTGAGGGTGGCGAGATGGCCTGGTTCTCCTGGTCACGTTTATCCTTCTCCCTCTTGATCCATAGTGGGTCCACAGGAGAGGCGAATGCGATGAAATTCGGAGTAAGCCAATTCCAGTCACCGTTCTCCACCTTCTCGTAGAACTCGTAATCCTCGATGTTGAACTCGTTCATATCACAAAGGCCGTTCTGCATAGCCTTGTAAATTCCCCAAAGGCAATCTTGTATACTGAGATTGAAGTCTGAAGGTCCTCGGCCGGCATCCCGGAAAGGCATGAATTCGAGCTCGGCGATAGGCTGGAATGCTTCCCAGGGTGGTCTTTGTTGCACAATCATCTGGGGAATATTTATACACTGTCCCTGATGAAGTCAGGGAACCCGACTGACCACAAATAGTGCCATGAGCAATGCAGCGTTGGCTTTCTTTCTTGGATCAGAAGAGGAGTAGAGAACGATGTAGTGGGAGGTGATGGCAGGATCCTGAGATGGAGGGTATCGTGTGAGGGGACGCAGCAAGGTAAGAATGAACATGACGTACTTGGAGCAGCTCGTGGATCAAGATACACGACTTGTATACCATCGCCAAGTTCAACGGTCCCCAGTCTTGAAAGAAAGACAGGTATGGGAGCTGATCATCGAGCGTGATGTACCAGTATTTCGCGTCGTCATCGGGGGTTGCGGCCATGCAGCCACGGGGGGTACTACGTATGGCGGGGCGTTAGATGGATCTCGGGCAAGCTTGTTGAGAGCATCTGGTCTTGGTGCTGGGTGGGGGAAGGAGGTGAAGAACAGTCTGCATTCGGTGATTGTCAGTCTGACCACCGATCGCGTCGAGACGCGGGAGACGAGTACAGACCTTCCCCCAAAGTAACAGAGTGGCTCGCAGGGTAGTGGCATGGTGCCTGTGGGGGTAGAACGCGATGAGACGCGAGCCTGGCGGGGGTCGGGAGGCGGAGGAGACTGTCGGGAGGAAGAAGGGCGCGCGCTCGCTGTTGAGTTCGACTGGCAGCGGACCCGATCATGTGACCGCCATGAGGACACCGCCTGTTCAATTGGGAGTCCGCGCGTGAAGTGCCAGCCTAGCCCTCAATGCGTGCGACAATCTACCGACGGCTCGTGCGCGGTTCAACCCCCAACGAGACTGCCACAAAGAATCTCAAGTCTCTGATCAAGATTGGGAAGGGCTTCTCATCTGCGGGGAGAATCGGTGTGCTATTGGCGTCTATTGGGCGTCTGCGACGCGTGCGCGTGAGAGAACATTAACGATGAGCGCCTACGCGTCGACGACGCGGGCGCGTCTGCTCTGGTCGCGCCTGAGCCCTCTCGCCACCTCCCTCTTTCCTGTCCGCAGTGCGTCTGCGCAAGCGACGCACCCTCTTCTTTTCCTCGTTCACACAATCTCTGCTTCTCAGGAGTAACCATGCCGGACAACCAAATATTCAAGGTATGCGTACCCTTCACACAGTGGCTTTCAGGCACTGACTGGCTCTTCGTATCGCCCTGGACACAGGCCACCTATAGTGGGATCCCTGTCTACGAAATGTAGGCTTTTACGCGCTTATTGCGCGTGTTACCCATCTGAAAGATGCTCTAGGATGTGCAAAGGAGTTGCCGTCATGCGCAGGCGTGCAGACTCTTGGCTCAATGCAACCCAGATTCTCAAGGTCGCCGGCTTCGACAAGCCACAACGAACACGTATACTGGAAAGAGAAGTACAGAAAGGGGAACACGAGAAGGTACAAGGAGGTTATGGGAAGTACCAAGGTAAGCAGGATCTTGTGTTTGCACAACGCGCAGGAGCGGCATCGCTACTATATTGCCTAGGCCAGGGAAGTTTGTGAGGCAGTGTTGTGGTGTTCCAGGATGATACTTACCGCGCTGGTGGTTTGTTCATGTCCCTCGATACCGAGGAAACTATGGCGCTCACGAGACCTAGCATATCATAATCTATCTCTCTTCCCGCCTCTCGAAAATATTGCCATCTAAGAGTCTTGCTCATATGCATGTCTTTACACAGGCACCTGGATACCCCTGGACAAAGGTCTTGCGCTTTCTCGCCAGTATGGGTGCGAACCAGTTCTCCGTCCCATCATCGATTTCCAGCCAGAAGCGAAGAGTCCCCCTCTCGCACCGAAACACCTCGTCTCCGCGCAGTCCTCCAAGGCTAACATTCGCCGTGGTGGTGAGCCTACGGGCGACTCAGCCATCAACACCCGGTCCTCAAAACGTGCCGGACAGGATGCCCCTGCTTCTGATGTTGAGACCCTTTCTGTGCGCGGGTCTGAAGATGGCACAATGACACCTTCTCCTTCCGAAGCGTCTTCAAGTTCTCGCACACCATCGCCCATTCGAAGTAGCCCGGGACCTTCAGCCTCTGCCTCGAATGCCATAGATGATGACGAACGGTCACCTTCCCCGGCGCCCACTTCCCGCAAACGGAAACATCGACACGTAGACGAAGAAGAGGGCTCTGATGGCGACCATTTCGGTGCAAATGGAGTTGACCACGCCGCCTATGGAGACCAGATTCTTGAATACTTCATATCCGATTCCAACCAGATACCCGAAATCCTCATCAATCCTCCTCCTGACTTCGACCCGAATATGGCCATCGACGACGACGGTCATACGGCACTACACTGGGCCAGCGCCATGGGTCGCATACGCGTGGTGAAGCTATTGCTGTCTGCCAACGCCGATATCTACAAGGTCAACAAGGCCGGCCAGACCGCCCTCATGCGTAGTGTCATGTTCGCGAACAACTACGACGTCCGCAAATTCCCCGAGCTATACGAATTGCTCCATAGGTCCACGCTCAACATCGACAACAGTAATCGCACCGTATTCCACCACATCGTCGACGTCGCCATGTCGAAGAGCAAGACTCACGCCGCTCGTTACTACATGGAGACCGTTCTGCAGCGATTAGCGGACTACCCTCGAGAACTTGCAGACATCATCAACTTTCAAGATGAAGATGGGGAGACCGCTCTCACCATGGCCGCACGATGTCGAAGTAAACGACTGGTCAAGTTGCTGCTGGACCATGGCGCCGACCCCAAGATTGCGAATCGTGACGGAAAGACGACCGAGGACTATATCCTGGAGGACGAACGATTCCGATCCTCGCCCGTTCTCCCCCCACGTCAGCTGTCATCCCGCAGCGCCGACGGCTCTCTCGCCTACCCCCCTTCCACGTACACCCTTCTCACCCAAGGCGACCGCCCCTCCATCCACTACTCCGTTACGGGCCAGAAGACCGCGACGCGCTGCGTGGGTGACATCACGATCATGCTCGACAGCCTTGCCTCCGCATTCGACCAGGAGCTCAAAGAGAAGGACCGCGATCTCACCCAGGCTAGCGCGCTCCTGAACAACATCCAGTCCGAGATCCTCGAGTCGCAGCGGACAGTCGGCCATCTCAAGGCGCAGGCTCAAGGCCTGCCGGGGAGCCAACAGGCCGTAACGCAGTTGGAAGACGAGCTCCGCAGGAAGATGGGGAAGCGCTTCCGGCTCGGGTGGGAGAAGTGGGTCAAGGACGAGGAGGATCGAGAACGCACGATCCGAGACGCATCGGGAGGCCAGCTCGTCTCCGCCACGGGCGAGCCCGTTTCTGACCTCCTGGCGATCCACTCGGACGTCCCCTCGGATCCAGAGGAGCTGCGGCGGGAGTGCGAGAAGCTTAGGGAAGAGCTCGCGGGACACCGGGCGCGGCGGAAGGACAAGTTCGAGAACTTGGTGAAGTTCCAGGCAGAGACGGGCACTGGTGGGAGGATGGCCGAGTATCGGCGACTCATCAGCGCAGGGTGTGGAGGCATCCCCCCAGAGGAGGTGGATGGCGTCGTGGGGATGCTTTTGGAGGTAAGCCTGTCCCCTTTGCCTTTGTCACCACCTCTCTGAACACCTTTCAGACGTTGGAAGCGGAGGAGCCGAGTTCATCAACCGCCTGGAATGGTTCCATAATGGCGCGTGCCGGGCATTCGACAAGCTAAGAGTAATGTACGCTCGTGTTGGGCAGGAGTCCGTAGTCCGTGTACGCTATGTCATTCATGTATTGCTTTGGACAGCCTCGGACAGCTATCGTTATGTTCTCCATCCCGATATCCTGTTATCTCTACCTACGACGTGGGGCTTATGACGATGACTTACGACGCACCGTCTCGACCGAGCGGCCCAGTTTGCAACGCTTATAACAGCATGCGCAAGTTGCCGAGGCAGGCTTTTGCGGTGGCAACAATCGTCTCTAGTTATGACACTAGAAGTACAACATTAATTCTACAGTTCTCGTCCACCCGCGCACCCTCATCAAGCCTTAGAATACTTTTGCATGCACTCGAAGAAGCACCGCAAATCTTCGGGATCCACACCCGGCGTAATCCCGTGGCCCAAGTTCGCGATCCACGCCTTTGGCGCCTTTCCGTCCCTGAACTTCTCGCACATCCGCTTGACCTCGCGCTCGATCGCCTCGCGGCCGCCGTAGAGCACGTTTGGGTCGAGGTTACCCTGCAGTGCGACCTTGTCGCCGACCGCCGCGCGAGCGTCTGCGGGGTCGACGCACCAGTCGATACCAACGACGTCGTAGCCGGCGGTCCGCGCGATCGCGGCGAGCGACGTGTTCGCGCCCTTGGCAAAGAGCGTCATCGGGACGGCGGGGATCCCCTGTGCGGCGAGCTTCGAGCGCACGCCCGTCGCGATCCGCTGCAACGACGGCAGCGAGAACTCGGCGAAGTGGTGCGGGGTGAGTTCGCCCGCCCACGAGTCGAAGACCTGCACGAGCTGCACGCGCGACGTCAGCGCCCAGATGCGCGCGGCGCGACGAGGCCACGCACCTGCGCGCCAGCCTTGATCTGGCCAACGAGGAAGTCGATGCAGATGTCCGCGATGCGGTTGAGGAGCGCCTTGGACTCGATGGGGTGCTTAAAGAGCCACGACTTGCACTTCTGGAACGTCTTCGAGCCACCGCCCTCGATCATGTACGAGAACAGCGTCCAGGGTGCGCCGCAGAAGCCAATGAGCGGGACCTCGCCCGCGAGCGCGGTGCGCGTCCGGGTGATCGCGGCGTAGACGTACCCGAGCTCCTTGTCGACATCGACGTTCTTCGTCAGCTTCTCGACATCTGCGGGTGTCACGAGCGGGTCGGGGAAGTGCGGGCCCGGGTTCATCTGGACCTCCATGCCCATCGCCTGCGGGACGACGAGGATGTCGGAGAAGATGATCGCGGCGTCGACGAGGCCCGAGTACCGTCGGATGGGCTGGAGGGTGACCTCCATCGCGAGGTCGGGCGTGCGGCAGATCTCGAAGAAGCCATGCTTCGCGCGCACCGCGAGGAACTCTGCGAAGCGGCGGGACGGGTCAGCGCGGTGTAGGGGATGTGCGCATGCGCGGACCTGGGACTCGCCTGGAAGATATCTGCCTGCCTGCCGCATGACCCACACTGGGGCGCGCTCGGTCTCCTCGCCTGTGAACCGTCATGAGACAACGGGTCAAGGTGAGTCGTGCTTGCCCTCACCTCGGGCCGCGCGCAGGATGAGATCGTTTTTCATCGCGGGGAAGGTCATGTTGAGCGGGATGCGCGTCGCTAGGAGATGGGGTGAAGTCAAGGAGGAATCCGCAGCGCGACCGAAACTTAAAGTCGGTCTGGACCTGGCCTGTCAGCGCCGTGTGTACGTGGGCAATGTGAACGGGGCCGACGTGGATGAGAGAGCGGGCGCGGTGCTGGGACGAGTGGGCACCGGAAGTGTCGTGACCGCGACCGAGAGCGGTGAGGCGTGGGACGTCCCTCTCTCATCCTCCCACCACCGGCTCCCTGTGCTCCCGTCTGACCGAAACGTTGCCAATCTCGTCTCCAAACGACTGCGCTTTCTTCTGGCTCGATGTCCATCAACCACCCAAACCAACTGGTCGAGGAGTACGGCTCACTTCACGCTGAGCGGAAGACTACTGGCCACTCATTGTTTCAATGTCTACCGTCCATACCAGGTTCAAGAAGTCCGGAGAGTTTGACCGTCTGAGAAAACTGCTATTGCAGGAATTCATGGACAGTGTGGGTTTTATACCAGTTGTACCGGTGCGTTACTCTCTTCTCATCTTGCATTCTCGGCAGGAGGGGAAAGCGGCCCTGCACGCACGGGTGGACGATATTGCAAAGCAAAAGCTAGGAACTGATCCAAAGCTGCAATATATGCCCGAAGCGGGTGTCTCGCGGGAGATCATGCAGGAACTCGAGCGGTGGGTTCCTCCCGTACAGTGCGAGAAAAGCGAAGCTTAACATCGGTGCGTGTAGATTTCCGGTGGTGGAACGTGCCGTTGCACAGGTCACAAAGCTATCGGACCCAGCATTCGCCGCCGGGATGAAAGAAGCTATAAGGAAGATACTACAGGACGACCGTATAGCGGCTGGACAACGTACGCAGTTTGATCATTGGGCTCCTTCAAGACGAGCCGATGTCTCACTCTTGATTTGCAGCCCTGGACGACGCTCTTGTTGCTCGTGGTCCTAAGCGAAAGACTGCTGCCGCTCAACCCCAACAGGCGAACGGTAACGACAGCGACAGTGACAGCAGTGCGTCCAGCATGGATATCGACGACGAATCCGACAGCGAGTAAGGTCCCCCTCTGATCTATCACACCTACTCTTTGCCCTCAGGACTCGGATTCATAACACATCTGTATCACTATATGTACAACACAACATGAACAGGACCTCTGCTTCGTTCGCGTCTGAAACTAACTATCACCTGCCGGCGGCTTGTGCCCACTAACCAACCAAATGCCCTTCCTACATCTCACATGTCAGACCTCGGCGGTCCCTTTCTGGCTAGCACCGTCGAACTAGGCAAGTGTCAGGATCAGAGAACGCTCGAACAACGAGAAGAGGCCACCGACGCTGGTGTCCGCATCCTGGGCGATGTCACTCTCATTGGTGGTCTCGATTCGGATGGCAATTCCTTCGCCATGGCGCTGTAGGGATATGCCCTTGAGATATTGGGTTCCCTGCCCAGCAAAGCCAGATGACTTACGGAGATACGCGCCAGGTTGGCGGACGGTTGCATATCAGGGAGGGAGAGCGAACCGTCGGTCGCAGCATGACTGCGAAGCCGGTTGCGCGCGTTTAGCGTCGCTAGTAGCGAATTCGCGTACACTGGAAGCAGATATGGGGCCTTAGAAAGCACGAGGAGAAAGCACGAGGAAAGGGTCGGAGAGGGGACTCACAACGACCCATGAGGAAATAGAAGCAAATGTATACAAAACTCAAAGGCAGAGTAAAGTACGTGATCAGAGATATGCACGCGCACACGCTGGGTGCGATATTCAGCATAAAGACCGAAGACGACAGTCGGAACGTACCTCGTCAGCAAGCCAGTATTGACGGCAAACAGGATCTTGAAAGTAACATAAATGTACTGTAAACGCCGACTCATGGAGACATGCGCACCAGCTTGTTGATGAGCGTGTTAGACTTGACGAATTCCGAACGAGAACGATTGAGCATGAAGCAGAGGCTCCCGGCAATGGAGACATCTGCGGCCGCGGCGAAGACATTCATGGAAATGGAGAGCGCCTGGTAAAACAAGCCGACATGAGCAAGTGGGCAATATTGATATCTGTCAATAAAACAGCACCAACCCGAACTCGGGGCAGCTCCGTGTATGTGCTCAATGAAAGCCTGATGAACCAGTACGTCAAGCATGGGATGACGAAGAGCTCGAGGGAAAACGAACGCTTCGGAGAAGTAACCAATCGAAAACACTGGAAGATCTATTAATGAGAGATATTTCTCGCATTAAGCTCGCGCGTGCGCACCAAGTTCTGCGAGCACAAGTAGTCCCTGATGGTACCGTCATGAGGTCGTTGACATTGAATCAACAATGATAAACTCACCAAGGGAGCAGCGAAACAATTATTCTTGTCGCTCAGCTTCCACACGCGCACGACAAAGAACCTAGACCAAAAATTAACCGTCTTCCGCCTTGAGAGATCATGCTAGATTCGAACACCCACGTCTGCACCAAAAAGCCCGTTATGCCCTGCGAACAGCGTTGTGAGCATCTCGCTTGAGCGCAGACTCTGACAACGTACATTGAACAAAACTTCAACGACAATAGTTCTAGTCACAATCGTTGGCTTCGAAAACTGGCGTGAGTGGTGAGAAAAGGCGCACTTGGTGATATATGACAGAGCCGTAGGATTCCCGTATTCGGTGATCAGATATGTGTAGACTAACGGACGAACATTGTTGAGGGTTACAAAACGGTCAAGGAGGGAAGGCTTACGAGTATGGGTAACGAGAGCCTGCGTAGAATGGAGGCCCCAGGTCTGGTTAATACCCCGATACGTTTCACATGTGAAGCATTACCTGGTGGGCGGTATCTGATGCCCAAACCGCCAATACCTGAGCTCCTGTCAGCGTGAAATAGGGATACTGAGGGACATTGGCAACATACCATTACTTTGGTGTAAGCTCTGTCGTTGGGATACCCGTTATAGTAGTAATACAACTGCGAACAAGAAACTGTTGTACGTCAGTTCGAACATCCACTCGATAGGCAACGCTCGACTCACTGCCCCATAGGCTAAACAACACCGTTGGTCAATAATGCGGCGTTGACGTGTTGTTTAGGACCATACGCACATGGTTGAGACGAAAACTCCGAGGAAGAGTGCCCCCAAGCTGACATGGGAACAAATTCAGGAAAACCGAGAGACCAATGACTGGGTACTAACGTCGCATCAAGATCGGACATAGCGAGTCTACGCAGAGCGAGGGATGTGAGGGTGGAGGGTGGAGTACCGAGGAGGATGCTTCCTCGGCCGCGCTATAAGTACAAATGAGCCAGGTGCCACACAAGAGGACACACGAGCCACCGAAGCTGCCTGAGGAAAGCCGCGTGCTATGCGTTGGGGGGGGAGTATGCTGTCACGCGGGAAATAGACTGCTGCGTTGAGCTCCGCCGGGAGAAATGCGACATCGGGTCCCTGCACAACGAGCGTCAAGAAGGGAGTGTGCTGGACGAATGAGGGCTGTACCCAGAGTGGCCGAAGGGTGGAAACGAGCAAAGGTCGGCAATGCATGCCTTTCGCTAGGCTTGTGGCAAACGCATTTCTGGCTTGATTGCCGCGTGCTGGGGCCCTTTGCAAGGAGAAGCGGAGGAGCGTTCCGCCGACCGTTTCGAGAGGCTGTCATGGCGAGCTACGAGCAGCTTGGAATGTTCCAGTTAACGACTAGATTTGGTAACAGACCAACCTGCCTGGACATTGCGCACGATTGTCTTCTAGACGGGCCCGAGGTCTCGACAGTACAATCGCGGAAGAACTGAGCGCGGTGACGTTGATCAGTATGGTGTGCGTGAGCGGGTAAGGAAATGCACGAGAGCTTGCTTCTACTCACAGAACGACGGCCCGCGGCGAGCTTTGCCATCGGAAGAGGTGAAAAAGAACTTGGGTGACTCCGTTAGTAGCTTGGGAGAATGTTCCTCGGGGCAGGGCCATTCCAACGCGCACGCGGCGAACTGCAGAGACCGGAGAAGCCACGCGCATCCCTCAATGGAACACATCTGCAGAGGAAATGTGTTTTCTAGCTGATGACCTGTATTGACAGCGGGCGGTCCGCCCATACACCTGCCCCTCGATAGGTATGCGCCAGGGCCCTTCAACAGGTTTCGATTCTTGCGCACTGGGCTGGACTCGTAGCCTCACTAGTATGCAGGGGTGTTCGAGGAGACGATTAAGGATCTAAGGGCCAACGGTGGGAGCATATGGCAGGGTCGCGCATACAGCCGTGGAATGCGGACGCTGACCAACTCCATTCAATACTTTGCGGCTCAGCAACCGGAAGCTTGAAGAACGAGCATAAGCACCATGTAAAATCGCGAATTATGAACCACGTACGACGGGTCGCTGGGACTTTAGCGCGCCAGCGACTCTCTACAAATGATGAAAGATAGTATGGTTTGGGCCTAGGGATGCTCACTGCTTGGGAGGGGAAGGTGTTCGTCTTCAAGCAGGGGTAGTATTACTAGCCCCTGGGCGTTTCGGACGGGCCGACGCGCCTATGTGATCGAGCGAGCCCACACGTGGCACGTGCTCCCGGACTTTTCCAGCGCTGGCACTGGTGGCAGCTCTCGCTCACTCTCCTGTGTTCGTCAACGCCCTTCCCCGCTTCTCCCTCCCTCGGTCTTTCTCCCATGGCGGTCAGTGTGGAAGGTTACGCGCGCATGGCTCTCTTCTGACGCTTGCGTAGACTCGGTACTCTTCCGCTCTCCGCTCCATCTCTCGCTCATGTCGCGCGACACGGTCAGCCCATGCCAACACCTGTGTTTCTACGCGTGCTCACTTGCGCCTTTTCGTCCCCGCACACAGGTCGCACACGTTGGCGGGTCCCTCACGATGCCTCGCGACGGAGGCCGCCGCGTCCACGTCGACGCCCCCTCCGCCGGCGGACCCGAAGCTCAACAAAATCGTGGACGACATCTCCGGCCTCACGCTCCTCCAGGCCGCGGACCTCGTCTCGTTGCTCAAGGTGCGTCCCCTTGTGACTCCCCCTGTTCAGCGCGGAACATCACGTACGCTCGTTCGCGTCCCCAGTCACGGCTCAACATCCAGGAGATTGCCATGCCGGCGGCGGCGGCTGCCGCGCCCGCAGCAGCGCCCGCTGAGGAGGTCGAGGTGGTGCGTCACGCTCTCTACTTATCTCCATATTGCGAATGTCAAACCCATGCGTCGACGTGCAGGAGAAGCCCAAGGAGAAGACGTCCTTCAACGTCAAGCTTGAGGCGTTTGACGCCGCTGCGAAGGCTAAGGTTATTCGCGAGGTCAAGGCTATGGTTCCCAACCTTACGCTCATTGAGGTATGTGACGCGTCTTTGCTGGTGTGCTGCCAGCTATGTCACCGCCGTCCGCTCCTGGCTCAATCATGCGTTTCCTAGGCTAAGAAGTTCGTTGAGTCACTACCGCAAACGCTCAAGGAGAACGTGTCGAAAGAGGACGCGGAGAAGCTTAAAAAGACGTTCATGGACCTGGGCGCGACCGTCACGCTCGAGTAAGGGTCGTGTCCTCCTGCGACCTTTGCTGTCTAGAGTACCTACCATAAGGGTATATGTTTTCATCGTACATCCTACACTAATCATGCACTGTTGCTGCCTACTCTCTTCCGAACGCGTGGCCGACCGTGACATACACTGCAAGGATATACTGGTGTTCAAGTGATTACTTGTGTCCGTAACAGCAGTACATCGAGTGCTAGCAGCTCATATACAGAGGCGGGCTGAGAGCCCGGGTGGCTACAGAGACAGTATGTGATAGACAAGGAAAGTGGGTAATAGAGTAACGAGGCAGGAAGATTCTGGACACAAGAGCGAGCGTTCATCGGGAGCTGGGCAGCCACGAAGGCACACGAGTTCTCCACCGAGATAGAGGCACTAAAGGGTGGGGATGGGGATGGGGGTTCAAGGCTGGGGGAAAATGAAAAATAACAGCGAGCAGGGCAAAGCATTCGCAGGTGGTCCCAGACCCTAGCATCGACTCGGACCGAAGTGTTGTTGGACGGGCGCAACGTAGCACGCTTAGTCCTCGGAGAGATAGCGGTACTCGAAGCGGAAATCGCTCTTCTTGCGCTGGCACCATGAGCCTTCCCAGTCGAAGTAGACGTACACTCCCTGCTCGTACTCCTCAGTGATCGCCTGCGGCTCTGAGTGTCGCTGGAACCACGTGAGGTACTTGACATGGAAACGCCACGACTGGCGCTTAAGCTCTTTCGCAGCAAGATATCTAGACCAGCAAGGTGACATGCGGTGAACACGCGTGAAGGAAGGGGGTGACAAAGCGTGCCGTGGGTGTGAAACTCACTGCTGGTACGTGCCCGGGTGGTAGTAGAACACGTAAAAGAGCGTCTCGACGTCGAGCTGCGAGAAAATGCCGGGGGTGTTGAGCAGTGGGTGTGGCGACTGCGGGTAGTACGATGGCGTCTGTACGGGGTTGCGAGGTACATAGTACTTGGGCCTGTGGTAGAGGCGGTCGTTGATTATCAGTATGTGCAGGCTAAAGGCAACGCCAGAACGCTGCACGCACTTTTCGGTGTCTTGCGGCTGCGGCATGCTTGAGTAGCTACCTTGCAAGAGCTTGTGTACCTGGTCGAGGTTCGACATCCGATGTGGCGCTATGCGTGGAGGACAAAGATGATTAGCGCACATGCCACGCCACCGTGAAAGAGGAGCCTCGAGTCAGAAGGCATCAAACACGCACCCTTCTGCTTCACATTCTCGAATGACATCACCAGGTCCGACAACGAGCCGGGGAACGCATTCGCCCGCTGCGGCTGGATCTGTGTAGGCAGTTGTGAAGGCGCCACCGATGGTGGACGAGCAGTCGCATTCGCCCCAGGTGCGAGCTTCGTGGCTTGCGTACTGCTCAAAGACACACCAGGTGGGAATTGCGGCGGTTGCGGTTGTTGCTGAACGGATTGTGGCAGAGGTGATGCGCCGGTCGACACACCTGGTGCAGCGGAACTTGATCCAGGGAATGCGTGTGCAGGCGTGGGGAGCGGAGAGGGTGTAGGGAGTTCCCGTGCCGTGACTGCGGAAGCCGTGGATACTACCCCGTTCGTGTGTGAAGCAGAAGCAGACTCCTGTTGCGATGGTGGCTGGAAAAGGCAAAAACAGTGAGGGACAAATTCCACGCTGGGTAGAAGTGAGAATTTACTGGAATGCCTGGGGGTTGCAGTGATGTGGGAGAGGAAAGCGACGCTAAAATGATGGTCACAATCAGACCAGAGTCACCATATGGTATTCCCCTTCCGCGGTACCCACCTTTCCGCGCCACCGCACGCTGAGGAGATGATGTTGTAACGGGGCCATCGATCGAACTGGGAACCGCGTCAAGGAGCGAGGGCGACGAGCCATGAGCGGAGTACAATGAATCGTCGGGCTGATGGGACACGGACGCTGCAGATGAGAGCATCGGACTCGTGACAGATGGATGCGTCAGACTCGGTGAAGAGGCGATTGCAGAGCGTTGGTCTGGAGGTATTGAACTGGACGCAGTTGTCGACGAAGCAGATGGTGTAGGTGGAACGACTGTAGCCTGAGCTGCGGATTGCGACGATTGTGTCTGTGATGACGCAGCAGGAGCCACAGCCGCCGCTGCTACTTTCGCATACCCTGACGCGTTTCGCGGTGGTGCAGGGGCTTTGACCATACTTGCTACTGACTGCTGGGCGAAATTAGCATGAGGTGGTGGTTTTGGTGTAATTTCTGCTGCTATTGACGTTTCTATGGAGCAATAAGCACTGATGGCGGGGAAATTGTCTGGCAGGAACTTACTCCTCTGTTGTAATGACGCTGTCGCCTTCTTCAGCACAGGGCTTTCGCGTTTGTTACTGCTTGCAACGCTCTCCTCGTCATGCTTCTTTGATGGTGTTCGTAGCGGAAGATCTGGTGGATAATGAAGGGGAAGCGCAAAAGAGAAACGTACGACATACCTTCGCTCGCCTCTTCCGACTCCTCGCTCTCGCTCTCGTCGATGGGCATTCGGAACTTCTCTTCCTCCTCATCAAGGTTGAGTTCGTCGTAAACACCCGAGTCTTCCTCGAAGTCTTCCTCCTTCGTCTAGTATTAGTACTAACCGCGAGTATAGATCACAGATGCATACCATATTGCTCTCGACAAAGTACTTCACGTCTTCTTGAAGTTCAACGACCCTCTCTGTTGCCAGAGAACCGTTGTCCAGCAGTCGAAGGATGATCTCGAGCCGACTGATGTGCCACTTTCGTCGCTCATTGAGCCCTTCCAACGTCTCTAACCGCTCCGTCGTTGAACCCCCAGACTTCTTCTTCTTACCCCCGCCTTGTAGGTTCTCAATCTCCGCTTCTGCAGATTCCACTTGGACCATGAGCTCGTCCATCATGTTCTGCACCCACGACATCGTGTCGACCTTCTCTTGTTGTTTCGGGTCGAGCTTAGCGGATTGAGTGAGACCCTCCTTCGAGAAGGCTTTGGTCTTCATCTCCTTCTCGCAGGCCTTGAACTTCTCCATTTGCTATTTTCGCGTGGACGCAAGAACAGGAAGGTCCGAGGAAGACATGAACCATATTAGCAAGCTCGAGCGACTTGGGAGAGTTCGAGGGAGAATGCAACGGCTTCCCGATGCCTGCGCGCGAAGAACGACACAACGACGCTCCCCTCGTCTTGTGCACCTTCGTGTAACTGAATGGACTCACCGTCTCTATCAGCTTGCGGTTCTCGATTAATGCAGACTTGTCCTTGATGTCATTACTTGCGACCCATGTCTTGATTTGGTCCCGCAACCGCTGAAGCTTCTTAATTTGTGTCTTCAAGTCGGTCTCCAGCTTCTCCTTCTGTGTCTGGTTTGTTGACGCCTGCATCTTCTCGTATATGCTCTCGAAGAGCTCGACGCCCTCGGATACCTTCTTCAAGGTCCGGTCGATTTCGCCTGGATGATATACGGCTCAAAAGCTCGTATAGCACATGGAGAGTATGGAACACATACTTTGCAGCTTTCTTGCTGCCATATCGCTCGTGTGGAATGGTAGGGATGGACAGGAGAGGAGTACAGACGACAGTTTAAGGCGCTGGACGGAAGGGACGATGCAACCCATTAGGACCCCAATTTGGGGCCATCACGTGATACTAGTTCCTATAGTGAACGCTTGCCACTTGGTGAACGCGCGTTTCTTTCCCTCGCTCGTGCCCATATGGCTGCCGTGAACGTCAATTGTTTGGCAGATGCGGACAAACCTGTCTTGCGACAGACGAAGAAGCCCTTGCCCAACCGAGATCAGGCTCAAACTCGTTCCTTACACGCTCAAGCAAATACAATCCACTCAAAAGTTACTTTCAAAACAAAGCAGCTGAGATGAACGAGATACAAGTACATATTCGATGAAGTCAACAGCCTTTGCGCAAACGTTGCGTACATGGAGACGAGGACAGACGTCGGCCATGATGCTCAGTAAAAACGGCCTGGAGTGGTCTGGGAACAAAGTGAAAGAATGTAGCTTCAGTACTTAGCCGAGGGGCAAGGAAATATCGTCTGAGGCGCATACATACTTATATAGCGCCTTTCCGAGCCAGGTTGTGGGAATCCTCCGGGCTCGATTGCGAGCCTCGAGGCGCCGCGACCACCGCGTATGGCACCTTCAGTCGACGATCCCACTCACATCGCCTCTGTATCCGCTGTATCTATGCTCACTGCACCTACTTCCTCGACAACTAAATTCGATGCCCCATGTTCTGAGCCTTCCTTTGTGTTTCCAACCTGCCGCTTCATCTGTGGTGTCCGAGGATCTGTCATCCCCGCCAGCACAGGGTTTGCCATTCGCGATTGCCATCCAATTGCCATCTCCAATAACGACGGTCCCCCATCCCTTGTTAGTCGCTCTACCCGCATCTGCGATGCTGCACAATAACTCTTCAGCCACGATTTCATCTATGATGCCCATGATTACGACTACAATGTCTCCGACGCCCGCGATGTTCACCTTCTCCTGTACAGACCACATCTGCGATGCACACTGCTCTCTCACCAGCAGCATCCACACTCCCCACTACAGTTTCCATAATATCGTTCACGCTCCCTGCAGTCCCCGCCACGCCGCCTGCGATTCCCACCGCGCCGCCCGCCGCGATGTCCGTGATTGTAAGTACTGCCCCATGTGATCTCCTCTGCGTCCCCGCCGCGAGCAACCCATACCGCCCACAGCAATATCCCCCGCACTCCCCACCGTGAGCTCCACCATGTTGCCCGCGATCCCCGCCACAGCGCCCGTTAGGCGTACGAGTTCGCCTTTCACTACGCCTTTCACGATACCCACTGCGTCAAGATACTGCGCAGTATCGTCATCGTGTGAGCGAAAATGGGCCACGCAGGTGGCCTCGTACTTACATGTCCCTGCCAGACTCTCAGCTGCAAGCCGCAGAAGTACTCGCACGCCGTGACGCACACGTGCTAACGTTCCTACATCACGGCGAGCTATTGACCGAAATGCTTCTCATCTAAGCTCTTGCCAGAGAGCCAGAGCTCCAGGAGGTGCTTGTTGAGGACGGCAAGGTCGGGCCTGTTCCCGAGCTCGTGCATCTCCCTGGCCGGCAGCGACTGGTAGAGGCCGATTCGATCTTTCCGTCCTTCCATTGATAGATTGGCAGGTCGTACATCCCCGGTTCCCAACTCAGTAGATACATTTCTTTCTTCTCAGGCGGCTCGAGAGCGAGCAGTTGCTCCATAGTTTTGTAGTTAGTTAAGAAAGGCGCCTTTGGCAACAAACATGGCGAGATGGGTTTGCAGAAAAGCGGTCGCCCCTCGAGACTCTCGTGCAGCGAGTGTTCAGGTCTTTCCCGTTGCCGTTAGCGTCGTTGGGACACGTTGGAATCAGACGACGCACCGTCTACAAGACATCGAGGTCTTACCTTTGGCGTCCTTGACGACCCACATAGCAAACTCGGCGTTGCCATACTCGTTCCATAAGATATTGGAGCTGACGTCCTGCAGGTCGGTTGTTCAAACTCGGTCAGAACTAGATTCGCAACCAAACACATAACCGATAGCGGAGTTCCCGACCCTATCCCGCACGAGCTGTCGACTCGATATACTCACCCACATGGGCCGAAGCAAGGACGTTGGGGACATCGGGCTGAAGCTCGGCCCAGAGGTCGAACTGACCGCCTGGACGGGTGGCCCAGTCGTTCTCCCAGAGTTGAGTGCCGAGACGGATAAAGTGAGGCACGGGGGCGAAACGCCGTCCGCGCTTCCTGCTGCAGCTCATCCTGCAACTCGCCCTGGATGTACTACAAAAAAACTCTTTAACACGGATGGTCTCCGATGCAGGGAGCCAGGACTTACGTTTCTCGTCGACGTTTTCACCTTGGGGTCCATGGAACCGCACCTGTCCCACCTCAGCCAACCCGCCGTGAGGTTTGTCCAGCCCTGCATGGCCGAAGTCTGGCTGCGCGTCGAGCCGTGCTCCTTGCCCGGGATCCCTGTGGCGATTAGGCTGGTGAAAGCTTTGGTGGTCTTGTGGCCATTGGGATCTTTGACCCAGGTGACATAGCGTTGGTTAGCTCCTCGCAGAATTGTTATCAGCAGTCAGTCCCGCGAGTCCCGCGGCAATTGTCCTAAGTCCCCTGCTGCAGCTGCTTGTAGACCGTTGCGCTCGTCGGCCTCTTCTTCCCGGACCCAGGAGCCAGTCGCCTCTGATCGCACAAGGCTTGCAAGACAGTGTTTTTGAAGGGCTTGTCCTTGGTCATCCTGCTCGGGGACATAGCGAGTAGGCTGAGTTGACAAGCGTCTCGCGCAAGACAGAGTGAGATAATGAGCGAGGCCTGAGAGAGGTGGAAGGTACGCGTGGGGAGCGAGGATGGAGACCATAAATCGACTGACGACTCTTACTCTCAGCTCTAAGACGTTACAGAGACGGAGAAACCCCTGGAAAGAATTGTACCCTCGTCGGCGATGCTCACTCATGGAGACCATCGCGAAATAGCCATGGCGGCCACCATTGCCTTGGTTGGACTCGTCCAAAAGCCGGCAGAGCGAATCTTTGTACTCTGAGGGTGTGAGCAGGTTGCAGGTCTCGTTGCCGGTATCATTTCGCCAAAAATTACATGATCGGCTCCACTGAGTCCAGGACATAACTGCCAACAGATGGGTAACAGCTGGGTTACCATGGGATACCGACGGTTTCGCGGACATATTTGGAAGATCGTGGAAAACTCACTCGCCCGTTGAAGATGCTGCTTCTGTCGCTGAGGTTGAGTGCACCGTTTCCTGGGGTCGAAGCAGCGCAGTCGCACCCAGTCACAAATATTGGCGTGGCAACCTCAAAAGTTCGGATCACAGACGGTGGACGATCATCCTTGGCCAAAGTCACTGGCAAGCGCTTCAGGTCGTTCATGCGCGTGGTAATCAGCACAGGCTTGGTGTCGGGAATGGTGGGCGTGATGGAGATGGGCGGTTGACGTCAGTGCGGGGGTTGACAGAATGTGTCCGCGACCGCAGGCGGCGGCCATTGCGCTCGTCCCTGGGTGCAGAGTGTCTGGAGTGTCGGGGAGAAAGAGAGACGGCGGCGACGGCGACGGCGGAAGCAGCAGCGAGAGATGAGGGTCCGATGCGAACGCGCGCAGTGATTGGCCGGGGTCCAGGGAGGGTGATGCTCCAGATTCGGTCGGCAACAATTGGACGCTATGCGTGGGAAAGTTCGTGTATGGATGCGAAGACCGCTCCCGTCCGTGTTCCAGATAATGCACCCTACGGGCTCCCTTCTCGTCCTCTCCTTCGCCTCACGCCTTTTCACGACCCCCTCCCACTCTCCTTTTATCGCTATGAAGACCCTCCGCAAGTCATTGAATGGCCACAAGGACCACCACCACATCTCTACCCCTGCCCCCCTCCCCGCTCTTTCCAAGCCTTCCACCGCCATCCAACCTCCTAAGAAGGTTATCAGGGCAATTGGCGTGTATAAATCCACCGCTCCCCAGGAGCTCTCCTTCGAGAAGGGCGATTTCTTCCATGTCCTGCATGATAATGGGGGCCTCTGGTACGAAGCGCACAACCCCATGACCGGAGCGAGAGGGCTTGTCCCCTCTCACCTATTCGAAGAGTTCGCCAAGGGTACTGCTACGTGAGTCTTCGGTTCCGCGCCGTTTCCGTGGCGAATCCTGCTCATTCGGCCTGCGCGATAGTCCTCGCTCGCCCAAGCCCAGTAGTCCTTCCGACCGTCTGTCTAGCTTCAACCCCAAGCCATCACCCTCATCACCCAAGCTCAAAACGTACTACGCCATTGTCCTCCATGACTTCACGGCAGAGCGTGCAGACGAACTTGACGCCAAGTCGGGCGACCCGATCACCGTTGTAGCTCAGTCAAACCGAGAATGGTTCGTGGCCAAACCCATCGGTCGCCTTGGCCGCCCAGGCCTCATTCCTGTTTCCTTCGTCGAAATCCGAGACCCTGCCACGGGCAAGGCCGTGACCGACCTCAACGCGCTCATTGACAGTGGAGAGCTGCCTCGAGTTGAAGAATGGAAAAAGGCGGTCTTGAACTATAAGGCAAACAGCATCTCTCTCGGCGTTCTCGACGAGGTTGCCAGCATATCTCCACTGTCAGCCCCGCCAAGTTCGGCAACATTCCGACAATCCTCAGCAGATCCAGAACCGACGATCCAGGTTCAAGGTGCTACACCTCTCCCCTCACAGCCGGAACAGCCAGAAGACCCGCCCCGTCCGTCATCTCCGAAGCTGTTGCCGGATGGAATACTTCTTCACGCGGAAGTCAAGTCATACCATTACGAGGCAGATGAATATTGGTTCCGGGTGCAAGCTGTCTACCAACCGTACCCCTCCTCTCAGTCGCACCCCCTCCCATTGGCGAAGGAGCTGGTTCTCTTCCGCTCATACAACGACTTCTATGACTTCCAGGTCGAACTGCTTGAAGCTTTCCCGTATGAAGCAGGGCGTCCGGATACCTCCACCCGTGTTCTCCCTTACATGCCAGGTCCCGTGGATGTTGTCGACAACGAGATCACTATCAGCCGCAGGGAGGAGCTTGATGAATACCTCCACAAGCTCGCCGCACTCAAGAGCTACGCTCGCTATATTGTGGAGAACAAGCTCGTCCGTTTGTTCTTTTCCCTCAAGCCCGGAGATGGGGAAGTGAATGTTGAGGCTCGGAAGAGCGAGATTGAGACTATCGGGCTGCCGCAACAGGATCAACAGCCGGAGCCTACACAGGCCGACCCTGTTGGTCGGATGTCGCAACTTCGGGTTTCTCAGCATGCAGACAATCGCCTCAGCGACGCTTCCCGGTACGAAGATGAGGTCCCTGCACGAGAATCCTACTACAGTCAAACCCACGGGCAGGAGCTTCGCACACACTCTCGCAATGGCCATGGCCGTGCGGAATCAGTAGCCTCTCTGCGACGCCCATCCGACGGACTACCAATTCGTTCACACTCCCCACAGGTCTCTCAGTCCTACTCCCGCACACACTCGCCCGCCCCCAGTCGCTCCCACACACCGCTAGAAATTGATCCTTACGAGGCCAACACTGCGGCGTCGCGGTCATCACTCGCTTCTTCACACGACCCATCACCAGTATCAATGCGCTCCTCACAAAACGGCTCAGTGCAAACTGCTGCGACGTCTGCCTCGGGCCGTTCCAGATCGGCCTCCAACGCGGCTTACAATCCTCCTATATCCGCTACGAACCCCACAGCTGCGTTCCTAAAGATCAAGATCTTCGACCGCGTGTCGGACGACCTGGTGGCCATCAGGGTTCACCCGAGGGTAACCCACGCACAGCTCGTAGACAAAGTCCAAGCGCGTCTCGGTGGGGATGTCCTGGCTCTCCGGTATCGTGACAGCCTCAGCAATGAGTTCATTCCGTTGGACAACGACGCCAATCTACGTGGGTGGTTGGACAGTACGGATCGGCATGTACTGTATGCGGAGTGAAGTTTCGCTGTTAGACACAGGCGGATGGACTGTGAGTCTCGTTTACTTCGATTTCTGGCCCGTTCTTCACGGCACGGAACACATCTCTACGATATATCTCGCGCATGTACATACATAATCCCTTCGTTTTGTTGTGACACTCCATGTCTTTCCACATCATCGTTTCGCTCTCATTATCCAGTGTTTCTGCTTGAGACTTATTTTATTAGCCTACGCTGTTTCCTCCGTTCCATATGCTCGTTTCACTCTCGAGTAATTTCTTGACTCCGACTCTAGCTAACTAGGTTTGTGTGCACTATGTAGCACCTTGTACTTGCCACGCTCTGTACTTTTGAGTCTTGACATCACTAACGACACATCCGACGTCGCACGAGACGTTTACTACCTCGCTCTTGATTAGAAGCCGCTTCCACCGTGCTGCACGTCTGGGCGCAATCTGCACGTTTCTGTGTCGTATGAGGTCGTGAGTTTCATGATCAATGTTTGATGCGAATATAGCTATCGGCGAGGTATTAACTTCCATCTGAGTTGGTCCCAATCTACTCCCTCTGTGTAGGCGCTCAAGCGCTCATCAGTACATGTGCATTACTTACTGGACACCATGTCGAATCATCGGTACTGCCGGACTCAGCGTGACCCAATGGTGCCGGTGATGCATTTATGCTGGCAAGCACAGGTGTTCAATGTTCAAAACTTCATTTCCAGCGACATCACGACCAGGGTTGGACGCCGCGTAAGCGCCGGTTGTCATAATATGCCACTGGGGAGTGAGGCGCATGCAGCAACCGCGTTGCACACCCCGCCCACCTGCCTCTCAACCCAATACATACTCTCCTCGGCCACGCCCTCCGCAGCATGCTCTGACCGTTCCCTACGTCTCTTGCCGATCTTTTACACTCCTCACGACCATACCCGCACATCCCCAACAGATGTCTGAAGGGTCGACTGACGCTCCCTCGGGGGCAGTGGAAAGCCCTGCCGACGCCCCGCCTACCAGCCCGCCTACCAGCCCGCCTCTCTCCAGCGACGTTCAGGACCTCCTTGCTGTGGCCGATCAAGTTCTCCTCGAACGGGAGCAGGCACCCGAGAAGGCTGAGGATGAAGAAGCGCTGGAGTGGCATGAGGTCATTGAGCTGCAGGCATTCAGCGAGAGGAAGGCGTGGATAGAGGAGAAGACAAAGGTACGTGGCGGTTCCCATGCGGCTCTCGTGCGTCCTTTAACTTGCGGACACCACGCTAGCTTTTGGAACAAATGCCTGCCATAGAGGTGTTTGTGGGGATGCATGCCGTACGCGAGTCCGCAACCGAGGTCCCGGGGCTTCCTACACGCGAGCAGCTGCGACAGTGGCTTGTGGAACACGATAAGATCGAGAAGGAGACCGAGATCTTCGACTCTGGGGAGCTTAAGAAGCTGAAAAGGTTCACGAAAGGTGAGCCTCTGGCCGGCCTTTGTCAGCCGTGTCGATTAATTTCAAGCCTTCCCGCAGCCGCTGCTCAAAGGAACCTGTCCCCGGCGGACACAGACCTTATTGAGATCACGCTCACGACTATATATGCGCTCGATAAGCTGCTCCATCTACTTCGCGACCGCTCGGATAGCTTGGACCTGCTTGGAATTAGGCTGTCTTGGGAGGAGCGCCGCGTGGCCGCGTGGAATGAGTACCACAACATTCTCAACGATCTCAAAGACTTCTTGAAGGATCGCGCCCGTTGGTCTCCGGCGGTGTACGACCAACTAGAAGAAGTGGAAGAACTCCGCGAAGCATCTCCTGGCGAGCATGTGCTCAAGAGACGTGGGTCAACCGTGTCCATACAATCCGAAACATCTCGCGCGTCAATACCAGGGTACTCTCGTGGGGCGCGGTACAAACTGATGGAGGCACTCTCGAGGGAAGCGGCGCTCTTCGCGAGCCGGATATCATCTCTCCGGCACTCGAAGATCATCCCTACGGGAAAGGCGATCGACAAGCTCATTGACACTAGTCGCAAGCCTGTGCCGGACGAGATGCTTGACGAACAGGACAAGTTGGAAAACGATGGTGTGGCGGCCATGGAGCCGGTGAGCAAATTCGCCATGCAGATTGTGATGCAGTGGAAGAAGTGAGTTATGAAGCTATCGGCCACACGTACGTTGTTGCTGACTTGTCCCAAGAGCCGATGAGTTCTATGTAGAGACGCTCAAGGATAAGTCCGACGCGCAAAACCTTCTCGAGGAGATCGAGGTGGCGAAGTTGGGGCATCCTACGGCACGCCAAGACGCGAGCTTCATGTCTCGAGCGGGCGTTCTGAGCAAACGGCTACTACTCCGAGGCAACCCTATATCATCACCGCTCTTCCCCAAACCCGATGACCCTCATTTCCCCGACCAAGCTACCCACACCTCCACCGTGATCCAGCAACTTTCTTCCGAGCTATCCGCAGCTCAGCAGCAAGTTAAGAAGGTTGAACTGTGCGCAAAAGAGTATCGGGCATCCTTGGAGGCGGTCAAGCAGGTGGAAGGACTGTGCAACGCGGCCTCCGACCTCGTAGACAAATACGCGTCCATCGTCGACCGTTTGGAGAATGGCGTGAAGACGACATCTGGGGACGGTTTAACACCAGACATTTCTTCGGAGGCATGCCTAGACAGCAGTCGACACTCTACATTCCTTTCCCTCTTCCCTTCCATCGTGCAAGAGCTGGAGCAAGCCGACAAGGACACTACACCTCTACTCTCGCGCGCCCGGGTGGCGCTTCTCCATCTTGGCTTCCCAGGCATTGATGCTCAGTTCAAAGTGGACTCTCAGGCTACGATCGACGCCCTTGAGACCAGTCAAACCCAGGCCGCCAAGGCGAAAAACGTTGTTTCTGTACATATATCGACACTCGCGCAAGTGCGGAAGATTTGGTCGTCGATGGGCGCGCTCTTCCAGGAGACAGAGGGTGTCAAGAGCGAAATCTTGGACGCCATGTCCCGTCAAATGTGGAGGCAGCAAGTCCGTCACGAGGCGCCGCCAACACCCGAGAGTCCTACATCCATGCTACCCTCTGTTTTCACTTCTCCGCCCGAAGTCCTTGAACATATATCTCAGCTTCGGAGGCGTGCCAAGGAAGAGGTCTCCGTGCCGCTGGCTTCGATATCGCCTTCGCTTCAGCCCAGCCTTCGGGACTACCTCATCCATTCCTCGTCAGCCCTCGAAGGTTGCTTGACCTCGACAAGTGAGACTGCTCGGTTCTGGGAAGCAGTCCAGAAGCAGGCGACCATGATGGGAGCAGTCCGGGACGAGGTTCATATGTTCCAGATGCGCATCGAGGATCTCAAGCTTAGCTACGACAAAGCCATCCAGAGTGTCTCGGATGGCACTCTCCCAGACTCGGACATCCCTCAGACAGAAGAAGGACTCGCGGGCGACCTCTCAAGCACTAGGGCGGACGTTCAGGCTTTTCTCGATCAGCTGCCTAGCCGCGTTCCCTTCGTCGACGAGGTCAAGTTCATCGCCAACGATCTTCGCAGCCCGCGTAAGCGCCAGCCGTCCCTTGGTGGTGGGCTCAACCTGAGCGTCATCCAACAAGCCGCCCAGCCGAGTTTACCATTTGACCCCGCTGCCCTCGACAAGGGTGTGCGTACAGATTCCAACACGTACAGCATGATGCTATCCGGCGCCATCAAGACCCTCGAGGTGAAGGCAGAGCAGTTCCAGCTCGCCAAGAAGGCTCACAGTGTGGACATTGCACTGGGTCCTCTCACAACCGCGCTCAACGACGCCGGCGATGCCGTCTCCGCCGTGGGCGCATCCCTGAACACTTCGGAGGAGAGGCTCTCCACGCAACGTCTGACCGAGCTCTCAAGCGCGCTCGAAGAGACGGCCAAGGCTCATGAAGATATAATCGAACAGGCCTTCTCTCCCGTGCGCGCCTCTCTCCAGATACTCCGAGCAACGACCAGCCCTTCCGACGCTAGCATGCAAGCTGTCGTCTCCGCTCGCCAGAGAGCGGTGGAACACGCTGAGACTCAGGCTGTTTCATGGAAGAAGACCGTTGCGACTCTCAAGCAGCAGCTCCTCGACGCCCAGAAGGCCGAGCTGCTCAGACTGGCCGAGGAGACGCGTCTACGAGAGGAGCAGGAGCGTCTGGAAGCCGAAGCCGCAGCCCTCAAGACCCGCGAGGCGGCGGCGGCGGCCGAAGCCGAGCGACTCGCCCAGCTGGAGAGGGAGCGAGTCAAGCGCGAGGTTGCAGAGCTGGAAGAACGGCGACGCAGGGATAAGGAGCGGGCGGAAGCTGAAGAGCGGGAACGACAGGAGCGCTTCGCCCGTATGAAGAGGGAGGCGGAGGAGCGAGGGCGGAGGGAGGCGGAGGAGGCGGCTGAGAGGGCAAGGCAGGAGCAGGCCGAGGCTGAGGAGAGAGCGAAGCGGTTCCAGCAGGAAGCAGAAGAGCGTGCTCGGCGCGAGCAGGAGGCGGCGGAACGGCGGGCGCGAGAGGAGGAGGAGAGGCTGGAACAAGAACGATTGGAGAAAGAGAGGCTGAAGATGGAGCGGATCAAGAACGAACAAATGGAGGCCGAAGAACGGGAGCGGCTGGCGCGCGAGCGGGCTGAGGCGGAGGGGCGAGAACGGCTTGCACTCGAGAAGAAAGAAGTGGAGGAGCGGCAACGTCTTGCTCGCGAGAACGCTGAGGCGGAAGAACGGGCCCGGTTAGCACGTGAGAAGGCAGAAGAAGCGGAACGGACTCGCGTGACTCGCGAGAAGGCCCTTGTGGAGGAACGCGAAATACTCGAGCTCAAGAGACTGGAACGGGAGAAGCAAGAGCAAGAGTTACAGGGGAAGGAACGACGCAAGCGTCAGGAGGCCGAGGAACGGGAACAACGCGAGCGTCAGGGGGCGATTGAACGAGCCGCGAGGGAGGAAGAAGAGAGAAGGAGTGAGGCAATCCTGCGATCTGCAGATCCAACTATTATCGAGAGCCCTCTTGAGACTGTCGACGAGGGTAGCTCGGTGGTAATCGATGGCGAGGGTAAGCCCAGTACAATATCATACCTCTCGCGCGCAGTACTCACCTCACAGCAGACGTCTTCGGAGTTCGACAGCCCTCCACTGGTCTCAGTCCTGAAATGAGCGAGCTCGGTTCCCGTATCTTCGCTTTCCGCAAGCGTCTACGCTCCATGGGTATCAACGAAATGGCTCGGCCTAGCTCGCGATCCAACGCCGAGCTTCCAAGCGAAAGCACATGCAAGTCTATGGGCAAGGCGTTCTCCGTGTTGCGCAAGGAGGTTGCCTTTTTACCTGCCTCATTACCCGACGAGCCGGTTGTGGATGCAGAGCTCCGGTCGTTGCGCGAAGAGATCAACCTCTCAAAGGAGTCGCTGGCGAGAATCAACAATCTTGCGGACTTCGCGGCACTCCTCAAGGATTGCGACGACGCTCTGAGCGATTTGCTCGAACATATTGATAGCTATCCTTCCCCTCCAATCGGTTCCCTGTCGACGTCTTTTACTGCTAATGTCTCGCAAGCCCCCGAGGAACAATTGTCTTCACGGCTGTCCTTTACCCGCGATTTTTTGTCTCGTATGAAGACCCTTGCTCGAGCACTCAAGGATGATCCACGGATACCAGAGGAACACGAACGTATTCTTCAAACGTGGACTGAGCTCGAGGCAATGGCTCTCGATCTCATCAACGGGAACAAGTCGCGTCCTGCCAGCGTCATCAGCTCTGGTCGAAGCAGTCGCAACTCCGCTATTCATTCAACTCCTATGTCGTCTTCCCATTCACATACTCAGTCACTTTCGCAACCTCCTAAGGAGATCAAGCACAAGATACGCGCCAGTCTAGATGTCCCACGTCCACGACACGGCGTTGACAAGAAGAACAGCTTCTCTAAGCTCTCTGCGTCGCCGGGAAAGTTCCTTACTCCCCCATCTCCAGTTCCCAATGCTCGTCGTACGGCGTCTGGGCCGTCTGCTGGCACAAGCACTCCTCGCAGCTCCAGTCGCTTGTCCATCGCATCGTCGACGGCGGCCTCGTCAAGTCGCTCCGTCTCGGGACCAATGTCTGGAGTGTCACTCTGGGGATCAACGTACTCGTCCCGACAGCGCACAACCAGCGTCACATCAAGTGCATCCTCGTTGCAAAGCCCCATCTCCCTGAAGCGAGCTCTCCCCATAGTTCCACCATCACGCCCTCGGACCCAGTCCAATGCCCATGCAGGGTCGCCTGTGGTCTCAGACGCTCCCCACAGCAGATCAAGCCTCAATTTACCTCGACCACCATCGTCGCATTCATCGTGGGGTCGTGCGCCACGGATGTCTTTCGGATCCGCTTCCACTCGGTCTCCTCCTACACGCACCCCCGCTGCGAAACCGGCTCGGAAACCATATGTCGCGAATCCGAAGAACAAGCTTGATGTCGCTGTCGGCGATGTCATGAATAAACTACCTGTGGATATCAAGATCGAGCTCGTCGCGGACACCTGGAAGGATCAGAGTGGCAAGTACTGGATTGGCGATGCCGATCCCAAGCTCTGTTTCTGTCGTATACTACGTTCTCAGACGGTGATGGTGCGAGTTGGGGGTGGGTGGCAAGAGCTCTCAAGGTTTGTCCACACGGCGACCAAATCGAAAGCGTGACTGAATTCGTTTTCATCCATAGGTTCATCAGAGATCACTTCGCTGACTCCTTCAGGCTGTTGCCGGAGCTCTCCCCTCCCCACATTGGACAACGAGAAGAGAGGTGGATAAGCTCCTCCACTCTCGCGCAGGCCGTCGATAACCGAGGGTCGTCGATGTCACCTCCCAAGACGCCGGAGCCGAAGATGCCCTTCTTGCCTTCCTTTGCCTTGGTCACTCCCAGCGGCACAAGTCCCAAGACGATCAAAACACCACCATCCTCAGGATCGCCTCTTACCGCACTACAATTTATGCGACGGGCGGACATGGAGAACGCGTCCTATCGTCCCGAGACGCCGACTAGGTCCACGCGGAGTGGAACATCTTCTGTTATGAGTACGCCTTCGCGTCATCACCCGCACCCCGCGCCGGCGTGGAGGCCATGAAAATGTAATGCTCACTGTCTCAAAGTTTCGTGTATTTGCTGTGCATCATGACATTGTTTCGTACATTACGGGCATGGACCGTTGATATACGGATAGCCTTCAGTATTGGTAAACCTCAGTACGTGGTCCCTTGACTCGGCCTAGTATTTAATGACCTTGATGTTGTTTGCTTTGTACGCTTCGCATACGAACTGTTTCACGCCCGTCCTCGATACTAATCGTAATAGACACACGTTCAAGAGACGCCTTCGTCCGAACAGCGGCGCTGCCAGTCTGAGTGATGCCTTGATTTTGCCTGCTCTCTCTTTCTCTTCCTCCCTCCATTTCCCCTCCCTCGCCTTCCCCCTTGCCTCATCTCACCATCTCATCATGATGGACAATCTACGGTGCAACAGACTAACCTGTCGCAAGGCGCTCTCGGACAAGGCCGTTGTGGTGAGTCGTGCAGCTACATCTCAGCGTCCGCAGGCTGACCAGCCTTAGACAACTTGTAGGCCATACATTGTGCTGTTATCCTGGCAAGATGAAACACTGATCCAGAACACAATTCGGACAGGCTCCCATATATTTTGCGGTCAGCCTTGTCGATTGCTTCACTAGCCGTGCGCTCTGACCCCAGGCTACCACAGTTGAATGCGCGAATGAGCTCTTCAACGCATCAAGGCTTTGCCCCGGTGAGTGACAGACATTTCTTCTGTGCTGAGAAGATCGTCTGATCGTAAAGCACAGCTTGCGAGACATCGTTGACAGAGCCGTGAGGATACCTCGATCAGCTGTGGAGCGTAATGCTGAGCACTGAGCTTTGGTGGCTGCCGTTCCTCAGTGACGACGTAGTGGTGTGTTCTTTCTCTGAGCTGTCGCCGAACAGATCCCATGACCGCGGTGTCGAAGGTTTCTTCGCTGCATCCATCGAACGACTACAAGACCGTACGCCTGCGCATATAGTCACCTCCAGGACACGGCTCATGCGCGAATTAGTCTGTGCTGTCAGGGCTCAATCCTACAACAATTCTGGAGATATGCAACAGGTACGGTGGCAGACCGTAGAGCTGTTCAACGCTTGGCTGATATAACTCAGGGCATTGTCATTCTGGCAATATCAGATGCACCAAGAGTAGTGAGTGTTCCACACCATCGATTCGAGCACCGGCTTACAAGAGTCAAAGCTCATTTCAGCAGGCGCTATATCGCAACGTCACGGAGAACAACGCGCAGTTGGAGAAGAGGCTCGATAATGTGATCCGAGAAGGTAAAGTTGATGTCGGAAGTATCACACATGTTGCCTAGAACCCCACAGCGAACGGCGAGATCTCCCTTCTCACCAACAAAATCAAGGGTGCGTGGTCACCCACCGTTCATGAGAATCACTGCGAACTTTTTGTCTTTAGAGGTCGAACGTGACCTAGACGGGGAACGCCGCAAAGCCAACAGTCTGCAAGAATCGCTCAAGGAGAGCGAAAAGGAGTACCATAAACTCAAGGTTACCATCACTCAGTACTGCACCCCGCTTCCTTCATGACATGCCGAACCTTTGTCCAGACTCAGTACGACAAGCTCAAGCGCAAAGCCCTTCTCGGAGGCCCGGTCGGAGGAGGCAGTGGTAGCAAGGACGGCCCCGTCCCTCTCACCAACCAGATGCTCAACATTCCCTCCCGCCAAGAGGACTCGGCACGATTGAGGCAAGGAGCAGCATACGGCGTCGGCGTCCCCGGCCGGGTCGACGTCGGGGCGGTAGTGGGGAACATGGAAGCCGCTGGGGTGAGAACTCTCTCTACACTATGAGTGCTTACCATCTCTACCACGCCCTGCCCATTCTCGACCTCGTAGATCCAGCGCACACCCATCGTCAATCGCACCATGCCCATGCTCGGCGTGCCCCAGGCCTCAGGCGCCGCCTCCTGGAGGCACCCGCAACCTACCCAGGCACGCGGACGCGCGACGACCGGCCAGCGCCAGCCGTTTGGAGCCGTGGATACGTCGTACAGGAACAGCGCGAGCACGACCCGTTCCGACCACTCGGACAACACCGCGGACATCGAGAACCTGCTCACCCAGCCCGCACGACACGGTCATCGGAGCGCAAGTCTGAACGTCCCCGGGTCGAATCCGCAGTGGAGTGGGCATGCGCAGGCGCAACGGACTAGCAACAGTGCTGCGGGCGCACCGAGAGGTGGGTGCATTCATTCGAGAACGCTCTGTAGTGAGGCTGAGCCCGTCGGGAAATCCAGCGTCCAAGCGTTCTGGCCCCAAGTTCAAACCTGCTGGGTTCCACGCGCCGATGGGGTGAAGTTCTCGCCGAGAATATGTAATTGCAAGATGAGTCTAAAGATTCCGGGCTCTGTCCTATAAGTACAGGTGGAACGAGCAGTATGCGTACATTATGTTGTTCGGTTGTGCTGTATGATGTAATATGGATGTCCGTAAGGTAGAATGCATCGACATGGGCGGGGGAGCCAAAAGTGTGAGACGAGAACGAACCGAGAACGGTAGGAGGCATCAAGGAGAGTCGAGGGCAGCGATTCAAGAAAGTCGTAAAAACAAGTGACGAGGACCATGCTCAGAGTCAGAGAAACGTATGTAACGTGAAGTTTCATGTGCACATAATGTTACCCTAAACCTGGTGTGGTCGCATGCAAAGCGATTTTAGCCAGCATAGGGCCCGTTGACGACAGCTGATATCAAATAGCCAAAAAACATCGAAAGCTCTGAGAACAGAGAGAAGGGCGTCGCGAGGCACGCACACCCAATCTATGAGCTAGGAGGGAGCACCTAGTCCCGCCGCAGCGTCCCGTTCTTCTCGTCCTCAAGGTACTGCCCGATCGCGAGCATGTCCTGACCCGCACGACGGAGATAACCCGCGAGCACCTGTCGCTCAGCGTGCGGGAGCAGGTCCGCGAGCCGGTCGACCTCGCGCTCGAACGCGAGGTCGGCGCGCCCCGCCGGGGACACCCCACGCGCGGTGTGGGGGACGACGGAGGCGTGCCCCTGGCGCGCGCGCGCGAAGAGCGACGGCCGCCGGCTCGCGGCGACCACGCTCGCGCTCTGGCGCTGTGGGCTCGTGCTGCCCGCGGGCCGGGGAGGGCTCGCGGAGCCGCCGCGCGAGCTCGTGTTCGAGGTCCTGCCCGTGCTCCCGAGGGCGGAGCCGGAGCTGGAGAGCGAGGGGAGCGGCGGGCCGATGGAGAACGTCTTCGCGCGGGCGATGCGGCCTGGAGCGGACCGAGGCCCGCCGGGGATGGAGGGCGGGCTCGCGACGGGGGGAGAGCGGACTGCTGGTGGGGACGTCGACGTGGAGGGCTGCGGGCTGGAGTGCGCCTGTGCGATCCCGGGAGGGCGTTGCTTCAACAATCTTCCAGACGGGGCGCCGAGTGTGGGTTTGTCTCTGCGGACGGAGGTCTTGCGCCCGAGGGACGCGAAGAAGCCCGTCCCGCTCCTGGCGCCTGAGAGAGGGAGCGGGAGGCCGAGCGCCTTGGTGGGCGACAGCAGCAGGGTGGACGCCCGCGCAGGCGAGCGCGACGTTGAGATCTGCACTTGCGCCAGTGCGGGGTACGGTAGGTTGGGCGGAGATGCTGCGGAAGAGAAGACGTCCGAAGGTCGTGTTGAGAGGTCCGTGGCGGTGTAGGCGTCGGCCCGGATGGGAAAGGTCGCTTCAGAGGCCATCGACCCATGTGAGACATTCCGGAGGCCAGAAGGCACGGCGCCGAATTCTGCAGGCAGGGACGCATGCGGAGCATGGTGCGCCCCTCGGTGTGAGGCCTGTGTGGAGGGCTGCGAGACTGAAACCGACACATGTCAACAACGCTTGACAGAAACCTGGCATGACAGCAAAAATGAGACTTACGCGACCCACGGTGTTGTGTCTGTAACCAATTGCGCAAGCCACAGTCGTACTGCGATAGCTCGTTGATCTTCATCGCGTACATCTGCGCCCGCTCTCGCGACCCCCGGAGGGAGACAATCTCCGCTGGGTTCATCGCTGGGGGCCATGAATGCACGTACTTGATCTTCGGTACCATCCGTTTCCTAGGAGGAGACTGGACGTGGATCTGCGGCGGGGGCGTAGGAGGGGGCGGAGAGAGTGAGCGCCGAGGGTCGTCAGTGGACGACCGCTTGCTCGACCGCGATGAGCGCGACGGTGTGCGGGGGAGAGATGAGAAGCGCTTGAGGCTCGTGAGGACTTTGAACGAGCTCGGCGCGAGGGACGTGCTCTTCTCGTCGTCTGACCAGCCGCGGATGCTCTTCGGAGGTAGCGAGGGGAGGTGCGAAACGCTTGACGACGAGGATGCCGCGAGACGAACGACGGGGAGCGGGACACCACTTCGGGACTGGGCTTCTGCAGCATATTCGTCTTGCCGTTCGGTGACGAGTGACGCTTCGTGAGGACGGACTCTCTGAGGCTCGCCCAGCTGCTCTCGCGCTCCAAGTCAATTGCCGGCCTCCGCGGCACTTCTTCCTCCGACTTCGCCGTCTCCTCCTCCGGCTCATCCTGCTCAACGACCACGACGGGTCTGCCCCCTGCCGCACCGCGCGACGACGCAGGTGTCGCTTCATCGATCTGCGGAGGTGATTGGGAGGGTAGGGGAGACTGGACGCTCTGCTTGCTAGGCGACGATGAGAGGAACCTTGAGGGCGGAAATGCACCCTCTCTTCTGTGCGCAGGCGGCGGAGCCGACACCAGTTTGACGGAGGGCCTGTGGTTGCACCGAGCAGCGCATATGAGAGACGGAGGACGCGTAGAGAAGGAACGTGACACGCACTCGTCTGCTGCCTCATCGCTGTACACCGAATCCATGCTCCGCGCCTTGCTCCTCTCCTGGCCCGTGCTACCTTCGGGCTTCGGTGGCTGACCTTCGAGCTTGTCCTCCCTGTCCTCCACGGGCGGAGTTCTGGCGGCCAGTTTTGCGGAGACTGACTGAGGTAGCTGTAACGCCTCCTTGATCGCGTCTATATCGCGGCGGGAGTTGTTAGGTATGGGCGTGTGGTATCGAGGGGGGCGGGGAGGAGGGCCCGGGTCACCACGCGTGGTGTCAAAAATGGAGCGTGGAGGAGGCGGGAGCGGGCCCGCAGTTGCATGCAACCCGGGGTGGTAGTGCAAGAAGGGCGACGGGAACGACGTGGATGAGGATGAGGGCGACTGGACCGACGACGAGCCGGAGGACGAGGCGGGGGACTGGGCCTGGGGATGGCGCGCGCCGGGGTGGGCGCGGTCGCGACGGAGGAGCTCGGGGGAGAGACCGACGATGACGGGACCGACGACGGGCTGGCGGATGTCCTTGCCCTGGCCGATGGGGGGAGTGAGCATCCCGGCGTCGGCGTCGTCCATGCCGATGAGCGGCGAGGGGAACAGTCGCTGTGGCAGACGATCGAGCCTGGCGTCTGTGGCATGGCCTGGCGACGGTGGCCGGCTGCGGCCCGGCGTCTGGAACACAGGCACGCTCCCGTCGCCGACGCCGATGCCGTACAGGTCGTCCGAGCCGGGGCTTGCCGGCCCCGCACTCTCCGACGCCGACGAACCAGAGTGAAGGCCCACGATCCCGACGTCGCGCGACGGCATGCGTGCAAGCCGGGCGCGGCCACCGTCGACCGCCTCTGACGCCGAGCGTGCGTGTGTTGCGGCGAACTTCGCGCTTGTCGTCTTGCTTCCGGTGGACACCAGCGGGGCGGTCGAAGGTGGAGGGGTGAGGTCTTGGTACGACGACGGGGCCGCGTCGGGCGGCGCGACGAGCGCGAGGCCGCCGATGTGCACGCCGCGCCGCGCGAAGAGGGTACCGCCGGGCATCGCGTCTAGAGGGTGGGCGCGCGCGGAGGAGCGAGAGGGAGGGGAATCAGTAGCGGAGGGATTGCTGCGGCCATCGAGGTTACTCCTTTTACGGCCCAGGGACGCGGGGAGCGGTGTGTCCATCTCCACTATGGCGAGGCGACGCCTGTCTGCACCGCCCTCCGTGGGGACACTGGGCCGTCTCGAGTGTCTGAACTCGCTGCGGTCGCTTCCGGCTGCCCTGCCTGATCCCGTGGAGCCACTCGTTCGCTCGCGCTCACGCGTAGAGTGCGGCGTGGGGAGCTCTGGGACGTCGTGGGTATGCGTGCTCAATGGAAGTGCGCTGAGACTCGCTCTGGGCTCGGGGTTGACGTAGCTGCTGAGAGGCGGCGCGGGGGCGAGCGCGGTTTCTTCGTCGGACGAGTAGTCAGACGAATATTCGGACGCACTCGAATTCTTGCGCGCGTGGTTGGACGGTGGTGGGAGGCGTGAAGGGGAACGGTGGGAAGGAGAGGACTCGGAGTGGCGAGTGCGGTCGTGTCGGTCTGCGTGGGGAGAAGTATTGGGTTTGGAGCTGGCATGGTCACGGGCGGGCGCAGCCGCGGCTGTGGCATTGACGTACTCCTGTACTTGGGCGTGAAGGTCCGGGTCGCGACCAGCGTGCTCCGACTGATAGTAGGACAGGATTTGGTCCGTGTCGCGGCGAGCCATGATGGGGCGTGGTGCAGCGGTGGGGGGCAGCGGCGCTGGAGCACGTTTCGTCTGCGGGCTCGAGCACCGAATGCAATGAACGAGGACGTACCAGTGCCTGCAGCAGCGCCGGGCTCGCCTCGTAGCTGGACCAGGTTGAGGACGGGGCTCATGGGGCACAGACGGCCAGTGGTCGGGGCGGCCGACGTTATAGCGGGGGGGCTGGCGGTGACCGTGGGCGGGGTCGAGGCGACATGCGCGGTGGAGGACTAGAATCAAGCAGCGGTCCCCTAACCGTCGCCAGTTGCGCCGCGTCCCCGCCATGTCCGACGCCGCGCGCACGTGCTCCGTCTCCTGCGTCATAACAATGGCGCCCTCCCGACGCACCCATCATCCCTCCCTCAGCTGCCTTTGCTTCCACACGCCTGCGCACGCTGTTCCAGATGCCAACACTCGGTATCCAAGTGGCCTGCTCTCCGTATCCTACAACGCCATCCGCACAAGATACTATCAACTCCACGACCCCGCCCGACTCCATCCCGCCCGCCTCCAATTGGCAGGCTCAGATCATTCGCCCCGCCGCAGCACGCGAGCCTGCTCTCTCTGCGGGCCCACCGCTCACCAATCCATCTTGTTTGCCTTCTTCGGGGCCGCCACAGGAATGCGCCGACCCTTGTAGCCGAAGCCGTCCAGCCACGGCCACGCCTCGCTCCTGCGCACCTCGAACTCCTCGATCACCGCGTCCTTCTGCAGCGTGAGCGCGATGTCGTCCAGCCCGTTCAGCAGACAGTGCCGGCGGAACGGGTCGACCTCGAAGCTGAAGCTCGGCTGCCCGCTCGCGCGCCGCACCTCCAGCTTCTCCAGGTCGACTTCGAGCTCGAGGCCCTGCTCCGCCTCGGCCGCGAGCGCGACGCACGCCTCCGCGGGGAGAGCGACCGGGAGCATGCCGTTTTGGAACGTGTTGTTCTTGAAGATGTCCGCGAAGCTCGGCGCAATGACGCACATGATGCCGAAGTCCTTCCTGCAAGGAGGCGGGAGCAAGACGCGATTAGCTCTAATCCTCGCAGACATCGCAACGGCGGCACTCACAGCGCCCACGGCGCGTGCTCACGCGAGCTGCCGCAACCAAAGTTCGGCTTGTCGCAGACCAGGATTTTCGCCTGAGTGTACGGCGCGCGGTTGAGGATGAAGTCGGTCGGCTGGCCGTCTGGTCCAACGCGCAGGTTCGCGAAGAGCGCGATCTTCAGCCCGGTCCGCGTGAGCACCTTCAAGAACCGAGCGGGCGTGATCATATCCGTGTCGCAGTTCTCGATGTGGAGCGGTGCGGCGATGCCCTTGAGCACCGTGAACTTGGCCACCTTCGACGATGATTCGGCCCCAGGCAGAGGCTTTTCCGCGGCCGCAGCGGCTGCGGCGGCGGAAACCTGGATCGGCTCCGGTGGGGGAAGGACGGGGTCCGTGAGGAACTCTGACGCGTTCGCGAGCTTCAGTTTCGGGCCCGCCGCGATCTTCGCTTCGGCGTCCGCGCCCAGGAACTTGCGGACATCGGTGAGCTTGCCGGTGAGCGCGGCTGCGGCGGCCATAGCGGGGCTGACGAGGTGGGTGCGTCCACCCGGACCTTGGCGGCCCTCGAAGTTGCGGTTGCTCGTGGAGGCGCAGCGTTCGCCGGGGGTGAGCTGGTCCTCGTTCATTCCCAGACACATCGAGCAACCCGCCTCGCGCCAGTCGAAGCCAGCGCGTTTGAAAACCGTGTCGAGGCCCTCCGCCTCAGCTTGCTGCTTGATGAGACCAGAGCCAGGAACAACCATGGCATACACGCCTTGAGATATGTGGGCATCGGGGCCAGCAGCGAGGACGATCCTCGCAGCGGAGCGGAGATCCTCAATGCGAGAGTTGGTGCAGGAGCCAATGAAGACCTTGTCGATCTTCACCTCCTCCATGGGGGTGTTGGGTTCAAGGCCCATGTACTTGAGAGCACGTTCGATCGCAGCCTTCTTGCTGGCATCGCTGGCAGCGGCGGGGTCGGGGACTTTACCAGTGATGGGAACGACATCCTGAGGAGACGTGCCCCAAGTGACAGTCGGGATGATGTCCTCGCCGTGGATGTTGACCTCAATGTCGAACTTTGCGCCGTCGTCGGTCTTCAGGGTGCGCCAGTACGCTTCGGCACGGTCCCATACTCGCCCTTCGGTGCGAGCGGGCGGTTGCGGAGGTAATTGAAGGTGATCTCGTCGGGAGCGATCATGCCAGCACGAGCACCGCCCTCGATGCTCATGTTGCACATGCTCATTCGCGCCTCCATGCTGAAGCTGCGAACGACGGAACCTGCGAACTCGATGACGCATCCTGTCCCACCGGCGGTGCCGATGGTACCAATGATGTGCAAGACGACGTCTTTCGAGGTCACGCCCTCGTTGAGCGTGCCATCGACGGTGACGCGCATGTTCTTCGCCTTCTTCTGTAGGAGGGTTTGGGTTGCGAGGACGTGCTCCACTTCTGATGTACCAATGCCGAAGGCGAGGGAGCCAAATGCTCCATGGGCTAAAGGCAGGATTACCACCAGGTATTTAGAAAAGGCAGGCACTAAACGACATACTGGATGTGTGCGAGTCACCGCAAACACAGGTGATGCCTGGCAGCTACAACGAATGCCGGATAAATAAGTCAACAAACGAGTTCTGAGAATCGGGATACGCACCGTGAAACCTTCCTCAGGGCCGATGACGTGCACGATGCCTTGTCTCCGGTCCGTCATGCCAAAATAGGTGAGACCGAACGCCTTGACGTTGTCCTCCAACGAAGTGCATTGTGCGCGTGAGTCGGGTTGGACAACGAAATCTTCAACGGTCGTGAAGTTTTTGCGCGACGCGGTTCTGAAGTAGCAACGCAGTCATTAACCCCACATGCATAGAGACATGGAAACGATGGAGTGAATGCATAGGGCTCCGGGAATAGCCCGCGTAAGGATTGATGGCAGTACTCACGGAATGTTGTGATCAACGGTGGCGAGAGTGCAGTCTGGACGACGGACAGGACGACCGGCAGTGCGACTTTTGGGATGGTCGAGGTGTAAGAGTGGGGAACATGGAGGAAAGCAGAAGTAAACGCACAGTCCCTCGAACGCCTGGGGGCTCGTAACCTCGTGTACGAGATGGCTGATGTCCCCGCGCGCCAGTCAGAATCAACGGAAATGTCAGTTGCTTGGCGCGACACACCGATCTATGTAGATGAGCGCAAGTCCATCCTTGTCGATATCGCTGAGCGCAGAGAGTCGATAAGGTCAATATGGATCGCGGATGCATATGCCTGCGAGAAGCATTCGTACATGACATGGTCATCCCAGATCTTGTCGTAAAGGGTCTTTGGCTGGTTTACGGGTGCCGGCATGATTTGTTTTCTTCGTTCTTAACGTGTCGCGAGCGTTGCAAGGAGTGTGGGGCAAAGCCAGGCTGCGACCCAGGTGGAGACAGGAAGGAGAGGTGATGTGGGATGGTCGAGAGATTATAGGTCCAAGAAGTCTGACTCGATATGAATGTGGGGTAAACTGTGGTCGGCCGATGATGTCCGATAATCACCTGACATCTCCGTGAGTTTCGGGTTCTTGCACCGGATCATTCAAACTAAGTATCCATGTTATGTAAAGCGGACCAAAGATTACATAGAAATTGGGAGCTCGTCTTCGTGTATGTGCAGTGGTGCGCCCATGGGTCTTCAACGTTCAACAGCGACATTGCAGATATACTCCTGGCGCAAGATCGGTCGTTTGAGTTGCGGGCGGCGCTACTCACACATAAACCCGGCATGCACCACGCGAGAATCATAGTCAGCGAGTTCATTTGCGAAACAAGTATAATAGTGAGATGGCCTCGCGTGTATAGACATCTCGCTGCGGATCGTCGCCGACATCTTCCCACGTAAACTCTTTCTTCAGCAAGGTGAAGAAACGCTTGTCCGCCTGTTGGGTATCAGTACAGTTGCATGAAGGAGATGGATGGTGGTGCGGCTGCCATTGTAGCAGTTGCAACGAACGTGTGTTAGTATAGAGTACGGAGAATCATAAACCTGGGCAAGAGGCTAGCTCTCTCTTGCCCACGTTACTGCCCCCGACGGTGATCGTCTGTGACGCGGTGCCGCGCAGCGCAAGAAGCCGTGGATAGTCGTCCAATCGATAGAAAAACAAAACGAGACTCGCCTTTCTGCGCTTCTTGTAGCAAAACAAGACCTCCGTCGAGCGATCGGACACTAGCGCCGCGAGCGTTTGAACGAGGAGCGGGAAAGCGGGCTCAAAGTAGACGCAGTCTGCAGCGAGGATCACGTCAGGTCTTGGGATCTCGGCGGGCAAGGGCTCGCCCCTGCAAAAACAGACGAGACGGCGAAACCGTGAGCATGGCGCGCGCACTTCGGAAGCACAGGAAGGTTCCGGACGGACCAGTTCAGCTCCGCAACGGTCACAGAAGCCTGCAAATTGTTGAGCGCAACGTTTTGGTGCATGATGGGCAGGAGCGGTCTGGACGCGCGCAACGCGCAAGGGCGGTCTTCGTCAGCCAGAGCGACCCGGGGGAACGACATCGCACTCACGCTTGGTCAGTGATCCAGACTTGCGCGCCGAGCCTCCCGGCGACGAGGCCGACTAGGCCTGTACCACTGCCGAGCTCTACAACGACCTTGCCTTCTAGCGCGCCCCTGTGTGCAATGTACGCCGAGAGTACCTAAGAAGGACGATGGAACGGATCGTATCGCGTGTAGGGTGCATGCATGCAGGAGGCACGCGAACGAACCTCACCCGCCGGCCACGCGATGCCACCGCATCCCGGGGAGGCGTCGACGGCGAGAGCAATCGTGAATGCGCCGGGTCCGACGTCAGTCTTGGTGTCGTGTGAAGTATGGAAGACGAGCTCGACGGATTGATTGCGGATGGAGGGCGGCTGGGGGGCGACGATACCCGCGCCGTCCTCGTCGGAGTCGTCCTCGCGCAGATGGCGGAGGGGGTCGAGCGCGTCGAGCTTCTCCTCGAGCGCGAGGTCGGCCATGGCAAGGGCGAGCAGCGGGTGAGAGCGCGCGGGTGGGGCGAGAGTGGCGGGCGTGGAGGACGCGAGGCGGGAAGAGCGCGAGTCCGGCCACGAGGGGCGAGCGGGAGGATTGCCGCGCCAGACCGCCCATTGAGTTCCTCGGCTGCCTCCCGGACCCTTGCCCTCGCCTGTTCGCCTGCTATCGTCTCACACGCGCACGCTTTATCAACCTTTGCGCCCCCGACCCGCCCCCCCTTCTGCCCCCCATCTCCTCCTCATCCCCGCCGACAGCCGTCGTGGTCAGTCTCGACTCTTCGCGCGTCTGTGCCCGGTGCCCTTCTGACCAACCCATCTCTCCAGCTTGTCGCGCCAGCTGCGCTACCCACTTCCACTCCTCCGCCCGACCCTCATTTACGACCCCCACGATCCATAATGTCTTCCATGTACGAGGCCTCTTTCCGCTGGTGAGCATAATGCCTCTGTTCTCGATCCCCGATCGCCGTCTTAGCCGCCTGCAAAACCCTACGTAGGCCGTACCTCGACGCCTTCAACGTCATCGTCACTGGCTCTTTCGACAGCGTACGTGCTCTATCCCTCTCGTATATGCGCCCAACCCCCTGAGCCTCCTTTGATGCCCAGTGGTCACGCTCCCACTATCTCTCCAGGTCCCCCTCGGGGTATTTCAAGGGCTCCGTCCAGATCCCGTGGGGCGAGAAGGTTACCTACAAGTACATTGTGGATGGTCGCTGGACCACTACCGATGACCAGCCTACCGAACTGGATCCCATGGGCAACCTTAACAACGTCATGCGCGCACCAGCCGCTCCTGCACCCGCACCCGCACCGGAACCTGCACCTGTACCTGTGGTCAAGAAGGAAGAGCCCAAGCCCGAGCCTACACCAGCCCCAGCTGATGCGCCTGGTTTCGTCGAGACCGCGCGGCGTGCTGCGGTGAACATGGTCGAGGCGATTGCCCCCGGTACGGCGATGACTCCCGTGCAGACCCCGAGCGTGGAGGTGAGTTTCATTTCACGTTCTAGAACCCCGTGTCTTATCCGCAACTCCGAAAGACCCCCACCGCGGGGCCGGAAGCCGCCCCCGAACCCGTCCCAGCACCCCCAGAGGTCGAGGCTACCGTCGAGGCTTCCGCGGCGGCGGTCCCCTCCGAGCCCACTGTTGTCGCTCCCATCGTCCCTGTGCCCATCGTGTCGCTGGGTGCTGCGCCTGAGCCGACGGTTGAGGCGGCGGCACCCGCTGACGTCATCGAGGACAAGCAGACTGTTGTCGAGGAGACCACTACCGCACCAACCGCCGAGCCTGAGGTCATTGTGGCGCCTGTCGTCGCTGACGAACTGCCGTCAACTCACCTCCCCGCTACCGCTGAGGCTGTCGTGGAGTCTGCGACGGACGACGTTGCGCCCGCTGAGGACAAGGCGGCCACCGTTACGTCGACTGAGGACAGGGGGACCACCATCGCGTCCGAGTCCACGAAGGCGGACGAGCCCAAACCGGAGAAGGTCGAGGAGAAGACCCCGCCCACCAAGAACGGCGTCGACCCCAAGTACGCGACCGTCGGTTCGTCGTCCAAGAAGATGCGTTTCCCGTCGTTCTCCTCGCGCCACTCGCGCGCGCGCTCCTCTCTCGAGTCCGGCACGACCGCCTTCACGTCGGGCGGGCTCGGGGAGATCCCCGAGAAGGCTGCTGTCCCGAGCGCGGAGAAGAGCTCGCCGAAGAATGGCGCTAACGGCCGGCTCGCGAGCACGCAGCGCTCCAAGCGTCGGTCTAGCTTCTTCGACAGGCTCAAGGGCGTCTTCGTGCACAAAAAGGAGGTCGCGGCGTAAGGCGCGCGCACCTTGCGGGTTGCTCATTAATTCGCTCTGTTCACTGGATCGAGGATGAGGATGGGTTTGAGACGATCTTTTGCCATCATATGCTGTGCAGCGTTAGCACAACTACCTCTTGGATTTCACCTTTGGCTACCCTTTCCATAGAATTCTTCCGTACGTACGACCTCGCTACTGCGCCCGGTTCTCTTCGCGCTCACCGCCTGACTCCGCCGACACATAATCATCCTTTACTCATAGCCTAGCGCTTGTATGTATATCACGTAGGTAGTTTCTCTCTGCATTCGTCCGTACGCGACAACCGCCGCTCTGTGTGGACCAAAAGAAAGCCGGGAAAGCCCCACGGAGCGGTCGCTTGCAGAAATGTTGGCATGGTGTCGGCAACGCACGTTCAATTTACATACTCTAACGACAACGCATGGAACGTGGGCATATCAGAATAGCTTCGCCACGCGGGAGCACTTAAGAGGCAATCTTCAGGCTGCCGTTCGATGCGCAAATTTCGCGAAGCAGACGGAACGTGTCAAACCCCCGAAACCGCAAACCCACGCGCGACGAGAGGGGGACGAAATGAACAAGTCTCAAGTGAGAAAGTTAATCGTGAGTAAACCGAAACGTCGACGAGGGGGGCATACCGAACGTTAGACATAGAAAGGGGAGCATAATCGAGCCATGCGCACGTATACTCAACCTCGCTGCGGCGCTGCCGCAGCGGGTGCAGCAGCCGGCGGCGGCGGCAGGAGGCCAGGGGCCCTCCTGCACACGCGTCGCGCTCAGGGCCCGTGGTGGGGGCGTATCTGCATCGTACGTTGTATGTATACGCGTATGGCTACTTCATCTGTGAAAGGACACCATAGATCTGTACGTGGGACTGGGGAGGGGGAGAATCGGAGAGGGTGAAGGGGTAGGGCCTAGAGGAACGCGGGACACAAAAAAGAGGGTAATGATACAAGGCCCGCCCAGCCCCGAGGCCAAGACCGAGACAGTAGTGGGTGCCGTCACGCCAGCAGCTGTGTGCGCAGCACTGGGTGTTGGGAGAGACAGCACGGGTAGTGTGAGGGTGGGCGTAGGTGGGCAGGGCCGAAAGAGCCGCAGGCTCTGGGAGGGATGATGTATGTCATAGTGAAGTGGAAGCGAGTGGACCGGTAGAAGCACAGTGATGCGAGGTGCGATGGGGGATTGGGGAGGGCGGCTCATGGGGGGTACAAAGGAGTCCGTGCAAATGGAAAATGGGGTGGGTGGGGGAAGCGTTCAGTCCGCAGGGGGATGGGGGTCGTATAGACATTGAAATAAAGAACACAGATATGAGACCGCAAGTTCGAGTGATGGATGAATTGGTGGGGATGAAGCGGGACGCTGTCGGATGGATGAGAAGATATACGACTCCACACTTTTGACAACTCACCCAATAATTTAGATATCCAACACTGGAGTGCGTGTCTTGTCCGCTGTAACACCCAGACCTACAACAGCGCGACCTTGTTTACGTTCTTCTTCCATACGGGACCGAAGTCTTTCGAGCTGCCTCTCTTTCGACACATATCCGCGCTCCTTCGGAGTCTCGGGTCGCGCCACAACTGTTGCATTGACGAATGACGAGTCGGAGCGAGTATGATCGGGACTCGAGCCATTACTCTTGGGGTTACTTGATTCCCAGGAGTCGCCACCGGTCCGAGGGGACCACAACATAGAAGGGACGAAGTTCGTGAGGGTTTGGAACGACAACCGAGCGGCAATCGTGGGGGAAGACATGAAAGCGGACAGAGACGGGGAAGACATCGCGGGAGACTGAGCAGACGTGCTGCTCAGATCCATAGCCGTGGCAGTGGGGCAGGGTGTGACCGAGTGAGACCTAGAAGCCGCTTCGGCTGTAAACAGGGGAGCGCACCGGGGAATCAGATACGAACATGCTCGGAAGGTGAGTGCTGTAGGGAAGCCTACTTGGAGCAGGAGGAGACATGACGGGGATACCGCTAGGTCGGGGCGCAAAGGATGCGCGGGTGGGCTGGGGCACGAAGCACGGTGCCTTCAGCGGAACCGGAGACGAAGTGGCACGAGGAACAGGTATGAACGTGGGCGCTGTTGACACGCGTCTGGGAGGCGTGGAGAAAGACATCGGCGAAGTGTTGATGCGGAGAGGAAGCGAGAAGGACTTGGGAGATGACATGGGAGAAGAAGCGGTAGAGACGGGGATCATGGAAGGCGAGGACGACCGAAGACGGGGTATGCCGGAGGGGCTAGGAGTGTTGCGCTGAGACTTGAGTTGAGGGAATGTGAAGCTATCGTCGCCCTCATCTTCGTCAATGGGCTCAAAGACTTGGGTCGACTTCCCTGTGGACTCGGGAGTAGACGTTACCGAGAGGGCCGGCGTGCTCGTGTCAGCGTCAGAATCAGCGAGGTAGGACGCGGGCACGTTGAACGTGAACTTGATGCCGCCTTCGTCCTCCTCCCCAACGAACTCTTCATCATGGTCGTACTTGTCATTTTCGTCATCATCATCCTCTTCGTCTTCTTCCACCACGACGTCGAGGGGGCGTTCCATCTCGGGCGACATGACAATCTCTCCAACATCTGCCGGAATGACAAAGGGTGGGAGGTCGTCATCGAACTCCTCAAGCGCCTGAGAGAACAGCCTCTTGTTGCTCTCGATGGAATGGAGCTTGGAGTCGATCGGAGGAGAGTTGTCGACGTCCTCCAGGCATCCGAAGAAACGGTCCACATCCTCGATGGGGCGTTCCACAGTAGGCACAACCGGCGCGTTGGCAGGGAAAGTCCATGCCTTGACGAGAGAGGCGCGACGAGCGTGCGTGGGCTCCGAGGGAGAAGGAAGCGGGGAAGGAGAAGGAGAGCGGTTAGTCGAGGGCGCAGAGACCGAGTCACCAGAATCGGTGGACAGGCGGGGGGTGGCGGAACGCGCGTAATCGATAACCGAGTTGTAGGACGACGTCGTTGGGAAATCGTACTCGTCATCATCTTCCTCCTGGTCTTCATACCGTGCCAGTTCATCATCTTCATCGTCAGTTGTATCATCCTCGTCAACTTCATCGACAACCTTCAGATCGGATCCGTAATCCACCGAGTCGACGTCGGTGAATGAGCTCTCAGAGTCGATGGAACGGAAGCCGAGACCGCGACTCTTGCGAGCGATGGATGCGGGAATCGGCTGGGCTGCGGCGGTAAACGGCCGTGGGGTGTCGAGTAGGCCGGCGATATCTAGCTCGCGCTCCAAGTTCGTACGTGCCTTCCTCTCCTCGACGAGCTCCTCGCGAAGACGCGCGCACTCTTCGTCAACGCTGCGGAGACGTTGGACTTCAGCGTTGAGACGGGCGACATCTTGTTGAGAACTTTTGAGGCTCTTGTCCGCGATATCGTACCGCGCCAGCACTTCACCCATTGCGGCGGTCTTCTCTGAGACGGTCTTCTCGAGAGAGCACTTCTCCACTTCCAGCAGTCCGACGCGCTGGCGGGCGACCCACGCGTCACGGCGCTCGGCCTCGAGACGCTTAGCGTGAATGTCGATCTGGTATTGAAGGTCGACGACGCGGGTACGCCAGCCGTCGACATCCCTCTTGAGGTCGTCGCGCTCCGCCTTGAGATCCGCGATGAGCTGCAGCATTTCGTCCGACGGCTCGGAAGAAACAGCCGAAGAAACATCGGAAGCGAAGGACACAGGGCGGGACCTCGAGCTGCTGTTGCGTGCAAGCGCCTTCTCGAGATCAGTGATGCGCTGTACCAAGGTTTCATGAGCCTGGAACAAAAAGTGCTGTTCGCTCATGGAGAGAGGGCGTCCACGCTGCATGCCGAGCTGCCCCAAATCCATGCTGCCGGAGCTCGAAGCAGAAGTCGGGCGCCGGCGGTCGAGGCCGGTGGAGATAGGTGTCATCTCGGGAGTGGGGAGACCAAAGACGGATACAGTCTGGCCGTCCGAGTTTGACACGTATGAGATGCTGCTCCGCCGAGAGGGCGGGGGTTGCGTGTTCTCCGTGACGAGGTTGAGTGGTGGGCGGCGGCCAAAGGCGTTGGGAGAGGGGGAGGGAGAAGGTGAAATGATAACAGACTGCCGTTTGTTGGCTCCCGGGCTCTGAGACGCAGGAAGCGTCAGCGAACGCAAACCTGGACGAGGGCTGGGTGTCGGACTGGGCGTGATAGGTTCGACGCTGGAGTTGGCGACCAATGAGAGGGAGAGGGGACGAAGGTTCAAGATGGCGGGGCGGGGACGAGTAGGAGGGGATGAGGGGGTCGAGATGGTCGCACTTGCAGGAGACTCCTGGACAGGACTCATGATCTCCTTGGTTTCCTCCTCCTCTTCCTCCTCCTCCTCAACCAAGGTGCCAAGGACCTCGCTCGACGGAGTTGAGACCATCACGCGAAGGGAGTCGCGCTTGCTGCCCATGAAGCCTGTACCCGGGGGAAACGACGGCTTGGACGCTGGGATATAATTGAATATAGGTGCAGAAAACGAAGCAACTGGGATACTCACGAAACTCGAAGCTGCCACGCTGGGGAACCTCAGGAGCGTCCAGCTCGGGAATCTCGACTGAGAAGGTGTTCCCTGCATCCTTTCCCTCCAACGCCCACAGAGCTCGCCGGCGGATCGAGTCCTTGTCACCGAGGTTGATGTTGTCTTCGGAGCTGGAGATGGGGATGCTCGGGAGAGCGATACCCATCAGATCTGCGGATTCCCTCCGGGTTGAGACGGAAGAGAGGCGGCGATGGTGCGAGTTGCGCTTCGAGCCACCAAGGGAGTTGCGGGTAGGGGAGCCGGGGGGAGAGTCAACCAGTGGGCTGGTGGCAGATACGGGGGTCGGGAGGGAAAGAGACACGGAGACAGAACCATTGCGGGAGTGAGAACGTGAATGGCGAGGAGGAGGGGGTGCGCCAAGGGGCGAGGCAGGCTTGCCAAACGTGAAAGAGCTCATCTGTGTGGGCGGGGTTAATTGGGGATGGAGGCGCGTAGAGAGGCGCATAGAGGCCGGTGTGTGGTGATTCGAAGCGAACGGGTAAGAGAAGCGTGGAAAAATCGCGTGCAGGCAGGACGGAGAACATGCGCTTAGAACTCCATCTCGGGGCAGTATAAAAGTGAGCACTGACCCTCGTCCTTTCGGCGTCGACGCCGGCCTGGAAGTGAGAGTCGTGGTCCATGATAGCGATTTTTTTGGGTTTTCGAGTTTTTTCCAAAGGAGAGACAGTTCCGAGATACGGAAGGTGAGCGTGCAAAAGAAAGGCAGGACCACGGCCACAAGCCAGGGAGGGATCAGAGGGCCCGGAGGGGATGAGATGGCAAGCCAACGCTGACGGACCAGAATCCAAACCTGCTCTCGAAATACTCCCACCCGGCAGACGCTGGCGGGTGTTCCCACGTGTCTCTCATTTGCTTCGAGGCCCGAGAGCGGGCGGCGCCCCTCTGTCGGCCCTGGCCCGCCCTGCCGCCCCTGCCGCCCCGCGCCGGACGCGGTCGATACTTCCGCACGTCCTCCTCAATCTTTCTCCCTCGCCCCGCCTCCGTTTCGCTCGCTCGTCTGCCCCGCCTGCCCCCGCCCGCCTCACCCAGTCTGCGGCACCACCGACCACCGACGGGCCCAATCCGTGCCTATCACGGGACCTTCCCTACTCAACTCCAGCTCTCGGACGCCGCCTCGTCCATCGTCCATCACAGCCTCAGCAATGGCCGCAGTGGTGAAGCTGATCCCCGGCCGCACCGTCTTTTTTGTGTGCGACATCCAGACCCGCTTCCGTGCGTCCGCCCGCGCGCATCTCCCGCCGTTCCTGTCGCATGATTCCAACAGGCCACCATCACAGGCACCTTCATCCACGGCTTCGACCACGTCGTCGCCACGGGGAACAAGATGCTCAAGCTCGCGAAGGTGCGCACCCGCTCGCCGCCGCCCCGCGCCGCCGAAATAGGCTAACCCCGCGCCCGCGTGTGTCTCGCGCGATGACAGGTGCTCGACGTTCCAGTCATCATTACTGAACAAAACCCTCGAGGTACTTGTTCACATGCGCCGCGCAGCACCCTCGGCCGCCGCGCCCTTGCAGCTTGCGCTAAGCCATCGTTTCAGCCCTCGGGCCCACCGTCCCGAGCTCAACACTGCGCCGCTGGGCAGCCTCCACCTGGGCACGTTCGAGAAGACGGCGTTCTCGATGGCGATCCCCCCAGTGACCGCGCTGCTCAAGCAACACAACTTCAAGTCGGTCGTGCTCTTTGGCATCGAGGTCAGTGCCTGGCGGGCGTTTGGGTCGCATTACGCGCTAACGCGACGGTTCTGCGATCCCATCAGTCCCACGTCTGCGTCCAACAATCGGCACTGGACCTCCTGCAGCTTGGGTACGACGTTCACGTCTTGGCTGACGGCGTGTCCAGCACGCGCTCCCAGGAGGTGCCCATCGCAATCGCTCGCATGCGCCAAGCAGGCGCTCAAATCGTCACCAGTGAGAGCGCGGCGTTCGAGCTGCAGAGTGCGTGCCTCACGTATTTTATGTTTCTCGTAAGACTTCAACTGATGGCATCACAGCGGATGCGAGCAAGGATAACTTCAAGTACTTTTCTCGTCTCATCAAAGAAGAGGCAGAACGAACGGAACAGGCTCTGGAAGTATTGGCAGCCCCAGCTTCGAAACTCTGAGGGGTGAGCCTTTCGCAGAATGACAGCAATTATCTGGTGAAAGGCAGGTTGTATCGTGTAGATCACTTACTGTAAGGGATGTTTAATAGGGAGTCGAGGACTCTGATGTACCACCGACGCCTCAGGCCTCGGCCTCATGGCCGAACCGCAGGACGCTCGGAAGAGTAGCATGACTGATTTATCATGGGCCAATGAGCTTGATACCATTTTTGCGACAATACACAGCGATGCGTGGTTTGACCTCGTACAGAAACGACTGCAAAGATCGGGTGAAACTATGCGTGCAGAGATACAACATGCCGATCCACCAGAGAGAAATAAGTAGCCGTCCGCGGTGCGGCGCGGGTCGTCATTAAATGCAGGCGCAGTGCACACTACACACGATCAAACAGAGTCAGCACATTTAAACGAACAGCTAAGCGAGCACAACAAAAGGCACCGATCCTCGTACTTATATACGTAAAGTAAAGACATCACCACAGGACGTCGGAGATCGGACACTAGGGTAGATCGCGCACGTAGGCGCAAGGAACATACATGACGCGGCGAGCTCACGTTCGCGCACAGGCACACACTAAACGGACGCCACCGTACTTGTGGAACGTCCCGCCTCAGCTCCGCGGCCTCTTCCCCATCGTCAGCCCTCATATCCTAGATCCCGCTCCATCGCCGCCGGGCGGGCCCACCGACCCCACCGAAGCCGACCACAAGGCTGCTCACGAGCGGGCCTAGTGCGTCGGCCCCTGCTGCTGCACCATGCCCGTGAAGCTGTCAGGGCGGCGCATGACGTCCACGAACTGGTTCCACTCCGAGAGACCGAAGCCGATCGACGCGCCCCACATTGAGGATTCATCCGCGGGGTGGAAGCTGTCCTGGCCGTCGTGGACGCCGTGCTGGTGGTGCGGGAGCGGCTGCTGCATCATCTCGGTGTGCGTGGTGGCGTAGCGGACCATCGGGAAGGATTGACCATTGGGCGAGTACTGCTGCTGTTGCGGCGGATGCTGGGGGTGTTGCGGCGGCGGCTGCTGCTGCAGATGGGGGGTGTACTGCGGCTGGTGTTGGGGGTGGTGTTGGTGCGGATGCGAGTGGGCGTGTTGATGCGGTGGGGGTTGCTGTTGCTGCTGCTGAGAGTAATGTGGGGCGTTGAGTTCGGGCTGAGCATTCGACGTCCACCGCGTCGCCGATATGGGTGCTTGGGTTGTTTGTACAGTGGGCGGAGCCGACTGTGGCTGCTGGGGTGACTGCTGTGGCTGGTGCTGGAGTTGACCTTGACGCTGCGAGTTGTCCGAGTAGCCGCAGAATGCCCGGGGGTGGCTTGTGCCGGCTGTTGCGCAAACAGCGCGGCGTCGTAGCGGTTGTACCCTGGCGAGTCCGCGGATCGGGAGTACGGAGCGTCCTGGTATGGGAAGGCCAGCGTCCTGACCAAGCTGAGCACCTGTGCCTTTCTCCGCTCGCGATTATGGTCGGAGAGCTCGAGCAACTCATCAGAGTATAAGGGTGCCAGTGCCTGGAGGATGGTCAGTGCCTTGTCGGCCACGGGCATCCAGCGGCTTTGCTCCAGAGAAGCGATCGCTTTGCGGATATTCTCCCGGAAAAGGTTCGCCGCGTCCTGATCGGGCTTCGTGATTAGCTGGAATGAAAAGAACATAGCGGCCGAGAAGACGTGGAATGGACCCCAGTTCATGTGACCTGGTACGGCGAGGGCGGTATTTGAGAGGAAGTCGGGACGGGTCTGACCGACGAGAGCAATCAGCTGTGACGCCGCGCTGACTGCGATCTCCAGACTTTCAGGGACCTTGGCGTAAGGACGGTGGAGGGTAAATCGGATGTGGTGGTAGGCTGTTCTGATGATTACACTCTGGACTCCGAGACGCCTCACGGACGTGATGGGACTGGCAAGCGCGCGCGCGATTCGGAACTCGTCGAGGTCGAGCTCGGAGGGAAGGGAATCGTACCAATCCGTCAGGGCCTTGTCCTTTTCTTGCACCGAGGTGTACGGCACGGCACGGAAGGAGACAGCATCGTCCATGATGTCTCCCAGGATGTAGGCGAGCTTGAAGAGCGCGATGTTCGGAAGGTAGAGACGTTGCAGCTTGTCCAACTTGGGATCACAGTAGGTCGGAAACTGGGTATTGAAGTGGTGCCCAGCGATAGCGAGTGGCCGCCCGAACATAAACGCCTGCCAACGCTCGAGAAGAACGATGTGCCACCATGCCCAACGTCTTCGCTCTGCCACATTTCTTTCGAAGCGTGTCGAACCGGGATCACGGTGAAGACCATCGCCGTTCCGATGGTGACCAGTTCGCCGCGAACGCTCCAAGTCTCTTCCGGATCTTCTTTCGCGAAGGTCAGGTAATGGCTCCGGATGAGCATAAGCTCCACCAGTTCGAGCGAGTACGACCGCCTTGACTGCCGGCAGAACGGCGGTAACGGTCGAGCGCCGTCCGCATCACGCTATAGCATTTGCTTCCAAGCTCCTCGCATGTCTCCGACGTATTGGAAATGAGAGGGTGTCGTGGAGGGAGGTAGCGGGCTGCAAGTGCGATGACGATGCTGACGGTGGCAAGAACGAGGCGATCCCCGTATTTACCGGTCTTGTATCTCTCCCATCCGGCTAGAAGGGCTGGTTCGTTGACGTGACGGTAGACCCAATTGCAGTACTCGAAGTAATACTGGACGAGGCCGTCGATCATGTGGGGCGGCGGCAGCCGAGGGGTCAAATCATGGTCCCACTCCCCGGTGGAGCCGTTGAGCTCGTTGGTGTCTGGCAGTGTGTGTAAGGGCGACGTGGGGGATGAAGGGGTGGCAGGACGGTCAACTTGATCTTCGTCGTTGTCCGTGGCCTACAAGTGGTCACGGGGATCAGGGTGGGCACACGACATGGGCCATGGTCAACACTCACAGATATGAGATGAGATGCAGCGCAGGTAGGGCCTAGATACAGGCCTCCGGATGCCTGTTGGCCCAACATGCCAGGTGCACTGGTCATGTCGACGTCTTCAGATCGCTCTTTGTCCTGAAAGTTGACTTCCGCGTCGGGGCTTTGACTCGAGGGATTGTGGTCGTCATACGCTGATGGCTGCGAAGCATATATTGGTCTCCGAGCCGCCTCGGGGGAATAAGTCGGGGCGGATGGGCGTGACGCCGACTGGGCGAGAACATGGCTTTCTAGTAAGGCCAAGGAGTTGCGGATGCGTGTGAATTCGACCGAAGGGTCCAGAAGTGGACGGCTGATTTCGATACAGGCCCCGATGAGCGGTGCGCAGATTGATCATTAGGAAGAGGTCACTCACTGTTGATCTACGGCTCCTCTAAAGCTGGGGTCCGCTTCTTGTCCTTGGTAGCATTGCGAGGTCGTCCCTTGAAACGAGAGTGCATGCTATATTGAGGTACGCAGGAGGATGAAGACAACGAAACACACCTCGTAATACACAAGAAGAACAGGGTCGATTCCTGAGATTCCGAGGAGAGCGAGGAGATTAAGTCAGCAAAGTGGCCTTCGGAGGAAAAGATCTGGACGCGGAGCCCTCGCCACGAATCTCCCCAAGAGCCGATCCGAGCAGGTGGAAACTCACCTATCGCACTTGAGCTTGCTGTTCCTGCACGGCTCGCAGTTGATTGCCTTTCTGGCCCGCTTTGGGGGTGGACGCACATCAGGGCCACCAGAGTCCATGAGATCGTGTATGCCGCTTGGACCGGGCGAACGGCCGCGGACCTGCTTGATCCTGGGGGTGGAGAGTGAAACCGAAGAAGTGGCGTTTGCTGAAGGGATGTGGGCACCGTTCAGAGCCTGCGAGGCCGGCATGTCTGGAATTCCCGAGGTGAAGACCAGGTGCGCAGCAGGAGCGTCTCTGGCTGTCGTAACGCGCCTGAGGCGGGAAGGGGAGGCGAGGACAGTGGGATGGTGGGAAGTCGAGGGCGACGTCGGGGACGACAGCGAGACGCGAGCATGATAGGAGCGTCTGTGCGCGCGGCAAGCGCTTTCAACTGCAAACGGCAACACGCATGCCCGAGGAGAGTCCTCCGCTGGGCCGCCTCTTCGCCGCGTCCCACCGTGCGCGTTGACAGGCATACTCACCGTCTTCCCTTGCAGCCGTCTCGCGAGCGGAGCACGCGGACCGCGGGACCTGGGGGCACGCGGCGGTCAGGCCGTTGAGGGCGCGGCGGACAGCGCGAGAGGCAGCGCGGGGAGCGAGAACATGGTGGAGGAAAAGCAAGGGCAGTGAAACAATCTCTTGTCGAACGGCCGGTACAATGTCCGCGGCCTCCGCTGCGTCCGGCTCGCGGGTGCGCGGGACGTTCCAGAGATCGCACCAGATCCGATCTCTCTGAAGTGATCGGCGTGATGCGAGCGCTGCTGCCTCTCCTCCTTGTGTTCGCGTGGCCGATGTGCTTGGCGACGCCGGAGACGGTTTGCAGCAGTGCGAGACCGGCGCACTCTGTACTACTTCTGCTACTACCTAGTTTGCGGGGACAAAGGTGAGGTCCAGCGCATGTTCATTATTGACGATCCAAACATGCAGTATTAGTGAGTACTAAACTTGTACTAAACAGCAAGTCATCGTTCTGACACATTGCCAAACGACATCAAGATTCAAGAGACATCCGTCCGGGGCGGGTAATGTCTCGGAGAGTCTGTGGCAAACAGGCTGCGTTATACAATAGATGAGGCCCCTCTTCCAAACCTCTCCTCGTACTTTTACTTACGCCCGCCGTTCTTGGCAGGCCTACAACGTTCGTGAGAGATTTTAGATCGGGATAGGGTTACAGGATGCATCAATTGTTGCTCATAAGACCTTATCGGATGGGAGATGTCCCAAAGAGTGCGGGCAACCTCGAATGTTCTCGAAACTTCGCGTCTCTTTCCCAAGTATGAGGTGCGAGGATGATAAAAGTGTCTGGGAGCCCTGCCGCCTCACACGCTCTATACGACTGCTATCCACCACCCTTATTCTCTCCCTTGCTTTCTACTTGACGATATGGCCGACGCCCTGAAGGACCAGGGAAACAAGGCGTTCCAGGCAAAAGATTACGACAAGGCCATCGACCTCTTCACTCAGGCCATCGAGATCGCCCCCACAAATCATGTCCTCTGGTCGAACCGGAGTGCTGCCAAGGCCGGTAAGAAGGACTATTCCGGTGCGCTCGAGGACGCGGAACAGGTGTGTCCTGCCCGAGCTCCCCATCGCGCACGCGGAACTCATGCACGCGGTCCGCATACAGTGCGTGAAGGTGAACCCGACATGGTCGAAGGGCTACGCACGCACAGGCGCCGCCCTCCACGGGCTTCGGCGATACGACGATGCCATCCAGGTATACGAGGACGGCCTCAAGATCGAAGACAGTCCGCAGATCCGGAAAGCCCTCAAGGAGGTCACAGACGCGAAGCGTGAGTCCCTCCCCACCATCCCCATCCCTTCGCCTGCCCCCTTCGTCCGCGCGCTGATCCTCGCCCGCCCCTCAGAGTCCTCAAGCGAGGGCGAGGGCGGGTTCGGCCTGAACAAGCTCTTCGCGGACCCCGAACTGCTCGCGAAGCTCGCGCGGAACCCGCGCACGGCGAAGCACCTCGCGGACCCGTCCTTCGTCCAGAAGCTCCAGTTCTTCCAGCAGAACCCCAAGGCGGCGGAGAGCGCGCTCGGCTCGGACCCGCGTATGATCGACGTCCTCGGCGCGCTCATGGGCATCGACATGCAAGGCTTTTCGCGCGACGAGGGCTCGGACGAGTTCCCGCCCGGAGTCGACCCCACGAACGTGCAGACGTTCGGCGGCGGCGTGTCCGCATCGAAATCGACGTCCTCGCCTCCGCCGCCCGCGCGGGAGCCACCGCGGGCGTCGAGTAGCAAGGCGTCAGAGCCACCAAAGGAAGAGGACGTGGAGATGTTGGACCCGGAGGAGGCGGAAAAGAAGAAGGCCGCTGAAGCGGAGAAGAAGCTGGGCACGGAGGCCTACAAGACGCGCGACTTTGACAACGCGATCGCGCACTTCCAGAAGGCGTGGGACACATGGCCGAAGGACGTTGCGTTCTTGACCAACCTCGCCGCCGCGCACTTTGAGAAGGGCGAATATGACGAGTGCATCAAGGCGTGCGAGAAGGCCGTAGACGAGGGCCGTGAGGTGAGCAGTCTTCCCTTTCCTACTCCGCGCGTGGCCGACCCGCGTCGCGCAGATCCACGCCGACTACAAAATGATCGCCAAGGCGTACGGCCGCATCGGCAGCGCCTACCAGCGCAAGGGCGACTTCCCCACCTCGGTCAAGTTCTTCCAGAAGTCGCTCACTGAGCACCGCACGCCCGACGTGCTCAACAAGCTCCGCGCCGCCGAGCGTGAAGCCGCCGAGGCCGCCCGGCTCGCGTACATCGACCCCACCAAGGCCGAGGAGGCGCGCGAGGAGGGCAACGCGCTCTTCAAGAAGGGCGACTTTGCCGGCGCCGTCAAGGCGTACACCGAGGCGATCAAGCGCGACCCGCAGGACCCGCGCGGCTACAACAACCGTGCTAACGCGTACACGAAGTTGGCCGCGTTCCCAGAGGCGCTGAAGGATGCAGAAGAGGCGATCAAGGTCGACACCAAGTTCGTGAAGGCGTACATCCGCAAGAGCCATGTGCTGTTCGCGATGCGCGACTACACCAAAGCAATTGAGGTCGCGCAGGAGGCGGCGGACGTCGACGAGGAGCACAAACACTCGAAGGAGATCCAGGACATGGTGATGAAGTGTCAGCAGGCCATGTTCTCGCAACGCAGTGGGGAGAACGAGGAGGAAACGCTCCAGCGCGCAATGCGCGACCCGGAGGTTGCGGTGAGTTTGCATGGCTGCTGGGCCGACGTGTGCACTGGTTTAACTTGTTTACGTGTAGAGGATCATGGGCGACCCGATCATGCAGTCTATCCTCCAGCAGGCGCAGGGCGATCCTGCCGCGCTACAGGATCACATGAAGAACCCTGCGGTACGCGCAAACATCATGAAGCTCATCAATGCGGGCATCATCAAAACGCGGTAGTCGCGTCATGCCGCCGCTGGGCATTCTTGCGCTTTCCCCTGGTTCGGGCCGTTGGATGTGTCGAAGTCATTAACACTGTGTATCTATACTCCGCGTGTAATTCACCTCAGCTCATTGCTCTCCCACACCACCCTCTATGCTGTGAGCATCTCGTTATTTTTGCATGAAAGATCGTCATACAGTGACGGTCAAAAGTAATGCACACCCTGGCTCTGGCGTCTAGTGCGCTTCATGGCGGGCTCGAATCTCGTCCGTTTGAGACGATTTCTGTATGTACGGGTAGATATTCTGAATGCGAACCTGTGGGTACTTGTTTGAGAAGATTCGGACTAGTATTGAGCGAGATAGGAGGCAAACTCTGTGAGCCACCCTGTCACAGCTGTCACAACTGTGGGCAGGGGGCGACAATGCATGTCTGTAGAAGCAGAACAGCAGAGAGTTGAGAGCTGCGATTTATTTGAGGCTTATTAGGAGTCTGAATGATGCTCTGTGTATGAATTTCAGGCTGCAGAAACTTCTGGTTGGGTCATGTTTGAGCAAACATGGTTTTGAGCTGCCTCAACTCAAATCCGACCATTTGTTCGCACAGGCTCGGTCTGACTGCTACTGCAACAGTATGGAATATTTTTAACATGCTCATAGACGTGATTGATGCAAAAAACCAGAGGAGAAAAGGTGCAGATGTGGTTGTAGAAGGTGCACTGTGGTATTGATCAATGTCACACACATCACAAATCGATGTCTAGAACAGGACAAAGGACCCTGTGAGGCACGAAACTGCTGTGAGAACTCCCCATAAAGAAAGGCTTTCAGATAAGGCACGCAAGGTTGGCCGCTATGGCTTCGTTGCATGGGTACATACTCAGGAAGTTGCCTGATGTGACATGATCATATTCAATGATTGCCCTGCCTCCATTGTTTTGCCTTCCTGGCTGTCTGTATGCTGGAATTTTAGCTTGAGCACATTTCAGAGACTTATAAAGTTGATACAGACAAATACCAAGCACGAATTGCGAAAAACACGGCGAACCTGGGACGGGGGATACTTGGTGAAGCCGCACATGTCACATCAGGCAACTTCCTGAGTATGTACCCATGCAACGAAGCCATAGCGGCCAACCTTGCGTGCCTTATCTGAAAGCCTTTCTTTATGGGGAGTTCTCACAGCAGTTTCGTGCCTCACAGGGTCCTTTGTCCTGTTCTAGACATCGATTTGTGATGTGTGTGACATTGATCAATACCACAGTGCACCTTCTACAACCACATCTGCACCTTTTCTCCTCTGGTTTTTTGCATCAATCACGTCTATGAGCATGTTAAAAATATTCCATACTGTTGCAGTAGCAGTCAGACCGAGCCTGTGCGAACAAATGGTCGGATTTGAGTTGAGGCAGCTCAAAACCATGTTTGCTCAAACATGACCCAACCAGAAGTTTCTGCAGCCTGAAATTCATACACAGAGCATCATTCAGACTCCTAATAAGCCTCAAATAAATCGCAGCTCTCAACTCTCTGCTGTTCTGCTTCTACAGACATGCATTGTCGCCCCCTGCCCACAGTTGTGACAGCTGTGACAGGGTGGCTCACAGAGTTTGCCTCCTATCTCGCTCAATACTAGTCCGAATCTTCTCAAACAAGTACCCACAGGTTCGCATTCAGAATATCTACCCGTACATACAGAAATCGTCTCAAACGGACGAGATTCGAGCCCGCCATGAAGCGCACTAGACGCCAGAGCCAGGGTGTGCATTACTTTTGACCGTCACTGTACATGTCGAATCCAGTGGTTATGCACCTCGCACGAGTCCCCCGCCTCCGTCCGCGCGCACCCGTCAGGGCAAGGGTAGTCAGGGTTGTACTGCCACAGGAAGAACGGATCCGTCTCATTCGTGAGCACGGCCCCCATGAGCCGCGACTCGGTCGAGAGGTCCGTCGACTGCTTGAACACCTCGAGCGACGGGATCCGGATCTGGCCCCAGCCCTGCTTGATGAGCTTCTCGATGGTCGAGCCGTAGATGTACTCGCGGAAGCCCGCCCAACGGATCGCGGACGCGCACTGCCCGCCCGCGGAGCTCGGAGTCAGCGACGAGCGTGTAGAAATCGCGAGAAAGAAGCTCACCATGGGGCAGCTCTCGGCGTTGGTGTACAGGCTGAGGTCCGCGAACGCCGCCGACGCCTGCGCGGCCGTGTAGTTGTACGGCCCGTGCGGGTCCGTCATGACCGCGGTGCAGTTCGCAATCGCCGCCATCTCGCCTGCAGGGAGTCCGGTAGACTGCGTCAGTCGTCGCCCTGGACCGGTCTGTACGCCACCACGTAGAGGGCGAGGCCGGAGACTCGGAGAGAGGTTGGACGAGGCTCACCGTGCATGGTGGGGTTCCCCATCGTCCCGCCCGAGTTGATGCCGATGCAGACGAGCTCGCCGAGGCCGCCGACGGTGTGGTTCACGATCGCGGTCGCGAACGCGGCGAACGGGCACGGGGTGGAGAGCTCCGAGAGCGCAGCGTTTGCGCGGCGCATCCAGTGGGCGCGCGTGCTGAAGGGGATGCCGTTGATGGAGAGCTTGGGGTCCGCGAGCGCGGTGTAGGAGCTCGCGGAGCAGGCGGTCGCGATGGACGCGAGGGTGGTGGCGAGGGTGAGAAACTTCATGGCAAGGTCGTGAGGGTACTGCAGGGGGCGTGCGTGAGTCCTTCGAGAAAATGGGGTGAAATCTTGGGTGCTAGTGAGCGACATACCGGCAGAAGGTGAAGAGGAGAGTCGGTGAAGGAGGAGGAGGCTCTCCGGGAGTCCGTCTCTGCAGCACCACGCTATAAGACCTCCTGGGAGTGCGATAAGCGAGGCATTACAGACGGTTCCACGGAATCAGCGTGAGAGACGTCGGAATAGTGGATGATTGTGCCAGGGCCCAGGGGCGGACGCCGGCGCAAGTGTATGGGTGGTTGTTTACGCGTGTGCCTCATCACAATCGTTGTTTTGAAGTACGGGTGCCGGGGTACGATAAACGGCGGGTCGGCGGTAGTCTATAAGCCCAAGATCAGTGACGATAAGCAGGATAACCGCAGGAATTAACTTGCCTGCACGTTGTTCTGCGTTCTTCATCTCAGCGAGAACGTAACGTGGTGGTGTCTGGTGGGGAAACATGGATGTAAATGGTGGGTTGATGTGGATCCGTGGTCGACCTTGGAACTAGTGGGCGGCGGCCTTTCCGTTTCTCAGGTGCACCCCCATCAATACACCACTACGCCCCCTCGAAGAGAAGACTAGTTCGTCGTTTTTCGACCGAATGTTGGGATGGGTGATGTACGCTCTCAGGTTGACGAGATTTTTCGAAAGCGGTGATGCGGCGGTTCATTGCGGACAACAGGACACTTTTTGAATTCTAACCAACAAATCTGATACACATAACGTCAATCGCGATGACTCTCAGGACTTCCACAACTCATCTTTGTGTTTGTCTACTTTGTCTCCAGCGGAAGCAGTGCCTTGGGCTCCGGCGACTGCCACATGTACCCCTGCATGTCCCCAAACATATCCGCCACGGTCTTCTCCAGTTCATCCCTCTCGGCCGTGTCCTTAGCTTCCCTCACCCGCCGCCACGCTGCGACGCACTGGTGCACTTCCGCGACGGTGCTCAGGCCGATGACGACCGGCATTCCGAGTTGCTCTCCTTTCCGGAACGCGAACCCGGTCGCGAGCTCCGGTAGGCCCCCAGCCCAGCCCCTCCCGGTGAGAAGGGCGTGCGCTTCGGTAGCGGTTGCCCTCGCAGCATCCGAGGCAGGATGCCATGTCGGGACGCGCGGAGTGAGGAGACCCATGCAGAGCGGGGAGGCGGTGAGTAGCTGTCGGACCTTGGCCCGCTCCTTGAAGGCGGCGAAGTGCGTGGCGAACAGGGAGTTCTGGAGCGAGACGTGCGTGTAGGAGAGCATGATGTCGAGCGGCTTGCCGGTCTTGTGGAGAACGAGAAGGGCGAGGCGGAGGAGCACCGGCAACGGAAGGGCTGTTGTTGTAGCATGAGCAGATAAGACGTCGACATCGCAGGAGATACAGCCAAGCCAGACATACCTGATATGCCAATGGCTTTGACCTTGCCTTCCTCTTGGAGTTTCCTGAGTTCTGCGATACCCTCCAAAATCCTCTCGTCTCCTGGCCCCCAAATCTTGCCTTCTTGGCCAGGCGCAAGACCGTACTCCGCACTCTGGCTTGCGAGCGCCTCGTGAGGGTTACCCCCCTCAAGAGGGCCAACTTGCTCGCATACAAACTCGGCGTCGTGAAGGTAGACGGCGTCGAGGTAGGTTGTATGCATGCGCGCGAGACTCCGCTCGATGCTGGCGCGAATCGTAGGGCCGGAGTAATCGAATTCCTTGATGTTGAAGCCATAGCGGCCGCACTTGGTGATCTACGCAAGGGAAGGAGCGGTTGCATGAGAGAGAAGAAAGGTAGGTCATGGAGCAAGAACATACAATCTTGTAGGACTCTCGTGGGAACTCGTCCGCCACGGCCTTGAGTGCATTACCGAGCACGATCTCGGAGGGACCGTAATACGGAGAAGTGTCGAAACCACAGATGCCATATCTTGGTGGGATGCTTGAGATCTATGCCACGATATCGCAGGAGAGACGCACATACCTCAGCGCAAGTCGGACAGTACGAACAGGCTCCGCGCTAGAGTAGTCTTCTTCTGAGTTGTAGAAACCCGAGAAGGTGGCGGCGCCCAAGACGACACTAGGAATGGTCAGTTCGCCTATAGCCGGCTGCAGAAGCCGTCAGTCTAGGGATACGGTGATGAGAGATCGGGAAATCACCGTACAATCGCCAGACCTTCCGCCGGCTTGTCCTCCGAGCCATCCGGGACGGTTTTCAGAGGTTTAAAGACAGGTTGGACGGATCCTAGGGCGACGACCATGTCTGGTATGTTGCTTTGAGGTCTGCTGCGTTCTCGAAATGCGTGTTGCCCCGTTCGATGTGGTAGAGGAGGAAGACGCGTTGATGAGGAAGATAGGGCTTGCTGTCCTCACCCGTTGTCCACAGCCCAATCCCCCCGAGTCCCCGACGGTAGCGCACGGCCCGCGCACGGTTCTCACAGGGTCACGAGATGGTCCCCACAAACCTCCCACTGTCGGTGAAAGCACGGTGCTTTCGATGGACAGAGCATGCAGGTAGAACAAATAGAATTTGAGCAGAGGCGCAGCTGCTTCTTCTACGTACTGCGACAGAAATTCGGACTGAAGTGCGTTCGCGACAGGCGACAGGCCCAACATCCACCTTTCCAGCCCTCCGCCACGGCGTACGTGGCGGCGCCCACGGTTGTACACAGTTTAAAGCTTCTTGCGGTCCCAGCTAGGGAGCACGGAAGTGGTTGCACGTTCGTCAGTGCACGAGCGTCATGGGCGCGGTGCAGAGGCGTACCTCTTGTCGAAGTGCTGGTTCACGGTGAGGAGCTTGGTGGTTTCGTTGGGCTTGACGTCGTTCCAGGGGGTCGGGTTCTCCTTCGTCCAGACAACTACAGGGAAGAATCGAAGGTGGACGGGGGACGGGCAGTCAACGCGCTGCACAGATATCGGAAGATGAGGCTACGCACTGGAGGGGCCACGGGCGAGGCGGGTGAGATACCAGCCGGCACCGAAAACAGCACCACCAATGACAAGGTAACTTGGGTGTATCAGCCCACCCACTCCGTCCCAGCCGACTCCGTACACTCACATGGGCGTCGCCTTCCGGACGGAGGGACCCGCATCAGCCCAATGCGGACCCTGAAGAACAGTCGAGCAGACGCACCTCAACGGCGAACCAGTGCTTCATGAAGCTCCGACGGAAGGTCGACATGGCGGGCCTGGCAAGAGCGAGAGTGGTAGCAGCAGCAGCGAGCGAGGGGGGGAGGAGGACAGGCGAGACGTTGGCGGCCGGGCGTGTTCGTCGCGCTTTTCGACTTCACCCGACGGGCAGCACCGTTCCCACGGTGCCGCACCAGCGCGCCTGGCCGTCTCTCGCCCCGCCTCGCTTCCGACCATCATCGCGCGCGGCCCCGTCCTCGACGCCGTCGACATCCATCCCCCAGCGCACGCACTTCCATCGGCCCATACGCCTGGGCACCCGCGCGCGGTGGTGGTGACGTCGACGCCTTCCATCGCGCGCGACGCATGCGCGTGCTGCACACCCGCTCCGGACTCCGGGCCCCCTGCCGCGCACGGAGCCGTCGGAAGGCCAGCATAAGGGCACCCCTCTCAGACGGGGCTCCGACGCGATCAGAGCACAAGACCGTCGCGTGGCCTCTGCCATGGCGTGGCGGGCTGCGCGCAATGACCGCGCGCGCGACGCGCATGGCAGGCGCGAGCGAGCAGCGAACTCAGAGACGGCAACCACCGCCGCGGGCGAGGGAGCGATGTACAAGGCCCGAGGAACACGCAGGACCCTGGCGAAGCGGCGGCGAGAGTCAGATGGACGGCGCAGCCTCCTCGCGGCGGGAGAAGGGAAGGCGCAGGAGTGCAGAGATGCGCAGACAAGGACACATTGCCTCTCATGCTCGCGCGTGGCTGCCGGCGGGCCTACCCGCGAGGCTCGTCGCCCACGCCGACGTCGTCGACGCTGCGAGCTGCGAGGCCCGAGGCGTGATCGGTGGGTGCTGCTGCGTCGGGGGCTCTAGGGGACGACGTGCTTCGTACCCCGCCCGCCCCCGCCCGCGTGGATGCGAGGCAACACGCGAAGGCGAAGACGAGACGAAGCTGAGGCACGAAGCAGCAGACGGTCGCGCATGCAGTGCGAACCCTCGGCCGCCCCCGTCGCTTGGTGCTGAGCTTCGTCTATAGCAATGCAAACAGCCTAATGCAACCGCCCTGCCATGTCCGAGCGTCGGGGCGCACCCCCAGGACCCCCGCGGAAGCACACTGCACAGGATTCGAGCCCACGTACGTACGAGCCCGCGCGGGGTGGAGCGTGGTCCCTGGGCACCGTCACCGACCGTGGCGGCGTTCAGCGCTGCGAAGCCCGCAGGCCCACACAGCTGCCCACAATCTGAATCCCGCTCGCAGTAGTACCCGCACTTCCTGCTGAGCACGAGCACGACCGAGTGGGCGTGCCAACGTGCAGGGGCCCATGGGATCAACTGGTGACAGGCCTGAGGTATCGAGAGTCCAGCTCGGTCTATGAGGGTGCACTGTGCAGGGCTCTCCGGCGCGTCCATCCGGTTCACACTGCGAGCGTAAGAAGGTGAGCCTGAAAGGGGGCTCTAGAGCGACCGGACACGCACGCGGCGGGGTGCAGGCAGCGTGAGAGCATCAATCTTGGGCCAGATTGCGACAGCAGGGCGTGACAAACGAATACGACAAGGTTGGTACATACAACGAGCGAGCGGGTAGGGTTCGACGATCGAGCGAGAACTCGAAAGGCGTGTCTGTGACATTGTTCGTGTCCACAACGTTCGTAGCTCCTTTCAGACAGTAGCGCAGGGAGAAGTACGCGCCAGTCTGAGCCTGTTATGCCACCATCGCGCTGGGGGCAGAACGCACCGCCTGGGTGTACTTTTGCACCCGCCTCGTACGACTCGCGGTTTCAGAGCGCAGTGCGCTCAAGAGAGTTCGAGCACGCGGCGAGAGGTCTGTCTGTAGGTCCACGGCGACGAGCACCTGGTCGATGAGCGTATACGGCAGCCACGTAACTGCCGCAGTCTTTGCCACTTCGTCGGTGAGGCGCGAGTCGCTCTGTCGGAAAAATAGTTGGTGCAAGTCGGGAGTATTCGAGCAAGCGAGGACGGCGGACGGGGAAGATCGGGCACGACGCATAAGCGAGAAGGAAAGAAACGGAAGAACTGGATCAGCCGCTGTATCTGCGCGGGGCGCTGTACGAGACCGGGGCGAAACGAGGCTCACCTTGCGCATCATCGTGAGGGTGTGGTCAATTGCGGACTCAAATGCCTCGTACCGCAGACACGTACGGATGAGGTACTCCGGGTGCTGCTCCTGCATCGCCCGCGCTGCATGTCAGTATTTCTCCGAGCACGGGGTATGGAGACAAATTCACGGCGGGGGCGAAAGCGGGAATTGTGAGACACGAACGCACCTGAAGCGACTGTACAAGCCAAAGCGCCGGCGCAGCAGAGCGGTCGAAGCCCATGACGGTCTCGAGTGCGACCTTGGCGTAGGCATAATCGGTTGCGGGTCCGTCGTGCCGCTCGAGCGCCTGACGCAGATATCGCCAGCCTTTGTCCGCGGAGGACCCCGGCCAAGAGGCAACCTTGTCTGATAGTAGCCAATCGGACGTATCTTCGCCCCTATATGCACAGAATAAGCATCGAGTATCCTATCCAAACTACCGGGGGCGGCGCTTTGTGTGGTGAAGTTGAGGGGAGCACTTACATCACAGAGTCTGGATCGCGAGAGAGCCGTAAGCAGCGCGCTGTGAGGTGGCTGAATACGTCAGACATGTCCACGTCTAGGCTCTTAGCGACGGCGAGTGCTGTATCAAATCGGTTCGCTTGCGCCAGGCGCAGGACGATCGATTCGGGGGGCAGCGCAAAGTCTTAAGCCCAATCCCAAGAGTGAGGAGAGTTGATCAGCGGTGTTCACGTTGGCCCAGAAGGGATAAAGACGTACCACCGCCCGACAACAACGTGGGGTCCCTCTGCACGAGCTCAACGCGCGCAGACAAGAGCGCATACTCGTATTGCATGTCTCTGAGCTCTACAACCTCCGAGTCACGATTGCCAGCGGAGTATTTGTGCTCCGGAATGTGTCTAGATAGCTTCCGGCGTTTGCGAGACTACGTGAGCGTGAGCGGGGTGGGTCAATTCGACCATACTACCGGGGAAAGGGCGGCACTACTCACCTCGTGTCCATTCTCGCCAGTGATGGGCAGCGTTATCCATTGGTTCTTGGGGTCGACGAGTGCGAGCGCGTTCATCGCGACAACATACGCTTCGAGCTGTAACTCCGCGAACTCGATGAACGCCAACGTGTCGGCGCTCGTGGCGACGGCAAACTTGCGCGCGCGCTGGTACATCGTTAACGCGGCTGCCTCCTCTCCGTCAGCATCTGAAGTACGGGTATTGTGCTGGACTCTTGCTGATGGAGATGCTGATGCTACTCACCGTCCCTGTAGTCGCCTCGGAAAACATACCACGTGTACAGGATGCGCGAGTAAAATGGGCGCACACGTGGGTCGGCGTTCCGCGCCTTGAACGACAGGCACCCTCAACTCGTCCGCGAGGCCCGCAAAGTTGAGCGCCATCACCGATCACCGCATTCTCCTCACACATGCGGTAAAGCAGCTGACCGACCGACTCCCTCTTTCTGTAAACGCCAAAAAGACGGGGTGAGCACTCGAGCGAAACGAGAACGAGAAGGTTCTAGAACGTACAGTCGCTCGTAAGGCGTTGACACCAGCGCGCTGTATGCGTCCTCATACTCGCCTAAATCGGTCAACCCTTGATCACGTTCTGCCAGAGCGATGATGTGTCGAAGCTTTTGTCGGTGACCGAGAGCGCGAGCTGTGTGAAGACACATCAAACTGCGTGTTTTGTGCCGCCTGAACAGCTCTGCATATGCAGGTAAAACTCAAATTGGGTGGTAAAAAGGCGCCCCGAAGGAAGCACGGCAGCGAGAGCCTCCGCATCGTCAACTGACACGCCGGAGTGAGGACCTAGAAAGTGTAAGACAAAAAGACAGGAAATGGTGAATCAGTGAGTGTTCTAATGGGCGCTGTCTGCGACCCGCCGACGCGACCCGGACGTCAAAATCCACTTACCGAAGCTGCCTGCGAGGACTTCGAGTGCATCGGCGGCCTCGTCGTAGCGCCCCTCGTCCAGACGCAGACGCGCACGTACGTACATGACTGCGGGCGTGCGCGGCAGCCACTCCGCGGCCTCTCGCGCGACCTCGCGATAACCCAGCAGGCGGAGGCGCTCACAGAAGAGCACCTCGAGCTTGGTCGCGTGAGCTGGAGATAGCGATTGAAGTAGACCGGTCGCGTCGAGGAAGCGATGCGCAGCGACGGGGAGTCCCGAGGCGAATGGCCGTAAATGTCCGCGAGCCGATGGATGAGTGAATAGGTCGGCTGGAACTTGGCACCACGGCTGGTGGAAACGTGCATGTTGCGCATCTTGGCGACAACGTCTTCTTCCCCGCTCCCGCCACCGGCCTGCGCTTGCACCGGAGTTTCCCGGTCGCCGGCAGGATGGCGCGCGACATAGCGAAGCATGGCAATGCCACGGAAGACGACGAAAATTTCCGCCAGCAGGCTGGCATCCCAGGATTGGAGCTGTGGGTGAGGAAGAGCAGGAAGATCATGAGGGACAGCGATATGTCGTAACGCGCGTGGACAGAAGTCATAACGTATGAAGCAGTGAGGGCCTTGGCCCATTGCTGAATCATGGGTCGTGAGAGCAGCAGGGCATCGTCTTCCTCCCTCTTCACCTCCTTATCGAAGCCCCCTATGATGTCGAGGATGAATCGAGCACCCTCCTCGGGGTTTCCGAGTGCACGAAGACGTCCTGCAATCCAGTTGCCCAGCTCCGTACCGATCGTAAGGTCGAACTCTGTAGCCCGCACTTGGTCTTCAATGATATCCGGGTAGGGAAACGCCGTCTCTTGGTGGACGACCTCGTGGAGAGAGTCCTCGAGAGTTCGGAGGGCCCGCGCGTCCAGGCTACTGCGCAATGTCCACAAGACCTCGAGGAAGGCGAATTGTGGGTCCACGGGCGTATTTGTTGACAGCAGACGGTGTAGCCGTAATGAGAGGTCCTCTCCTGCGAGGGAGGCGATCCGCTCGCGCTCCACGATGATGATGCCTTCGTCGGGGCTACCACGACCGATCGCAAGAGGCCATAGACCATTCCGTTCGATTTCCCTGCAGCGAGCGATGAAACCTTCCCAGTCTCGCTTGAGCGCATTCCAGTAGTTCTGGTCTAATGGCGCGCCAGTCTTGGGGTCCTTCGTTCGCTGCACGGTGCAGCCGACCACTGACGTGATCTGCTCGGCCACAGTACCGTATGACGCAAGAAGCTGGGGCGGGTAGGGCGGCGGCAGAGAGCGACAAGTGTCCGTGTACTGGGTAATCGCCGTCTGGAGGGTGAGAGGAGAGAAGGTTCCAGGGCGCATGATGGCGTCGAAGAACTTGTCGGCCATAGAGCCACTGAGAAGCAAAAGCTCATCCAGGAAGGCAGGGGTGAGCTCCGCTTCGTGCGCGTACGTTGCTGCAGACCAACCGCCCGAGGTAGCGATGTCGTCCTGAGCAAAGGGAAGTAGACGAACATCGCCATAGACTGGCCCTGCTTGTCCCAGAGGGTGAACAAGGTATCGTCGAGGACGGTGAAGTCTTGGAGGTGACAGTGTACGCTAGCCTCCGAGGCCTCGAAGGTAGCCAACTGGCGGAGGGCGTCGCCCTCGACGGCGAAGAGCTGAAAGAAACCACCCGAGGTTAGGGCACCTTCTGTGGGTATGAAGGCGAGCACGTGGGGCTCGTCGGTGTGGGAAGGCGTGAAAACGCAGAGGAGATTTGCCTGGTCCGCGGGGAGGAGGGTGGACTGCCGGTCCGGGGACATTAGTCTGGACGGCGGAGACCGCGGGCCCGCGGCAGCGCGCGCGGAGCCATCGGGGGGAGCGCGTGCTCTGCAAGGCATCCACCTCTTGGTGTCCACATGCGGAGATGACGATCGCGCGACAGGGTCCACACGTTTCCGATGTCCGTCGGTTGCGGGTGACTGGCAATGGAGACGATATCTGAGGCACCAGGAAGACTGGTGTGAAGGAGCGAGGTGATGGAGTGGAGGAAGGACCGTGCATCGTACTTTGTTTCGCGCCAGACGTCTGCGAGCGGGAGGCAAGGATGAGGCGAGGCGCAAAGCTTAGATGACCAAGTGGGATTGGCTTACCGTCTGTTGTGTCTCCTCCGAGGCGTTCAGTCTCGAGGCGCAGCAGGGAGCCGTCATTGAGCGCGAGGACGACAGAGTAGGGGTCGTGGACATGGACGATGCTGTTGCACGGCGTCTGGATCACGTACTCGCGATACCACCTGCGATTCGCGGTGGGCGACCAGAGTGGAGCGCCCTCGCGTAGGGGGATGACGAGCCGGTAGAGAGACTGAAAGCGAGTGACCAGCAGCACGTGGAGCTCTTCGTCCTTGAAGAGGACGATCGAGGGGGAGGGGAGGATCGCTGCGGGGAAGTCGAAGCGGAGCGGGGGGAGGTCGTGGGTGAGGGAGAGAAGCTCGAGGAGGAGGCCGCCATGGGAGACGCGGGAGAGGATGGTGCCGGTGTGTGGGGAGTGGAAGAGGGACGCGGAAGAGGCGTGCTCGGGGGATTGGGCGAGGCCATAGACGGGGTCGGCGGGCGGGATGTTTTTCTGGGTGGAGAACACGGGGATGGGCAGGGTGGCGGGCCAGAGGGCGGAGAGGTGGGCGGCGACGAGGACGCTGGGCTCCATGGATGGGAGCGTGCGCGCGTGGCAAGGGTGCAGGGGCGGGTGGCGGGCGAGAGCGAGAGGTGAGCGTGAGCGTGAGCGAGAACGCGAAGGACGCGGTGGCGCGTGGGCGTGACGGCGCGGTGTGACCGACGCGTGAGGCAGGGCGACGGGTGCCGCCGCGCTTGCCAGTACTTGTCCGCCTCGCGTTCTGCCCTCATCCTCGCCCTCGCGCCGCCGCTGCTTCTTCCAGGCGGCCGTGCGTGCAGTTCCTGGCGTCACCTCGACCGGCTCTGCGTCATGCATGCGCATCAGCTACTCGACCTCTCTGCCGTCCACTCGCGATCGTGCATGCGGTCTCCTCGTGAGGGGCCTGCACCAGCCGCGGCCCGTCACCCTCCCACCGCTTGCCTTCTCCCAAGATACATGGCCCGACCCCTCCTCCAGCTTCGCCGTTTTCGGCCGTCCGCTCGCGCGAGTCGCGTATATAAGCACCCTCCCGCTCTGCCCAATGTCCAAGCTAATCCTTCTCCACCGGCGAGCGCCCCTCCCCCCCGCGCGCACGCCAGTCGATCTCTTCTCTTTCGTGGTCCGCTTTTCTCTCTTCTCTGTACTTTAGCCCTTCTACTTTGCCCCCTCTGCTAACCACTGCCCACCCGCACCCTCGCCCGGCCGACCCCCGCTCCTTCCCCAGCACCACGCCCGCACCCGCTCGCGTCGCCGCTCGCGCACAGATGGCCACCATGCCCACCTTCGAGGCCATCTTCTTCCCCGCGAACGACCGCTCGCCGACCACGGTCCCCCTCCTCACCAGCAACTTTGTGTTCCAAGGCCCCGCTGCCCACGAGCCACCTTACCGCGCCGGCCGCCTCCCGCACCCGGAGATCCACATGGACTACATCGCGGACCGCTCGTGGGAGTACCATGTACGTCTTCTCCCACCGCGCGCGCACGCCCCCCTCCCTTCACATTAGTTGCCGGGCGCGCTTCTCCCTCCCGTCCCGCCCATGCTAATTCGCCGAACCCCTCCGCCCTTTTCCCCCCGCAGACGGTCTCCGCTCTCGACGGGATGTCGACCGGCTTCCAGTCGCCCTACATCGTCTTCTACCCCGTCCGGTCGCGCGACGGGATGCCCTTCCCGGTGAACAAGTGCGTGCGCGAGATCCAGGGCGGCGCGTTCGTCGACCGCTTCCCCTGGCGCGGCGACCTCGTTGTCGCCAAGTACCGGGACGCCAACTTCAGCGAGATGACCGACGCCTCCATGGCCGACTTCCCGATCATCAAGAACTACCTCTCCACCAAGCCCGGCCCGCGCGCCCAGCAGCCACAGTCCTGAAGCCCTCGCAAGCGCGCGCCTGCGCGAGCCTGAGCTTCAGTCTGAACCCGCGGTGCGCTTCTCTCGCTTGTGCGCCCTCGTGCACGGGAGTATCTGATCTGGCACATGCGCGCAGGTAGCAGGACGTCGAATGGTGCCGAACGTGTGGGCGGCCTCCCCACTTGCTGTAGTGGGCCCGGCCGCGGTGTGTGCAGCGGACAGCTTTGTACTTTCTTTCTCTTCCCCTTCTTCGCACTGTCGCTCTTGGTCTCTCTCGCCCAGCAGCCCGTTGCTCTATTAGCCCCGACGCGTCTGTATTTGTTCACCCTTCGCCTTCGCTCCGACGCGTGCCTCTTCTTCTGATCCGATGCGCAACCTCGTTGTATATAACACGCTCCCTGGATCATCGCTGTGTACCGTACACGCGCCCTAATATCATCCCACTGTATATATTCCCACCCCGCCGCGGCCGCTGCATCGATAACGCCCTCGCTCAAAACTGGCTCGAACGCCCCGGAGTGGCCAGCGCCGTCCACGGGCCCCCCGCGCCGGTCGCTACAGCTCGCCGTGCGCCCTGTTCCCGTTCCCGTCCTTCCCCGCGCCCGCCGCCGCGTCCTTGGCCGCCTCTGCCTTCTTCGGGGTGCAGTGTTCCGGCACCGGGCTCGCCGGGTCGATCGCGAGGTGCGAGACGCGGCCCACGCGAGCGTACTTTTTCGACTCCGCGTAGAACTTCTTCCAGTGCTCAACACCCTGCACGCGGAAACCGCGGAGGAGGGGGGTGAAGATGGGACACGGTCAGCGACGTCAGCAAGCATCTAGACCCGCCCCTGCACCTGCGCGAGCACCCCTGGAAAATGGCCGCGGTCGTGGCGGACGCAGGCAAGGCCCCCGTGCCCGTAGTGGTTCGTGGCTGGTAGTTCGTGGCTGTTCGCGGGGCGTAGGGTACACCCTCTTCGCCGTCGAACCCAATCCGCTCAATGCGAGCAGTGACGGGGCGAGATGAGGCTGAGCGAGAGGATCCCGGCGCAGCCTGGTGACGCCGGAGACGCGCACATGAAGTGGATCCAACGCGAACAGAGTCGGTGCGCGCGCAGGCGCAGGTGCACAGGCGCGTTCGAAACGGAAACCAATGTACCGTGTACGCACCCTCATCTCGCTCTCCGTCAGGCCGCGCAGGTCGTGTGTGCGGTGCGTCTTGAAGCACCCGGTGCCGTACGCGCGCGCGGCGTCCGTCCCAGCCCTAGCCGGCGGCCGCGCAGGCACGGGGAGCGTGAAGTCCGCGGGCGGCGTCGCGGATCGGCATTAATTGGCGCGGGGGAAAGGGAGAGCCAGGGTCAGCACGCGCGGTCGGCGGCACTAGCACCCGCGGCGGGGTGGGAGACGGGAGACGTACATTAGGTGGTACGAGCCGCCAGGGCCGTAGGTCGCGCGGCCGGCACTGACGTCGTACACCACGCCGTCGATCTAGATCGCACGGGGGCAGTAGACGCAGCGGTCGCGGAGGGCGATCAGTGGCAGGGTGGGTGGCCGGTTCCCGTTCATATCGATGTCGGTGTTGAATGGCGCGAAGGATATTGGCGTTGCGCCGTTCGTACGGGCACGGGCGGCCAGGCCATGAGGGGGCAGGGCGAAATGAAAGGAAGAGGAAGGGAGGTGAGCTTCGCGGGAGGACACGCGCGCGGCGCGCGGCAGGTGAGACACGAGCCCTGCTCACAGCGAGGTATATGGGCTTCTCGGGATCTGTTCCGTCGTACGTTGCGAGCACGCTTTCAGAGAACAACCGGTCCGTCGACTGCATCGTGCGGGAGCGTCAGCGAGCCAGTCACTTGACCATGCCGTCACCGGGCACGCTCTCGCCTTTGTGCGCACGCAGGCGAGAGCTGGGTGGAGCTGCGGCCTGCGTGGCCGGACACAGACCGCTCGGGGCCCGCACACGGCACGCGCGGGACAGTCTGGGCCCCAGGCGGGGTGCCACGGACCCAGAAATGACCGGCGAGAATACACGCCGCGGGGACGAAGGGGACGCACCGGGAGGTATTGGCGCAGGCTCGGTGGATCCAACTCCCAAAGGTAGCTCCCGGTGAAGAACTTGCCCGCGAGGACGGCAAAGATCAATGCATAGAGCATGAACTTGAGCACGCCCGAGCAGCCAACCTCGACCTCTGCCGTCGGGTCGGGCTCCTCGGGGCCAACGTCTTCCCCGCGGGCGATCTTCTCCTTGCGCTCCTCCATGCGTTTTACCCAGTCGTCGTGGGCCTGCTGGCGCTCTTGGCGGTATTTCGCGTACCTGGGGGTCGAGATGAAGGGAGACGGACCATGGCGCAGACGTGGATCCACAAACGATTCCCCGACACGATGGAGAGCGAAGGCCGTAGCCGGCGGTGAGCACAGAAGAAGGCAGGTACGTGGCCAGGGGAGATGAACGCAAGCGCGGCAGGGAGACGTCGCGGGGAAGACGAAGGGGGCAGGAAGGAGACATCAGGACAGGGCTGGGGAGAGGCGAAATTGCCATTGACTTACGCGAGGAAAGGGCGGTTGGCCTGCTTGGTCGACACCTGTCTGCCGGGGACGGAGGGGTCCTCGACGGTAGGGTATTCGTCCTTGAGAGGAAACTCGGCCCACGGGGAGCCTGGCGCAGACTCTGCCTGCGCGTCTGGGCCCGCTGCCCCGTCCTGCGCCTTGAGCTTCTCCGGGCGTCTTCGCTGCTGCCGATCCCCTTCAGGGTTCAATATCCACGACATGAAGGGATGATGCCGGAAGGCCTTGTTTAGGTCGGCAAGGTGGGGTGCGAGGCTGGTCAGCGGGTAGTGGTGGCAGTCGAGAGAGAGAGAGCCAGGCGGCGTGGCCAGCTGCAGAACAACGGGCGCCGTCGCTCACGGCCACAGCGTGTGACGGCGTCAGGAAGGGTGAGAAAAAGAGGGACGGGCCACGTATGCTCCGTCAGTCTGCGTGCACGTCGAGCAGCAGCCAGGCGGCGCAGACGGCCACCGACGGTGCATGCTGCCTAGGGTTGGCACACGACCACAAATCGGACATGATATGCGTGTGTTCCAGCAGAAGTGGAAGTGAGTGCGACTGCGAGAAGGCCCAGAGGGCGGACAGGAATCCTCCGATCAATCGGGCGCGCGTTCCGTTCTCCCGTCCAAAACGCCGTGGAACACGCTCAGGTCCCGCGGAGTCGAGCAGGCGCTCGGTCCAGCTTGGGGACGTCCCGCCCGCGTCGCCAAGGAGGGAGGACGGAGACCCCGCATGGCAATCAATGCATGCGGGCTAGTCCTCCGGATAGCACAAGGGCAGACAAATCATGAGGACGTGCGTGCGAGAGCCGACTATTTTCTAACTCAGCGAAGGTACACTGATAGATACAAAGTAACGAACCATATATTAGGGATGCTATTGAAGCACGATGATGGGACGTCGTATTAGTATCGCCACTAGTAAGGTATGATAGATGTTACATTGTGAGTGCAGGGGAGTATAGAAAGAATTGTCAAAACTACGGACGATGAGATGAGATGTGGAGGGGGAGAGGGGGCACACAAGGACGTGATGGTGGTGGTGAAAGAGGAGACGAGTTGCCAAGCGGGGTGCGTAACGTGGATCAGCAAACGATGGACCCGCCCAGAGCACGAAGAGGACTGAAGGAAGGATGCGAGTGACAGAACGACGAGACAACCACGAGACTGCAGTATGGAGACATGGATGAGTGTTCGAGGTGCATGACGGCATATGGTGGCAGACTGACATGGGCATAAGATAACACAACCGGAGACGCATAGACGCACACCAGACGAGATCGATCACCCGCGTCATCGGTGCTCGCCCGTTGGCGGACGCTCCTGGATCGCCGCTCTTTGTGAGATCGTCACGTACGCCCCACCCACCTCATCCTCGCCCGCCGTCAGCCCTGGCGGCACTGATGGCGTCGTCGTGCTCGACGGCATGAGGGGGAAGTCCGCCAGAGGGCCGTCGTCCTCCTCCACCAGCTTGATCTTCAGTGCGAGGAACCTCGGGGTTTTGATGAACTGTGCGCTCCAGTTAGTGGGTGCACGATCCAAGGCCTCAAAGGGCTCACCTTCGGAACAGAGTCCGTCGCCATGAGACGGAAGACGTGCGTCTGGATGCGCTCGTACAACCGGATCATTGTCTGCAATTGCGTCGCGTTGAAGGCGTTCGCCTGCTCCAGCTCGACGCGGCCCTGGAAGGCCTTGCCGGTCAGCGACTGGATGACGTCGCTCAGGTAGCCCGAAAGCTCGTTGCGGAGGCCGTGATCGATGTTAAGCTCGCTCTGGCTTGAGGGCGCGAGGTACGTGTTGTAGATGACGAAGGCCTTCTGGATCAGGGCCTCGTGGTGCTTCTCCATCGCGAGCTGTCCAGGCGTGCCTTTGCCTCCTGTTCGAGTCACCGGAGGATTCGACGCGATAGCCGAGGAGGTCGTGCTAAACGACTTCTTGAAGTCCAGGACATCGAGGTAGAACGACAAGTTCTCCTCGCAGAAGTTGCTCCGGAGGAACTCCCGGAAGAGCGCACGAAGCTGAGGCTCTTCGACGATGAACTTGAGGCGATCGGTGTTCGACTCCTTCTGACCCTTCTTCTCCGCGTCGTAGTTGGCGTTGAGCTTCTCAGTCATCGATATACGGCGGTGGATCTTGGCATCGCTCGAAGGGACGCCCTCCGCGGTTGATGTCTCCGTGTGGTCCTCCGATGTCCGCGCCGCGCTAGAGACATTGGCGTTGGAGCTGTTGGGGGACGCGCGCGCACCATCGGGCATATCCCAGCGAGCAAGCCGGCGACCCTCGTCCGTTATTCTGTAGATGGCCTTGGCTGTGCAGCGGAACTCTCCATGTTGCTAAAATACGAAGTCAGTCCACAGCCGCGCTAAAGAAAAGCATGGACTTACTGAGATGGTCGAGTTTGCGCCGCCCGCGGCGCCACGAACAGTGAAGATGATAGCGGAGTCGTTGTTCTTGCGCTTGTCAGAGACGAGAGTGATGAGACCGAACCGTACGAATTGTGCTGCCATCTCGGCGGCCTCCTCTCTGCCGATGACGGAAGTGAAGTCGCATAGCCACTCCAACGCCGTCACAGCGGCGAAACAGTGCTTGTTGACGGACGCAACTTTGCCCTGCGTCTTATCCGACACATCCATGAGCGCGACACCCTTCGACTTCTCGTGGTACTTCTGGAAGGCATCCATGGTGTCCATGTACTCTGGCGGATAGTTGGGTCCACGCCCGACAAAGCGGCGAAAGAGGGCGGTGATAGCGGAGTGGGAGACAATGATCTCGTCGTCTACTGACCGTCGCTCAAGGTGAAGGAGCTTCATGCAGATAGGTTGGGACGAGAAAACGTGGGCGAGATGGTCACCGTTGATGCCGTTCTTGCTCATGAACCTCTCAAGGACATGGAGGCCCTTCGGGGTGAGGACGTAAACTCCGCGCTCCTTGAAGAGATTCGAGCCGGGATCCGCAGCGTTCTCGATGAGGCGTGCATCCATGAATTGCTGGCACATGGCCTTGGCCATGTCGCGGGTCATGGAGAAGGTGGTGGTGGTAGTGGTGGTAACGATGCGGGAAGGTTCTCGAGGATCCGGTCCACGGTTCGATTGCGAGAACTTGAGGGATGCAAGGTTTCTCGCGGCGTCATCGCTTCCGGGAAGGGATGAGAGGAGGGGGGGAGAAGATGAAATGGAGGACGTACGTGGTGAAGGAATTAGGAAAACTACGGAAGTATTGCCTGTTGGTGGTAAGCTCCAGGGAGACGACAAGGGTGGCGAAGAGATCAAGCGTGTCCTGATAAAGACCGGGATCAGAGCAAGAGGAGAGAGGCGGGGGTGGGGAGACGGACCTTGAGGAAGGGCCTGCCGCGCTTGGTCGTCTTCATCATGTGCGACGAGGTCGCTGAGGGGGCCTCTGCAGCTTGAGGCATGATTACAGGAGATTAAGAAAAGGAAAGAAAAGACAAGGCTGAGGGAGGCGGGGAGGGGCGGGAGGACGGGGAGCAGGAGGTGGTGGAGGGCGGAGGGGAAGACGGGGGAGAAGATGAGGACAGAGGATGACAAGAGGCGAGGCGGGCACTTGTGGGACGCCCGTTGGCAACCGAGCCAAATTCCCACGTGCTACGCCGGTCCAGACACGCGCAACAGGGCCGACGCTGGGCGCCTCCCAAAAATTCCTTCATTTAGTCTTTTTGGACGGCATGCGTAAACCGCACACCCGGCGGCACAACGGCGGCACGCGCCCCTCTCCCTCCTCCGAGACCGCCTCACGACGCCCGCCGCCCGCCACGCCTGCCCATTGCCGCCCGCGCACCACCCTGACTGAGCACTCGGCGCGCCCCGCCCGCCCTCCCGCCCGCGACGGACGGCGGCGCCCGTCGTCGAGGCCCGTCGCGTTCGCGTCCAGCGCACGTCCCCGGCTCGCGTCTGTCGTGCATGCGCGCCATGAGGCGGCCTTGCGACGACTCGCGCTGCGTGCAGGCAGAGACTCGCGGCCCGACATTGTCCTCGCATCCGATCCGGCAGCCAATCGGGGCCCATCAACCACCGTACCTTTCTTGGCCGTATATCAACCGCCTCCCGATCGCCGCACACTCGTTCACCCATATCTGGCCCTGGCGGGGGGGTCCACTGCCATCTGCCCCTCGCTCGCCGTCCTCTGGGCTTCGTCCCCGTCGCGTCTGGACACACCCCCGCCCGCCGCCCGCCTCCCGGCCCATGTCCCGAGCGACCCCCACTAATTGGTCTGCCCACATTCGAAACCGATCCCTGTCGACAGCATCGTGCATGCTGCGCTCGTCCCGCCGTTCACGCCCGTGCACGTTGCGCCTCGCCTCGCCGCGCGCGTCGCCATGTTTCACCTCCCCGTCCGAAGCACGCTGCTTTTGGCTTTCCGCCCGCCGTTTCCGACGCCTGCCCGGCCCCGGCCACCACCGTCCTGCGTCGGCACGTCCCGCTCCCAGCTCAAGGCGCTGCAGTCGTGTGCCGCCGTCGCTCGTCGCCACGGGCTCCATTACCGCATCTTATGGCATCGTCGAGCCCGCCCGCGTCTTCCGTCCCTTCTCCGTCCTCCGCCGCCGTGCGCGGGTCCACGGCAATTATCCGAACGGTACCCGGGCTCCAGCCGTTACGCAACCTCGACCCCTTCCAGCCCAGCCACAACTTTACATTGTCGACCGTACCTGGCATCACCCCGGTCTCCTACCTGTCGCCGGCCGCCCCGCCCGTCCCGCAGCGCTCGCCCACCCCGGCGCCCGCGACCGGGGGATCAGCTCATGAGCAACGTCGAACAACGATCTCATTTCCCTCCGGGCGTGTGCAGAGCATGGCTATCGTGCGGCCGCCTGAGGGCCCAGCCGCCCGCGTCGAAATGTCCGGGCCATGGCTCACGTAAACGTTTCCTCACGCACATGTGCCATGCCACGCTGCAACGCGAGGCGGCCGCGACAGGTCAGAGAAAGTGCTGGATGTCAAACACACGAAACTCGGCGCCCGCACGGCAGTTGGTCCGAGCAACCGAGGACGACACCAATGGCCGCATCGGGTGTGCAGCGCCGTCGTGCGTCTCGAGATCTCCATGGCAAGGCCGTCTCCGCCTCCACCGAGGCTTCCTGCTCCGAACAGATCAACCCGCTCGTTGAACGACGCCCGCATGGTGGCGCCGATCACCCCCATACTTGTCGTGGGGTGCGCACTCAGTGCATCGGCCGGAGAACGCCGGGGTGCCGTAGGTCACCTTCGCCGTCCTTGCGTGGGTGCATCTCGCTGCGGACGATGTGCCCCATGGAGATCGCCGTCGAATAGAGCACCCACAGAAGACGTCTGCGCTATGCACTCACGGCTTCCAATCATAGCGTTCTGCGCTATCACCCTTCGATCACAGTTCTGCAGGTCATGCAGCTCGCCCAAATCAGCGTGCATGCGGAGGCCGAGAGACCGATGGGAAGTAGTGTGAGGGTGAGCATCGGGAGCCCGAGACCCCGGGGAAACGCTTCGCGGGAAGCGTTCAATGGGATGCGCATGCGTGTCCACCGGCCAGTCCAGCTACCACGCTCCCGCTTCCTTCCTGCACAGCTTCGCGCGCCGCGGGCGTGTGCGATGCGCCCTCAACGACCTGACGTGGGAGGCCCGCATCCAAGATGGACGGGAGAAGCAACGCGCTGCACTCGATCATTGAGTCCGGGCTGCGCGCTGCCTTGTAGTACTCGCACTGGGCCGATGTTGTCCAAGAGGGCTACAATGCAATCCCGCGGAGTTGGGTCGATCAGCCTCACTGCACTCCCCATGAACGAGCACACATCGGGCACGCGTGCGGCAGTTTCCGCGCTCGTGGTTCGCCCTAACATCATACCCTAGGTTTCTCCACGACTCTACCCTTGCCAAGTGATACGCCTAGTAGTGCACCACCATGTCCGCTGTTCGCAGTGCATCGTCCAAGTACTAATCTCAAGATTAGCTCAGATCAGAATCGGCGTGACCGCGCTCAGGGAGCGTCACGGCCCGACGTGACCACGGGAGCAGCGTGACAGAAAAGTAAATCTGTCGTGCATCCCGATCTAATCGAACGACGAAGAGACTGGTTCACCAATCGGGTCACGCGTTACGCACGACGCGCGGCGGGTGTCCGGGCTCTGCCGCCTGTGGTTGGATCGTGCACACCACCATGAGCACTTCAAACATCAGTGTCAGACATTGCTCTCGAGCTCTTTCGCCCACTACGCTAACCTATTATGCACAGGATCCGGCTGCCATACAAGCTCTGCTTGAGCAGTTGAAAGCTTCTGAGACGTGGAAAAGGATCGTCAACTCGACCACCGCTAATGTCGCCGAGACCGCACCTGCAGTTGGGGCGACGGGCGACGGTGAACTCCCCAAAGAGGCTGAAACACTGCCATCTACGAGCAACACAGAAGATCCCGCTCCCGCGCACGCTGATGAGCCCCATCCCGCTCCCGAAATGCCTTCCCTGAACCGACCTCCAGCACCCATCGGTATCGGTCCGTCCGTCGCAGCGCTTCTTTCGCAGCTGCAGGCGTCGTCTGGCGGACCCAGTGCGGCGCTCCTGCCTCCAGGCGAGACTTCGCACCCTTCGGACTCGGTACCCGGCCCCCCCTCGTATGCAGAGCCTCAGCCGACGTATACAAGCCCCGCAGGCCCTTCCTCTGGGGTCCAACCCGAGTTCGGTCCGGCTCTAGACCAGTCCTTGAAGCTGGACGCGCCAGCACCCCACACGCCCCCGCAAGATATGAGAACGTGCACGTTCCAGCAAGCGCTTCCCCACCTCGCGCGGCTAGCGGAAGATCCGGAGTTTCTCAAGGTGTTAACGGCAGTAAGTTCAATGCCCGATCGTACCCTCCACTCTCCTTCTCGTCTTATCTCGCCCTCGCGCCCTTCGCACGGGCGTGTCGATCTCCGCCCTACACGACGGGGAGCGCGGTCCGAAACGTGCTGAGCATGCATGTGCTGACGCCGTACCGGATCGCTGGGCAGATTCGGACAGAACAGACGGAGCTGGAGCGCCAACTCTGGAAAGAGCGCCTCGGTATCCAGCGCAAGCACGAAGACAAGGTCAGAGCTGCACGTACACAGTGAGTGCTATTGGTCCGCGCATCTCGGGTCTTTTGGGCACGTTCCTTTCCTGGTCGACTATCCCCGGCAGGCATTTCCATGCCTCCACGGGCCTACGGCAATCCGTCCCTCCGGCGTGCTGTTGCTACGACTCTGGATTTGGTCCGATGATCCTACGGATTCAATCGCTAACTCGTGCAATCCTTCCATTCAACTCTGCAGAGCGAGTATTGTCGGTGTGACCGGTTTCACCCAATACGAAGCCGACGTGAGGCCTTCATTCTCTCGTTCTATGTTCACATCTGATGTGCCGTCTGATCACCCCCGCACGTTTCCCGGCCTCGCTTTCCACGCGTCCATCTTTTGGCTACACCTCGATCGTGGCCCCGCCACGTTCTCGCTCTTCGCACCTTCGGCGACATTGTCCCCGTCTCGCTTCGCCTCACCCATATCATGGCGCACGCGCCGGCCACGTAGTCGCTATCGGCCACTTTCCGTGCAGAGCTTCGTCGCTTCGACCGCGACCGCGCCCTGCCCGCATGGGATGGTCTTGTGGCAAGGCAGCAGGCCGCGCTCGAGGGCTGGCACGCGCCCGCGATGTTCCTCACCTCGCACGGCCCGGACCGCGAGGTGCGTGCGCCCACACTCATTTCGGACTCCGAGTCTTCCATGCGCCACGCTTGTGTGTTCCTTGCTTCCACGCGCTGAGACTGGCTCGAGCTGCGTTCACTGACGCCCAACTCTGCCCCCATCCCCGCCCCTGTGCCAACTTGACACACGCACGGACGGAACACCGACGCTCGACGGCCGCCGACACGACTCGGATTCCAATTGCCGTCACCTCCGGGATCTGATCTGGACAATGGTGATGGCCGAACCGTGTCGTGTCCTCTCCCATCCATCTCGATGCGCCCACCCTTCTGCTCCCGCATCGGACGCAACAGCGCCAGCAACAAGTCATTCAAGTGCTCGCCGGACTGGTCGCCGGACGCGGTGCCGCAGGCGCTTGATCTCGGTCGTTCAAACGTTCAGACTTCAGATGCGCAGAGAGAATGGAATGGAGTTGGGGGACTCTACCACGGCGGACGCAGGCTATTCTAGGACTAATCGTACGTGTTCGCGCACAGCTCGCAACTCACCCGTTCGACGTCTTTCACCGCCCCCCCCCCCCCGTTCGCGACGGGTTCGGTTGCAGATCCCGTGCGCGGTGTCGTCGGCGACCGTGCCCCCGCGTTCCTCAGCTCTGTATGTTCTTCCTGTCAACTACCAGTCGCTGATTGACGCGCGAGGCCCTCCACTGTGATAAGATGAGATCCGTGGGCGCACCGTGAAGACCGGCTTCGGGCGGTCAGGCTGTTCCCGACACACATTCCAGCGCTGCCGGGCGGCGCCACAAATGCGAACAGGTCGAGCTAGCTGCGCTCGACGGCCGACAGACTCCTGACCGGGACCCAGTGGCCGGTGCGCTGCACGGGCCCCGTCCGCGGCCGGTCAACCCGCAGTTCGCTCCTCCCCGACCCGCATCCAGGCTCCCGGATCCTCGCTCCCGGCGGCCCCATCGCGCACGCCAAGCGAGTGCGCCGCTCCAAGCACCGCAGTGAACGGGGCCTCTAGTGCGCCCCTGTCTGCATACGCACGCTCGCGCGCCGCGGGCCGCGGATGCACGACGGGCCGCGGACGGAGTTAGCGCACGGCTGCCCCCTGTTGTGGGTGCAGCGGTCAAGCCAGGGCCTGGCCGCTTGCACCGCAACGGCGCACCGGCGATCGACGCTGCTCTCGCGTTTAGAGTGCGCGCGGGCGGTCGGTCTCGGTCGTGTGGGATCGAGGTCCAGTGCAGCTCGCAAGGTGTGGCGCCGAGGGCGATCGGCGCGCGCCGGTCACTGCACCGCACCGACAGCCAAAGCAGCAGCTGGGCCTCGACCGCGATCGGAGCCGCGACATACGTCCGTCCGACGCCCGAGCCTGGTTCGTCTGACCGGGCGCGCGTGGAGCGGCGCAGATGCGGAACTCATGATGACTGTCTGCCCGACGTCAGCTCAGCCAAGCCCGCGCTGCAACGCGGGCGGCCGGGCGACGCGATCGCGAGTCGACGCTCAGGGGCTCCGGGAATTGCGGCGGTTCGAAATGCTTATTGGGTGTGCGCTCGCGGCGCGCGGGGCGCGACGTTCGTTACCAAGCGGGGCGAGGGGCAATTATGAGTGGAAGGGAAAGCATCTCGCCCGCAGGATATTGCAGTGTCGGCGCACAAATTGAGGCTGCGCGCACCACTTTCGGGCATTAACCTTCGGCGTCGGGTGCCAAGTATCGAGCGGAGGCATTAGATGGCGCTGCATTGCGATCGAGACCGGCCGCGGTGCCTCATAAGCTCATTAGCGTAGGACGATGAGTAGTTCATAGCACTTGTCCGAAGTTGTGGAAATTGGGTGGAACCAGGCGTACGGAGGTCCTGAGCATCTGTGCGAGTCAGCATGTTATCATGAGCTTCCTAAGCTGATCAGAAACATCGAGGTGATTAGACGTGTCGTGCACGTGATGAAGTCGGAGTGAGTTCGAGATATTCACTTCATAGCAAAATGGGTATGGAGGGTACTATGCTGTACTCAAAGCTAATTAATTGAACCTGGAAGTTGACGGATCCGGAAAAAGAGGTGCAATCGACGTTGTACAGCAATATGACTATGGCACGAGTAGATGTACGCCGCAAGGCTCAGCCATTTGTACATTGCGGTAGGGTGAAACTTTGCGCCACGATGGGCATCTACAGAGCGTCATGAGCGGGGTAACAGAGACGGGAAGCAAGAGAACAGTTCAAGGAGCAGGTCGAGAGCATTCAACACTTGTGTTATGACGTCACACTGTGTTTGCCAGACTCGGGGTGCGGTTCGGAGTCAGATCAGGGACCGGCTTTTTGCATCCTTCCAGAATCCACATGAGGCACACCGTTGACATAATAACGGTGAGTGCTTGTCCAGATCACGCCGAGGCCTGACGTTGCCTAGATGGCGGTGATGCCACCACACATTTGAGCAGTCGCACAAGGCCCTCCCGCATGCAGCCACAGGTGGAAATGAATGCTTCATTGATGTAGGCGAGACCGCAAGAGGCAATACGTGTGTTGGCTTCTGCGACGCGTACCAGCCTGGGAGGCGCCCTGAGGCGGATGTAAATTGCGCGAGCGCCCTGGGCCAGAAGCAGCGCTAGAAGAGAGCCTGGTTCTTGTGCGCGGAGGAGAGAGCGGGATGTGACGAGTGCAGGGCGGGATCTGTGCGCGGTGGGCACACTTGCCCTTCTAGGCGGTTGGCCAGCGGATGGGGCCTGTTTGAGTGAGCCTAAATGAACGCTAAACGCAAACGACGACCCGACCCGTTCACCGCGCACCGTCTCGCCGCCCATCTCCGTCCACCTCTCGGCCTGCCGTGTCTCGTCTTGGCGCCCTGCGTGTTCTGCTTGATGAGAAGATTGAAGCGGGGAGCGGAGGGAGCAGGAAGGGGCGCCGGACCTGGTGTGCATGTGGATAGAATTATACGCGGGTCGGTTATGGCAGGACGCATCACTAGCGAGCGTTGGCTGGCGATGTCCGTGACCCCCTGAGTCCGTGCATAGTCGGTTGTGAGCTAGTGTATCCTTTCCACTCTCTCCTCCCCGCCGCGCCGCCCCCGCCATGCCGTTCGTCGACCTCGTCAACACCAACGACTACGCCTCCATATGGTACACTGCCAATTCCCCTGCCGGCACCGTCAGCGGCTTCGATCCCAGGAAGCCCACTCTCGTCATGCTCCATCCCACCTTCCTCGATTCGACCTGGACACACCCCCAAATAAACGATAACCGCCTGAATGCCAACTTCAACATCGTTGTCTTCGACACTCGTATCACTGGCAAGTCCCTCTACAGGCCCAGCGGGCGCTATGATCTCTGGGTCGTCGCTGCAGACCTCGCCTACTGCTTCTACGTGAGTCCGCTCCCTTGCCCCCACACACCACCGCGCAGCACCTGAGCTTCTTCCCCCCTTCTGGCGCCCCTCGCGCGCGTCCAGCACCTCCAACTGCCCCCCGCCCACATCTTCGCGCCCGAGCTCCTTGGTCTCGCCGCCTTGCGCTTCGCAGCCCTGTACGTCCACCCTCAGCCACCAATCTGTGGCCCACTGATCGACCGTGCCACGCGCAGCTTTCCAGAGCTCTGCCTCAGCCTGACGCTCTGTAACGTCACGCCGCAAACAGAGTGCGTCCCCACACACCACGTTCCCTTCCCGCGACGCGCGACATCAGCCTAACGGGCCACCCATCACAGACTCAAGTCCATCTTTGATGCCTTCGAGGAGCTCAGCCACCTGTGGTGCTATGCGGAGGACCTGGAGTCCTTCGAGACGGCGTGCAAGGAAATGGTCAACTGCTACGCTCAGGTGCGTCGTGGCGGACTCCATGTATGCGCGGTGTCGCTCAAACCCTCCTGCAGGACGCACATCCAGATTTCATTGATGAGGTGAGTGCATCGCGATGATCACGCGAATCTCTTCTTATGGGCGCTGTGCTCTAAGCTTGTGGCGCACTGGGAAGTACATTATCCTCCGTTCCGACGATCACACGTTATTCAAAATGTCAACCTTATCCTTAATGTGAGCCGTTCATTTTGTTTGACGCACATCACATCCGAGCCCACTCTGCACAGCGGACACCCATGTCGGCACATGAACTCGCTAATGTTCGCTGCCCGGTCCTCATCATCCAAGTTAGTGCCATCTTCTGCTGCGAAGGTCCCTGAGTTGATGGATCGTCAGGCCGAGCGAAGTCAAACACATCCCATGGAGTACGCGCAACAGCTTCGACAAGCGTTGGTCAATGCTCCAGACACCGCACAGCTCTTCACAGTGAAAGGTGAGTGTCCTCTCGCCGTGCACCATCGGAGATAGCCTCATATATATTTGGTCTAGCCACGCATGGTTACCTCAGCCTGCTCTCCTCTTCTATCGTAAACCAGGTCCTCAACAAATTCCTCACGCGGCAGCAATCGGCGCGGAGCGACCTATTTGCTCCAGAGATACCTCTACTAGAGCGGATGCAGATGGCACTCGACCTCCTCGCCGAGTTCCGTGACGACCCATCAATATCGGAACGCGATGCCAGCTCACCTCTGTCCTTTTGCTGCGTAACGGAAGAAGTCCGCAAAAGCCAGGAAGACCTGTACAGCCTTTATCGCGAAGGCGAGCAGAACGCGCTGTCGCCGTTGGCACCTGACGGCCGCCCGCTGCGGAAGTACGTACTTCGTCGCTGCGGACGGCGTGAGGCAGGAAAATTGACGTGTTTCGCGGTCTTACCAGATACTCAGAACGAAAAGACGAGCATTGGCTGGATTCGAGCACGGACGGCTTCTCTTACTCCAGTATGTGTTTGCGCATGTTGCAGCTGAGTCCACGAGGAGATGCTAATTATGCCTCGCGGTGCAGACATCAAACAGCCCGGATCTGGAAAGGACAAGAAGCGTCCTGCCGTGCGTCGACCAGTCGCACCCGTCGAAGAGGCTTCGGTCATCTTCATGCCCTCGGAGCCAGTCACGCAGGAAGCGCAGCAGGTCGCGCGTATCCGTCGTGCGACGGTCCTCCCACAGAGCCCCGCAGACAAACACGTCATCAAGGGCTCGATGGCGAAGGTCATCGCGTCCGGCGCGGGGACGAGCTTGCAGCGCCGTCTATTGCGAGGATGAGACCGGTCCCGAGGGCTCTTCTTTTCCAGGACATTCGCGCCGCCGGTCCGTTCATTTGTTTATGGCCTGACCCCACACCCACTCTCTCTTTCTTTCCATCCTTTGTATAACTATGACCACACGATGTCTATATCCCGATGCCCCGTGACGCCGCGCGTGCACATGGCTAAGTACCTACTGTACACCCTGCTTTATTCTCCTCTGCTTATCTCTCTGCTCGTCCGTCCGTCCGTTTGTCTTTCATCCTGCTTCGCAGCTACGCTCTGTCCAGTGCACGTCGGATACATCATCTCTTTCTACCTGCTTGTTTTGCGGCCCCCTCGTTCGCTTTCCCATTCTCCTGCCTACGTCTAGACGGAAAAGTATACTGTACATACATAACGCTCGTTGTGCTTACATATGTTGATACAACTAGTAATAACATACTCGCTATCGTATGCGCGTCCCCCCTCCCTCTTCATCTTCAAGAGGTTTGGACGAGGTGTCACTAGTACTCGTACGCCAGGGTCTGAAACGTCCGGTCAGGCCGCTCCTGACGGATCGGAATTAGGGCCAGGGCTCACTGAGACTGCAGAGGACGCGCTGTGCGCCAGATAGTCTAACCAAAAGCATCGGATTACATTTCATTGATACACGCACGCATCGAACGGTCGTATGTACTGAGGAAATTCTCTAGTGTGGTTGTGTGGTAATAAAGCGACGGAGCTTGACCGAGAGCCGTGGAGAGCCAGGGAGAGAGAGCAGCATCAAGCAACTTGTCGAAATCCCGGAAAGAGGAGGGGGGAGCGTCCGTGGAGGCAGGAGCATCAGGATCGTCTATAGATGCATTGATGGCAACCGCACCGCGGCGGTGGTCCCCTCGTCGTGTGTTGTGCGCGCCGCGGCGCGCGGGCTTGTTTAGAGGCTACCCTCGATCATCTTCGCCTTGTAGTAGCGCACCATCTCCTCGAGGCCCATGCGGACGGTCCAGCGCGGCTGCCACTCGAGCACCTCCTTCGCGCGCGTCGTGTCCGGGCGGCGCTTCTGCGGGTCGTCCATGGGCATCGGCTTGTGGATGATGCTCACGCGGCGCTCGGGCGGCTGGCCGTCCTCGGTCTGGACCTTCTCGACGATCTCGCGGACGAGCTCGGCGAACTCGCCGATCTGGAACTCGTCGCCGTTGCCGATGTTCACCGGCCGGGTCTCGTCCGAGTTCATGAGCGCGATGAGGCCGTCGACGAGGTCGTGGATGTACTGGAAGGAACGCGTCTGCTTGCCGTCGCCGTAGACGGTCATGTCCTCCCCGCGGAGGGCCTGGACGATGAAGTTGGAGACGACGCGACCGTCGTAAGGGTTCACTGTGATCGATGTCAGCATGCAGCATGGTACGGGCTTGTGAAGCCGAGCATACTGCGGGGGCCTAAATTGGGACGTTGTGAGCAGATGGCCGACAAACAGAGAGTTTGATGGCCTACCGTAGGTATTGAAGATACGCGCCACACGGACATCAACGCCGTCCTGGCGGTGGAAGCCGTATGTCAGGGTTTCCGCGACGCGCTTGCCCTCATCATAGCATGCACGGGGCCCAATGGGGTTGACGTGACCCCAGCTGGAAAGCCAGTAAGGTTCTGCGGATGGGATAGGGGACGTCACACTGACTAGTCCTCGGGCTGCGGGTGAACCTCGGGGTCACCGTAGACCTCTAATAGCAATGAGACGGCAGCCTTCACGCATGAGGCGAAAACGCACCTGAGGTCGAGGTGATGAGGAAGCGGGCCTTGGTACGCTTCGCAAGACCAAGCATGTTCAAGGTGCCCATGAAAGACGTCTTGATCGTCTTCACGGCATTGAACTGGTAGTGCGGCGGAGAAGCAGGACAGGCAAGATGATAGATCTCTACAGTTTCGGGATTAGTTCGCCCAGCTGCAGTGGGACCAATGACACGACGCACGGTCGCATTCGATCATGAACGGCTCGACGACATCGTGACGGACCATCTCGAAGTTGGGTGGCCGATCCAGTGGCTGACAGTCGTCTTGGAACCGGTGAAGAAGTTGTCGAGGACGGTGACTTCATGGCCAAGAACCATCAGGCGGTCGACCAGATGAGAACCGACAAAGCCGGCGCCACCGGTGACAAGGATGCGCTTGCGCAGGGAGGGCGCGAGGAGTTTGACGGGGGGGAAGCGGGAGAGGGTAGTGTAGGAGATAGATTGGGTGTCGGGATGGAAGATAGATTTAGATTGATACGCGCCATACGCCCCGGTGAACTTGGCGTGTTCAGTCTCCTCTTCCTGGATCTCGGAGTGGCCATTTTGGCCGGGCGCAGCGGTGATAACGTAGTGGGGGCGGAGGTAGAGAGCGCGGAGGACGTCTAGGGGGACCTCACAGTCGAAGCCGAATCTCTGGAAACCAACAGTAGAAATGACATTTCCGGTCTTGTCAAGAGTGCGGATCTGAGGAGGGAACTATGAGCACCACAAGGCCACCAGGAGGAGGTGAGGTTATTTGTGGTGTGCAATGTCGAAGGGGAACGGGACGGTATGTCTCGCATCAGATGGAGGGCGACGAGTGAGGGAGGGCAGGCGGGGAGGCACATACCGGCGCGACAGAAGATGGAGTGGACTGGACAGACATGGCGGGGGAGGCGACGCGGGCGACGAGGCCGGGGTTGGGCGGGGGAGGTACTTATACGAGAAGAGGCGGCCGCTCGCGCGCGCTCAAATTCAGTAGACCGTCGCCAATTGCCCGGCGCGGCCCTGCCGTCGCATCGCATCGATCGCCCGTCCAAGAAAAGTTCTGCGCCAGCGTCCGTGCATACACCCGCTTTCCCCGCGCCCACCATGCCCAAAGCCCCCAAGGCCCCTGCGAAGCCCAAGCACGACCCACTTCACGTCCAGCTCGGCGAAGACGAGGTGCACGCAAAATACGGCCGCGTCTCCCAGCCAGGCCGCCGCCGAAAATCGCGCGCAAAGGACGACGAGGAAGAGGCCGGAGAAGTCTGTTCACCGCCATCACGGTCCACCATAGCCTCCTCATCTTTTCTTCCATACGCAGGCTATTCTCGACCCAAAGACCTCGCGCCGCATATTTGAGCTCGCGCGCGACCAGCAGGACGAATTCGACGACAAAGAGCTGGACGACGAAGACGAGGACGAGGATGAAGCCCAGCGGCGCTTCACCGCACCTCGCGGTCCTTCGTTTGAAGATGAGGATGACCTCGACCTCGACCAGTTTGAGAATGATGACGAAGAGGAAATTGATGAGATTGTGAGTAAGAGAGCGCAGTAAACCTCACAGGCTGATGACATGCTCGCCAGGAAGTTGATGAAGATGACATGAGGGCCCTTGACGCTATGCTCCCGCCCAATATCGGTGACCGGAGAACACTGGCTGACATTATCTTCTCGAAACTTGAAAACCTGGAAGCGGGGTCACCCGACGTCGCGCGCGACAAAGCTGCCGGTCTGTGTAAGCGATTTGTTACTGGTCAGCAGCATTGCTCAGGACTTTGGCAGACCCAAATCGTGCGCCAGATCCGGCGGCCGGACTCGATCCGAAAGTTGTGGAAGTGTATTCAAAGTATGGCTCATATCTGTTGAAACTGGCACGACGTCCCCTCACTAGAGCCCCAGAGTCGGTCAAATGCTGACCCGATACAAATCTGGCCCGCTTCCAAAGCCATTCAAAATCATCCCTTCTCTGCCCCAGTGGGCCCGTATTTTGTCGCTCACACACCCGGAAAACTGGTCACCACAAGCATGTCATGCTGCGACACGGATCTTCATATCGCAAATGAAGCCGCCTCAAGCACGTTGTTCCTTGAAGTGGTGCTGCTGGATGCAATACGTGAAGATATTCGGCTCACGCGGGAAGGCGCGCGCAAAAACAAGAACCATCGGAAGCTCAATGTGCACTTCTACGAGAGTCTCAAACGCTCAATGTACAAGCCTGGCGCGGTGTTCAAGGGGATCGTGTTCCCGCTCTTGAGCGTGCGTAGCCCTGGATTCAGACTTTTGTTTGTAACGCCGGTTGTGACCCTGAGCATTCTAGACTGGTTGTACATTACAAGAGGCTGCCATTGTCGCGTCGGTTCTCGCGAAAGTAAAAATCCCGCTCGGCCACTCGGCGGCCGCTCTCATGCGACTCGCTAATATGGACTACTCGGGTGAGCTCACATCACAATTGTATCTGAACTATCTCGGCCTCACACGGCTTGTTACCAGGCGCCAACTCGTTGTTCATTCGGGTGCTTCTCGACAAGAAACATGCGCTGCCGTACAAAGTCGTGGACGCACTTATCTTCCACTTCATCCGTCTCTCTAACACGTACAAAGCCCGGAAAGCGGGTGACGCGGAGAAGCTCCCCGTGCTTTGGCATCAGAGCCTCCTCGTGTTCTGCCAAAGGTATGTCATGGGTCTTCCCCCGATGAACACGAAACTGACGTGTTTCCGCTCGGTAAGATACGCAGCAGATTTGACACCGGACCAGAAGGACGCCCTGCTGGATGTCATACGTGTGAACCCACATCCTCAAATCAGTGCGGAGGTTCGCAGAGAGCTTGTCAACTCTGTCGAGCGAGGGGCTCCGAGACCTGATGCAGACGGGGACGTCTCTATGGCATAAGAATATCTTACCTAGTGTATTGTACCGATGTTGTTGTTTATCGGTTTCATCTCCTACAAGGAAGCCAAAAGTACTGAAAGAGGTAGTATAGCGGCACTGCGCAGAGTTTCCGACTTGTCCTGGTACTATACTTGTATCATACTTTTGATCTGTGACACTCATAGCTAATGCTTATGCCTTCGTTTCTTCTCCTCCTTGGGTGCAGAGCGAATGGCGCCGAGTACATCTTCCAACCCCGCGGCGCCCCCACGCTCTTCTCCGTCTTCGTCTCTCCTCCGCTTCTTCTTACTCTTCTTCTCCCCCTTCTCCCCGCTTTCCTTGGCTACCTTCCGCCCGCCCTCCCGACCCCATCCTCGCTAGGCCGAGCCTGAGCATCCCTCGCAGCAAGCTCGGCCTTCTTGACCTTGCCACCAAGCGCGCCAAATACTTCGTCAATCTCGTCTGGCCGCCGCCCGTCTTCTTCCCCTTCCCCTTCCTAGACGCATGTCCCTCATCGTGTCTTCCAGTGCAGATGCGGGCTGATCCTTGGCCTTCGAGCCGACTTGGCTCCGCTTCTCCTCCGCTCCGCGCCTCATGTCCGTGCTTTGCGCGGGAACCGTGCCCGTAGCGTCTATCTGCGCCCGCTGCCGCTCTTTCTCCTCCGCCTGCATCGCCTTCCAACGCTCTGGATCGCGCTGGAGGACGTGAAGCGCGAGGCCGCGTACAAAGAACTTGCCGAAATACGAGCCGGCGAGCGCGGCGTGATGCGGCGCGGCGGCGCGCGCGATCTTCTCGCGTAGGTAGGGGTCCGCGGCGGCGAAGAGCCGCTCTCCGACACGAGAGCCGATGCGGTCGTCGACGAGCGCGGGGAGGTACGGGAGGAGCGTAAGCGTGAGCGTGCGGCGGGCTTTGGGAGGGACGGTGGTGGAAGTGAGGAGGGCGTCGAGGATGCGGGAGGAGGTGGGGTGGTGGGACATCTCGATGAGGGTCTCTGGCGAGGAGGTGCAGATGCTGTTATGTGCGAGGGATCAGTGGGGGTAGATTAGAAGCCGAATGTGTACACACCTATCGAGTACGATGTCATTGTGGGGAGAAGGTAGCCTGAGGATTGATTGTAGGAGGACCGCACCTTGAGTCTTGGGCTCTAAGGGATCCTCGGTCTTCCTCTTTTTATGTCGGGGCTCTCCATCACGATTACCCTCTGTGGCCTTGCTTGCCGACTCCGATGCACGAGCGTAATCCTGTAAAAGAATACGTGAGCACGGCAGCGACAGGCTCGCGGAACATACTACTGACCTCAGGACTCAGCAGTCGCAAAATGCACTGAACATGTGTAGACTTGTCCTCTGCACCATCTAGTTCGAACGCGCTAGAGATGAGCTGTAGAACATCAGTCAGTCGTCATTGAAGAGCAGGACTAGCCACATACAAGCACAACTTCTTCAGCACCACCCTGCACTATGCATGCACGGTCGACGAGTGCTCGAAGGACACCGATGCGAGCATTCTCTGTCAAGAGAAATGAGATTTAGTGTGAGGGCGTATTGACTGTTACTCACTGACAACTTTCGTCGCGACGTTTCTTATTTCATCCACAGCTGAAACCAGCTGCTCGGCTGTTAGTCGTTCGAAGGCTTTCGCGACTACGAAGTTGGCCACAGGATGTACGCCTAACTTGTGCAACTTTCCCATGAAATAGGTCTTCCACAAGACATCGAATACACGCTGCGGTGATCGTTGGACAAGGGCCTCGAGAAGATGAGATGCAGTAGGGTCCCGCAGGAGTGTCGTGAGATAGTCAGACTCTGGAGCGTCTGCCTCAGGATCGTTGTCTGCATCCAATGTCAGCAAAGATAGATGCGTCGTAATGGGGAAAACCTTACGAAGGGATGTGATCAGGCCGACTAAAGCATGATCCATGAGCGACCCTGGTGAGTCTGCCATTCCGTACGCCGCCTCTAGTTCGAGGAGCATCTATGCCCTTCCAGTAAGCACACCTTCATACTCACACGGATAATCGCTTGCCTGCAGGACTGGACTAGCAACCGGGTTGGCCGCCATTGCTCGGACCTCGTTCTCCCCTAGCGATTCTCGTAGAGTTGAGGTGATGTTCTTGGCGGCTTTGCGGAACTCCTTGGGCGTGTGCTTGGCACTGTATTGCAGGGACCGCTGATTGTCTGTGAAAACGGATTTCATGGGACCTTGTCGAGCCTTGTACGCGGCGCTCTTCTTGGAACGAACTTTCCCTCCAGCGTCGCCAAGGTCATCAGCGGTGGACAGGACGTCCGGGGCAAGGACTTGTAAAAGGGTTCGAAGAACATGTGATGCAAATTGGTCCATAACAAGACTCGGCATTGAGGGAAGAAGCTCCTAAGAAGGAGAAGTTGAGTCGCACTCCCTGGCTAGCACATTGAACGTACCTCGCAAGCATCCAGGACCAACTGAGCAAACGTTCTGAGTTCTCCTGCGTCTTCTTCCGATTCTGGGATAGGAGGAAAGATCCCTCGCGTCTGCGGCTCTTAGGTTCCAAAAAAGAATGGGTAGGTGTTCGTAACGCACCTCTCGTGAGACGGTCTCGCTTCCGGTGGAGAGCAGAGTCTGGCATACATGGGATGCAAACCGGTGCTTGCTCAGTTGCTCAAGCCTGACGATCTGTGTTCAGTTCAGACGCGCTATTGAGCACGCAGGAGAGCTTCTACTCACGAGCCGCTCAAACGGTCCGTGAAAACACGGCGCGCGAAGTCGTCCATTGAATGGACCATGCGCTCAAGGATGGTAGAACAGTCAGGATCCGTCGCAAGCTGTTTTTCCTTCTCTGAAATTTCGCTCAAAGCAGCCATGAAGAAAAGGCGGCGGTCTGCACAGCGTTCGTTCAGAATCCCAGCCGGCACGATGGGTGCAACACACCTTCGTTTGGATCCACTTCCTCGTCCCCGTCCGGCTCAGGTGCCGCGTTCTGCCACTCCCGAATTTGCACATCCACCGTACGAAAATATGCCTTCACTTCGCTGTCGACGTAACCGAAGGGCGCATTCATGTCCACGGTGTCCTCGCGAGCAGGCTTGATCCAAGAAGGCCCCGCGTCCTCAACGACTTCTGAGGCCTCTTCATAGCGCGGTTCAGGAGCCCCATGAGAGTCTTGCTCTTCGTCGGCCTTCTTCTTGTGCTTCTTTCCTCTCTTCCGGTTTTCCCGAGGCATGGCGAGTTGGGTGAAGCAGCGAGATGGGAGAGGGAGAAATGTGATCGTGGGCAGCAGGCGCTAGAGGAAATTGAGCTCTCGAGTCGGGCCGGCGGAACGTCTGCAGATCTTGGACCTCGACGGCGACGATGCCTCCGCGAACTTGCGCTCTCTGCGACAACGCCCGCGCCATCCTAAAGCGGCCGAAGACTGGACAGCAAATTTGCAAGGAGTGCTTCTTCTATGTCTTTGAGACGGAGGTGCACAACACCATTACTGAGGCTCGTCTCTTCAACCGCGGAGATCGGGTAGCAATTGGCGCATCTGGCGGAAAGGGTATGTTCAGTCTCAGAGATTTGACGATTCAGAACTTACTGCACATTTTTTCAGACTCTACTGTACTTGCCCATGTAATGAAGACTCTGAATGAACGCTATGACTACGGCCTTGAACTCTTCCTCTTGTCTATAGACGAAGGGATCACTGGTTATCGAGATGACTCCCTGGAGGTGGGTGTGCCCAGTCGTAGTATAAGACCAACCTCTAAATGCACAATCACAGACTGTGAAGCGTAACCAACAGCAGTATAATATGCCACTGAAAATCCTATCATACGACGAGCTTTATGGCTGGACCATGGATGCTATCGTAGCTCAGATCGGCAAGAAAAACAACTGCACTTTCTGCGGTGTTTTCAGAAGACAGGCACTTGACCGAGGAGCTGCTATTCTTCATGTCGATCACATTGTCACTGGCCATAACGCGGACGACATTGCGGAGACCGTTCTCATGAACAGTGAGTGACGCCATGTTGGTTTCCAGTCTCGACTCATTCTATGTAGTCATGCGCGGCGACATCGCTCGTCTGGGTCGTTGTACTTCAATATGTACTCAAGGAGAAGACACGATCAAGCGCTCCAAGCCATTCAAGTACGCTTATGAGAAAGAAATTGTCATGTCTGTAGTTACTGTGAGTGAGCCAATGACAAAAGCTGACACATTTGTAGGTATGCGTATTTCAAGAAGCTGGACTATTTCTCTACCGAATGCATATACTCTCCCGATGCCTACAGAGGCCACGCTCGAGCATTTCTCAAGGACCTTGAGGCCGCACGTCCGAGTGCCATCATTGATATAATACATTCCGGAGAGGCATTCGAGATAAAAGAGGACGTTAAAGCTGCTCAGAAAACTCAGCGTGAGTACCCTTTGAACCTCGTTGTGCACGGCGGCTCATCCAGTTTTGCACGCTATCAGAAACCTGCCGACGATGCGGTTACATGTCAAGTAATGAACTATGCAAGGCTTGTACTCTGTTAGAAGGCCTGGAGCGCGGGATGGTGAATGCAGCAGTGGTGAGTCGTTATATCACGACTTGTCTTTGCGTTACAACTGATGATACGCATATGTTCAGACCGATAGAGCGAGGAAGAAGCTCGATGCCAATGGGCCTCAACCAGAAAATCTGCGCACCATTCCCTTGTTCCAACTGCCTCCAGGTAGAGTACAAGAGTCATCGTCCGTGGAATTGAGTGTGGCGTAGATTCCCCGTTTGACCATCATGTATCGTAGATTTCTAGAGTTGTATCTTTAATATCTCGCACGTAGCTGTACGCATCATCTGGAGCCATGCACTCTTATAATACAACATCGTGGCATCAAGTAGCGTCGTGGAGTCCGAAAACATCGGAACATAAGTAGCTTATGGGCGGCACACACCTGGGGAGACTGGCACACACCGTGATTCACGGACTACGGGTTGATCATGGCCATCGACGGGCTCATCATCCTCGACAACGCAGGGTGCGCTCTGACCTGTTTATCCACGCATGCATTTGCCTCTCTCACACTTAATGTCAAGGCGACCTATTGTACAGTCTGGCTTTCACCGATTTCCACCGGCATACCCCATTCTCCACATCGACGCTCTCAATTCCGCTCTCGCCGCTGCTTCACGACCATCAGACGTCGACACCGTGCTCTACGTCCCTGCACTTGATATTGATAATCCCAGCGCGTGCTGTCATATTCAAAGAGGAGAGCTGAGATATCTATGTCCCGTGAGCGGCGATGGTGCGTACTCGTTCACTTGGTGCAGTGGGCAGGCTCAGTAAAATCTATTACCAGTTGACCCACTGTATGCGCTGTCTTTCTTGCAAACCTTTGTCGACATTCTGCAGGAGTACTTCGGACATCTGTCCGCGGAGACTTTGAAAGACAACTTTGACACCGTATATCAGGTAGGTCCCGCTCCACAACTTCACGAACAGCCGCGGGACACGCCTACATAGCTCCTGGAAGAAACCCTCGATGCCGGCGGGCATCCTTTGACAACATCTCCCAATGCGCTGCGTGATATTGTCCTACCGCCTTCTCTTCTCCACAAAGTGCTTTCGGTAGCCGGCGTTTCTGGCCTCGCAAGTACCTCGTCCAACTCGCATCCCTTCGCTTCTCCAATACCTTGGCGAAAAGCGGGCGTGCGATACAACAACAACGAGATCTACTTTGATGTTGTGGAAGTGCTGGAGGCGATTGTGAACAAGTGAGTGATTCCATTTCTGCTCGCTGTCAACCGCGATCGAGCCAGGGCGTAGGAACGACACCCCAGTAACAAGTGCAGTATGGGGGCAGGTCAACACCAACTGCAAGTTATCAGGTAGCATATTCATCATCCTCCATGGAGGAATGTGTTTTGATAGGCGACCACAGGAACACCAGATCTTCTCCTGACGTTCTCAAACGCTGCTTCCTTGGTTGATTGCTCATTTCACCCATGTGTACGGTATGTTCCCTGCCCAATCGCTCCTCCTTTCTCTTCCTTTCATGTCTTCGGCGGCAAATTACCTCCTCACGAGATAGGCAAAGAGCATGACCAGAACTAGTCCCATGTTTTGGCCATGTTCTTTGCTTGGTTTGCTGAGATCCCAGGCCAAGACCGAGCAAGCGTGTCTATGGCCTGGTCGAAACCTCATCCACGATCCACAGCGAGTTCCAAGATTCATTATGCCTCCTTGGTATCGATTGGAACCAATACACGCAGACAACGATCACTCAAACTGTCTCGTACGTCGGTGCCGTTGATGGGCTGCAAAGTGCGAATCGTTCGCATTCTATCCCAGCCGGTGCTAGGCTTGATCCTTGCATGTGTAGTGACCGTAGCAGGGCCTTCAAAACTGCTCCAATTTGCAAGCAACTTACTCATGTTTGTCAACCCATAGTCTCGCACGCTGGACTCGCGACAAAGTGCTTTCGTTCGTACCTCCCGACGGCCGCTTCAAGCTCATGGACTACCGCTACTCCCCAGCTACCGCCTCCGCCATCGCCCAGTCCGCCATCCCGATCGCGCTCCGCCCGTCCGTGTCGCTCGACGGCCCGAACGGCGGCACCCTCGACCTCGCGCTCAACTCGCGCCTGACGACGCGCACGATGGAGAACGTCTGCGTAGAGCTTTACCTCGGCGAGGGCGCAACGGGCGCGAGCTGCGTGCTGACGCATAACGCGGCGTGGACGTTCAACCCGCGCACGAAGACGCTAGTGTGGGAGGTGAAGCAGGTGATGCCCTCGGCGACGTACACCCTCCGCGGGACGTTCACTTCGACGTGAGTGCCCCCAGCAGAGTTGACGGCTTGAGCTTACTGTTTTGGGGCTTTTCTAGGGCCGAGCATCCACGGCCTGCACGCGCGTTCCGCATCACGTTCGACCTCCCAGCGTACAACTTCTCGGCCATCAAGATTGAGCAGCTCAAGCTGACTGGAGAGTCGTACAAGCCTTACAAGGGTATGCGGGGGGCCTCGCGAGGCAACATCGAGTGGAGGTGGTGATCATTAGGGCTCGCGTGTACAAGTATTTGCTTCGAGGCCGTAGGGTCGCGCCGCTTGCGAGGAGAAAATGGACAGCATTAAGAAGTACTTTTGAGCTCTAATGACTATATGAAGATAAAAACTTGCGAGGTGCACATGGTACGAAGCACGAGCATAGTAACGATGTGTGGGCCGTGAACGTACGCACGTCTGGCTCTCAGCTGCCCTCCGCACGACCAGCTCGTCCTCTCCATTCCTGATAGCACCTTCCTACTCGATCATCCACGCAAGATATTCGTGTAGATGCGTTGGACCTTCTCCCAGTCGAGCACGGTCCAGAAGCGCTTCATGTACTCCTCCTTGCCCCACACTCCGTACCCGGCGCTGACCCACGCGTGCTCGTGCACGGACACGCACATGAGTGGGAACAGCGTCCTGCCTACGAAGCGCCCGCCCTTGGGCTGCGCCGAGTCGAAGGCGGCCTCAGCCATGCTCGGGCGCGGCAACGTCGACATGCTCCGCGCGTGTGGGTCCGCGGGGCTTGGGACCCCGCCCCCGATGGGTGCACCCGTCAATGGCGAGCTCGCGCCCGTCCCCGCGGATAAGAGGCGGTTGAGCGAGGGGTCCGTGGGCGAGGTGAACGCGGGTGCCTGGCCGTCGAGCTCGCTGAGAGTGAGCACGGGGTCGCCGACCAAAGCGCGGAACTCTTCCAGCGCGGCGGAGGTCTGGGAGGAGGCGACGAGGAGGGTGCCTGCGCCGAAGGTGGGGACGATGCCGACGCTGCCGGACTGGTCCATGACGAGCCAGAGCCAGCCAGAGGAGAACATGCCGAGGGTCGCGGCGGAGAAGGAGGACTGGAACTGTGCGAGGGAGCCGTAGTTGGTGCGGATGCGGGTGAGCAGGCCTGTGCCGGTGAGTGCGTGCTCGTGCGACGCGGCGTCCGCTGGGGGAGGTTTCTGAGAAGGAAGGGTGAGAGGTGAGAGAAACGCAGAGAGGAGACGACGCACTAGGCTGTCGAGGAAGAAAGAGTTGTTGAGGGCTTCTGATGCGTAGTTGAACTCGAGCACCTTGCTAGGATCCCTTGCTGCCTGCACAACGGTCTGGACAATGCTCTTGTTCTCGAACTCCGTACCTACAGAATGCCAGCCAGGAACTCAGAAGGGCGCGTCACAGAGAGCGAGGTGCACGCACCTCGAACGAGATCATTCAGCCTGTCCAACAGACCCTGCTGGTAGTCCTCCGAAATCATCTTCAATGCCGGCGGGGGCAAGAAGGTCCCCATGCCCTCCTCCACCGGATAGGCAAGCTGCTTGCGTGCGTGAAGTGCTCGTGACTGGACGCGACATGACCGTGCGCAGACGGCGGAGAGGCGCACAGTGCGCGATGTGCTTGCAGTAGCCCGGAGCCCAAACGCAGACATAGCGAGAGACGAGGGAGGGGACGGAGGCCGGGACGAGCACGCGAGGAGAGCAGAGTGACGGACACTGTGGGCGCCTCTGCCGAGTTTTCGACGCGTTTGGGCGTCTAGTCCGCTGCCTCTTTTGGACGGAGACTGCGCACACGCCGCCTGGGCTAAGTCCAGCTCCTCCACGTCGACGAACACCCTCCCCGCACCTTCCTTCGGTCTACGCTCCTTCATGGCCCCTCCCAAAAGCGCCGCCTCTGCGCCCAGCGCGGCATCCTCTGCGTCCGCGCAGAGCCCTCTCCTGACGCTCTGGAAGGCGTACTATGACACAACCTCCACGCGCCTCAAGACTATTGACGCGTTCCTGGTCTTCCTCATGCTTTCCGGCATCGTCCAATTCCTCTACTGCATCCTCATCACCGACTTTCCTTTCAACGCATTTTTGGCTGGGTATGTTCATTCGCGCATTGATGCTGTTGGAGCCGTTTATGAATGCGCGCTGCAATAGTTTCGCGAGCTGTGTAGGGCAGTTCGTTCTGGCAGCCTCACTCCGTTCACAAGTAAACCCGGCCAACCGGTCAGAATTCAAGGAGGTGTCACCAGAACGGTACGTCCATACGTCCTAGGCCCGAGTGCGCTTGGCACTCATGACATGCACCGTTGCAGAGCTTTCGCCGACTTCGCGCTGGGCTCTATCGTACTACACTTCTTTGTGTACAACTTCCTCGGTTGAATGGTGGAATTGAGGGAGATATATTGGAAGTGTGGGAGCGTGCGTGGCCGGACATACGTGTACATGGGCCATGTAACCAGGCTCATTATTATCCCATTTATCATCGTGGCCGGAATGAGTGGAGCGGAAAGCGTGTGCGATAGCGAACAGTGGAATGAGGGGTGACTACAATCCTGTCAGGAGTTGTTGCTGCGACGGAGTCTTGGTGCTCACGATAGTGTCCAGAGTAGGTCATTATGTGTCGTAAAGATTACTTCCTCTCAAATGAGGAAGAACGCTGGATGGTGTGTGAGACTCGCCAGTAGCCCGCGTAATGGGCATGGGACACGTACCCCAGCGATGACCACCGCGAAGTCAAATAGATATTCGCCTGAATGCCTGTTTTATAGACCATGCTTCCCCAGGAGGGCAGTGTGTGACTTACCGAACTCAAGATAAGTGCGAAGAAGCTCTGCAGGAGACCACAACCTCAATGTCCGCACAAACGATGACGATGAACGAAACTCACGGCGTACATCCTTGTTGGGCACATCAGAAAGTTTGGGGCTATGAAAAAAAACCGCCATGTTGGTACATGTTGACGTCCGAGAGGCTTATGAACATACGTTAGACCAGTAGTCCTCCTGATGCCCGCGAGGAAGGCGCTCAACAGGGCTGCATCGATGCCTAGGTGGATGAGGGTTCCGAACATGCTGGAAGGTATTGGCGAAAAGGAAGACGGCTGGTGGCAACGGTGTTGCTGAGTGGAAAAGTGGATGGGATAAGTGGCACACGAGAGGTCCGAAGGTGGGGGGTTTGGAAGGAGTGGTTGCCAGACGGCAGCTTAATGCCTTGGTCTCGGCCCGGCAGGCACGTGGTTGGTTGTACATAACACGGCCCGTGGCGCTCACTTGCAGCTCCTTCCTCCTACGGGTGCGGTCCCGTGCCCACGCGGGCGTCAAACGAACGCGGGATACGACCTTAGCCGTGTAGTCACATGTGCACCCTTTGTGACGCTCGGGGATAGGTTGAGCATAATAATTAATAATAATAAAGCAGCTCCTTCCTCCCATCCCTCACCAGCCACGGTCTATCAGTACATACTCCAGGAGAATGTGGAATGAGGCCGGCGGGTTCAAACTGCGGCCCTGTTAAACCGAGAGTCTTGAACGAACATGTCAGATTATGAACTTCGTCCGAACGTCGTATACGCGTGACCGCCACATCGAAGCCTCAAGCCGGTTGCTCTTCAACATACTCTTCCCGCTGCCAATAGTGACCCGACACGGATGACGGAGTACGACAGAACTGTCCTCCACGGCGATGAGAAGAGCTGGGAACGGGCCGCGCGAGCATGGCCGCGCCGTGAGTGACGGTGCGTTCCGATAGTTGCTGTTCGGCTTCTGGGACGCCAGCCGTGCACGCAGTGGGCGGGCAGACGCAGAGGCGACGCTCGGATATATGCTCGTCGTGATCGACGCGCTAGAGAACCAGCAGCCGTAGGGAGGCGGGGGCGGCCGGCCGTTTGCAGTGGCAGGGGGTGGTGGTGCGTTCTTCGCTCGCGGCCGTGCTCACGCTGACATTCGACTCAGCCCCCGCCAGTGCGGCTTCTGCGCAACATCTCCAACTGGTTCTGCCTGGGGTGGATATTCTTCCAACAGGGAGCTGCTGCTGCGAGACACCGGGGTGGCGTTGACCAGTGACATATGTCCGAGCCGATACCATGATATTGCAGGGATCAGCTACATGATTCGTCCACTGCATTCTCGCGGTCGAAAGCCACCCGCGCGCCGATACACTTGTAATTTGGTAGTAGTTGAGTCGTACTCACCACCGCATCACAAAATACAATTCAGGTATAACGTGCGGAAGCGGTGCAGTTACTCTGCATGGAATGGCGAGTCCTCCCGAGAATTTGAACGTGGCGGAAGGCGATGCAGAGCGAAGTGAGATGGGAATTCAAATGAAGAGATGATATACACAGTGAGACGTGATGCGTATATGCCCCTAAGGATAAGCATCACAATACATGGGGCCGGCCGGGGAACGATATGGAAGCAACGATGAGCGCGTGGAGGACAGTATGGGGAGAGGTGCAATCACCTGGACCTCACATCAATCAGGTCCCCTTAGCCTGGGGCACGGGGGGGGGATGGCCCGGGCTAAGGAGACCTGAATCCGTGCTCCCGCGCATGTTTGAATAATGTCCTCAATAAACCCGAGGCAGTTTCCCTGAAGGGAAGTATTCGAACGCCCTCCCTTCCAAGTCCCCCAGCCCATCACGTGTCCCCATCCTTCAGATCTCCCATCAGTCCGCGTTATCTCTCCCGCCCCCGCACGCGTTATCTCCCGCGCCCACGCCCACGTTATCTCCCGCGTCGGCGCCGCGCGCCTCCCTGCCCCGCCACCCGTGCTCGCTGTGCCCGACAGTGAGCTCGCTGTCCCTGCACCCTGCCTCCCCCTCCGCTCCGTTTCCCTCCGTTCTTTTTGTAATCTACTTGCATTCACAATGCGCACCTAATGGTACACAATTCAATGGCCACACCTTCCTGGGTGTGCCTGCACTGAGCCCTCAAACCTCCCAAAATGCGTGCAATACAGGAACATATACAAGCACTCAAATGATCGGCTAAGTGCTGCATCAGATAGTTGTAGATGAGAGCTACTCTATCATAAAATCGCAGTTGGATAGCTAGAGGGGTGCAGGTATGATGTCATATGTTATTTCAGAATGACATACCCCACAGTGATATGGTATATGCATATATCGTCTTATGTACACCCAGAATCGTACCTAGAGGTCATTCAGAGCGCGTTGCAAAAAGAAGCAAGCGAATAAACGATGTCGTGGTGAGGATATGACATATGCACAGAAGGGGGAGTTGGCTCGAAAATGCGGCCTTCATATGTTTTTGTGTAGACCTCTGATCACTTCGCATCTTGTTGCATTACGTTTATATGTATATGGAGAGCTCAGATCGTCAGTTTTATGCTTATCGGTGAAGGATTGAATACAGGCCATGATATGTCATTATTCTATGACATAGAGTATAGCGAGATAGCATGCGCTCCGATTGTTGTTCTGAAAGGCGGAACAGAACGGGGTGTTCTTCTGCTCAACGATGCAGAAAGAATATTGAAGAATGGTCGAGAAGTGGTTGAGATATGCCATATGAGCTTGAAGTGTGCAAAGTAGTATAGGTGGTTCAAGGGCGTCCTTTGTGCAACCTGCCGTTCTAGACCCATCTGACATATCTCAACCACTTCTCGACCATTCTTCAATATTCTTTCTGCATCGTTGAGCAGAAGAACACCCCGTTCTGTTCCGCCTTTCAGAACAACAATCGGAGCGCATGCTATCTCGCTATACTCTATGTCATAGAATAATGACATATCATGGCCTGTATTCAATCCTTCACCGATAAGCATAAAACTGACGATCTGAGCTCTCCATATACATATAAACGTAATGCAACAAGATGCGAAGTGATCAGAGGTCTACACAAAAACATATGAAGGCCGCATTTTCGAGCCAACTCCCCCTTCTGTGCATATGTCATATCCTCACCACGACATCGTTTATTCGCTTGCTTCTTTTTGCAACGCGCTCTGAATGACCTCTAGGTACGATTCTGGGTGTACATAAGACGATATATGCATATACCATATCACTGTGGGGTATGTCATTCTGAAATAACATATGACATCATACCTGCACCCCTCTAGCTATCCAACTGCGATTTTATGATAGAGTAGCTCTCATCTACAACTATCTGATGCAGCACTTAGCCGATCATTTGAGTGCTTGTATATGTTCCTGTATTGCACGCATTTTGGGAGGTTTGAGGGCTCAGTGCAGGCACACCCAGGAAGGTGTGGCCATTGAATTGTGTACCATTAGGTGCGCATTGTGAATGCAAGTAGATTACAAAAAGAACGGAGGGAAACGGAGCGGAGGGGGAGGCAGGGTGCAGGGACAGCGAGCTCACTGTCGGGCACAGCGAGCACGGGTGGCGGGGCAGGGAGGCGCGCGGCGCCGACGCGGGAGATAACGTGGGCGTGGGCGCGGGAGATAACGCGTGCGGGGGCGGGAGAGATAACGCGGACTGATGGGAGATCTGAAGGATGGGGACACGTGATGGGCTGGGGGACTTGGAAGGGAGGGCGTTCGAATACTTCCCTTCAGGGAAACTGCCTCGGGTTTATTGAGGACATTATTCAAACATGCGCGGGAGCACGGATTCAGGTCTCCTTAGCCCGGGCCATCCCCCCCGTGCCCCAGGCTAAGGGGACCTGATTGATGTGAGGTCCAGGTGGGTGCAATACAGCTAGTCTACACGTCAGATGGAAGCACCGTATTTCGGTCGCTAGTCTACACGTTTGTTGTGCTCTAGTCTGATGTCCACGCATCACCATCTAGTGTCCTTGCTTGGTGGCCTGAAGCGCACAAAGCGCAGCTACAAGGAGCACATTAGTGATCGTGCGACTGACATGCAAGATTGGAGGTATGCGTACCTCCAACACCACTGCCGTCCTTCGCAAGACCGATCTCCACTTTCTTCTCAACCTCTTCACCGACGAGTTCCCTTAGCGAGTCTCGTACGCGCGCATTGAAGTTCGGGTAGTGTTGGATAAGACTGAAACAAGATCAGCGACCTAAACACATCCTCCGTACGAAAGACGCGTACCTGCCGTCCACGCCAACTCCGATCTTCTCTTCGTCCGGCACAAACCCGCCACCGAGCTTCGCCCGCTCCGTTTGGACGAGCACCGCCGCGACGGCGCATCCGCTGAGCTTTGCGGCACGCTGCGCAACGAGCGACGCTGCCCAGCGCACGATCGCTGCGTCACGCAGCGAGACGTCCTCCGCGTCCATATCTAGTTGTTGGATGATGACGGTGCGGATGCGCTCCAATCGCGCGATGTCTTCTGGCGAGAGCTTGGCGACATCGGTGAAGTGGGTGGATGCCCAGTCGGCGGAGCCATCTGCAGCACCGTTGACCTTGACTACAGGGGTGGAATCGCGCCCTGCTTCCCAAGCGGTTTCGACCTCAGACATGACGGCAGTGTCGAGGCCATAGTGGGTGTTCAGCTGTTTGCTTGTGCGACCATTGAAAAGTAATGGCCGTGGTGCCGCGTCGACGAAAGAAAGGAGGACGTTCCGGGTAATTTCTCCGAGGTACATTCCCGAGATGAACTTCTCGAAGGCTTGTAGACGGGGGTTTATTGATTGACGATCAAGTTTGTTATCAAATGGGGTAGTAGGTAGAACGCTCCGCTGAGGTCGAGGGGTCAGACCGCGTGTAGAGGTCCGTCGAAAGGGCCACTGACCGTGTTGTTAAATGCTCCCATTCTGTGTTGACAACCATGAAATCACCGTTCTTGCGTGCCGGTGAATCACCAAGCTTGCGAATATTCTCGACCTTCTCGAGGTACGCGCCGTTTGTACCCGTGCCGAAGATACTGCCTTTGGAGGAGTCAACCACAGAAAAGGATGTCAAGGCGAGTTGAAATGTATCTCACCAAGAATACAACCACCACTGGTATACGCTCGCGAAAGCATTGCACCAACGGTCTGAATAAATCAGATACTGCATGAGGAAAACGGAGGTACAAAACTCACGTCGTTAACGAGAGCAACACATTTAACGTGCATATGTTTCCTGTCGAATGCGTCTTGGAGGAGTTTGACGACGTCGTTGCCGATGGCGTTCTTCGCGGAGAAACCCTTGGTCCACGTCAGAATTTTCCCGCTGTCGAGCGCCGTCTGCTCTACGGGGAAGCTGAACGTCAAACCCAGGGGAATCGCCGTATCGACCATAGATTCCACAGGAGTGGCGAAGGGATTCGGTTGATCGTGCAAGGGGCTGGAGGGTACAGCAGATGCGAATTCGGTAAGGAACGCATCGACCGAGTCGGCGAGATAGTCTTCCGTCTCGCGTGAGTTCTGAGGCGGGGCGGAAGTGGTGACTATATGCGCTCACCGAAGAGAGTAGTGGCCTCTCCCGTCTTGAGAGCATCGGAGACCTTGTACTTCTGTTGCCTGAGGACAAACTGATGGTTTCCCTGCAGCTCGACTTCGCAGACACGCCTGGGACGCTAGTGAGAGATGGTGGCAAGTGCGAGACAAATGCAGACGCACAGGTTCGTTCCGCCGAGATCGAGGGCGAGGAAGGTCCTGATCAGAACAACAACAGCAGTTAGCGCCGAAGATAGTAGACGGAGGCTCGGACGCGATGACGTCGTCGGACCCGCGAGCACCGCGTAGAACACGACAACTAACGCAGTCGCGCGCTGCCGCCCCCAATGCCTTGCGCGCGCATCGAACACAAAACGGGCGCACGACACTCAGCGCGTGGACGGCGGGGAAAGGCGGGAGCTTCGGGAGCGGCGCGCCTGTACATGGCCAATCGATGGGAGAATTACGCCGAAATGCGCTCATGTTCGGGGTCGCGGACGCGGAGAAGCTGAGTGCACGGCCCGGACAGTTGTCCTTCCCTATGTCCGTATCGGCGTCGAGACGGATGCGCGCGACATAACCAGCGACGCTCGCGCCAGCGGAGTGAGGCGGCGAGCGTGTAGAGCGGATGGGAAAGGGATGGATATCCGGCCCACGCCGGTGGGGGTGGGGGTAAGGCGGGCCAGAGACTCACCCGACTTCAGAACCATTTGGTACGCCGGTGACGAAGGTGGGACTGTACAGAACGCATAAGACGGGGATGGAGAGGAATATCTGGAGTGATACGCGCATCATGGCCATGGGGTGGTTGTACTCGCCTAGTCCGAGGGCAAAGTCCTTGAGGAAATGGGAGGTGATGTTCATGAGATCGTCCTTCGTCAGGAGGAACATGTTCTCGATATCATCGAAGACAGCGCGCGAGGCCGCGAGATCGGGCACATAGTGTGCGGATGTCCGGGTCGTGGTCGGCATGCTAGGTTGTGAAGATGGGACAGAGACAGGGGAGTGAGGAGGGGGGGAATGTGAGTGCCGAGGGAATCTTGGATGCCCTGGTCGTGAGACGCCTTATGACATACTGTGAAGGTCACGTGGGAGCAGTGCAATTGCTCACTTCCCATTTCGAGCGGAGCGCGCTCTCTTGTGCCGCGGCCAGCGACGGCCATTAGTCGGGCCATCGCCCATTCCATCCGATCTCGAACAGGCCAGGATGCGCGGAGCTGAACCAGGCCATACCATGTTGCCAACCCAGGCCTTTCAGGATCCGGAGGGCCATCGACCAGTTCTAGTGCGGGATTGGCTGCCTGGCAGTGCCTGCCATGTTCTGACACTAAGTACTGACAAGCACGGCGGTCATAGTCACTGGGCATTGATGAGGCCGCTCAGGTGGTCATTGCTAAGACGATGTCAGATTGTGTTAGAGCACATGCTTGATAGAGCAGGCCACTTACGGATTCCGTGGGCACTGTTCCAACAACTTCCAAGGTCTGTGGCTGATGCTCTTCCCACCTAAAGCCCCGCCCGCAAACGAATAGCGAGGTCGCTCTTAGCCAAGTGATTGGTCGGAGCCAAGATGCTTTGAACTGGATGGACCATACAAAGCCCGCAACGCGTGTCGCAGGCGTCCCGCGCCCAAAGAAACCGACGGCGTGCGGACCAGCGAGCAAGAGCGAGCGCGGCGTGGCTTTATAGGCGCCCGTGTTCATCGGCCGTTCCCGGCGACCCTCCGTCGGGCGACACGACCAGCTGTTCTACGACCTCCTGCACCAATCACCCTCTTTTCTGTACGCGTCTCCTCTCCTCCGCCTTTCACTTCTCTGTGGGTTGACCCTGCCGCACGCTTTAGCTTCGACATGGCCTCAAAAGCAGCAGCCGCGACGGTGGTGCGTCCTCCGCTTATTTCCACTCCAGCTTGTGACGTTGACCTCTCGGTCCGCGCCCATGCAGGACTTCGCCCGCATGTACACGTCGCTCGGTCTCGGAAAGGGTGCGTTTTGTCGTCTTTGAGCTCTGCCACAGAAGATGGGACAGCAGGGAATGTGAGGAGGAACGGAACCGCTGACCCCACCCCGCAGAGACCGTCGCCGCCCTCCAGGCGTTCCGCAAACGGCACGGCGACGCCCAGCGCATCCAGGCGCAGCTCGCGGGCCAGCCCACGACCGTCGATCTGGAGCACTACCGCTCAGTCCTCCGCAACAAGACCGTCGTCGACGAGGCCGAGAAGATCCTTCGGGAGTTCAAGCCCGTCACGTACGACGTGAGCGCGCACGTCAAGGCGATTGAGACGTTCGAGACCAAGGCGGTGCGTTTCCGTGCCTTTTCGGCCTTATATTATCTGGTATTGGGGTTGTGGGAGGACCGTAGGGCTGATCTGTTGCGCTTCGGGGATGGCAGGTTGCGAAGGCGAAGGAGACTTCGGACAAAATCGACGCGGAGCTCAAGGCCCTCCAGGCGACCCTTGCCAACATTGAGGAGGCCCGTCCCTTCGAGGAGCTCACGGTATGTCTGCGTGTTTGACCTCTCGCGCGTTGGACGCGCTCTAAGTGCATACTTGCACCATTAGGCGGAGGAAGTCGGCGAAGCACACCCACGTATTCGCGAGGCTGTCGAGACGATGGTGAAGAAGGGCAAGTGGACCGTGCCTGGTACGTGCTGTTTGTTTACTTGTAGCTGTGTCGCCGTCTGACTTCTTGCCTTCATACAGGCTACAAGGAGACGTTCGGCAACCTCTCTCTTATGTAAATGTCGTCGCTTCCGCCCTTGCTATAATAGATACAGGAGGTACTTCACGTTCACATTACTTCGTGATCGTCCTCGGCACATCCTCGGTCGTGCAGAGATGAGAACATGCTGGCAACTTCACCGACCTCGATCAGCAACCGCATTGAGTGCAGATCGCGTTTCTGGTCCACTCCAGAGTGCTGCACAGCAACGCGGTTGAAACCACAATCCTTGAATATGCAACAGAATACACGGAGAGATATTACACACGATTGTAGGCAGGGGAATCGCAGGTACGAAGACATGCGTGGAAATACGTGCGTGCGTATGTACAGTGGGTCATGCAACAACGGCCGTCGAAATCACCAAAGACTCCAGCCGGGTACCTGGGTGAGTGAGATAGGATAGGCAGCCAGGTGTAGGTCATTAGAAGAGATCTTCAAGAGTCATTTGTTTTACAATGTCCTGTACGCAAAGTCTTAGCTGGGCGTCCTGGGCAGAACGAAAAATGGGCACGCACCGTATTGGAGACCATCTGGACGAATTCCTCGAAGCTCAGCTTGCCGTCGCCGTCCTTGTCTGCCTCCATGATAGTCTTATCGACAATTTGTTGCAACTGTCCGTCCTTGAGGTTGTTGCCCACCATCATCTTGAGGACGAGGAAAAGCTCTCCGTTGGAGATGAACCCATCCCGGTCCATGTCGTACACCTTGAACGCAACTGGGATGCAGGAAAGTTCGATGAGTGATCATATGAGGGAAGCTGGGCGGAGGGCACATACATCGCAGCTTCTCTTCTCGACCGCCTCGGCTACTGAACGCACTCAGTCCGCCGACGAACTCCTGGAAGTCGACCGTTCCCCCACCACTGTTTTGTGAAAAGACAAAAACATTAGTTCACAGCTTGCGAATGAAACATAACATGTGGAACTCACTCTTCGTCGAAAATGGCTATTAGTCGCGACGCAAGGGGATTGTTCGCGATCTGCGGTATTTGCAAGAACTCTTCCCGATCAATCGAGCCAGAGCCATCACTGTAAAGAACACAAGATGTTGAGATTGTCTTGCGTTTATGAAGCAGCCCAGTAGACAACACACCTATCGAGCTTCATGAACCGCTTCTTCAGCCGCTCTAGCTCGCTTGCGTTGACTGGAAGACCATGGGGCATCATGATCAGAATCTCTCAAGCACGGACATATAAGAGATGGACGCACAGTTGGAGCGCTTCTGCATGTCCTCCATAAACTGGGATGCTGGACATTGAGCACGAGGGTCCCGTCAATGTCTCGTCCGCGCGAGGAGAGAGAAAGGCTAACGTGACTGCCCCATCTTGGCTCAATCGCGGATATTCTGTGGGGCTTGGGTGCTGGTGGAGTGTCGGGGCGGCGGTCGTCGAGGGACTGAGGCGCGAAGAAGGAGCGGCGAGGGCGGAGGGGAGACGATAACGCGTGCGGAATTCAGCAGACCCGCCCGCGGCGAGTCGCTGTGGCCACAAAGACGGCGTGGGAATGTATCGGGCGCTCGCCGGGCCCGTGCAGGCGCGTCGCCCTCGGGTCGAGGCAGCTCGTCCTACCTCGCGCTCTTCTTCTTCTCGGACGGACACTGTGCGGAGGCATGGCTGGACGCGTTGTGACGGGGAGGCTGAGCACTGCCCGCGCGGCCTCGCCCTTTATATGCGATCCTAGGACAAACCCGTCTGGGCTTCTGTTTTCCAGAAAGCACCGCTCCGCCCACGGGACACCTCACCGCCTCGTCGAATCTTGTCGCTCCCTGCACTCTCGCTGCCCGTATAGACGACACGTCTCATCATTGACTCCCCTCTCTCTGCCATCGCGCGCGTATACCGGAAGCTCAAGACTCCATAGAGAAGATGCGCCCGTGCCACACTCCGACGCGCAGAAGCGCACCATATACGCGCTGTCCACGCCCCCAGGCAAAGCCGGCGTCGCGGTCGTCAGGATTTCCGGACCAGACGCTCTGCATGTCTGGCGAGACATGGTTAAGACGCGCGGGGAAGGGAAAGGCAAGGCACGCGAACGCGGCCCTGAGCCGTGGAAGATGCATCGCTGCAGCGTCGTGCACCCAGGTTCGGGGGAAGTGCTGGACGACGGACTCGCAGTGTTCTTCAAAGGTGCGCTCAATCCAACTGCTGCTTGAAGCGCGCAGCTGATCGTGCGCGCGACGAACGTGTCATTCAGGCCCTAGGTCGTTCACCACGGAGGACGTGCTCGAGTTGCATGTGCACTCGGGCCGCGCGATCGTATCCTCGGTTCTCGGTGCCCTTTCGTTCTTGTCGTTCTGTCGGCCGGCTGAACCTGGCGAGTTCACGCGTCGCGCGTTTGAGGGTGGACGTCTTGACCTCACGCAAGTTGAAGGGCTAAGAGATCTGATAGAAGCTGAGACGGAGATGCAGCGCAAGCTGGCCTTGAGGTCTGCGGAGGTGGGTTGAAGCGTCCTTCAGTGAGTAATGTCAGACATTCATGAAGCGGGCAGGGTGCGACAAGAGCGCGTCTAGAAAGTTTGCGAGAAGAAATCATCCGTTGTCTCGCTCTGCTTGAAGCAATCATCGACTTCGGGGAAAGCGAGGAGATTGAAGAGGGCTTGTATGAACAAGGTACGCACATTTAGCTGCTGAAGGGCCCGCTCGCTGAGGCTCATGGTTATACAGCCAGGGAACGTGTGCTGAAGTTACGCACCACCATCGAGCATCATCTCTCCGACAACCGTAGAGGAGAGATCATGCGTTCTGGTATACGTCTAGCAATCTTCGGACCTCCAAACGCGGGCAAAAGCAGTCTCCTCAATTTCTTAGCCCAACGCGAAGCTGCCATCGTCACACCAGTACCAGGTACCACACGGGATGTCCTAGAGCTATCTCTCGATATCGGTGGACTCCCAGTCATTGTTGCTGACACCGCCGGGATGCGGCAAACGGCCGACGTCGTTGAGAGCATCGGCGTAGACAGGGCGAAACGGTCGTAAGTCGCCTCTTCCATGTAGTCGCGTATTTGCCTGACGCCTTCCTCAGTGTGGAATCCGCAGACGTTTCGCTTTGCGTGTTGTCCTTGTCAGAAGTCCTGGACGACGCTGGACGCTTACACCTCCCCGCTGATGTTGCACCTCTGGTGAAGGACGATACCTTCATGCTTCTGAACAAGACCGATCTCCTACCCTCAGCGTCTGTGCTGCATTCTTTAGCTAGCAGACCTCGGACATGGCTGGTAAGCCTACAGAGCAACGAGGGAACACAGTCTTTCATGAACGGTTTGGCTGCGGTATTGAAGGAGCAGTAAGTCGAATCGTTCATCTCACTTCCCCCGCTCAGACGTCTTATTTGGCTAGATACAATCTCATGAGCGAAGTCGGTGCGGAAGAGCCGCTGATTACTCATGCCCGTCATCGCGCCCACCTGGAGAATGCGCTACTGTTCCTCGATGCTTTCCTGGACACCCGTGAGTGCGCTCTTTCCTGTTGTCGGTCGTGACTGACGAGGGCTCACAGCTCCCGACAACGTCGTTTTTGCTGCTGAAGAACTACGCTACGCCGCGCAGGCAATCGGCAAGATATCCGGCCTCATCGACGTCGAGAATGTTTTGGACGCGATATTTCGTGACTTCTGCATCGGCAAGTGAGACCCAGACTACTCGCATTCTGGACACACCAGCGCACCAAGTATAATATCTATGACTAGAGTATAATATGGCACATACATCTTTCTCGCAGCATCGTCCAGCCATGCAGACAAGTACAAGGACCATTCACTCCCGCCTCCGCTCAGGAATAAGACTCGTGGGCTCGAGACAGCCGAACCTCCGCCGACCTGAACGGTGCCATTTTTGCGGGGTTTCATCAACGCACGCGGGCCAGGCATAGCACCGGGGCGGCGCAGGCGGATACGAATCCGCAGGCGGCGCGCGAAGCTGGAGAACAGCCAGCGCGACTTGGAGCCCAACGCGTCCGGGCGCGGATCGGGCGGCACCTTGGACGCCGATGGGGCCGCCGCCGCCGCCGACGAGCCGTCCGTCCTCGACGCCTTCCTGTGGAGGTTCAGCACATGACGTTTTTTTTGTCGTCCTCGTTTAACGCCTCGAGGCAGAGCCTATAGGCGTAGCGCATGACGTTGAACCAGAGGGCCAGGGCACGTTTGCCGGCGTGGAGGGCCGCCATCCTAGCCAATGGTGATCGACTTCCATGGTCAATCCGACTCAATCGATGCACCGGCGAACTGACCACCACTTGGGACCATGGATCTCTTCGGCCTCGAGGGGTGGATGGCATCCAGCTAGACCCGCTATGTCCTTCCTCCCTCCCGGACGAGGTTGTCGAACGCGCTCGCCGTCACGTAGTCTCCACAGGCGGGGTCGATGGCGTCCTCATGCGGCAAGACGCGAAGAGGCACGATGCATTCGAAGGGAATGACGAATGAGTGGCTACGCACCCACCGCTCTTCGCGAGGCGAACTTGCGAAACTCCCCGACGCGCTCAGGAAGGAACACCTCCCCGACCCGCCCCACTCCATGCCACGGACCTCGTCTACACGTTCTTCAGAGCCTACACCTTCCGAAGGCTGGAGCACCTCTGCCGCACAATTCGTTCACGACTTCGAGATGCTCCTGAAATGAATGGCCAACAACAGCGTATATGCACAAAAGGATAACAAGATGCACGAACAGCATGGGAGTTCGCGGGAGTAAAACGCTCATCATGCTTCAGACTTTTTCTTCTTCTTCTTCTTCGCATCTCCGTTCTCCGCCTCACCCGCCTCTGCTGACGCCGCCGCGGCAGCCTCCTCCGCCTTCTTTGCCTTCTTCCGCGCTTTGCGCTCCTCCTTCGTCTCTTCCCGCTGGAAAGACGCAGCATTAGTGCGCGAGTTATCAAACCGACATCGCAGACATACCTTCTCCTCCACGTCGACGTCCATCGCCCCGCCCTCGCTTTCTCTCCGCTTCCGTTTCTTTTCCTTCTTGCTCTCCACCTCCTCGTCCTCCCCGTCCACATCCATCCGCGCCTCCTCCACGCCATCCGCGATCTGCTCCTTCTCCGCCCGCTTCTTCGCCCGCCGCTCCTCCTTCGCCTTCTTCTTCTCCGCCTTCACGTCCAACACCGCCTGCACCGCCGCCGCCATCGGCTCGCGCTGCGCCGGCACGAGGTCGACCGCGTCCGCCGCGGCGTTGTACGTCCGCGTCTCGCCCGTCATCGCGAACCGGGCCTGCTTGCGGCCCGCGAACGCGGAGCGCACCGCCGCGCCGTCGCCCTGCTGCTCGAGCGCGTGCAGGCGCGCCTCGAGCTTCGCCCGGTTGTCGACCCCGATCGAGGGCGCGGTCGGTTCCGACTTGCCGTCCGCGTCCGAGAGCGCGTCGACGCGGACGGAGAGCGCCGCCTTGGTGGCGACCATGCGCGCCATCTTGCCCTTGAGCTTTGGCGGCGCCTGGCCGATGAGGGATGCCTGCGTGGGAGAGCGTGGTTAGAGCGGATGTTGAGGGCGGATGGACGGGAAGGGACGCACGTGGTAAATGAGACCGTACTTCGGCGTGTCGTGCTTCGTCTTGAGAGCACGGAAGAGCGCCTTCTCGGCGCCGAGGATCTGGATGGTACTGGCTGGGTGCTTCGCGAGGCTGAGCAAACTGCCCGCATGGCTGATCAGCCGTGCGCCCACGAGGTCGCCAACGAGGGCGGTGAGATTTGGTGCAATGGCGTTCATGCGGTTACGGAGGTATTCTGCCAGCTGTGCACGGTATGCGGAGATCTGGATGACTTGGTCACATAGCGAGTTGATGTGAGCAATGTCAGAGTCGGAGATGTCGGTACCCATGGAAATGACCGCCGCCGCCTTCAGAGTGGCTTCGAGGTCTTCTGGGAGGATTGCGGAGAAGTCGGTGGACGCAGCGTTTGTCCGGAAGCCCATCGCTTTGATGACCTTGGCATACGCGATGTTGTCGGCGATGATTTTGGACATTTCGGGGAAGTGCCAGCCATACCACTCCTGCAGACAGGTGAGAATAGTCCCGTGCATCGAGGTGCATGTATACATACCTTGACACGCATCGCGTAGATGTTCACCTCCTTGTCGAGGTCGTCGAGAAGAGCAATTGCTTGGACGACCATGGTGTCGACCTTGTCAGGCGAGAATTTGAGCTTGAATCTGCGAAACCAATCAACACCGGAGCTGCACGGGCGTGCGGAACATACGCACCGTGATAATGAGTGACTCAAACCGAGGCTCATAGTGGCAAGGTCTTGAGGATCCAGACCGTCAAGCAGCGAGGTAAGTTGCGAACGAATGCCGTGGAAAAGCTCGGTCATCTTGGGGGATACGACCTTGATGTCCAACTTATCCTTGATAGCCTTGCCTGCCCAACGCATACATATATGAGGGCAAGCGACAACCTTGTGAAGCGTCAAAACGTACCAAGCCAGCTTCGAACACTGCTAGAGTCTCCTTGCCCTTCCCTTCCCTACAACCTCCTCGGACAGGAACTTTTTCAGAGACTTCGAGAGCTTCTGCTCCTGAAGCGCAGTAACTTCCTCTACGGCTGTTGCTGTTGAGGTGAAGCGGTGGATGGCTTTCAGCTTGAGGCTAGCCGGTACATCGAGCCGGAGCCGGACAAGGCGAGACAAGATGTGAATTAGCCAACCGCCCACCGTCCTCAGAAGAACACTCTCACAGCTTGTTTGCCTTCTCCGGTGTCTCAAAGTCTTTCCAGACATCTTTGCTGTCGAGCTTGGCATCGTCGGTGAGCTTGAAGAGACAGAAACCGAGCGAGGTTTCGTAAAGGACGAGCATTTTGGGGGTCGGAAGGGGCCCGTCGCCGTCGGGAGGAGATTAGGAGGATTTATGAGCTGCAAGGCGGAGCAGGGCCCGAAATTCGCGAAGAGGATTTACGCAGCGAGCGCGAGAGGACGGCGTGTGCAGCTAGCTACTCGATTCGCGCGAGAGCCGCGTGCCGAAATTTTGGAGAGGAAGTGTGAGCACGTGCTCGCGGCCACGGCGTTAACTGGCCTTGAGCGCTTATCGGCCATACTTAACACGATTCAAGTCTCTAAAGAGCACGGTCAATGGTGTCCCTTGATGCCCATGATTATGCCCCACCGTACCCCGTCTTATGGAGGGGTAAATGCGTATTCCAGGCGCAGTGTAGCAGTCAAGTGTTCTGCTCTCACTGAGTTCGTCTCAAGTTCATTGTCTATGCAAAACGTTGACATTGGCGAATCATCCAAACTACGAAGTACATACTGATACATCAAGCAGAAATTTATCGTACACTACACCAGATGTCAGAAGAAGAAGGCATCTAAGAACACCAAGGCTAAAGCACGAGATTGGTCAGAACCGCGAAGAGCCCCGCCGCGATGGCCAGCCGAACCACATTGTTGGTGGTCTCCTCCCTGCGCGGACCGTCCCCAAACACCCCGCAGAACCAATCAAAACGTCGCATAAGCAGGTTCCATTCCCCGCGCTCGAGCAGGCCCACAACCCGGCCCCACTCCGAGAACACACGGATCAGCGCCCCTCGACCATGGCGGCCACCCAACGTGCGCCCGTCGCGGTGGTGTCCATGTCGCGCACGCGTTCGGGGTGCAGAACCGTGTGTCGCAAGACGTCGTGAGAGATTTGGGCGAGCATGATGGAGACCGCTGCGAGGAGGGAGATGCGGGTGAGAGCAAATGCGATAAACGCGTCGAACGGTGCCGCGGCGCAGCCTAGGGACAAGAGGACGAGGCAAGCGAGGAGGCTCTCCGCCGCGTTCGGCGCGAGATCCTGGTAGGTGTGCTCGGGGTAGAGCCGCACGAGCCCGCCGTCGCCCTTCGACCACATGTAGAACCGCCAGTAGCTCCGTCGCCCGTCGTTCCACCACGGATGGGTGACGCGCACCGCGGGGGCGGGCGCGAACGCGCTCCCTTCGCGCGCGAGCGACGCAGCGCGCTTCTTGCGACAGAAGTCGATGTCCTCGCCACCGCCGGTCTTTGGGAACTGCGGGTTGAAGAAGCCGGCATCGCCGTCGTCGCTGCGCCGCGCAATCAGGTTGGCCGTGACGCCCCACGGGACGTCCGCGGCGATCTTGTCGGCGATGTCCCAGAAGTACGTCACCCCCGCGAGGTGGACCGCGGTGGTGAACACGCTGGCGGCGACGGGAAAGTACGCGTTGCCCACGAACCCGGCCGCGTCTGGGCGCGCGCGGATCGCCTTCTCGGCTTCGAGGAGCAGGTCCGGAGCGGGGCTGACGTCGTCGTCGAGGAAGTGGACCCACTCTGCGGCGGACTCGCGCAGGCCGCGGTTGCGCGCGGCGGACGCGCCGAGGTTCGCGGGGTGGACGCGGATGCGGACGTCGGCGCGCTGTCCGTACTTCTGCTGCAGGTCGCCGGTGCGCGGGGAGTGCGGGTCGTCGACGATGATGACGAACATAACGCTACATGTGGGAGACGGCTCGAGAGCGAGGAAGGCGTCGAGGTAGAGCATGTTTACCCTGTAGCAGGGGATGACGATGTCCAAAGCAAGCTTGCGACGAGCGTCGGGAGCGCGGTCCCGAAGCCAGTCCTCCACTCGGTCCGATGCGTCGTCGAGTGGCTTGAACGTCCACCCAGCGGCATGAACCTTGTCGTAGCGCGCGTCTCCGCTCCCACCCACCACATTCGAGATCCGAGAAGGCACCATCGTGGAGCAGCCCCAGCGCCGGTAGAGCTGGAAGAGAAACGGGTCTCCGTCTTGGTTCGTGAAGCACTCCGGGATGACCTCGCCGCGGAAGATGTCCATGTGGGTGCGATGAATGACGGGGAAGGTTGGCATACCGGGAAAAGAAACGTCCGTGAATGCGACACATCCCACGCCATGCGGGGCGTGCTCTGCGTTTGCGAGCTCGGAGAACTTGTGGTGGAATGAGGACATCCAGTTGTCGTCCTGGAGGAGGACATCGTCGCCCATGAGCACGTAGTAGTCGCACCCATCAGCATACGCCGTCCGCGCACAGTCGCGCCAGAGCGCGCAGACTTGCCCGCGTGGGCGAGCGCAAGGAGGGAGTGTGACGACGTTGGTAATGCCGCTGCTGTGAAGAACCGATTCTGCGCGATTACCCCCATCCGAATGCCACAGAAACTCGTCGTCCGCATCGATCGCCAGGTAAACCACCACCCGATACCGTTCGCCCAGGCGAGCGATGTCGTCCCGAGTCGTCGCGACGAGAGAGGCGGCGAAGTGGGAAAGGTGGTCGAGGCATTCTTGGGGTGAGGCGGTACCGCGAGACGTGATGGGGAGCAAGACGGCGAAAGTGATGGCGTCGGACGCAAGGTCAACCACGTTGCTTTGCTGGAGGCCCCTCAGATACTCCAGACGCTCTTTCTCAACCATGGGGGAAGTCACCCTCTTGATCTCTTCCTCGATCCATGTCCCAGTGGTGCGCAGGCCCTCCTCCAGTGTTCGCGTCGGCCGCCAACCGAGTCTTGCCGTGACGAAGGTGTTGTTCGAATTCCTCGAGCCGACACCGAGTGGTCTGTCCCCGACGTACGAGAAGTCGACTCTGGAAGGATCGAGTGAGACGGCTTCCAGGGCCATCGTTGCGAGCTGCTGAACGGTGACTGCGCGGTCCGATCCGATGTTGACGGGATCGGTGCAGTCGGAGAATAGAAGCCGGAGGATAGCATCCACCGCGTCGTCGATGAAGAGGAAACTGCGACGTTGTGATCCTTCTCCCCAGATTTCAAACGTAGAAGGGGAGGGGAGGAACTTTGCCGCGATCGCCTTGCGCAAGAATGCCGCAGGGACCTTCTCGCGACCGCCACACCATGATCCCTGTGGACCAAAGACGTTGTGAAAGCGGGCAATGTGGACGTGGAATGTTGGAGAGGAGTGCTCTAGAAGGACGAGCTCTGTGGATAGTTTCTCCGTACCATAAAGGTGTTGAGGGCGAGGGGGCGTGGTCCAGACGTCGCCCTCGGCGAGCGAGACATCGGTGGAGCCTGACTCCTGTAGAGATTGGGGATATACACATGCGGAGGAAGCATAGAGGAAGCGTTTGATACCAGTAGCTTTGCACGCTTCGAGGAGATTCAGACTCATGGCGTGGTTCTCCCTGTAAATGACGAAGTCGTTACCGGAGTGAATCGTGCCCATCCCGCCCATAGTCGCGGCGAAGTGCAGTACGGTGCTCACACCGCGCACAACGCGCGCGCAAAAGGCGGGGTCGCACAGGTTGCCGATGTGAACCTCTCCGACTGGAGGATGGTCGTGAAGGGGGTAGGGTATGATGTCGCTGGTCCGGACGTTGTAACCGTCTTCGGCAAGCCGACGGGCAACATGGCTCCCCTGATTGTTGTCAGTGTTGGGAAGTGCAGTCAATACCGCTCCACTCACGATGAATCCGTGGGCTCCAGTAACCAGAATTATGTGCGCGGGGTCGATGTCGATCATGGAGCGTGGTTATGGACAAAGTACGAGGGCAGTCGAGTGTGCTGGACTGCTGCTGGTGTGTCGTGTGTTTTATTTGGCGGAGGCGAACCTAGCGGAGTGTTGGTGAACTGTGGTCTCCCACTTCTCCTATCCTAGAACGGAGCAGGTTGTTCGGCGAGGCAACGTCATCCTACCGCAGCTCAGCTTCGTGTGGGTATGATACCGCACAAACGGCACGCTGGCTTGGCATGCGATGCTCAGACCACTTGCTCTGTGGCATCGAAGCATCTGGTCTAGTGTATATCCCCAGAGGAAGTCGCGGAGAAGGTTATATCTGTATTGGAAAAGCTGAGATTGGGGATGTGGGATGATGGAAGAAATCCACGTAGCCAGATTGTGGTCGTAGGCTCGACGGCAATGACGCATTGTCCAACATGCTCCTTCGAACGGATAACGACCGTGCGACGAACTTGCTACCGCAGCATTCGGACGAGGTGCACCCCTGAGCACAGTTGCCGTAACTGACCTCCGCACACCCTTCATTGTTGCTCGTTTTTTGGGGAGTCTGTAGACTAAGCGGTAATGGGATTGTTGAGGGTTGGAGCGCTGTCAGCGAACTTACCGAGAGATGAAAGGCGTAGGGACTAGCCGTACGTACCAGTGAGACGGTAGGTTTGAACGCGCTCACGCTAGGGTATATCTTGACTTGTTGCGCTTCACTCGATACCATCCTCGGGCACCGGTCCCCCCTGTAGTGAGTGTTTCTACATCACGTCGAATTACGATGGTACTGAACACCAAGCAAGATGATGTCCGAGACTACTTCCAACACGGACGCGACTGCACCGCCCACCTGCGACTACACATTCACGGAGACGCAAGACTGGTTCTCCGGCCACAAGCCTTCTTGGCTTCATTACTTCCGTTCAGTCTCTTCCCCTACCCCTCGCGCTCTCGAGATCGGCTCCTGGGAGGGTCGGTCGGCTGTCTTCACCCTCACCGAACTCTGCCAGCCAGGCAGCGAGCTCGTCTGCATCGACCATTTCGACCTCATGGGGACCGATGCTGGTCAGAAGCGCTTCCGTTGCCTGACCCACAACCTATCCCTGGCCGCAGGCACCGGGAAGAGCTTCCGCATCATCAGCGAATTCAGTGTCCCAGGGCTCATGCGCCTTCTCGAGGAGGAAATGGACGCCGCGACGCCGGGTTTCGACTGGCTGTACATCGACGGGTCGCACGAGGCATCCGACACCTTCCTCGACGGCGAGCTCGCGTGGCGGCTCGCACGCAAGGGTGCCGTTATGGTCTTCGACGACTACGGATGGGGTCGGGAGCCGGAAGACAGCGTCCACCATCCCAAACGCGGTATCGACACCTTCCTCACTCTCCACGCCGGCGAGTACAGCCTCCTGTCGACCGAGGGCCAGTACAGGTTATCCTGCAGAAGAACACCGAAATGCACATCGGCTTTCTAGTGCGGACAAAGCCAAATCCGGAGACCTCGACGCCGCGCTGGGGTATGGCATCAACGTCGCCCTGGTCGTCGACACCGTGTACGCCATCGGCGCCGCTGTCGCCATCCGCAGCGCGGCGAAGCACACGAGCAAGCGGATCACCTTCTACGTCCTCGGGTACGACCTCCCCGGTGACGTCAAGGCGAAGCTGCAGCTCTCAGTGGCAGACTGCGCCCATGCGACGATGGTGTTCACCGACGTACCTTCGGCCCCGTCGCCCGAGCCCGGCGTCCCATCCGGCCCCCTCTGGGCAAAGGTGGTACGGATCGCTTCCCTTCCGGTTGAACGCGTTTTGTACCTGGATGCGGACGTACTCGTTAGGACGGATTGAGGAAGCTCTGGGACACCGACCTGGAGGGCAAGGCGATCGCAGCAGCGCCCGACGTCGGGTTCCCCGCAGGGGTCGACAAGGCCACCTCCGCGCCATACTTCAACGCCGGGGTCTTGCTCCTCAACTTGACTCTGGTCCGGGGACAGGTTGACGACCTCGTCGCGGCGGCCAAGGCGAGCGCGTCTTCCAAGTTCCTCGACCAAGACGCCCTGAACGCTCACTTCCGTGGGAACTGGTGTTCGCTGAGCCTCGGCTGGAACGCCCAGGGGCTGGGACGTACGCGAGATACCAGACACCGGAGCGAGCGACGCTCGACCTGGCTGCGATGGAGGACCCGGGAATTGTGCACTTCACGGGGCCGCTGCACCCGTCGATGGCCGAGGTCCTCAATCCGTTCGTTCAGCCTTACGGAGCGAAGCCATGGGGCTACGCCGGAGCGCCAGGGCACCCGTACGCGGAAGAATGGTGGGGTGTCTGCGAGGAGACGGCATGGAAGGGCTGGCGGGCTTCGGAGGGGTACCGCGCCGAGCGCGAAAGGAAGCGGGAGGACGCTGTCCGGGAGGGCGCGCGGGCGTTTAGGGCGCGAGTCGGCGATGACGTCTGAAGCGCAGTCGATGAGTGTTTTGGAATGCCGTAATCCGTTGGTCACCGCTGCGACAGCAATCGATTAGGTCGAGGCAACGGACTTCGTAGCGCGGACAAAGCCAGAGACAAAAGAATGTGGACAAGAGACAGGGCTTGGGCGCACTGCGCACAAGGTAGCGCGTTGCCGTGCGGTGACCGAGTCTTCAGCCGGCCGGTGCTTCGATTGTGCTCAGCGCCGGCGCGCCTAGAGCGAGTTTTTGCCCGCGCGTGGACGCATACATGCGCTGCGGTGGAGAGACGCGTAGGCGGCGGGCAGCGCGGACGGCGAGGTCGGGGCTCGGCCTGGAGGGCGGTAAGCGAGGCGCGTGGCGTGGGGCGTTGGACGCGCGGGGCGTAAGGCGGGGCTCTGGTTGTCGCGCGGGGCACTGGCAGCAGCAGGGGCACTGGCGGGGGCAGCGGCGGGCAGAAAGACGGCGGAGGGCGAAAGTCGGGGGAGGGATGCGGGGAAATCGGGAGGGGCCGACGGCGTGGAAGCAGTGCCGTTGTGGCAGACGCACTCACACGCTTCAGCGACGCGACTCAACTTTCCCTTCCTCCGCTCCCCGTCGTCCTCGTCCCAGCACACGTCCTCGACGTCCTCGACGTCCCCGCCCCTCCGCCCACCCGTCGCCAGCGGCGCCCCCGGCCGACGCCCCTTCCTCTCCGCCTCGTCCTCACGCTCGACCACCCCGCTCTGTATGCCACCACACGCCCTCGCGTCGGCGCACCTCTCACCTCCCGTATCTCACCATGAACATGTCCCAGGATATGCTTCGTCAAGCCGCTGTCCCCTCCAGCATGCCCCACGGCCTCATGGGCGCCCCCTCCTTCCTCCCCCAGCAGCCTCAGCAGGGCCAGCACCAGTCCCAGCATAATCTCTCCATGCTCCAAAACAATCAAGGCGCGAACCCTGGTCTCGGCTTCAATGTCATGGCCCAACCCGGCGTCTCCCCTGCCCAGTATCCCCTCGGTATGCAGCAATCCGGCCAACCACGTCGCTTCTTGCCTCCCCACTCCAACCCCCCCGGTGCCGGTCCCTCACACATGGGCGGGATGCCAAACCAGATGCAAAACATGGCCGGCTTCCCAAGCAACCAGATGATGCCACAGCAAACCCTCCGGCGCGTTCAATCGCAACCCATGTCACAACCGGGCGCGCACATCCCAGGCATGCAGCCAGGTATGATGGGTGGCGGTATGGGGATGAACGGCCAGCAACAGATGGGTGGGATGCGTCCTGGGATGCAACCGGGGATGACGTCGATGCAAATGCAGATGCGGCAGCAGCAACAGCAGCAGCAACACCAACAACACCAACAACACCAACAGCAGTCACAGATGCAAGGTGGCGGCATGGGTCAGGACGTGGGTATGCCGATGAACCGGATGCAAGGCGCGAACCCGCTCGCTCATACGCGAACGGCCTCAAACCCGTCCATGATACCCGGAATGACGCAACCTCCGACACACCCTCAGCAGCATGGGATGCAACAAGGCATGCCGCACAACTCCTTCGTCAACCCGATGTCTCTTCCACCTCAGCACCAGCACCAGCACCAGCACCAGCACCCTCAGGGCCAGATGGGTTCCTCGCCGCACGCGCCGCCGGGACAGCAGCAGCCGAGCATGGGCGGGCCAATACCTGGGAACTCGATGATGCCTCAAGGGGCAGGGAACAGGGCCTCAATGACCCCCGACAACGCCATGTTCAACTTCTCGAACGCGCAAATGCAACCGTCACTTCCCCAGCACGTCAATCGCATGGTCCCAAGCATGAGCAACAACTTCAACATCGCGCCTTCGCCAACGCCGTTAAACCCTGGCCAAGACATGACGCAACGGGGAAGTGCGCCGATGAATCCGGCCGGCCCAATGACTCCGGCGCAAGCCCTCGACCATCTCAATCATAGCGGCGAAGGATATCCAACATCGGCATTCGGTATGAGTCAGCAGTCGAATTCCGCCCCTCCTCGTCCTCCATCCCACAACGGCCATGGTCCTCACGGCAACTTCCCCATGCCTCCTCAGCCGTCGCATCCACCGCAGCAATCTCCCCGTCAGTCTGCCCATCCCTCCACCCCGATGCAACCTGGGCATACATTACAGCGTCCTCAATCCCAGTCTGCACATCGACAATCCCCCATTCCTCCCCTCGCGCCCAATCGAACACCACGGATGTCGCAAACGTCGCTTCCGACGAACGCAAGCGCGGGTAGCATGCTTCCACCCGCACGGGTACCGACAACCGGGCCAGCCCAGAGTCCCCCAGGTCCGTCACAACCTCCGGGACAACCCCCTGCGAGTGCTCCGCCGTCGGTGCATCCCGCGCAGATTGCGCCGCGACCCTCAACGGCCACGCCAATGACTGCGCCCGCAAACGTACCGTCGACTGCCCCAGCGCCCACACTGAGCAGCGCTCCGCAGACAACGCATCCGAGCCACAGTCCTCAACGGCCTCAACAACCCGCTCCTCTACCGATAACTCCGTCAAGTGCCCTCCCTCCCTCATCTGTCAGGTAAGCTCGGCGATCCCATGTGGCAGAACCCTTGGAATGACGAATGCTATTGCCCCAGGCTTTATCCTATCGGTTTGGGTCAGGGCATGGCACGGATGTCCCAGCTGAGCAATTATTTGTCGCAGGAGAGCAATGACGTAAGTGTAGCGCGCCGGATTCTTTCAGTATGCTTATGTTGTCCTTAGCGATTGAAGGAGGGGTTCTGGCTGGAATTTGTCCAATCCTTCTTTGTGGAGAAGGCGGCGATGAAGCTCACGTTGTGGAAGGACAACCAGCATGTTGAGGCGAAACCGTTCGGTGAGATCTGCCCGCCTGTTCATTTGCGAGATCTCTGATGGATGATTTCAGAGATCGGCTATCCCATCTTCGCGAGGTTTTTTCTCGTAACAAGTCAATCTGGAGTCAGATCCCAGTCGCTAGCCATAGATGGCGCTCGTGAGAGGCTGGTCAGTGACGATCGAGCTCTCATCGAGTGTCCAATGGCTCTATGGACGTTCCGTTACACCAACGGGTACAGCATCACGCTCCGTGGGCCGTTCTCTGCCGAGATCGTCGTCTCCCCAAACTTGAGCCGACCCCGGTCCGCAAATGGCAACACGGCCTCGGATTACTACCTTAAGGTGGAGAGGATGCAGTTCGATGCATTCTGGCACGACAAGTATCTCGCCTACGACGCCATCATTGGCGACCGAATACCCGATTCGCCGAGGATGATCACTCCATCTCCCAATGGAATGGCGAATGCGAACGGGGCAGTCCATGAGGACCCTTCGCGGATGGAAGAGCCTCGTTATATCATCGAACGCGCTAGCATACCTACGGAACCCATTAATGCGTTCGGAATTCCTCAAGCCACCATGCGGTGTCTCGAGGTGAGTTGCAGCATCCACACTACAGCAGGTCACCGTGACTGATGTCGAGTACAGCTAGCGGAAAGCGTCGCGCAGATGACGGATCTTATCCAGTTCTCTTGTACTCATAAGATGGGGCCTGTCGGTATGTGAACCGCTTGTTGCGACACACGGACCATTCTGAACCATGATACAGAGGCTTTAGGCGCTTTCGCAGAGAGGCTCCGGATGGAGCGAATACGGAATCCGAGCATGATGATGGAAAGCGCTCCGCGTCCGACATACTCATCCGACGGGCTGAACGACATGGCGGGCCCTACTCCCGGTCCTTCAACAACAACGCCTGCCATGGGTCCTTCCCAACCTCTCGGCGGCTCCCCGATGGCGATAGACGGCTCGAAACAGAGTAAGGGCACGCCCGCCGCGTCAGCCTCCACTCCCGTCGCGTCTGCTTCGACCCCGGCGTCCGCACCGACCCCCGGCGGGCCGACGACTCCGTCAATTGCGAACGCGACGTTGAAGCGCAAGGCGCCAGCCGGTGGGCGCACAGGCGAGGACTCGCCCACGGCCACAGTCGGGGACTCTGCACCCGCGGCTAAGCGACCAAATCGAAAACGGGGCAAGACGCAGGGGTCATGAGGTCGACCGCGCGTCGAGTCGGGCCAGCTCCCGTTCCCTCTGCGCGTTCCCTCCGTGCCCCGCCCGTCTCGCCCCGGTCCGCCTCGCGCACGGAACCCTGTCTCGTGGAATTCCCCCCGGATCTTCGTGTATATGCCTCCCTCTGTCCGTCTCCGTGTTATCTGTTCTGCCAAATCTCTCGCTGCAATCATCCATCCCCCGTCGATATTTTACTCAGCATAGCATATACGTAGATTTGTATCTTAGTACAGGCCCATCTTCTCTCCCACTCTCCCCTTTGCGAGGACCAGGCTGCGGGTACCTGTTGTCTTATCACCTTCCTATTTAACCTGTCCTGTAGTGTATACTAATCTCACATCTCTCCCGCGCGTCCACGCCCTCGGTCCGAACCCCAGCACCAGGCGCGGCAGCCAGCCTCGTTGAGTTGTGTCGTCCGATCGGACTGTGCGGACAGGCCCCACGCATGAGGTGCGAGTGCGCGCAGCACACCCTTCAAGGCACCGTCCGAGACGTGCCCCAGCCGCTCGCGAGTAAACCACCGCGGACACCATCAGCGTACCGCGTACGGCAGCGGCCCCGTGTCGCGGAAGCAAAAAAAAAACGCGTGCCTCGCCGTCCAAGCGGTGTCGCAGCTAACCAGCTAGCCGCCATCGAGATCGCGCGCGGAAGGGCGCCCTTGGTGCGGGTGGATGATGGATCATATATGATCTCCGCACCGCTCGGGCCTCGGACGGGTGTTTGAGGGGCTGTTGGAGCTTAAGGAAGAGCGGGCCACCGGCTGCAGGAACGCGCGCCACTGGGCGCAGCATTGGGTGGTCCGTGCGCGGGCACGCGGCTGCCGCGTGGCAGACGGTGCGCTCTCACCTGACGGGCGGGGCTCGGGGGCGACTGGGAATGGAGGATGCGGACGGGGGACGAATATACGAAGGGGTAGGGTAGTAAACATACAGAGGACCGCGAGACGGGGCGCGGGCGGGTGGCTAGTACGCGAGCTCGTGGCTGAAGTCGCACTGATCGCCATATCGGCATCTGTGGGGGGAGGTAGCACCATCAGCATTCCCGCATTCGGACATCCACACAAAGGGTGCTCGCCTGCCTGCCATAAAGAACGTGCACGGTCGTCGTTTTGTATTTCTACGGCCCTCGCCCTGGCCCCGCCCTGCACCGCGGCCCCGCCCGCCGCCAAGGCCCCGCCCTCCACGCCCGAAAGGGCCCCCGCGCTCGGGCCCGCCGCCACCGGCGCCTGCTCCCGGGCCGGGCCAGTCGTCCGTCCATCGCCGGTTCGGATCCGCGGGACCGGAGCCCGCGCTGCCGTTCTCGGGGGTCCCCCGATCATATTCCGGGAACTGGTTTCCGGGGGCCCAGCTGGGCTCGGAGGGCGGCGTGCGCCCCCCGAGGTTGGCCAAACTGCCGTTTTGCGAGAGCGCGGCGGCGTGCGCCATGAGCAGCTGGAGCTGGTCCGAATTGATTTCGTTCAGCGCGGGGTACACGGAGGGCATCGCTGACGCCGCCGCCGACGGGTCGCTCATCACGACGTCGGGCCGGTCCGTCTGCAGCTGCCCGACGAGCTCTGCTACCGACGCCGTCGGCCGGATCGTGTCCACGAGTGCGGGCTCCCCGCCGTCCCAGAAGATCCCGTCCGCGTCGTGCCCGGTGGTCATGAGACACACGCCCTCGTCGGTCTGCTCCTCGGAAAGCTGCGATGACGGTTCTGCTGGAGAGTCGGGGATCTGGGCGGGGGAGGTGTAGAGCACGACGAGCGCGCTCAGCTCGCGCTCCTCTTGCGCCGCGCACTCCTGGCTCTTGCTGCCGCGTGCCTCGACTTCGAACTCTCTGGGAATGTCGAGTGCTGCAGCGGTCGGGCAAGGCGATCAGTCACGGGACCAGCATCATGCGTGCAGCGGCGCTTACGTTGTGGCTCGGCCCATTCCATTTGTTCGTCGAAGATGTGCTGGTGTAGCGCCGCACCCTCGTCTCGCTCAAGGTCGCGGATATTATGCGTCGGATGCGAGCCCTGTGCAGTCGCGCCCCGGGGCGTACAATTAACACACAGTACATACGCTGATACGAGCAAAGGGGCTGACAAAGGGGGATCGTCGTCATAGACCGCACGTTCGATGAACTTGACTCGTTCGAGCTTATCGTCCGCAGCCCACCTTACCGACTTCTTCGGCTTGCCCGTTTTGGTCACGGCAGATGGCGCCATCGACGGACCGTCTGGAGCGCGCCTGCTGGCGGCGGAGTGGACGTGGATCCCGTACCAGCGTTTGAGGCATACGTCTTCAAAATGTCTTCGAACGGGTTGAACGAGGATGGCTGCGCCATGTTCGCGTCAGCCTCCTTCTTCACAGCCGTCGCCGTCGGAGGGTTCTTCTTGAAACTGGGCATCTCCTTCTTGACGGGCTTCGGCTTGGAGAAAAACGACGAGTCGGACTTTGCGTCCTTGACGACAGACTTGGAATCCTTCTTCGCGGCAACGACTTTGGGAGTGGTGGCGGTCGCCGACCCAACCACAGCCGCCTTCTTGACAGGAGGAGCACCTTTGGGTACAGCGAGCTCTGCCCGCCGCTTTTTGCTCTTCGTGTCTGGATCGATAGCAATAAATATGCGACCCGGTGTCCGCGAAACGAACTGACATGACCTACCCTCAGGATTTTCAGTATCCATCTTGTCTGACGCTCCCTGCGTGAGCATCTTTCGCCATTTACGCTCTAGGTTCGACGCCATGTCCTTGATGGCTTATCGTTTTCGTTCCGCGCACATGCAAAGACGACAGTTAGATACAGGTAATACTGTAATGATGGTGGGCACAAGCGCAACAGTTCTGCTGTACAGACTCCGTGCATCGCGGCGCGACGGCGACATCTCTTGAGATTATTCGATGAAGGGGCAGATCTCGGGCGTATTCTACCATAAACGATGAGAGGGAGCAACTCACCAGGCGTCGGTGGCTCCTTCACCAACTTGATAATCAACTTCCCGAGCTTGGAAAGCTTCAGCTTATCGATGGTGAACGGTAGGCGGTCGATGATCTGCACGACTCATGAGGATCGAGCACTGCGATGTGCGACAATGGAAAACTCACATGAAGGATGGGCATGATCGTCTCCACCAGCTGTGCATCGCTCCGGCCAACGAAGGCAAGCTTAAGCCACTCCCGCGTGACGTCTATCGCCACTGCGTTGTCAACCCATGCACGAAAGTAATGGTTCCCGGCGTTGTCCCTGATCTTTGTGAGGGTCTCCAGCCGCACGGACGGGTCGACGTCGGCGATACCGTACTCGTCGAGCAACTTAACAAGTTGGGTTACCGCACCTGCGCCAGTGAACGACGTCGGTTGTATGAGAGGCTTGATGTCTCGTGCCAGGTTGGCCCTGCGTTGCTCTTCGGAGATTTTGTTGACAGGAGGTGTGGGTGCAACAGGCTGTGGAGGGGCTTGTGCGGGTTGAATCGGAGTTTGTGTGGACGACGATGGCCCTGCCTGGGGGTGTGTAGGCTGGCCGTAAAACGAGGACGTTGGGATACTAGAATATAATGAACTGGATGGTGTATGTAACGCGAATGGTGACAGAGTACCCTGGGGCTGGGGTTGCGGTGGAGAATGCGAGTGATGTCGTGGAAAAGCCAGATGGTGCTGTTGCGGTTGAGAGAACTGAGGAGGCATGAATGAGGGGCCAACGGACAAAGGCTGAGGATGTGACTGTTGCTGATAGTGATAAGCCATGCGAGGTTGGGATGATGGCGACGACAGGAAAGGGCCAGGGGTGTATTGAGGGGGAGGACTTGCGGACGACGCATGCATCGTCGTCAAGGAGGGGCTAGGAAGAGGCCATTAGGCCCGGAAGTGTTGGCACAAAGACAAACGACCACGTACTCAATGACACCCATTGACGAAGAGCTCTGCGACTGCAGTTGCGAAGTAGATGGCGTCGGGTTGGCGCCGTTCAAGGAGGAGTAGCTTGAGAGAGGCAGCTGGGATGCTTGGGGCCATTGCGTGTTGTTGAAATTGCTGAATGTCGGGGGCGCAGTCGTGATGAAGGATTGGGGGAGGGAAAAGAAGATGGGGGCGGAAGGGTTGGATGATGTGGACGACGCATTCTGGGCTGGAAACGGGAGGGAATGAGCACGGGCTCCACGAGGGAGAACATGGCGGAGGGGACGCGTCGCTGGGAGCGGGCGCTTGTTGGGTATGCGTGGTGTGCTCACCCTGTAGGTCTCCGAGGAGCTCGTTTAGCCCGCTGGCGGCCTGCTCCTTCCAGTCGTCGGGGGCGGTGGACGACCTTTCGTCGTGGACGGTCGGCAGATCGAACGACGGCCATGCAGCCGCGTTCGTTGTGTATTCCATCTGCGACGTGCCTGCGACGGCTCTTTTTGCACAAAGCGCTCTTAGGCGATTACTGCAAAACTACGGGCTTATTCGTGTGCACGGCGAGTCGGAAAGGAGGACGGGGAGGCAGCAACCGGTCGCCAACGGTAGGTATCACCTTGCAAGGGCGTTCAAGGCGACGTTCGGCTCGCCGTTCGTGATGATGGTCAGAGGTTGGGCTGAGAGACCGTCCATTCGAGCTCCGCTAATAACTCCCCTCCCGCCCGTTTCCGGCACCGGTTCCCACGCACTCCGCCCAGATAATCGGAGCGCCCACCTCTGGCACGGCTAGGCCCTTGTAACAAGCCGCGCCCCGGGCCCGGCCACGGCAGCACCCCGGGCGTTATCGACGTTGGCGGCCTATGCGCCTGCCCTATCCCCTCCTATCCCACTTACTTATCGAGTGTGATCTGGCCTCGCGTTCACATATGCAGGGAACTCTGATGCGCCATTCCTCGTTAAGATGCGCCGTCAAACAATTTCTAAATAGAGAACATAATGCGGCCGAACCACATGGGAAAACAATAAGCGCGTGATTGAACCCATGCCGAAGGGTTTCAATCACGGTACTAATGAGGACTAATGCAATTTCAAAAGGTGCCAACTGGTCAATTCAACCAAACATGCGCAACGTCTAGGTATATCACTACGCATCAACAAAGTTTTCAACCGCCCTTTACCCCCTTTCAACCCCCTTCTTACCCCCGCAGTATACCAGACGCGTCGCGTCGCGTATACAAAAAACATCCCTCCCCCGCGCTCTTTTCACTTTATTGCAGCCAACATGAGTCCCGAGAGTCACGCGCAGTTTGAGTACCAGAAGATGCAGGTTCGTCGCCGTCGCCGTCGCTGCTGTCTCTCCCGCCGACTCTTGAATGTTCTTTGTAGCTCATCGGCAGCCTCAACAACATGGCGAACAACATGCGCGACTGCGCCGCCGCCTTCGACCAGTTCTCGCAAATAGTGGGGGGTATTCCGTGGAATGGCAACCCCACGTCGTTCCCCGCGCTCGCCAACGGCCAGTTCCCCATGCAGGTTATGCAGCCCATGACCATGACCCAAGACGAAAACGGCAAGAAGCGCAAGTCGCGCGGGGACGACGGCGATGTGAAGCGTCGCCAGCCGAAGAAGCTCAAAGATCCCAACGCACCAAAACGCCCCGCGTCGTCGTACCTGCTCTTCCAGAACGACATTCGCAGCGAGCTGAAAGCCAAGCACCCTCAAATGCGCAACAATGAACTACTGAGCGCTATCGCGAAGTTGTGGGCGGATATGCCCCAGTCCGAGAAAGACGTACGTCTCAATTTCACTGCCATTCCTGCGGTTCCGAACGTCTATCCGTAGGAGTACGAAGCCCGCAACAGGGCGGCGAAGGACAATTGGCTGGCGCAGAAGAAGATATACGAAGCGGGCCTGGCGGGCCCATCTGCTGCTCCGGTAAGTTCGCTTGCTCTCCGCGATGGAAACTTCACTCACTAGAGTCTTGCCAGGCCGTTGTCGCTACCCCAGTCAAGGTCGCAGTCCCCGTGCCTGCGGTCGCCGCGGCTGTAGTCACCCCAACGGAAGCCGAGGACGACGATTCAGATGAGGAAGACGACGATGGTAGCTCCGATGATGAAAGCTCCGACGAGGTTCAAGTTACCGCACCCCCGCTGAAGAAGAACAAGAAGGAGGAGACTCCGGTTAAGGAGGAGAGTAAGAAGGAAAAGAAGCACAAGAAGGCCAAGGCTTGAGTGCGATGGGTCTCACCCCAGATTCCCGTTTTGTTTTAGGGCCGCGATTTGTCCTTCTCTTACGCTTGACGTTAGTCTTTGTCCTCATCGTATGGGTATTGTAGTAGTACCGTGCTTGTCGTTTGCAATGCCTGGCAATGCCTATGCCCCGTTTCTCCTTCTCGCCACAGCACGAGTGATACTTGGTTTCGGGGTGGCGTGTCTTACATCGATGGGCGGGTGGGATGAGCACAGGAAACTGGCGAGAGCGGTTGACATGATAATGGGGAGTGAGAAGATGGTCGTGCTCAGGAAGCCCTGTTACGCAGATGACGCTGGTCGAGGGCCGTCAGCCACGGCGCGCCGGTCGGGTTATTCAGATATCTGGGCTGCCTGAATGGTTGCCATTCCTGCCTTGTTCAGCCATCGGGGCCATAGAAAATTTCGCCGACCACCTCGAGATGTCGGTCTCTGTCAACCACCGAGCTCTCCTCCTGCACCGGACTCGTTGTTGCTGGGGCCGTGGTATGTGGATTACCGTCGCAGACGTATCCGACCCTTCTGCGCAAGGCGATGAACGGACAGCGCGCACAGCAACGCTGTCCGCGCGCCGAGACGGTGAGACCCGACGACTGCTGTGGGATGTCGTAGTCTCCGGAGGACGCATAAGATACACACAGTAAACATCCGGCAATTGGACATCGGGCACTTCGGAATCCGCAGGACTATGGCGATACTTGGCTTACACTAGACCGAACGCGTGCAACGGCCGGGCGTTGGCGGGTCAGCGTTCCGAGCCATATATAAACCTCCCTCCGTACCTTTCCACTGGCTCTATCGCAACCCACTATCGATGTCCCAACCCCCTGCTTATTCGCCGCCTGGCAACAATCCTCCGAACCCGGATAGACGACCTCTCCCTGGAGGCTGGGTTGAGCGGTATGACGAAAAGTACGTGCTTGGGAATCATCGATGCGAGGTATAAGCTCATTACCTCTTGTCCCACTTAGCTACCACGCCTGGTGAGTGTTCGTGGCTTCCTGCTCGCGCGCAACTAATCCCATGGTCCCTGGACTCAACAGGTTCTATGTGAACACCTATGAAAACCCTCCTCGCTCCTCTTGGGAGCACCCACTGGGCCCGGCTCCGCCCCAGCAGCCAAGTGGATACGGGCCCCCTCCCGGTCCGCCGCCACCTAGCCGCTCCCCCTACCCTCCCCAGGGAGGCTACAACCAGAGCTACGGTCAGCCCCCGCCTCAGCAATGGAACCAGCCCCCTCCCGGTCCTGGATACTACGGAAGCCCACCTCCCCAAGCTGGGTACGGCGGAGGGTACGGGCCGCCACCGCAGGAGAACCGAGGTGAGTAATCTATTCCGCGCTCGGTGGAAGAAGTTTCAACATAATGGAATCTATTAGGCTGGTTCGGCTCGAATAGCCCTCAGCCAACCACGGCTTACCAGCAGCAGGCCCCTCCGAAGAAGTCCGGCCCTGGGATGGGAACTGCTCTCCTCGCCGGTAAGACTAAATCAGCTGCACATCTTGCAACAACTGGCCCTCTGACATGCACACGTAAACAGGTGGCGCGGGGTTAGTCGGAGGCGCTCTCCTGATGGATGCATTCGAGGATCACGAAGACCACGAACGCGAGCAGGCTTACGATGCTGGTGAGTACCCTGTTCGCGACGGAGATGTGAAGCATGGTTCTCAGTCGACGTGCGCAGGCTACGATCAAGGATTCGACAACGGTGTGGACGCAGGCGATGGTGGAGATTGGTAAAACGACTGCCCTCCGCGACCTGCGTGTCCCTCTCTTGAAGCTTTGAAGTCCCGTGACGTTTCTGGATGCTATGCAGATATACCTTTCATCCTGGTGTACGATACTTGTGTCTTTTGCTATGCCATGGACGTTGGAGTCGAATTGTAGCATAATGTCAAGGCTGTGGGCATGATAAAGTGTCGGCGGCTGCTTCCGACGGATCGTGCGGAAGATGGATGACTTTTGGTGCCAGCCACCTGCCATGCGCGAAATCACATTGAATTAATGACCGGAGCCGCCTACGGGTCCTATTCAAGCGAGGGCGCTTCTTGTCTGCAAACGGATGCTTGCGCTGTCCAAAGCCCAACGAGTATGCGGTATATGACCCGGCGTGCTGCGCCCGTGCGACGGAAGTCATATGCGGCAGGGAACATAGCAGCGAACCTATAGGGCCTGCAGGCGCGCCTGGCAACGCGCGTGAGTGCGCGTTATGCTTGCACGCGTGGGCGCCTTGGGCGGCGTGCCTCTCTCTTGTGCTCCGTCCTCATCCGCTCCTTCACTTTCTCGTATAGACTGTCCCTATCCTTGACACACCAAGGTCTCCAATACCCTCCGGATTGACACTAGACCAGAGCTCATGACCGAGCATGGCGATGGAAACATCAAGGTCGTCGTCCGGTGCCGTCCCCTCAACTCACGCGGTTCGTGTTTTCCTGAGCCGCACTACGCGTCCCCGCGTCCCCGCGCGCTGACTTCGCCTCTCGCTTCCCGTTCTGTTCTTTTCGCACCTCTTCTTGACTGAATGCAGAGATCGCGCGCGGCGCGAAATGTCTTGTGCGAATGGAGGGGAACCAGACTATCCTAGAGGCCCCGGAGCCGGGCTCGGCGGGTGCGCAGGCGGCATCAGGAAGGGCGGCGGAGCGGAAGGCGATGAACTTTGCGTTCGACAAGAGTTATTGGTCTGCAGGCCCAAGGGACGAACCGAACTACTGCTCGCAACAGACCTTGTACGACGACCTGGGGAGGGAGCTTTTGGACCACGGGTTTGCAGGATTTAACGCGTGTATCTTGGCTTGTGAGTACCTCCTTGACTGGTCGTGGATCTCATATGCTAATGTGCTGCGCAGATGGACAGACAGGTGCGTTACGGAGGATTTGTAGGATGTATGCCGTCCGGCTGACACTGTAGGTGTGGGCAGGCTCTGGGAAATCTTATAGGTGCGTAATCATTATAATCCGTCATGCTGTTATGCTCACAGACATAAACTCGCAGTATGATGGGATGTACGTCTGTTCTCTGTCTTTTACCTCCTGCATCCAAGTAACCGTCAAATGTAGACGGTCCCGACAAGGGAATCATCCCACTTACGTGCTTGGAGCTATTCGCGCGTTGCGAATCCAAGAAGGCTTCAGATCCCAAGCTCAACTTCACTGTGGAGGTTTCTTACATCGAAATCTACAACGAGAAGGTTCGCGACCTGCTCAACCCGAAGAACTCGGGCAACCTCCGAGTGCGAGAGCATCCTAGTCTCGGTCCCTACGTGGAGGATCTGTCCAAGCTCATGGTCAATAGTTACGACGAGATGATGACACTCATGGACGAGGGTAACAAGGCGCGTACAGTTGCTGCGACAAACATGAACGAGACGTAGGTGCTCCATGCTCTTGCTGTTTTCTCCCCATTCACCCGGCTTGGGATAGCTCGTCACGTTCACATGCCGTCTTCACACTGCTTCTCACGATGAAGAGACACGATGTCGACACAAACCTCGACACAGAGAAGGTCTCGCGTATCAATCTCGTTGATCTTGCTGGTTCAGAGCGTGCCAACTCCACTGGTGCCACTGGTCAGCGGCTGAAGGAAGGAGCGAACATCAACAAGTCCCTCACGACCCTCGGGAAGGTCATCTCGGCTCTCGCGCAAGCAAGTCAGTCGGAAGGAAAGAAGGGCAAGAAGGGCAAGGGAGATGATTTCGTCCCCTACCGTGACTCCGTTTGTTTAATCAACACGTCGTCTCTTGCATGACCTAATTTGTCATATGCGCAGGTCCTGACCTGGCTGTTGAAGGACAGTCTGGGAGGAAACTCGAAGACTGCCATGATCGCTGCCATTTCTCCCGCCGACGTGCAATACGAGGAGACTCTCAGCACCCTCCGTTACGCTGACCAGGCCAAGAAGATCAAGAACAAGGCCGTCATTAACGAGGATCCGAACGCCAAACTTGTCCGTGAGCTCAAGGAAGAGCTCGAGATGCTGCGGGGTGAGATTTATTTCCGTGAAGCCATGTGCATCTTGCTGACGATCCCCCATAGCGCGCGTTTCTGGAGCCACCTCCGAGGCTGTATATGATCCCAAGATTCCTGCCTCCCAACAGAAGGTCACGTACCAAGCCAAGGACGGCACCATCAAGACTGTCACGAAGGCGGAGCTGCAAGACCAGTTGGAGACGAGCGAGAAGCTCATGCAGGGCCTGAACGAGACCTGGGAGCAGAAGATGGAGCGTACACAGGATATCCAGCGCGAACGTGAGCAGGCCCTTGAAGAGCTTGGTATCACTGTTGAGAAGAACAATGTGGGCGTGCACACACCAAAACGGATGCCCCACTTGGTCAACTTGGTGCGTAGACCCGTCGATACATCCAGAGTCGCCACGCTGAAGATATTGTCCCCTGCAGAACGAGGATCCCTTGATGAGCGAGTGCCTGATTTACCAGCTGAAGCCCGGAAAGACAGAAGTCGGTCGGATGGACAGCGAGAAATCCGCCGCCATCCGTCTCAGTGGGGAAAGCATCGCGGAGGAGCACTGTTACTTCGAGAACACCGACGGCAAAGTCGTGCTATACGCGTTGCCAGACGCTGTCACTGTAGGTGTATGTAAGTTTCTCATTGCTCGGTTACTAACGACAGCGCATCCTTTCTAGTTCCTCAACGGAAGCCAGATCACACCTGGGCAGTCCTACAAGCTTCGAACAGGTTTCCGAATCATCCTTGGAGAGCACCACGTTTTCCGCTTCAACAACCCAGAAGAAGTACGCAAGCTACGGGACCGCGTGAGGGCGAAGTCCCAGATGACTATCAGCGTCACTGCTGCCGACGTCGCCGCCCAAGAACTTGAGGGCACCCGCCCGAGCTCACCAACATCGTCAAGTGTGGACGTCGACGATGTCGACTGGACCTTCGCCAAGCGGGAAGCGGCCTTTGCCAAACTCGGACTCGATCCCGCTCTGGACAATCTACCCGATGAGGACCTCAACAAGCTCTTCGAGAAGATCACCAAAGTCAAGACGATGCGCGACCATAATGCCAAGCGGCCAGAGAGCAGTCTTAGCGTCAGTCACGCCGACGATATTTGGAGCGAGTCTGGTCGTCTCGAGACAGCGACCGACGACACCAGTGTTGACGCCTTGAACAATCACGGCAGCCCCGAGTTCGGTGAGGGCTTAAAGGATGTGCAGAGCCAGCTCGAAACCGAGCGCGCCGAATTCAAGACTCGTCTCCAGGCGATCGCAGAGTCCTCAGAGGCGGAAGACATCAAGATTGAGAAGGAACAGATGCAGAAGCAGCTGAAGGCCGTTCAAGCACATATGAAGCGTCTACTCGATGCGCGCGCAAGAGGGGAGGAGATTGAAGGCGAAGAATTCGAGCCAGTCATCTACTCAGCTCGGCAACTTCGTCTCATCCGCAAGGTCCTTGACAAGTGGCGTGCGCACCGAGCCTTCTCCATGGCCGAAGTTGTCCTATCCAATGCAGTCCTCATCAAGGAGGCTAACATCATCAGGTACACATGCATTTTCGAATACAAAAGCCTTGTGCTCATTCTCGTTTCAGCAAGGAGCTTGGGAAGGATGTCTCATACAACTTCACAGTCGCGGCTGGTGGTTCTCTGGCTGCCCCCGCTTCGGCCATTGACTCGATAGCAGGCCTGGACCAGTTCGGAGACGTATCAGACCCTGTTCTTGCCTCTGCAACTCAACCCTCGGTGGCCGTCAAGCTTGTCGACAAACGCCACAACGCCATCTATGTCTGGTCACTAGATCGCCTCCAGCAGCAACTCCAGCGCATGCGGAATCTCACCACCTTCATTGATCGTCCATCCTATTCCCAACACTTCTCTTCTGAGGAGCCTTTCTACGACAGCCCTCCCCCTGATTATTCGTTCATTGGCAACGCCCTACTCTCCCTTGCACCTATGTCCCGCAGACTATCCTCCACCTCCACCGTTCCTATCTTCTGTCGGTACACTTCAGAGGCTATTGGCTCATGTCGCATAGAGGTCAAGATAGCCAATGTTGTGCTTTCCCCCAAGCACGCCAACGCCTCTGCGACTTCCACTCGTGCCTCTTCTCCCGTTCCAGGCACGGTCCCTCCCGGCAGCAAAATTACCTTCTCCCTCATCGTCGATCAAGTGAAGGGTCTTTCTCACCTGGACTTCTCTTTCGTTCACGTTCAAGTCCGATTATCATCATTCCTGGGCCCATCCCTCACCTCGGAAGAGGTGTACCCCTCCGCTGCTGTTGACCTCGACACTGCCTCTCTTTCCGATCTCAAGTTCCGCCGTAGTTTCTCCATGGTAGCTTCAACACGGACACTCACATACCTTCGTCAAGGGTACGCCCCGATGGAATTCTATGCACGCCTGAAACCCACGTATCTGGAGCGCATGGAACGATGGGACGAGATGCGGGAGTTGCGGATACCTACCAGCAATGGATCGCCGTCAGCAAGCCCTCCGAGGAGCCAACCGACCTCCCTTCCCCCAATGCGTCGTTCCGAGAACGATTTTGTTGTAGAACAGAACCACGACGTTACGGCCTGGCTACAAGTGTGCGAGCTTGCGCCCGACGGGACATACAAGCCTGTGCCTGTAGTGTCAACCAGCCATCTCGACCCCGGCTCCCTTCAGCTCCATCAAGGGTTGCAGCGTCGCATCGTGCTCACTCTCTCCTCGCACTCCGGTCGTCAGCTCCCCTGGACGGAGGTTACTCGGATACGAATGGGCAACATCCGCCATCTGGATGCAAAGGGTCTTCTTCACGACTCGCCATCCAAGGTCCTCACGACGCTACCTTTGCAAACCGAGCAAAAGATCGAGTACAAGCCGGACGGAACCGGCAACATCACTGCTGAGGCCCTTTGGGATTCCAGCATACACAACTCGATTCTCCTCAACCGCGTTACGGGTTCAGGTCAACGAATCCTCATCCAGGTCACCTTCAGCGTGGCAATCGAGACATGCGCGGAGCCAGTCCAGTTCAGCATGGACACCGCGGTCACCATCCAGACGCGTGATGCGCGTGCTCCCTCCCGCCTCACCTCGCTCTTTGGCTCGACCAAGATCCTCTCGAAGACGAGCACCATGTTCTCAGTCAAACTCTCTCCCCCTCTCACGCGCTCGCCCAAGGAGCTCTGGCGGCTAGACACCGCGGAGAAGTACGTGCGGGGCGAGGAGGCCCTCGGTGTCTGGCGCCCGCGTGGCGTCTCCGTCGTCGAGGACTACTCGAAGCTCGTGACGATGGAGCGTCGTGCGGCGGATGTGCAAGCGATCCGGATCATCCTCGCTTCGAGTCCGCACGGGCGCATGCAGCAGATGCAGCAGCAAGACGCGGACGTTTGGGCGGCGGAGCGGGGCCCGCGCACCGAGGCAGTCCTCCGCAAGGCGCTTGCTCTCTGGCAGAAGCGGTTTGGCCACGCAGGCGAGATCGTCATCAGCCAGGAGCAGGCGAACTGGACGTGTTAGCGTGACCTCGTCCGGGCTCACCTCGGGCAAGGGTCGATTTCGGACACGCACTCGACCGAGTCGCTGAAGCTCAACTCGAGCACGAAGCTCGTGCCCAGGAACGATGGACCTACCAAGAAGGGCCACCTGATGCTCATGATCGACGCAAATGTGAACGCGTGGGAGAAGAGGTGGTTTGTGCTCCGAAGGTCAGTGTAGTGGTGCTTTGGGAGGCGGCTGACCTCGAGGCTGACGCTGGTGTATTGTGTAGGCCATACTTGCACATGTTCGCTCACTCGAACGAGGTTGAGGAGATTGGCGTCATCAACCTAGCAGGCGTCAACATCGAGAGCAACTCACAAATGGAGGCTCTGCTTGGAGTATGTCTTCACGTTTGTGCTGCCGATTGTACTAACCTCGTCTGCCATCTTGACAGAAAACGTTTACGTTCACCCTGTTCACGTCCTCTAACTCGTATGCACTCGCGGCCCCGAACGCGAAAGAACTTCAGGCATGGACTACGAAATTAGACCCTACACGGCTCCCGTCATGACCCCCTCACGAATAATCACGCCAACGGATCCACGTACATATTTTGAGTTTCTTGGTCTGAACAACGAAGAAATTCTAAAATATGTTCGTCCCCTTTCTATTCTTCACTATTCCCGCTATCTCTATTACATGCGCTCCCCGTGTTCCGTTCCCCTACCTTATCCACATCGCGGTCGCTGTGTTCTGCTTACCTGTAGTACTTTACCCCTGGCTCTCCTTCCCTATTGGTTTTGGTTTGGTCTGAATCCTCTTCTCGCTCTCGTTCCGGAGGTATCGGCCGGGCACATTCGCCACACACGTTCTACGCTCTTTTGCCCCATCTATGATGCCACGCCCCACTAGTACCACCCACGCACATACACACATACATTCTGCCGGCCGACCCCGTGCGCCCTATATAGTCCTAGTCCTTGAGCAGATCGATATTTCTAGTCGTCACATGCCACCACATCCTCTTGTACCTCCTACATTAGAGCCCGGGGTCGATAGTCAACGAATGGATTCGAGGCGTGCCCCGAAAGTCTCGACGGCGGTTGCCGCGGGGCGACGACTCACACCGACGAAACCCGTACTGATACCTGCTTGTAAGCTCTCGACGTCCAGCGACGACTGATTCTAGAGCAACGTCCTGCGCCAGCACACGGTGACCACTACCAACCTCAATCTGTGCTCCTTCCTCACCTTAGAGTGGGCCGCGTATCGCGTACGCTCGGCAGACGTACGGGATGACAGTGATTCCGTGTGTCTAAAAGCCCACCCACTCCGCAAGTCCATACCCCCCAACAATCTCTCCATCGTGGCCTCACGTGTGCGCCGTGTCGAAAAAATAAACCCCAGCCCGTTGCATACGCATCGCTCTGTCTAATACATGCTGTTATCTGTGGTGCTCGCGCGTCGTGCGGCCGCTCCGCCAGACGAGACGCATTCAGCATGCGTACAAGGGCCGCCGGCACGCCGCCGTGCTTGGCGACGGGGCAATTCCCCGCAGCAGGACCGACTTGGCATCCTCTGGCCAGGCGTCAAACATATTTGTGAGGGGCGAGGCGAGGCGCGATGCAGACCGACGGCGCGCGAGGAGCGGGCGCCCTGCGGCGGTACTGAGGCGCACAAGACGGCCGGAGAGAGACTGGCAGCAGACAGTCGTGCTAACGGCATATCCCGCGGGCGTGCCTGGGACTTGCGGCGACGTCGACAGATGAACCGCGCCATGAGGAGTCGAAACACTGTTACAGCAGGTCGAAGTCGTCGAGCTGCGGAACGCAATCAAATTGTCAGCGATATCGGACGAACGGACAACGTCGGAGAGCGGACCTCGTCGTTGTAGCGCATGACGGTACGCTTGAGCTTGGAGGTGTCGACCCAGGTCACGAAGTCCTCCATGTGGCTGGTCGGACGGGGCGTCAGCGTGCGCGGAGAAGAAGGTTGCGGGGAGACGAGGCCGTACCGGGTGACGAGGTAAGCAGGATCGGTGATTGTGTCGGGGCCAACGCGGACGTGACCTTGCTCGATGAACTTCACCGCCTGGTACCGCGCGCAAGGGATGGTCGACGGGGACGAGACACCGAGCGAGGGGGTGCAAGGTTCAGCATGATGGTCCAGACACCGCGCAGTACGGGCGCGACGGCGCCACCAAGCGCAGGTGGGACGTGTGGAGGGGGATAGCGCACGAGGTGACAGAAGCTGGACGTACCGCGCTGACGGTCTCGGCCATCTTCGACATGCACATCACCACGGCGAGGCGGCGGCGGCAAAAGGCGGCGACGGTGAGTTTGTTCTCGACGTCGGAGAGTTTTGCGCTCGTGTTGAGGACGCCCATGTCGTAGAGTTTGGAAAGCAGCTGGCCTTCCATTTTGGACCGGAACGGGTCCTGAGCGGGGAGGAGGGAGAGACGGTGGGCGAAGGACCGCAGAGATCCGCTAAGTTTGTTGTATCTACGCGCGGTATCAGGACCATAATTAATCGGCGCGATATAAATGGCGGCGGAGGTGGAAGAGGGGCTCAAGAGCGTATACGCACTTGTGGTAGTCTTCGCGGTCCTGGATGTGGTACCTCCGCATAACCTTGATCTCGCGCAGATTGGCATCCTGCTTCCACTAAGAGTGACGAGTTGAGAATTGTTCCAGAGTGTGTAAATCAAGGAGACCTACGTTGAGAAAGTCGACCTTCTTGAGCAGTTTCTGCTCATGATGCTTCAGCTGGCGGACCATCGTGGTGGCGAAGAGAGCAGCAGCAAGCGCCGGGCGTCCTGTAAATTTCGGGCCGCAGGCCTGCGGGCGCCTGCGAGGGTTGATACCGAACGCCGAGCTGGTCGCACTATCCCCCCGAGTGGCCGCGCCAGAGACAATGGCTGGGAACGAAAGGGCCAAGGACGTCCTCTGCTTCCCTGCGCGGATACAGAGGCCCCGGGCGGAGCGAACGTTGTGTTCAGCCCCCGAAGGCAGAGAAGCCGATGCGCAGGTATGCCCTCCTATGCACCCCTGCCTGGCTCATGGTCGATCACTGCTAATGCGGTCCCGCCGAGAGAGCTCCGGATCTGTGCGCCTGGCTCACCACTTCGACACAACCCTATGTCGCGCCCAACGCGCCTGGTATGTCGCCGTGCGTTCTCTGGCGGCACGCGCGACCCCACTATCGGGAGAAACAGCTCAGACATGTATAGACTTTTGCGAGGCACACGTCCCGGCTTTCGGATGCTGCCTCAAATCGCGCTACGCTTTATAATATTCAGCCCCCCCTGGCCATCCGTCTCTCTCCGTCGCTCTCATGCAGACCTCGCGCCGCTGCACCACGCTCGCGCTCGCGACCGCAATCGTTCTCGCAAGCGTCTGGCTCCTACTCCACTCCTACGACTCCCTCTCTGCTCTCCCGTCCGTCTCGCATGCCATCTGGCCCCGTCCTGGAACGTACACCCCCAGCTCCGGCGAAGACTCGGCCCCGCTAGACGCAGAGCCCCGTCCCCGCCGCCGCCATGTCGCGGTCGCATCCCCGTTCATGTTCCACTTCGACGTATACATGGCCCTCGTCAAGACTATCAGCGACGTCTTCGACGACGACTCGCGGGGCACAATCAGCCTCTTCGTGCCGGAGCCATTCCAGCTGCGCTTCGACGAGATCGTAGACGAGCTCGAGCTCTGGCGCCATCGCGGGGTACGCCAGTTGCCTGAAGCGCTTGTCGACTACGTCAATTCAGAGACGGGCGAGGGCGGCGTGGACCTTATCATACTCGGGACCTGCGAAGTCGAGTGAGTGCTCTCTAGTGTGATCGTCGAGGTGCGCTGATCCATTCGCATCCCAGCCTGAACTACTACCAGGAGGGTCTGGTGGATGCTTGGGAAAGGCGGGACGCGGAGCACAAGTTCAAGCTCGTCTGCATCGTCCACAACGCGGCCGACGTCGGCTGGCAGCGGCACATCGAGCACTGGTCCCGCCGCGACGCCATCCGCCTGCTGCCCATCGCAGACCAGTACGCCCCCCCTTTTCACGCCGTCATGTCTTTGTCTCATCCCGAGCATCTCTGCGTGTAGCGTCGCGAAGTCCTTCCGCGACAAGTATGCCCGCCTGGCGGACAGCAGCGATCCTCACGAGTATACCGCCGGGTTCGAGGACATCCCGATAGACGTCCACGTCCCGCTGCACGACGCCGCCCGCCTCAACCTCCCGCGCCGCCCCTTCCCCCGCACGCTCTCCCGCGCCGTCATCCAGGGCACCATCGACCCCTCCCGGCGACAGTACGACCGCATCTTCGCAGACCTCGTCGACTCCATCCGGGGTACGCACCCGTCCTCGCGCCTCGCGCACCCCAGCTGACGCGCGCTCCCCGTGCAGAGGACCCGCAGGCGTGGGGGTACGAGCCCACGCCAGACGCGAGCGGCGCGTACCTCCCCGACACGCGCGGGCCCGAGGAGCCCTTCCAGCTCCTCCTCGTCGGCGCCGGCGACATCCCGATCCCGCCCGCGCTCACGCACGTCGTCTCCATCCACCACGACGTCCCCTACCGCGACTTCTACGCGCTCGTCGCCGCCGCGGACATCGTCGTCCCCGCGTTCGCCGACCTCGGATGTGCGTCCTCCCTCCCTCCCGTCCGCACGCGCACGACGCTGACCGCCGCCCCGCGCAGACTACGACGCCCAAGCGAGCTCGACCGTCGCGCTCGCCGGCGCGCTCGCCGTGCCGCTGCTCGCGACCGCGCGCCTGCGCCGCGCGTACGGCTACGTCGACGACGCGCGCGCTACCGTCGCGCGCCCGGCGGGGCTCCCCGAGGTCCTCGCGCTCCGCGCGCTGCGCACGGGCGTCGTGCGCTTCGGCGCGGGGCCGGGCCCGGACGTCCCCCCGCGGACGCGCGCGGGCGCGGCGGCGATGGTGCGCGGCGGGTGGGCGCGGAGCGCGGGGGAGTGGGCGGCGTGGCAGGCGGAGGTGTGGGCGCGGAACCGCGCGGTGGTCGTGCGCGTGCTCGAGGACGCGCCGTGAGCGCGGAGGAGGGGCCGTGCCGTGCCGTTTGGTGTAGACGTCGGAAGTGTGGTTAATGTCTGCGGTGCTTGCGGACTCGAACGGGCTCGTGCGGGACGTTGAGCGGACGGGGTGTCGTTATCGCAATTATCCACGTACGTACGTACAGAGAAGTACACACATTACATCGCACAAAGGCCCCCGGTCACCGAATCCAGTCCCTGGCAGTCCGACTCCGAGCCCGTACGTGACAAGCACCGGCTGTGCATCTACGCAAACTCCGCACTGGCGCCCTCGAGCTGGTGCATACGCACGACGCCGCCCCGCCACTCGCGCACGCGCCGCGCGGCCATCGCGACACCCACCTCCTGCACGGCCCCCGCGCCCAGCACGCCCACGTATCCGATCGCGCCGGAGAGCACCGCGGCGTCAACGGGCGGCGAGGCCGCGTCGAGGATGATCCAGGCGAGCGCGCTCGCCGCCGCGCGCCATGCGGGCCGCAGTGGCGACTCGGAGAGCACGAAGACGAGCGAAGGGCCGGTGAGCGTCTGGGAGGCGATGAGGGAGGCGTAGATTGAGCTGCAGATGCGAGGTCGCCGGTCAAGTGGTGGCGATGGGCGATGGGCCAAGGAGACTCACCTGACGAGCCTCTCGAGCTCGGAGACGGGCGGAACACACTGGGTCGCGCCGCAGCGTGGTATGTGGACGGCGACGTACTGTGCGCTCTTTTAGCCCGCGTGCGACCGGGAACGGGGCGTCTGGAGACCTACCTGCGGCAGGGGCGCCTTGTCCCCGAACCCGAACGCACGCCGGACGTGCTCCTCAGCTTGTCGCTCGACGCGCGGGGACCAGCGGAGGTGCTTGAGCACGTCGCGCCACACGGGCGAGTAGTC